GGGAGACAAATGTTGCTCAGATCATCAGAACAGAACCAAGACATTAAACCAGAAGCAGAAGATCACAACCAAACTAGAAATCAAGAAACACCAAACTCTCCTGGTTGTACAACCATGGGTTCTGTACTGCAGATGGCCCAGAGAGCTATAGAGATTTGTGAAAAAGCGGTTGAATCATCAAATGCAGGGAAAAACGGCAGGATAAAACCCACACAAACGTTTGATGGATCACTTCCCTGGCCAGAGTATAAGGCGTATTTTCAAACATGTGTTGAAAACAATAACTGGACAGACAAAGAGAAGGCTCAGTATTTGGCCACCAACCTAAGAGGAGATGCCCAGCAGATTGTCTTGGAGTTGGAGAGTGGCTACTGTTATGAGGACCTACTGGAAGCCCTTGAAAAGAGGTTCGGCCCAGGTGGCAAGGCCGATGTGTATGAAGCAGAGCTGTGTTGCCGAAAGAGAAAGCCTCGAGAATCCTTACAAAGTCTGGGGCAACATATACGACGACTGACGTCCATGGCTTATCCTGAAATGAGCCGGGATGCTCAAGATAGGCTCGCTCGTAGGAGTTTCGAGCAAGCAATTCCTGATGAGGAGCTGCGCCGAGCCATACACAGGAAAGAGCCATCAACATTAGACAAGAGCATAGAGATTGCTCTCAGAGAGGAGAGCTACCAAGAGTCCGAGAGGATAAGACAGGGGCTTAAAGGAAGGACAAAGGAACAAAGCATCTGCACTGTGGAAGAAGATTCTAATGAAGTTGCCAAGCTGATAGAGGGATTAAAGAAGGAATTGCTGACAGAAATGAAGAATCTTTTAAAGAAAGAAGAGACCCCAAAATCTCAAGTGAGAGAGGGTACGAGGTATCCCTGCAGGAGCTGTGGAGAACGAGGACATTCAATGACCACTTGCTCACAAACTAAGTGTTACAATTGCAATGGATTAGGGCATATTGCCACAGCTTGTCCCGAGCCTCAGCGACCTAGAACTGAATCAAGATTCAGTAATGTCAGCCCTATTAGGTTCTTGACCAATAATAGTGTTGACTTACAGCCTGGCAGCAGACCAGTGGTGCGGAAAATCCTTGCTGATGCAAAGTTTTGTGGAACTTCAATGCAGTTCCTCATTGATTCCGGAGCTGTGAGGAACATGATCAGCATAGGGAGTTACCACACAATACCACCCTATCGACGACCCAGTCTGAAGCCCTCCTCTCGAGTATTTATACAAGCAGATGGCTCTCCTCTTTCCACATATGGTGAGATTTCTGGAGAGATAAACATTGACGGAAGAGCAACCTTGTTTACAGCAGTGGTTGCAGATATTGCCCAAGCTGGTATTCTGGGGTCAGAGTACATGTCCACCAGTGGAGCAGTAATAAACTTCAACAAGCTGGAGATGATTTTGGATGACGAGGCAGTGCTGGAGCAATATCATATGCAAGATGAGCAGACTCAAACTACCTCCAAGAAGACGTCACCCAAAGAGTGGAACAAGCAGATGCAGTCATCCTCGGACGGAGCCTCACCACTTCTGCCTTTGCGAAGATCTAAGAGAAATGAGAGGAGAGTGACTTTTTCTGAGGTTATGGGACAGAACAAGAAGACAAGGTTTGACAAGAATGTTAACAAAGAACCAAGATTCAGGGCGGAGGAAAGAGAAAATGATAAATCAGAGATGAAAAACCAAAGAGAGTCTTTGGCAGACACTGATAGTCTTACAGTGACTAAAAAAAGGAGAGGGCAACTTTCCAGGTCACAACCCGGGCCAAGGAAACATGAGAGAGCTCATAACAGAAATCCTCCAGGAAAGGAGTATGTAAGAAGAAGTCCACGGAACGAGGAGAATAATTTCAGGAGCTTTTCATACCACAAGGAGCCTCCTCGTATGAGCTCCTCGTACCAGAAGAATTGTCATCCTAAGACCTCGTCATACAAGGGAGATTTTTCCAAGAGCTCCTCACGCCAGAAAACAAGAAGTTCAATAAGCGCTCCTCTTTGGAGCATACCTAAGTCAGCGAGCAAAAGACAGAAAGACAAAGAGCCTCAGAGAGCTGATGAGCTCTTCCTATAAGAAGAAACTAGAAGTTAGCAAGTGAAGACAGTGTTTTATGTGAGGGCACATAAAAGCTAGAAGGGGGGTATGTGGGAAAATTTCATTTTTTGTGTTTATCCTTTTTAATTTTCCCACTGGTGCAGTTTTATGTTTAATTGGTCCATTTATGCAAGGGATAGGGAAACCCCTGCTCACAAGTGGGTATTCCAAGACAGGAAGGGGATTCCCCTCAATTGCTGCAATGCAGTGCCCCTGATTTCAAAATGTGTTCACCTGTGCCTATGACTCATGCCATCACATGAGAGAGAAGGAAGGTCGCCATCTTGAATGAAGCAGTGTGAATTGAAGTTTGGAAGAAAATCTACAATTATCGTGCTTTGGAGTAGCCATCAGCCAGTGATTTGGGATTAGTTAAGAAGAATAAAGCGGGAAGACACACCAGGACGTTTTAGAAGGAGAAACAGGAGAGGAAACTCGAATTTTTGCAGCACTGATTCGGGTGAGATTTTTCCTTTTTGTTTATGTGATTTTATGGCCAGCATGCTACTAGATGCCTCTGACTGACTATAACTTTGAATTTCAAGTGTACCAGAATTTGTGACTTTATGATCAGCATGCTACTGAGATGCCTCTGACTGATCGTAATTTCTAGTTCATTGGGTATCCAGATCTACTGTGTGTCGCCATTTTGTGTCCCAGGCTTTCTAAAGTTAGTGAGATATTTGTCAGATTTAATTGAAAGCAAGAATAGCTTCATACTTCCATTCTTAAGAGTGCTGTAAAGAGATACATAGCTCAGTGTTGTCCTTGAGGAAGCAGCAAGGAACATACTGGAAGCAACCTTGCATTATAGTTAGTCCGGTTCCACCACTAGCTGTAAGGTGCAATTGAGAAACTTCCCAACACAGAGAAGTATTTTGTCAGTTGGTTTCACCGCTGACAGAAGTAGTTCCAGGAAGACTTCCATCGCATCGAGCAGTGAGGAGCCTCCCTGGAAAAGTCAAGAGCCATAGAGGCAGAGCAAGGCTAAAGAGCCAGAAGAGTCACAGTGGACTATTTTGTCAGTTGGTTTCACCACTGACAGAGATAGTTCCAGGAAGACTTCCATCGCAAAGAGCTGAACGAGGAGCCAAGTTCAAGAGGAGCCAGAAGAGCCAAGCTCAAGAGGAGCCAGGCTAAAGAGCCAAAGAGCTGAACGAAGAGCCAGAGGAGCCAAGTTCAGAAGCAGAAGAGCCAAGCTCAAGAGGAGCCAGACTAAAGAGTCAAAGAGCTGAACGAGGAGCCAGAGGAGCCAAGTTCAGGAGCCAGAAGAGCCAAGCTCAAGAGGAGCCAGGCTAAAGAGCCAAAGTGCTGAACGAGGAGCTAGAGGAGCTAAGTTTAGGAGCCAGAAGAGCCAAGCTCAAGAGGAGCCAGGCTAAAGAGCCAAAGAGCTGAACGAGGAGCCAGAGGAGCCAAGTTCAGGAGCCAGAAGAGCCAAGCTCGAGAGGAGCCAGGCTAAAGAGCCAAAGAGCTGAACGAGGAGCCAGAGGAGCCAAGTTCAGGAGCCAGAAGAGCCAAGCTCAAGAGGAGCGAGGCTAAAGAGCCAGAGAGCTGAACGAAGAGCCAGAGGAGCCAAGCTCAAGAGCCAGAGGAGCCAAGTTCAAGAGCCAGAGGGGCCAAGCTCAGGAGCCAGAGGAGCTGAACAAAGAGCCAGAAGAGCCAAGTCCAAGAACCAGAGGAGTCAGGAAAGAGCTAAAGAGCCATAGGAGTTGAGCCAAGTTTACGGGCCATAGGAGCCATGAAGAGGCAGAGGAGCCGAGCAAAGAGCTCAAGAGCCATAGGAAGGAGTAAGAAAGCAGAAACGGCCACTACCAAGCTTATAAAGAGAACAAGTGACATTTTAAGCTATGAACATTGAACTGTGTTATTTTCTTGTATAGTTAGTGTGTGTTAAAATATATGTATTAAATTTGAAGCCATTTGTGACTGTCGTTTCATCCAGTCCACCAAACCAGGACTGGGCCCACAAAGAAGTATAAGGTAGAAAATTACTCATCGCTTCCAGACTATAGGCAAAAGTCTGGAACGCGACAATATTTAGAAAGACAAATATTGGATGGAGACATGGTTGGCTTTAACTAATGTTTTTGTTATTTGCAGTGCCCCTGACTGGTGAGAAATGTACCAATTGCACTGTACACTACTCTGGAGGGAGACCAGATTCTAAGGATTTCATACCTTTCCTGCCATTCTTCCTTAAGAATAACCCAGGGATAAAATGTGCAAAGGGGTATGTCACTTGTTTGGTTGTGGGTTTTGTTTGTTGTTTTGTTGTGTGTTATTTGATGATGTCATTGATGCCACAAAAAATCAAATATTAATAGTATACTGTAGATATACTTAATTTTGACGTTACTTAATTTGGCGGATTTGCTCAATTACAAATATTGGGGGCTATTTAATTTGCCAGATTCGGATTGAAGTTTAATTTGCCAGATTCCTCCAGTTTTATCTCTTTTGAAGCACACTGGAAAGCCTTTTTGTCTATATTAGTGTCTCTATGACATGTATTCAGTATTTACCAAGACATTGTCTGGAATTCTCTTGAAATAATGTAAAATTGGCATTTTGACAAAGGTTTTGGAAAATGAGGTCCGGTAGTTTAATTCTGGAAGTGCACTGCACAAACTGAAATTTCCTCAAGGATTTTCTAAAAATCTGAAAATTGGCGTTTTTTTCAGTCCGTCAATCCGTCAAAAGTAGCCAAATTAAGTGTATCTACAGTATTGTCTCTGAATTTTTTATGCATAATTTATTACAATGAGATTTTGTATAAAATGTAGTCAATTGCCACCAGCATTATGTTTCACACACATACATAACAAATGTCGAGAAGAAATTAGAAGCAATGTGTTTGCTCTAACAGAACAATTTTATACATTTTAATCTCACTTTTCCAGAGGCCATGGAGCTTATGCAACTGCCGTAGAACTGAAGACAAAGTATACCCAAATAAACAGCACAAATTCAAGTACAACTTCCATAGGAGCAACATATTTCATGACCTACCACAGTTTACAGAAAAACTTTAGAGATAATATTGAGGCATTGAAATATGCTAGGAAACTCTCTGACAACATAACTGCTAGTATATTAGCTGAAAGATACCACAATATTACCCCAGGAACTGATAAAACATACAAGGTGTTCCCATACAGGTGAGTACTTACATTCTTAGAATATACAGAGTGGGCCAAAAGTAACCACCTGAGAAAAAGTTATGGATTCAATTATTTGTAGCTAATACTGTTGTTTATATACAGGCCTCAAAGCCATTACAAATATGTCAATGCTCTGTCTTCAGTTTATGATCTAATTTCATGGAGGTGGGATGGGAGTGTCTATAAAAAGAGTCGATCCCGCCTGATGCCATTTTCTCTTGAGTTTGCTCACACTTGAACCAGATGAAATAACCAAAATGTTTACAAAATGTTGTTCCAATGATAATTTGATATGTTTGTCTAATAAGTGCAGTGTTTTCTATGATAAGTACTTTACCATTGTACTTAACACCATAAAATGTTAATATTATAAAGTAACAATTATAATGTTATATTGATGTGATATCTGTCTATTATATTTCCAGTATCTTCTATGTATTCTATGAGCAGTACCTTACAATTGTACATGATACCATAATCAACTTGAGTACATGTGTTGGCTCCATCTTTGCCATCTCATTCATTTGCCTGGGCTTAGATTGGTATTCATCCATTATCATCACCTTTGTGATTGGTTTGATACTGTTGTCTATGTTTGGCATGATGTTCCTGTGGAATATCTATCTCAATGCGATATCACTCATCAACTTGGTCACGGTGAGTTCATAGTGTAATTACATTACATTAAAAATAGGATGTTATTCTCAAATTGAAATTGATTTGAAAACATCATATTTTTAATAAGATAATAATTGTAAGATATTGGATATTGCAAAATTAATCCCATGCAAAGGGCTGTGCAAAAGTCAGTCCATCCTTGTTAATTGGATGATAACCTTAATAGCTTTATTGATGTTCAGATATTGTACAGTCTATATATATTTTTTTATCCCACTGAACGAAGTTCAAGGAGGATATTGGAAAGCTGTCCATCCATCCGTCTGTCCATCCGTTCTCATTCATCCGTCTGTCCAGGCAATAGCTCAAATACCGATCGACGGATTTGATTAAAATTTGAAAGGCTTATGCCTTATGGGTGTAAGACCTCTGCTGGAGAAGGAATTTTCAATATGGCCACTCAGTTCAAAATGGCCACCATTTTTCGTAAAAAATGTAATCCATGATTACTCAATTACTAGTTGATGGATTTGGTTCCAATTTTATATGCTGATCCTAGTAACAAAGGAGCTTTTATTTAGAAGAGATTTTCAAGATGGCTGCTGATTTTCAAAATGGCCACCATTTTCCCAAGAAAACATAATCTTTGATAACTCAAATACCAATAAATGGATTTCATCCAAATTTTATATGTTGATGCCTTGGGACACAGTTGCTCTGTTTGAGAAAACATGTTCTGTTCAAGATGGCGGCTGAATTTCAAAATGGCCTCTATTTTTTTCGTTAAAAACAAAATATATGATAACTCAAAACCAAGTGTATGGATTTAGTTCAAATTTTATATGCTGAAGCCAAGGGACACTATTGCTCTGTTCCAGTATCAATTTTCAAGATAGCATCTGGATTTCCAAATGGCCGCCACTTTTCCCCAAACAAACATAATCTTTCATAACTCAAATACCAGTAAACGGATTTGGTTTCAATTTTATATGCTGATGTCTAGGGACAAAGTAGCCCTGTTTGAGAGAGAATTTTCAAGATTGCAGCTGAATTTCAAAATGGCTGCCATTTTTTTAAAAATCCTTATACCAGTGAACAGATTTGGTTCATATTTTATATGCTGCTACCTAGGGACAAAGGAGATCTACTTAATAGATTTTCAAGATGGCAACTATATTTAAAAATGGCCCAAAAAAATATTTTTATATGCTGCTACCTAGGGACAAAGGAGATCTGCTTAAGAAATTTTCAAGATGGCAGCTATATTTAAAAATGGCCACCATTTTTCGTAAACAAAACGGTGGCTGTTTTTCAAAATGGCCATCATTTTTCGTAAAAAATGTCATCTTTGTTAACTCAAACACCAGTTAACGCATTTGGTTTTAATTTTAGAAGCTCATATGCTCTGTTCAAGATGGAATTTTCGAGATGGCCACTAATTATCAAAATGTGTTTTGTTCAGTGGGATTTGCTACTCTGTGGAGTTGCAGTTTTTCTAGTTTATTAGCGTCAAACTTGTACCAGGGGTGATTTATGCTATGTTTGTTTTTTTTGCAGTGTGTTGGTATATCAGTTGAGTTCTGTTCACATTTAGTTCGAGCATTTGCGATCAGTGTGCATGAAACACGAGTGCTTAGAGCTAAACATGCACTGGCTCACATGGGAGGTTCAGTAAGTACTACCTGATTCTTCTGTACACTTTTCAAATTCTGACCAACAATTTTTTGTACTTTTATCAAAATATCCAAAAGAGCTTGGTGCAAACCATAAACTTCATAAAATTAAGAATACCTAAATCCCTTGTTGGAACTATGGATAAAATGACTTCACTGTAAGAGAACAATGAACTTTGGGAATTCTTAACTATACAAAGTTTCTGTTAATGCCTCACTTGGTCATTTTCAAATTCCCATTTCGTTGGTGCAGGCAAAATTTGCTGAATGGTGCTGCGATGACCACTTGACCTATACTTTTATATCATATTCATTTTATTGCAAATTTACATATCTGAAACAGTCATTTCATGAATTTTCTACTATTGAAAAATAATAATGAAATTAAAAACTATTTTTCAGGTGCTGAGTGCATTAATTATGCTAGCTAGTATAATTGTTGTGCTTGTGTTAGCATGGTTGTGCTTGGAGTCACATGTTCAACTCTTCAACGTGTTTTATTTCCGAATGAACTTAGGAATGGTACTGTTTGGAGCTATGCATGGCCTTATATTCCTACCAGTATTATTAAGTTTCATAGGTGAGTGCAAAGATTTGTAATTTAAATGCTACATTGTAATTGTTTCATACTTTTGGTGATAAAGGTAAAGTTTCTGTGATAGCAAACTAAACAACATTTGTCCATGTAGCTTCTAATTGCTTATAAGATGCTAAGAACAGGCTTTGAGTACATTTATTTGATGAATGTACAAATGTACATAACATATGGTACTGTCTGGTCATCTTTGAATATACTATCATCAGATCTGTAAATCTGTATCCTCCGTCATCCTCCAACTGATGTAGCCTCCAACACATTGTGGAAAGATATTGTTTAGATCTTGGTTATTGGATACTGACTGATTACACTCTGTAGTCTGTACTGACTACGCTCCTGCTAAATGAATGCATAAACATGAGATGACCATGTTCTAGCTGTGCATTATTTAGTTTCATCTATGTTTATTCTATTCAGAAAATGTTTGTTAAATGTTGGCCTTTAAAATATGCTGTTTGCTAAATGGGAGCCTTTAATATGTTGCAGGTCCTCCTATAAGTAAAGCCAGACTGTATCAAGCCCAATATAAATACTCCAGGCTAGAGTAAGTCATATATTAAGCTTAATCTCCATTTCAGTTTCCTACTATTTTCATGTTTTCCATGTATTTCTGCATATAATAATGTGTTTAATGCACCAAATGATGCATCTTTTAGTTTTGATCATCTTTTCTCTTACTTGAGCTTTTGCGTTGATAGTGACAGGTGGACAGTTTTGTAATTAATATTCATTCAATTAATATTCATTTTTCATTAATATTTAATCTTTGGCACTTGGTAACTACTAATTGGTAACAAACCTGATGAAGGAATGATGGATATAACTAATTCTTTCCTGATCAGCATACTACTGATTCTTTCTTTATTAAACCCCTCTCAGGTACCAACACAATAAAATGAGCTGTAATAAGAGTGTGTGGGGTTTAAGTCAGACTGCGGCTATTATTTCTCATAAAAAACAATCCTCATGCTTTATCAATAACATATAGTGCAACTTTCTCCAGCATGAAGCTGCAAACATTTCAGTTTTTACTCGGCTTACAACTTTTCGACATCACATTGTCTGACTTTAGCTTGAAGTTCTTGAACCTTCCATATTAACATATTTTTATCTTCTTATGAGGATAAACAGTGTGAATTATAGTTTAATACTTGTTTAGAAAGCAGATGGTTTAAAAATAGATGAGAGTTTCTGAACAAAAACATGAATGAGATTAGAGGTATATGTCTTTGAATTATGCTGTTGTACTGTTGCAGTGTTGTACCATCAGAAGTGGTGACATATTGTTATAGTCTGTAACAAATGACAGGTGGTGACATTTTGCATGTTGATGCCTTGTATAAACATAAAGCAAATCTCTCTTCATAACAGGCCATGAAAGTAATAGTAAAAATGCATTTTCTTTTACACTTGCAGGGCCCCCGATGAACCAAGCAAGGCTATTTGAGGCTTATCAGACAAAATCCAACAAACATAAGAGTGTCGTCAACAGATTTAGAAGAGAGAGAAGCCTTACTCAAAAGTGCTATCAACACTGATAGTGCAAAAAGATATGAGGCTATATGAGAAAATATTGAAACTAGAAAATCAAAAGATAAAAAAACAGACTCTTATATACAAGGACTGGTTCAACTTCCATTCTGAAATTTAAGAGCTAATTACCAAACTTTTATCAGGGACTGAAAACTGAAATTAAAACTTCATATTGATATAACTCGGATGTTTCACTGATCTGAAATAGAATCAATGAAATGGACAAATGCTGGAAGTGATATTCCCAGATAGATTTGTATCATGCCAAACATTGATCATTGACCAAATGAAGATCTTCATGATTCACAGTCATCCATTCTATAAACAGGGAACAGTGTATGAGCCACAATGTAGAGTACAATACTAGAGCACAATACCAGTGTACTAACCATGTGCATGTGAACTTCAATACTAGAGTACAATACCAATGTACTGACTACAATGTAGACTAAAGTACTAGAATACAATACTAGTGCTTTAACTACAATTTAGACTACATACAATACTAGAGGACAATACCAGTGTACTTATTATGGTAAACTACAATACTGGAGTACAATACCTTAGTACTAAACCAAATCTGACCCATACCCCATACAATTTAAGATGTGGACAATATGAAAGAGGTAAACTGCTTTTAATGGGATTATGCAAGCTTTCTAGCTCAACTAGTAAAGAAGAAATTTGGGCAATTTCAGTTTTGCCTTGAAATATGTGGAGAGAGTTCAATTGAATTTTGATGATGCTTTCGGACATATGACATATGACATATGAAAATGTGCTCTGTCACATTCAAACTGACTGCTTAGGAGCCACCATTTGTCCTCAGATAGTGATAATACCTAAATAAAGGCATTGAACTTCATTGCACATTTTTTACATTCCTCAGAGACAATATTGATAAGTTTGAGATGCCTATGGTAGCTGTATTATTATTATGTACATATTATGCTTAGCATTATCATAGAGGCATGCTGTATCATTGATTATTCTTTACAAAAGTTGTATTTATTGTGTTTTAACTTCCTGACTATTTGGCACAATACTCAAAAATCTCCATAGCAATTTGTTCAGTGATATGCCCCTTTCATTCTCTCTTCATGGTTTTGACCTGGTTCATATCCCGGGGTTCATATGTGTTGCTTCCTTACATTAATGATCGTAGAAACAAATTCAAAAAAGCATGTTATTGATATTAAAGATATTGTGTCAAAAATTGAAAGAAAGCAATTTCATCTTAATTTCAAGCGAGTGGCATCATTTTTCAGTGAGACCAGGTTTCCTTGGAATAAATGTCCACAGAGAGGTAGAAGAAATGCACTGAACAAAGTGTTATATATTCAGAAGCTGGCTATTGCTTGTCTTTATGTAAGCATTATTTTCTTTAAAAAATGTAAATATGATTTCACTTTAGTATTTTTGTACATATGAATCGTTTTTATAAGAATAAATGTGGATTGGGAATGACTTCTGTGTGTGTATTATGATCTACTTGATAAAACTGACATTTAAATAGAATCGAAACTTGTGTAAATACCTTGAATGAGCTACAGGTATGCAGTTTTGAAAAATCTACAATATTATCACCCCCCCTAATATATGTTAATGTGTAGAAGATGAATCTCACTTTATCATAAATTGCACAAAGCATTCTCAACACAGGCATATATTCTTCAGCAAAATTTCTACATTACCAACATTTTATCTGAATAGTGGATAATTTATTTACAAATATGACAAATATTCAAGTGACATACCATCATCATACAAACATAAATGTTTTATTCATTTAAAAAGGGACTCTATGCATATTTTCAGCATTCTTTGGCAAAATACTTTCTTTCGAACTTCATAGTATTTCCAATGGATTGATAAGAACTTAATCTTTCATTAGACACCAAAAGGAGCTGAAATGGTTCACATCAGAGCTTACAATAAATCATCAAAACATATTTTCAATCTGTCAAGTATATCAAGTTCTCACCAATGTTAATGAAAGATGGCAAAGTTATTTGTTTCACACGAGTCATTCAGTTTTGATAGAAGTGTCGCCAACTTTTCAGCCAAAAGTTATTTTAAAACATGCACTTTGTCAAAAGTGTGTATGCACTACTAATGATCTCTGAACTTCACATGCTGTTTTTTAAGTTAGATATATTTTTTTCTCACTTCAATATTAATGCATATCAAGCTTTGTATCATATTTGATTGAGTGTCTGAGTAACATGTTTCAATGATTATGTGACCTTTTTTTCTTTGAAACTCAGCATAGTGCCCCATTAACAATTCAGCATTTTCTATACATCATACTTAAAAAAATATTCTGCCTCTCTTGTATATATGTTTATGAAATTTTTGAATATTACTTTTTAAATGTAGAAATCATTTTATTTAGTTATTCGTGAGCAGTTGTGACTACTGTAATCATGCAATGCTACAATATGTCAATAAAAAAGTTATATTATTTTATTGGTTTATTATAGTTTTATATTATTTTACAAGTACTATATTCCCTTTAAGAAATAGGTTCATAAAGATGTGAAGAACAACATATTAATTTGCAAAATGTTTTGCCATGTCATAACTGATTCAGTTACAGTCAGTCTCACAACAGATTCAAACCTCATCATTTAGTCCAGCTAGCTACAAGCTCCAGCCCCATTACAAATCTCCCAAATGGTGGTGAAGTAGATGAGAGGGTCCAGAGACTTGAAAATACATGTAGGGTTTTCACAAATATCTTTGTTAACACGCATCTGAACATGTACTTTACTTTGTGCTGTACATATGAGAAATAATGTTATCTACATAATATCTATCCATTTGTGATAATCCTGGAATGGATTCACATTTTTCAAATATTGTACAAATAGGTGAAACTGCATACATGTACTTCATTACATAGTAATACATATCACCCCGATGTTATCATTCTAGAGATCTTTTTTATCAAGCCTATACATGATATTTATATGAAACAAATACATAATGTGAATATCTAACTCGAGCTGCTTTATCTTCAATTTTGATTGTCTTTATTTTATTGAGACAGCTTGTCTCTTATCAGACTGTCCCCATTCAACTTCCATTCAACAAGTTTGAATTGTAGTCTGTTATTTTTCAATTATGTGTCAGCAGACACAATGAGAAGCCAATTCTGTGAGATTACGTGATGACAAAACTGGTGCACATCGAGGGGTTGCTGGTTCTGTTAGTGTTTATTATTTGAATAATGAATCAAACTGAAGAGCTATCGCTCACCACATATAGTGGTAAACAACTGAATGAGACATTACACAATGAATTCCAAAATGGGTATGATCCAAGTTATGTTTGGATTCCACTAATTGCCTTTTTATTTTGGTTCCTATGGTTTATTTGACATAGCCATATACATGAAATCTTCATAGCCAACATTGATTACACCACTGAGATTTGTATCCTTTTGTTTAAATGTATCTGTGACTGACTTCAACATCACACTGGACTGGATGAATTTATCTAATGTTAATGATCTTCTTCCATGGGTGTCATATGTCCAAACAATTAGCTGCACAAACCTGGGAGATACATTGAAGCCCATCATCGAAAATGCTGAAAAAATAAATATTCTATGAGAAGAACATGAAATATTTTTAGAGTTATGAAAAAATGATGACATGACGAATTGGATGCAACACTTGCATATTTAAATATCTTTTTCCAATGTGTTAAACAAGAAAATATTAAAGGAACTTTTTTTCACATCTGAATTTTTCTCACAAAGGTCCATGTGCAGTATGGCAAGTGATTTTAAATGGTCATATATTTCACCATGGGTACTTTCTGGGCATAAATACAGTGGTTTTTATTAAAACAATATGTTTTCTTTAAAGTGACGTCCCCATGATAGTAAAATATCAATCCAACTCTCTGAAAAATTATGGATTAGGACTCCACCTAGTCACTTTTTTGAAAATGTAAGGCTTATTTTCTAAAAAGAGGATCTTGTTTTTCTCAATTTAAATATATCAAAAGTTTCTTCTACACTATATTAATAACTTCTGAAAAGGGGATGGGTATTGAAATGCGATAAAGTTAAACCACGTTTCCCGTGTTATTTACCCATAGGGAAAACTCATGCTATACATTGTTTTCAGCATGATTTTGGTCATCGAAAATTGATATCTTCGAAACTAGACTTTCAATACCATTCTACTTTTGAAGATGTTTTAGACCCCTTGTTGAATAATCTTTTCATGCAACAAAAATCAGAAAAGAAGATCCTCTTTTGAGCAAATAAGTTCAACATTTTGAAAAAACTTTTGATGTGGGGTACCTATTTATAATTTTTTTGAATTGTTCGATTGATATTTTTATCATCATGGGGACTTCACTTGAAAGAAAACATATTGTTTTGATGAAAACCACTGTATTTATGCCCAGAAAGTACTCATGGTGAAAAATATGACCGTCTAAAATCACTTGCCATACTGCACATGGACCTTTAATCAAAATCAATATTTTTCTTATTCATGAAAAATTTTCAATCACTGAATGTCTAATTATTAAAGATGTACAGTTCTCCTACATACCACTTTGTAGTTCTTGACTTTCAATAGTTCCAGATCTGTTACCATCAAACCGGTCAAATATGCCCTTCCATTGGTGAATATAGTTCCATAAACTACAGAATTCATTGAAATCGATTGTACCACTGAAGTCCCTGTCGAACATACCTAGGGATAAGGATAGAAATAGGTTTGCATGATTAATTAATCATGTACAGGGTTACATAAAAGAGTGGGCCTTGAGTATTCTCAAATAGACATTCAAATGCCATTCTGATACTCATCACATCTTTCTGATTCACTTAAAACATTTCAAGGCTGAGAATAGATGTCATGGTTTATCATGATGTTCAAATGCACATTTCTATAAATTTAAAAGTTTCAAATCTAAATATCAAGGACACTTTATAAGGTCCATGCTAGAAGGAAACCATACACATTTAAGCACATTATTGCACTACATGACTTGTACTCCGGGTGAACTTATTGCTCACATCATTGGTGGTAAACAAAATACAACAATACGATACAATAAAAAGAGGAGAGTTTCTTACCAATCATGAGTCTGCATGTTTCTGGATTAAAATGACTCCAGTTTGCATTTGTGAGTGCCTGTTGGAGTTCTGTAGCTGTTATCCTGCCAGATCTATCTTGGTCAACTGCTTGGAACCAGTTGTACAAATTAGGATCGACTCCAGCCTGGGGATAACCTGACAAAATAACATTTACTATGTTACCTCTGCATATAATATATATCACACTTATTTCTTTAAGCTTTTAAGTTTTCATATCTAAATGCCTGTTCTGATTTTTGTGACCGGAGTCATAGGTTTTTCTGAAAATGAACCCTCAAGGGTCAATGACAATGTCGAAGATAGATTTCATAGCGAACAGCTTATTAGTTTTTTACAACTGTACTTCTACTTAATTTGGCGCTACTTTTGGAGGCTTTTCTCTTTTTAACATTTGGCGACTACATAATTTGGCAGACTTGCAATATTAAAATGAATAAAAATACCATACCATACAAAGTTACGATTCAAATATGAAATATTGAATTTGGTGGCTACTTAACTTGGAGGACTTTTAACAATTTGGCAAAATTAAAACAGCCGCCAAATTAAGTAGAAGTACAGTAATTTATATTTTTTTTACCAGATTGCTGTTGTGGTGCTCCATATCCAGGCTGTGGTGGTGCTCCATATCCAGGCTGAGGTGGTGCTCCATATCCAGGCTGTGGTGGGGCTCCATAACCTGGTTGACCTTGTGGTGCTCCACCATAACCAGGTGCATATCCAGGCTTTAACATAAAGACAATAGTAGTCAATGTACACGAAACAAAGTATGCCTATAACATGTATAACCAGGACTGTACACAATCCAGAGACATAAAAAACCTTTCATTTACAACACATCTCTGAGTTAATGGTGTCAAAATAAGAGTAGAATTAGAAAAAAGCAAGTTATATATCTGTTAAAATATAAAGGGACAATCTGACAATCTGTTAGTTATTTTGGAGTTGACATTTACAGTCAGTTATCATTTAGGAGAATTTAAACATTTTCACTCATTTTTGCACTTTGAATCCATTATAACTTCACCAATCTATAACATATTGTAAATCTTTTGGGAGATATTGTATTTGAGATTGTAAGGAATAGACTGGTTGGCCAATTGTACATGTTACTTGTAATTATGTCACCCACATAGATCTGATTCTGCCTTTAAGATACAAATCTTTTGATATTTTGGTTTATTTGTTAAGGAGAGAAATGCTTGGCTTCTATTTTGATGCTTCTCTGCCATGTCATTTTTGAAGTCTCGCTCCAATATTTACATGGTTGCAACTCCCTACATATAAGAGGCCACATATTTTCGGCACATAAAACTATGTAAGGCATGCTACAGTCACAAAACAATTTTTACTGTGCGATGTACAGTCTGAACACTTTTTCCATAAATTACTCTGATCCTGAAAAATAAGCAAATCAGATTGTACCTAAGTAGTATGTAATAGGTCCTCTAAACACCCTAGATTACATTATGAAACATAGCCAAATATGAGAGTGAAAACATTAAGGAATTGTCAGATAAGAAATAAAATCAAAGAAAATCTTTCCATTTGTTGATCAATCTCCTTTTGTTCAGGGGACTTTTTATGTCCCTTGGAACTTAAAGATCGGAAGTAGGATATGCATTACGCAACTACACTGTAACGCAATATTTTCTTATCTGAGAATACTGTCATGCTTGGGTGAGTTTCACATTTAACCGAGGGCATTGGAAGACTTATCACATACTGGTAATAAGTAGATACATGGTGAATATTAGGGATGTCACAGGACAAAAAAGATCTTTTGAATGTCACAATAGGGCTGTGCATGTTTTGCAGAAACTGGTTACCTGAGATTAATTTTAAGTTGTTACTTTTCTTCCTGGTGAAGTTAAAGTTTGTTTAAATTAATGCACATTTCAAAGGGAACACTATTATCGATAAACCTGTATTCCCTACATGTTCCTTCATGAATTTTCGTTCTAATATAGTTCTAATCACCTATTGTACTTGTCACTAGACGGGGCATTTGCGTATGAACAAAAGAAAATTATTAGTCTAGATCATACTCATCATGGATTTGGGATGTTTTAGCGATACACGTCATATACAGGATAATTAGAATATCCTGAACAGAAATCTTCGGTACACAGTGGCTGTCCGATCCCGTCCCGAGACCAGAGTCAGAATGACAATTTCGGGAAACTGTGACATCCCTAGTGAATATCATACAATTTGCTTGTACATATGCAAGCATGGGAGAAGATGGAATTAATTAGTGCAATCTCCCACCAATTTCTCAATAAATCTGTAAATCCATAACTAAAAGTGTGGAATAAGTGAATTTATAAAAAGTGGGCGTGCCCGGAAGTGATCACAAAATAATATTGTAAATGACGCTGAAGTTCATCTGACCATTATTTTACACTATAAAGCAGAATGCATGTTGATAAGAGATGGACGCTGATATGATATATGCGGTTTCAATGTTGCTCAAACCCATTATCGATATGTAATTTCATAAAATATATTGAAATATTAAATCACCTGCTGGTAGGGATTCGCCATTTTGCTTTTTTGCAAAGTCACATGACCGTTTCACTAGATAGAAGATTTACCCTACAGAAATCAATCGAAACACAAATAAATAAGTAACTAAATTACAAATATTCATACAAATAAAAATACAAATATCCTTTTTCTTTACATTTAATAATTTTTATACATGAACCATGAATTTTTTCCGTGCGGGTTTTAAATATTCAGCTTTTGATTACTAATACCACGCCATATTCTAGATGCACCCTCACCCCATGTTTGGATGAGTCGCTCAAATCAGTAATCAAACACTTGTTTTTGTAGGTATAAAGTGTAATTAATTAGATTTTGATAACAAGTAGGTGTACTTCCTACTCTCACAACAACAACACATTTATAAGGACTACATATGAGGACAAACATTGGAGTACAATCACAAGATCCATTCAAAATCTTAAAAAAGAAGTCATGAAAATCAAAAATCGTCTGTTTTTTGGAGCTTTGAATCAACAATGGGGATTGCTCATCTCGTTGGTGATGTTTACTCTATTGGTAAGTGAATAAACAATTTTATTTATGAAGCATTTAATCATTAATGACAACTTATCTAAATTTATTCCATCTACAAATTTACTTTCGTCAGTCAATTTTTGAAAAAATAAGATTTAGGGGGACTGCATCGAACTTCGACATATGGGGTTATTTCGATGTGGGGCTATTTCGATCAGCCATGGTAGAAATAACCCCATGGTTGAAATAGCCCCAAATCAAAGTAACCCCATACGTCAAAGCTCATCACATTCCCCTATAGCCAGAGACATATAAAACACTTGTGTTTATTTGATTGGCATTTTACCAAGATAGTTTCTGCGCACGTTGAAAGATCTCTTCAAATTCTTCAATCATTATTGTAAAAATATCCTGTTACTTTGTTTTGATGTTGCAAATAAGACATTCTTGGCAGAAAAATTGCCTTGCATGGGGACTTTCGACTTCTTTTATATATGGGTGCTTATAAGAATGGTTTGAAGGGTGTATTTTCAATTTTCTAAGTGCCCCAGGCACTAATTACAAAGAATATGGTAACTAAGAGTTAACCAGATACCGATTTTCCAGATATGGAAGTTTGTTTACATGTTTTGTATTCATGGTGTTTACTACTGCCTTTCTTGTTATGTGATCAAAAGAGGCAGCAAATTTATCACACAATAATTAGAGTGACATTCATAGGCAACATAGATGGTCCCTGATGGCAATCTTGCAAGAGAAATCATTGATTCAAAATTAATTAGCTGGTAGGATTAACCATTTCTTTCTGAACAAGTTATTAAATCGATTGATGAAGTGTGACTGTCTGATGAAGAATAGGTGAAGTGTACTAGTTGTATTGTATATTGTTTACTGGGCTTACTATACATATACGGTCGTAATTAACGTAGTAATTAGCCTGGAAGATAGACCCAAAAACCCCTCCTCAAAGGAGCCCTGTGTTCTTTTATGTGCACCCATACATAGACATACAAGTACACACCACAGCCTTTTGTACAAGTTGTGGACCACTCAGTCAAACACCCCTGAAGTACTTTACGCAAACAAGCAAATTAAGTATTGCCTGAACCAGGGATCGAATTTGGGACCTATTGCATAAGAGGTACCTGTGCTAACGCTGAGCTATACGGTTGGACTAGTGCATTTATATGCAAGTGTTACATGATCATATCCTTAATTTGAGTTTTTTTTAGATCATTTTCTTCATAGATCTGCCATTCTGCCTTCTTCTCAAGGCCTCCTTCAGATTGAATATTAGCTTTTTTCTACTTTGGACATTTGTTATAGAATTGGTCCTATATTATTCTACTTTGGACATTTGTTATAGAATTGGTCCTATATTAAGACATTTGGTATGGCATTGACCTTATATCTGGACATTTGGTATTGCATTAGTCCTATATTTGGAATATTGATATCTGATATTGGTATATTGATATCCCCCCCCCCCCGGTATACTCAGTGCAACTAGATTGATATTTTGATCATTTTATTTTTATTTTCCCTATCACGGTATATAGACCTATTGTAAGTGAAATTCCCAGGAATTGTTCATACAGCCTCATTGTGAAGGCATCCTAGGTCAGCAAGAGTACAGAGTTGGAGTCTAAAGATAAAAGGTCAACCTTAGGCCTTTATTCTTGACTGTTATTGTTCTAGTGGAAAAGAGTGCTAAAGTCCATAGATCTACTAATAGCCTTGTACTAATCACAAGTTATTGTTTTGATGCCTATTTTCTCTTCAGGGAAAATAGATGTAAATAAGTATACATGTATTTATAAACTTTTAAAGATACAATGTAACTGTATTCATTTAGGTTCATGAATGGAAAATAAATACATGTATACATCTGCTGAAGTATGAGATAAATGATTATTCCAGTGCCCTTTAGACTCGAATAGGCGAATAATTCTAAATGTTTAACTGTAATGCACATATAAAATTGCTTTCTAAAAATGCTCAAATGTTTATTATGGATTTTTTGAATACTATTCAGGGGCATAGCCAGCTTTCAGTCAGGGGTGTGTGATCTCCAATATATTCTGGTTTCAGTCAGGGGGGTGCGATTGTGGCATAAACAAGCCAAAAAAATAAGATTTATTTTGAATTTTACAAAAATTGGCGCAACTTCCTTCACAATTGAGATAGAAGCTTCGAATAAAAAGCATTTTAAAGCTCTTTTCTTCTTCTTTTAATTTTATTGGTTATGGGGGGAGGGGGGGGGGGTGCGACCCATTACACCCCCTGGCTACGCAAGAATTATAAAGAGAAAAATTGACATTCATTTTCAACCCTGATATGATTTAGTATTTTAATCTTTAAAGTTCATCAATATTTACACCTGATCAAGTAGAACACATTTTTGAGAAAAATACTTGCACGTCCCACCTTTTCAAATTTTAAAGACAATTTTTTGATTTGAATTATAAGAGAACAAAGGTTTATGTATAATCAAATAAACTGTATATATATATATCATTTATGAATTCAAAATTTTATTTTGACAAAAGTAAGGATGGGACTTAATAAACATTTTGCAGGCAAGCTGTTCTTCGTCCAAGGAGGGCCAGTGTGTTTGGTACGGAGAATGCTGGGATCCACCTACTAAAGATGGTGCTATGTCAAAGAAGCTCAATTGTCCATATTCTGGTCCTGCCAAGCAGATGAACAATACAATTGGGCTGCAGAAGCTTCAAGAGCTATGTCCACAATATATAGGTAAACAAATTATTCATTTCACCCTGATATAGTTCACTCTGTCTCATCTAAGTATATTTGTTCATATGATGAATGTGATATTATTTGCTGTTCATATGTTCAATGTAATATCATTTTCTTCTTCAACATGAAATACATGCGTTACTATTATTATGATAAATGCAATATATTATTTGGTGGTCAGGATGAATATAATGTTGTTGTATAATTGTAGGCTCTAATATGACATGCTGTAGCTGGGAGCAGTTAGTAACCCTGGACTCGAGTCTTACTGTTCCTCGACAAATGTTCTTCAGATGCCCATCCTGCTTCCGTAACTTCCTCAACCTCTATTGCTCTCTTACCTGTGATCCTCATCAGTCTGATTTCGTATACGTTAGGGGCATCAACAAGGCAGCAAATGACTCAATTGACAGTATTGACTATGTCGTATCGGATGATTTTGCAAATGGATTATTTAATTCATGTAGGGATGTACAGATGCCAAGTTCTAATGCAAAAGCTATTGGAGTTTTCTGTGGGACTGATGCGAATAAATGCACTGCTAAAAAGTTCCTGACTTTTATGGGAACTTCTTCATATGCTCCTTTCAATGTAAGTATATTTCTCAGTTGTTATGACTTCATTTTTTGAAATTTGACTTATATTGATTAATTCTCCCTTTCGCGATTCGCTCTTTGAAGCAGAACGTTCGCAAATATGAACTGAAAAAGCACTCAAAAAGGACAAAATTTGATTGGTCAATATTTTCTCACTATGCATTTCGCGTAGCTATTTGCGTAACCCAAAAGTTCTAAATCAAACTAATTACGCAATTTTGTTTTTATACCCGCACGCTAAATAAAACAATGACAACATCGGAAGTATTCTTCTTTGTCATTGCTTTAATAGTCAGTATACCGAGTTTAATCAATAAAATATCGTACAATGAACAACAAAATTCGGAAACGAGTACTATAAATTTGCTTTAGAACCACAGAACAGAGTGACCTAGATAATAGCGACGCTTCTTCTTTGGTCTACTGCTCAGTTATTTGTTGGTTTTCAACGTAACTCTATGATGTCATTTGAAGATGAATACTTTTATTCAGTTGTTGCATGGTTGTTGCAGTTTGTAATGCGGTAAGGTTGGCATTAAAGTATTGAAAGTCGAATGGAATTGTTTTTTCCAATATGGCGACTAGTCAACTGATCATGTGACCTTCTCTTCCGGAATATTTTCTCACTTTTCAATCATCGTTTTCACCACGCTATGAATCAATACAATGAAAAAAGTAGCTGTTATATTAAGATTAATAAGAGATCGTTTCTAATAATTTTTTCTGTACCCTCGTATGGGAATATGAACAAATATATCGTTTGAAAAATAGGTGTGAAAATCCCCATGTTAAACCTATGAGCGAAAACAAGGAAGTATAAATTTGTTCCTCCGCGAACTGCATCATGGGAAATATTTTGACCTTATAAGGAAAGATTTTCGAGTCTCCTCTTTTGAAGAGGGAACAGCGATTTCGAGAATTCTGACTTAACCCAGAGGTGTTTCTCATAAATAAAGTTCTCTGCGTAATGCGTATACCACACATTTTAAATCTTATTCCTGGACTTCATCGTATTATAATTATCTATTTAAATAGACATTACCAAGTTATCATTTTTACTCTAAAAGCAAGAAAGATGATGAACACAAAAAACAGTAACTGACTTATTCAAATGATTCATGAGTAGTCTCAGAGTCATATTTACTCATATAAAAATCTATAATATCAAATACAAAATGCTTCCAGATCAATTTTAATTTGACTAACAATGCAACAACAGATGGACCAAATGGTACATACCACATGACCCCCCTCAATCAGACAGTTCACCCCTGCAACCTGCCTCTCAACAACAAATCCTCCCCCTGCAGCTGTCAGGACTGTGAAGCCCAGTGTTCCCCTCTACCTCCTCCAATCAAGCCAGCCTCGAGATGGAAGATTCTTGGGATAGATGGATTTATATTTATTGGCTCATCAGTATTTGCAGGATTCGTTATACTGTTTGGAACCTGGCAGATATGTAGTTTTGTCATCGGGGAAGATAACCCAAGTAAGTTTGTAGTGATCAGGTTTTAAATAAGGCATTAATAAATCAGCAAAAAGGATTGATTCCGGAAACTGAATTTTGAAATTTAGACTACCCTACCAGATCTTGTTTTTAAGTTTTGATAATCATTTGCTGATTGAGACCAATATTGTGATGAAGTTACAGATGTTGTATACTGTAACACTAAGCAGTTTATTGCAACTGTAACTACCATTACTTTAGGGATGGATGATGCTGCCTTGGTGTCAATAGATGGCGACTTATTACATTCCGCTGAAAGAGCTGGAGTAAGTCTCGTTGATGAAAATGACATCAATTGTTTTGACAAAATTGGTGTAGGGATGGAACGCTTGCTGGAAACTATATTCACACGCTGGGGCTGTATGTGCGCCAAATACCCCATATATACTCTGGTAGTAGGATTCATATGTTGTGCAGCCCTTATTGCTGGTATAAGTTTGTTTAAAGTAACAACAGATCCAGTGGAACTCTGGTCTTCCCCCGACAGTAGAGCACGACAAGAGATGAACTATTATGAAGAACATTTTACGTAAGTTTTTGCCTTTTGAATTTTGACATTTACCAACTGATCAAAGTTAGAGTAGGGATAGACAAACCGTCCATTTGTATAACTCAATACTTTTTATCGGATTTGAACCAAACTATTTGCTGATGTTTTTATCGCACCCTTGGGTGGTAAATTGTGATCAGTTTGGTGGAGGTGGCTGGTTGGGCGAGCGTCCTGATAAATCTTGTCTACTGGTTTCCAGCCAAACCGTTACAGGGATTCATCCGAAATTTTCTTTGATAAGTTAAATACCACTGAATGAATTCAGTTAAAATCAGATGCTGTTATGATAGTTTTAGCTGTGACTTCAAAACATGGAGTTGGAAGAAGTCAATGATGAAAGTGGAGTATTCCAAACATGTATTGTCATAAAAAAGCTCTTTGTTTGGGGAAATACAAGATTAATGTCATATAATACAGCTACATTTATTGCTCATAAATGAATTAAATTGAGGAACTGTCGTAAGTGCACAATAAATAATGGAGGAAAACCCTGTATTTTTAGACATCTATTTTAGTTATTTGCTATAGAGTTTCTAAGTACAGGGTGACACAATAAATGCCACCCACTTATTTTAAAAACTTTCTCAATAATGAGTTCAATGGAAGAGAGATTAGTATGTTTGCAAGAGGAAGAATAATTTAGAGATATCTCATTTTCAGCAGAGGCATGCTCTGACACAAAATAACTCAAAAATGTAAATTCTTTTTTGAACTTCACCTAATAAAGGAGTCCATCCATTAAATTTGACAAAAATATTTTTAAAATGGGTAGATATGACATGTTAATGAGCAATCCAGAAATGACTCAAATAATTGCTAAAACAGAAATCTCATTTGGCATTTCTTGTGTCACCCTGTATAAGTTACATAGTAGCCGAGACAACACAAGTCCCAAGTCTGTATTTTTACTCTCATTTCTTCACTTTTAAGAGTTAAGTCATCATATTTTGCATGCATATTCCTTGAAGAAATCCTAACATAGAATTTTATTGGTTTCATTTATAATTTATTTGTTGAAAATAGAGAAACATTTGATTTGTATTGGTCCATAATCAGAATTATCCATTTTGTGTAACAAATGCAACATTTTGACGTCATTAATAAAAATTGAAGTTATAAATGATAGATACAATATGGTGTCTCTAATCTTATTGACCATAACTATCATCCTAGATATTTTTGCCAGTCATCAGATCATGCATTGGAAGAGTACCCCAATGAGAAATGCATTCATTGATTGTGGCAAGCAGTGAATTGGCAAAACAGTGGTGGAGTCACACCATTATTTTGCCGCATTTTGGTGCTTAATTTCCCCTTTAAGATCGTTTGTTACTACTGTGATGTCACAATATATAGCATCTGATGTCATGATACGGGTACCAAATTAACGCACACATTACAAGCTTAAAGATGATACCAAATATGTCATCATTCATTTGATTAAAATGGTTACTGGAATAAGCCCAAAGGGTATGTCACTCCTTTACCCCATCCATTTTTCAGGAAATTAAAACACGCAAAAAATCTCAAATAATGCAGGCATCTTCAGGGGTCCTTTTTGGCCCCGTTTTATTTCAAATATCATGTTTCTACATACCATTTTTCTCGGATATGTCTCAATTACCCCAAAATAGTTACACTTCTGCTGAAAAAGGAAACATGTGGTCAATTTGGAATTATTACACCAAAAGTAGTGATTTTTTATATAAAGTTAAAATAATGCATTTGTCGCTGAAATGGCAAATTTTGATTATAGACCAATCAGAATCAAATGTTTCTCTATTTTCAACAAATAAGGTATAATCAAAACCAATAAAATTCTATGTTAGGATTTCTGCAAGGAATATGCATGCAAAATGTGGTGACTTACCTCTTAAAAGTGAAGAAATGAGAGTAAAAATACAGACTTGGGACTTGTGTTGTCTCAGCTACTATATTTGGATGTTAGATAATGTTTTTTTTTTTTTTATTATGTCATAATAACAAAATATTGCAAAACTAAATCATTTTGTTAAAATAATGTGAAAGCATTTTCAGTATTCCTACACCTGGTTGATAGATAAGAACCAAACAATATTCAAGGGTAGGAAACCTTTTTGGAAGTTTTATGATTTCATTTCCTCCTTTTATTTAAGCTGAATTAAATTCAATGGTGAATCCATCCAGGTACTTGAGTAATAATGTGAATCATCTTTAACACTGTAGTCTCATCAGGTATAAAAGTATGTAGGAAATGTATAAGCCTCCTACAAACTTCATGTCTCACGATAAAAAACTTTATAAAGCGGATGCCTTATACTGACATTGTGACTTTTAATCAGTGTTTAATCAGTGTTTACTTTCACCTGATACAGGTGTATAATACAATCTATATGATATTCACCTTTCACCTCGCATATGTAGGATTGTATGTTATGACATAAAATAATTGGGAAGTTAAGCTACATGTTTTTAAGAGAACTTGGGAATGAACTATGTGAATGTGTAATATAATAAACCCCCAGGTATTACCTTCCCCATCTCACAGTCACACTTGGCTCTTCCAGGGACCTAATATTAATATTTTATCTTCTCAAAGAATCACTACAAAGGAACCAATCCCCAGAGCACCATACTGTTCACATATGAATATCTACTTTGATCAGTAATAATTATATTTGCCATTATTTGTTAAGGAGAATATATATGTCTTGATGCTATGGGGCTAAGAATGAACCTATTAATTCACATAATTCAATTAAATGTTCATATACTCATGCGACATGCATATATGTTGAGGTTAAAGTCATACTGACCTTAGATCACTGAGGGCATAGAGCCATATGATGTCTTTGAGAGAAGTGGGAAGATAAATCACACCATACTTAACTTGTACTTAGGATTTGTCAACTCGGATGACTGTCTGATGATCACAAGTTGATTATTAACCCCAATAGGTTCAAAATTCAAAAGTCATCTTAGTGCATCTTTTGAATGAGAGGAATTTCTGTGCTGCAGTTATTCCATCTTTTTATTTAATCCCTGACTGTAATAAGTTCCCATAATGAGTTTCTATGTCTGTCCACCACAAATGGTGACATATCGTTGTGATCTTCAACTTTTTTGTGTGCAGTGTTTGGTAGTTGGTCGTCAGTTGGTGTTTGGTGGTTGGTGTTTAGCTCATATAAAATGAAAACTGTATTTGTATCTGAAAAGTGGTATCCCTTCTATATAATGCTCACAAGGATCATTAACATGTATATCATCTTTAAGATATTTGTACAGTTACTTGCATTGTTCTCATATGGTTGACTTGTAATTGCAGGCCATTCTACCGTACTGCACAGATCATAATAACTGCTAAAAACTCCACCCCTTGGAAGAGGGAGGATTCTGGTAGTAGCCCTACTTCAAGGATGATTGGAGCTGTACTTAAACTAGACATCTTAGAAGAGGTTAGTCAATATTGGGTTGGTGGGCATTTGGCTGGGTGGCCGGCCCACAAATCTTGTCATCAAAATTCTACTTGAAATTTAAGGATAGTTGCTGGTTCTAATCTATATATGTATGCTTTCAAAAGTGTTTTTTGCTCACATATTATACAATTGAATTATTTGAATAATGATTCATTTTTCAGTTCTCGTTTTAAATAGTAATTAAATATAGTAATTTTACAGTTTCTATGCTAGATTAATAAGTACATATATGTTAGTTTTACATGTACACTCCTATATACAATCTTTTCACATTTTTAGGTGCTACATTTGCAAAATCGACTCGCCAATATCACTGCTTATGATAGCAAACATGGTGTTGATGTTAGGCTTGAAGATATCTGCTTTGCCCCTTTATCACCTGATAACAACAACTGCACCATTCAGAGTCCCCTCAACTATTTCCAAAACAGCATGGAGAATCTAAATAAAAATTTCTGGGATGACTTCCATTTTATACGCTATGCTGACTATATAGATCATATCCTTTACTGTGTCAGGTTAGTCATACATTCCTCTACATTAGCAAGAAACATTGAAACTCCTACCTGTGTGAAATTGACCCCAACCTCTACGCAAATCAAAATCACAACTATACCATCAAACTAAAGAACCAAAATAATAGGACTTTTATAATCTTTAAGGAGTAATAAACATAAATATTTATTGGTTATTAATAGGTAACAAATGACAGTTGCCAAATAAATAAGACCATTTTATGAAACTAAAGTAATGTGAAAGTCCTGGAATTTGTTAACTACATGTACATACATTTTTTTAACATTCATACACAAAATAATATTGATAACCATTTACAAAAAAATAAAGAAAAATTGTCGTGAACATGTTTTACGTGTTTTAACAATTTCCCTTTTTGTACTACAGAGACCCCACTGCCATCAATGACACACAGAATTCTTTACTTGACCTGCCATGTATGGGAACATATGGGGGACCAGTCATGCCTTTTGTGGCCCTTGGAGGATATGAAGGTATGTAGCTTGAACTGACTGTAGTGTTAACAGGGTTATATACTTGTAGATTGAGGCTACATTTCGCTAGTGTTTCCATTGGCATGCTGTGTAGCCATTAGCACTGGATAGTTATCTTGTCATGTTTGCTTCCTTAGACAGACTTTTCCTTTCTCAAAAGTAAATATAGTCATTGGTAAGAAATTTAATTTTGTTGGGATTATAGAGTACATCTGCCTTCTCATCAATATGAGCCTTGACATACAACTCAAACAATGTTAATATTTCCTGAAATCAGCAAGAACTTACAGCCCAAAGATCAAGAACACATATTTTTCTACAAGAACATACATGCAAGTTAGATTCAAAGTAGGTAGCAAGAAGAACTCAGTAGAGGTGCCAAGTTATTTAATATAATTCTGCATAAAAGTAATTTGTTTTATAGTTCCCATTTACCCAAAACACTGGTTCATCAAACAATATGTTGATATAGCAGACTGCCATGGGCATGGTATCATTTAGGTGGATTATCTCTTAAGACATAACTGATAAGTTCTTTAACAGGTGATACTAAATAACAATTTTCGTTCAATTAGTACTTCTAACTTATTGACTGACCAGCCACATATGATAAAGACTAGCTCTTTTTTTAAAGTGCTGGTCATGTTGACCAGCAAGTTTAGATGATTTAAAGATAATAAATGCATTATTTCTGTGTTTTCCAGATGACAAATACTACACTGCTAATGCTGTGATTGTAACATTTATAATCAATAACTATAAGAAAAACAGCACATTCATTGACCTTGCCATGACGTGGGAGAAAGAATACATTCGTATTTTGAAAGATTATATGAAGGATGTTCCAGATAGCAATATATCAATAGCATTTACTTCAGAAGTAAGTCAACATTTACATTTAAGTATTTACTTATATTATTTATTTATTTACATTTTTATATCTAAATATTAAAATATTTTTATGATACCAACATCAAGTTGTGACTTGTTGTTAGTCATCATTTTTTGTGACATGCATTCAGTGTCTGTAAAAACGAACTTGTGACCATTTGAAAGGACTGAATAATAGTAATACCCTTGTAGTCTATTCTATATTGAATGATTTTGAGCAAAAAATATCAAAGACTATTTCCTCATGTTTCAGAGGTCCATTGAAGATGAATTGAACAGAGAGAGTCAATCAGACATTGCTACAATTCTCATCAGCTACATGATCATGTTTGTGTATGTCTCTATTGCACTTGGGAGATATAACAGTGTCTCCAGGTTACTGGTGAGTATTAGCATACAATGTTTGGGGTTGAGGAAGGCATATTCATGTTTGTGTATGTTTCTATTGCACTTGGGAGATATAACAGTGTCTCTAGGTTACTGGTGAGTATTAGCATACAATGTTTTGGGCTGAGGGAGGCATATAATCTCAGGAATCAGCTGGATTGGTGTCAGCTATGTGCAAAAATCAGAAAATTGGAAATACATGCACAATGCTAGACCAAATCAAAAGGAGGCAGTGTTGAAGTCCTGTGATTGTAAAGTTACTCATCACCCTTTAAATTATAAAACAATTCTATTGGAGTCTATGTATTGAAATGTTATCCCTCAAAAGCTAGGATATGCTGTATACATAGTAAAAGAGTCAATTTATGTTACTACAGGAGATGTCTGTATACAAATTCCTGGTTAAAACTTATTAAAGTATTAAAAAAGTATTACATATTGTTATACAAATAAATCAAACCTTAATCTTCAAGACAATTCCTGTTTCTTCTATTTCAGATTGATTCTCAGATCACACTTGGCCTTACTGGTGTGTTGATTGTGCTCCTCTCTGTATTTGGGGCTATTGGCTTTTTTAGCTACCTGGGGGTACCAGCGACACTGATTATCATTGAAGTGGTACCATTCTTGGTACTGGCTGTAGGAGTTGACAATATATTCATCCTAACACAAGCATTCCAGGTAAATTTGTTATGGTACACAATGGTATTTTCTGATATGGGCTAGAACATCATATTTTATATGCATGGCATATGACTTCAAATATAAGAGCAAATCAAATAACTTTGAATTCCACATATATCTAGTTATTGAAATAACACCTTAGTTCCTTATTTGATTTTTAAATTATGATTATTTTAATAACTTATTAAGTATCCTTTATAATTGTACGACATGCATGCCTCTGTATTGTATCTCATGTTGAATATTTTGTTTAACAGAGAGACGTAAGGAGAACTGATGAGACATTAGAGGAGCAGGTGGGACGTATTGTTGGCAAGATTGGACCAAGCATGCTCCTTACTAGTTCCTCAGAGGGTGTAGCATTCTTACTAGGTAAGGATATACAGAGGATATACAGAGAGTCCAGATCAGTAATTAAGCTATTCATGGGAACTATTAGCTTCATGGGATCAAATTGTTGAGCTGATAATGATGTGTGTAACCATAATTCTTAGTATGGTTGAGGGTGTATAACTACTAACTATTGGGCAATCTGATGTACGTAATTGCAGAATAACTTTTCAATTATAGTATTTGACACTATGTATGTATTTGTAAACTAGAACTATTAATATTCATTTTTTATAAAATATAAAATTGACAAGGATTCAATACATCATTACCTCTGAACGAATTTTCAGAATTGATCATTGCTGTTTTAGAGTTAAGGGATCTCAATCTTTTTTGTTCATCTTATAGGTGGATTAACCAATATGCCTGCTGTGAAAGTATTCTCCTTGTATGCTGGGATGGCCGTCCTCTTTGACTTCCTCCTTCAGATCTCCTGCTATGTCAGTGTATTGGCCCTAGATGCTAAGAGACAAGAGGTGAGGTTCTGAAGTTTTTCATATTGAATGAATTATAAAAGATCAAAGGATTTATCTTATAAGATAAACTTTTTATTAAAATTTAAGACCTCCTCTTCATAATGAAGTTACAAATGTTGATTTTAAACCTTATTTTTTTATTATGTCACCACCAAAAAGTGGTGACATATTGTTATGATCTCCGTTTTTTGTGATGTCAGCGGTTGGCGTCTATAACAATTCTTAAAATTTTCAATAACTTAACAAATACTGTTTAGACTGACTTCAGTTTTTTCAAAATCATCTACAAGTTTTCAGAAGTTCAAATCTGACTTTATATTTAAGATTTGACCTTCGGTGACCTTCTCAAGGTAAAAGAAGGTCAAAAAGGTCTTTTTTTCAAGTTTCTTCAAATTGACCTTTTTTTTCAAATCATCTACAAGTTATCAGAAGTTCAAATCTGACTTTAGATTTGAGATTGAGATTTGAGACCTTCAATATTTGACCTTCTCAAGGTCAAAAAGGTCTTTTTCAACTTGCATCAAATTAACCAATTTTTTTTCAAAATCATCTACAAGTTCTCAGAAGTTCAAATCTGACTTTAGATTTGAGATTTCACCTTCAATGACCTTCTCACGGTCAAAAAAGAACTTGCTTCAAATTGACTGATTTTTACATTCAAAATCATCTACAAGTTCTCAGAAATTCAAATCCGACTAAGATTGAACTAACAATATTGTGAGCGACATTTTGTTATGTTAATGCCTAGTACATAAAGTAGATAGAGAATAAAATGTTAATTGTTCTTAAAGGTTTAATGAGTTCACTTGATTCACTTGAAATATGTACTTTTAATTGAAATACATGTAAGTTTATTTCTGTCTGTAGAGAAATCGCTACGACATCGGCTGTTGTGCTAAATCAGACACCATGGAGGAATCTGAGAAAACTCCTGGCATCCTGTACCATGTCTTTGAGAAATACTACGCACCATTCCTCCTCCAAGATTATGTCCGTATCACTGTGGTAAGTTTAGACAGTCTGATGATATATGCATACATGCAGGCTTATGGTTCAATAACTATGGTTTCAGAAACCGTGTTTTATTATTACAACGTGTTCAACTTGTATCAAAAAATGATGACATTTTTAATGTTGTCTTCGATCAAGGTCAAGGTCGAATATCGAGTTGAGACCCTTGGAGCCAATCCTCCTTGAAACAGCAGGTAACTTGCTTGTTGCTAATGAAATCCATGAATATATACATGTGATATAATGTTATAAATGACCATTGCTTTATAGATGGTTGTTTTTATGGGATGGGCGTGTGCATGTGTCGGGATGATTGGCCATGTAGAGGTGGGACTGGACCAGAAATTATCCATGCCAGAGGTAACATACAATACCATTGTCCTAGTTATGAGAAACTATCTGCCGAGGTTTACAGTTCGAGAAATATAATTTCAAGTCAGTTAAATGAAGAGGCCTATAATTGTTTTGTAAGTGGGAAGAAAATTAACTTAATCAAATTGAAATATACTACAATACTATTGTAAATTAATAATAAAAATTGTTTTTTAGGATTCATATGTGCTGAACTACTTCAACAACCTAAATGAGTACCTCTCTGTTGGCGCCCCAGTGTACTTTGTGGTGGAGGATGGGCACAATTATACATCAAGAAAGGGCCAGGACAGTATATGTGGGGGCAATGGGTGTCCAGAAAGTTCTCTCCTAGGACAGATTTATACAGCTTCTAGAAGAGAGGGGTAAGCCAAACCAATTATGTTTCTGATAATGAAATGGCAGAATAAATCAATAGTTGATATGATATACCAAAAAAGCTTGTTATAGCTTGTCTTCCTTCATGTGATTCTGCATTTACATTATTCATATAATTATTGAATGTACAAGGAAAATGTTTTCATAAAATGATGACTTGTAACAGACTCTAACTCCCGGGGGGTTCACTGTATATAAACCTTGACGGGGATCCTCGGCGCACATGGGGTACCTTTTTTTTTGACATTTGGTATGGCAATGGACCCAAATTTTAGGATGTGGTATGAGAATGCGTTTTGAGGGATGGAAATGGTCAGATTTTTCAACTTTCTTGTATGAGAATGGTCATGGAAAATATGTTATCTCACAATTATGGTATGGAATACTCCTATTCGCGATAAGAGTTCAGGTGGTGATTTACATAAATATCTCCCATGATGCATCGCTTTGGAAGGGACAAATTTGCATTGGCCCGCCAAACAAGTCGATTACTCTGAACTTTTCTCAGCTTCTGATCTTCCATCAGCCCTCAAGCAAAGTTATATGATCCAATCTATTCAATAATCTGAAGGATAATCAGAGATTCAAAGTAACATTATTTATATTTTTTCGATCTTCGATGGCGTCTGAGCAATTTCTGGGATATCAGTGATGTCACTGGAATTGGACGGCATTTTCAACTACAGATTTCTTCGGATTTGGGGATTATAGTTCAAAAAGCTTTGTCATATATCTTAATTACATGCATACCTATCGTTTGTGCAAATGAACTCTGCATAAATGTTTAATAGAGTCGCAGTGCGGCATTGAAAATAGCACCCCTGTGTAATCCAATGGGAAAGAACCCGGATGTAGACGAAGTTGTACCATACACGAGAGCTCTTCAAACGGGAGGTAGCTAAACTGAACTAAATTAAACGTTATCGCGTATTGGTATATTGGTCTAGTAGTTACACATATCCTAGTATGAGGTTGTTTTGGTTCATTTCCTCAAAGATTGCCTTCTTCCTGGGACCTTCTTCAGTTTAAATAAATAGCTTTTTTCCTGGGAAATATTCTACTTTGGACCAGTCATGTCATTGGTATGGCTGTCAAGAAGTCTTTTCAAGGTTCTTAATTAAAATTCGTAAGCTTCCAAAATCACCTACATCTTGCTACCTGCACACACTACATACACCATCATCACATCTCATACCCAGTTCACACTTCCTCATGTCTCTACCTTTTACCTTGCTAATTATTATTCACTAGAGCAGTATGCCAAAATTCCTGTTTAAAGTTAATTACTTAATAAGTAAGCAATAAACAAAACTCAAGAATGTGTTATGATTAGCTTAATAGAATACATATCATGACATTATCCCCCTTTTTAAAAATATACTTTATGAAATAAAATATATAATATACTCATAGTAATGATATGTAAAATTACAAAAAATCTAACATATTTACAGATCAAACTTATGTCATCTACCTGTCTACAACTACTATTACATAAGTTCTTCTTCTGATATGTAAAAATACAAAAATGACTAACATATTTACAAATCAAATGTAATCTACATGTTTACAACTACTACTACACAAGTTATTCTTAAACTTAATAATAATCTCAAAATCTTCACACTAAATATAAGGATACAATATTAATCCTCTTAGTTTCACAATGGAAGAAGATACATTTCAAAATACTCCTCTTATGTAGTCATTTTTATGACTTCAATTACAAATACTTAGCACAATCCACTTCTATTTCTATCAGTAAATAAAGAAAATACTCTTACAACTACTTTTTATTATTTTATTATTTTTTTTTATTTACAACTTTACACTGTAACACCTATATGTATGTATGCATACCATCCTTTGTCTTATCTATATGTGTTTAGACTAATCTACTCAAAAGATCTGCTCCAATATTGTCTTTGCCATGGATGACTTGAACGGTGTATTTGTATTGCTGTAAAAACAGCGACCACCTCATGACACGAGAGTTCTTGTGTTTTGCAGATTCTAAATATAGTAATGATTGGTGATCAGTCTGAATAACAAATTCAGTTCCATAAAGGTACTTTTGAAACTTTGTTATACCCCACACTATAGCCAAACATTCTCGTTCAACGGTGGAATAATTTCTCTCCCTTTGGCAAAGTTTTCTGCTACCATACAGAACTGGGTGTAGTTTTTCTTCATGTTCTTGCATCAATATTCCACTAACTGCTACATCAGATGCATCCGTTCGAAGAATGAACTGTTTGTGAAAATCTGGAAGCTTTAGTATTGGTTCTGTACTTAGAATGTCTTTGACTTCTGTGAAGGCTGCATCATGTGTATTGCCCCACTTTAGTTTGTTTGGTAAACTTTTCTTTGTAAGATCAGTAAGAGGTGCTGTTATATCAGAATACCTTGGTATGAACTTCTTGTAGTATCCAACAGTACCAAGTAGTGATCTTAATTCTGTTTTGTTTGTAGGGTTCCTTGCTTTGAGCATCTTTTCAACTTTCTCATGTTGTGTTGCTAAAGTTCCTACTGCAACTCTATGGCCAATAAAGTCCATGTCATTGTATCCAAAGAAACATTTTGATGGCTTTACTGTCAGATTAGCTGCCCGTATCCTTCTAAACATCTCTCTGAGAATTTCCACATGTGTTTTCCATAATTCAGTGTGAATCAAAACATCATCGACGAAATTCTCTACATTTTCCATTCCATTTAGCAGTTTCCTCATCATTCTATTGTATGTAGCAACTGCATTGATGAGTCCAAAGGGCATTTTAACAAAACGCATACTGCCTAGTGGTGTGTTGAATGCTGTTTTATCTCTATCTTCTTCTTTCACATAAATTTGCCAAAAACCCTTGCAAAAATCCAACTTTGATTTGTAATGACTATTTCCAAGTTTGGCAAAGATTTCATCCTCATTTTGCATAGGTTCACAGTCAAACACTGTAACTTTGTTCAGTTTCCTGTAATCCATCACTGGTCTTCCATCTGGACAACCTTTTTTCTTCACAAGAAACATCTGAGCACTGTATGGACTATTTGCTCTTTCAATTACCCCAAGTTCCAACATCTCTAATATTAGGCGTTTTACAATTTCTACTGATTTGTGTGGTAGTTGAAAGGTTTGTCCCTTAACTGGTTTATCTGTTGTCAGTTTAATTTCATGTTCCACTAAAGATGTAGAGCCTGGCTTGGATGAAAAAATATCTTTGAATTCTTCTACCAATCTTTCTAACTCATCAGTATAACTGTGACATAAATCAGGATTGATGCTCACTTCTTTGTATGTTTCTTCCTTTTCACCTAGCATTTCTTCTTGTAGTATGCAGTCATTGTTCATTTCTTCCTGCTCATCATCTTCTATAACTGAAATGTTTGCAACTGCTTCTACTCTGACATAGTACTTTTTGAGCATATTGATGTGGTATGTTTTTAAGGTTCCATCTACATCTATCTTGTAGTCAGTAGGGTTTACCTTTTCTTTCACAATATAAGGTCCCTTCCACTGCATTAGCAATTTGCTGTTGTCTGTTGGTAGCATAACCAAAACCTTGTCATTCGCTTCTAATGACCTCATCTTTGCTTTCTTATCAAAATGCTGTTTGTATATTTCTTGGTTTTCACCAAGTGATTCTTTTGCTATATTGCAGGTTTCTTCTAATCTGTTTTTGAGGTCTAGCACATACTGGTATGTTGTTTTTGTTTCTTCATTTGGTTCATCTTTGCCCCAGAGCTCTTTGTCATTGGTCCTCTAACTGGCCTTCCATAGAGTAACTCAAATGGAGAGTAATTTGTACTATCTTGTGGCACTTCCCGGTATGCGAATAGAATTGGCTCTAAGTACCTATCCCAATCATTAGGTCTTTCGGCACACATCCGCTTTAACATAAGTTTCAAAGTACCATTGTATCGTTCCACAAGTCCATTGCATTGTGGATGGTATGGGGTTGTTGTGATTTGATTAATTGATAATAATCTACCCAGTTCCTTCATCAGTTCAGACACAAATTGTGATCCCTTGTCACTCAAAATCTGCTTGGGTATCCCAACTCTAGAAAATATTTGCATGAGAGCATCAGCTACTCTCTCAGTCTCTATGGATGGTAATGCTACAGCATCAGGATACCTAGTGGCATAGTCAACACATGTTAAAATGTGTCTGTTCTTGTTTCTTGTCATGGGATTTAGCGGGCCTACTAAATCTACTGCTACTCTTTCAAATGGAACTTCAATAAGAGGCATTTTCTGAACAGGCGCCTTTTTCAACTTTCCTTTCTGTGTAGTTTTTTGACAAATACTACACGACTGAACAAATTTAGTCACATCACTGTGTATACCTGGCCAATAAAAGCTTGCTGTGATTTTGTTCATTGTTTTCTTCGTACCTAAATGTCCTGCCATCAAAGAGTCATGAGCGAGTTTCATTACAGTATCTCTCAGTACACTAGGAACTACTAATTGCTTTATTTCATTGTTATCATTCACTTTTGGAGATGAATAGTATCTGTAGAGAACATTATTCTCTATTTCAAATCTGTATCTGCTTTTTCCAGGAGTACATTTTACATTCTCTTCTTGAGCATATTCTCGAAATTTATCTAAACTTCTATCATCATTCTGTGTTTGTAAGAATTGCTCAGGCGATATTATCTTGTTTATATAACCAGGCACCTTAAGCGGTCTCAGTGGTTTTTCACCTTTTGTTTTCATTGCTCTTGTTTCAACTGCACATGCTGGGATACAACTTTGTGTTTTAATTTCTTCTGTTTGGTTCATTGAAAGGGGCTCCTTGTTTCTCATTTCAGCACCGTCAACATTGCCTATAATAAGATCGCAGATTGGATTTGGAAGGCACAATGCTTCTACAATACCTGAAAGAAATGGAGTATCTATGCAAATCTTAGCTGTTGGTGCTTTTTTAATTGTTCTATCAATCATAAGATAATGTTTGTATTTTCCAGTGAACTGATTTGGTGCAACTAGGCTTTGATTGACTACTACCCCACTACACCCAGTATCTCTCAATACATTTACATATGATTCTCCTACTTTTCCTTCCTGTATATTCAGGTTTTCTGGTAAAAAGGAAATTGTATCACTACATGACCCTATGATAATGTTACAACCACTATGATTTTCTATAACCTGAACAGCAGCACAAATTTCATCTTCGTCGCTTGCATATGTCATTTGGTTGTTTACATCATCATCTTCTATACAGGCCATTGCAACAGCTTTTTGTGTTGATTCTTTAGGACAATCTTTTATCATATGCCCTTTGCCATTACAACCAAAACATATTCTTTCATTCACTTCTACCCACTTTTTCTCATCTGTTTTCTTTGTAAGATCATTTTTGGGTTTATTCGAAGATAATATCTTTGGTCTCATAGCTTGTAAACCATGTGCTGTAGTAAAGCGCTCTGATAATTGGACTACTTGATCAGCTGACACTGTATCATGTTCCCTTAAAAACATTCGCATTTCCCTACTACAAGCTGCCATGTACTGCTCTCGAAGTAGAAGATCTTTTAAGGCATCAAATGTTTTCTCGGTTTTTGCTAATTCCATCCATCTTGAAAGATATCTTTCTAATCTACACATGAACTGGGTCGGTGACTCCTTCAGTTCAGGATGACTAGTGAAAAACTTTTTGCGGAAACCGCTTTCAGTCATTTGATAACATTTAAGGAGTGCTTCCTTGAGCTTTTCATAATCATCACCAACTAACTGATTTGTTCTATTGTAAACATTGAGTGTTTCACCAGATAAAAGGTTTCCCAAATACATACAATAGTTTTCTTGTGGCCAGTTTTGACTAATTGCATACCTTTCCATTCTTTCCAAATATGCATCCATACTATCTTTCTCCTCATTAAAAGGTGGCATTTTCGGTGCCTTGGGAATTTGTTTTGATTGTGATAACGCTGTTGTTTTAGTTTCCTCGATTCTGAGTTGAAGTTCTAGTTCAACTCTTCTTGCTTCTGCTTGCATCTTTGTCATTTCTAGCTCATGTTTCATTTTCTCTGATTCAGCTTTTCTGCATCTTTCTTCATGTCTCGCATCTCTTTCTATTTTGTCCTCTTCGATTTGCTTAGCTTCTTTATATTTCAGTTCTGCAAAGTCAGCTAGGCTCTTTCCTGTATAGCCAAGTTCCTTGCCAAGTTCAATCAAATTTATGTATTTCTCTGCCATTTTGCTTAAATAAGACTACGTACGTTTGATCTCTTTATCCTAACATAAATTTTTAATTTACACCAAAACTACTATTTTTCGGTTAGAAGTAATGAAGTAAAATTAATGATCAATTGTGAGCATTTTCAACTTGTTTTAAATTAAAGCTATAGTAAACCAATGAAATATGCTCAGATTTTTCTTTTTAAAATTGCAAATGTGCTTATGAGCACCACTTATCCAAAAATTGGGCAATTAGAGTGTAGCATGGACTAAAAATGCTGATATAAATACTGTATTGATATAAGAAGTAATTTTGATTAATAAGATCCTGTGATCTAGATATTGGGAACCTTTTTAGTTAAATGTGACTAAACTTGTTACACAAAAACGTTGGTTTCTGTAACAAAGGAATCTTGTGAGCAATGATATGTAGACTAATACAGTGCTCTGTAATTTAAGAAAAGTGGAAATTAGTGCACTAGTGATATTCCTGTACAAGGAAAATAAGAAAAAATGGTTGGGCAATTAGAGACCAAAAGATATTGTAAACCACAATATTTGGACAAACAAATTAGACCAAGTGCTCAATAATTTTGGGAAAGTAGGACTTTGAGCACTAGAAATAAAACAGAGATAAAGGTTCCTGTACCTGAAATATAAAAGAAAAAAAAATTGTACAGAATGAGGACTAATAAATATTGTCAACGACAATATTTATACTAACCAATGAGATTGAGTGCTCTACAATTTTGGGAAAGTGGGACTAAGCACTCGAAATAAAACAGAGATAAAGGTTCCTGTACCTGAAATATAAACAAAAAAAATGTATGGAATGGGAACCAATAGATATAGTAAACGACGAAAAAAAAATATGGGGAATTGGAATTAATGAATATTGTCAACGACAATATTAAGGGAAGAGGAACAAATAAATATTGTCAACGACAATATTTAAAACAACAGCAAAAATCTTAGTGTTCACTAATTATAATCGGATTGGCGAAGTTGTGCACTTCATGTGAAAAGGATATTCTGTTTTTCCAAAAATTGAATCACTGCTAGATAATATATACTAAGACACTTTTCCGACTATACTACTACTAAGTACTACTACTACTACTACTACTAATGTACCTACAAGATAGTAGGTGATTATAGAACTTAAAGCTAGCAAATTCACATGTACACACTAGAACAGTAAGAAGGAACATACAATTACTTTAATAGAAGAGTAAGTACATACTTGATGTTTTCTTATTTGCCATCTTTAACTTGATCTTAGCTATTGTACGGACGAGCCCCCAGTTGTCAAGAAGTCTTTTCAAGGTTCTTAATTAAAATTCGTAAGCTTCCAAAATCACCTACATCTTGCTACCTGCACACACTACATACACCATCATCACATCTCATACCCAGTTCACACTTCCTCATGTCTCTACCTTTTACCTTGCTAATTATTATTCACTAGAGCAGTATGCCAAAATTCCTGTTTAAAGTTAATTACTTAATAAGTAAGCAATAAACAAAACTCAAGAATGTGTTATGATTAGCTTAATAGAATACATATCATGACAATGGCATTGGTCCTATATTTTGACATTTGGTATGGCATTGGTTTCATATTTGGGCATTTGGTATAGCTTTTGGGCACTATATCAGTTGGTATGGGAACACATCCAAATTTGACATTTTGGTATGGGAATATATTGATATCTGAGGGTTCAGCCTAGGACCCCCGCCAAATTTTGTACACAGTGAACCCCCCGGGCTCTATCTTTACTGATTGGCAGTCAGTGTCTGTAATAATTGTTACACTTTTATGAAGTGTAGAAACAGTTAGACTAATTTCTAAATATCTTCAGATTAACTGCAAATACTGTCAACACGTATACATGTTTTACTATGAATTATTTGTCTGTGTTTACAGAACAAGGATTGCCCATCCTGCTTCATCTTGGTTGGATGATTACTTTGACTGGCTGGCACCTGGTGGTAACCCTCAATGTTGCAGACAGTTCACTAACAAATCATTCTGTCCAGCAACAGGTGTGTTCAGTTCTTTATTAGGGATTGGGTCGATAAATTAGGAATCATTATCTAATTGTTGACGTGGTGTGATGTGACTATCTGAAAAACAACCCCTTTGAATCTAGTTTGTTTAAATATTCTGAAATCACTCCAACAATTCTTAATTTGATCATAAATTAAATCATTATGGTAGGGCTTAACTAATATTTGTTGTTATTTGCAGTGCCCCTGACTGGTGAGAAATGTACCAATTGCCCTGTACACTACTCTGGAGGGAGACCAGATTCTAAGGATTTCATACCTTTCCTGCCATTCTTCCTTAAGGATAACCCAGGGATAAAATGTGCAAAGGGGTATGTCAGTTGTTTGGTTGTAGTATGATTTATCATGATGAGATTTTGTATAAGATGTAGTCAATCGCTTAATTGCCACCAGCGTTATGTTTCATTAAAAATTTACTGTGAAATCTGGAAGTGTGCAATTATAAACGAAACATGTACAAATGTCTAGAGAAGCAATACTTTTGCTCACATAGTACCATTTTATTCATTTTATGGCCTAGTCACATAGCCCGGCCGATGAGGTTACGATGAGCCAGCGATGCAATTTTCACCGAACTCGGCCGAACACCGGCCGGACATCCTTGGCGTTTGTTGCTTAAAACCGCATCGGTGGTAGCTCGGTGAAATTTTAACTTCGGAGTTAAATTTCACCGGGCTCTCACCGAGCTCCCTCATCATGTCATCGCAGCCCCATCGTAACCACATCGGAAAACACGTCGGCCGGTGCACGGCCGAGTATCGGCCGGTGTCCCGTGCATCTGAGACAACCAGAGGACAAGGTTTTTTAACGGACAGCGGCCGAGCTCCGACCGAGCTCCGGCCGATGTGGGACAGAGCATCGGCCAGTCACTGTTCAAAGCCCGTTAACAACCCGGCCGGCGATCGCACGGTGTCCTGTTACCTGCTCGGGTACCGGCCGTATTCCTTCCGATGTCCGGCCGACCTCCGGCCGGTAGTTGCTGCCACATCGGCAGAAAAAAACTACCATTTTGAGACAGACTCCGTACGGTCACCAGCCGGTGTTCGGTCGGTCGCCTGAAGATGTCCGGACGGAGTCCGTTCACGTCACCGAGCTCTGCTTCCGATGAGGAGAGCTCGGTGGCACCAAAAAAATCCACCGAGCTCTACCGATGCCGGACATCGGCCGGGCTATGTGACTAGGCCATTAATCTTCACTTTTCCAGAGGCCATGCAGCCTACGGGACTGCCGTAGACCTGAAAACAAATGACACCCAAATAAACAGCACAAATTCAAGTACAACTTCCATAGGAGCAACATATTTCATGACCTACCACAGTATACTGAAAAACTCAACAGACTATATAGAGGCATTGAAATATGCTAGGAAGATCTCAGATAACATAACAGCTAGTATATTAGCTGAAAGACACAACAATATTCCTCCAGGGGAACCAGGCCATTATTCTAATATGAGTGTTACTGATAAAACATACAAGGTGTTTCCTTACAGGTGAGTACTTACTTTCTTACAATATACAGAGTGGGCCAAAAATAACCACCCAAGAAAAACTTAGGGACTCAATTGTTTGTAGCTAATATTTAAGTAATATAGACAGAAGAGCCGGGGTGATATTGTCAAATACACCCCGCAGGCAGGGCTAGTCACAAACGTTTTCTGTACCCTAATGACCGAAGGGAGTGAGGTGTTCGAAAACTTTTGTGCCTAGCCCTAAGGGGTGTATTCGACAATATTACCCCTGATCTTAGGTCTATATTACGATTCGAACATGAAAACTCACCAAAATGTTTCGAATATTCATTATGGTTCCCAACTTCGACGACCCGCTGTTATGACGTCACACATTACACGTATTACCAGGGGTATTCTTCGCGAATATACCCTGGGTGAAATGTTGACTTTGTTTACAGTTTATAGAAGGCGTGAATACAGTCATGTTCGAATGTTGTTTATATCATATCCCTGTCAGAATGCTCTTATTTGGTGCTTTGCTTAATGATCTTCAGAACTTTTTCGCTTGTAATTTCATGGGAGTTGAATAAGAGGGTCTACAAATGGGTTGGAACTGATTCCAACTGAGTTTCCTCTTGATTTGCTCTCATTTTAACATGATAAATAACCCAAATGTTCACAAAATAAATTAGTAACAGTCATGTTTTATAATGTGATATATTTAAATAATTTTTGTATTTTATTTCCAGTATCTTCTATGTATTCTATGAGCAGTACCTTACCATTGTACATGAGACCATAATCAACTTGAGTACATGTATTGGCTCCATCTTTGCCATCTCATTCATCTGCCTGGGCTTAGATAGGTATTCAGCAATAATCATCACCTTTGTGATTGGTATGATACTGTTGTCTATGTTTGGCTTGATGTTCCTGTGGAATATCTCTCTGAATGCGATATCACTCGTCAACTTGGTCATGGTGAGTTGATGATGTTTATTTGTTAAACATTATATTAGAAATAGGATGTTATTCTTATATCGAAATTGATTTGAAAGCAGATTATTTAAAGTGGAATAAAGTTACTTGAAGATACGAAGTGTGATTTACAGAATTAAATCCTTTGCAAAGGGCTGTGCAAAAGTCAGTCCATCCCAGTGAACAGATAGTACTACAAATATCAAATATTGATGTTAGGACATAGGGTTTTCAAAGATATTGTAACAGTCTATATTATATTATGTCAAAACTGTACCAGGAATGATTTTATTTTTTCAAATGCTATATATCTGTTTTTTGCAGTGTGTTGGTATATCAGTCGAGTTCTGTTCACATATAGTTCGAGCATTTGCGATCAGTGTGCATGAAACACGAGTGCTTAGAGCTAAACATTCACTGGCTCACATGGGAAGTTCAGTAAGTACTACCTGATTCTTCTGTTCAATTATCAAATCCTGGCAAAAAAATTTCAAATCTTTTGACATGTTATCAAAATATCCAAGAGAGAAAACCAGATCATAAATAAGAATTCTTAATGGTTGTTACAAAGGTCAAAGTAAGGGAGAATAAGAATTCTTAATGGTTGTTACAAAGGTCAAAGTAAGGGAACATGAAACATTTATTGAATTCATAACTATACAAAGTTTCTGTTAAAACCGATATTTTTTTCAGGTGCTAAGTGGTATTACATTAACTAAACTAGGTGGTATAATTGTGCTTGGGTTCGCACATAGTCAACTCTTCAAAGTGTTTTACTTCCGAATGTACTTAGGAATTGTACTGTTTGGAGCTACGCATGGCCTTATATTCCTACCAGTATTATTAAGTTTCATAGGTGAGTTTTATAAATTATAATGTTATTGTTTTCCAGTTTGGCTTTCATAACGTGTATTTCAGTAATAGTAAGTGTACATTTGAATTAAAACTATTTCCCATAAGATTTACAATATGATAACAATATGTCTTTATCACTATTATGTACATATATTTATATGATTTTAATAAATAAAAAAAAGATTGTGACATGAATTTCATGCTTTTGGGAGTAAAAGTAAAGTTTCTGTGATAGCAAACTAAACAACATTTGTCCATGTAGCTTCTAATTGCTTATAAGGTGCTAAGAACAGGCGTTGAGTACATGTGTTTGGTGATTGTACAAATGTACATAACATAACACATGGTACTGTCTGGATGTCTTTGAATATAGAATCAAAAACTTAATATCTGTAAATCTGTGTCCTCGATATGCTCCTAGTTGCTTCAGTTATTTTACTATTCTTTGTAGTGACACTAAATGATGTAATAATAGGCATAGCTAATTATGAGTGAACTGCCTCTCAAGCATATTTAGACTAAAACTGAAAATTATATCCCACAGATCTATGATATTCTCTACTTTGACATTCATTTTGTCTTTTCTATTATTAAATTTTGCCTCACCTATTTTAGTTCTTTTGGTCGTTGGATACTGACTGACTGCGCTCTTGAACTGACTGCGCTCTTGAACTGACTGCGCTCTTGAACTGACTGCGCTCTTGAACTGACTGCGCTCTTGAACTGACTGCGCTCTTGAACTGACTGCGCTCTTGAACTGACTGCGCTCTTGAACTGACTGCGCTCTTGAACTGACTGCGCTCTTGAACTGACTGCGCTCTTGAACTGACTGCGCTCTTGAACTGACTGCGCTCTTGAACTGACTGCGCTCTTGAACTGACTGCGCTCTTGAACTGACTGCACTCTTGAACTGACTGCGCTCTTGAACTGACTACACTCTTGAACTGACTGCGCTCTCGAATTGACTACGCTCTTGAACTGACTACACTCTTGAACTGACTGCGCTCTTGAACTGACTACATTCTTGAACTGACTGCGCTCTTGAACTGACTACACTCTTGAACTGACTAAGCTCCTGCTAAATGGATGCATGAACAATCGATGACCATGCTCTGACTGTGCATTATTTAGTTTTTCATCAATGTTCATTCTATTATGGAAATATGTTTGTTAAATGTTAGCCTTTAATATGCTGTTTGCTAATGCCTTGGTCACATTTGCTTCGATTTTCACTACGGCGCCCAGCTGATTGAGTATTTTGTTCAAAATTGAATACAATATTGAGCAAAACACTCAATCAGCCAGGTGCCGGCCGATGGATCGGAGCAAATGTGACCCAGGCATTAATGGGAGCCTTTATTATGTTGCAGGTCCTCCTATAAATAAAGCCAGATTGTATCAAGCCCAAAATAAATATTCCAGGCTAGAGTATGTCATATATCGAGTTAACATCTGAATATCTGCATTTTTGTTTTCTGCTTAGTTCTGCATACCTTATATAACATGTATAATGTTGTGTTTGGATTTATGCACCAAATGATGCTTTTAGGCACCAAATGCTGTTTTTCTCTTACTTGAACATTTGCCTTGATCTGTGACAAGTGGACTGTTTTGTAATTATCATTCAATTTTAATATTAACTTTTACATTAATATTTATTCTTTGGTCACTTGGTAACTACTAATTGATACTAATTCAATGAGCCTGATAAAGGCAATGATGGGTATTACTAATTCTTTAATTAATAATGATGGGCATACATACATGTATTATTCTTTCCCTAATGTAGTGCAACTTTCTCCAGCATAAACCTGCAAGCTTTTCGACATCACATTCTCTGACTTGAACCTTCCATGTTAACATATTTATCTTCTGATCTGAATAAACGGTATGAATTATAGTTTAATACTAGTGTGTAGAAATCAAATGACTTTAAAAGAGATATGCGATTTTAAACAAAAACATAGGCTACAATAACATTAATATACGCTCTTCATATCAGAGCATATTTAATAATGCATTTTCTTTTCCACTTGCAGGGCCTCCGATTAACAAAGCAAGGCTATTTGAGGCTTATCAGAAAAATTCCAACAAACATAGAGTGTCGTCAACAGAAGAAAGAGAAGCCTTACTCAAGAGTGCTATCAACAGTGATAGTGCAAAAAGATATGAGGCTATATGAGAAAATATTGAAACTAGAAAATCAAAAAACAGACTCTTATGTGCAAGGACTGGTTCAACTTCACTTGTGAAATTTAAGAGCTGATGACCAAACTTTCATCAGGGACTGAAAACTGAAATTAAAACTTCATATTGGGTAAGATATAACTCAGATGTTTCACTGATCTGAAATGGAATCAATGAAATGGACAAATGCTGGAAGTGATATTCCCAGATTGATTTGTATCATGCCGAAGGGATTGTGTAATACTAGCTATGACAAACATTGGTCAGGGATCAAGTGAAGATCATTTCATGATTTACGGGCAACAGTTCTGTAAACAGGGATGAGTGCACTCACCACAATGAAGTGTACAATACTAGAGAACAATTTCAGTACTACAAACCATGGTACAATACTAAAGTACAATATCATTGTTCTAATAATGGTAGACTACAGTGCCAGAGAACAATACCTCTGTACTAACTACACTGTAGAGTGTAGACTACAATACAAGAGTACAATATTAGAGCACAATACTTGGGTACAATACCAATATCATGTTGGCCTAACAGCATTGATAATCAAAATGTTTTCAAGTTACAGGAATGGATATGTATCAAAAGTTTTATGACAATTGAAGTAGTAGACGTATAGGGAATGTTGAGAAATATCTCTCAACCACCTGCTGTAATGTGGTATTTGTACTCCCCATCTTGGCTGTCCACTCCAAAGGAATACTGTTATATTCTGAAGAAAGAATTCAACATTCTTAGATATTTCATATTAACCTTTTTGTTAATACAATACACAAATATCTTGATCAAAAGCTGTTTTTATTAGTATACTTAAGGAATAAAAACCGAGATTTTATGATTTATGGCGTAATATATAACCGAAAATTTAATTCTGTTCATTGTTAAAAGACCGAAATCGCGTAGCGATTGAGGTCTTTGGCAATGGCCAGAGTAAAGTTTGAGGTCATATATTTGATGTAAATCATAAAATCGAGGTCTTTGTTACGATTCTAATATGATAAACTGTGAAGAAACAAAACTATTTGCATTAATGAATTTTAGTGGTCATACATACTCCAATACTGACCAGTAAATCAATTGTTCTAGCTATTGTGACGTCACGTGTCATATTAGAATCATATAGAATGCCAAAGATTTTGTTATTCTTCAAACATTAAATTGTCTGATTATGTTATTGACTCTCTATAAAAGATGATTAATATATTATTAATATATAATATACAATTTACGATGTGGTCAATGGGAAAGAGGTAAATTGCTTCATAATGGAATTATGCAAACTCCTAGCTCAGATATTAAAGAAATTAAGGCAATTGGACTAGAAGTATTGAGAGTTTTGCATTCAATGCAATGCGATGATCATAACCTCAGAAGGAAAGCTGGAACGTGCCATGTGAGTCTCAGCCAACATGTTTACAATCATAAACTGATAGCTATTAGGAGCATGGGCTTTCAAGAGTCTGTTGAAAGCCCATGTTAGGAGCCACCATTTGTTCTCAGATGATGATTATATAAACGATGTTGAACCACATGGCCATTTTCTACATTCCTCAAAGACCATATTGATAAGTCTGAGATCCAAATGGTAGCTGTATAATTATGTACTTGTATATATAGGCCTGCTGTACCATTGATCATTCTAATTAAAAGTTGTATTTATTGTGTTTTAAATGGCTGACTAGTAATATGTATATTCCATTGACTGTGTTGGAAATTTTATTGTTTTGGCACAATACACAACAATCTCAGTAGCAGTTTGTTCAGTCATTGTACCTCCTTCATTCTCTCTTCAAGATGTTTAATTTATTTATAATTTTGACCATATTCATTTATGTCGTTCCTGACACTAAATGTCATTAAATCAAAGTTAAATCAAATGTTCAGATATGTGTCACAAATTGAGAGTAAGCGATTTCATCTCAAGTTCAAGTGAGTTGAATCATTTTCCAGTAAGACTGAGTTTCCTTGGGATAAATGTCCATAGAAAGAGGTATCTGAGAGAATGTACTGAACAAACTGCTATCCAGATATGAATGCACAACTCAGGATTCCACTGTTGCTATTAGATTGACACTATTTATTTGAACAGTAACACTCTCAAGTTACTACACTTAGGTTTTACAAACCATTTTTCAGGCCTTGCAAAATACATATTATTAAAGGATGGGAAAATACTCTTTGAAGAAATCTTGATTTAAAATGTATTATTTAACTTTTAGTTTGTTTTTTTTTATAAAAAATGTAAATATTTAAAACCTTGAAAAAACAGGATTACAAAATGCTAAACATGTGAAATCTCCAGTAAGATACAGAGCTGTTAATTTTGTGTTAAGAGTGACTATGATATGTTAAATATCCTTTTCACATGAACATTTATCATTTTTACATGTAAATCAAACTCAAATCAGAAAAGTATATATTCCTCTATGGAAAGCGAAGGGAGAATTCCAACTTAGTATTTCTCTTGTTCTATGAAATTGTACATGTAATTCAATTACTCATTGTACATGTGTATGTTATGCTCCCTAAGATATCATTTATTCAAACTGTTTTAGTGATATTTTAATTTTGCTGTATTGTAAGGGGGTTGATTTTCACTATACCGATAAGGGGATACAAATATCTTGGTTAGCATAATAATAAGCCACTTGTGATCCAACCAATCAATTCATAGGTCATTATATCTGAATATGCACCGAGTACCAAAACCAAGACTGTTATTCGCTTCATGTAGTCGATGAGTGCTTGTATGCCATCTTAAATTCTATTAGAAGTATAAATTATATTTAGAAGCTGGTTATTGCCTGGGTCAATCACTGTTTATGTAAGCATCGTTTTCTTTACAAAAATGTAAATATGATTTCAATTTAGTATTTTTGTAACATATGAATTGTTTTAATAAGAATAAATGTGGATTGGAAAATTAATTCTGTGTGTGTGTTTTTAAGTCTACTAGAGGTCCTATATTTAGAGGTTATGTCACTATCGTGGCATATATGCCCGAGGTCTCAGTGATGGCCCGACCTTGGGAGGGACATTGATCTCTGAGAACCGAGGGCATATGTGCCACGATAGTGACATAAGCGATTTATAACATACCTAATATGATGATGTAGACTGGTCAGAGAGTACCGTTTTTTATAGAATTGACAAACAAATGGTTTGAAAATGATTGAAATGAGTAAAGAAAAATTGCTCGCGCAGTTTTATCTTGGATTGATTGGTTATGACGTCAGCGCCTTGACCAATCAGAAAGTTAGCGGGCGCAGGCTTTTCACAACTTATATTGGCCCGCTGTCTTGTGTTCACTTTACACTATACATCATCATAGGTATGTTATAATTAAACATTTGGTATGTGAATTTGACAAATTGGTATGGGAACATAATGATATCAGCAGAAGGTTCAGCCTAAGACCCCCGCCAAATTTTGTACACAGTGAACCCCCTGGGTGCGGATGTTCTAGACATCAGAGACAACAGAGCTCTCGTAGAATTGGAAGGGTTTCCCAACCAGTACTCCTGGGAGGATTTGACTGCCAACTGGCGCAATTTTTTAAAGAAACAGGTAATTATAAAACATCAAAAAACACAATACTAAACACTAATACAAGAATCAATGTTATGTCAAATCACCCCCCCCCCATTCCTTAACTTATACTAATACCAGAACAAATGTTCACCCCTGTCCCCCCATCAGCTGACATATGTATTTATATGAAACATGAAAGTTCAACCCATGAATACTAGTATGAGACACAAGAAACGGTTCATCTGATTCTCCCAATGTAATGTACCTTTCATGCTGATGCTATGAAATATTCACTCCCCCCCCCCCTTAATAGGTTGTTCTAATAGCATTGGTGTTACACACAGTACGCCAGTGCGTACCAAATGAATTGGAAAAAAATCAAAAATGTGTTAAAAATGCATTAATTTGTTTGCACATTTATTGATTATTCTGTATTTGTAGATTCAACTATTAAGTTTTATCAGAAAAGAACTATTTAAAGTTGATAAAAACGCTCAAATTGCATCAAATAATGTCTTTACAAAGACATTTCCCGGGGAGCATACCCCTGGATGCCCCAAGATGTGTGGCCTTTGGCCACGCGATCCACACATCCACAACTGGGCGTACCAACTCAAAATGTAGCCCTACGCCCATGAATAGGGGAATTTAAGGCAAAGATCATTACTAATATGGTACAATTATAAACAAATTCAAGTATAAGCTGTATATTATTATGTCACCACCAAAAGTGGTGACATATTGTTATGGTCTCCGTTTTTTTATGTCACCACCAAAAGTGGTGACATATTGTTATGGTCTCCGTTTTTTTTGCGACGGCGTCTGGCGGTTGGAGGTTGGCGTCCGGCGGTTGGCGTCCGGCGGTTGGCGTCCGGCGTCTGTAACAATTTCTTACAACTTCCTATAACTTAACAAATACTGTTTAGACTGACTTCAATTTTTTTCTAAATCATCTACATGTTCTCAGAAGTTCAAATCTGACTTTAGATTTGACATTTGACCTTCAATGACCTTCTCAAGGTCAAAAAGGTCTTTTTTCAACTTGCTTCACATTGACAATTTTTTTTTTCAAAATCATCTACATGTTCTCAGAAATTCAAATCTGACTTTAGATTTGACTTTAGATTTGACCTTCACATCTGACTTTAGATTTGACATTTGACCTTCAATGACCTTCTCAAGGTCAAAAAAGGTCAAAAAGGTCTATTTTCAACTTGCTTCAAATTGACTAAATTTTGTTTTCAAAATCATCTACGTGTTCTCAGAAATTCAAATCTGACTTAAGATTTGACATTTGACCTTCAATGACCTTCTCAAGGTCAAAAAAGGTCAAAAAGGTATTTTTTCATCTTGCTTCCAATTGAAAAAAAAATTTTTTCAAAATCATCTACATGTTCTCAGAAATTCAAATCTGACTTTAGATTTGACATTTGACCTTCAATGACTTTCTCAATGTCAAAAAAGGTCAAAAAGGTATTTTTTCATCTTGCTTCAAATTGACTAAATTTTTTTTTCAAAATCATCTACATGTTCTCAGAAATTCAAATATGACTTTAGATTTGACTTTAGATTTGACATTTGACCTTCAATGACCTTCTCAAGGTCAAAAAAGGTCAAAAAGGTCTTTTTTCAACTTGCTTCAAATTGACTATTTTTTTTTCAAAATCATCTACATGTTCTCAGAAATTCAAATCTGACTTTAGATTTGACATTTGACCTTTAATGACCTTCTCAAGGTCAAAAAGGTCTGTTTTCAACTTGCTTCAAATTGACCAATTTTTTTTTTCAAAATCATCTACATCTTTTCAGCAGTTCAAATTTGACTTTACAAGTTCTCAGAAGTTCAAATCTGACTTTAGATTTGACCTTTGACCTTCAATGATCTTCTCAAGGTCAAAAAGGTCTTTTTTTAACTTGCTTCAGATTGAACAATTTCTTTTTTCAAAATCATCTACAAGATCCCAGAAGTTCAAATCTTCAAAAACCTTCTTAAGGTCAAAAGGTATTTTCCAACTTGCTTTAAATTGACCAAATTGTTTTAGGTGGTGACATTTTGTCATGTTAATGCCTTGTTCATCCAATGTAAATGCATTATTTTATTATTTACAAGTCGTTGACACATATATACTTTCAATCTTATACATTCAGTCTGTCCATGATAAAGTATTTTAATGCAAATAAACATATAGCAGTTATGTATATATATATATTGCAGGAACATTCCTACAGCTCAACATGGGCAACAAAAGAACTGAGACAGAAGTCCAGCAACACCAGAGCATTGCCTCAAGATATATACAGGGTGGACCACCCTGTACATATATAATTGGGATATTCGAGAGGGTTGAATATGACAACACATTGTGCCTCAGGTATTGTTCATATAGTATTCGTATGACTTAAACATGTTATATGTATGTAAAACATGAAGGTCAGGATGCAAGAAGTATCAGAATATACTAGCCTAAGGATAACATTAAATAATCAGTCAATTATGAAAATAACCTTTCATGAATGAGTGAACTATCTCATAATGTACAATATTTAGTTTTTTATTTTCCAGATGCAATCATAATGGTCAAGGAGAGACCATGGCAATGCAATCCGGTAGGGGAGCTCCTCGTGCCTGGACCCACTCACATTTCCTTGACATTTGCTTTGACAAGAGGAAAGAACTGGAGTAAGTTTGACCTTTAGCTACCAATAATATTGAGGGAGATGAGTACTAGTGTTTCTATGGTCCTCTTTTCTATAGAATATTCCACTTTCACTTTGTCTTATACTTCCATTTCCTGTTCCTCAGGGTACACAAAGTTTAATCTCTCTTGCATTGATCTATTAAATGCATCAAGTCCATCTTCTGTGTAGTTGTTAGCTCTCTTTTGTCTCTCAACTTTGTATAATTTCCCTGGCAATTGATGATTTTCCCATTGCATAATCTGGAATCAGGTCAAAACAACATTTTAAGAACAAGATTTTTTATACAAGAATACATCTGTATAATGGTTAAGACATTTGGCAAAAATCTTAGTTTGCATTACATGAAACACTTATGCAGCTTAGAGTTTAATTTGAAGGTTTAAGAGTTTAATTTGTTTAATATGTAGGTCGTACATACAATTTCAAACTGGTAATTTCTTGCTTTTACCAGGAATATAATAATGATTAAAGTTTTCTGTTCATAATTTTTCATTTCAGGTGAATGTTAATACTTGAAATCAGTACCTGCGAGGAAACCTTGCTATTCACCCCATCCCTTCTGGTGCTGCTCTGGTAAAGCTTATGATGGACATGGTTCTTCTGTTCAAGACAGTGTGTTCCAAGGCAGTGAATATTTCCATATCTCTGCAGGAAGTATGGAATGTGGTAAACTAGACCTGTAATATATAGATCCAGAAAGGATATTGTACAATACATCATAACAAATTGAATATATACAAGAAACAAAAAGTGAACACAGATTGTTTAAAGTGTGCGCCAAAGTTTAAAACTGCGCAGGCGCACCGCTCTCGCTAAACTATATAAAGAGATTACCACGGTACACGATTCAGAGGTAAGCCAGGAAGGCGAACGATCTTCGTCTCGTGATGATTTCCCATATAATCGTAACCAGGGAAGTTTCACCATTGAAATTGAAAATTACTATTAGATATACATTGTAGATGTTATTTATGAAGCTATTTAGTGTTTGCATCAATCAAATGGCTCATTTTAAACATATAAAAAGTATTTGTGTTTTGTTTCCCAGGGAATTGTATTGTACGTAGTACACACATAAATAGTGTACATTATACAGTACTTGAATAGCCTGGTTTACATAATATTGAAGGGCATGCTGATTACATGCACACGAGTACATGAATGAAGGCCTAATATTGATATACGTAGCTTGCATACCTAAATAAAAAATAAACTCTTCTAATCCCCTAATGTAAACACGGCGGTATACGTAGCCCGATTTATCGGGGACTTTAAGGATTGCATTGGATATCACACCAAATCAAATGGATCACACATCATGTGTGAGTACATGTTAATGAAAATTTATATTCGTTTGAGCGAAGCGAATTAAGAATATAAATACTTTCTATATATGTGCAGTGAAGTGAAGAAAAGGCATGAATCATGATTTGGTAATGTAGCATGCTGTTCGAGTTGAGCAAAGATTTTTGTGTGTTAGGCCTTGTTTAGTGAGTGAGTTTTATGAATAGAGAAGTCATTCTGGGCTTGGTCGCCGAACAGTCAACTCCAAAAAATGTTAAGCAAAATTTTTTAAAAAGCTATTTCTGCATTCAAACAGAGTTGATCTATGATTGGGTCTGATGGGTTGAGAGGTGGGGTTATACCTTTCCATAGGGCATCGACTTCAGTCGAATAGCATCTTTGGTTTTAATGGTGATCAACCACCTTGATATCAATCAGGCAACAATTAAACGTTGCATACAACCTGTTTTACTAATTGTACAATATACCCGGCACAGTTTCTGCCATATGTACACGTATACTAGGATTTACAATGAGCAGGCCATGCAAACAGTCTTACAAAACGATATCTATTAAAAGTATTGTAAAGATCTTGTCACATGTACACATATACTAGTATTTACAAATAAAGGGTAGCGACCACAAGCCAAAGCTAGATCTAAATTAAAGCTGTGTTGTGTTGTGTATCATGCCGTGTACGTAACGTAACGTACAGAATAGAAAACATATTTTATAAATTGAGGATTGATTGAGTGAATTGCCAACTAGACAATGTCTCAAATAGTCAGAAATCCAAAGGAATAGCCTGGATAGTTTCTTTACTTGTATTTACACATGCACTTACATTCCAAAGTGTCTGGATGGTTTCAACGAACAGTCTAAAAGTCCCATTTGCCATATGTTGTTGCTGTCTTCCAAGTATCTGAAGACATGAATGTGAATAAATGTAAAATTTACTAAATCAAATATATTTTAATATTTTTCTATTAGATAAGATATATGATAAATCATTAGGATATTTGTTAGGATATCCTTAAAAAGGGACTGAATAGATGTAAGGGGTTCATGGTAAACCAATTCTGTTCGTTCTCCCAACAAGTGGAAGTTGCAGACATTGACATCGGATGGTCCAATCATGTTGTTTATGGACCATCATGATATGAGCTCATTTTTGAATCATTACATTTTCCAACAAGATGGAGCTCCAAGTAATAGATCCCACAAGAGTGTCAAATGTTTAAAGGAATCAGTCCCTTAAGGACAGAATTGTTGAGAAGTGGAATTCATTGTCTCAACATGTCAATGATGCTTTGACCAGTTTGGCCAAAATTGAGGGCTATAATTGATCAAAATGGTGGCAAATTAAGCGTCTGATTATGTAAATCAAGTTGACAAAAAACTTGGTTTTTGGAAGTTTTCGAAAACCCGTTTTGAAACGAAAATGACATCATTTATATTATGGATGCTGGTTTACAGGCATCATAATAAATTTGAACTTATGATATACCAAATCAAAGATAAGTAAATTCCCTATCCACTGGTATATAATATGACATGTTTTCATGAAGAATATCAATATTTATTTTTGAAATATGAGTGTCCCATTTTTGAAACCACCCTGTAAATGAGAGATGATCAATGTTTTTAAAACATAAATCAGGGACATATTACAATTTTTGGCAATTTGAAAACTTCTGATTCTTTACAATCACTTTATTTTGAGATTTGAGTGAAACATACTCCAACACCAGCATTCTTTAATCTTTCCACCAGAAGAGCTTTATTCCCATTAGTTGGTAGATCCCTCCTGGCACATTCAGTAATCAGCTGCTGTTTGGGCAGGACATTGACTGGTTCCAAACACCGGTCTTCGATGTCTCCAAGGACATTTTGCAAGTTGATCGCTGTCCTTACCTTGTGTAACTCATCACCTAAGAATGTATAGTTTATTTATAATTATATAGTTTTTCATTGTTACAAGATACATGCCCTTGATATCAATTTTAGTACAGTGCAACTAGTTTTCTCATCTTAAGGTAGAACTAGATACTGTAGAAGCAGAAATTATAGCGGGAACATACTATAACGAAATATAGGCCTAGCCAAAATCATAAAACGCGAAAATAAATTATAGCGTTTTAAGGCTGGTTTATTTTTCTATTTTGGGTTCAAATCGCCAGAAGGATCGGAGAATTTATTTTTATTTTTTTCGTCTTCATATTTTTTCACCTGTGAAGGTCTAGATGTTATTATCATGGAATTAAATGTAACGATCGAAGTTAGACGCTATTTTTTCGCTATAATATCTTCCTCGTTATAATTACTGCTTCTACAGTATATATGCAAGCAACATCTACAGCTGACATTTTAATGATAAAAATGGTAACCATAAAATAGAAAAATAGTACATTATTGTAAAAATCTTTAGTATTCCTGAACACATTTTAGTTAAGAAAACATTAATCAACATGATCAATGTACTTCTTTCTTTTTACATTTTACTACTGTTTCAAAAAGAGGCTCTAGGAGTTTTCTTATCTAAGAACAGTATTATTTACAATATCTGTACATCGTTACTGATATGGGAGATTGATACGATATAGGTATGATTTAAGATTTATTTACCATTTAGGGAAGAAGATTTTCGAATGGATTTGCTGCCGACTGTGGCTTCCTTGTCCTGCCAGAAGTGGAATTTGACATCAAATTGAGCATTTCCGCGCAGAGTTGGTCTTCTAAGTTTTGTACCATGACCCATACAATCACCTTCATTAAATTAATCAATTTAATTAAGTTATTTTACACTTTATATAAACTATATATATACATATTATTACATCTTTGATTTTGACTAATGATGCCAAATACTCTCAAGGTTCAAGGTAACCTCAGAGTAAATTTTCAGGAAAATTAGTATTTTATGATTTAAACTTATACTAACCAACACTGCCTTGTCAGCCACTCTATGAATAATTTATTGGACTAACTTATTCCTTACCTGGTTCAGAAGCTTTTCTGCGATTCTCATATCCATGTGTAAGGTGTCGGGAATTATGGAGGAGAATTCAATCGGAAGGAGGGGTTGCCTCACATGGCGGCCCCTTTCGGGGGATTTTCCACATTCAAGTAATGGCAGATACTTTGAAGTGTCCTGCTCACCTGCATGTACCATATTAAATTATGTGAAAATTATCCTAATAGCCCCCATATGTGCCTTCATTGTCCAATGAGTCTTAAGTTATTTCCTGTGCCAATGATATTTTTTGTAAGTGAAACAGATACGAAATGGTTACTTTTTCACACAAAGTTTACATTTATGACTATCCTGTATTTATATTAGCTTCATTATACTCAAATGAAATAAATATTAACACTCACTTCCAAAGTTGCTGATTTCCGCCTTTGTGCAGTGACACCATATACAGAAATATTTGGAATTGGCGGGACTGAGGCCCATTATGATGGCACTATCCTTCCAGTCACATTCCATTTTCCTGTTAAGACATGTAACAGTAAAGTCATATAAAAATTAATAATGATCCTTTAATACTGAGTAAGATCTTTATCTGGCAAAATTCGGTTACAATTTCAAATATTAATCGGAAATGAAACAATTGCTTATGATAACATACAATACAGACTTACTCAATTAATTATTTTTCTAATAATATGGTTTACTTCTATATTTCATTGTGAATTTTATTTATGAATGACTCTACATCAATGCTTTGAATAAGTCCTACCAAAAAACTGAAATGTGTCGAGCTCATCAAAATCCAGGCCATCTCCCTTTAACAAAATCATATCTTGAAACGATGTGTTGCCACACATGGCCTCATTTTCCACATCCTCTTTTCCTGAAATCAAAACTTTTTGCAATTGCCAATTCTACAAACATTTGACATAAAAATCATCCATGAATAAACTTTAATTTGAGAGCTCAATGAAGTAACCAGCATGTTTAAAGGGAGTATCAGATCTTGGGAATGCTCTTAACCATGTTAAGAACAATTGTTTCAACTTAAGAATATTTTTGACTTATACCATTCCTTGCAATTCTTGTTATCTAAAAATCTCCATCAGAGTGCATACTTTGTTTGATGAAAACAGATGTTTGAAGACACAGGTCTGATTCTACCTTTAAATATCATGAGATAAATGTACTTGGAAACTAATATACAAGATTATCCGACACTTAGTGTACTAAATGTATAATAACATTAAAGAATAAATTTGATATTTATTGGCAAAATGAATAACCAGAGGATATCGTAACGATATACTCCGGGCAGAGGATATCGTGACGATATACTACCCAATATGCGGAGGATATTGTGACGATATACTCCGCTTGTTGATTTCATGCCAAATTGACTCTATTTGGCATGAAATTCATTTTGCAATGATATAATAGATTTATTACACTTCTTGTAAGTGTAGGATAATAAGAACATCCTATGATTTTTTTCAGAATATCATTTTAATCTACTCGGTGATATTGATATATGAAATATCAATATCACCTCGTAGATAAAAATGATATTCCTCAAAATCATAGGATATCCTATAAATATACCTTAGGTCCAGTGACTATTGGCTAGTAGGAAAACAGAAAATAGTCTTGCTGCAATTAATTTCAAAAAGCTACTCATGCTAATCATGCTATTCGATTTTCTTTAAAAGATCTATCAATAATAGATCAATAATGTTTATTGTTTACTTAATGTTTAATGTTTATTGTTTACTTAATACTGTACCTTTATAGACTTTATAAACTTAATACTGTTCCTTTATAAAAGTAAAATGGGTGTTCTGTAGTTAGGTAAAGAGGATTCTGGCTCTTGACACTAAAGGCCCCTTGAACAGAATTGATGTTCATTGTCAGCTTTGCACCATCCGTTTCCAATATAAGCTCTACTGTTCATATCTAGCATCAGTGCTTTCTTGACAATCTGTTTCAGGTACCGCCTAGCACCATCTTGACATGAACTCTGGAAACAAAAATAAATTAATTCTTAACTATCTTGAATTGATATATTTTGAATTTTCTGAACCCAGAATTAGAAAAGGATACAATATTTGTAATACACTATAAATTGCCTTTCATTTGAGTATAATGAAGTTATAGCAAGATCTCAAAATTAACAAAATTTCCTATTTGCCCCATCCCTAGGGGTAGTGCCAAAAACTTGGAGTAATATATGTCATAAAGATTATTTGGATAAACTACCCAAATTCCAAAAAGGAATACTTGAATTACTTTGGTTAGAAATGCAATAAAATACCATCATCTTCAAAGCTAAGGCCATCCAAACTTTGTTGGCATATTAACTCGGCTTCATTATGCTTCAACTTACAGATTATACTTCATATAATTGTGAAAAATAACCAGTTTTGTGAAAAAGTGTAATGCATTGTAAAACTTTCGTTCCGGATATGAAAGGGTGTCCCGAAAGTATGCCCCCCCAGGCAGACATATACCAATGTCTCCATAGTATGTGTCATATACATTTTAAAGTTTCGCAAGGATCCTGCCATGACCGTGGTAGTGTTATCATGAAATCCTGGTATAACCGTGACAATGTACAGTTGGGGACAAAAATAAATGACAGGTCGATTTTCGATCACCATTTCCTAATTATGGTGGTCTGAAAGCCCATAATTTCCAATATTGTCTAGATATATATCCCTTAAAATTTGTATATTTTACATTTTGTATAATCTCATCCACTGATATATGGCCTCTTGTAAATTCTCTTATTTTTAACATGGGAAATCCTCACTTCAGCAAATCCACCTGTCATTTATTTATGTCCCCAACTGTAATATTATATTGCAAGGCCTGTCATGACCGTGGTAATATTAAAGCCTGATATGGCCGTGACAATGTTTACGTTCTTGAATGAGATTAGAATTATAGTTTATGGAAATAAATTATGAGTTAAGTAGTAGCAGTACTACAGTAGTCTAGATTTACATATTTAAGGTAGATAAACGATGAAAGGAGAACCTCCGATAAGGAGAGCTTTTTAGAAGGACATTGCTTTTTTATTCTGGATGTGATAATCATGGAAGTTTAACACTACATCAGAGATGATCTTAGATATTAGGTGATCTTAGATATTCCCAAAACAACTTGTGTGATATAGAAATTGCTTTTTTAAGAACATTTTTTGCAAGGCAATGAACTCGTTTTTTAAGGTTAGACTCTTTATTTGTGGTTAAAATCCGTGTATGGCCTGATGGGATAGGCACAAAGTGTCACAGTTGTAAGATACCTATTTATCTGAACTCTCAGAAAATAAAAAGAAATCAATGGGCGTTTCCCTAGAAATATGTTTTTGAGACCTTTTCCACTCATGAGAATGACGGAATAATAGAACCAATTCATAAAAAATTCTTAAAATATATTTCTGGTGGAGCGCCCATCGATTTCTTTACGAATACTAAGACTTTGCTTCATTATGTTACTTAGCCACATTCTATTTTGCTCGTACAGTAAAGGAAAAGTTATTGATTTTAAGCAAAATGTAACGGTTAAATATGGGAAATTGAATTATATCGATTCACAAAAACCGTTCTTCAAACGCACGTTTTAATAATTTGAAGAAAATATTTCAGGATGTATAAATTCACTTCATTTGTAAAAGTATGTATGTGCTTTTACATTACCACAGTCATGACAGGCCTTGCAACCATTGTCACTGTCATATCAGGCTTTAACATTACCATGGTCATGACAGGCCTTGCAACCATTGTCACGGTCATATCAGGCTTTAACATTACCACGGTCACGACAGGCCCTACTATAGCATTGTCACGGTCATATCAGGCTTTAACTTTACCACAGTCATGACAGGCCTTGCAATATAGTATAGCATTGTCATTTGTCACGGTCATATCAGGCTTTAACATTACCACGGTCATGACAGGCCTTGCAATATAGTGTAGTATTGTCACGGTCATATCAGGCTTTAACATTACCACGGTCATGACAGGCCTTGCAATATAGTGTAGTATTGTCACGGTCATATCAGGCTTTAACATTACCACGGTCATGACAGGCCTTGCAATATAGTGTAGTATTGTCACGGTCATATCAGGCTTTAACATTACCATGGTCATGACAGGCCTTGCAATATAGTGTAGTATTGTCACGGTCATATCAGGCTTTAACATTACCACGGTCATGACAGGACTAGCAATATAATATAGCATCGTCACTGTTATACCAGGCTTTCACGATAACACTACCACAGTCATGGCAGGATCCTTGCGAAACTTAAAAACACTTAATAACACGGTGACGGTTGTGCCAGGCGTAAGTCTTGCAACAGATAGGGTGACCTCAGCTTGACCCCCCAACTTAATTCCTGTGACACATGAAGAGATTCATCCCTTTCTTGCAAAGCAAGTGGAAGTGCATTCATCTGTTGCCCAGATGGCAGAATTTTTCTTCGGAAATACCCCCATCTGTCATTTATGCCTAGTCTAGCTAATCTAGTTCCAGAACTTGAAAATTCTGCCATCGTGAAGGTAAATTGCAAATAACTGCTCAAATTTTAACTGAATAATGAAGATTGATAGTGCTCACTGTGGGTTACTCGAGTCTCTAGCTAATTCTCGCGATCGTGGCCTTAGAAGAAGGTAAACTGTGGGTATTTTTCACATTCAACCAAATATTTGCGAATTTGTATACTCCCGCCATAATTAGTCAATCTTCCGGTACAAGTGTACTTAGATCTAGATTTGCGCCCTCTATAATTTCAGTATGAAATATACTTGCGACCATCTTTCAACATTGATTCCGTGATCTTCTTGGTTTTAAAATCACAACAAGGTATGTATATAGGTATATTTGATCAAATGCTAATGCTTTACTATTAGTTCGACATAATTTTACACGAATTAATTGCTTTATGATCTCATAATACGCCATTTCAGACCAGACTTCTCTATTATCGCCCACAACCAATGACACAATTCACTCCTAGAGTCCATTTCACTGCTTCAGTTCGTCAGTAGAACGGCAAAAATAAGAAATTGGGAGACCATTGTGCAATAATATGTGGAAAAGTATATTCATAATGTACATGAATGACATTTGTATATCTTGGATTGCTTCTAGTTTGACTTATAAAGTGTGTGGCCTCTTATATTTGGATGTTTCTCTGCCATGTTATTTTCAATAAGATTAACATGGCTGAAATTCTTTAAATTACAAGACGACACAGGCTTATTGCACAAAAAACTAAAAAATCTGAAATATACAAATGTCATTCATGTACATTATGAATATACTTTTCCATATATTATTGCACAATGGTCTCCCAATTTCTTATTTTTGCCGTTCTACTGACGAACTGAAGCAGTGAAATGGACTTTAGACTATCATGGGCTTTCAATGCCCATGCTCCTATGCAGTGTCCCAGAATAGCACCACAGTTGGCACTATCTATCTTCAGATATTCAGATATTAGATTGATATTAGCCAAATCTGACATCGTTTGCCTCACCCCCTCAAGCCATCTTTATTTGACATACAGTTGGGAGACCCTATCTGTTGCAAGACTAACGCCTGGCGTAACCGTCACTATGTTATTCGGTGTTTTTTAAGTAGCGCAAGGATCCTGCCATGACCGTGGTAATGTTATCGTGAAAGCCTGGTATAACCGCGACAATGCTGTATTATATTAAAATGCCTGCCATGACCGTGGTAGTGTAATCGTGTAAGCCTGGCGCGACCGCAACCTTTATATGACATTAATGACCTCCATGTTTCGCCTGTTGCTGTTGGTATTTTTTATGGATAAATCTTATTAATTGATCATTATAGAAAGTATATGCTTTCGAATCGAAGCTCCTTGAATGAGAGTAGAGATATAGTTTGTTCGCAAATTATTTATGAGTAAAAATTAGGGTTTCGTCGTGAAATTAATACACATTTTTAGTAGTCTTTATTTACATTTAAGGTAGATAAACACGAAGAAAAATTGTCATTACGATGTTCTCATGCTACTTTAAATACAACCACGGTCATGAGAGGCCTTGCAACTATTGTCACGGTCATACGGGCCTTTAACATTACCACGGTCATGACAGGCCTTGCAATATAATATAGCATTGTCACGGTCATATCAGGCTTTAACCTTACCACGGGCCTTTCAATCATTATGACAGTCATATAATATTTACGGCAATATAACATAGCATTTCAATCATTATGACAGTCATATAATATTTACGGCAATATAACATAGCATTGTCAAGGTCATGGCAGGCTTTACAAGCATTGTCACGGTCATACTGGGCTTTAACATTACCATGGTCATGACAGGCCATGCAACCATTGTCACGGTCATACGGGGCTTTTACATTGCCACGGTCATGACAGGCCTTGCAATATAATACAGCGTTGTCACGGTTATACCAGGCTTACAAAATAACACTGCCACGGTCATGGCAGGATCCTTGCGCTACTTAAAAAACACAGAATAACATGGTGACGGTTACACCAGGCGTTAGTCTTGCAATAGATAGCATGTGACAGTTGGGGACATAAATAAATGACAGGTGGATTTGCTGAAGTGAGGATTTCCCATGTTAAAAATAAGAGAATTTACAAGAGGCCACAAATCAATGGATGAGATTATACAAAATGTAAAATATACAAATTTTAAGGAATATGTATCTAGACAATATTGGAAATTATGGGCTTTCAGACCACCATAATTAGGAAATGGCGATCAAAAATCGACCTGTCATTTATTTTTGTCCCCAACTGTATTTACAGTCTGTTAACTGTTAAAAATAATAACAACATAACTTCGACATATGAGTGTTACCTGATGAATGGGACCCTCACGTGCCTTCCAAATGGTAGTACACGAACTCTAGTGTAACTACATCAGCTTATCTTTCCGTCCGATCAACAATAAGTACAGTTATACAAGAAATGTAAACGAAGTGAAAATATTCCCAAAGATTTTCCGCCAACATAGGGACTCATTTTTAGGTAAAATCCCTGATTCAACGATGAAAATTAACGAATAAAGTAGTTCCTGTTTACGGGACCATATTCTTGCCAACTTCAATGGTGTGTATAGTAGGTTTAAGTGTATGCACTATGGCCATTTGAGGTATGTATGTAAAGCTGAGGCCAAGTACTTTCTAAATGTGCCATTTTTAGAAAAAAATCTCAATTCATTTACTACTAGAATATAGGACTACACTTATTTTATATGTCAGTTTTCAATTTAGTACATGTTTCATAATTGAATCTAATGTATTCATGCTAAATGTGTCAAATAAAGATGGCTTGAGGGGGTTCACTTTGGCAAATTTGGCCAAAAATCACACGAAAAGTGGTCAAAATGGTGAAAAAGTGCATGATTTTGAAAGAATTTTTGGCCATGGGGGGTTCACCTGAACCCCCTGGCTACGGGCCTGACATGTATATCAGTATAAATACTATGTAGATTAAGTTTGATCACTGTGCTAACTTTATTTAAATATGAATTGCATGGTCTTCAGATCCATAATAATTCTATACATATGAGATATCTTACGTTCATATTTGAGAGCACATTCAAATTAAAGATCAATGTGTACATGTAAATTCAGGGATTATTTCCATTCTTCTATTCGAAACGAAATCAAATTTGTAATTATTGAGAATCTTCAAAAATCGATTCCTATTTTTATGTTTTTGTGAAATATTTATTTTTCATCGGTCTGAGAAATAAAATTTGAGAGGCCTGTATGTACTTGGTGTACATGTAGCTATTCCACTGCTTCTTTATGCATAATTGTGGCAAAGATCCTTCATCAAAGATTCTTTCTTTTGTCTCGATCACAACTTTTAACACATTCTCCGAAAAGTTTGACTCAATGTCATGGAAGAATATTTCTGAAGTATTCCTAGAAAAGATTTTGATTTTTAGTTATATATTGTTCTAATAACTCTGATTAACTTTTCAGGCCATCAGCATGACTGATTGTGTTGATGTCCAAAATAAACCAACTGAAACAGTTGAAGACTCGATGGCCATCTGTCCTCCAGATTCTGAGCAGTTAGAACAGAACATTGAAGAAAAGACTACATTGATTGAAGTGAAATGTGAACAACCTGAGTATGATGAACATACGGAAGAGTCCCTAAATACAGTCACTGTGTACCAGCCGGATGTCTGGCAACAAAAGGTTACGCCACCTCCAAGAGCAGCCAAGAGGAAAGCAAGAGACAAATGCAAAAAGATAGCTGTAGATGATTCAGGTATAGATGTCTCTGATCGTACTTTCAGTGTGCGTTCAACATGTAGAAGAAAGCATAAAACATACTATTGTGAACATTGTACATATGCAATTGGAAAACATGATCTCATGCAAAGTCATTATAGAACGGAACACCCAAAATTGGCCAAAATGCACAAATGTACATATAAGGGATGTGATTATTCATGTAACTGTCGCAAGTCCATCCAAGCTCATATATTAGCTATACATAAGAACGTCAAGTTCAGGTGTACACACCCTGATTGTACATTTGAGACAAACAGCAGAACTAAACTGAGGTATCATACCAAATCTCAACATTTAGCTGTGGAGGAATTTAAACCTTGGAAGTGTGATGAATGCGAGTTAAGATTTTGCCATGTTTATGATTTGAATAGACATCATTATGTACGCCACATGCCGGAGAAGCCATACTCCTGCGATGAAAAAGACTGCAATTACAAATGTAAATCAACTTGGGAATTGAAAAGTCACAAGTCACAAAGTCACAGTGATATTAGACCATATAAGTGTGGACAATGCGGATTACGTACCAAGGTTCTTTCAGATCTTCGAAAACACATGATAAGACATTTGAATGTTCGAGAACACCAATGTGGTATTTGTGATAAGAAATTTATTTGTGCAGCAGATGCTAAACGACATAGGGATGATATACATAGTGATTTACAAATAAAATGTGAATACTGCCCCTATATTGCCAAATCAAGAGCCAAATTTAGAAAACATTTAGAAAAACATGGTTCAAGGTGGTTCAGTTGTGCTCACTGTTCTCAGAAGTATCATTCAAAATCTTCTCTCAAACAGCACATAAGAACACATGATCCGGATCGTCCCTTTCCTTGTCCCATCTGCGAGGAATACGTAGCAACTTCTGTATTCACATTAGTTGTTCACATTGGAAAACTTCATAAAGATTATCGGTACCTGTATGAGTGCATTGTCTGTAGGAGATCTTATAACAAAAGTTGCCAACTGAGGCAACATTTTGAAACTGATTTACACAAGATGACTAAAGCAGCTGATCCCGCACTAAAGGATGAACCAGATGATCTGTATAAAGGACTCATGGAAAAGCTTTACTCAGTCAATGGAGTAAAGAAAACTACTAAGAAAAAAGAGAAATACAAATGGGCAGACAACTTAAAGGGCCCTCGTCCCAAAATCAGTCCTAAGTCAAATGATTTAGTCAATGGTACATCCAAGGCGATACCTAAGAAACCTCCCAGCCGCAAGAGGAAAACATGTGAGAAGGCTACAAAATCCAGAAAAGGAAATACTCGCAATAAAAAGAGAAAGGGACAAATGTCTAATGAAAAAAAAGATTCTCATGTAGGAACTGTTAAGGAAGAATGTGAAGATACACCTATACATGATGAAAGCAAAAGAAAGCGGAAATCCAATAACTGTTATGCAACTGCAACTGAGAGCACTTGTGAAAATACTGATCAAATGGATGTACTCTCAAATGGTCACGAGAGCCATCCGACAGAATCAAGTGAAAAATTATTATCTGATTTTGTGAGCAACGCAGATGTAGGAACTCTTGAGAATGTGGTTGTTAAGATTGAGAAAGATGATGGTGAACAGGAAATGTATGGTTTCCAAGTTTTACCAAGTGAAACACTGGAGCAAAGAGAGATAGACCCTTTAATGACATAGTCATTACCTCAGTTCTAGTGAAATATACTATCATGTCACATTGTGACACTATCTAAATTAACTTTATTTTTGGTTGATATGAGGTGAATACCAAGTGGACCTTTTGGACTTCCTGCAATATCACTTTGAAATAGAATGAAATATTTGTTTTATTGAATAACTGTCAAGTTTACCATATTCACGTCATTATTCATTTGTTTAACATTGATTTATACATTCATGGAAGATGATAATTAGAAAGTTCACAGCAATAGAAAATCAAGGTAGAAAGCGACATAAAGTAAATCTACTTCTTTATTTATATTTATACAGATCATTAGCAACAGTGAAGAAGGACATACGTGAAGTACTGGCTGACCCCAAAAATTGACACTTATTTTGAAATAACTTATATATTATATGTTCAATTTAATTGATGAAGATAGTCTGTCAAAATTGAGAAAGTTATTCCAAAATCAGATTGTTGCATATTTTGGGTCACCTTGTATTTTCAAATTTCTTCAAAGATTTGGCTTATATTCTATCAAAACACAAGATGTCCACAAAGTCTTTTTACACTTTACATAGGCTTTGTATTGTAATTGTAGAGACTTTATGGACACCCTGTATATGAAATGTAGATTTATAATTTATTTTCCACAGGTGAAGTTTCAAATATACTCGTAACTTGTAGGATACAGTATACTACTTTTCTGTCACCAAGAAGTTGTGACATTGTTTTTGTCACCATTTGTTGTGATTCAGTGCCAATTTCAGTATAAATGGCAAATTGTTAAACATGTGAAAAATATTGTCATACCTATGTGTTGTTTACATTCATTATACTGAGCCAAAGCAATATTTCTTTTTGAAGTCCATCATAAACATGTTACTTTAACTTTTATGATTGTATATCTATATCATGTCATGTACATTGTGTTTGACATGTACTTATTTATTTATTACAGAACTTAATGCACTTATGTACATGTACAATGTTATGTACATTGTGCTTGATATGACAATATATACTTATTTATTGATAATAGAACTTAGTTCTCTTATGTATAAAATGTTACGTACTTGATTGACATGAACTTGCCATGTTGTTTATTTATTACAGAACTTAGTTCAATTATTCATATACCTATCCATGTTATTTCCATCATATATTGTAGCCACATAATTACTACTAGTCTTATTTATGAATATAATAGTTCTATTTATTTACAAAATGTGATGTACAGATATGGTACACTGTATTTATGTTGTCTCATGGTTTGTATTAGAATAATATGTTACTTTTATATTAGTAAATTTAGTAAATTGTTGTGAACAAGGGTGATTTCATAAAGTAGTGTACATTTTGATCTCATACCAAAAGTATACATTCAATCATCTTCAATGCGTATCTCTTGCAAATTTGGAAATGTTTGTAACATTTTCTGACATACATGGACACATATTTACTTTCTTTATTTTATTGTTGAGCATAAACTTTGTAATTTAACGTAAATTGTTTATTTACTTATGAGCTGTCACAGTGTTACAAGTAGACATATCATTCTTTATAGTATAGTGAAACCTGTAAAGTGGAACACTTTTCCAGCCGACCAACTGACTTACACACTACTGATGCAAGACTATAAGTGGAACACCTCCCAAGTGGATTACTTTTTAGAGGTAACAAATGTGTTAAACTTGGACAGGTTTTACTTACTTACAATGTTCTTTATTATCAATATTCAAATTGTGTTATCAGACAATGATATCCATTTTATCTCGGGAAGGATGAAAACAATAATTGTGAATAGCAAATGTGAAATTATGACAATTTTCTCTCAACTTGTCTCAAGTCTTTAGTAGCACCTTTCAGTATAAAATGAAATGTTCATGTAAAATGAAACCTTTCTAATTATATAAGTTGTAGGTGTAAGAAGTTGTACCAATATAGTATCTGATGTTGAAAATAAATGTCTCAAATTTAAACATTCATCTATTTATATTATCTATTTATTCATTTATTCGTATTGTAGTATGAATATTAAAGGAGTGTAAAGTATGTATCTGAACCGGCAATTACTGCCTTGACTTCAAACCCAGACATAACTTAGGATGTTTTCATAATGAAAACGTTGGTATTGATATTGGATTTGACTTTAATAGTGACAACATTGGCATTGATATTAAGGGCTTTGACTTAAATAGTGACAACATAGGTATTGATATTAAGGGGTTCGACTTTAATAATGACACCATTGGCTATGATATTAAAGGCTTTGACTTTAATAGTGACACCATTGGCTATGATATTAAGGGCTTTGACTTTAATAGTGACAACATTGGCTATGATATTAAGGACATTGACTTTAATAGTGACAACATTGGCTACGATATTAAGGGCTTTGACTTATTAGTGAAAACATTGGCTGTGTTATTAAGGGCTTTGACTTTAATAGTGAAAACATTGGCTATGATATTATAGTGACAACATTGGCTATGATATTAAGGGCGTTGACTTTAATAGTGGAAACATTGACACTGATATTGAGGGCTTTGACTTTAATAGTGGATACATTGATATTAAGGCCTTTGACTTCAATAGTAAAACATTGACGTATCACTGACATCAACTGGATAAATAATAGACATACGATTAATAATTTTCACAAAAACTGAAGTGCTTTTACAGTGTTATGCCCCTACCCATTCATCTAGATTTAGAAATTAAAGGCCCATTTTGCGTATTTTCAACGTTTTTGGGCAAAATAAAGACTTAGATTTGAATTTCATAGTTTGTACAATGTATTGATAAGAACCTTATCTTTCATTTGACACCAACAACAGCTCAAATGGACCATGTCAAAGCTTACAATAAATTATCAAAAAATATTTTAGATCTGCCTTTAAGGTACATGGACAACTGACAGAAAAATTAATATGAACAATAACATTACAAGAGTCACTTGGAATGATAATATTTTCTCTGATAGTGCAAAAGAAATCATTGATAATGTTGTTTTGATATTTTGGCACTATTGGGCAAGAAACTCCACAAGTACCACGGTTGACGACAGAGGAGGAAATCTTAAGGATCTGAACATAAGAACTTATAAAAGAAGTTATTTTGAATAAGAAATGTATTCAAAATCCCAATGGAAAAAAATATAGTAGGTTTTCAAGGCAGTACTCTTCACTTATTTCCATCAAAACTTTATGAAAACACCAATTTAGATTTTACAATGCAAAAATCAAAAACACCATTTTGTAAAAGTTCATTTATTTGTTACTATATTACAATGTACACTACAGTTTTTTATATACACTTGTAATAATAAATAGTATAATTCATGATTGATCCGACCTACTGCATAATTAGACATATTGAATGAAAAGAAAATATGATGTACATATACCTCTAAAACGATGTTGTTTCTACAAGAACGTGCCATAATTTCAACTGAGGCATATCTAAGGTTTGTACATAGTAGTTCAGGATGTTGGTATGATGCAATTTAAACCAAAGAGTAGCTCCATCAGTGTATGATACTGTACTAAATATTAGCTGAACATATGAGCTTGGGAAAATATCACATTCTACATTAATGCATCCAGGAACATTTATTCTTTTAGTGAAAGTTATATTTTGAATTCTTATCACGCCCCTATGCAGGTATAACTTACAATAATTTTTATTGTATCTCCTGCAACCGTATCATCAAGATTGTTGCTAAGAATACCTAAATCCAAATTCAATGAAAATATATATTTTTGATATTTACAGTTTAAGTATAGTATAACCACTTTTGTCTACATGAGAGAAAACATATTAAGTATTCATTGTTTTGTATAATTACATCTGGAACTCAATAAGGATTCGTTATAAAACCTTAAATATAGACTTAACAGTGATTCTAGCAACAGTGGTGCTAATACTCATTTTACATTAAACACAATTCAAACACAACTTCTATTTCAATTTTCTCAATGATTTGCAATATACAACTCATATACTTGTGAAACAACAATGAGAAATTATGACCAACCAGGCAAATAGCAGATGAAAATGAATAGAGGGGATGGATTTCTTGAAAATGTAGATGATGTACATGTATACAATATAAGTGTATGAATGGTACCAAGCTTATGCATTGTTCCTCCATATAGTTCTTGAAAATCAGAGAAGGGGTACAAATACTTGAAATAATATCTAAAATATTAACTACTGCTTTTGTTTTCAGCGTTTATGCTACTCTAGTACTATATGCTAATATACACAATCAAAAATAGCTCTGACAATATATTGCAATATTTTAGGACGTCAATAAAATAATTGTTAATTTGTATTTAGCAATATGACAAACTAGATGTGAATAATTTACAACAGAAGTTTTTCATAAAAACCCAAGTATATCCTTGTCTTATGCTACATTAAAACTGTTCGCAATAACAATACTGTAATACAATACAATAAATTTCATTTTATTTGTTCAACTCCATCCCAACACAAATGTTAATAATTAACTACAAATATTGTCTCATTTCCAACTATAAAACAATCAGATGACAATATATTAACACTGAAATAAATTCAAATGACTCGTAACACAATTTGCTTTTTGTACAAATCACAATTTTGGCCTAGATGACCTCATTAATCTAAATTATTAGGAAAATGATACATTGCTAGCATGATTAATAACTAAATCTATAGTTAAAGAACTCTACAAGCAATACAGTCTATACAGCACCTAACTAATGTACTTGCAATGATGAGATATATCTCCATCAATTGATTAGTTTATGATGAAAAATTAGTAATCAAAATGAAGGCACAACATATCCAACCAAAACAACACATAGTGATCTCAATTAATAATTTACAGCAAACAATTAAAATTGTTCTCGATAGACAGTAGATGGAGATCAATCCGAGTCTTAAATATGACAAAATGTCACCACCTTGTTACACTTACAAAAGTGTAACCATTTGTGACAGATGACTAATGATTAAACACATAGTTACATAAATGATGGATATAACAAGATTTCACCATTTCTTGATGGTGACATAAAAGTTAATAGAATGAAAATGTTATTTAAAACATGCCATGGATCCAACAGCTACTGCGAATCCCAATCTATGCATGTTATGATTATTATCATTAAACGTGGGAAAAATCATAACCAGGGCTCTAGATGAAGAGAGGTCCAATGGTCACTGTTATTTTACTTTTGATACATACCAGCTTATATTTTCAATATATAGAGATATCAAAATAAAATAACAGTGCAATTGGAACTCAAATCTATAACTAAAGCACTGAATACATTACAGGGTTAACCCAATTCTTAAAACAATTAACATGATAAATTTTCAGAGCTTTCACATGTTATCTGTAACTACATGATTAATAACAGCTTTTAATTCTTTTTTAAACTCAAAACGAGCAAAAGTTTTGTACAAGGACAATGAATGTCTGATCAACAGAGAAGTCAATGTACATACAAGGTTTATCAAAAATACTTGTATGGATGAGGAATCTTACAGAGGTCTACAAGGACTGGACACAAGAGAGGGATATCCCAGAATTCATAGATGAACTCTTAGAGGTTCATCTTTACATGGAGATGAATTCTGGGATATTTCCCCCTCTTGAATGGACACCCAATCGTGCATATATAATCAAAACTGAAAGGAATTCAAAGCAATAAAGGTGATTCAAATACAAAATCGGTGTGATTAGTTTCATAACACCCTAGTTAGCCTAAAAATCCATAATTTTCAGTGTACTTTTTAGTTCCTTTGAACATGCTGCAAACATAATATAATCAGATAATATACACAGTATACAACCTTGCAGTCACATTTACCTCTTAATTTGGCATTTTAAGAGAAGCTTATTAATCTGCTTTACTCCCCCATATTTGCTTTCTACTAAAGCCTACAATAATAAAATATCTATGCTTCTGTACAAAATAAGTATAATGATTTGTTCCAATTCAGGCTAAATAACCCATACCTCTACATACTTCCATACTGATTTGACTATGCACACATCCAACCTGAAACCTAATCTACATGTACTCCATTATTTCCTATACTTTATTTCTAACTTTGCTGCTATTGAGCTTCATCAAGGTATGCCAAGTAGAGTAAGTTAGTGGACTAAACAACTTGGACATGTTGTGTCACCAATTGGTTTTTATCCTACTTGGCCCACCTTAATATGACTACATGTTAGAGACCTGAATGACAAACACAATCTAGTATTGATAAATTGTGTTGAACTTTAATTACCAAAATTGTTTCATCTGATAATAGTATATCATTTCCTTATTTCCTGATGACATCATTTGGAAGCTGACTTTATTTTCCTTAAATGTCACTACAGTCTCTGTGGCATTAAATTATCATTGATATATAATGTAATTTGAAAAGAATTTATAACACCATTGTGGCTCTCAAATTAAGTGCTTTAAAGTGATTTAGGAACTCTTAAGGAATTTCATGTGACATATGAGTAAAAAAATACAACAAAAAAGTACAATTTCCATCACTCACAACAAATTGATTTGTCATTCAGGCTCTTTTCAGGCTTTACATCATTTTATTTGAGTGCTTTCTAATCCTATGCTCTACATTTCTTTAGCTGCTCTTTGTTTCACTTAATCTCTTACAAACACTAAACTCTGTTTTATGTACAATATATATCAATTCTCACGCTATGTACAACTTATTTTCTTTTTTAAATTTCCTATTATTGTGTTAGTTTAGAAGCTCTAAAATTACCTGACACCCTGTATATTATAGTAAGTCATGGTTAGTCATTAGCTGAATTTGGACACACCTTTCTATGAGCCCAATACACTTGTGGGTGTACACTCATTGGGGATACACTTCTACATTCTAACAATACTGTTAGAACACTAAATTGCACAATAAATTTCAGTATTAAGGCAATTCAATGTTTCCATTGAATGAAATTCATATACAATTGTAATCAATTAAATAATGTATAAACATGATTTTGTGTAATGATATTTTTATAAGTAAGATACTCAATTGATCATTCATAATATCAAATGAAGCATGGCCTTGGTTAACATGATTAAAAATAATAGAAATGTCTCTTATGTATGGGACAAGACAACGCTATTGCACATGCTCTAGCGTATGGTCTGGAATGTGTCATTGTGCTAAAGATTGCGCTGTTTGTATATTATGGCTCTCCTCTGGAACAACACCTTTCATAACTGAGCTCTCCTTAACTGGAGATACTGATTCAACTCCTGATATAGAGAGCTCCATTGGTGTGTGATGATTGTTTGTAACGACTTGGCCAATTTTCGTGGCATTATTCTCAACTCCATTTTTCTCAGCTGGTGGGGATGGTAAGGGTGCTATACTTGGGTCTCTATCTTGCTCAATTTTTAGTCTTTTAGCACTTGGCTCTACAGTCTGATCCCCTGATAAAATGCTGGTGGTAAAGTTTGCTATATGCACCATATTGAGTTCACTTTGGTTGCTCATTATTGGGGTAGGATTAACAGAGACAGCAGGAGTGGGGTCAGCTGGGAGACTGGTCGGCATAGTTGTCGTACCCGTCATTAGCTCCGGGTTGAATTTGATCGGTGAGAAGTGACCAGTCTCTGACCCATCCTGTCTGTATTGTCTCTTTTGGTGGTCTGAGAAGAGCAAGGAGTTAACGCTAGGCGATGAGGAACGTTCTCGCTGAGGGGCAAGAGCTGTGGGATTCTCTTGGTCATCCAGAAACCGATCCATATAGTCCCTGAAACATGGAGCAGTACAGTTAAGTATCAATACAACTAAAATATGTGGTGTCGGAAATACAAATTCAGATACAAATTGCAATCTATTTTAATCGATTACAGATATGAGAAATGTTTATTAGATCTTGCTTTTATTCAAATTTATGACTATGTTACATAATTCAGAAATCCCTATCCAACGTTTGAAAATCTAATATTGAATTATAATTTGACATAAAATACACCACATTGCCATGGTAACAACATACGTTGTGCCTGGGTGTAATGCATACTTCTTTTTCTCCAGACGATTTTTGTTCGTAAATGCATCATGACGTTCTGTCTTTTTCCATAAATAGTAGAATGTAACAAGTTCCCCCGTCGAACGAGTTCGCACCTGGAATTATCCAAAAGCAAAAAATATAATATTACTGACCAAAAAATTTTCTATGGATTTCAAGTTTGCAAGCGACTAAATGAAAGAATTATCAAACATCAGTCGATTCTCATTATATATATCTCAGATGTGCACTACAAACAGAAGCCCCTAAACCAACATTCCTTATCAAAGGAGTGGATACTTCCCAAAATAATTTTTGTGGAGCTTGAGAGATAAAATACATGTGATCAATCATATTCCATTTCAGAGATCACTTGCTTTTTTAAATTTTCAAAATTTGAAAATTATTTTGAATTTTCAATCTGAATCTGAACTATTATTAGTGATACAAGAATAGACTTTCGTTAATTATCCAATATAAAATAACATACTTTATTTTGCTGTATGAGGTGGAAATCTTTTCCATAATGCTTGAGTCCATTTTCAAAATTGCGACACTCCTCTTCAGACCAGAGACTCATCGGATCTGTTGGAGGGACAGCTTGCATTTTACGTCGTCGTAAAGCCTCTTCCATATTGTTTCCGCATTGCAGTAAGAGGTAAAGCGCCTACAATGTTATAATGCCATTTACTTCATTTTTAGTTCTAGAATATATATATTTTTGTTGCTTTTTCAAGAGAATGATAATTTTATATGAATTATATGAATATCCTATGGTTTTGAAAAATATCATTTATATCCATGAGTGGATACTGATATCCATGATAAAACATAAAAATATTTTTGAAAAAGTATATAAATTGTTTTTACCTGTTCATCATCTCTGACATGTATACCTTGGGGAACAGCAGCTACGCCTGTAGCTGTATGGTAGTTCTGTTGTTGGACTTCCTTCATGTACGTCTCAACTGAAATATGCAAGAGTATGATATACTTTTTATATTACAATGGAAGTAGAATTCTTTAGTCTGGCCTCTATCCAATAAGAATTTGTAATCAGACAATTACTATTCTTCTGCCTTCTGCTGAGATTCATTTCACATTCAAACTGCTATAAGAGTCATGATATAATTGAGATTAATAAGATATTATCAGCATCAAAAGTGTAGAATCATATGCAGCAATTAGAGGGTAGTAGCGCAGTCAGATGTCCCTTTGGTAGTTCGACTTTTTCAGGAAAGCAACAAACTTGGCACAGTTGTAGAAACATATGATCTGAATGAAAAATGATTTCGGGGCAATTGATTCGAGGTGGTCTTCATGGATTTTAAGCCTCTGACCCCCACCCCTATCAGGCGGGGAGGGGGTACATTATAATAAAATAAATAAAAAAATAGTTGTAAAGTATATTTCTTTAAATGACTTCATTTGGTCATTGCTTTGAGCCTAGAAATTGAGAAAAACCTATTTTAGAAGTGGTGTTTAGGAAGGAAAATACATTTTAACCCAATTATCTAGCGTGAATTCATCTTTCAAAGGGTCAAATATAGGACATCAAGTACTGTATTTCAAGAATGTGATGTCTGATCATCCTGAAAAAATTCATACTAATAGAGATATTGGTGTTAATCACTCATATGATATATGGCCTGTGTAGCTCATGTATTTTTTGAGAAATAAATTATCGAAATTTGGATATTTAAGCCCTTGCGGCCTAGGGGTGACCTTATTTTACCTTAATAATTTTTAAGATACGCGATGTTGGGGCCTCATATGAATTCTAAATGTTGCATTAAGTATTGTTTTGTCATATTATTCCTAATTAGATGTAAAGAAATTATTGAAAATAAAAAAAAAATCAAATTTTCATTTTTGGTTCTAAAGGGCCAGGGGTAACCATATTTTACCCTAATTATTTCCCAGATATGTAATATATGCATCTCAAATTAGCTCAAGATGTTGCATATAGTTCTGTTTTATCATACTTCTTCCAATAAGATGTGTAAATGATCGGATATATCTAAAAAATCTAAATTTTCACTTAAGCTCTTGATGGCCCTGGGGTAACCTTATTTTACCTTAATAATTTTCTAAATATGAGACATCAGTCACCTCAAATGAGCTTAAGATGGTATATTTAGTCCTGTTTTATCATATCATTCCCAAGGAGTGAAAAAATGATTGGAAATTATAAGAATATTACAATTTCATATTACACCCCCAATCCGCAACATCTTCTTGCAGCGCTGTAAACAGTGCTGAACAGTGCAGTCAGAGTACTGCACTATATAGCAATGCACAATGCTATTCTAACACCATCTGTTTTGGACAGTGTAGTACAGTACTGTTTTTACCGCTCAGTACTGTTTTAGAAAACAGCTGTGTACAGTACTGTTTTTACAGCACTGTTTATGAAACCATGCTGTTTGATGCAGTTTGAGATTGGTAGTGTAGTTTATGATAGGTCAGGAATGACCTAATTTTACCTTAAAAATTTAAACAAAGATATATCATATTGTCTACTCAAATGAGCTCAAAATAGTGAATATAGTCTAGTTTTGTCATATTATTCCTACTGAGATATACAATAATGATTAACAGTTATAAAAAATGAAACTCAACAGCCATTTATTCCTTTCTAGTACCAATGGCAATACTATCTAGTTTTATAGAACATTTTCTAAGATGTGAAAATGTTTGATAAGTCCAGTTCATACTAGCACGAGTTGTAGCATTGTTAAGATTCTGTATATTATCATTTGAGTATATAATCCAAATCTATAAAACCTAATCAAAGGAGTCACAATTTATGGATTCTGACAGTCTCTCCTACAGCTACATAGCTCAGAGCAAATCAGATCTGCTTTCAAACATTTGCATCTGTTCTCTTGACACAGGTATCTACCCCATGACCTACATTTTATGTTGTGGCCTCAGTATCAGCAGTGGAAGTAGGCCAGCCACATTCATGTGGTGATAGAAAGAATGCGTCAGAATGAATAAGGACTCTAGTCTTCTAATTTTAGGGTATCAAAAAAGATTTAAAGCTTTAGAACACTTGCGTAACCTCTGGGTACACCTTCTATTCCTGCAAATCAGTTGACTAAGAGTAGTAGCAGAATGCATCTAGAGATTGTATGAAAAATGGTAAGGGCTAAACTTCGTTCATGGCCAAGTGGCCTTGAAATATCTAAGACAGGTCGTACATTCTGGAGGAATTTCCCCTCACCATAGGCCATATGCAATCCAAATTGACATTTTCAGCACAAGTTACTGCCAGTTTAAACCACACCAAAATCAACTGTATTGACTATGATTCTTATTAGGTCATGACAGAAGCAGTCTTTGGCATGCTTCTTCATACGAGCGAATGGTGATGGCAGATACTTCACTATCGGGCTAAGATATTGCATTACCTCATTGTGAGGTCACAATCTTCTTGCCATCTTCCTCCAGGGTTTCAGTTTTGATGCCTGGAAGGAAAACAGCTCCCTCTTGTTCCAACTATCTTAGAAGAAAATAAGTAGGATATACTTTCCTCACTGTTCCAGTTTTGTGCTGTTTGTATCTATGCTCATTAACATCAAAGTTGAATGACTAAGCTACATAGTAGATGCCAAAATAATAGACAGGGCATGTATAGTTAAACATGCTAACAGTGATATATAAAGAAAATTGGGTGATAATGCAAATATGATATTACCCATGTAAAAGTCTGCAAATAGTTCATTGCCTTGATGTCAGCTGGAATGTTTACCAGGACACTAGCTTAAAGGGGCAACAAGGTCTGTAGAAGATTCAAATTTTTTTACTTTTTCTGAGCTATCAGGGTAATATTTGGCTAAACATCTTCTTTGACATACCTATTTTCTTAAAATGTATGGATAAACTATCAATTTTAGCATTAAGAAGTGTAAATTCAGTTCAAAGCTTCTATAAAGGGAGGCCCACTTATAGATTTTTAAGATCCAAAACATTTCAAGAGAAATCAGCTGAAATAATGTTCATCCAGGGGGTTTCTTTGGAAAAAAATAAACATATATGTTAGTCTTGATGAAATATCCAAACTTGAATATATTTTGACACTGGTCCATGATCGTTGAATGGCCCCTTTGCACGAATTGTTGCACCTTTAAAACAGCACTAGAGAGACTTGTGGAACTGGAACAAGGATAGTCTAAGGAGGAAACTGAAACCCTTGAAATGGATGGAAAGAAGATAGTGACCACATAAATTAAGGAGGCAATGCAATGTTTTAGCCCAACAGTGAGGTTCTGCCCTTGCTCTTAAGAAGAAGCAGATTCAAGGATATTTCTCAATATTTTCAGTAAGACTGCTTCAATCATGGCCTTCAAGAGAAAGAATAATACTCCTTACATTTAATTCTGATGTGGTTATCCTGGCATATATGTGATGTTAAAAACTGAAAAAGTCAATTTGGATAGCATATGGTAAGGGAGAAATCCTATCAATATCTACCTGCCCATGGCCAAAGTTTAATCCTCCCCATTTTTCATACAATCATTGGATGTGATGTTACATCTGTATTCTACTGCTATTGGTAGTGCTAAAATGGAATAAATGGATTGAGATTTAAATGTGTCACTGAGTTTTCTAATTGTTGTTAATCATTATCTCAGTAGGAATAAAGTGAAAAACAGACTATTTTCCCCATTTTGAGATCATTTTATCTTGAAAATTAATAACATTTGGCATTCTTGTGCCCAATCATTGACTGTCATTATTCACTGACAGAATCCTTGACAGAAGCAGCTCACCTTAACCCCCCCCCCCATCAGGCTAAGGTGACTGGACTAACTACCCTTTGCATTCATTCGACTTTCCTTCTCAAAAGAGAGCTTCGTCTTCACTCTATCAGTTTTCAATAAATCTCTGAACTCACTGCGCTAATCAGAGTTTGTTGTCGAAATAAGGACGGCTTTCTATATGGTCATTTTCTCTGACGAAATCGCATCATTAATGTACATGCATTTAGCACTTGTTCCTTCAAGCTCGCTGATTGGTTGAGAATAGGTCAGCATGGTTTATTGCAGCTTGGGTCATAAATGCTTTAAGACCCAAGCTGCCAATGGCATCGGTCATGGGGACGGGGCTGCTAAACTCACTCCATCCTTTGCTTCTATATTATGGTAATATATGATAAAATCACCTCTGACCTGTCAAAAGCTAAAGATGTCATTTTTCAAATTTCCATTATTTTTTACATCCCCTAAGGAATAATATGACAAAACAAGAGTATATGACACAATTTTAAGCTCATTTGAGATGCATACGTCTCATAATTAAGAAAAGTTCAAGATTATATAAGCCCCCCCCCCAGGCCATCATAAGCTAAAATGAAAATTTCAAATTTTAAGAAATGTCCAATCATTTTCTACATCTTATTGGAGGTATTATGATTAAACAGAACTATATGCACCATCTTGAGCTAATTTGAGATACATATATTACAAACCTTGAAAGTTATCAAGGTAAAATATGGTTACCCCTGGCCCTTCAGAAGCGATAATGAATTTTTTTTTTTTTTGGAAAAGTTCCAATAATTTTTCAATCCAATTAGGAATAATATGACAAAACAAGACTCAATGCACCATTTTGAGCTCATATGAGACCCATACATTGCATATCTTAAAAATTATTAAGGTAGAATAAGGTTACCCCTAGGCCGCAAGGGCTTAAAAATTCAATTTTCGATAATTTTTATCTCAAAAAATACATGAGCTACCCTAAGCCATATTCTATATTTGTGATGAACACCTATACCCCTATTAGTATCATTTTTTCCAAGATGATCAGAAATCACATTCTTGAAATACAGTACTTGATGTCCCATATTTGACCCTTTAAAATATGAATTCACGCTAGATAATTGGGTCAAAATGTATTTTCCTCACTAAACACCACTTCTACAATCGGTTTGTCTCAATTTCAAGGCTCAGAGCAATCACCAAATGAAGTCATTTAAAAAAATTTACTTCAAAACCATTTTTATTTATTTTTTATAATGTACCCCCTCCCCGCCTGATAGGGGTTGGGGTCAGAGACTAAAAAATCCATGAAGACCACTCCGGATCACTTGCCCCGAAATCATTTTCCACTCAGATCAAGTGTTTCTACAACTGTGCCAAGTTTGTTGCTTTCCTGAAAAAGTCGAACTATAAAGGACTCATTTCTGGACATCTGACTGCGCTATAGTGTGACTTGCCAGTAGGGATTAAGGGTATTCCTAGAAGGTATACTAATCATTTTTTAATGATATGATGTTATTGTGCCAACTGTATGAACAGTATGCCTGGGTTAGCTGAACAAGATACTCAGATTAGGAGTGTACTTTTGTTCTTTAATGTTCTATGATCAGACTTTCATGTATACAGGTAAAGAATAGATATGCATGATAATTTTACATTGATAGGCACATAGCAAATTGAATGATCATGACACTTTCTTATTAGCGCACTCCATTAAATATATTCATCAAACAGCTGTAGTTGAAATGTTACCTTCAGTTTCCTCAAGTTTACATGGATCCCATAGCAGCCTGTCTTCATTCTCATATGCGGGGGCATCTCCATATTTGCACAATCCCTGGGGCACCTGGGCTTGGTAGTCATGTCCTACTTGTATAGTCTGTAAATACACAAAAGAATGAGGGCATTTGAATTTGAAGAAATCATTAAAAAATCTAACTTATAAAACTTAGGTTGATGAAGTACTGACGTATGTGTCATGTTTTGAAAAGTTGTCGATTTAATGAACGAAATATATCATATATGTTTTACCTTTTTCCAGTCGTTGACTGCCATTGGGTCATTTTCAGGTTCATAATCTTCATCTTCTGACTCCTCCTCTGAACTGCTACCTTGAGACTGAGCTAAAATGTTACATAGAAAACATTGATATTGAGCTATAATATCACACAAACAAGCTATCAACATGCAAAATGTCACCAACTGCCATTTGTTACACACTCTGACTGCCATATGCCAAACACGGTGCATAAAAAAAAGATGGAGACTATATTCACTTATGGTGGTGACATAAAAACATTTAATGAAACTGGTACATCAATTTGATAACTTAATAAATTGAGAGCCAAAAATCCTTTTACAGAGTTTAACCAGAACAACGGCAACGCCAAAGCGTAGCGAATCCCATCGAACAGCCATGGAAGGCATTTTTACAAACAAAGTATACAGCAAAAATGGCAGGCATTTTTCAAAATGGCCGCCTTCTACCAAAAGTGTCATTAGACCATTTGCCATACTTTTAGTATTCACATACCAAATATGAACAAAATCACTTCACTACTTTTCGAATTATTATAAAATACATTAAAATGGCGGCCATTTTTCAAAGTTTTTTTCAAAATGCCCACTTTCTACTAAAAGTGTCAAAAGATAGTGTGTCATGCTTTTAGTATTCACATACCAAATATGAACAAATTCGCTCCACTACTTTTCGAGTTATAGTAAAATATGTTAAAATGGCGGCCATTTTGAAAAATGGCCGCCTTCTACCAAAAGTGTCATTAGACAGTGTGCCATCCTTATAGTATTCACATACCAAATATGAACAAACTCGCTTCACTACTTTTCGAGTTATAGTAAAATAGGTTAAAATGGCAGCCATTTTTCAAAATGGCGGCCATTCTTTAAAATGGCCACTTTCTACCAAAAGTGTCTTTAGACAGTGTGCAATGTTTATAGTATTCACATACCAAATATGAACAAAATCGCTCCACTACTTTTCGAGTTACAGCAAAAATCGTACAATAACGAGTAAAGGCCGCCATTTTTCAAGATGGCTGCCATGTGCTTCTTTAATATCTACATTTCTAGCTTTATTAATGTCCTATATAATTTTTTTGCATCTAAAACATATTGCTATTACAGTTTTACATATTGCACCTAAATTACTGTAAATTCGGCACTAAAATGGCTGCCATTTTGAAATGAGCGGCCATTTTGAAAATCGGCTTTTGAGCAGAACTTCTATCCCCATAGGGTATATGTGTACAAAATATGAACAAAATCGGGCCAACGGTATTTGAGTTATTGCCCGGACGGACGGACGGACGAACGTTCGTACGGACGGACGGAGGCGTTCCCTATATCCCTCCGAACTTTGTTCGATGGGATAATAATCTTTGATTGGTCAGTCTGGGGTCAATAGTATTAGGTCAGGTTTTTAGTAAGTTAATGAAACAATTGTTGTTTTTTGAGTAATGACAATGTAGTTGAAATCCAAATGCGGTTCACACATATTAATTCTTAATTTATGACTCAGGTAAACAACCTCTGTAGCACAAAACAAGTGTAACTTACATCTGAGAAGACGTGCTGTAGATGAAACTGGGGGTACATCTCCGACACTGTCCATTAAATCATCAGCACTTGTCTCTTTATTATCATCCTCTGTCAACAAATCCCTAGCCACTTCATCTTTATCAAGTGTAAGATCATTGTTACTGAGTATCTCTTCTTCACTGCTGGACCTTGATTCCTGAGGTTCTGTTCCGCCATACCCATACATGGCTAACAGTTGTTCTATTGGCATATCACCCTCCTGGAAATAAGGGGAAAAATAGAGATGATTTACTGGGAGGGACTGGATATGGGTGTTATTTTGAGGGACAATATGATTCCCACAAAAATATTACCCCGTGTTATTCATCCGGAAGTAGTGGTTTCATAGGATAAACAGTGAAATTCGAAAGCTATCACATCACTTTTTCATTTTTTGTAAAACATATAATACCTTATAAGGTATCACATTAATTAATTGCTTCATCTGAAGAAATGCACGTTGAGATTTATTTTGTATTTCAAAAAAAAAATTGTTTTACGCCAGGTGCTTCTAAATCTATACAAAGGGTCCAGAACAACCTAGAGTTCATACATGCACCTAACCAGCCTTAGAGTCATCTTTAAATAAAGATAGGGTTGTCTTTGCAATCTGGGTTATTTCCTCCTGTTTCTATAGGTACATAGGTTTAAATAAATAAAAAATGGGATTACACACCTTTTCAAGGTCATTGACCTCGCCAGTATAACTTTCACTACTGAGGGCCTCTTCATCCTCTTCCATTGTGCGCTCATCATCAAAATCATTGACTAGCTGCTCGGCACTTGGATCAAAGTCACGATCAGTATCTATAGTAACAACAGCAGAATCATTAGAATGATATAGTCTCAGCATAATTTTGATAATAGGCCTATTTTAGTAGAGAAATAAATTTTTACATTCACAATTTTTTGGGACCACTCTGTAGGTTTATCTCATCATAATAAGGTTTATTTGTGAAATTTGTTCCACTAAACTTTGAGTCTTATCCTGGAAAACACAATAAGTTATTGACAAGCTGCATAGCATGACCCAGGGAATTGCATTTTGTACCAGTTTTATTGGAGTATTGGGGTGTTAAAGTTCAATGAGAATGAATAAAAGAAACAGGTTTGTCACCTTTAAAAGCAAAAGTATTTTGCATTATTTGCATTTACATGATTTAAAATTTTTAAGAGGAAATCTCAAGCACTATTTTATATACCAGTATAAATGTACATGAACATGTACTTCAATATAAGGTCATGGAATCTAATGAATGAAAGAAATTATTATTCAGTTTATAAGTCAGTTTGACATTTGTTTTCTCTTTAATGAAACAGTTTTTCTCTTGACTTTGAGGAGGAAACTTAACATTTTTAATCATTACTATTACTATATACAAAAGTGCTGCATAGTGGGGCAAGTCTATTTAGCATTTTGCTTAGCCATATTAGGCTTTTGGAGAAGGGCAAGGTATTTTCTTTTCTTACAAGCTCAAATGCCTTAGAAATGTATTTTTAATGTAACATAAATTTCTGACAATAAAGATAAAAAATATATGCTAAAATCAAGTTTTCAAGGACTTGTGTTCAGTAAGGTTTTTGGGAATTTAAAGGAGACGGTGTGGATTATCTGAGAATTAGACGACTAATGCACTTGCTTGATCAAAGAAAAATCACAATGTCCCAAGGATAATATTTTTGCACTGTATTTAGAGGCTATGTCACTATTACGTGAAATATGCCTGAGTTCTCCCACTATAGGCAGACCTTAGGTAAGAACGAAAGCATATTTCATGTCATAGTGACATAAATGATGTATTAAATCCCTTTATTCCCATGGCTACTTTTTATCAATGATGTCACACATCTATGTTCGAGTATAATTTGATCGAAATGAAACATGACGTTGTGATATTGTCATGATTATTTAAGATATATAATATCAAAACGGGGAAAGGGCTATATTGGGATAATCTGGCAATATCGGTGGATATAGCCCGCTAACTTTCCCATTAATTCCATACAAATGCTTCCCTAGGTATGTCATACAGTGGGACATTGGATGATTAAAAAAATGAGATATGAAAAGCTGACAAACTTTTTTCAAGTTTTTTCTTTTTCTTTTAAAAATCTCTAGTTGAAAGCCCATGCAAATAGTAAATGAATGATAAAAAACATATTTTCAAACTTTACATTGGGATTTTGTAATACTAGTACATGTATATATATTCCAGGTTTTAATTTGTTTATTGATCAATATCTTATTTATATCATATTTTGATGTTACACATCAAAATAATGTAATATTTAAAATTACATAATTTAAAACAAGTGGAGAAAAGCCTGACACAGGGACTCGATTTCTTGAGTTATATTCATATAATACTACTACATATTTAAAAGGGAATGAATGTTTGTTTTTGTAGTAAATGGTAAAGAAATACTTTTGGACCGGAAGCTCCCATGATACACTGCGAGTGTCTCATGGTTACTGATGTGCTTCGGTCAGATTTATGTTTAGTAAATCATTGGGAGGTTATCATGAAAGTACTTATAGTTCTAAAGATTACGGAGACACGTTTGTAACATCCTTATGCACAGAAAAGGCTCAATCGATAACCGTAAGTAAATTAATGGAGTTTACCATATTATCCCCAATAATTTTTTTGAATTTCTTATTTTTCTTGATTTTTGTTATTCAAGTTGTAATAGTATTTCATGGAAAAGTTGGGTGTGCTTTTATTGGAATATGTGCATTTATGAGAGTGGATACGGTTAGTGGAAAATAGGTCAGACCAACTAACTGTATATCATCTTGTAATTCTTCAACCTTCCTCCAATCACAGGGTTTCAAAATCAAGAATATATTCTTTCTTTTTACCCTTACGATAAGCAGTTAGCATTTCCCCGCATAAGAACTCGCAATCTGATTGGCTGTCGCATCACTGTGACAGAAATCATGTATAAGTCATTGCGCATAATTAGATCATGTGACTCAGTTTAATTGGGCGCTTCCAAATTGGTTATAGCAGGGGGAAGAAGGAGGTACGGATTCTAGATACCTGCTTAGGAGGATGTTTATTAACAAAACAATGAAATTATTTTATTACACTAATATGTATGATGAGTTTGAATGAGGTATGTGAATTTGGAATCATATAAATTCATATCACTGTTACTGAAAATGAAAGTAAAAAGTTCATAACTTTTTGAACTGGAAATATTATTTTATATTTTACTTGATAATCTAAGAATAATTATTTGAAACGTTCTAATTCAATATATGTAGTTACAGGCCTCGAAATTAGCATTGCTAAGGTAGCGATTTGCTACCTGTTTTGCCCAAAACACTACTTGTTATTTCCTCCAGTTAGGTATCTTCACTAGTTCCTCACCTAATTACTCTCCATGCGAAAATGCATGGATTCAATTGATTTGTCGATCAGCTGATCTTTGTTGTTTCTTGTTTGAACCGACTCACAATTTTTACAATTGAACGAAAGCAGACCAATCATAATCGACTTCAGTTTTACTATACATGAAATGTATGCAAATCATCACAGTGAATCATAATAATATCAGGGTAAGTATGTTATACCGTGTATATCTAATTATTGCGCTGGTAAGTCATAAGAATAAAGATCACTCTCATCAAAATCATCACTACTTGCTTGTCTCAAATAGCTACCTGGAAAATACACTAAGTAATGAAACAACTACCTGATAAAAAAAGTTAAGCGCGAGGCCTGAGTTATTTAATATTCTAAATTTAGTCCACAAATCAAATTGTCAACGACAATCCGAGCAATCGAAGGAACAATCCTTGATTATGATACATTTATAGTAAGTATTTGTACACAACATTTGCTCCATTTGTTAACCATTGTATATTCTTTCATTATGGCTCAAAAGCTTACAGCTGACCCTGGAACAACCCAAGATTTCATTTTAACCTTTAGCGTGCTGCCGGCGGACTCGTCCGCCGAGACTAAAATGTCTCTCACAACTGCCGGCGGACCCGTACGCCCGATTTCAAACTTTTAAAAACTTTACTTTTTCGCGCCATTCGTATTGTCCAATTAGATTGCCCGATTTATTCAGTGCCTAACATGACTTCCTGTTGACCTAGAAATGCCGATATTTCGAAAAATAATTCTCAATTCAACAATTTAAACAGTGTTTTAGTCGTTTTTAGTGAACGAATCGTACAAAATGGTGGACAAATACGATCACAACGAAATTGTGGAGGAAAGGTATTACGATTTCGAGCTCTTTAGGCTCTTGGAAGCCGATAACGGTCATCGAAAATAGAAACTAGAATATTTTCTGAATTGAAAAATTGAACATTCGATCGCTGCAAATTCAGATTTGGATTCTGACCAGATGAAGAGGCGGAGCGGTGGATTCCGGAGGAGTATTCATGGTATATTTATGCCCAGTCGTGTTAATGTACGAAAAAATTCATGCGAACATTTTTTTCATGAGCCAGGCCACTGTATCTTCCCTTTGTGAAAATTTTATCCAGATTCATTCAGTAGTTATTGAGATATTAATTATTTAGTCCAGGTATATCATTTTTTGCACTCTTTGAAAAATAAGCCAGTTGCGTGGGATATATTTGCTGAAATAAGGCAGCATGGTAAAGGTTAAAGCGATGTGCAGGTCTGATGACTATATATCGACTCTCATTGAGACTAAGGAAACGTAAATGGCACCCCATATTTGAACAGGAAAATCAAAAAGTAGACATTTTACAAATATACGACAGGCTGTTTGCTGCTGCCTACGGTCATTAGATATCTTGGGGAGGGGTCAATCTGAGTGAAAGTCTAATTATAACATTTGTATTTCCAGAAAATACAACCAGGTCTTTGTGCTTTATTTTGTGCTTCAAAATAATATGGGAGGGATGTTGAATATTTTTCCTTTTCCAGTTATATGTTCCTAAACACCAACATTGCTGCATTTGTGATGGTCTCGGGTAAGCTTACAGAGTCAATGAAGCAAATAATGCCAACAAACTAATTTTCTGTCTTACCTGGACTTGATTCAACAGTAGCCGGCTGGAAAAGTAAGAAAACGTGATGAATTCTTCGTAAAGGCATAATCATAGTCTAAAATAAAGTATTTATCTGTAAAATTATTGAAACAACAATCGTCACATTATTATGAAAATCTTTTGAAAATTGAGCGCAGATTGGCGGCAATAAAGTGTACGATTTTTTCGCAGATACTTACTCCCGCTACACAATTCAGACTTTCAAAAATGAGAAATCAATGTCAAAAGATCATCTAGGACGGGAACCGAAAAGGCTTTGAGATGTCTTATTGATCCAATTTGGTAAATATCAAAACGAATTTTGTACAAACAAAATTTTCTTACCTCCGCCATTTTGGAAAATTATGGGATAGCGTAAATTATTTCAAAACGAGGCTGGCCTAATTGATACGTATCTTGAAAGATACATTGTGATTGGTTAATCAATCTAGCTCATTTATCGTATTTTTATCAATTATATGTAAAATATAGAAATTTTGGTACATCCTTGCCATCAAGTGAAGTCTAAACAACTGGTGAATATTGTTTATATCATTCTTTTGGCTGAGTTAATGATATTACACAAAACAAATGCTTAAAACTCTGCAGTGTGTGAAAGAAGAATCAACCAATCAAATCATGTTTTACTAAGCATCACTTGAAGGCATAGCAACCTGACTCTCTAATTTTTGAAAAGTTGTAAATGTGAAGTTTTACCCCAAAACAAAATAGTTTAGGAAACAGTATGTCGCAACATAGAAAGAGCCTATACCCGGGGTATGTTAAAACAAATTTTCAACTGCTTAATTTCCAGGAATTTGATTTTCTGAAGAGATCTGAAAAATTTCATGATCAGTGATTCTAAAAAATGATGAACCAACTTGATTTTCAAGTTCAGAGTTTTTGATTTTGACTCATACGCTTACCTCACAAAACAAAGGGGGACTTATTTTAGCATCATGTATATGATGGAGTTTATATTCAGTACAGTCGAGCGGAATTTCATTTGCATTCCCATCCATATTGCAAGACTTACAGTAGACTATGCCTGGCACAACCGTCACCATGTTATTAGTGTTTTTAAGTTTCGCAAGGATCCTGCCATGACCGTGGTTTTGTTATCGTGAAAGCCTGGTATAACCATCACAATGCTATATTATATTGCAAGGCCTGTCATGACTGTGGTAATGTTAAAGCCTGATATGACCGTGACAATGCTATATTATATTGCAAGGCCTGTCATGACCGTGGTAATGTTAAAGTCTTATATGACTGTGGCAATGGTTGTAAGGCCTGTCATGACTGTGGTAATGCCCCATTGCCCCCCCCCCCCCCCCAGGATCCGCCACTGATCTGGTATATATTTATCGCATCCTACGACCCCTTTAGATTGTGGTCGTACGCCCGATTCATTGGTAAGCCTGTCTTTCTATAATGTCGGAGAATGAACTACGCATTGCACTATTAAATGACCTACCTCGATACATTCCAGAGTATTTTAGAATTCTTTTTATGTTGTTAGATCGCGAATTGTATGGGTTTATCGGCAGAACGAAGATATTTTCGTTTTTGATAGCAATATTTGCGTGTAATATTTAACTTATTTCAACCGTCAAATTCCTCCATTCAGTTCCCGGCATGCACCAGTCATAAGGGAAATCCCTGGGGAATTCCCCTTCCGACATTTTGAAAATTGCTGACATATTTCCGATGTAAAAACTAAAATCTCTTCATTCTGCCGATAAACCCATACAATTGGCGATCTAACAACATAAAAAGAATTCTAAAATACTCTGGAATGTATCGACTGAGGTAGGTCATTAAATAGTGCAATGCTTAGTTCATTCTCCGACATTGTAGAAAGACAGGCTTACCAATGAATCAGGCGTACGACCACAATCTAAAGTGGTCGGTAGGATACGATAAGTATATATAATATTGAACCATTGTTTGTCCCATCGGTTCATTTTTGCATGTACATTTTTAGGGCAGATTGAATTTTTCAATTGATTTTAGAATTATGCTTCCATATTATAAAAACTATATTAAGCCTACCAAGTGGGCTCACTGGAATGATTGAGTACTCAATAATTCTTATTTTCTGTTTATACAGTGGCCAAGGAGTTGGTGCAAGTACAGCCTCTCGTAAGAGTAACCAGGTGGTTTCTGTTGCGAGCAAAAGTCGAGTTGGTGGTGGAAGACAAACAACAATCGCTGGTTCACGTACCACTGTACTGTCATCTGGAAGCAGGAGGAAGATAGGAGGATCAGAAGACAAAGCAAGCGTCAGTAGAGCCCCTGTGCAGGTAAATATCCTATCTGACCTGAGATCTGACAAACTGATGATTTTATAGTACCATAAACTCTTTAAATCCACTTTTATTTCATGGTCTTTTATTAGATTGTGTGATTGTGAAATGAATCAGACTTGCCAACCTCCCATTTTTTTACGGGAATCTCCCGTAAATTTTTTGTTTTTCCGTAAAAAATACTAAACTCTACTCCCGTACCGTTTTCTCCCGTAAACTCCCGTACCGTATTTCTACTAAAATCTCCCGTAATTTTTTTTAAAAATATGGTTGTAAAATCTCCCGTATTTTTGCTGAAATCTCCCGTATTCTGGTGTAACTCCTGTAAAATCTCCCGTATTCTTGGTATAACTCCCGTAAAATCTCCCGTTTTCTGGTATAACTCCCGTAAAATCTCCCGTATTCTTGGTATAACTCCTGTAAAATCTCCGTTTTTTGCTGTCGAAATCTACCGTATTTAAAAGGAATTTGACAAATTTGTGACCTTGATTATTGCAGGCACGCTTCTTTCTTTTACTCCAAGAAGGTTGGCTCCCATGGTTCACTATCGATACTTTCATAAATAACTTAAAAGTACTTCATTCCCATGATTCAAATTGCTTTTCTGCGATCAGTTCGGTATAAGTTTGCACACCAAATGTCCACAAATGGGGGCCAGTTCATATTCTGTCATACTTCTGTCAGGAGAATACATTTTATTTTTATATGGCGCTAAACAAAATATTGCCGCAATATAAGGTGCATTATGGATAGGGACTGCTGTGAAATAATGAACGTAAGTGACATCCATCTTAGATTATAAGTTCTAATTAATTTATTAACTGCGCATGCGTCGTAATAATTTCAACCAATTAAATCGCTGGATTTAATGCTCATAAATCTTCCGTAAAAACTCCCTTTTTTCAAAATCTAAAGTAAAAACTCCCGTTATTTCAGAAATCTATCGTAAAAACTCACGTTTTTTTTCAAAATTTACCGTAAAAACACCAGTTTTTCCAGAAACCTACCGTTAGAACTCCCGTTTTTTTTCCGAAATCTACCGAAAAAACTCCTGTTCTTTCAAAATCTACCGTAAAAACTCCAGTTTTTTCAAAATCTACCGTAAAAACTCCAGTTTTTTCAAAATCTAAAGTAAAAACTCCAGTTTTTTCAAAATCTAAAGTAAAAACTCCTGTTTTTTCAGAGATCTACCGTAAAAACTCCTGTTTTTTCAAAATCTACCGTAGAAACTCCCATTTTTCAGAAATCTACCGTAAAAACTCCAGTTTTTCCGAAATCTACCGTAAAAGCTCCTGTTTTTTCAGAAATCTACCGTAAAAACTCCTGTTTTTTCAGAATCTACCGTAAAAACTCCAGTTTTTTCAGAAATCTACCGTAAAAACTCCCGTTTTTTCAGAAATCTACCGTAAAAACTCCCGTTTTTTCGGAAATCTACCGTAAAAACTCCCATTTTTTTTAAAAATCTACCGCAAAAAACTCCCGTTTTTTTCAAAACCTACCGTAAAAACTCCCGTTTTTTGAGAATCTACCGCAAAAACTCCTGTTTTTTCTGAAATCTTCCGTAAAAAAGTCAAGTTTTTTAAAATTTACCGCGAAAAATAGCTTTTTTAAAAAATCTCCCGTAAAAACTCCCGTTTTTTCAAAATCTCCTGTAAAAACTCCCGTTTTTTTTAAAAAATTTACCGCAAAAACCCCCGTTTTTTTTAATCTCCCGTAAAAACTACTGTTTTTTTTCAAAAATCTCCCGTAAAAACTACCGGATTTTGAAAAAAACTCCCGTAAAAGTACCGCAATTTTTTTTAAATCTCCTGTAAATTTTTCATTTTAGGTTGGCAAGTCTGTGAATGCTATAAACTTGTAGGCATATCATGTTATCAATGAGATGTTTTAAATCTATGATGCTTGTAGGTAATTGATGAAACTGGGGCAGATGTGACTCCTCTTCCACTTCTCCATACAGATCCTAATTCAGTGAGACAGAAACAGAGTAATCTCTTAGGAGATGGCTCTATTGGAACAGTGAGTGAAATATATTTGAATCATTTGATTACAGTGAAACCTGTATATCTGAACACCTCTCTAATCAGAACACCTCCCAATGTGAACACTTTTCCCCAGTCTCAATTTTGTTATCTCCCATAGATTCACATATTAAAAAACCTTGAGATGCACACACCTGCCAATTCAAACACTTGACTGGTCCAAGTAATGTTCAGACAGGTTTAGGTTTTACTGTATTTATGGAAAACACCTATATATGGTACATGTTTCAGAAGCATATTATTGTCATATAGAGAGATTATGATACAAAATGTTCTTATCAGGATTTAAGTCTGAAAAGTGTTTTCATTTGAGAGAAATGTTCATGAGAAATGACAATTACAATTTTACTTTAAATCATTATTTTCCATCTAAAGTTTAAACCACTTTGTCTCGTAATATGCATTTATAGGTATGTATTTTTTTAATTTGAAAAAGTGATTTTGAATGACTTTTTATTTGAAAACTTGTGAATTCAAATATTCTTGTTCTCATGAAAAATTGTCACATTTATCAATTTAGAATAAGCAATGAATAGCATTACTGTATAGCATATATCCTAATCTGTTTTATCGAGTAAGAAAGAAGATCAGTTGAAAACTTTTCTTCATATTTCAACTTTTTTAAATGTTTGTTAACAGATTTTTAATTCGCAAGAAATGCTATCAATTTCAAACTTAAGGTATTGAATTTTAAACTTCAATTGCATTGATTTTCAGCCTACAGATCTTATGTCCCAGGCATCTATTTACCAAACAGGGACTGTGTCCGCCAGTACATTTGGAGGAGGACCTTTTACAAGGTAAAACTTGCCTTTCTCATACATCTATTCACTGATTCAAAATTATTTGTTCAAAACAAAGAACCTTGTAAAAGTTTGTAAAATCTTTGACAAGCCAATCATGAATTATTGCAGTTCCAAATTTTGGAGACATTCTTTCTATCAATCTGGTGTCATGCACTGCTAAAGGAACTTTGATTTTCTTGCCACCCTGTATTTATATATAATTTGATTCACCCTGTAGGTCTGTGTTCAGTCAGTCCCAGTCAGGTGCCTCTGAGTCAGTGGTAGATGATATAGCAGAACCAGCTGCGGAGATGCCGTCTGCTTTTGCTCGTAAGTGTTGTACATGGAAAGATTTTTTTTAATAAAATTTATCCAACATGGAAACCAATTAAAAGATAACATTTAAATATAACACTCTGTAAGTGAAACAATTTTCAGAGCCCTATGAACAATTGAATTAATGTTATATAAACCTCTGCAAGTGGAATACTTTCCAAGTGGAAAATATTTTTTGGACGTACCACACATGTTCCACTTGCACATGTTTTTCAGTATATATATATTTAAATGATAAATTATATCGCCTCAGAATATACCCCATATATAATGTAAAATCTCTGATTTTCAGAAATCACTCACGTGAGAGAAGATGTCAAAGAAGAGCTTACAGAGAGTGACTTGGAGAAGATGGTTGATATAAAACTGACAGAGACAGATACAATATGGATGCTAGACATGCCTGGTGTTTGCGTGCCTGCGGACAGTGATGAAGCAGTCACCGTCAAAGAACAAAATGAACTTTATAAAGAAGTGAGTTTTTGTATTTTTATTCATTTTGAAATGTAAAGATTATGTACAAAGTAGTTTACTGAATCATTGACTTAATGATGAATTTTGTCTGTAGTATTATATTTCTATTGGTTTGCGTTTGCTATTAAAATATGGCTTGCTTTCAGCTGTGTAAAACAAGAGTCGGCAATGACCGCTATGTTGAGAGAGGAGTTACAACATTCAATGAACCACCAAAACTGAAGGTTGTACAGACAACCCGGATAAATCATAATGTAAGTACTTATAAATATGTAGATAGAATTCTAATCTATTTCATTACCATTAAAGAATAATTAAATCAATTTATGTCATGCTTTGTGAATCTCTCGTATTTGCCACCCTGTTGCCCTATTGGGATTTTAGATCGAAGACCAAGTTGTCATAAATAGTTCATGTAAGTGTGGAATGAAAGATCAAAATGTATTGTACAGTTATACCTTTTTATCCCATACTTGGACGTGTTACAGGTACATAAAGCCGGTTTGTAAAAACTTATATTTTCATCAGCGGGCAGATATAGCTTTACGTCCCGCTCCGAGCGGGCAGATATAGTATATCTGCCCGCTACGTCACAATCGCTACTCGCATATTTGTTCATAATTTGTAACGTTCGCGTAATGACTGTAAACGACAATGGAGAAAACACAGACAATCGGGATCTGTTTGATGGTTTAAAAAAGAGAAGGAGCATCAACTTAATCAATCAGAAATTTGGGAAAATAAATGTGGGAATATTTGAGAGAACAGGAAAATCCGCCCACGGCCGAGAAAACAAAACTGGACATGAATATTCTAAAATATTTCCACAATTGAACAATGTGAACCAGATGACCAAGATTGGTATGGGATAAACATATTATCCTATAGTCGGTTCAGGATATTGGGATTATCCCTTGGCCAATATAATATATTTTCCCTCGGGACCTGCGGCCCTCGGGCAAATATATTATATTTGCCTCGGGATAATCCCAATATCCTGAACCTCATATAGGATAATCTCTATATATCCAAACAGCTCTCTCATCTGAATACCTCTTTTTTAATTGGCTGTATATTTCCATGTTAAAATAACGCGAACACCTGTTAATTCAAACAGTTTTTGCCACAGTGGCCCAATGGTGGCCCAATGGTGCTAGACAGGTCTACTGCACTTATAGCACATTGAAGCTGTTGTCAAGCCAAACATTATTCCAAGCATATCCATCCTTTTTAAAGCAACATATTTTTTCTTCAGGATATTGGGATAATGGCAACCACATGGGACATGTATGACACCTATAAACTTGCTGAGGAACTAGAAAAGGGTAGGTGAACATCTGATTGTTTTACAAAGGTAGAAAAGACAGATGAATGGACAAGTAGGCGATTCCATAAGCACATAGATTATAATTTGTTCCTTTAATTTACACTGACACTACCTGCAATGCTAAAGGTCATTGGTAGGCGGTACTTTCTCTAATTTTCACTATCAGTATTTCTTGGAGTTAGCATTGACCTCTACCCAGATTTACGAATGTGGACAATTCAAGGATGCTTTTCTGGAGAAAAAAGTACAATGTACATGCATTATGAGCATATAGACGTTTTCCAATATTTGATTAATGTTCTTCAATGCAACGATTACAGCCAAAGAAAAGGAAGCAGAAGATGAGGAGAATGAAGAAGAGGGTGAACCAAAGGAAGAAAAAACAGATGAAGAGAAAAAAGATGACAGTGCTTCACAAAAAGAGGGTACTGGTATTACAAAACAAGGCACACAAATCAGTATCATGAAATCAGGCTTAGGTATGTATCATATATATACATATATTTTTGCACTTTCCAGTTTTTGGTGTCTATACAACAGTAATTTAATTTTCACAAATTCACACCAGCCACACAAGTATTTCCAAAGCTACAAACATTTAGTGTGGTATGTCAGTTTACAAAGTGATTTCCAAATGTAAAAGAGTAGCGGTTGATAACAAGGCAGTGATTCAAATTAAGAGAGAATTTGAATTTAAATAAAGAATTGTGAGAATTATGTATTGATTATATATTTTCTGGTGTTTAATAATGGACTCAATCACAAACATAATATATTTGCTTTTTCTTTGTAAATATTAAGTTTCAAACTTTTTTTATTATAATTGGATACGTTTTGCCAAATAATAACTCTGTTACTCCTCAATCTAATTAATATCATGTTTGTATGTCTATAAGAATTATCTTGGTATATTTTCAATGAATCTTCAGTTTTCATTGAGTTTGAACATGGCCTTTGATATATTGCCATTCTTCAAGTCCTTGAATGCATCATCAAAGCCATCAAGGCTGTAGACCTTGACCCCTAGCTTTTCATAATCCAGGTAGCGTTCCCCCATAGCAGCTACTAATGGGACTGCCTTAATGAAGGTATAGGGGTTGATCAGGGAACCTACGATTCTTAGCTCCTTCATCATGATATCAGCAGGGCAGATGTTAGCCTTAGACCCACTAGGGCAGCATCCAAAAGTACACAATGTAGCACCTCTACAAAGTAAGGGAAATATGGCCTCAATAGCTCGGGGAGACCCTGTACAATCCATGATTAAATCAAACCCATGAACTGCTGTGTCTACGTCTTTGTACTGTGTTGCTAAGATGTCTGGTGTAAGCACTTTCAAATTGAGCCCAAGGTTCTTTGCAAGTTTTCTTCTCCCATCAGTCGGTTCAGAAAGAGTGATATTTCTGTAGCCTTTGTGGTGAAGCAGAGAGGCCCAGAGGAGTCCAATCATACCAGCGCCAGTTATGAGTATCTTGGCATCATCAAGTAATGGCTGAATCATGTCCCATCCACGTTGGAGGCAGGACATTGGCTCACATAGGGCACTGGTAGCAAGACTCAAATCTGCTGGGAGGGAAAACACCTGGGCTACAGGGACCACACAATACTCTGCCCACCCTCCATTCTGGAACATTCCAATTGCTGACCTACCACCCCCTGTTGGGCAGTAATTAGGCTGGCCTTTGAGACAGAATGCACATTTCATACAGGAGCTGTTTGGATCAACTGCAACATTATCTCCAATTTTGAATCCAGTCACCTCTCCTCCAATATTCTCTACAGTTCCAGTAAACTCATGCCCCATGACAACTTTTTCAGCTGCTGGAAACTCTTGTTTCATAACATGGAGATCAGTCCCACATACGCCACTGTAAGCCACCTTGATGAGCAGTTGGTCTGGCTTGGTAATCTGGGGTTTCTCCAGTGAGACCAGTTTCACTGACCCTCTGCTAGCATCCCAGTGGAGAGCCTGCATTTCTGAAATGCAGAAATAAACAAATAGGTGAAAATCGCTTATTTTGTGAAAATCTTCTTTTTATTGGAAAACTTGAGAGAACAGATCTTAGAATCCAAGAATGGGGAGACTATATTCCCATCCTTCGTCAAATATTGTTGTTTAAAAAAAAACAAGTATGATTGAATAACAGGATTTTAAACAGAATTTTTTGTCAGTATAAATGAGTTCATTGCTTTTTACCTAATATCATGAGTTATATTGGTTGCAAATCTGCTTTTACTCCACAGTTACTGACATTCATAGGTAAGGATATCATGTCAAAATAATTTTTCTGTAACCAGTGTAAAGATAGATATACCATTTGGCAAATTTTCACTTAACCATGAGATACAGCATCATATCCATTACAGATTCTTACTACTTGACTCGAAATGAGGCTGATAGGAATCAGTCAGTTTGGAAAATTTAATTTGAATCATTTAAACACTCTTTAACTACTGTATTGAATAGAAAGAACATCTTATGATTTACTCATGGTATGATTTTTATCCACTTCTTGATATTAATTTTCTTAACATACTCATTCAGCATTCTTGTAAAGATATCATATCCATTTGCCATAAGAATCATATCTCTAACAAAACAGACAAAAATCATATCACTGATAAATCAAAGGATTTCCTCTTGATATAAATCATAGGATCCTAGGATATCATCTAGATCTTCATATTCAATGTATTTTGTGTATACTAACTTGAAAATTGAGGTTGTCCTGTAGAGTTTGAATTGATAGACTAGTCCCATGCAGTACAGGAGAGAAAGGGGAGTGTTATCACCAAATTGTTATTATTATGTATGTATGTAACAAATTAGATCACTGGACTCCTTGAACTGATAGTACTCCAATGAATGGTTTATCATTAACTTGATAGTTCAAGGCTAAATCCCTATTCATCAAATTCATTATGGTAATGCTACCGTAAGGTGAATTGCATTAATTTTTCGCCAGAGGTAGGAACAACTGAAGCCTTGTGAATTAAGATGTTTTTCACATCATCCTGAAAAGTTGCCATTGCAAATACACACTTATCAGCAATGCTCATTGTGCCTATATAAACATGAAATAACTGGAAACATTAATTATGTGATTCCATATATTTATTCAGTCAACTTACCTCAATTCAAGACTGGACTCTTTGGATTTCTTAATTCCCACATTATGAAAAATATAATGAAGAGAGATGACAATGATGAATCTTACTTGTATTGTAATTTTCAATATTTGAAGACTTATGTGTTGATATGAGCTTTGGTTTCAGTTTCAGTTTCAATAATCATAATGTACAGAATATGTGAAGGGGTCAAGGGCAGAGTACCAAAATGACACTTATTCCTGACAAAAGATGAAAAGAAACATGTTTTCCATAAATCCTGCATGGACTCTATGTTTATGTTGATTAAAACAAAAGTTATTTGAAAATCTTTGTAATTCAAATATTTTGTTTATTTAAAACTTATGAAAACATATGGGACAATAGTATAAAACAGATAAGATATGCTGACCACTTCTAACTTGAATTGCATTTCAGTTTTCTTTATGCAATGCAAATACAAATAATAAGTAAATAAATAAGATATGTTTTTTTTCACAATTTATTCACAGTAAAACCTGTATAAGTGGAACACATTTGGTACTTCTAAAAAAGTGATTGATTTGGCAGGTTACCCAGGTTACTTTAACATTGAGTCAATAACACAAATGCGAGTACTTATTATTGTATTTCTTTTCAATGATGTTCATATGTGTATTACAGAGAGTCAAGGAACTATGATGTCTACTGCTAGTAGTATATTTGGTAGCAAAGAATCTGGAGTCAGTGCAGTTTCTGATGTACAATCAACTGGAAAAGATGATATTCTAAAGGTAAACAAACATTGACCAACATGTTGCACCATATTTTTGACCATGTTTCCTCGAAGAACCTCATTTATGAAAATCAGTCCGGGTTCTTACCAGGCCATAATACACAGAAGCAACTATTTTCTATTGTTTATATGTTAGCCGATAATTTTGACTCTAACCTAGCAACCCGTGGAATATTTTTAGACGTGGAAGGTGCATTTGACGCAGTCCCACATTTTTTGTTACTCCATAAGATGAAATCTTATGGATTAGGCAACAATATTATAGAGTTATTGACCTCATATCTAACAGATAGGAAATTAAAAGTAAGGATCAATGATACTTATTCAGACATTTCATGTAATGCTGAAACTGGTGCAAATATTCCTCAAAATCTTCAAAATCGAGACTCTAGATCCTATGAAATAAATAGTGGGGTTCCCCAAGGATCAATTCTTGGCCCCCTATTATTTTTGTTATATATTAATGACTTAGCAGACTCAGTTCATAATTGTAAACTTTTCTTATATGCTGATGATAGTTTGATCTTCTTGACAGTACCAAAGAATGAATCAGTTGAAACAACAAATCAAAAAATTCAATCAGATATCAATGAAATGGCTAATTGGTCCACTAAATGGAAACTCAAATTTAAGGCATCTAAGAGTAAGGAGGTTATCTTTCAATCTAAACACACACGAAAAGTTAAGAAACAAATTCCAGTAACAATGAATAATGAGCAAATACCTCTTGTAAATAGCCATAAACATTTAGGCATCATTTTAGACAAACACCTTAGCTTTGAAGAACACATTAACTCAGTGATTACTAGGTGTAATAAAATGTTAAATCCATTAAAAGCACTCAAATTTTCAGTAAGATCAAAACACTTACAGACAATTTACATGGCATTCATTCTCCCACATCTCGAATATGGCAATATTATTTTTGACAGCGCAAATCTAAACCTCTTAGCAAGTTTAGATAGAGTCCAATATAGAGCGGGTCTTATTGTAAGTGGTTGCATCCAAGGGTCAAACTCTGAGAAGGTGATGGCATGTCTTGGATGGAGATCCTTATCCAATCGAAGAAAAGAAAAAAAACTAGTTTTTATGTTTGACTTTGTAAATAATTATAAGATGCCTTCATATGTTTCAAATGTTTTTGAACAGTATAAGAATCAGGTAACCCACCAAAGACTTCGTCGTAGCAATGATTTTAAGATCCCATTCAAAGCATCTGCTAAACTTAGAAAGTTTACAGCTTTATCCAGTATTAAATTATGGGATAATTTACCTGATGAACTGAAACAAGCACACTCACGCAACTCATTTAAGTATAAAATTAGAACATTTTTGAATGGGAAAAAGAAAGAATTCACAACCCCAAGATTAAACCTATCCAGAGATAAAGAAATTGTCTTAAATAAAACGAGATGTGATCTCATTTTTAGGCAGCATCTTTTTACACATAACTTCAAAAATATTCCAAATGCCAAATGTAAATGTGGTCACTCTACTGAATCAACCAAACACCTATTGCTCCATTGCCCTCTTTTTAACACTCAAAGACTCAATTTTCACAGAGAACTAGGGGGACTGCCATCCTTTAATTTAAACTCTTTTAATAATAGAAAACAGGAGGACAGGGTAGACTTTTTACTTTTTGCAGATCCTTCTCTTGACACAATTACAAATAAAAAGGCTATTGAATTAACAGCCGAGTTTTTACACTCTATTGTCAAGGAAGTTAAATAGTCCAATATTCATTAATTTATACATATATCTCTGACCTGTCTTCATGTTTTCAAGATTATTTTCATGTTCATAAATATGTTCTATATCTATCATTTTTACATTATGACCTATTTTAACTTATATTGTAACTACTTCAACAGGGCCAATAATGCTTCGGCGTAGGCCCTGTATCTGTTTGTATGATGTATTATGAAATAAAGGAAATATAAAAATTTAAAAAAACATGTTGCACCCAGGCTGGTTGAAGTTTCCAATTTTCAGACATGCTTGCATTTTTTACCTTATTTCTAAGAACTGGGCCAAAACTTGACCATCTTGACTAAATAGTTTATTGAAATTTGTCTTTTTTGACCAAAAATCTCATTTTCAAGAAATTGTTGAATTCCTTTTGAGAACCTATCCTGGGTCTGTGTACTATCCACCAATTATGCTATACTCCTGCTCATGCACATTTAAAGTGTTTAACCCAGTTAAGGCACATAACTGATACCATTAAGAAATGTGATGATCCATTGTCTCTTTCTGAATTATGCATTTTTAATATTTTATCAGATTTACATTAAATAGACCTTTAAATTAAAAATGAACCTTTAAGTTGTTCCATGGATTTCATTTGTAAATTGTAATACTGTTATTTTACTATACATGTACTTGTATATATTTTACTTTTAGTCTGATAGTTTGCGTAAAGATCTGTTCGTCATGGAGCGTGTGGTGAATAATAACACATACCAACCTAAACAAGCCTGCTACAGGGGCTTTGACATAATACCAGGTATACTGTTTTAATATTCTTCAGCAGAAGGGGCAATTTCATATTAATCTGATCGAGCAAGTTAACTTTACAAAAATATTTCATTTTGAAACAGTGAAGAATACACTGGTTTGCCAATTGTACATGTCACCCCTAATATCACTGATTCTGCCTTTAAAGTTCATAAACATCATAATAACTTTCCTGCAAAATGAATTCGTCTTTCAATGTTTTTAACTTTAAAAAGTAGGCTTTTAACCTTCTCCTAAAATAGAATTAACGGTCAAACATAATCAAGACTTGTAATACTAATACTATTAGTGTCTGAACTCTGAATGGAGTTCTTGAATACATAATAGCATATGTATAATACAATTAGTATTCACATGTACAAAAACATGAATTGATTGCAGACATTGACAAAGTGACAAAGGAAGACACAATGCTTGGGGCACTGGAGGAGATGGGGCCCAACTTAGACAGACTTTGGTCATTCTCATGTCCACTTACAAAGGGAAGGAATGTTAGCTGCATGTCTTGGAACAGAGCAAATCCTGTAAGTTAATGTTCAGTTGTTTATCATGGAATACACAGTCAATGTGCAACAAATATGGCACCATTTGAGCTACAGTATCATACAGTACAATGATATCGGAGTGGTGATTGAGGGTGAAAGGGAATAACAGGATAATTTTATTCAGCAAAAGATATGAACATTTAAATCATATTTGCAACATTATAAAGTAAGAAAAAAGAAAATATTCAAGGATATAATAACAACAAATGCCAAAGAGCTGTAACTTTTGCTATGTTTGCTGTAACAGCAATAATAGATACTACATAATAGATACTATTGATGTTTACTTTTCAGGACTTAGTTGCAATAGGGTACAGTCAGTTTGAGTTTACCAATCAGAAAGGAGGCTTAATATGCTGCTGGTCTTTGAAAAATCCAGAGGTAAGTTGAAATGAAGTTTGATGTTCATTGTTGTTCAAATAAAGAATGATTGAATTGTACCACATAAACCTTTTTAATGAACAGAAGTACTGAAAGGATAAGGGTGGTTTTACTGAACATTTTATTTATCTCCAACATCAGTGAGTGGATTAATTTCTAAACTGTACATTTCAGTATCCAGAGCGTATCTACACTTGTAGTTCTGGGGTGACTGCCATGGACTTCTCCACTGCACATGCAAATCTGCTGGCTGTAAGTACCATTTTTTTTATGTACATTATCCCTCATCAAATTTTATATCATTTGCAATGTGATTTCCACGGAAAGTGGTGCAAGTTTCATGAACAACAGAGAAAAATCTAGATTGTGTCAGATCAGCAGAGATATTTTTTAAAGATTATAACTTTGAAAAAAGTAACTAATGTTCCAATACATTTTTGATGTGGGTCAACCTGAAATATAATTGAAGGGGATAACAGTGGGTTTCTGGCCTGATCCCTTTACCAACTAAATGTATAGTATAAATGACATATTAGGAAATCTCAAGACATGGGAAGTAGCCTGTTTTACTTACTCTGAATATCCAACAAGTGTATATTACATCATTTTGTAGGTTGGATTGTATGATGGCACAGTAGCAGTGTATAATGTTCGCAATACAATCAATGCCCCCATCCTTGATAGCCTGTAAGTATGAACTGTAATTTTGTAAAGAAGGCTTTTAAATATTCAGGATTATCAGGGGTATCCAGTCAGGATTCATTGTTGATGAATACTTGTAAATATTTCTGTAGGAGGGAATTGTCATTAAAATTCGGCTTAAAATCAACCATTGTATTTCTGCTCTACCTTCCAACAACATTAGAAAAAATATTTGATAAAGGATGACATGAGATAAAAAGTTGAGACTAATAAATTGTAAAATGTTTCTCCCTATCACTTTCATGAATGCAAATACAATTTTATAATAAGAAATATCTCGATTCAAAATTAAAACGAATGAGCTTATAGGTTGCTTAGGTTATACTGTATAACATACTGATGCTTTTTAGAGATTTGAAGATCGACCCACAGAGGTATGCTATCGCACGTAACAGAGAATCTCATCTAGTGAATTGTCTATGTTTTTTATAATGTAATAATGTATGTGTCTGTCAATGTATCATACTTCTTCTAACAGCCTCACTGAGGAATTCTTTCATGCACGTAATGTTAATAAAGCACATATATTGTAATGATATTCTGTTTTATAATAGTCTTGCATCAGACCCCTTATTTACCTCATTTTCTCAAGACTTGGGTAAATCCATGTACCGTAGATTAGATAGTAAGGACATGGTTGAAACTTGTATGTAAGACTATGTTAATTAATATTTGTCTTCTATTTTAATAGTATTTGTCCAATACTCTATTCTTTTAAGAAACAATCTTAATTTAAAATATTATCCAATAATTTTAGAAACCCGCAGAAAATGCCAAGTGTTCTAAAATGTGTGTTCAAAGAACAGAAATGGGATAAACAATAAACAGATCATTCTATACTCATTTCATGATGTTAGGCCTATCCCTGGGCCAACATAATATATCTGCCCTTTGGGCTTCAGGCCCTCAGGCAGATACATAATACTGGCCTAGGGATAATCCCAGTATTCTGATTCTGAACCTCATATAGTATAATCTCTATAGATTTACCATCACTTTAATATTGATGTATTTTGCATCAAGAACTAGCTTTATATGAGTTTTTAAAAATGATGTCTGAACATTGCACAATGTTAATTGCATTACCATTACCTTAAAGATTTTAATTTAAGAGGAAAAAAGGCTCCAAAACTTAAATTTCATTAGAAATTTCTCTTTCATTGGAAATAAATCACATCAACCAATGTATAATATGCAACTCGTGATTCAATACTTCAGTCAAATAGCCTTCATTTTTTATTATGATGTGTATATTTCAAGGAATTTTGTGTATTGTTTGTGGAATAATGGACTGTCTGTGTGAAATGCTAATATTCTTTTAGACATAATCTATTTTTTGGTATTGTTTTGAACATGAAAGTATATGTTAAAATGTTGATGTTGTTGGGCATGTATCTTATCCTTGTACCATTAGAAATTGTTACTTTATTTGTAATTTTTTCGAAAAGAAAACTTAAATCAGTATCACCAATTTAATATGTTTTATGATCAGATATGCCTTAGACGAATTCTCAATGAAAATTCATGTCACAGGAACAGAGTGGATGATGACTGGTGAATTGTGGAGACATAGTGTTTTTTGGCTTACAGAATAGGTTAGATATGTCCAGGTTAAAGAATTATGGTTTGACACAATCCCCCAAGAAATCTTGCTTCAATACTGTCGACCCCCCTTATCTTCTTCACCAACATAGAAGACCTTGTGAGAAGGTGTGTAGTGGTGAGGGGAGGGGTGGGTCACAAGGGCCTGTAGTTAGACTATCCTCCTAGGACAGTTGGATCTAGAAGCTATAAATATTAATCGCTCTATTGTTTATATTTTAGTGAATCATCCGGCAAGCATACTGGTCCTGTGTGGCAATTGAGTTGGATTGAGAAGGAGAGAGGGTCAGGAGATGAGAGAATGGAGGTGTTGGTTTCAATATCAACAGATGGAAGAGTTACACAATGGTATATAAGGAAAGGTTTTGAATGTGCAGGTAAGGATTGAGTATAAAGCTGAACAATATTTTAAAGAGTACTTATATCCTTTTATGTCGCAATTTCGAAATTTTGCAGAGAAAATATAATCATTGAATTTGTTTACAATGATTGAACCACTGTGAACCACCATGTGATAACTTATATCTCCACTTGAACACAATTTGCAAAATGATACAAGAATATACAAATTTATAATTGATAGATCTGATGCGGTTAAAGCGAGTGACTCCAAAGCAAGGTGCCCCAGCGATTGCAGCTGGCAAGGCCAAGGAAAAGAAAGGAGATGCCCTTATAGCAAGACAGGCAGGGGGAATGTGTTTCGACTTTAGTGCCAAAGATTCAAATATGTAAGTGAAATGACTTTGAGCTACTTCGTACTAGAATGGCAGAATTGTGATCAAACTTGGAGGCATTATAAGTAACATTTCTGAACTAATTTTCTTCATAATGAAAACCCAGTCTTCACATTTTGTTTTTGAGTTAAAATATCGGAATACAATTAAAATCCACATTACTAAAACGAGACTAAATTGCTTTGCTTACAACAAGTGTTGCATTGAAATTGAAACTCAGGGATGATATCTTGTACTTCAGATACTTAGCAGGGACTGAAGAGGGCCACATACACAAGTGTTCCTGCTCTTACAATGAACAATATTTAGAGAGTTTCTTTGGTCACACGGTAAGTTTTACTGTACTGTATTTATAGAATTTAGATCACCTCCTACAAACATTGAGTTATTTATTTTCGTTTCAGATAAATAAAGAAAATGTATTCTGATTCCAATTTATACACATGTACAATAATTTTTTCAGGGTCCAGTGTATAAGATCCAGTGGTCACCATTCATTCCTGATGTATTCCTAAGTTGTAGTGCAGATTGGAGTATACGACTATGGCTACAAGACAGATTACAACCTGTCTTAAACTTTTTCTCATCAACAGTAAGTTACAAATATTTGTTTCATGTAGACAACCCTCTAGAAATTCATCATTGCATGGAGGTTCTTCTAAGAATTCTGGGTTATTTCCTCCTCTTGTATAAATCTCTATTTTATTTCAAAAATGTCAAAATGAAAGAGAAATATAAAAAATAAAAAAAAGGTTTGAACATTAGGTTTTCGGATGAAAAGGCACATGTGGAAAATCCTTTACAGTATGAGTAAATAAGACTGAAACTTATTTCTTTTCAGAAAGCTGTCCATGATATGTGCTGGTCTCCACGGTCCTCCACTGTGTTTGCATGTGTCAATGAGGGGGCAGTAGAAGTATGGGACTTAAGCCAGAGCACGTATGTTCATTGACCTATCTCTCTTAAGCAAGAATCTATATGTTAATAAATTGTTTTTTACAAGTACCTACCTTTTAATTGTGTAGCAGGTTGTCCTGCTAGATACATGTTTCTTTGTAATTGATGACTATAAATAAATAATTATGACAACAGCAGGATTGAAATCATTTTGCCATAATATTGTGTTTGACATTTTACAATTTCAGACTTGACCCAATCATTGTAAATACAGCAAACAGTGGGGTGAAGTTTTCTTCAGTCTCATTCTCCAGGAATTCAGAGGTAAATTTTCATCACCTTTGTATGAGGTCACTTCTTACACTGATTCTAGATGTAATCACTTTTGTTAGTTGGTAGGTGGTAATCTTACTGTTGACTGGGAACAAAAATTAAGGTCAACAGTTCTTTCTAGGCTTACAGCTGAGGTATGGTTGATCAAAGAGAGGAGTTAACAATTGTTTGATTAAAAATATTTGGGAAAATACATCTGGTTGATAATCTAAAAGCAATGCAATCCTGCATTGAAATCCTGGGATCAATTATTGCTACCAAAACCTATCTAGTATATTTTCAAACTGTACATTTATATGTAAGAAATAGAAATAAGTGGTTAATGACACCTCAATAGATGTCATTATAGAACCCTATGGGTCAACAGTCAACAGTACATTGTAGCAGCTGTTGACTTTTAATGAACCAATTGCAGTTTGGACAAAGTGCCGAAATGCCATGCACTAGCACGTTTCTTTAGAATTTAATTGAATAACTATGTATAATTTGGGTGAATTCAAATGTCCAGTTGAATAGTTAATACTGCACACCTCGTGTAAGAAGCCTTCAGTTCAAAACATTTTTTATTCCAGAGTATATTAGTAGGAGACAGTGAGGGTCAAGTGACAGCATTCCAACTGCGCTGTATGCCTAAGCCACCTAAACATCAGGCTGATGCTCTACATAAGATCATCAAAAGTTCTCTAGCGAGTCAGATGCAAGGATCTAAGGACACTAAAGACACTCCAAAAGAGCCAAAATAAACTCTATTAAAGCTCTTTTCTCTTGAGAATTTAGAATCTTAGTTCGTGTTTCCAAGGCCAGAGATTCAGTCGTAAATTCTGGTATTTTTGGTGTACAAAGAGTGATGGACAGTCCTAGTGTAGCTAAGTGGTTCAAAATTGTCTCATAGATTATTTTGAGCGATTGAATTCTTCCGCACAAAGACAGCTGTCATTGAGTAGTCTCTTCAGTGGAGTCATGTGTTAATTATAACATATTGTGATACAAACAATATCCATGAAAAGAATGAATGAAAATGGATCTCTTATATACACATGTATGTATGTACAGTACATGTATGTTTTTTATTGACATTTGTGTCATAACAATGATATATGGGTCAAAAAATTCCGTCCAAACATAAATTATCTTGTATAATTTTATATAGTTTATGCTCAACTTTGTTGAACCATTTTTATATTTGCATTATTTATGGAAATATTCTGTTAACTTATTTAATATAAAATAAATAAAAAATGTTCAAAAATGAAACTCAACTTGGTTTCTTGAGGTTCAAATACATAAATGAAGCAATAATACTTTATTGATGGACCAGACAATTATACAAAATGGACCAAATGCAAGTAGTGCATAGAAGAATGAGAACTTGGAAGACAGCAACTCCCAAGAATAGAAAATCCCACGGAACAAAGAAATATCAATTTACACATCATTTTGAACATTTCATGATAGAAATAACCAGGTAGTAGTATTGTCTGTTTTTGGCAAAATCTTCACTCATGATGTTACTTATATAACTTTACTTGACTTAGATTAAGGGACAAAATCTTAAACAAATCTGACAAGTGGTTTATTTGAGGAAGGTCTATCAAAGATTATTTATCACAAAAAATGCAGCTATAAACAAGTGTTCATCAATTAGTTTTTTTTCATGAAAAATCGAAGTCCTTTTGAATTTGGAGGTCATCCTATCTCCCCAAGGTCTTTAACATTTGAACCAAGTCTATGTGCTGGTGTTTGGGTTATCGATGATTCACAAAATATGGCAGCCAGTTTAAGCAACTACTTTTATTGAACATTAATACTTGAGCAGAGGTTTTATGCCCTTAAGGCATGAACCAAAAATATGAACCAAATCCAATAAACGATACTTGAGTTATGGCAAAGATGGATGGAGAGACAGCTTCTCTATATCCCAATTGAACTTTGTTCGATAGGATAATTTTGGGTGGACCAAAGACAAGAATTTGATCTATGAATAATTGTACATTTCAAAAGTACTAATAAATGTTTAGATTGATAGACTGTAATATTTATTCATGATCTTTACTAATTGATGTAGAACTACATGTCAAATAATAAAATGTATTTGTACAAAATGAGATAAAAATGCTTCAAAGTATAATTCTACACATGTTCAATGTACTTTGATTTTTCTCAATTCATCTACATTATTGAAAGATTCAAATAGATATACATACAGTATTATTTTTATATTATGACAAACAACGCCACACTACTTATTATTGATTATATATTGTTAAACATAATTCAATTCCTAATACGCTAATACATAGATATCTGATCAAACAGAAGTTATATTATTGGGGATCTAAAATGAAAAACTCTGACACAAAGTCAGAACTTCTGAACCTTTTAAAAAAATAGGCAACTATCAACTCAACTCATCCCAATCCCTTTTACTGCCTCAAGTAATAATGATCTTCAAATACTAAAAGCTAATATTTTATACAAGTACACCACGCTTTATATTTGAGGCTCAACTCTTGAAACAGTCAACAATCTTTAAACAAACAAAATGATCCCAAATATTTAATCTAAAAAAATTGTGATGTCTCATTAGTTTAAATGAAAACACAAAATGAAATGCATCATATTAGAAGTGTAACTAATAAATATTTGAGTCGCTTTTAAAAAAATAAATAGTACTGTGGGTACTGGGCTCACATGGTGTTGCTCAAAAGTGAATGATGGCTAAAATGGCAGAAAATAAAAAAAAATTTTGCCGATTTTTTGTAACAAAATCATTTCATACAACTACTCTTTATAGTGACATGGCATTTTACAACACAGGACACCTGAAATTATTTGTAAAGCTAGGAAATGGGCCAAACGTGAATTTCGCGAGACAAAAATGGTGACCATTTTGAACATAGGTGAGCTTTTGAACCAGGAGTCATAGGGGATTTTTAATTCTATATTGATGTTGAACAAAAATAACTTAAAACGAGAATCCTATTGACAGAGGTTTTAAGGCAAATGGTCCTAAAGTGGATTTCGCGAGACAGATGGACAAATCAAGGTTAACTAAATGGCTGAAAAAAAAGCGGATACAATTTTTTGCCAATTTTTTGTAACAAAATTATTTCATACAACTACTCTTTACAGTGACATGGTTTTTTACAATGCAGGACACCTGAAATTATTTGTAAAGCTAGGAAATGGGCCAAAAGTGAATTTCACGAGACAAAAATGGTGACCATTTTGAAAATAGGCAAGCTTTTGAACCAGGAGTCATAGGGGAGTTTTCTGTATTGATGTTGAACAAAAATAAGTTAAAACAGGAATCCTATCGACACAGGTTTTAAAGTAAATGGTCCAAAAGTGAATTTCGCGAGACAAAAATGGTGGCCATTTTGAAATTAGGCGAGCTTTAGAACCAGGAGTCATGGGGGGTTTTTGATATTGATGTTGAACAAAAATAACTTAAAACAGGAATCCTATTGACAGAGGTTTTAAAATGGGCCAATTGTTGACAGATGGACAGACAGACCAACAAGTGAGTGATTGCAATAGCTCACCATGTGAGCTAATGATCACGCATGATGATACTTCTGCATAATATTCATTAAAATCTATGAATTTAATTTTTGAAAAAATGTGTTCTTGGATACTCCCTTTAATTTATTCTGAATCATTGTTACAAACTTGGAAACCATACATCTCCTGTTCACCATCATCTTTCTCAATCTTAACAACCACATTCTCAAGAGTTCCCACATCTGTGTTGCTCACAAAATCAGATAATAATTTTTCACGAGAAAGTGACGTTTCTGCTCCTGCATTTTCCCCACAGTTGCAGAGTGCTTGACTGCCATTTGTATGATTGTGGCATGTTGAATAGTCATCATCTATCGGCTCAGTCTTGACTACAACTTCAAAGTCATTCTCTCTATCATTTAGTTGGGTTTCACTTACATCAGAGATTCTTTTATTCAATTTTGGTCTACCTCTTTTCTTCTTCCTTTTTACTTCATCTGGATTTTTACGTGGTCTCCCACGCTTACGTTTGAGTATTTGATAAGGTTCAACAACATCATCATTTGTTCTCTCATCCTCATCCGCTGGCTCAATCTTGAAATCATCATCTGCACTATCAGGCTGTGTGTCATGATCAAGGTCAGTATTCTTTTTTAGCTTTGGTCTACCTCTTTCCTTCTTCTCTGTAACTTGATCAGGATCCTTCCGTGGTCTTCCTCGCTTGCGTTTAACTCCATCTGTCCCTTGCACAGTCTTGTTTTTTAACGCTTTGATTGATCCACGAAGGTCTTGACTCCAACCATATTTTTTGGGTTTGTCAACTTTCTTGAATTCTTTTCCTGAGTAAAGTTTTTCCATTAGAGCTTTAAAGACATCATCAGGTTCATTCTTTAATGTTGGATGTGCAGCTTTCAACTGTTGATGTATCTCGGATTTATAATGTTGTCTTAGTCTAGGTGCCTTAGCATAAGCTCTCTTGCAAACACCACACTCATATAGATTCTCGTACCCAGGGTGGTAGACACCTATGTGAGAAAGTAACGATTCAATCTCATTCGCAGCATATTCCTCACACATAGGACATGGATAGGGTCTGTTTGGATCATGTGTGGTCATGTGATTTGCCATATTGCTTTTGTTGGAGAACTGTCTCGGGCACTCGGGGCACGTGAAAGGCATCACATGGTCTGGGTTATGCTTTTCTAAATGTCTTTGCAGGTTCTGCTTTGATTTAGTCATATGGTTGCACTTATCACATTTGAACATTATCTTATCTTTATTTTCAGTATGCATGTTCTTTTTATGCTTTGCGAGATATTTTTGACAAATAAATTTTTTATGACACAAATCACATTGAATATTTTTTTCTCCTAAATGTACATCCATATGTTTCTTAAGATCTCCAACCATTTTAAAGCGAAAGTCACATATTCCACATTTAAAAGGTCTCGTATTTGCATGCTTTCTCTGCTTATGTTCCTTAAGTTCCCAAGGACGCTTGCATTTAAAATTGCAATTAGGGTCTTCACAAAGAAATGGCTTCTCATCAGAGTGGTGAATAAATTTATGCCATTTTAGATCAGATGGTAACGCAAAGCAGCTTGAACATTCCTCACATTTGTGCTTTTTCTCAGCCTTCTCATGTATTTGTCTTGTGTGATGTCTTAAGTTAGAGTTGTATTTTGATTCATAGTCACATCCCTCAAAAGTACATCTGAATACCCTTAACTTATGCGCCGCACTATTGTGTCTATAGACATTGTCCCGGCTATTGCTTGAGAAGTCACAGTTGGGTTCAGGGCAAGGGAAAAATTTATCCTTTACTTTTGGATGCTCTTTCTTGTAATGAGTTCCCATATCATCTTTGCCCATACATGTGAAATGGCAATATTTACACTCGTATGTTTTCGCTGGTCGTCCAGCTCCAGAAGCTCTTTTACGACCATCTGTTTTCTTATCCCTCTTCGTCTTCGTCTTTTCCTTCACTTCTTTGAAGCTTTGTCTCCACAAGTTAGCATCATATACAGAAACTGAAGCAATCTCTTGGTCATTTATTGATTCATTAAGCTCATCAGATGCTTCAGTTTTAATTTCATCTATTGAAAGGTCAATTTCATCATTATTGTCACATATGAAACTATCGCCTTTCTCTATATCGGCATGTGTGAAACTATCTTTGTCTTTAATGTCATTTATGAAACTATCATCTTTGTCTTCATTGTCACTCATGGCAGTATGATCTTTATCTTTATTATCTCCTATGAAAGTATCATTTTCATCTTGATCATCACTCATGAAAGTATCACCTTCTTCTTTACTGTCATCTGTTAAGCCTTCATCTTTAGTGTCACATGCTTCACCATCTGTATTCATATTGTCATTTGTTAAAGTGAACTGATTGTTTATATTGACACCTTCATCTGATGACTGGATAGTTACACTCTCTTCATGTAAATCTGACATCTCTGTTGATTCATCTGAAAATAAATGACAATAATATTTTACTCAAGGCATGAAGGTTGGTCCCACTCTATGTAATAATTGAACCAACTGAAAGAAAAAGACAAAGAATGAGTTATGTGTACCTTAAAATAACACGAGACTTCAATTAGGAAGGCATTAAAATTTCAGAGCATGAGCCTTTACAGTCAAAAAGTTGATTTTTGAAAATGTTCAATTCCTTGTTTCAAATCCCTCAGCCTACTTACTATAAATGTGGATCAATTGATTGAGTGTGTTGAGTTCCGCCATTTCGAAACCTGTCACATCAATCCTCCTTGGATCACAAACATGGCGTTTCATGAAAATATTTGTTCGATTTGGTAGGAATTTATCCATCATTTGCGGGTATGAAGCTTTGGATTCATTTATTGTGCTACTTACAGTGGGGATCATAAAGAATTGCAAAAGCTATGAAAATTACATGCTGTCGCACATGTAATAAATTCTTACCTCAGTGTATTCAGTGCTCTATTTTCTCCGTCTTAGTAAGTCCAAATATAGTGGAATTTGTGTCCCTAATGACAAATAAGAACTTCAAAAGTTGAATTGGATATTCACATGTTATGCCGACTCTTCAAATGTTGAGGTGATTTTGTCGCCCGATTGCGCCAGAACGGAGGATTGGCTCCCAGAATGCAACATGACACGTGCGAGCTTTCAAAATGCTGTTCCGCCATTTTGAAACCTGTCATGAGTAAATACGGTTAACTGATGTTGCATTCTGGGAGTCAACCGTCCTTGGATAACAAACATGGCGATTCATGAAAACATTCATTCGATTTGGTAGGGATTTATCCATTATTTGCAGGTATGAAGCTTTGGATTCATTTATTGTGCTACTTTAGTGAACGGGAATTATTTTTCTACCGCTTGGGAGAGTTTGAGACACGAAACTTGGAAATAAGCTCATTGTGACAACTTGTGAACGTTGAGTTTTATTTTTGTCCCCCACTGTAGAGTGAACGAGCATTATTTTTCTATGAAACTTAGAATTTAGCTCATTGTGACAACTTTTGATGGTTGAGGTTTATTAATGTCTCCGACTGTACTGTGTAGGTCTATTCCAATAAGCTAATTAGACAATGGCTAATTAGGCTAAAAAAAGTCAAGTTATAAAATTTCTTCCAAGAAAATTAAAAACCTTTTGAAGACTAATTACTGAATTATTATAAAAGTTTATGGCTCCGTAAAGCCAAAATTTCCAATAGGAATTAAGATAATGAAATATATTTTACATTGACTGTAGATCTAAATATTTACAAAAATATGAGGGCGATAGACTAATAATCTAGAGTATTTTTAATTTGGATATTATTGGTAAGAATAGGGGCCGAATACTTTCAAGTAAACTTGCGAAAATTAAAGGGATACATAGAAATGCAAGGGTAAATACAGTTTAAAGTCAAATTTCTTATCAGTTTTGAATATACCGGGATAAAATACCCACCAACAAAGGACCAGCTTTCTACTTCCTGGACGAAGCTCTTCTGTATTGGAGGAAATAATAAAATGGCGGTCGCGGTCAAAGCATGAACATTCGACATTTCAGGTAATATTGTCTTATTAGGGGTGAAATTGGGACAGAATGGGGTTCTTAAAGAATCTTTTATAAAATAGCTTTCGATTTAAATACATAAATTTCCGGAGATTATTGCGAATACATTGTAAATTGATCTGTAAAAATATTTTCCAAAAACATGAAAAATTCAAAAATTTCATTTGAATCCAGTAGGCCGATACTTACGCTTGGATCAAGAGAGGAAATCCTGGGGCCGTGAATTCGTGCGATCCCCAATCCAATCCGCATAAATTTTATCTTTTGGGATAAATCTTGGATTACTAATCCGATAAATATTTGGTGAATTCATACGATTCCGAGGATTATGTGGGGGAATGCCCAAGTTTGCATTGGAATTTGGATAAAATTTATCCAAAGAGTAATCCACCTCAAGAGGTGGATTGAGATTTATCCTGAGATTAATCCCAAGGTCGTACGAATTCACCGACTTTTGGATTAATTCTTTGATTATCCCACAATGCATCATTACTATGACAAAATTTATCCGGATCGGATCTCGGATCGTACGAATTCACCGCCCCAGGTCTTTAAAGATGACACACACAATTACGTCTCTTGCTTACTATCTTCGTTTGTCAGAAATATAACAAGCTAAAACAACACGTCATTGTGATATTTAATTGATGTTTCACCTAAGAAAGGCAAGCAGTTCAATGAGAAAAATAAGAGTTACCTTGTGATTGTAAATGTGATCCTCCCGCGCCTACCAGATGGTGGTATACATTGAGTGATTTGAACCCTGTCAGTTTAATTTTGTCAACATAGAACACGAGTGGAGTAATCCATATATAGTAATTAGCACAAAATTAGTCTTCGTAATTTTTCAATGTTTCCATTTTCGTATCTTTGCGCACGTGATGTTGCCTCTATCATGAAATTTATATGATTGTATCATTAGTCACAAAATTTATTATATATTGTAAAAAGTCTAACAATGCCCCGGATTTTCACCTGATACCAAGTAAAGGTTTTTTCCGGGAATGCCCTTATCTCCTCTAACGAGCTATGATACTGGTTAAAACTAATATTTAAAACCACCATTGAATTATCTGTTGACCAGTCAGCAATACAGATTTACATTATAGACGTATGTCATCTCTGAACCCTTGGGTTATTCCCTCTCTTGCTTGGATCAAATAAATTAATGTTTGTTGATCAGACAAAGTTATTCAAAAAAGTAGAATCAGGTTAGGAGAGAGAAATAAAGTATCAGTCAGTATGTTTGTTTATAGTCTTAATTTGAAACATAGGATCAAATCCTACACTAAGGGCTGATGAAAAAAAGTCACTCCATCCTGGTGGGAATCTAACCCACAACCTCCCAATTACATGTCAGATGCCCTACCACTTCGAGCTACAGAGCAAACTGACTCTCTCACAGCAATTTTGCATATATGGCTCAGCCATGACTCTAATTGGGGGAAATACTATTTCAGAAATTGACATGTCATGTTCAAATCTGAAAATGCTCCTTTTGTTCCAAGTCCAGAACCCCAGATACCAAGTCTAAATAGTTATATTGAAACAGTATTGAAATCCTATTCGAGCTACATGGAAAAATCCTTCATTCTTGTAATTATTTTGGTATTTTGAGAATTTTTGTAAGTCAAATGAGCATGACATTTTACCAAACAATATGAAGAATTTAGCACAATGTTTTTTCAATTTAAAAGCTATTTAATCTCAGACAAAATAAATCACCAATGCAATGGGTAAATCATTCTTTCTTCTGCAGAAATTTTGTTGTAAGCCAGTTTTGATGTAACACAAAGTTGTTGAAAACTTGTTCACTTCAAACCTTAATATGCTTGATAGTAACTTAACATAATTTCCGTTTCAGTTACATTTAATCTGAGAATTCTACGATCACAGTTTATCCATAATGTCTTCGTTTATGGGGCCTCATATGACCCTGCCCCACACAGCTGCCCAAGGTGCATTAGAGACTGCAGCACTCCTGGTGGACAAGCATCTAGTTGCTGATTCCAATTATCTTGATCTCTCTGAACTACTTAAAGTTCCTTCACACTGTGAGTATGAAAAGCATTGTTTACATTATTGTATCCTGTTCCAGTCACAATGAAGGAAGGTTTTGTTTGAATGATGATGATCATCGGCCAATCTAAATAAGAACCAAGTCACACTATTCTAAACAGATTCACAAACCTTTCTGTGATCTCCCTATGTTTTTCAACATCACCGTCGTGATTCTGAGATCACTGCCTTTGATCCTCGCATCAATTACATTACATTGTACATGTATAATTTCTACATTAACTGCAATTCAGTGTTCCTTGTCTGGATATCTTGTATGTAGATATTACGCAATTTAACAACTTCTTATTTCAGCCCAGCCCAGTACAAGTGGTCAGCAAGACTTTGATTATCCCCAGTTAGCTGACCCAAGACTTGAACTAGGCTCTGTACCGGAACTTACCAACTTAAAAAAGGTACCTCTGCCCCCAGAGCTGGTTGAGCAGTATGGACGTATCCTTTAAACAAGCATATATGAGCACTGTATTTTGTTAAACATATACACATGTTCTATAGAACACCTCTGTAAGTAGAACACTTCAGAGTTCAATTACCAATTGACTTAATGTCAAATGGATCGCTTTAATAATACCTCCCAATTGGAACATAATTTAGAGGTACCAAATGTGTTCCATTTTTATGAACCTGAAGTTCTTCTTATATGATGTAATCAAATACATAAACATGAAGGAGCATCAGCATCAGCGGTAAACCAACTGGATACTGCTCCTTCTTGCCTGAAATTAATATTAAGGAAACCATGAAAGTTTTGAAGGTTTAGTTTCTTCATCCAAATTGATAAAGTGAGAATTTTACACTCGCAATATGTTTCCTTGGGATAATGCACCTCACTTTTTCCTTGACGTCTCCCCAGACATGCAGTGCAATTGTCGTATGGGCTTGTTCCCAGAGATCAGCAGAGCATGGTTGACCATTGACAGTGACATTTTTGTATGGAATTATGAGGATGGGTAAGTATTTAAAGTTTTGCATAAAATTGTGTTTCTGTTGAAATCAAAATATTTTGTGTTTAAAACAGCTCTCTGACACCCAAATCATCTGAAGTAAAGTACATTTTTGCCAAAAATGATTTTACGGGCTTAGTGAAATTGAATCATATCTAGTGAAATAACTGAATGAATGTAGCACAATATATTGTCAGTGTTGTCGCTCATGGATATGGACAATATCCACTCATGGATAAAAATGATATCCTTCAAATATCGTAGGATATCCTCTTTGTCCTTTTTGCTGTCTAGGTAATGTATTGTGTATTAATTGCTCTATATTTCCAGGCAAGACCTTGCTTACTTTGATGGCCTCAATGAGACTATACTCTCTGCAGGACTGGTCAAACCAAAACCTGGTAATTCAATAATTCAATAGTTAATTCAGAAAACGATTACTTTATCTAGTACTAATTAACAGAAATAAGATGGAACACACTTATCTGAACATGGAGTTAATGGACTTTAATACATTGTGAACCAGAAGGTCAAAATTTAAAGTTTCCCTTCAAGTACAGAAGAGATCCCCAGAAAACCATACAAAAAGTAATCTTGCTGAATTGAGGCGCTGAGATCTCCAAATGTCGTTGTTAAAAAAAACAAATTGTGCATGTTTGCTGATGGTAAACAATGGATCAAAGCAATTGACTTTATAAACATACACAAAAAAAATTCTTTGTTTTATCAAATTTTTCCTTCCTAATTGTTTCCTATATAATAAACAAATTGTTGTTTTTCCAGGTATATTTCAGCCCCATATTCTCTACCTTTTATGCCTGTGTACCCCTGTGGATATAGTGTTACTGGGAGTGAGCTTCACAAAACCCTTTGAATGTAAGTTACCTAGCAAATGTAGTGTTATTTTATTTAGTGCTTTTCTACATGGTATGGATACATTCATTCCTTCTACAAGATCAGGATATTAATGTAACATACAGTCTGTGTTTGTCATAAGAATTTTAGCCATATTGTTAGAATGACAGAGTAGTCATAATATTTTCCGATATGTGCTGAAAGATAAAGCTATTCTGGCTTCATGACTTGCATTAATGTTGCATCTTGCATAGCTCAAGCATATATGTATACAGGGTGATCCAGAAGTAGGATCAAAGATATTGCCATTTCATTTTCAAAACTACTCAAGTAAACATCTTGAAATTGGGTACAGATGTTCCTCAAACATTACTGATCCTTAAGTTTTTTTGATTCAGTTATTTGATTGGATGAAATCATGGTTTCTATGGTAAAGCCATATACATATTGACTGTTGTAGCAAAGACAGCAGATCCTGGAAATGGTGAGATGCATCTTCTCCCCGACCCCTTATTCTCCATCCCAACAGACAACACGCATATCGTCAGTATACAGGGCGCTGCTTCAGGACGTATATTCATGGCGGGGAAAGATGGCTGTCTCTATGAGTTGTACTATCAAGTAAGGTTTTGTTTTGAATATATTTCAAGTAAGGTTTTGTTTTAATTATATTTCAAGTAAGGTTTTGTTTTATTTATATTTCAAGTAAGGTTTTGTTTTAATTATGATATGAAGTTTTGAGTATACTGGGCAAAATACTTGAGGGTCATGTTGATTTTTTGATATTTATCACTGTGTGTCTTGTTAATATGATTCTAGGCCAGGAGATGTGTGCATGATTTACCATTAAAAACGCAGATTTTGTTTTATTTGATATCATTCTTTATACGAACTAGAATAACTTTGATATTCAGTTATTTTTTGCATTTCTTTTTCAAAAAATAATACGATTTCTGAAAAAGTCTTACCGCTGCCATCAATTTGTCCATCGATTTTGCAAGTCTTCTCGTACTTGATTTCAGCTCTAATATTTCTACTTTTAGGCAGATGATGGTTGGTTCAGTAAGAAGTGCCGTAAAATCAACCATTCAAAGGGAGCATTGTCTTACATTATACCACAGTTCCTCAATTTCTCTTTTTCTGATGAGGGTAAGTTATACATTATTAGGGAATTTATCTGGAAGCTGAATGATGTTAACGTCTTATCACCCATCCACTAAACAAAAAGTGTTAGTATGTAGAATATAATGCAAAACCATTTTACATTCATTTTCCCACCACTGGAAAACCTGTGTAATTCGTATGGCTCTGGGATTGGCCAAAAGTGTTCAAATTAGCAGGTGTTCGCATTTCAAGGATTTAAAAACATGTGAGTCAATGGGAGATAATAATATTGGGACTGAGAAAAAGTGTTCACATTGAGAGATGTTCAGACTAAAGAGGTGTTCAGATATACAGGTTTCACTGCATTGTGTATTTGTTTTAGATCCTGTTGTACAGATTAGTGTGGATAACTCAAGGAACATTCTTTATACAAGATCAGAAAAAGGCACAATTATGGTGAGTGTATAGTGTAGAAATGTTTATACACAATTAAAAAGGCACAATAATGTTGATTGGTCACTCTTTATTCACAAATTAAAAGTATGTAGTTTTTGTAGTACTCAGTTCACCTACTCATGAGTAATACCTTGAAAATTCAAGCCTAGAATTACTAGAAAGAATGTCTCACGCAGAATTTTCTGCAAGCAAATAATCACAATTAAAACGCTTGCATATTTTCTGATCTAATTTTAATTTCCCCAGTTTATATAACAAAAAAAAGTAAATGGTAGATTTGGGAGGTATTTATTTACATATGAATGCAGATGTAAACAAACCTTTTAATTTGCATGATGATGTATAAATAGGCCAATGTAAAAGAATTCTTTTTCAAAGCTTGTTGATTTCTGACTTTAGCTTTATGACCTTGGTGCTGATGGCAAGGGGATGAACAGAGTAGCTGGTCTTGCCCAGAATTCAATCAGCCATCTTGCTGCACTGACTGCACGTACAGATAGATCTAACTTTAAACAGATTGTACATATTGCTGCACTGTCTCAGTCTGAGTCTAGAAATATTCATCTTGTTGCAGTCACTCAAACAGGTACTTACAAAATATCTAGCATTTTTACAAATACACTAAAACTTATACTGTATACTGCCATATGTACATTACTTCCTTCATGATACATTAATGCATACATCTCCAAAAGTTGTCAAAAATGTCCTCCTTAGGGTTAAAGTCATAATTGCAGAATCCTGTGACTGACAATGTCATTCCTGTTCTATATGATAGGCTTAATGTTAGTCACTTTGTATGAAATTATGCTGGTTTTAATACATGAAATGCTTCTGATTTTACAGGTGTTCGTCTATATTTTACAACCAATCCATTTGGTCAAGGTAACAATCGGCCATACATGCTCCAAATGGTGCATGTTCGCCATCCTCCAGGATTCTCTGCTAGTGGCGCCCCCATGAGACCAAGCAATGTGCACATGGCGCATTATGATAGAGGTGGGTTAAAGGACCCATGTAAAGTTTGAAAATAATTTACCATTTTTATGTCACCACCAAAAGTGGTGACATATTGTTATGGTCTCCGTTTTTTTTGCGACGGCGGTTGGCGGTTGGTGGTTGGTGGTTGGAGGTTGGCGTCCGGCGTCCGGCGTCTGTAACAATTTCTTACAACTTCCTATAACTTAACAAATACTGTTTAGACTGACTTCAATTTTTTTCTAAATCATCTACATGTTCTCAGAAGTTCAAATCTGACTTTAGATTTGACATTTGACCTTCAATGACCTTCTTAAGGTCAAAAAGGTCTTTTTTCAACTTGCTTCACATTTACTAAAATTTTTTTCAAAATCATCTACATGTTCTCAGAAATTCAAATCTGACTTTAGATTTGACATTTGACCTTCAAATCTGACTTTAGATTTGACATTTGACCTTCAATGACCTTCTCAAGGTCAAAAAAGGTGAAAAAGGTCTGTTTTCAACTTGCTTCAAATTGACTAATACTGTTTAGACTGACTTCAATTTTTTTCTAAATCATCTACATGTTCTCAGAAGTTCAAATCTGACTTTAGATTTGACATTTGACCTTCAATGACCTTCTCAAGGTCAAAAAGGTCTTTTTTCAACTTGCTTCACATTGACTAAATTTTTTTTCAAAATCATCTACATGTTCTCAGAAATTCAAATCTGACTTTAGATTTGACTTTAGATTTGACATTTGACCTTCAAATCTGACTTAAGATTTGACATTTGACCTTCAATGACCTTCTCAAGGTCAAAAAAGGTCAAAAAGGTCTGTTTTCAACTTGGTTCAAATTGACTAAATTTTTTTTTCAAAATCATCTACGTGTTCTCAGAAATTCAAATCTGACTTAAGATTTGACTTAAGATTTGACATTTGACCTTCAATGACCTTCTCAAGGTCAAAAAAGGTCGAAAAGGTCTGTTTTCAACTTGCTTCAAATTGACTAAAAAAAATTTTCAAAATCATCTACGTTTTCTCAGAAATGCAAATCTGAATTTAGATTTGACTTAAGATTTGACATTGGACCTTCAATGACCTTCTCAAAGTCAATAAAGGTCAAAAAGGTATTTTTTCAACTTGCTTCAAATTGACTAAACTTTTTTTTCAAAATCATCTACATGTTCTCAGAAATTCAAATTTGACTTTAGATTTGACATTTGACCTTCAATGACCTTCTCAATGTCAAAAAGGTCAAAAAGGTCTGTTTTCAACTTGGTTCAAATTGACTAAATTTTTTTTTCAAAATCATCTACGTGTTCTCAGAAATTCAAATCTGACTTAAGATTTGACTTTAGATTTGACATTTGACCTTCAATGACCTTCTCAAGGTTAAAAAAGGTCAAAAAGGTCTTTTTTCAACTTGCTTCAAATTGACTAATTTTTTTTCAAAATCGTCTACATGTTCTCAGAAATTCAAATCTGACTTTAGATTTGACATTTGACCTTTAATGACCTTCTCAAGGTCAAAAAGGTCTGTTTTCAACTTGCTTCAAATTGACCAAATTTTTTTTTCAAAATCATCTACATCTTTTCAGAAGTTCAAATTTGACTTTACAAGTTCTCAGAAGTTCAAATCTGACTTTAGATTTGACCTTTGACCTTCAATGACCTTCTCAAGGTCAAAAAGGTCTTTTTTCAACTTGCTTCAAATTGACTAAAAAAAATTTTCAAAATCATCTACGTGTTCTCAGAAATTCAAATCTGACTTTAGATTTGACATTTGACCTTCAATGACCTAACTAGGTGGTGACATTTTGTCATGTTAATGCCTTGTATTTTTTTAATATTAATTACTAGTTGTTAAAAGAGTATTGAACATTTTTTTAAAAAAGTAAAATTTTATGACACATTTTTCAAATATTTGAAATACACATTACACATCATTTTAAGCTATTGTTATTGTTACAACCTGAACTTTTCATATTTGTGAATGTTGCAGGTATGTTGGTCCTTGCATGTGCACAGAATGAAGAAGGCAATGTGAGGGATGTAGTATGGGGCATCAGTGCAGACTCTTTCCCATTTCAACAACAACTTATGGAAACTAGTGTAAGCATTTATCTGAAAAAATATAAGTTTTAAAACATTAAAGCAATCTGTAATTTCATTAAGAAGCTTGAAAATCATGCTCACTCAGTAATAAACTTCAAGTAATACCAGGGGTTAAATATGAAAATATGAAAATCTTGATCACTCAATGTATTCAATTTCTTTACTTGTAGACAACCTTACCAATAGAGAGCCACACATGGGCTGTTACAGAGTCTGTAATACCCCAGGTACATGAGAGACTTGATCCTGGACAGAGCCCTAGTCCTAAGGCAGAGCCACCTTTAGTTGTTACTCAACATATGGAAACTATGAGGAGAATTGTCTTACTCAGCTCACAAGTAAGATAACTTGTCATTGATTTTGTTACACAAACTCCAATTGAAAAAACAGAATGATCTCTACACATGTTTTTGATAAATTAGTATATCAATTAATTGAATGGGAACTGCCTTTTTGCTGGATTTCAATGATAAATGGTCAACATTCAGCACTTTTTGAATTGCATAATCATGTTTTTTAGAAGAAGATTCTTGACTGGATTATTCCAATTCTTGTGTATATATATCGATATAATACTCCAACTTTGAATTGCAAAACAATAGACAGTAGGTAAAATGCATGTTTCCAGGAATGAAGATGTTAAGAAAAAAACTACCCGTTAACATATACATGAATAGATACATGAATGTCCCAGAATTCTTGTTTTATGCCATGTAAAAGTTAAGTCTTCCCTGTATAATTACTCTCCATGTTGTTGTTAGGGAAGTCATCTTGTTACAAAGTTGCGTCCTGTAGACCAATTACGTGAGATTCTCATCAAGAGTCGAGGACCTGACACAGAGGAGGTTCGGGCCTTCTTTCAGCTACATAAGGTACGTGGGCCCAAGAGAAGGGTTGTTCATGGTTGGATTAAGTTCAGCACAGGTGATTACAAAATAACACCACACCTCAATCAGCAAATTCATTCAATCAGATCTACCTCTATATGGCTCTGAAAAGCGGAATTACAACTTCAAAAATAGATTTTTTAATTTTGAAAGGCAATTAATTTGCTACAGTGAGTAATTTTTTCTAAAACTACAAAACTATTTTAATGAATCCCTCGTTTGTGACAGAATCTACCCTATCCTCCTATGTAAGGTCTGTTAAATAATTGACAATTGATTTTTGACGCATAAGTGTTGTATGATTGTAGGAGGCCCAGGCTTGTGCCACATGTCTTATCCTTGCATGCTCCAAGGCAGCAGTTGACCAGGAGATTGCAGAATGGGCAACAAGGGCTTTCTTCCTTTATGGTGGGGAACCCATATACAACATGGGAACTTCAGGACCCATGCAGGCCAGCACTTTAGGCCCAGCTGGACTACATAATACAACCTTTGGTTTGTACATTTACTTTATACATTGTTACGCTTGTTGTTAGAGATGCTCATGAGAAGCAATTTTTTATTAGTCTTTCTAAGAATCATTAGATAACTTTTGTGAACTGTGTTCGGCATTCACTGGCATTCAACAGTCAGCTTCTGTAACAAATGACAGGTGGTGACATTTTGCATGTTAATGCCTTGTTGAAATGTTTAGTTTGAAAATGTTTGAGTATTCTGAGAAATATGATAAAATCTGTAGATATCTCAAAAACATTTCTTATTAGGATGTGTTGAAAGTTTGATTCTTTTCTTTTTTGTCAATTCTACTCTGGTTGCTGAAACTAACTGTGTATTTTTAACTAATATTTATTTAGATTTTATATTATTTATTTGGTGAATTGTGGTACTAACAACTTATTAGTCAATCATTTATTTAATTTGGGTGTGATGCTTTAATTATGAGAGTGGAAATATCCCAGAATTCATAGATGAACATCTCCTTGTAAATATGAACCATTTATCCCATTTATGAATTCTGGGATATTTCCTCCTGTTATTAATGAGATCTGGGTATTAATGTCTTTGTTTTGCCATGTTTAGCATGTGTGCTTCACTTCCTTTTGCTGCAGGTGCCACGCCCCACCCTGGGCACATGCCCCATGGTGGCAAAGTCTATAGCCCCTCAGTGTCTACATTTGCAACACCTGGACCAGGTACTGTCTAGCTTTTATTCTATTATGATACACTCCCCTCCATAAGTGTGGAAAGTGGGAGTCTTCTTTTGGATCACTCAGCCTGTTTATGTATTGTGATTTAATTGATGAACAAAATTAAGATACAATCATTGATAGGCGTTGATATGCTATCCAGTGAAAACTTCCCATTGCCAAACTTTAAGAGGGGAGTGTACATGTACAGTAAAATCTATGGAAATGTTGTTTTGATTTTGATGTTCAGTGTTCACTGTAGAAAGGTATTTACTGTTTACTTGCAAATGATTTACTGTGCACTATTCTGGCTGTTTTCTGTTGTTTTTCATTTGCTGTATGGGGTGTTCTTTGTGAGACATTATTAGATGTGTGACAAGATATATAACATTGTTTTCTGTCATAAAATACATCTATTGTTTTGGGCAGATTTATTTTGAATTTCTCTCTACTCATTGAGAACTTTTTCATTTCCAGGTGTGCCAAATCAGATGTCTACCCCAAACCCCAACTATCTGCCCCCTCAACAACAGCAGCAGCAACAGCAACAACAGAACCAAACATTCCCTCCCAATGTTAACCTGTTTGGTCAAGAAGTCACCTACTCAGGCAAACACAATGGAATATGTCAATACCTTGCACGTATATTAAGGTATATTTATTGTACATATTGTAATTTTTTGTATAGAGACATTATTTAGGTTTTTGAAAAGGAATTAGTTAGTAATATGTATTTTGAAGTACTGTATCTAAAAACTGAGAAATTTGATTTGAAATATGAGAACTGGACTGAACTTTTTAATTGCAGGCCAATTTGGGAACATAAAATTGTGCAAGATTTTTCTGTCACAAAGCCGAGTGAGCAATACACAGTGGTTGGTAGTACTCTCTCCGGGGAGGAGGTCAGCTGGTTCCTGGAGCAGTTGATTGGTCTCAAAGACTTCATACAGCTCAACTCTAAATTCTCATCACCCCTTGCAATAGACAGGTATATTTACTTGAAAGTAAATGCATTGTACAGTGTAAAACATGTTTAGTTCGTGAATGCAATTTTCAGAAATATTTTATCAAAGTTTCTCCATTGTTATTATTCTTGATGTAAGTGAAATTCACATGTTTTACAGATCTATTTTATACAGATATTTGGCACGCTGAGTAAATTTTTAGGCAAATTTTTGGGACAATGTTGTTCATTGTGTGCCTTATTTGTCTTTCAAAGTTCCATCTGCCTTTTGATCAACTTTAGTCTTCCATTGTTTCAGCCTGTCCATGTCATATTCTAGCACCACCCTACAGAGAAGTATGCTATCAGGGAGGGCAGACCAACAGATGGAAGACCAGCTTAGACGGAGATACCAGGGTATGTTCATTTTGGTCCATTTAGAGACATTGTCTGTTTAGTTGTTTGTTAATGAAAAGAGGACAAAGTGACTAGGTTTTTTAATTGAAAAATATGTTAAAATGTTGAGCTAATTCTGAAATCCTAAAAAATGCAAAAAAAGGGTTTGACCAGACATATGACCAGAATAGTATAGTGCTACAGAGAATTAATTTATATGAGCCTTAATATATAATTATGGACCAACTCTTAGATTTAGCCACATAAAGAAGCTGTGGGATCTGTGAAAACTTATAAAACTGTGATGTGTAGTACATTAAAAATGGAGGAAAATATGATGCATGAGATTTACCATTGATTTAGCAACAGAGATTAACTGGTCCCATTTAATAAATATGTCAGATTTAAGTTCTCATTGCTTTATATACAGCTGAGGCAACTGGTCAGGAGAAGTTCTCTCTTCAACAAATCCAAGATCTCATAATGAAAACATGTGAAGTTCTTGGTCTCTGGAAGATATTATGTGAGCATCAGTTCCATCTATTAGCAGCTTCTCTAACTGAGGTAGGTTTTTGGCTCATTTAACTCTTTCAACTAGATGCTTTACTCATTAAGGAAGCTCTTTAACTAAGGATTCAAATTTCTCTTAGCCACTAGTAAATGAGTTTGGTATTTTAACTAAGGATTATATATACACGATGATTGGATGATTCCACATCTAAGCCATCTTATTCATTAAGTCCAAAATTGATATTAACTGCAATTCATCAAATATGAACCTGTATTGTGGTACAGGAACTAAAGAAAGAAATGTTATTCCAAATCCCCAATCATTCATGGAAAATTGAATAAATGAATCAAAATAATTGTGTTTTAGGATCAAAGGAAGCAGTTGAGGTCTATGACATTCAAGCAGATGGTGGTCAGCGGTACTGAGGTATGGATTCATTTTATTGTAATAGTCTTGCTTCTGGTTAGTTTTCTGGTTGCCAGAAGGTAGAGGGGCTGGCAGATATTTCAAGAAAAAAGATATGACAGCTTTCACTATTGTGGAGAAGTCTCAGGGGGAGGGGTGGTTATAACTGTAACCATTGTTAAAGTCCCAAGTTGTTCGTCTTACAATTCATTTCATTTATCATCTATTATTACAGATAACTGCTGCTATGATCACATGTCTGGTAAATCGTTACCTTGGAGATAACGCTACAACAGATGCCATCAGTAGTAGGCTGAGGGAAGTGGCGCCATCTTTGTATAGTGTGGAAGATGCAACCTGCTCAAAGGCAAGTTAAGATTTTCTGTTTATACTCATCAGGCATTATTAACAAATGAGCTGTGGAAATCTTAAACTAAGTGTAATACTATAAATAACTGAATCCTATGGTTTCCCTTATTTTAGGCTCATGAACTGGTGCAGTCGGCTAAGCTGTTGCAGAACAAATATGACAAAGACAAAGTTCTTAAGGAATCTCTCCAGGTGGGCACTTTACACAATAATTATACTACAGTGGTGTTTTTTCACTCAGTTGGTGAGCCAATATAATCCCAACTTAACCAGGTCATCCGTCTCTCTGTCTTTCCATCCATCAATTTTTAGACAAAGAAATTTCCATTCTATTCACCTGAACAAAGGCTCATATTTATTTTTTGTGGCCCATGTTTGTACTTAATATCCTGGCTTCTACCTTTGCCTTGTTTTGAATAAATCCACTTTTTATCACTCAACACCCTTGTCATGTGTCCTGAAATTATCTTGTTTAGTTTTTGGACATGCTGGGTGAATTTAAAGGTGGCCATTTTGGAGTTTCCATCCATTTTATAATGTATTACGAGGGGTGATCAATAAGTAATGGACATTTTTTTACACAGATACTTTTTATAGACCAATCCCTTTGATTTTCCTACCAGTGATACATCATTCAATTATCTATCAATTCTGAAGATTTGAAGACAAAATATATAATACATATTGATATATCCTTATTTCAGTGAAGGAGGTACAGGTACCCCGGGACCGACATTTAACTCACATATTCAGTTTTTTAGCCAGTTTGGCAAATTTCAGTTGGATTTGAACTTTTTTATGTTTGAAATATTTTGCTGACTGGTAACACATAAACAGTAAGTATTGTGATGTCGTGTAACAGTAAGAAGTGTGCGTGTTGTATGGTTGTGGTTTGCAGGTCAGTTTGGGAAAGCATTGTGGAAGAAGGGGTTGGTGAGAGAAGGGAACACCCTTCTCCACATGGACAATGCACCTGCCAACAGATCTCAAAATGTTCAGAAAACAATATCCCCCGACCACAAAATTGAGCCCTTGGCCAATGCACCATATTGTCCAGATCTGCCCAAATGTGACTTATTTATTTCTATACTACTAATATTTCTATATATATAGAGAGAGAAAGGACGCAGGTTTATTGACATTGATGAAATAAAACAACCCGTGCAACTGCATCTTGCTACCATGTCAGAGAATGAATTCAGCCTTGTCTCGCAATCTTTAGTTAAGAGGATGAGGAAGTGTGTACATGTAGCACTTGATGGGACATATGTAGAGGGCCCTGTATACTGAATGTGACATGAATACCACACAGTGATGATAAAATATTCAAAATCAACCATGTCATAACAAAATGGTGTAATTCATGACCATCATGGTTAGTTTTGTTCAGCCTGCATTCAACTGCATTGCATGTTAAACAAGCTAAAATAGCTTCAGAATGTGTGACGTGGTGTCGGTCCCGGGGTACCTATACCTCCTACACGGAAATAAAGATATATCAAAATATATTACATGCTTTGTTTTCAAATCTTCAGAGTTGATAGATAATTGAATAGTGTATCACTGGTAAGAAAATCGAAGGGATTGGTCAATAAAAAGCATCTGTGTAAAAAAGCGTCCATTACTTATTGATCACCCCTCGTACATGTCTATTTCCAGCTATACAAAGAAGTTGCCCTTCAACTGGATCTACAGGTTGTGTGCCAGCAGTATGTCCAAATACGTTACTATGATGCAATAGTGGATCTCTGTATAACAGCTGCTAATAAACGAGACCCACAGAATTTAGCTTTGCATTATTATCGCAATGGGGAGCCACCCGAGGACACCCAAGGGATGCAGGCATTCATCATCAGGTATATATGTTTGATATCTGTTGCTGATGCAAATTATGATATGACACTACCAATTATTATTTTTTGAATTTAAATTACCCAAGTCCTTGATAACTTGTTGTGTCAAATTTGAAATCTTAATGCCTTGGAGTGTTTGGAAACTCTCAATTTTTCCAACGAAGTAAAACTTTTAATAGCAATAGGGCATATGTATGCATATGTGATGACTAAGAAAATTTATAATTGTGCTCTTTGTGCAGTCAGAAAAATGACTGGAAGGTTGCCTATCAAATAACTATAATGAAGAATAAAGCATGAAAAGCTAAACATAGAAGAGTTGGAAGGATTTGATTTGTATTTAAGTATTTAAAGTATTCTTGGCATAACAGGAGTATTTATTGTAGCAGTATAATAAATAAATATGTACATAATATAGGTAGTATAATAAAGTTGACACATTAGGAAATCTCTATAACAACTATTAGAGCTCTCTACGTCAGAGAACCACTTACTAGACTCAAGGAGTAGCAAATCTATTATTTATGCAGATTGGTGAAACTAAACTTACAGGAAAATTGCATCATAAACTGAAACAATGTTTCACAGAGTTTAGTTGGTATCGCATATAACAAGTATTTGAATAGACTTAATTGATTGCTCCAGATGAAGTCATGGCAACTAATGGATTGCAAAAAAACTTTTGCCTATTTTATAAAATTACGCATTGCCCACTTTGACCTTATTTTTAAAATGTACACCATCCAATATAAAGACTAATTATAATGATAAATATGTACATATATTACATAAGAGTAATTAAGATACATTTGGTAAATCAGATTAAATATTAATGACCTGCAACCACAATACAATCATTTGAATATTTAAGAAATGAATTATTTATTCATTTATGATTATTTAAGAAATGTTATACAAGTCTGTCATTTCAATGATTTAATATTCAGAATCCATATGATTTATTTAATTATACTGCAGTTACTAGGTTTTTTTTAGAATTGCAGGTATACAAGAATTTAAGATGTTTAATGATCACTGAATGACTAATGGATTGTTGGTTATTAAAATATTAAGTGTTCATAATACAATGTGAAAAACTTCATAGCGAAAATTTTATTTCTTTTTGCATTATGAACCACTCCTTCTTTTAACAAGTCACACAAAAAACAAGCATTTAGTATGGTCTGTCAGTTTTAGCAAGCATAATAGTCAGTTGACAGACCCCCTGGTAGATGAGGCATTGAATGGTGCGTGTTTATTAAAGTAATTTGAAGTGTTTCTACCATTTAATACTTTTCTCATCTTCCCAAGCATTAGAACGGTTTGCTCTTTCCAATGCACTTTTCTGGTCAGTTTTATTCTCCTGGTGTGGGGTTGAGACAACCCTATTCTCAACCCTGTTCTTTAGTACTCCTGTAATGTTCCAACACAGTAAGAATATTTCAGCAATTGTAATGATGGACATGCCAACAAAGAATCCCAAACTACCTCCTATTTCAGAAATCATAGAGTTTATTGTGAAGTCTTCAGCCTGTTTAATTACCTTCATCTCTAGATCCTTGAAGTAGACATTTAATCGAATGAAATTCTGTCGCAATGTATCGCCATATCTTTCTCGAAGTATCTTACTTTCATTTTCCGGTTTTGCAAAATCACAATATTCTGAGATATTGTGAAATGTATCATAGATGCTTGAGTTGATATAGTTGTCCGCAGTCATGATTAAGCGACAATAGAATGTTATCTCAACACCCCTCATTGGCCATTCTGCCTGGGAGAGCGTCATATCATATGTATGATACATACACTTTTCGCGACATTGACAACCATCTTGGGCAAGAATATCTGAGGAGGGATATTCACGATTTTGGCAACGAAGCTTTTCCAAGTCATTCTGAATTATAGTTAGATTGTACTGACTGGAGTTTAGCTTTAACCATTCTTGTGGATGGATTTTTAGACAATATTCTTTATGTGCTGTTACCTCATCGACAGGTAAAGAGGATTTGATGCATCCACATGTTTTGTAGATGAATCTCTGTGTACAGCTTAGTTGACAAAGTTTTTTCCTGTATGTGAAACCACCGTAGACTTCGGCATCATAATTCGCACATTTACCCCATGGTGGTTTCAACAGCTGTCGTTGATTTACAGACAATGCGGCATTCACTGAATGTCCTGGCTCAATATCAAACCCATCATTTTCTGGATCTGGAAAAGTCCCCTTTTCATGGATAACAACTCTTACACCTTGACTCCCACTTGTAGGATAATCTGGGTTGTATACTTGTGAGGCTTCGCTAGCATCAACAAACAAGACTAAACTCAGTCCACCTTTAGGGCCCGTGATATTTGTGCTAGGATTCGAGATTGTATTGTTAGCTCCATTAAATGTGTAACATTTATTATGTTCATGGTGATCCAGAGATTGAAAGTCTGATTTTAAACAGGGCTTTCCTTGGTATCTACAAATTGGTATAAACTCCTCTTGTTTATGGCTGTAATCCCTGAATATATTAAAGTTTTCAATATATCCTTGAAACGAAAACAGCTGTTTAGAAAACACATTATGAAATTCCAGTTTCTCACGATAAGCATTTTGTGAAATGTTACTGTCGAGGTAAATAGAGGAATATACTATCTGTGTGTCAAATGCAAGCATTTCTGCATAAGTATCAGCATCTATTTTCCCATTGTATAGATCTTTCAGTAACTTTGAATTCTCAGACTTTGGTATTCCAACTAAAGGACAAACAGTGACTGATGGGAAGGTAATATCTCCTTCCTCCACCTGGATTCTGTCTTTAGTTTCAAACAAGCCATATCTTATAACTATTGTTATGACCTGCCATATTGCTACACCTGTACATCCCAAGCAAAGGATAATCCAAACTGCTTTGCTTAATGTTGTTGTTCTTTGATGGATATTCCCCCAGCCATGGGCGGTGGTGTTACTTGCGAAATCATTCAGTGTTTGCTTCATTCTTGCTGCCTCATGCACAGGTCACTTGACTGTTATGCGCCTGTCTCTAGTATTTTGCCTGCTTCATTGTATACCTGCAACCATAGGGACCAGGTAAATTATCAATTGTCATTTCAGTGATGTCCACAAAATTGAAGTGGGTGTGTTCTGCATATGCCTGTATCCACCTGCTATGAAGTCATTCACACCCATTGAGGAAAACCATGAAATCTTGTTGCCTATTAACAAATTCTGGAGAGTATTATGAATTTGCACAAGCAAAATTAAGCTTATTTTTCCTTGTATCTGGTTTGTTCAAACAGGCATCATATTTTGGTTATTGCAATGACTGTAAGCTTTATATTGTCCTGGAAGAACACTTAACTAACCCCTTGCCCACAGCTTTATTGAAAAACTGATCAATATGCATTATAAGATGAATAGACTTATAGAGTAGAAGTAATGTTTAACCAAGGGTTGAGTCCTAAAACAAATACAAAGTTGGGGAGTAATTTACTGGAAGTTTCATACATGTATGTAACTTGTTGTTTGTAGGCTTACTAATGTAGTTAAGATCTAACTTTTTCAAAAAGTTGTCTTTAAACAGTGTTTCATACCAATGCATAGTGTGCATCCTAAGCTATCTTGTGTGTGACATCAAAAAACTGTGAAGCTGCTATAAAATCGAAGGCATGCATGTCGTTTGTTCCAAAACAAAGCATGCATGTTGTTTATTTTAAACAAAATAATCTAGAATTTTGCTCTTTTCAGTCTTGAATTTGATGATTTTCTAGGAAGGTTTGAAGTCCCCTCAGTATGCAAAACATGCAATCAGTACATTCAGAAAGTTTTCTTGTCAGAAATTGATTTTAATTATGTATAAATTCTCTCTCAATAGTATTAGGTCCATTAACCACTGCAAAAGTAGTTCATATAAGAGGGGCTGTAATATGTAAGTGGGGTTGCCTATTACTGCTTTCCATTAGTTGAAAGGATTACATCAAGAAATCGCTACCACTTTGAAAAAGTGCTTTATTGTTATGTCCCCACCACATAGTGTGGGACCATATTGTCGGCCTAGGCGCATCCGTCTGTCCGTCCGTACGTCCGGGAGTTTTCTCCTAAACCGCTACAGATATTACCTTTAAATTTTCAGGGATAACTTATGAGTGCATATAGATGTGGATGAAAAACTTTTAACTCGATACCTACTTCCTGTCGGCCATTTTGAAGTCAAATGCTAAAATCCTTGTCTGTAAACTTTAAGAAAAACGGCTTCACAGTTGCTTTTAAAACTTTAACATCTTGTTCAGCTCACTTCATTCTAGATCTGATTAGGTTTTGGACCTGTTAGCTCAGTCATGTCAGCCATTTTGAATGTCTTAAGAAAAGTTAGCGCACGATGATACTTTGTATCATATTGAATGGTGTTTCTGAGTTTTTCATAATTTAACTATTTAGTAGCTTTATAAATAATTTCAGATGTACTTTGTTGTAAAAGCCTATGTTATTATTAATAGTAGTTATATGTGATAATTTTGTAAAAAGAAATCAGCAAAAACTCATAATCACTTTTTTATTGTCGGCCATTTTGGATTTTTCTGTCCTAAAATCTTGTCTGTGAAGTCTTGTCTACGTGTTTTCAGGTGAACCATTTGGTGGATCAATTTCAAATTTTCAGGGATGATTCTTAGTATTGAAATCTAGATCTGATTAGATTTTTGGCACTCTGGATAAATGTCAAGGCAGCCATTTTGGATTTTCCGTCCTAAAATCTTGTCTGTAAAGTTTTGTCTATGCGTTTTCAGGTGAACTGTTTGGTAGATCAATTTCAAATTTTCAGGGATGATTCTTAGTATGAAAATGTAGAAGTGATTAGTTTTTTGGCATTCTGGGTAAATGTCAAGGCAGCCATTTTGGATTTTCCGTCCTAAAATCTTGTCTGTAAAGTCTTGTCTACGCATTTCCAGGTGAACCGTTCTGTAGATCAATTTCAAATTTTCAGGGATGATTCTTAGTATGAAAATCTAGATCTGATTAGTTTTTTGGCATTCTGGATAAATGTCAAGGCAGCCATTTTGGATTTTCCGTCTTAAAATCATGCCTGTAAAGTCTACGCGTTTTTAGGTGAACCATTTGGTAGATCAATTTCAAATTTTCAGGGATGATTCTTAGTGTGAAAATCTACATCTGATTAATTTTTGGCATTCTGTGTAAATGTCAAGGCAGCCATTTTGGATTTTCTGTCCTAAAATCTTGTCTGTAAAGTCTTGTTTACATGTTTTCTGGTGAACTGTGTGACGGATCAATTTAAAATTTTCAGGGGTGGTTCTTAGTATGAAAATCTAGAACTGACTAAATTTTTGGCATTCTGGATAAATTTTAAGGTGGCCATTTTGGATTTTCCGTCCTCAAATTGTGTTGGTAAAGTCTCGTCTACTCATTTTCAGAATAACCATTTGATGAGATGACCCATTGGTGGGGACATATTGTACACATTTGTGTTCTTGTTGTCGTCTTGTGCTGAATTTTCCATAAAGTTTGTCATAAAAAATTATCCGTTCAACTCTAAAATACAGATGCAGGAGCAGACTAGTGCTACGATCTAATTATCAGGTTTAGGGAATGTTGGCTAAATAACATGATGGCCATTTTGAATTCTTTGATCAATTTTGAATTGTTCATGATTCTTGTCATTAGAATTACAGGAAAACCAGGTACCAGTTGTCTGTTCAACTTGAAACTTTTATACATGTACGAGCAGATACGTTCCAACATCTGAATATATTTTTGGCATGCTGGTTTAATAACAAAGTGGCCATTTTTAATCACTATTATATATTGAGTGTTAATTGTATAAGTCTTCATATTGAAAGTTTGATTTCTTTTTGCATTGTGAATCACTCCATTTAATCAGCCACACAAGTAAAAGGTACAAGCATTTATAAGTGGCCTGCAGTTTTGGCAAGCATATGAGTCAGTTGCTAGACAAATATTCTAAATGCTACCAGTTTATAAATAAGTAACTTTTTGTAGAGTGTTTCTACCATTTCATACCTTTCTCACTTCCCAGAATTATTAGAATGGTTTGATATGTGAGATGCACTTTTCTGGGTAGCTTCATTCCCCTGATGTTCAGGTGAAACAGTAACCCTTTTCTTTAGTACTCCTACAATGTTCCAACACAGTAAGAATATTTCTGCAATTGTAATGATGGACATACCAACGAAGAATCCCAAACTACCTCCTATTTCAGAAATCATAGAATTTATTGTAAAGTCTTCAGCCTGTTTAATTACCTTCATCTCTATATCCTTGAAGTAGACATTCAATCGAATGAAATTCTGTCGCAATGTATCGCCATACATTTTTCGAAGTATTTTACTTTCATTTTCTGGTTTTGCGAAATTACAATATTCTGAGATGTTGTGAAATGTATCATAGATGCTTGAGTTCATGTAGTTGTCTGCAGTCATGATTAAGCGACAGTAAAATTCTATCTCAACACCCCTCATTGGCCATTCTGCCTGGGAGAGTGTCATATCATATGTATGATACATACACTTTTCTCGGCATTTGCAACCATCTTGGGCAAGAATATCTGAGGAGGGGTATTCATGATTTTGGCAACGCAGCTTTTTCAAGTCATTCCGAATTATAGTTAGATTGCCCTGACTAAAGTTTAGCTTTAACCATTCTTGAGCATGAATTTTTAGACAATATTCTTTATGGGCTGTTTCCTTATCGACAGGTAAAGAGGATTTGATGCATCCACATGTTTTGTAGATGAATCTCTGTGTACAGCTTAGTTGACAAAGTTTTTTCCTGTAAGTGAAGCCACCGTATACTTCAGCATCATAATTCGCACATTTACCCCATGGTGGTTTCAACAGCTGTCGTTGATTTACAGTCAATGCAGCATTCACTGAATGTCCTGGCTCAATATCAAACCCATCATTTTCTGGATCTGGAAAAGTCCCCTTTTCATGGATAACAACTCTTACACCTTGACTCCCACTTGTAGGATAATCTGGGTTGTAAATTTGTGAGCTTTCATCCGCATCAAGGAACAAGACTAAACTCAGTCCACCTTTAGGGCCTGTGATATTTGTGCTAGGATTGGAGATTGTATGGTTAGCTCCATTAAATGTGTAACATTTGTAATGTTCATGGTGATCCAAAGAGTGAAAGTCTGATTGTAAACAGGGCTTTCCTTTGTATCTACAAATTGGTATAAACTCCTCTTGTTTATGGCTGTAGTCTTTAAAAAAATCAAAGTTTTCATAATATCCTTGAAACGAAAACAGTTGCTTAGAAAACACATCTAGAAATTCCAGTTTCTCTGAATAAGCATTTTGTGAAATGTAATTGTCAAGATAAGTAGAGGAATATAATATATATTTGCTAAATGCATCTAATTCTGCAGAAGTATCAGCATCTATCTTCCCATTGTACAGATCTTGTGTAAACTTTGCACTCCCAGACATCGGTAGTCCAACGAGGGGACAAACTGTGACTGATGGGAAGGTAATATCTCCTTCCTCCACTTGGATTCTGTCTTTAGTTTCAAACAAGCCATATCTTATAACTATTGTTATGACCTGCCATATTGCTACACCTGTACATCCCAAGCAAAGGATAATCCAAACTACTTTGCTTAATGTTGTTGTTCTTTGATGAATATTCCCCCAGCCATGGGCGGTGGTGTTACTTGCGAAATCATTCAGTGTTTGCTTCATTTTTGCTGAATCATGTACTCGTACAAGTCACTTTATTGTTATGTTTGCTCTTTTCTGTCTTGAATTGATGAATTTTTTTCAGCAAGATTTGAAGTCCTTCAGTGTACAAAACATGCAATTAATATACTCAGAAAACGATGTTTTGTCACAAATTGATTTTAATTATTTATTGAATTTTCTCTCAATGGCATTGAAGTCCATTAACCACTGCGAAAGCATTGTTGGAATAGAATAGACTAAAAAGCTTAATGAGAGGTAGTTTATAAAAATGGGGCTTTAATATACAAGTTGGGCAGTGATGTATTTTTGATTTAGTAGAAAACAGATTATTATCATATCAGATGCGGATCGTGTCAGAATCTAATCTGCAATTCAGCTGCCTTTATAAAGTGATATATAGGAAATAATCTTTCTTGTCTATGGACACACCCAGTTCTTCGGATGTCAGCAAGAACTGTGATTGACACATGTATGTCATATTTTTTATTATTGTTGCACTTTGAAAGTGCTATATTGTTGTCTTGTGCTATTGGGTATTTGTGCGTCTACATTCGGATGGACACAACATTAATCTTTCCTGGTGCTATTGGGTATTTGTGTGTCTGTGCATTTGGATGGACACAACATTAATCTTGTTTTGAAACGGTTTATTTATAAAAGGTCCTGCTTTTCGACCATTTTTTATTTCTTTGAATAAATTCGCCTCCACGGCTTCTCTGTAAATTTGAGTAGATTTCCAGTTTGAGTGTACTCTAGTGATCCTTGGACCTTTGTAACCAATATTGACACCAAATTTTCCATCATGTAGTATTCTAGACACAAATTCCTTATCAGGATGATATTGAAGAGCATGGCTTATGTAATCTAAATTCAGGGGATTATACTGCATTATTTCCAATGGATTTTGTGCAATCACATTTTGTGTAAGGCAACTTTTTAGATTTACAATTTTTGCACACATGTTTCTGAAGCATCGCTCTCCGAAACTGCACTCACCATATTGATATTTGTTGCATAATTCTCCAGTTTTGTCACCAATCTTTGTTTTCTCCGACGTTTTATTTGTTTCCACCTTGTTGTCCTCACGAAAAGGACAATTAGATACAAGGTGGTCTCCTTTGCATCGATAACATCTTGTTGTTGATTGTTTCACAGCAGATGCATCCAAATTAGTTGTGTACAAATATGTGTCTATAGTGCTAAATTTGAATGATTTGGTAGCTCCTAATTTTATTCGGAATTTTGTATCGTACTGGTAAACTGCTGACCAATTGTACTTTTTGTCACAATCTTGTATATGAGATCTGTAGTCACGAAGCTCATTATATACTCCAGGGTGTTTCTCCATTACTATTAGCTCATAAATATTCCATGCTGTCATCCATGTCATAAAAGACTGTATATGTGTTTGTTTATGTTTTTTGGCCAACTTTAATTCACCATTGTCACTACATATTATTTGTTCATTTCCTTGTACATCGATATACTGATTATATAGATTTGTTGGTAACAATTCCGTCATATTGACGTACTCACCATTGACTATCAATTTTGAGATCTTAGGTGGTACTCCAACTTTGCACCCTTCATGTGACACTTGTAAATTAATGTCTCCTGTGTGCACATTTGATGGCAGTGGAGGTTGTTCAGGTAACAATGGCAAGGTTTGAACAGGTTTCGAAATGTTTTGTAACATAAAAGTTCGCATTTCGTCTTGGTCTTTTTGTATCTTTGATGTTACTACTGTTAATTCGGCAATTTGTTTACCCATTTCGAGAATAGCATTCATCCATGGGGGTTGTGTCACTTGTGTATGTTCCACTTCTTCCTTTGTGTGAAAATTCATATTTTCATTTGTTTCTTTAATCGTGCAACTCGGACCGTAAGGCCCTAAATGTCCTTTCGTGGGATTTCCACACATACTACAGCATCGTGCTCTCGCACCTTCTTCTGTTTCGGACATGTTTACAAAGTTCTATAGATGATAAATTGATAAAAATCTCACAAAACTTCAAAATTAAAAATCATTTTTTCAAGACCCCCAGCGAACTTCCACCCAGAGTGCAATTTTACACTGAACGAATGTTGATCCCCGGGGATATTTCATACATCTCTTACATTAAAATTAATTTATAATATAAATATACATATATGGTAATGTGTATGTAGGTTCCATGGCCTTATTTGGGAGTGTGTATGTAGGTTCCATGGCCTTATATGGGAGTGTGTATGTAGGTTCCATGGCCTTATATGGTAGTGTGTATGTAGCTTCCATGGCCTTATATGGGAGTGTGTATGTAGCTTCCGTGGCCTTACATGGGAGTGTGTATGTAGCTTCCATAGCCTTATATGGGAGTGTGTATGAAGCTTCCATGGCCTTACATGGGAGTGTGTATGTAGCTTCCATAGCCTTTTATGGGAGTGTGTATGTAGGTTCCATGGCCTTATATGGGAGATGAATGAGAAGTGAATCGATGAATTTTTTCTAAATCAAAGAGCATAGAAAGTCCAGATCTTAGCAAGGGTTATATAGTAATATAACTGATTAAAATCTTGTTTTCTAGGAGGGAGAGTTACAGATTTATCACTGAGTTATTGGGTTACTTCCTGAATACAAGCGCAGCCCATCCATACGCCTCCAATGTTCCTGTCACCCCTGGGCCTCCCCCTCTACCTGACCCCAACATGCTTTCTGCGGTAGAAGCTGAAAAGTTTGTAAGTAGTAGGATTTCTTGTACAATATACATGTTTATATATACATATTTCATATTTCAGGGCTTTAGGCCTGTTTGTAGATGATCAGATATTTAATGGAATAACCCAGAAGTCAGTAGGTTGTAGTTACCAGTTTCACCACCAAGTGGCTAATTCGGGTCAGATAACATGGCAGATATATTAGAAAGTTCCCTTAAACTTGAATATTCGTCAGCTCTAGTGGATCAATTTTCATATTTTTACCCTTATATGTATCTGATAGTTATACAAATGGAAATGTGTCCAGTTGAACAAAATATTATCTGTCCAATAAAAGAAAAGAAACTTCACTTTTCATGATTTTATAACATTGGGTCTGTGGAAAGTCTCCCTGACCTAGAAGCCACATTTTCAAAGAAAATTACATTTTCAATGTGAATTAGCATTTTTGAATCCACATGTAAAACATATAGATTTCAAATATGATATCTTTGACTGAATTTTGAATCTAATGATGTAAATCAAGATTATTTCTACTTACATCTAGTCCATTACTCCATGTCAAGTTCAAAAATGGTAACTACATTTTGGTTGCTAGAGCAAGTCACAATGTACGAAATACAATATGTTTTTTCTTTCAGACAGAGGATGTTCTGAGGATGATTCTGAAGTCCACAGATGAGATGTTACATGTGGCCCTGTATGACTGGCTCATCAATATGGAACTCTCTGAAAAACTACTTGAGGTAAAGATACAATTTGTCTTGTCATTTATCGAATCTCTTTCAGTCATTTCAGGGGCCCAGAGTAAAGCATGCTGCCACTATTGAACATGTTTCTATTTCAGATCCAGTCTCCATTCCTGGAGCCCTATCTAAAGTGTGCTGCCACTATTGAACATGTTTCCATTTCAGATCCAGTCTCCATTCCTGGAGCTGTATCTAAAGCCTGCTGCCACTATTGAACATGTTTCTATTTTCTGTATTTTAGAACCAGTCTCTATTCCTGGAGCCCTAGCTAAAGTGTGCTGCCACTATTGAACATGTTTCCATTTCAGATCCAGTCTCCATTCTTGGAGCTGTATCTAAAGCGTGCTGCCACTATTGAACATGTTTCTATTTCAGAACCAGTCTCCATTCCTGGAGCTGTATCTAAAGCGTGCTGCCACTATTGAACATATTTCCATTTCAGATCCAGTCTCCATTCTTGGAGCCCTATCTAAAGCGTGCTGCCACTATTGAACATGTTTCTATTTCAGATCCAGTCTCCATTCCTGGAGCCCTATCTAAAGCGTGCTGCCACTATTGAACATGTTTCTATTTCAGATCCAGTCTCCATTCCTGGAGCCCTATCTAAAGCGTGCTGCCACTATTGAACAGGATAACTTGGACACATTAGATCTTCTGTGGAAGTACTATGAGAAGACCAAAGATTATGCTTCTGCTGCAAAGATCCTTTCTAAACTTGCAGACAGACAATGGTGTGTATAATATGCATGATTATCTTCTCATATCTTATCGAAAGATAAAAATACATCCTGTAAATTTATCCCATGATACTTACTACTAGTTCCCAATGAATAATGCAAGGGAATATTTGTGACATTGAAGAAATCGCATTTCCCTGTCATTCGCTTTTGTGAGAATTATACTCACCTGTCAATCCCGTTCAAGAAAATCATACTAAGCTCCCAAGAGTTTCTGCCTCTGGGCCCTGGGGAAATATCATATTCTCCCTTTGAATAAAACCCATATTCAATCCTTCTCTGTAAATAACCTGTGTACAATGGACTTTGAGCAGTTTAATTTTTTGGGATATTTTAAATTAATTGATTATGCCACAAAACATAATTTCTTTGTTACATTACAGCATAGATATCAACCTCCAACAGAGATTAGAGTATCTCTCTAGAGCAGCTATGTCAGCCAAGAGTTCCACTCTAAGAACAACTTCATCCACTCAGGGAGAATTCCTGCATGAACTTGAAGAAAAGATGGAGGTAAATTGACACATTTCACCACAATTTCTACAATAAGAAAAAACAATGATTTTCTCTGAAATGGAAGTACTTCTAGATTGCAAAATATTCAGGGAAAATCAGGGTGTTTTGGACTGCTAAAATTAAATGCACATTAAAAGCAGATGTTTGTAATCTGTTCAACTATTGATAATACAACAGACATACATGTAAATAATTTCCTTGTTAATCTTATGTTTATCATTGTTGCAGGTAGCCAGGATTCAGCTGCAGATATTTGATGCTCTGTCAAGGAGAGGAGATGCAAATAAGATACAAGATACTTTATCACGTCTTAATTCAGAGCTCCTTGATATCACTACAGTAAGTGTATATGTATTTCCACTTGAAGTCATCGTTAAATTATCATGCAAATACTGGTCAGTATGTATGTGTAAATTATGTACAATACATGCACATACCAAAGTTAAAGAATAAATACAATACAATTTTTGTTTACTCAAAGATTCTGAAATCATTAATTACTTTTAATTGATGCTCAGTATTTGGTTAGAGTAAAGTACTGGTATTATATAAACATTTCACCCTCTATAGCACTTGCCTGGGGTCATTAAGCCTTGAGAGTCCATTGCAGTTCACACATGAGAGAAAAAGGCTGTGTTATGAGTCCTGAGAGTTTTGATTGGTGCCGAATATTGAACCACAAACGGAAATCTTAAGTTTTGTCTATGTAAATGATATATCTTTCGCATTTGTAGTTGTATGGGGAGTTTGCAGATCCATTTGACCTATCAGAGAGTAAGCTAGCCATCATCCTGTGTGCTGGTCATCATGACCCGAGTCTAGTAGATGCCCTCTGGCAAGATATCATAGAAAAAGGTAATGATAAATCTTTAGACTCAATTCTTTTAATGTATTCAATACTTTTCTGGACTGTTTCACTGGATGTGAAGCTTTGATCTTCAATACAGTGTGTTATCCTTATTATATATTTGCTATTCATATGAATTTTATCTTTATTGTAAAAAACTAAATGTCATGTTTACAGGTGCAACCTCATAGATTAATCATCTGCAATAGTAAGAGGGTATTAGTAGTATGGCTAGCTGGTGTTGATTCAGGCCTCAGGGTAGCCTCCCACATACAAGAAATTAAAAAAGAGTTTTACTTTATATTTAAACCTGTATATCTGAACATCCCTCTCATCTGAACAGTGAACACCTCTCAATATGAACACTTTTGGTCCCACTTTTAATCTGCCACAGATAACCATTGCTCAGAAACCTCAAATGTGAGCACCCGTCAATCTGAACACTTTTGGTCCCACTTTTAATCTGTCACAGATAACCATTGCTCAGAAACCTCAAATGTGAGCACCTGTCAATCTGAACACTTTTGGTCCCACTTTTAATCTGTCACAGATAACCATTGCTCAGAAACCTCAAATGTGAGCACCTGTCAATCTGAACACTTTTGGTCCCACTTTTAATCTGCCACAGATAACCATTGCTCAGAAACCTCAAATGTGAGCACCTGTCAATCTGAACACTTTTGGTCCCACTTTTAATCTGCCACAGATAACCATTGCTAGAAACCTCAAATGTGAGCACTTGTCAATGAACACTTATGGCCCATCCCATCAGTGTTCTGACTAGACTGCTTTACTCTACTTATATTCTATGTACTTTAGAGCTTGAACTGACTATTGGTAGCCCAGTTAACACGAGGATGGCAACATTAGGGAGAAAGATCATCAGCCTAGGAAAGATATATGCTGCTACAGAGAGATATTTTCCTGTCCGTAAGTAAACCTTTAGGACCTCTTCTTACTGCTGCGAGGATTTTTCTCAACTTCTTTTTCCAGGCTGTTTAACAAAAAACACATAGGGCAGTATGATAATCAAATTTTGAAATAGCTCTAATAGTAAAATATATGCAATATGACACACTAAACAAACATCAAATATACATGTATGTCAACAACTTGCTAACATGCATGGTACTTTATGTCATATAATATGTGAATTTCATTAAAGAATCATGGTGAATTTATAAAATGTTGCTATCTTATGTTGAAATCAAGAATGCATTCAAGTGAATTCATTAATTTAATGAATGCAGTTTGATGTTTTTCAAAGCTGGTACTTCTGTCAAGTAATAAAGACTCTTAATCTGAGTGTAATGAATATATTTATTTATTTCTCTTTCTATTTGCTTCTATTACAGCTTTCCTGGTGAAGTACCTTGAAAGAAAGAGTTGTGAGGGTGGCTTTGACCAGAAATGGGTGTTCACGATAATGCAAGACGTAGGAATCCCCCTTACAAAACTACAGGAGATCTATGATAGGATGTTCAAGTCAAAGGTCAGACATCAATTCTCAATTGATTATCATATCAGCTTCAGTAGATTATATGTATATTATGTCTCATACCCTTCAGGGTGTATAACAAATGTTGCTATACTCTTGGTAAAAAATATATTTGATCAATTTAGTCCAATCACAATTATGTTGCTGTTTTATTTAAGAGATTAATCTCTTTCACAGAAGGAAATGTTCAATTTACAACTTGTGATCGGCTTTCTAATACAGCTCTTTCCCATACCCTGATGGTGTTGTACCAGGTATATGCTCCACTAAAGTTATCATGCCATTGTAGGATCCATGCTGGCAGGCTGCCAAGAAGCCACTTCATCTAATGGGCGTGATCTACCATCTTCTGGCCTCCTTCACTGAGGCACCAGCTGTTGTCCCTTCATATGAAAGGTAAGCCAACCTTGTGGTGGTTGACATTGTATGTTTTAGAGAAGGGTCGGTTACGGTTCGGTTCGATTAACCGCGGTTTTTGGCCTCACGGTTCTACTGGGACCGTCTGATCACCAAGAACCAAGTCCAAAACCGTTCCATCATTCCCGGGGAAATACTTTATTTTCGTGCAGTGTAACATGAATACGAAATTTTTGCGCAAATAATTACAGCTCTATTTCATCTAAATAGCGAATGAAAGTACCACCGACAATTGAACAACTTTAAACGATCCATACGGTAATAAAATCGTTTCCTTGGATATTTCATTGTTCTTCCACGTCTCGAGGGAACATAATTCTACTTACCAGCGTGAATTTATTTCGTGCGGAAACACTTGTGTTTTAAAAATGGCGGACAGTTTTCGAAGTCGGCAAAGAGCTAGTAAAACCATAATAGAGCCTTTTCCCGCGATGCCTAAGTTGGATGCTTGGAAGTATTCGGTTTCTACGATGAGAATACATCTACCCTATGTCGGTTGTGCAACACGACATTGAAATAAGCTGCAGGTTTCCAATTTTTGTGATAGAAACTTTTTGTAAATTTTTTAATTTTAAAAATTAAGACTGCGATCTTTATTAGACTTCAATTCATTCCCTATCTTGTAACTGCCTCCTATTACCCACTCATAGTAACATTTTTTATGACTGATATATACACTTTTTCATGTGTCCTACCTCAGGTCCCAAGTCAGGTTGAGAATTTGGGTAAACACCCCCTAGCCCACTGCACTGTTATTCCCAACTGAAGGACATCTGTGCTATCCATATAATTTTAGTTTTCAGGAAACACACTGTTTGCCATGAGGAAACATATTGAAAGGTCTTACCCAACCAGACCCAGTTTAAAAGGAATCCCTCCCATCTAACACAGGGCAAGCAACTTGTTGATAGCCACATACAAATAGTTCAATTCTAGTTATTTAATTCCATAAATATTCAATGATTATCAGCTATCATCATTCCATATTGATCATTTATAAGATTGAAAATAAAATTATATCCCCTAATAATACAAAATAAAAGTGGAACACCTTTTTATGTTGCCATATTTGTGGCACCAATTGCAATTTATGAGGCCCACCTTACTATTAAGTATATGATTTAAGAACCGACCGAACCGAGAGACAAGAACCGAGAATCGTACCGAACCGAACCGTGACCGACCCTTCTCTAGTATGTTTGGTGAAGTCACTTGTTTTTCACATAAATAACACTCATGCAAGACTCATGAATTTGATTTGTCTTCCAATTTTTGCAACAAGATGTAAATTCACAAATATAAGATGATTTTGAGAAATGACTATAATGGCATTAGGCAAAAATATTACCTTAGTATCTTTTGTCTCTCGGATGTGTCATTTGGGAATTCATAGGTAAGGGCCCAAAATCTCAAGTCTTTTAATTCAGTCGTTTTTATGAAAAGAATATTCAATATATCCAAATTCTGCTCTTACATCTTACTCACATTTTGAAAATTTGGGAAAAAATGGCATCGGAACCCCAAAATTTGAGGAAGGCCAATTTTTGTCAAGATACGTCATATTCATAATTCTGCATGTTCATATTTTTCCAGGAGACAGTTCACCACGATATGCCTGGACACTTTAGCCAGCTATCTAGTAGAACTCCATGCTATGAGCAGCACAGACCCAACAGTGCGCAAATACACTACAGATTTCAAAGGACTCCAAGCAAAATTAGAACGATTATTATGAGAATTTACCCAAATCTGACTATTAAAAGTATTGTTTTATATTTTTGTATAGGCCTAGAAGTCAAATACATGTGACTTCAACAATATTTGATGCAATCATGTATAACTGAAATTCAGGAACTGACAAAGGTGCGTTTTATAGTTGGCCTTCATTCTCACAAATGGAGCCAGAGCTAGCTCTTGGTGGGACCAGTATACTGCTTTTTTTTTTTTTTTTAATTTTTTTATATTTACTGCTTTAAGCATGTTAAATGGATTAAAAGTTAATTATAAGGCCTGAAAATCGAAGTATTAATTAAGCCTTGAAATGATATGTTCGGATAGGAAGGCTTTTATCATCATAATAAAAAAATAAATGAAGTATAAAAAAATATCTTTTGTTAAAAACCATCTGAGATTAAAATATAATGTTTCAAATAGCTCTCCAACATCATTTATGGAAACTTAATGCTAAAGGCCACTTTTATCAAATTGCTTATGAATACTTTATGAAAGCATTTCCCAGACACTAATCACTGTCTAAGGTTTCATTTTGATGATAGAAAGCTACAAATAACCCAGAAGACCAATATCTGTTCAGAAACTTGCTTGACATTGAGCACAAACGTTTATACAAGTGAAAGGCTTCTCATAAAAATATTGGTTTACAGTACCAACACATAGACCTACACATCACAGCCTGCCATACTAAAAGTACAGATAACATATACCAGTCCCAAACGTAACATGACATGCTGCTTCTAAGTCATTACTACATCCCTGGTTGCTCTCATTTTCACAAAATGTGAAAATAATTGGTACATTAGGTAACGGATCCTTTGCAACATAATAATTGAGTATGGAAAAATTTTAAGAGATTTTTATGAGAGAAATGTGTCAAATCAAGTTCATTTATACTATTATGTAGTACATTTTTGAAATGGGAAAAATAACAGCACTAGACAAGTTTTCCACAGCTATTGTGAAATAATATATTATTTGAGATGGTAGGATATACAAGTCCTTGTCAGTCACATAATATCTCACCAAAATGGCTAGAACTTGGATAATTGTTCAATTCCTACAAATATGTATTAAAGCTTGTGTAGCTTTTCTCTGTTCGGGAAAATTCCCAAAGAATCGAACACTGAATATTGGATGGAAAATTCTCTGGTATACAAGAGTTTAAAATATCTTAACTATACAATAGCTTCCTAGTCAACTCGTACCCAAGACAACTGGTACCCAAGACAACTCGTTCCCAAAATTATTTTCAGTATTATGGGTGCATATTAGGGAAAAAATTGAGTGTAATGCTATCATGTTATAATGTGAATCAAATTAGCCTCAATATTTTTTTAGATTTAGACTCAATGATTTTTAGATTTTTCTCAATGGATCAGAAACGCATTTTTTTATTAAATAAAAGAAGTGCTTGAAGCGCTTGTTCTCAACATTTTTTTGTCAAACATATATATAAATAAATATAATTACAACATTAGATCTGACACTTGTTCCAAACATTCATAAACATACAATATTTTGAAAAATGATTATGAATATGTGGAATAAACATATGTCTCTTCACTCGAACATCCTGAATCGGTGACCAATTTAAATAAAATATTAGTCAATATAAATTAACACTCTGCTCAAAATGTCACAAAATTGAATCAATTTCTTCCGAAAATTCTTCAAACTTAAACTATTCTGAACAGTATGTTACAATTATAATATGTATATCTATTCACATTCCCAGTCCAAAGCTCGATTCAAAACAAAATATATACTTGGATACGAGTTGTCTTGGGTACGACTTGTCTTGGGTACGAGTTGACCAGTTACCATTCAATACAGTAATATGGGTAAGGGCCAAATAATTGCTCAGGAGATCTTCAGATCAATCTTTTAACATTTCAACACTTCAACAAAACAGAATGAGTAATGTTCTTCTTTTATTGTGTAAATGCAACAAAGATATGCATGTATTTATTATATAATATAAAAGTATATAAAATATAAAATGTATAAAAAAAATAATATAAAAATATGCACATTTATAAAACTGATTCAATACAAAAGCTTACAATACTGGTCAATTGCTCATATGAATTCCTGAGTTGTTCTGCTGTAGGTCTATCTTTACTTTTCTCAATATATTTAATAGCAGTTGTTAATATTGCACTGTTCTCGATATAGGCCTAATAGATCATTGGAAATATCACAGAAGACTGGAGAATTCTTCATTCATCTTAAAATGTCAAATACTAGTAGTACTGTAGTATAACAGTTCAATATCAGCAGATAACGACTAATTCTAAGCTCATCTCAGTTATCAGAATGTGATCTTCCTCTGCTCTTGATCAACATGGAAGTTTGCTTACAAAGATGGCGTTTCAATCTCTCTACTCAAATCACTGCCACGATCTACACCACAGCCATTGCCTTATAGATGTACAAACCAGACAAGACACTATATTATACATGCCTAGTAGCATCCAAGGCACAGAACATCCTGAAAAATTTTAAAGCATAATTACGACATGTTGAAGGAATCTTTCTTATCCAGTCTTAAAAATATACTGTAATGTACTTTTAAATTTGGTAAAAAAGTCAAAAGTGTACATCACATATTAACAAAATCAACAATGGCTACTTATAATCTTTAATTTACTGGTGTAACAGAGAAGCAAACAAACACTGGCATGGATATGAACTCAACTCTGAATGTAAGAGTGATCAGTAATTAATAGCTATTCTACTGGTATAAAATTAATTAATATAATTAACCTGTAATTAGCTTATAATAACAGGATGTTTTACAGATGTCTATCAAACAAAAATTTCTCTAATAACTTAACTCCATCAATCAAGAACTCTAATATAATGTACAATTACAGTTGAATACTAATGTCTTCATCCTGGGATATATTCTTCAGGTTAATCATGATAGCCTAAAGTGAATTACTTTCCTTCCATCATATATACAAAAGTCACTCTCTGATCATTTTGAATACATAGTGAGAATAACAATGAGAACATTTTTTTAGAAAATATCTCTCCATGCTTGCTCTCTAGGGACTATTTGAGTATTATTACAGTAGTTCCTCTTTGAAAGTCATGACAGTGTAATTCCTATTAGAGTGTTATTAAAGCAATTCTTCTTTGATGAGCTAATAGTATGCCCTGTCATTTTGCATAAAATAGTACAATTGGATTTTTGTGCATATTATTAATTTTATTGAACAGTGACACTTTCCTACATATAACCATTCTGACAATCATCAAATATGTAGTATGTTGTAATTCAGAGAGGATTACAGGTAGCCCCTTTTCATTTATAAAATCCTATTTCTAGATAATAACCAAGTAAAACATCTTACCTGTTTCTTTAACACTTTTGAAGCAACTTATCACTTTGCTGTATCACTTCTCAAACTAATTATGGCATCTTCATGTATCTGTTCATCTTAATGACCATGTGATATATCCCATTTCTTCTTCAAATGAGCTAAAACTATACTTTGGGAACTCTTAGAACTTCATTTCAAGATTTCCCAGAAGCGCACATCACATATCAACATACTCTGCTATCATGTCCCCCATTCAGCTAGTCACTCTACCTCTTTACTTCTAGAGACACATATCTGATTGGGACAATTTCTCAAAAACACCTTTCTTGTCCTTTTATGGGTGTTTCAACCGAATAAATCTAAGGCTGAAATAACGAAGCACAGGAGCCGACTCCAAGTACATGTAGATATATGAGGAGGATAGACAAAGTAACTTTCTAATTTAAGGAGTTGAGATGAACTATCAGGGCAGAAAGGTAACTCTCAATTTTAACATACTTCACCCCACATAGAAATCTAATGCACGTTCATGGTTCGATATTAATTGGTCCAATTATTAAAAATTGTAAATTCGGTATCTATTATTCAAATATAAATATCAAAACCAACTGGGTCAATTATCTGAATGAAATGTTCTAACCAAGATTCAATTTACCAAAATGCATATAGTTATCAAATTACTTGATAACTTCTTATATGTGGTGCACCGAAGTAGTTCAAACAGTCTGTTATTTTCCAAAAGTTAACTTCCAATGTTTCTAAGAGGTAATCTATGTCAGACTCACTGGTGTGCTATTTTGGGCATGCAAGAGTGAATAAAATTTTAATATGGAATTCCTAATGATTGGAGCGCTCTATCAGACATTCTTAAACACTGGCTGAATTTACAGACTCTGTACACAAGTACACACCTCTGAAATCTGAGATTATCAAACTAAAGTGACCAGAGAAAATGTTAATGAATGATAAAGTGTACTGAGGTAAAAAATATGTGTACTAGTAGCTTACCAAATATTATCAAATTTTGTAGACTATTTCAAGCTGAATCGAGATACCTGACAACCACTCTTAGTAACATGTAGTAATGGAACATCAATAACATATATATATGTCTAGTTATTACTCAATATAGAACTTTGAACGATAAATTAGTTCAAGCTCACTTAAAATGTTGAATAAATGAGCACAAGCTATTGGAGCTTGACATTTATGATGTGTAGTGATCAAAATCTGTTTATAGTAGCTGTCTTCAAAATCCCAAAGCCCCATTGGCCGGCCATGCCACATGAACTGTTCCTCTATCATTGTCTAACATACCTTTCTGTTGGTACTATAACCTCACTCAGTTCAATAAATGTTACCCTCAATTCACCATACTACCCCCAGTCTACAACAAGTGATTTTCTAAATTCCCCTCAATTAGCCACATAACCCTCACTCTACAACCTAAATTCCCCTCAATTAGCCACACTAACTTCACTCTAAAACCTAAATTCCCCTCAATTAGATTTTGTAAATTTATTGCCAACAACTAAATGCTTTATTTCAGAATGAATGTCATCTAGTTACACAAGCAGAACATCTATGTTGTCTGACTACAATCCTGATTTCAGACATGCTAGAAATACATATTTAGTAACATGGAATATGAAACGAAAGAACACTTAGATATTATACACAATACAAAACTAGACATTTATTCATCTTAATCCATCATCTGTTTTTCTTTACATATAAGTTAAAATAAAATTACTATACACTACTATGATAAAATGATTTCTCAAGAGGAAAAGGGATGTATGATTAAAATACTTAAAATGTACAATTAGGTCAAAGCTATTTTGACTTGACACATATCTCCAAAGTATGTTTTCTGACCTCATCTGGCTTTTATAAATGAATCATGATCCAGTCTATCTTATTAACTACAACTACTAAAAATATATACAATAGCAATATATTATGACACGGGATCCATTCAAACTGTCTTTTACTTACTAAACCCATCTATCAGTTGTTGGTCAGACTTCATCAGTAAGTAGCTCATCATACATTGGTCCTTAGTTACTTTTCTACACATGAAACACTGTATTACAACTAGCTGGTGGTTTTCATGAAGACTCATTTGCTATTTTAAACATAATGTCAAGGTCATCTTGATGACTAAATATAGTTTTGTCTCTTCAAGAAAGGCCCTATGCCTTGATATCAATAGTTCTTGTCTTGATAGCAATACTTTGTGTCTCACTCAATAAAGCTATAAACTGTTGGGTCTTAGTCTATTGTGTATATGTGTTTCACTAGTTTTAGAGTCTATCTCTCACTTTGTGGTTTAACTAGCTGATAGTGGATTGGTTCTTCATAAAATTTCCTGTTGATTAATAAAGATAACATAACATAATGTAATGTAATAATCAGGTGAAGCATACAAATTAACATACAATCAAAGAAATAGGCTACAATTCCATTTGCAGCTGATGCTATGTCAGAGCTACAGTTGCATACATGTGATCTGCTTATCTATGAAAACAAAACAATTTTATCAACTTGAACTTTAAATTGGTTAAGATGTGAACTGTGTCAACTTTCTGTGTGCAATCTATCTGTTACTACATATTGAAATTACAAGTAGCTATCTAATTTATCAGATAATATATAATTTGTCAGCTACTTTCAGAAAAAGGAAGCTGCACTACACGGAATTGCTTGTTGTGATTTGCATCTTATAGCTATTAAACTGTGAAAAGCTTAAATCAAGTTTCCACGATCCTATAATATTTCAGACTAGAATCTTACAAGTGTAGCATTCCTACTTAATGTAATAATGAGTTGCTTGAGCTGATGTTAACTACTTTCTATCAATTAATCTAAGGATATTTCAATCCAGAAAGTTGATAATGATACGAATTAATGTTATCTTGCCACAAGCCCTACTCTCTAAACTAAAATGTGTGTTTACCTGGGTAATGTCTCCAAATCTTCATTTCTGATTCTAACGGGACCCTCTGCTACCACCAGAACCTGTATAAACACCATCAACATATAAACCATGCATAATATTGCACTGTGGTTCTTTGACTGTTTATTTTTAAGGTTTGATTGACTTACAAAAAAGTAATTTTGACGATAAACTTAAACCAAGGCATACCGTAGGGTCCTGACGATCTCTGGGAATAGTTACTGCTTTGCCTCACGGGGCCACCACTACTTTGGCCCTGATAGGTGTCACTGTACCCAACACTACCACCACTGGCTCCACCTAATATCAAATAGAAAATTCAAGTGTCAGCTTGTTATGATAGAGAATTAAATAGTTACTTTACTGAAATGTTCACTTCAATTGTCTAGTTTACTTATAGACCAATAGTTTTACTTTGTCCAGCACTGTAAGAAGCATCCCCACCAGAACTGTATGAGGCAGACTGTTGAGAGTAGTCTCCTCCTTGGACTGCCTGGGCTCCATAACTCCCCTGCTGGTTGTATCCCCCACTTGACGGCTGTGATGGCTGGCTTGACTGATTGTATCCACCTTGGTTGTAGGCTGTAGTAGACTGCTGGTTACCATAGTTTCCCTGTGCACTCTGCCCACCATATTGTTGTTGTTGTTGTCCACCCTGGTTACCATAACCACTCTGTCCTTGGTTACCATAACTACTTTGTCCTTGGTTACCATAGCTTTGAGCTTGGTTTCCTTGGTTGCCATAATTTGACTGACCGCTCTGTTGATAGTTTTGGCCCTGATTACCACTGCCATAGTTTCCACTTTGGCCTCCAAAGTTTCCACCTTGGTTTCCACCCATGTTACCTCCTTGGTTTCCCTGGCCACCAAAGTTTCCTCCTTGGTTTTGGTTATTGTAGTTGTTGCCTTGGTTACCATATTGATTACCAGTATTTCCTCCAAATCCACCACCATAACCTGGAATTATACAGTTGTAGGTTGAACATACCGGACATGACAGGTCTGAATAAAGCAATTAAAAGTGAAAGGAACTTTCAAACAATTCAAGGTTGATTTAGAGGAACCAAGAGTTTTTGGAAAGCAGTACATGTATCATATCTCAACAAAAAGCTCACCATGTGAGCTAATAACCCAAGGAACATGAACAATACATAATACACAATAAGTAATAACATTGCTGACTTTTTAGTATGAAAATAAAGAAGTTAATAATAAATAGAAAAAAAAAATACAAACCTTGATTTCCACCTTGGTTGCCACCCATATTTCCTCCACCCATATTACTACCACCCATATTTCCACCTCCCATTCCCATATTTCCACTTCCCATACCCATATTACCACCACCCATTCCCATGTTACCACCTCCACCACCACCCATTCCCATGTTACCACCTCCCATTCCCATGTTACCGCCACCTTGTCCTCCGCCCATATTTCCACCCCCCATATTGCCACCCTGTCCTCCCATGTTACCCCCAAACTGGCCACCACCACCACCTTGGTTGCCTGAAAGTGAAGAAAAAAGATTTCTAAAAGCTAAAAATGCAATACACCTATCCAATATGGCATATTTTCAAACTCTTCATCTTGATATTTTCAACTTACATAAAACATATGGATATCTGTACAAGTTTCAAGCTACATATATTTAGGGTTGTGTACTGGGAGGTTTTTATGAAGGCAATACAGAAATTTGCTTTCCACTCATTAGATAGAACCTCAGTAGGCATATGTAATACAGAAGAAAATGAAACAAAGTAAACATATCTGGTCTCTTATGAATAGATATATAGAAGAAACTGAAACGTACCACCAAAGTTGCCTTGGTTATTGAAGTTGCCGCCACCGCCACCACGGCCTCCTCTACTTCCTCCTCTGCCCCCGCGAGCTCCACCTCGGCCTCCTCTCAAGCCACCATCACCTCTTCCACCTTGTTGCTCATTATTCATGTTTTCTCTAGGTTCAGCCTTCTTGACATCAAGTGTATGTCCATTAATACGATGACTTCTTGTGAGTATCAACTTGTCTGCAATGTCGGTATCATGGAATGAGACAAATCCAAATCCACGACTCTTCCCGGTATCACGATGGGTCATCAAATCCAAGTTTTCAATACTTCCAAAATTTGAAAAATATGCCTGGAGATCAGACTCGCTCATATCATCCTTGATGCCACCAACAAATACCTTCTTTGTGATAATATGTGCATTGGGTCCCATCTGTAAATAAAACAATATATTACATATATTGGTGACAAAATTACGATCAACAGTTACAATTTTATAACCATGTATCTTTTACCATTCCAAATAAAATAAAATAAAATCTCAAAAAGATGATATCTTAAATACAGTAATAAAAAAATAGTGAAAAGTAACACCTCATAAATGGAACAATTTTCAAGAATCCTGTAAGTCATTATTTTCATGTTATTGAACCTCTGTAAAGTGAAAACTTAAGTTAACTGTACTTGAAAAAAGCATTTTTTTATCCAATAAACTTACAGTCTGTCAACCTTAATTTATGGAGAACTTTCTCAATTTGGGTGAAATTTCATGAAAACTCTTGTCTGCTCAATAAAGCATTTAGAGGTATATGCTTGAATCCACGACAGAAAACACAGAAAATATTCTTACGTCTTTGGGAATAGCCCTCTTAGGATCGACTATCCTTCCATCTAATTTGTGAGGTTTCTCCTTCTGGCAGGCATCAACCATGCTGACCTTGGCATAGGTTACAAATCCAAACCCCCTGGACCTAAAACATGCAATAATTCAGTTCAGAATAAGTTAAACGTCTAACCTCATTGAATCAATGCAACCAATTGTGAAACATACCATTGACTTGTTACAATACTCGATGTATGGCGTCAGAATCAAGTTCTGGTGATAACACCAACTACGAGTCAAGAATTTAGGCATATTTGTTTTGTAATGGGTGAACCTTTATAATTGCATATAAATTTGAAATAATAATGTATATATTACTTATGGGTCTGTGGATCCTTGATCACTACGCAATCAACAATATCACCAAACTTCTCAAAGTAATTTCGCAGACTCTCATTTGTAGTTTCATAGTTGATGCCTCCAATGAACAGCTTGCACTGGTCTTCTGGGTCAGAACTTCCGTCGTTGTACTATAATAAAATTTACTACATTACTAATGAAAAGTTTCAGGTCCTTAAACATCACTAAAGTGTAACATTAGTGGGCTATATAGTAGTGTTGTTGCGATGTGCCATAATCGTACATCGATGCATCGGCAATTTTCAGGAGTAAACATCGATGCACATCGCGATGTACATCGAGAAAAAGTCCGAGAAAAGTGCACTGAAATACCGAACGCTTATGCACTAAAATACCAAACAGAACAAATAAATAAGAGTACGCTGGTACATCCGGGAACTTCTAGTAAAGGTGAAATGAAAGTAAAAGTAATTTTTTTAGATTAATGGTTCATTTCGACTAGGTAAAGCAGTTTTAAAGCGAAAGAATTTCAGAAAACATTGGAAAATGAAATAAGTCATGAGAAAGGTAAGCGATTTGCGTCAAAATAAGATGAGGGTGATTTTTAGCAAATTAATTTTTTTTAAAAAACATCGATGTTTTGTTTCAGACATCGATGCATCGCCAGAATCAGCTTTGGCGATGTATATCGCGATGTATCGATTAATCGCGACAACACTACTATATAGAAGGGTCCATTGGTCGGCGACAGGAGCTGGGGATGTTTTATTGACCATTCTACATGAGAATCCGCTCAGTCTTACATCTTACAATAATTATGAAAACTGGACGAAAATGTTGTTAATGTCTTGACATTATAACTGGCTGTAAATTCAAAGTAGCAATCCAAAAGATTTTGACTAATAAACTGATCGCTTCTGGTGTTTTGAAATTTTTTGTGCGGTAATAAGACCAAAACTCGCAATTCAATTGATTTCATATTTTGTGATCACAAATGACACATATATCACAGAATAGAAGGTTAGCGTAAAGCTGCAACAAAATATATGAAGATACCAATGTCTTCTTCCTTTATTTTGTAGATCTACCAGAAAATAGAACAATGTGTGGTGTAGCAATTTTTTAAAAATGTTTTCTTGAACATGTGTCTGAGCTCAATAGTGGTATAGAGCTTTCATTCACTTCTTAACTTCGGTTTGATTTACAACTTGCAATTCTGCTCCCCAGTCCAGTAGACAAAGAAAACAAAATTCATAAAATTCAAAAATGGAAATGAATTTCCGGTCTCATTAAAATGGAGTATTTCGATATATCTACTCTATGTTAATATTACTTAACATATACACTTCATAAAATATATATAAACGCATTATGAAATACTATATCTATCACGTATTATGTCTTAATATCGTTTAAACAGCACTACAAACCTCTTTCACCATTTTGTCGATCTTTGTCACGCTATTTCTTTAAATCACGTGACCTTCATCGGATATTTCCGACACATATTCAATCTGTTATAAAATGTATATTCGGATAAATTATTTAAATTGGATCATTTAAATCGGTTTATATCTATCAAATAATTAATATTTTTATATTTAAGGAGCATAAATCGCCAAATAAAAGAAAAACTTTGATCACGGAAATTCACGACCTCATTCCCGCGCACATTTTGTGAAAAAAGCCCGGATATTTACAAAATCGTGAGCAAATCGCTGTGCTAAATCAGGTTTGTACACTTATTTTGCAAATAAAAGAATAATTGATGATGACTTTTCTTCTGCCCGAGGAACCCAATATTATCAATTTGCAATTTGATGTAAAGCTTCTGTTTTTCAATACAATTTATAAGCAAGGCAAAGAGCAATTTTTTAAAACAAAGCCGGTCTGAATTCACATGTTTTGAACTTCATTATTCAAAAACAAATTCAATGTTGATAAAATCACCGATAGATGTAAGAAACATGTCGAGAAACATATCATCATCATTAGGACGTAGTGGTCTAGCCGTTGATATCGTCCTCTTCATTACTAAGGCACCTCGCTTCTCAATTTTGAGATTTTTTAACAAGACCAAAAAATAGATCTATTTTTATCGAGTGAGCTTATAAGCTTAGTCTTACTACAAGATCCTGTGTTACTCTAGAGGATATAGGGGTAATCTCGGACACGGGGCATTGTCGGACGATCTTCAATAATTCTTTGTTTTATATGGTTTCTTTATTGAAACTTTGTATTAGGGCGAAGGGGTGTAATGTCGACGTGTGGGGTAATGTCGACATAATGGACGGGGTAACTTCGACACTTACGTATTAGAAGTAGAATTTCCGTTTTCCGCCATGTTTGATTTCTGGAAAAATTAAAATCTCGCGAGATCTCGATCCATGCGAGAAAAAAAACATGGCTTCCCCCTAGATCGGAAATTAGAGCAAATAAACAACAAGGTGTCGAAGTTACCCCACATGTCGAAGTTACCCCAAAACGGTGTCGACGGTACACCCCTTCGCCCTAGACACATCATATTATAAATTTGGTGCTATATATTGTAAAAATTCTAACTTTGTCCCAGATTTTCACCTGATACCAAGGGTTTGTCCGGGAATGCCCCGTGGCCGAGAATGCCCCTATCTCCTCTACCGAGCTGACAGCTCTGGGAAATTGGATGTATGTGTACTTGAAAAGAATAAATCAAGCCCATTTTGACCAAACGCTGTGCTGAGTAGCGTTTATAATACGCTATATATTTGAATCAATACATAATTTATTTGTTGTTACCTTATTCTGTTCCTTCAACAGTCTGTTGTTGTAGTAAATCAATGTTCTATTATACAACAGAACTTTTGAATTTAGATTCCAGGCAATTTAGGTCTCACGAGATCTCGTGACTTTCGAAAGTAAAAATTTGCTACAAAATAACTCGCGTTAGCTAAATATGATATAGTCACGTGATCTTTCAGCGGTAATACCCATGCGCATAAAAAGTACAATGCGCATGTGCACGTATGCGTAAAAAGTTAAAAAATGGTGCGCTCCAGATCTGGAATTTCTCCACTTTAACTGCAATTACACAACAAGTAGGACTTATTGTCACCACGCGTCATGAAAAGGGCAAGTTACATTCAGTTATCTTCTTAAATACCGTTTCTTATTCCAGCGCGCCTGCTGGAAGTTGGAGAAAACCGCTTCACAAGACGGTATATTTTAACGGTTCGTCAGCTGGCTTTTGAGCCAGCTGTGTTCAGTAAGCTTAGTCCTAAGCTTACTATCTGTTTTCTCAAGTTAGTTCACAACCTTCTCAGGCACAGGGTCAGGAACAGAAAGATCTCAGGGGTTTCATTAGCAGCAGGCGATTTTCAATGGTTTAATCTCTTGCATTAGGTTTACTGTGGGGCTGGTTTTACTGTGTCTATCTTTTCAGAAATCAGATTGATTTTCTTAGATTTTGTATTTGGATGACCAGTGGCCAAATTTGCCACATTTAGTTTAACAAGTTAAACCTAGTTAAGGTGCTATGGAAGTTAACAGGAAATGACAAAACAGGAAGTGACAATTTTTTTGCATTTTTAGACATTTTTTGAACAAAGATAACAGAGTTCTGTTTTGACCTCCAGTCAATTCAACTAGTTCCAAATATCATTTACAGGTCCAGGATCACAATGTGCAGGGTTAGAATGACCCTAAACATGATGAAATAACCTTTTTAGCCCTTTGAAAGTGTGACTGAAAAAAAGCTAAAAGTAGGAGCTAGGGAATGTCACTAAACAGAATCTTTTGAATTTTTCAGAAAATGTGCCCAATATAATGCTCTAACTGATACAATCTTTGAAGTTTTAGAAAATTGTCTTAAACAAAAATGGCAGTCATAAAAAGGAAAATAAATCGCTTTTCAAATCAGTTTTTTCATTTTTTTCTTTTTCCATGAATGACATCAAATTTTCAAAGATTGTATCATTTAGAGCAATATATTGGGCACATTTTCTGAAAAATTCAAAAGATTCTGTTCAGTGACCTTTCCTACCCTCCTACTTTTAGCTATTTTTCAGTCACATTTTCATAGGGCTGAAAAGGTTATTTCATCATGTTTAGGGTCATTCTGACCATGAACATTGTAATCCTGGACCTGTAAATGGTATTTGGAACTAGTTGAATTGACTGGAGGTCAAAACAGAACTCTGTTATCTTTGTTCAAAAAATGTCTAAAAATGCAAAAAAATTGTCACTTCCTGTTTTGTCATTTCCTGTTAACTTCCATAGCACCTTAATTCAGGATTTTTTTGACGGGTGAAAAAATTACTTTCCCGTCGTTGATGGGTGAAAATTTTGGTCACCTGTCAAATTTGACAGGTGTTGAATTTCTATTATTTTGAGCACTGCACTTACTAATAATATAAATGTAACTTAATATGAAAATAAAATAAAATATCAATGATGCATCACATGACAGTCATATTACTCAAAATTACTGGATGAAATATGGGGTGAAATTTTTTTCAAAATGTTTCTATGGTACATATAAAGTGGGTAGGGTGCTGAGAGTCCAATGCTTTCAAAAAATTTATAATAAATATCTATATTTTAGAATTTGTTATCTATTTCCTAAGTCTCGACTCTTTTTGAGCTTCCAGCCCTGTACATGTATGTGGTTAATCCTTACTTGTGACCTGAACGTATTTTTTTTACTATAACCAATCACAATTTTTTGTAGGCATTATGGGAAAAACAAAGGAAGAAGATTCTGCTGAGGAAGGTGAAGAAGAGGAAGAAGAAGAGTTTATTGTAGAGAAGGTTGTTGGTCATAGGAAGAAGAATGGAAGGACAGAGTATTATTTAAAATGGAAAGGGTACACAGAGTAAGTAAATCTTAATACATATTAAATAGTTCTGCAGTTATGAAAACAGTCATCTATTACATATGTTCACATTGAATCATTAAATATATAGTATATCATTCAGTTCTCTAATTTACATTTGTTTTGAACGTGTTTGATGTAACCAAAGCTTAAAAACTCAAAAAGGTAGAAATAGTTATTAATTGTGGTGGTATAAGACCTTTAAGATTAAGTTGAACCTATGGCCATGATTTATTACAGAGCCTATCCATTTTCTCACCCAGAATGGAGAAATATAAGGGTTGATGTTCGCAGTATTGATTAATGTTATTGATGTTAATCTTAGATTTTTATTATTCCAGAGCAGATAACACATGGGAGCCAAAAGACAATCTTGACTGCCCTGATCTGATAGCTGAATATGAAGCTAGCGTGAAAAAGAAGGAAGAGAAGAAAAGAAGTAAGGCAGATGATGACGATGGTCCAAGAAAAAAGAAAAAAGTGGCTGAGGTAGGTCTATTAAATCAACTTTAGAAAGAATTACCATAATATGCTCCGATTAGCCATAACTTGGAAATCAATGTCATAGGTATCACATGGAGCTGTTACACTTTGGGTGGGCTCACCATTGACACAGATACTTTGAGGAAGATGGCTAGGCACGGCATGGATACAGATAGTTTAACAGCGAGATATTCCCTATAAGATAATCAAGAAACATTACATAAATTATGCCCAAAATTAGCCGCATGATGATGAATGGTGGGGCTACATTCCTAATGTGACAGTTACTTTAGGCAAATTAGTAGAAGGTTCTCAAATTCTTTATTTTGTTGTTATATCAAATGTTATCTGTTTTTTTACTACTTCCTTATTTGACAGATTTTCAAATCAACTTAATATAAGATGAACATGTTGTAAAACCAGTATTAATGAAAAATACACAAAGGTCAAAAGCATGTATAATGTACATTTAAACATTTCAAATATCATTTTAGGAAGAGGATAACAAACCACGCGGATTCGATAGAGGCTTAAATCCCGAGAGAATCATTGGTGCTACAGACAGCAGTGGGGAACTTATGTTCCTCATGAAATGGTAAGGTTCCATCTCATTTAAAATCAAATTTATTGCCATCTAACAGGTTCCTAAGATTCTGCGGTTGTTAAAAGGTTCATCCATGATCTTTAATCTATATTTCATAAGCAAGCAGATTTGGTCCAGAACAACCTCTGAGACAACCTCTTGATTATTGTTTGTTTATCTAATTTTATGATTCCACTTTTTCAAAACTTCTAAAATCTTAGAGTTGTTGTATCACCTGCTTTTTCAATGCTGGGGAATAGAAGTCATTGAGTTTGGTATAGTATTTGAACACTTTCCATCAATATTATAAACGGAACATACTTTTTCAGGAAAGACAGTGATGAGGCTGATCTGGTACCCGCACGACAAGCAAATATAAAATGTCCCCAAATTGTCATAGCATTTTATGAAGAAAGACTTACTTGGCACACACACAATGATGATAATGAAGACAATGATTAACAGTGAACAACAAATATGAGGAACATTATGTAGATATTATCAGACTGAGGAGTAAGTGGGACAAAAAGCCATCTTTGAAAAACTGTGGTATATGTGTAAAAACTACCACCAATATTTACACTACAGTATTCAATCTACACTGTGATGCTGTCTCTTATTTGTAAACATCAGTGACTATTCCTCAGTTTTCTTTCATGGTTTCTATGCTGGCTTTTTGAGTTAGGATAGGAGAGATTACAGTGTATTGTACGTACAGTGTCGTGAAAATATGTGGATATAGTCAAAACAAAAAAAACGGTGAATGAAAATTCCTGGCTATTTTGAACTTGATGTAACTTGTTAAAAATTTTAAAATGTAAAGTAATTTTCTGGTCATTTCTGTACTTCAACATTGTTTTTATTTTTGTAGACTGTAAGTACTTAGTGTGTGTTGTAACGAGATTCAAGACCTATCCAAATACCGCTTCACTTTTACATTACATACATTGGAGTATCCCTGGCCCCTGAGCAGTTTTTCTTGATCTCAATTTCATTTTGATTTTCTTGAACAACTACTGTTTTTGTAAATACCCGTGGAATCATATATTCTGTATTTGTATAGGTCAATCCGTTAACATTGTGTAGATAGTTGATCTTGTAATCCTTTGTGTCTAATCATGTACAAATTAAAGTTTATTTCTGTTTTATCATTCCAACTGTAACTAACATCATATGTTCAAAGTTGACTATGTGCTAGAAAATATCAGGATTTCATACCAACCTAAATATTTAAACAAATTTAAAATGAAACTAGAAATTCACCCTAAAATGCAACCTGAAACATATGAAGGTCCATCATAATATTCCGAAATAAGAAGGTTGCATTTTTGGAGTCACCTTGTACTATAAATGCAACAAAATCAACTAATCATGTAGTTTTTAAAAAAAATTTCCCATACCAATATTGAATATTATGATGATCTAAAAATAAGCAAGAGGTTAATCTTATGTTTGTATTTATATGGCATCATTTTCAATAATCACATGGTTTTCCTATAAAATTGTATTTCTAGTTCTACACATTCTGATTTATTTTAGTTTGGTTCAGTCAATAAAAAGTACATGTATTTTATAATGAAGTGTTTTCCTTTTTTGTATGTATGTTAAACACTAACAACCTGATCTAGCGTGGCTCAGTCACCCACTCATATGAGCATATGTATCCATCTGTTATATAAATCCACCATTTGAGCCCACAGAGACTGCAGGTTTGGGTAGACCAAGAGTGAAATCAAAAAGTATTGAATGAAGGTTTTTGAGGGTTGAGTGTTATCAGAACTATGGAGGTTTTATATTAAAAGGCCTGTTAAGTGCAATATGTGGCTCAATTTAGGATTTCCCGCCCCATGTAAAGAATAACAAATGATAAGCTCATGTTGTGTTGAGTCTATATACTGTATTTGTTTTAATTTTTGGGCCTATTGGCATATATTTAATTTGGTACTTAAAAGGCGTGGTCTTGGTATCTTTCCTATAACTGGAAATGCACCACACGAAAAACATGTCAAATTCTCGGGATTTTGGCGACTATTTAATTTGGCCAAATTAGAGACAAATACAGAATGGAATTTTCACATGCAAAAAATATGCAGGACATTCACAGTTCACAGAATCTGGAAAGGTAATTGAATCTGTGGAGGGCTTGAGGCTCAAAGATGTTTCAGTTATATTGGCTTGCATACTGGAGGAATTTGAAAAAAGGGTAAACGGTGATTCATAACTAGAAAACAGCAATTCCACAGAGTAGCAAATCCCAACGAGCACTGTATTAATCATGAATCTGTACAGTCACAATGTGTTATTTACTCCTCCCTTCAATAAATAGTTGAGGTCATTGTTGTATCATGTAACCATACTTTCATGATACATGTAACTCTAAGTAATGACGAATTCTTGCTCCAGGCAGCCATTTTGAATTTTCTTAGGCAAAAATCAGAAAAACAATAGGCCTACTACCTTAATTGTGATCTTCTCTGAAATTCCTTCAATTTGAGTATAATATAGCCATACTTTTAAGAAATCAGAAAATAATTGCGAAATCCCACATTAGGTGGCCATTTTGAATTTTACGAGGCCCGAATCAAAAAACGATACAATATTTGCAACCTACTCTAAATTGCCTTTCATTTGAGTATAATAAAGCTATAGTTCAAAAACATCTCAAAATTAATGCAAATTCCTGTTCTCCCATTCACGGCCTCTGGGGATCAGGGTGAAAAACACGGAATATATGTAAAATAGACAGATGTTGTGAATAAAATACCAAATTTTCAAATAATGATATTTATTATTTTTGTTAAGCCTAAAATGTAAAACATAAGATTTTGCAACAAATTCACGCCATTTTTAAACAGTCGGCAATCTTGAAAAAAAATTTCAGTAAAACTATTCACCAACATACATCTTTCGACCAAATATGAAGAAAATCTGTCAACTAGTATTCGAGTTATCTTCCGGACAGAAGGACGGACGGATTCACTATATCCCTATTGAACTTCGTTCGTTGGGATAATAAGGGGGATAAGAGAGGACTGAAACCCACCCATTTTATGGATCAGAGTGCGACAATATTGAAAAGCAGCATTTATGAATGGCCTGCCAATTTTCTTTGCCACCCCAAATTAAAAATCCGAAGATGCCCATAACAGGTGACCGCTACAATGAACATAAAGTCAATCTAATCAGGACTTCATCTCAATATCATCACCAAAAATGGTGACATATTTCTTGTGGATGGTGGTTGGTGTTCAGCAGTAACAAATGGGAGGTCGTGACATTTTGTGTGTTAATGCTTTGTTTTATTTTGACATCTTGATGTATCACAATGTATTGTAACAAATATAAGGAGTTTTAGTGCTAAAGTAAACATTGCCGTCATAAAATTAACTGCTGAAAATCTTGACTCATTTCATCTGTTGGCATTCAATAGATGGCGAGGAATTCAGTGGGTATAACTCTATAATTATTGTGACATTTGCTATGGTCTCCATTTTTGTGACAGCGATAGATGGTTGGTGGTTGGCAATCAGGTGTCTGTAACAATTTCTTAACAACTTCCAATTTTTTTTCAAAATCATCTACAAGTTTTCAGCAGTTCAAATCTGACCCTAGAATTAAGACCTTTCAAAGTAAAAAAAATTCTAAAAAGGTCTTTTTTCAACTTGCTTCAAATTGAGGATTTTTTTTCAAAATCATCTTCAAGTTTTCAGAAGTTCAACTCTGACTCTAGAATTAAGATTTGACCTTCAATTACTTTTTCGAGGTCAAAAAGGTTAAAAAAGGCTTTTTTTCAACTTGCATAAAATTGACCAATTATTTTTTTTCAAAATCATCTTCAAGTTCTCAAAAGGTCAAAAAAGATTTTGATCTTCTCAAGGTCTAAGATTTGACCTTCGATGACCTTTTCAAGTTTTAATATTTATTAGTATTTAACAGTTTAAACACAAACAAATGATAGAACCCACTAGAAAAATAGTTAACTGTTATCTACACAAGCCATTTGCAAAGTGAATGAGGCATTGACATGCAAAATGTCACACTACCTACCATTTGTTACAGACACTAAACACTGAATGCAGAATGCCAACCACCAGATGCCACCCCAAAATAAGTTGAAGACCATAACTAACTTCCGATAGTAAAAATGACACCAAAAATTATTTTATTCAAAGTAAATTATTTTATTACCCATTTCACTGTATCACAATAAACACACTAAACAATAATAAAAATTAGATAGAATATATACCTCTTTATTCAACATATTCAATATTCGCCACTTTTAAAATATAAAGAGTAAAGGAATGTATTATGCATATTTTAATAAAATATCACATTATTATATCAGCATACACGATAACATTATACCTCATATTCTTACTCAATTTTTCACATCCCTTATGTTTAGTAGGTGAATACTGTAAAAGTAGGAGTGCAAACATTTTTTTTTGAAAAGTTACATCTTAAAGACTTGCTTTTTCAACTAGTGTTAAGGAAACAAAAAGTAAATAATAGGAGGAGGACCTTTTTTAAGCTTAAGTTCTATCCTTTCCTAATAAGGCCAAGCATATTTTTATTCAATAAATGTTTAGTTACACTTAGACCCACAACAGAAGATTTAATCATTTAAAATAAAATCTGGATGTTCTCAGTTCTAGTATAGCTATTAAATTACCCTTCCTCTAGTTATCTAGCTATCTAGATCATATGCTATGTATGAAAACTACTGAGTTACTCCCTGCTGAAGGACAAGGGCACAGCCGATGCTTCCACTCTGTTGTGTGTCTAAGTGGTTATGGGACATGAACACTAATAATAAATACATTTACATGAATAATCACTTCCCTAGACCAACACATACAGTAAAACCTGTATATACAAACATCTCTCTGATCTGAATACCTCTCAATGTAAGATATTTTCTCTGATTGACTTAAATGTTTATAAAGCCTTGAAATGTGAACATCAAATAATCTGAACACTTTTGGCCAGTCTCAGAGCCTTTGAAGATGCAATATTGAGATATTCCCTATTTATACAAAAAAAAACTGGATTTTAGTTTGCTCATTTAAGTGGACTATTTTTCAATGGATTTGAATCTGAGCTTTGCTATTTCAAGTACATGTACAAGCGCTTTGAATGAGTTAAATAGTCATCATAACACCAGGAAAAAGTTTGCAATTTTTTCAGTTAATAAATACTTCAACCCATAAAAATGATTGAGTAATGTACACAAGTCTTTTTTTACAAAACAAAGTCTGTGAGTTACGTAAAGAGACTTTATGGATGCCATGTATTTGAACTCCTTTAGGACCTCTACCCATCATTACTTTCACTTTCATCATCACTGAAATTAATCTGTGAAGGCAAGGACATAAAATTCATTAGACTCATGCCGCCACTAGGCTGGCTTGACCTACTGGCCTCTTGGAGTCGCCTCTGTACCTCTAAACCAAGCCTGTCTGACTCTTCATGGATATTCTCATTGAGTTCCTGAAAGCGTTGCAATATGGAACCAAACGCAGGATTGGTGATGACTGCTGGATTTAGACCTGGTATGTTGGGAAGTGGAGCCTGAATGAGTGTGCTAGTGTCCGTTTCCATTGGGGTTTCAATTTCCCTTTCCACAGGGGTTTCAGGCTCCACTTGGGCTTCTTTTTCAATTGGGCTTTCAATGGCTTTAGTAAAGTGGGTTGGTGGATTTTCTTTCGTCTCAATTGGTTCTGACTTTATGGATGGCGAAATACTTTCAGATGACTGTATCTCAGTGCCTAATAAGGAATGTGGAGTGGGTTTGGCAACAAGATTGGGTAAGCCTGGTTTTGGAATGAGGGTAGGCATTCTGGTGGGCGGTTTATTGGTGGAGGGTTGAGACGAGACTATGTTCGAAGCCTGTGAGGTGCCTGTTGACTGGACCATTTGGAACTGTAGGGGCATTCGTGCTGGTAAAACTGCTGGCTGACATTGTTGCACAGGAACTGCTACAAAAGGTTGTGACTGACCTGGTAAAGTTCCCACTGGAACAAGGATCATATTGCTACCTGGTTTCAATGGTAGAGGCGGGGCAACTTGTCTGATTGGAGCAGACATTTGGATCTGTGTTTGCACCTGGGTAGGACTACGAGCTACACTGGCACCGATTAATGGGGCAAGTTGTCTGATTGGAGCAGGCACTTGGGTCTGTGTTGCCACCTGGGTAGAACTAGGAGCTACGCTGACAGGAAGTGATGGGGCAACATTTTTCTGATTAATTGGAGTAAAATTAGGCGTGGTGTTTGAGTGGACCAGCCTGGTCTCACCAACAACTGAAGCCTCTGATAAAAGAATGGTTTCTGGCAACTTGGATGTTGACTCGTTTGATTGGATAACTATTGGCGATTTAGTCGATTCACCAGATTTTTGATCCTCAGTCTGTTGCTTCATACAGTAGGTAGTTTCTTTGGCTGCCTTATCAAGAGATCTCATTGCATCTATGGTGCTCCCATGAAACAAAGGTATTCCTTCTGTACGGACATTCTGATTCTCAAAGAAACGTATCAGGTCCACATAATGTGCCCTAAGATTTTTTCTCAGACGTTTATCCGTATCACGATCATACGAAGTCTTATGCAGTCTAAATTCAATGGCATATTTTAGAGTGTTTAGTACATATTCAATGTGTTGTATCAGCTTTGGTAAAAGTTCATATTCGGGCCTTGTTGATAATTGTATCTTTAACCTCTGGACTAAATCCATGGATTCTGGACTGTAGATTTGGTGAACAATCTGGTTGTGTGTCTCTGTTAAACAGTTTTGTATGTGCCATGCAAGAGATCCTGGAAGCAAACAAACCTCAATGGTTTCAGTCATTCTCCTAGATAACCAAACTCAGGAGAAAATTAGTAATTTGCATTCTACATTCCTAAATACCCAATTATACACACTATTTTCAAATATCAAATCTCATTTCTAACGAAAACAAATATTTGGATGCATTTCGTAGAATAATGGGGTCACTGCACATAACCCCTATCTAAGCCTATCTTGCTTAAAACTCTTAAATATTCTTCAAAGTATAATTTGACATTGAATTAGTTATTGTAAACCTAAAAATAATCTGTTCTGGACATATGGGTTATTATTCATTTTGTAATTGATGTTTTTATGAACATCAATTACAAAATGACAAATAAATAAATAAATGGCCCCTTTGGGATGAAAGGGTTAATACTTATTTTTGCATTCACCAAAAATTCAAATTAAATTCTGATTCTAAAAACTGTCACTCTCAGCTTTCCAATGGTGTATCAGAACCTTAGTGCAGGTGAAGTCATTTATTTGACCCTCGTTTGCTCTACTATAAGGATCTTACCTCCAAAAGTTGAATTACAATGCTTGGCCTCCATGATGGCATCCAACAGAGCTTGGTTATGTGTCTGCAACAAATATCATGAACTTCAAAAGTATGTCTGACTTAACCTCAACGAGAGCAACAGAAACTCCACAGAGAAGCAAATCCCAACGAACAAAACATGTTTTGGTAAATAGTGGCCTCTTGATAATTTCTTCTTGAATAGAGCTCCCTTGTCCCAATGTCCCCAGGTATCAGCATAAAGAATCTGAACCAAATCTGTCCACTGGTATTTGAGTTATGAAGGATTACATTTTTTATGGTGGCAATTTTGAGTTTTCAAAGATTAGATTTTTTACCAAAAATGGCAGCTATTTTGAAATTCAGCTTTCATCTTCAAATTTATTCTTGGGTAGAGTTCCTTTATCTCTAGAGCTCTCTAGGCATCAACATAAAGAATCTGAACCAAATCTGTCCACTGGACTGCAATTTTGAAATTCAACTGTCATCTTGAAAATTTATTCTCAAGCAGAGTTCCTTTATCCCTAGGCATCAGCATATAAAATTTGAGTTATCAAAGGGTACATTTTTCATTAAAAAAATGGTGGACAATTTTAAGTAATCAAAGATTATGTTTTTCTAATGAAAAATGGTGGCCATTTTGAAATTTGGTAGCCCTCTTGCATGACCAGAGCTCATTTGTCCATCTACTGATAATTGGATTCTCAAAGATTACAGTTTTTACAAAAAATGGTAGCCAGTTTGAAATTCAGCTGCCATCTTGAAAATTCCTTTGCGGCCAGATTTCCTGTGTCCCTAGGCATCAGCATATAAAATTTGAACCAAATCCATCAACTAGTATATGAATTATCAAACATTCGAACATGACTGTATTCACGCCTTCTATAAACTGTAAACAAAGTCAACATTTCATCCGGGGTATATTCACGATCAATACCCCTGGTAATACGTGTAATGTGTGACGTCATAACGGTGGATCATAGTAATGGTGGACCATCGAAACATTTTGGTGAGTTTTCATGTACGAATCGTAATATAAACCTCAGAGCAGGGGTTATTTTGTCGAATACATCCCTTAGAGCTAAGCACAAAAGCTTTCGAACGCCTCACTGCCTAGGCCTGCGGGGTGTATTCGACAATATTACCCCTGCTTTTCAGTCTATATTTCTTAATTACATTTTTTTATGAAAAATGGCAACCATTTTAAATTGAGGGGACATATTGAAAATTCCTTCTCGAGCAGAGGTTCTACACCCATAAGGCATAAGCCTATAAAATTTAAAATGAATTTGTCAACAAACAGCAAATGGACAGATGGACAGCTTTCCTATATCCCCCTTGAACTTCGTTCGGTGGGATAATAAGGTCAATATATATACATGTACTATGAATAAATTTATAGCTAGTCTTTAACTAACTGATGAAGAACAGAAAACAACAACACTATAAATCTTGTGAATTTGTGAATTCTAACATATACAGAATGTTGGATAAACATTAGATGGCTAGAATCAAATGTCAGTTTAACTTGGAAAAATTTAAGAACACTGAGCAATTTTTTTGTTGCTATTGAAATTACATGAAAATGTTGAAATTTTCAATACAACATTATACTTTCTTTTAAAACTAGGCCCATGAGCGAAAAATGATTAAAACTATGCATTAGGATCAATGGAAATGACTCGCTGGAAGTTGTCAGGAAAATATTCGAAGTAACTTTAATTCGAGCATAATCAAAAGAATTACAAGAAGGACATTTTTGAGACACCCTGTGGTCACAAACCAATTAGTTGGAAGATCAGTTGCATTTTTTGATTACCTTGTACCAATCCTTTATGTTTGGTTGAATAGCTTTCACATCAGTTTTGTTGTCCTTAAGAATACTGCATGCTATGGTGCCCAATAGGGGATGTTCAAGGGCAGCATGCTTCTGCATCTCTCCTGGGTCATTGAGGCAAACCTTACACATGTTGCACACATACAGGATCTTATTCTTCAGGTGCATTTCCCTGGAATATAATTGGACAGTAAACATGTTGCACACATACAGGATCTTATTCTTCAGGTGCATTTCCCTGGAATATAATTGAACAGTTTACATGTTGCACACGTACAGGATCTTATTCTTCAGGTGCATTTCCCTGGAATATAATTGGACAGTAAACATGTTGCACACATACAGGATCTTATTCTTCAGGTGCATTTCCCTGGAATATAATTGGACAGTTTACATGTTGCACACGTACAGGATCTTATTCTTCAGGTGCATTTCCCTGGAATATAATTGGACAGTTTACATGTTGCCCACGTACGGGATCTTATTCTTCAGGTGCATTTCCCTAGAATATAATTGGACAGTTTACATGTTGCGCACATACAGGATCTTATTCTTCAGGTGCATTTCCCTGGAATATAATTGGACAGTTTACATGTTGCCCACATACGGGATCTTATTCTTCAGGTGCATTTCCCTAGAATATAATTGGACAGTTTACATGTTGCGCACATACAGGATCTTATTCTTCAGGTGCATTTCCCTGGAATATAATTGGACAGTTTACATGTTGTGCACATACAGGATCTTATTCTTCAGGTGCATTTCCCTAGAATATAATTGGACAGTTTACATGTTGCGCACATACAGGATCTTATTCTTCAGGTGCATTTCCCTAGAATATAATTGGACAGTTTACATGTTGCGCACATACAGGATCTTATTCTTCAGGTGCATTTCCCTGGAATATAATTGGACAGTTTACATGTTGTGCACATACAGGATCTTATTCTTCAGGTGCATCTCCCTGGAATATAATTGAACAGTTTACATGTTGCACACATACAGGATCTTACTCTTCAGGTGCATCTCCCTAGAACACAATTGTACAGTTTACATTACCTAGATTTAAACCTGTTTAGTTCACAGCGTGCAATAATAAAGGACATTGTTCATCATGTGCATCTCCTTAAAATACTATAGTACAGTTCACATGTAACATTCATATTAAAAAGAATTAATCAAAAAATAAAATAATATAAAAGACCTTAAATTTATTGTACAGTTCACATGCTGCAACAATACTGGACATTGTTCTTCTTATTTTCTAATTTGTGTAACATAACCAACTTGTTCTTAGAGGCTTCAAAATAAAGATTTTCAGAAAAACCAGTGGCAACATTGACTTGTAAATTTAAGAGCATGGGTTCTATCATTTATTTTGTTCCTACTACTTACTAATTTGTTTAAACTTAAAGAATATACATAGACATTTATAAGGTGTTCATTGTTGGCGCCCACTATACATAGAGGTTTATGCTATTTACATACCTGTGTTGGAGAAAGAGCTTGGGCTTGGTATAGAACCTCTGGCAGACTGGGCACACATATAGATGGCGCTCTGTGCTATGTTTCACTGCCTCAGCAGAACTACAGAAGGTTTCACAACATATCTTACACACAAAATGGTTGTCAGTGGTGTTACCATTAACAATTGCATCTTTTGCCTTACGTTTTGTCTGTTTCGTATTCAAATTACAATCATATCTATGAGAATCTAATAGGGCCATCTCACAAAAAGTATTTTCAAGACTAAATTGTTTTGAACGTTGAATTTTTACTGCGCATGAGTTCTTAACACCAACATTTGTGACAGTAGAAAGATGGTGTTCTTGGACCGCTTTTGCATTTGGAAATACCATATCACATAGAGTACACACACATTTTGTCTCAGTTTTGCCACACAACTGACGATGTAACAATAACCCATAATTATTGTAGCACCATTTGTCACATGTTTTACAGTTGAATGTTTTTTGATCATGGTGATAAGAATGCTGTTTGAACTGTTTTTCATTTTCGTGAACTAACCCACATTGAGTGCAGTACTTTTTATTCCGTTTGAACTTGCATACCAACCTGTGAGTGTACCATATGTGTCCCGTATCCGCTTGTCTACTACCTGCTCCACATACTCTGCAGAATGCCTTACAATACACAGCGCAATCGTTGACCCAATGCTTCACAATACTCTCCTCTGAAGTAAAAGCAACTGAACAACACGGACACTTCTGGAACACATTACGGCTATTGTCAGTTGTAATATGTCCATTAGACTGAGAGTTCATCTCTTTGACAGGTTCTTTTGATTTTGGCTCTTCCTCATCATTTTCGCCTGGTTGCTTGTCAAGAGAATCATCCTCTACATCCTTCAGAGAGTATGGAGTAGATATAAGACAAAGAGCCTTGCCTTCTGGGGCATCTGCATCATAATTGCAATCTACATCTATAGGCTCATCTTTGACGGTTATGGTGTCAATAGGTTCATCTTTGATGGTTATGATATCAATGGGTTCATCTTTCACTGTAACTGTATTCTCATCAGTAGATTGAGTCTTGCCTGCAAGAACATGAGATTCAGATACCTTGTTTGAAGGCATCATTTGTTCATCAATATTTTCTACTGCTTCTCCCATTGCCTTTAACTTCGCTTCAAAGTCGTCTTCTTCATCATTTTGTATTTCACTAAAGCACTTACTGTATGATTCTGGTGCAGATATTTTGAATTTCATAAGCAGGTCTTTTCCTTCATCTTCACTCAATAAACAGACTTCATTATCTGGGATCTTTTTTCCCCATGCAAATTCTCCAACATGAATGAATTTATCTTTTGATTTTTCCATTTCATCGTCCTTTTCTGTTTTAACAGAATGATTTGCATAACACAGCCTTTCGTGTACTTCCTTAAATCTTTTGTTTTTACAGGGGAAAAGACAGTGTTTGCAAGACACGGATTTATCTTTTTCACATTGTAACTTGTGAGCATCTAGTTCACATTTGTGCTGAAACACTGTAAAACATTCGAAACAAGTATGTAATTTCCCATCAAGTTTAGATTGGCATTCTATTTCGTGGTGCATAAAGGGTTTCTTACCATTCTTGACATCAAACTGAATCGCACAACCTCTACATCTTTTCTTTGCATGCTCTTTCAGACACGAACAATGATGTTGTCTGAGCTTGCTATAGGGCTTCACAAAATAACAGTTGATACATCTCAGGCCTACGCTTCCATCAGGTTTTACATTCGAATACTTCCCACTGGTGATTCCATTTCCACAAAATAAACATGGCCAAGTTTCTCCAAGGCAAGATATGCACTTATCAATATTTGGTAATAGTTTAGCCTCAGTCGTTTTTATATAATGTTCTGTCGTGCAATTTGAGCTCTCACATTTTGTATATAGCTTTCCCTTAATATACTTTAACCTATTTTTTCCTTCACATGTGACTTGGATTTGAGACCTCGACTTTTGGACAGATTTTTTGTCACAGTTATCCAGATGCTTCTTAGCCATTTCTTTAGATTTAAAAGTCTGCTTGCAATACATGCATATAACATGAAATACACTGGCTACACAATCATCCTCATGGTGGAGCCATTGATAAGCATTCACCAACTGAAAAGCACAGAGCTGACATTTCATTTGATCTGTAGAACATTCAACAGTGTGTTCCTCAAGATGCTTTTGGGTACGAAGGAGCCTTTCACAAAGAAAGCACTCATATCTTGGTGTCTCTAAACACCCAACCTCATGCTCATCAAGTTCTTTCTGGCTTGGAAAAGCATCTCCACATCTCGTGCAGACAACAAGACCATCAGTGTCCAAGCTGCACACAACACAGTGCTTATTATAAGCATTCTCCTTGGAAGGTAAAAACAGTGTCATACAAACTCTACACCCAACAACTTTTGATGCTGGGACACAAGATGACTTTTGATGTTCGAGGAATGCCTGCTGAGGAAATGATTTCCCACAGCCAATGCATAAATGTAAATTTCCATCAACAACTTCAACATCATTATCTCCCTTCATATCTAGATTTCCTTTTGGTTGTGCATGTTTTTTCTGAATAAGGCTAACTGTACTAGTTTTCCTAGCAGCATCTGTTGAAGTTGAAGTTCCATCAGCAGGCTTTGGAATGATCATGGTTGGAGTTACACGCTTGGTATGTGCTGAATTAGTTTTAGGTAAAGAGGATATGACACGAGAAGTTGTAGACTGCTGGCCCAAAATTGATGAGGAAATATTGTTAACTAATGGCATAACTTCACTTTTTCCTACAACATTTATCTGTGGATTTGTGTTCCCAGTTGAAGCAGATATTTGAAGTATTTTAACTGTATCATTAGTTATGGGTCCCATTTTTGGTAATTGCAGAGTTATAGGCCCATTTATATTTCCCTTCACCACCAAGGCAGCAACAGTTTGACTTCCAGGAGTGACCGATTCTGAAGTATTCACTTTTGACTGTAAACTCAAAGGTTTCGACTGGCCAAGTTGACTGTTTGGTGAATGCTGAAGTTCACACCTCTTCATATGCTTCTTTAGTTGCTGTTTAAAAAAGATTCTGTTACAATGTTGACATTTCACCCTTGAAGACTGCTTATTGTCATTGCCTCCGTACAGATTTCCCTCTTTGCACTGCATTTGATGGTGGCCTAAACACAATGGATTGTAGTAGATGTAGCCACAAAACTTACAAGGGTACATTTTATTATCTTGAACATGTTTAGTTCTCATCTTACAGTTAGCCCAATGCTTGTGCACAAATTCATCAAGAAAGACAGTCTTACACAGCATGCATTTTAATCTTAGTGGATTTGCGTTATAATCTAAGACTGCTACGTTTCTAAATATCCAGCAGTCTTTCTCATGTTCAGCGAGTAGACGTGGAGTTGGGTAGACTCTGGTCTTTGAGCAATGGCAACAAAAGACTGTTTCTCCAGTTTTCCCATGTAATGATCCACAGCGTCCTTCATGACTCAAAACATGATGAGGCTCTGTGAACTTTCTGTTACAAAATCTGCAATCTATCCACTTTATGTTTGCACTCTCTCTTTGACTAATTAGCTCAAGTTCATGATCTGTAACCGAAAGAGCTGTATTGACTACATTCAACATTTCTTCACAAGCATTCTCATCCATTAAATCATCCACAATTACTACATCATTAGATTTTCCATCTAATCTTGGCTTTTTATTTCTTGAACTAGCTTTATTTGGACTTCTTTTCCTAGATACTTTACTTATTTCAAAATCTGGATCATCCCTGATATCATCAGCTTGCCCTGGTTTAATAAGGTCATCTGAGTCTGCAGTATCACTAGAATAATTATAATCAGGATCTTCATCTTCATTTGTTACGTTATCTTCTGTTATTGTCTCATTATCATCATTCTCAGTATCATTCATGTCACCCAATCTTCTACACCCAAACTTCTGATGACTTTTGAAAGTGGTGATTCTCCCAAAGGACTTGCCACACTCACATTTAAATCTTTCCTCGTTTTCATTAATCTTCGCTTTTTCATTGACCATTTTTGTATTAGTTGAATCCTCAGTATTTTGTTTAATATTATAATTGCTAGGTGAGGATTTGTCTGTCGCCCTTTTCAAAGCAGCATGTGGTAGACTAGGGCAAGTGGTCAATTTAATACTATGGTCCTCCATGGATGGCTTACATATCGCTTCAGTGGGTTTAAATCTAGGTCCGCATGGAGTCTTTTGAATATCAGAAAACATGGTATGTTTGAGTGGAGTATTGTCTTTAGCTGTAAGAGTTCTGGGGCCACAAGTCTTTTCTCTAGCAACTTGAGGAAGTATTTTATATTTATGTTTGAGTCCTTCTTTAGATGGCTCTTTATCTTTTTTCGCTCCCAGTATTCCTCTTGTTACATTATATCTTGTTTCATCAACTGGTAACACAGGGGCATTGGTCTTGGCATCGAATATTTGAGAACTTCTTTTCACCCTTTCATTTGGTAAATCTGGAATGTTAAGTTTGAAGGATAACTCTTCACTATCATTCTCATCAATCTCCTTTTTTATAACCACTTCATCGGGCTCAGCCTTGACAGCGGCATAACATATTTCATTTTTGTTATCTTCCATGGTGTCAGAAGGAGATACGACACATAAAGGTCCTTCACACATTTCCATATGTCTGTGGACTTGGAGTATGTTCACAAATTTTGCTGAACATTCACACTCATATATGTAATGTGTTTTTCTCAAAGTTGGTGACAATTTTCCATATTTCCCAGTACAATCTACTCTGTGATTATAAAATGATGTCATATTCGCGAAGAGTAGTTTGCATGCACATTTAATTGTTGGCCCATTGTAAAATATTTGATTTCTATTGACATCCTGATCAATACTATTTCTGCTCTTTGTTCTTGGAGCCGTATTATCATCATTAGCATCCACTTGATTCAAATTGATCTTATCTGCATTTGCACAATCAACAATTCCATCAGTACCACCATTGTGAAATAGTTTCAAATTATCAGTAATAGCATGGACACAACTTACTACATGTTGCTCCCAATCCTTTTGATTTGTAAATATTTCAGTTGAATTACATCTACTTGAACATTTCAATTCACCATTCATAGATTTCAATGTGGCAAAGTTGACACTAGCTACATCATTAACTACCTTAGGTGTAAGAACTATGGGGCAAAAGATGCAAGAATGATTCTTCGTGACTGAAACACATGACTGACAAGAATTATTAGAATTTAAAACACCACTTTCACCTTTCCCACATGTGTGACATATGTTACCCTTCTGTATAATGCCATCCAAGCCTGGGTCCCTGGCACATTGTTTTGCCATTATGGATGCCTGGTACAGGTAATGTCCCTATAAATAGATATATATGTTTAAACATACTACTGACGAAATATACCAATACGCGATAACGTTTAATTTCGTTCAGTTTAGCAACCTCTCGTTTGAAGAGCTCTCATGTATGGTACAACTTCATCTACATCCGGGTTCTTTCCCATTGGATTACACAGGGGTGCTATTTTCAATGCCGCACTGCGGCTCTATTAAACATTTATGTAGAGTTTCATTTGCACAAACGATAGGTATGTATGTAATTAAGATATATGACAAAGCAATTTGAGCTATAATCCCCAAATCCGAAGTAATGTGTAGTTAAAAATGCCGTCCAATTCCAGTGACGTCACTGATATACCAGAAATTGCTCAGACGCCATCGAATATCGAAAAATATAAATAATGTTACTTTGAATCTCCGATTATCTTTCTGATTATTGAATAGATTGGATTATATAACTATGCTTGAGGGCTGATGGAAGATCAGAAGCTGAGAAACGTTCAGAGTAATCGACTCGTTCGGCGGGCCAATGAAAATTTGTCCCTTCCAAAGCGATGCATCATGGGAGATATTTATGTAAATTACCACCTGAACTCTTATCGCGAATAGGAGTATTACAATGGATAGACAATGTAAATGCTGGAAGCATATTATCTTTAAAAATCAGAATTTAGGACAAAACTTACATTCTCCGAAGCATTTTAGCAAGTTTCTTGAGATCCCTAGGTATCAATGCATTTGGATGTAAATTAAGAACTAATTCTTTTCAAAAATTATTGAATTTTTCACCATACACATTTCTTTACATGAAGTCATATTCCTTTTATAAGACAACATTAAGTGTAACAATGCAATGAACTAACTCAAAATCTGACATCTAAAAGAGAGAAAGCGCAATAGCACTTGGAATTTACTCTCAACTTGCCCATCCCTTCTAATCCCTATATAGTTGAGATTCTCAAAATTTCACACCAATTGTCTTTGATTTTTTTGATGAGTTACAACGGGATAAAATCCCAGTGACATTTCACCCCATGCCCTGAACTAAATGTGTTTTGTCATCCTGTGTGCTTTCTTGACAAAACATACCCACATAGCAAAAGAAATCATACATTTAACACATGATTACCTGTTATCTATTGAAGGTATCTTTGTTAAGCATATGTGGAACTCATAGCTTTTCCAGTCATTAGGCGTCACAATATAACATACTTTGTGTGTCAGTCACCAAGGATTGAGTATAAACCTGAAATATATTTAAATAAATAAAATACATGAGATCAATAAACAAATGTTAAAAATATTTTGATTCTTGTGCATACTTTAAATATATATCTTATGAATCATGAAATTAAGTGAATTTTTTCCATACTGTATACAGCATTCTAGCTCAACTCAAACCATTATGTCATCTATTAAACTATCAATATAGCAAGTCATCTGTTGGCGTGTAATATGCAGGCACAATCAAACAACATTTCTAGAATAAGAAACTTTTCAGCCATATCAATTCATTGGGATTGTTCATATCCAAAAAGCCTCTACCAAGATAGATAGATGGTCTAAACTTCACTTTAGTACTTCAACATACATGTATAAATAATATCCTTGTTGATCTTGAAAGTCAGGTTTAACATATTTTCAATGAAACTTTAACTGTAAGGGTCAAGTTATCAATTTCAATCCAAGGAGTCCAGTTATCACCTTGACAACCGTTTAACTAGTGACCTAGGCTTGAGTTTCTTATTGGTTATATTATGGAATGCAGTTATGTGAAATAGCGTCTTTGGATTGGCTGGAATCAGATATACCTTGCCTAGCTATATGTGAATCTGAAATTATTTCAAATGTAGTGGTGCAATTTTCTATATATTGGCAGCTCAGAAATAATGAGTAATGGTTGGATAAATTGTTTGAATTGAAAAAAAAACACTGTCTTATTAAGGCAAAAAATCATAAAAACCTGTGAAAATAGATCCAAGGTGATAACTCATTTAGATCACAGGGTTACCAATATTTTGATGACACTTTATTTTCTAAAAAAGAAAAAGGCCTACTCATCTTCCAATAACCCAGATGCGAGTAGAAATAATCTTGATTTACAAAATTCAGTCAAAGTAATATCATATTTGAAATCTACATGTAAAATTACATCTAGAAATGTGGTTTTAAAAAGTGGTTATCAACTTTGAAAAATTAATTTTCTTTGAAAATGTGACTTCTAGCTCGGGGAGATTCCCCATAGACCCCATGCTATAAAATCACGAAAAATGAAATAACTTTTCTTTTAGTGGACAGATAATATTTTGCTTTACTGGACATATTTTCATTAGTATAAGTATCAGACACATAAGGGTTACCGTATTCTCTGTAATTAGCGCCCAGGGCGTTTAGAAAATTGAAAATACATTATTTAGACCATTCTAATAAGCGCCCATGTATGAAAGAAATCAGAAATCCCGAGGAATTTCATGTATGGCAATTTTTCTTGACAAGAATGCATTTTCTTCAACATATTTTTATAATAATATGACAAGTGCTGTTATTGGAGAGAATACGGTAAAGATCGCTTAGACAATATTGACAGTGGTTGAAGACCCGTCTATGTCTAATTTATTTCCGGCACGCCCACTTTGTCATTATCGCCGATTACCTTCAATATTTCCACTAGAGACTGCTGGATATCGATCTAAAGTTATACATTATTTCTAATTTGATGAGAGATCATCATTATTCGTGCAAAAGCCGTGTAAAAGTCGAGAAACATTAAAAAGAAACCAGAAAGTTCATGACCTTGACATGCGCAGAACATCTGCGCAGTAGCTTTTGAAATTTCTGAATGCCGATAAAGAACAATTCCTTCATTCATTATGGACTATTTGGAGACAATATTAGCATGGTATGGTGTGGGAAGCACCCATCGATAGATATGTATCGAGAGGATGCATAGAATTACAAAACGCGTCGTGTTTACAGCAGTTTTAGGGTAAGTACTCTATTATCGCCCGCTCCTGGATTTTGAGAAATATTTTTTTCCTGATATATTCTTCAATTCTTGTTGATTCCTCGATGTTTCTTGAACTTTGTGAAGCGGGGTGGGCGCTTATTAGAGAGTGGGCGGTAATTACAGAGAATACGGTATATGAAAATTGAGCCACTTAAATTGATAATATTCAAGTTTAAGGGAACTTTCTTATATACCTGCCATGTTAATTGACCCGAATCAGCCACCTGGTGGTGAAACTGGTAACTACTTACTCGCATTTGGGTAATTGCAAACATACTGTTAATCTCGAGTTTTGTGTCCATTATAGGTTCTCTTCAACATGTTCATGAAGAATAATTTGACTGAATTTAGCAACCTGACCCATACAAAACCCGTAGCACTACCTTGTTCTATATTTTCAGCCATATTTTTCAGAGGCCTAAAAATGTATTGACGTAAAAATCAAGAAACAAAATACAAGCTTTGGAGGGCATCTTACTTTCTGCTAGTTAGACCTTGATATATATTATGGTATTGAAAAGGTTAAATTTTTGAGATATAAATGAATCTTATAAAACTCATATCTTTCCACAATTTAGAGTAACCCTGTATTATCATAGCTCCACATTATTACTACTAGACTGTAATACACTTTTTTCTAAGTTTCTAAACAACATTTGAAAACCAAGCTACAATTCATTTTTAATTTCCTCAATACTAGAGTCCATTTCACTGGTTCATTTCGTCAGTAGAACGGCAAAAATAAGAAATTGGGAGACCATTGTGCAATAATATATGGAAAAGTATTTTCATAATGTACATGAATGACATTTGTTTATTTCAGATTTTTTAGTTTTTTGTGCAATAAGCCTGTGCCGTCTTGTAATTTGAAGAATTTCAGCCATGTTAATCTTATTGAAAATAACATGGCAGAGAAACATCCAAATATAAGAGGCCACACACTTTATAAGCCAAACTAGAAGCAATCCAAGATATACAAATGTCATTCATGTACATTATGAATATACCTTTCCATATATTATTGCACAATGGTCTCCCAATTTCTTATTTTTGCCGTTCTACTGACGAAATGAACCAGTGAAATGGACTCTAGCTTGATGCAACAAGGGGCAACAAGGATGGGTTACCTGAGACTAACATATGTAAAATGAATAGAAACCAAGGAAATATATAGAGGTTATTTACTAGGAGGGATTCAATATGGGTTTTATTCCGAGGGACAATATGATATTTCCTAAAGGCCAGGAAATGCTGATGTTTCAAGAAAATGGCTGCCTTTTCAATTTTCCAAACTTGTTCTCCAACTCACTTACCAAAGAAGACAATGTTATGATATTTTCCTGAAAAAAGCAAGGAAAAGCACACATGCCTCCATACTTTATTTTGTACCAGAAAAAAAATATATATAAAAAAACAAAATGATATATAATAGAACAATTGTCAACAACCCTGGCTCGAGATATAACCATTTATGTGACATGAGGGTCAAAAAACACCTTTTCAATTTTCATCGATTTTGCGAACAATAGCCTATTTCTACCAAATTTTACTGTTCAGTTAAAAATTGCAACATTGTCATGAGTCTTTCATAATTGGATATTATATATTGTTTTCATTCAGTTTTTGAACCATTCATGCTCAATAAACATGTGTATGCTTATAAAACAAATTAGTTTCTTCTTAAGTCTGTCCAAATATGGCTCAATAGACCCACCCCCCGGACCAATCCTCTGATCGGATTATTCGCTAAAGACGCGAAAGCCTTTGGTATAATTGATGGATCTCTGTGGAAGTACTGTTGAACTCGTAATTATTCATTCTTTCAGTTTGTCTACATCCCTGATAGGCTAGTGATCTTCATAGACCAACTGTTCTAAATGCCCCAAGTACTATACATGTTATCAACAGGATAGACTCTGTATATCAGTAAGCAAGAATAGGTACATTTGCGATAAAAGGCTCCTCAAATCGAGATGACATTTTTCTGAAAGGGTAGTGGTGTCCACTCGGAGTTTCCAAAAAAGGAAAGACCGTACAGGCCCTGTTTTTGTTGAACCAGGAGCAAAAATATACTCTGAATGTTAATGACATGAGGTGTTAAAAAGGACTCCTCAAGGATATAAAAAACATGTGAAAGAAATTTCATTTTCTGATAGGAAAGTGCTTCATCACACAGGTCCAATGCTACCCTGGAGTTTTTGGAGATTCGAAATGACACCAACTCTAGCCCGGACAAATGGCTTACTGACAGTCCAGATGCCAATAATGTTGATTACCACACCTGGGGGCATCTAGAACAGTTGTTATTTAAAGATACCCAGCCTATCAGGGATGTAGAGGAACTAAAAGAAAGAATAATAAATAGCAGTTGAATGGTACTTCCGCATACATCCATCAATTATGCCATCAACCAATGGCTTCTGCTTCTTAAGCGAATAATCTGATCAGAGGATGGGTCCGGGGGATGGGTCTATTGAGCCATATTTGGACATACTGAAGAAGAAATTAATTTGTTTTATAAGCATACACATGTTTATTGAGCATGAATGGTTCAAAAACTGAATGAAAACAATATATAATATCCAATTATGAAAGACTCATGAAAATGTTGCAATTTTTAACTGAACAGTAAAAGGTAGAAATAGGCTTTTGTTCGCAAAATTGATGAAAATTGAAAAGGTGTTTTTTGACCCCCATGTCACATAATTGGTTATATTTCTATATGGAGTTATTGAAAATGGTGCTGTTATATATCATTTTGTTGCAAATTAAATTATCTTTAAAATGATATATCATTGCTGGTGTACCTGTTAGAAAATAAAAATTTATCAGGACTAATGGCTAGGGGGGTGGTTTTTTTGGCCCACCCTGTATATATCTTGAAAATAACATGTGCAGATATAACAATTTTTCAGAAATGTTTTCTTTCCACCAGTGCCTTTTATATATATGTGGTAGTTTAATCTTTCTAACATAATATAGAAAACGGAGTGGCTCCAGGACCGACAATTGTCGGTACTGGAGATTGTCCAGGGCTATTTGCTTGGGTACCGACAATTGTCGGCACTCTATCGTCACCTAGTAGTGCCAGATAGAGAACCGACAATTGTCGGTACGCAAGTGGCTGCTACGTGTTTTTGCTAGAGAGCCGACAATTTCATAAATAAATCCACTACTTTTACTTTGAGATTAACCCTATCACTGGTAGCGCAGTGGTTAGCGAGCACGACTCAAACACACTCGGTCCCGAGTTCGAATCCTGGCAGGACCTACTTTTTTTTGAGGGGGGGGGGGGCATAGTGCTTCTTTTGCAGTATTTATTTCAACAAAAAAAGATTCAACTTCCATCAAAATTGTCGTACAAGCTTCAATTAAAAAACATTTTAAAGCTCTTTTCTTGTTCTATCTAATGGGTCGATATATACAGTTAGGGGAGGGGAAGCTTTCGCCCCCGTTGCTCTCTACCCTTACTACGCCATTGCACAGAAGAAATATCTCATTTGGAATATATCACGGTTTACTTTGCGTTTGGTAGCTCTCTCATGCGAGATGGAATCGTGGCCATTAACTAAGGGAGCCAAATGCAACTTCCATCAAAAATTGTGCTATAAGGTATGAGTACCGTAATCCAACACCAAATTCGAAAATTCATAACAATACTTTGCACATATGGCGTTCGTGACCAACTATGAAACGCTTACCCCCCCCATAGTGTTATATATCAAAATGCACCTGTCCATATAGGGGTTCGATTGACCTACATCAAATTATAGGGAGTCCGGTTACTTTTTGAGATATCAGCGTCCGTTTATTGTAACTCGCGTTTGCTACCACTTCCTCAATTCTGATATGACGGGCAAACGCGTAGTAAACATGCTCACGTTCGGAACTATTTTGACCTACATCGCTATTTTCGTAGTTCAAATGTAAGTTGAACTCCTCTTTATTTTGATACCAAATAGTGGCATACTAGGTACCCTAGAAGCCAACTATGGGTTATTTAGAACGATACCACAGGTTTTTAAATGGACTATATAGGGGTCATACCTTTTGGCGGATGGATATGGAACCTCATACCATAAGCTTCAAATAAAAAACATTCTAGCTATTTTCTAGTGGGTTTTGCACTTTTTCCCAAAATATCCGTATGATATCTGAAATATCCCCCGCGTATTGCGCATGCGCTAGAAAATTCCAAAATCATTATTTGTCGGTCCTCTAGCGTGTAAACACAGCATATCTCCCGTACCGACAATTTATTTGTCGGTCCTCTAGCGTGCCACCATATCAGAGTCTAGAGTACCGACAATTGTCGGTACTCTAGCCTTTACGTATAGAAAAAGTATTTAATGATTTTGCACTTACCAAGAGATCAAAAGATGGGGCTCTGCATGTGATTCCAATTCTTATTCACTTTGTACATAATCTCCCATATTGTAGATACATGTACATCTGAAAATCATCAATTTTGAGAACATAAAATCCAACAATAATTTCAATCATCTATATCACAGTGTTTTGTGTATATATAAAGTAGATACTAGTTAATGAATACATGTACACAAGTTGGTAGCAATGTGCACCTATGCAGAACTGGTAGTAGTGATAACACCACATGAGATGACTATGGCTAATCAGCCATGCTAGGCAATGCATGTTATCAGGTAATCACAATGATAAACTGCAGATTTTCCTATGGTTAAATTAGCCCTATTCACATGTCAGCATGTTGATGATTCAGGCCTGTCAACTGTCCCGCAATTTGCGTATTTGTCACGCATTTGCTGAAGAATTTGAAGTCACGCCAGTTTTTTTTGCGTGACAGAAAATGTCACGCAAATACGCATTTTACCTGGTAATTGTCACGCAAAAATATTTCTGTAGAAAATTTTTCAAAATATGTTGACGATACAGCAAAAATACGAACGTCGGAAAAAACCGAACGCAATTTGTTCGGATTTGTCACACGAATCCCGTATGTGTCACGCATGTCAATTGAAAATTTTCGTACCTACCCCCCCCCCCCCCCCGTTGACGACATCGCGAGTGTAGTGAGCGCGAAAAATTGAGGTGTCCAAAATTTGATTAAATGCAATAAAATTGAAAACAAGGTGCTCAAATTGTGGCCAAGATGTTCAGATTTGGACCAAGGTGTCCAAAATTTGAACAAAGGTGTTCAACATTTGCAAGTCACTCATGTTAGGTGTCCCCAAGTTGACAGGCCTGATGATTGAGCATACTTTTTCCCATGCACATAAAATGTTAAGTTTCTTTGACTGGCCCATTTGGTTTTGTATTCATGCAAAGCAACCAAGTATGTCCACAAATACAACATCACAAATCATATCATTTTTTGATGTTACCATAGTTACCAGTTATCTGGTTAATTTTATCCAATATTAAGGTACAGCTGGAAAATAACATTTTGGGAAAAAATTGCTACACCTGCACATGTTGTTTTCTGGTACAAAATTAAGTATGAAGGCATGTGTGTATCTCCTTCCTTTTTTTCAGGAAAGTATCATTACACTGTCTACTTTTACTAAACTTGGAAACAGGTCAATAACGCAGATGCGAGTAGGTAGTTTCCAGATTCACCACCAGGTGGCTCGTTCGGGTCAGATAGCATGGCGGGTATAGTAGAAAGTTCCCTTTAACTTAAATTACATCTATTTGCGTGGTTCAATTTTCATATAACCCTTATGTATCTAATAGTTATGTAAATTAAAATATGTCCAGTAAAAGAAAATGTTATCTGTCCAATACAAGAAAAGATAATTCACTTTTTGTGATTTTGTAACGTGGGGTCTATGGGGAATCAACCCGAACAAGAAGTCACATTTTCAAAAAAAAAAACATTTTCAAAGTTGATAGACAATTTTCGAAACCATACTTCTAGATGTCCTTTTACATGCAGATTTCAAATATGACATCGCTTTGACTGAATTTTGAATATTTAATGACGTAAATCAAGATTATTTCTACTCGCATCTAGTCTATTGTAGCTCCTGTGTTGTCTGGAAACTTCAAAAGAAAATTTGGAAAAATAGAAAGTGTGAAATATCAGAATTTCCTGGAGTACCCATTGAACTCTTACCAGATTTACTAAAAGAAGACAATGTAATATGAAATATGAAATATAGCATTGTACCATATTCAATATGAAACACATCACTATACAATATGTTGGCTGATCCATACTAAAGTTAGCCCAAAGCAATTTGAGTTGATAGGCGTTACTGCACACACCAAATGGACTTCCTTGTCTCATCATTTCAATTCATATTTACTGCCTATTGATGTAGAAAATGATCAGTGAAGCAAACCGAATTGGCATGAATTCAATGTGACCACATCCCACCTATTGAATAAGTAGGTACTTATATCTATATCTATAATTCTGGAAGAAGGATAGTCCTGTATAATCCAGATACTTAAAGGTTAAAACAGGGATGGACCGTATGAGTATTAACTCATGAACAAAGGACGATTCTCGGTTTGGAGAACGAAGTTCATCAATCTAAATGAGCATTATCCCTGCTTCGGACAAATTTGATTTTTTTACATAATATAGATTTGAATGTCTTCTTTTGAATAGTCATAATTTAATTTGGGTAATATTTCTAGATTTTTCGCAAAAAAATATCAGCGCAGTACACTGATGAACTTCTTTCCCCAAATCGAGACTTGTATTTTATTGAATCGGTCTATTTGAGCATTATCCCTGCTTCAGACCAATTTGTAATTTTTACATCTTGTAGATTTAATTGTCCTCTTTTGAATATTTATAGTTTAATTTGGGTAATATTTCTATATTTTTCATGAAAATTTTTTTAGCCCAGGAGGCTGTTCTCCAAACCGAGAATCGTCCTTTGAAAGTAGATTTCATATCTTAAGGTAGAAGTTCAATGTCTATTCCGAAGTCAGTTCACACGTTCCTAATACCAAAAATGAGAACTATATACAACATCGATATTTGTTCATTTGAAAAATCTCGCTTTGCTGTTCAAATGCAGCATGGCGCGATCCAGATTAAGACGCAAAGCATCACTAATACTGTATTAAACCCTGAGAGACCGGATACGAAACACCGCAGAATCCATGACACACTAATGCTGTCATTATATAAAATGGAATAATAATATTTTACCACAGATTCATATTATTCTATATTTTATTTTTTCTCAAGATACGGACAGTGAATTCTTTTGAAACACTTTTGTATTCTCATAGAATAATCAGAAAATCTGAATTGTGTAGTTTTAAAAAAAATAAACAAGAATTTCGTATTGTTGAGAACAATGTTAAAGGATAGGTATCGATATGGAGAACTGAATTCAACAATGTTTTTCTCTTAAACCAATCATTGAAAACATTCTGTAAAAAAACATGGTATTTTATGTAATGTTGACTAATTGACAACAATTTAATGCGAAAATTATTTAGAAATATTTTATATAACTGTTTTTGTTAACATTTTTTGATTTTTAGTGCAATTGTTTTTGCTCCTTTCTACCAATTCTTGAGAATGAAATAAAATGTCTTTCCGAACCTTGTTGGAACAAAATAGCATATACAACATGTTTTTAGACCTCTCAATATTAAAGTTATACAAAGGAATTTTGGGTTGATTTTCAAAAAGTATTCAAAAAATTAAAATAAAATCCCCCAAAATAAATAAAAATCAAGAAAAACCTTTTATTTCATTAACAAGATACTTTTTTAAAATCAACCAAAATTTCCTTTGTACAATTACAATATTGAGAGACCTAAACATGTTGTGTTTATGTCGTTTTGTTCCAATGAGGTTCGGAAAGATGTTTAATTTCACTCTGGAAACGTGATACCAAGAACAAAACAAGTGTTTGATGTGTTTTTTAAAACAATATAGATGAACGTATGTATATATATAAATTATATTGTTACCATTCAAAAGATGGCTATTAAATTGACAATTTGTAAGATTTTCAGAAATTTTTGATGACTGGTTTAAGAGAAACGTGTGTTAAAAAAGTTTGCCATATCGATACCCATTCTTTAAACATTTTCCAGAAATAACTAAACAGTCAATCTTCCTAATTTTCACATATTTTGTTATTCATCAGTATATCTTTCACCTTGATTTTTTAAAGAAAATCTGAATTGAAAAGAAAAGTTGGTCAACATTGAAGTTCTACCTTACATGTAACAACACTGTCATGATTCTAAAGGGGCAACAAGGTATGTGAGAAAATTCAAAAATTTTACTTTTTCTGAGCTATCAGGGCAACTAAACATCTGACATACCTTTTTTCTTAAAATGTATGGATAGACTATCAATTTCAGCATTAAGAAGTGTAAATTCAGTTCAAAGTTTCTATGTTATGAAGCTACCAAATAGTGTAAATGTATATATTTTCAGACTATGTAGAACTCTATATGCAAACTACATAACAGCATTGCTAAGCATAGTTAATCCCATTGAATGACTATGGCTGCTATTTTTGGAAATGGCCACCTATACATTGAAGGTCAATCTGTTTTGGCCTAAAGAAGGTCATTGAAGGTCAAATCTCGAATCTACTGTCAGATTTGAACTTTTGAGAACTTGTAAATTCTCAAATTGGTCAATTTGAAGCAAGTTGAAAAAAGACCTTTTTTGACATCGGAAAAATACCTTTTTTGAAATTCAGAAGCTCATTGAAGGTCAAATCCTTTTTGACATTGACAAGATCATTGAAGGTCAAATCTCAAATTTATAGTCAAATTTGAACCTTTGAGAACTTGTAGATGATTTTGAAAAAAGAAATTGGTCAATTTGAAGCAAGTTGAAAAAATACCTTTTGACCTTTTTTGACCCTGAGATGTTCATTGAAGGTCATATCTCAAATTTATTGTTAGATTTGAACTTTTGAGATCTTGTAGATTCTCAAATTGGTCAATTTGAAGAAAGTTGAAAAAATACCTCTTTTGACCCGAGAAAAATAACTTTTTTGAAGTTCAGAAGCTCATTGAAGGTCAAATCTTTTTTGACCTTGACAAGGTCATTGAAGGTCAAATCTCAAATCTATAGTCAGATTTTAACTTTGTGAGAACTTGTACATGATTTTGAAAAAAGAAATTGGTCAATTTGAACCAAGTTGAAAAAATACATTTTTTTACCCTGAGACGCTCATTGAAGGTCAAATCTCAAATTTTAAGTCAGATTTGAACTTCTGAGAACTTATTGTAGATGATGTTGAAAAAAATTTAGCTTGAAACTTATAGGCAATAATATAGCACACGATGGTTTGATGGAAATTTCCCAGTACACAGCCCCAGTCACGCTTTCGCACCTGACCATGATTAGACCTAACCAAACCCGTCTGGCCCAGTTATCTACTCTACGACGTCAGGAGTAGATAACTGGGCCAGACGGGTTTGGTTAGATTAGACCTATCAGTAAGCATGTACCAAGGATGCAACACGCCTGTGTGTAACCTTGCACCATACTATGGATTGATCAATCAAAATAGTCAGCAGCAGCACCATCTATCTTATAAAATATAGACTTGTATGTGTAGTTTAACATTGGTGTGGTAATCGAAACCTGACAAACCTAGTGAACCAAAAACATAAACTCATCCAATCATGGCGTAGTTCAATACAAATGTAGGTCAAAATATCATTCGATAACATTTACACTTCAGAGATTCAAAGTTTAATCTTACCTCTGGAAAATTGAAAAACAAATGCTGATAACATTACACTTCAAAAGTTTTATGGTACTTATTGTACAAAAAGTGACAAAGTAACAAAAATACTCACATTCAAAATGTATATGCAGTCTTGCGGAATACGAAGCTTTCTGAATGAACTGATCCGAGAGGGGACATAGGATTGACTTACTTTATTAATCACCTTTTTGCTTTATAGACAGACAGGAAAATACAAACGTTGAAAGGTTTAAAAGTTTTTTTGTTCATAAATAGTCACACTAGGTAGTTGAATTCAAAAAATAATTATATAATTACATAATCAATGAAACGTGTTCTTAGTTCAAAGGTCAACTTCGTCCAACCTTCATCCCCTTCTAACAAGTAGCAACTATTTTTCTTTTCGACATGGCAGCAGAAGCGATATCAAAAGGTAAGCTTGTTATTTTGTTCAAATATGTCTCTCCAGCACAGTTTATAGAGACAAAACGTCCATTAGTTTAAGTCTAGTGTGCTTGTGTTACTACGAGTTACCGGTCCACTGGCATCGAAACAGATAGTAGATAGTTGTCCCTGAAAAGAAATAAACAAGTCTCAGTGACTCAGTCTGAGTCTCTGAGTGTTAGCCTAGGACTAGCCTAGATCTAGTCCAACAAGTTAAACACAGTCTTGATCATTGGGCTAATTTTTACCTGACATATCAACATGCTATCTACTGCAAGACTAACGCCTGGCATAACCGTTACCATGTTATTCAGTGTTTTTAAGTAGCACAAGGATCCTGCCTTACCTTCTTCTAAGGCGACTGTATCGTGGCCTTCCAGTAAAGATATATTCCTGCATGAACAACTGGTCATGTCGTAATCATAAAATTTGAAATCATATGTCCGCCATTTTTCCACATCACAATTTGAATTCTCGAAATCGTTGTTCCCTCTTCAAAAGAGGAGACGCGAAAATCTTTCCTTATAAGGTCAAACTATTTCCCATGATGCAGTTCGCGGAGGAACAAATTTATACTTCCTTGTTTTCCCTCATAGGTTTAACATGGGGATTTTCACACCTATTTTTCAAACGATATATTCGTTCATATTCCCGTACGAGAGTACAGAAAAAATTATTAGAAACGATTGATCTCTTATTAATCTTAATGTAACAGCTATTTTTTTCATTGTATTGATTCATAGCGTGGTATAAAACGACGATTGAAAAGTGAGAAAATATTCCGGAAGAGAAGGTCACGTGATCAGTTGACAAGTCGCCATATTGGAAAAAACAATTCCATTCGACTTTCAATACTTTCATGCCAATCTTACCGCATTACAAACTGCAACATCGATGCAACAACTGAATAAAAGTATTCATCTTCAAATCATATTATAGAGTTACGTTAAAAACCCACAGACAACTGAGCAGTTGACCAAAGAAGACGCGTCGCTAATATCTAGGTCAATCTGTTCTGTGGTCCGAAAGCAAATCTATAGTACTCGTTTCCGAATTTTGTTGTTCATTGTACAATCTTTTATTGATTAAACTTGGTATACTGACTATTAAAGCAATGACAAAGAAGAATACTTCCGATGGTGTCATTGTTTTATTTAGCGTGCGGTTGTAAAAACAAAATTGCGTAATTAGTTTGATTTAGAACTTTCGGGTCACGCAAATAGCTACGCGAAATGCATAGTGGGAGAATATTGACCAATCAAATTTTGTCCTTTTTGAGTGCTTTTTTAGAACATATTTGCGAACGTTCTGATTCAAAGAGCGAACCGCGAAAGGGAGAATTGCAAGTTTTAGTCTTATTACCTCACCAAAAATTCCAAAACACACATAAAGTGATCAGTGTATTAGTTCACATTCAACCTTTTGGATCGCTAACTTAGAATTTACAGCCAGTTACTAATGTCAGACGTTAAGGTACAGCTGGAAAGTAACATTTTGGTAAAAAATTGCTATACCTGCACATGTTATTTTCTGGTACAAAATAAAGTATGAAGGCATGTATCAATTTCCTTGCTTTTTTCAGGAAAGTATCATTACATTGTCTTCTTTTAGAATATCTGGTAGGCGTTCAAAGGGAACTCCAGGGAATTCTGATATTTCACACTTCCTGTTTTTCCAAATTTTCTTTCAAAGTTTCCAGACAACACAGGAGCTACCATTGACCTGTTTCCAGGTTTACTAAAAGTAGACAGTGTAATGATACTTTCCTGAAAAAAGCAAGGAAATACACACATGCCTTCATACTTAATTATGTACCAGAAAATAACATGTGCAGGTATAGCAATTTTTTACCAAAATGTTACTTTCCAGGTGAACCTTAACGACATTTCGTCCAGTTTTCGAACATCGCCATTTTTCTTGGAGCCATTTTGTTTTAAATTTAGACGAAATCCTGATGAAATCATGTCATATCTCATCAAGGAGCCGAGCGGGGTCCGTTTTGATTAATGATTTATTTATCCGGCAATTTTTAAAATATTCAATAAATTTATGACAAGGCGGCCAGCTTTTTTCAAATGGAGTTCACAGTATCCCAGATGAAATCCCCTCTAGCCAAGTATTGGCTAGAGACTCGAGTAAATCCTACCATGACCGTGGTAGTGTTATCGTAAAAGCCTGGTATTACCGCGACAATGCTGTATTATATTGCAATGCCTGCCATGAAAGTGGTAGTGTAATCGTGTAAGCCTGGCGCGACCGTAACTTTTATATGACATTCATGTTTCGTCCGTTATTTTTTACGGAGTGGCTCCAGGACCGACAATTGTCGGTACTGGAGACTGTCCAGGGGTATTTGCTGGGGTACCGACAATTGTCGGCACTCTATCGTCACCTAGTAGTGTCAGATAGAGAACCGACAATTGTCGGTACGCAAGTTGCTGCTACGTGTTTTTGCTAGAGAGCCGACAATTTCATAAATAAATGCACTACTGTTAATTTCAGGAATAACCTCATCTCTGGTAGTCTAGTGGTTAGCGAGCACGACTCGAACACACTCGGGCTCGAGTTCGAATCCCGGCAGGACCTACTTTTTTCTTTTGAGGGGGGGGCATAGTGCTTCTTTTGCAGTATGGAATCGTACAGGCATTAACTTGTAGTGAGCCATAATTTATTTCGACAAAAATTGATTCAACTTCCATCAAAATTGTCCTACAAGCTTCAATTAAAAAACATTTTAAAGCTCTTTTCTTGTTCTATCTAATGGGTCGATATATACAATTAGGGGAGGGGATGCTTTCGCCCCCGTCGACCTCTACCTTTACTACGCCATGGCACAGGAGAAATATCTCATTAGGAATATATCACTGTTTACTTTGCGTTTGGTAGCTCTCTCATGCGAGATGGAATCGTGGCCATTAACTAAGGGAGCCAAATGCAACTTCCATCAAAAATTGTGCTATAAGGTATGAGTACCGTAATCCAACACCAAATTCGAAAATTCATAACAATACTTTGCACATATGGCGTTCGTGACCAACTATGAAACGCTTACCCCCCATAGTGTTATATATCAAAATGCACCTGTCCATATAGGGGTTCGATTGACCTACATCAAATTATAGGGAGTCAGGTTACTTTTTGAGATATCAGCGTCCGTTTATTGTAACTCGCGTTTGCTACCACTTCCTCAATTCTGATATGACGGGCAAACGCGTAGTAAACATGCTCATGTTCGGAACTATTTTGACCTACATCGCTATTTTCGTAATTCAAATGAAAGTTGAACTCCTCTTTATTTTGATACCAAATAGTGGCATACTAGGTACCCTAGAAGCCAACTATGGGTTATTTAGAACGATACCACAGGTTTTTAAATGGACTATATAGGGGTCATACCTTTTGGCGGATGGATATGGAACCTCATACCATACGATAAGCTCTAGATAAAAAACATTCTAGCTATTTTCTTCTATCTAATGGGTAGCAAACGCCCCTTTCTACGCCTGATCGGCTCAGGAGAAATATCCTGTCTGTTTAGAATATATATAGCCGTTTACTCTGCATTAATAGCTCTCTAACGTCTTACTTGTTCATGTTTTTTATTGGGTTTTCAACGTTTACTACCATTCCCTGTTCCCGGGCTACCATTTTTTGACTGGGTTTGGTAATCCCCGGGTAACCGGGGCTAATGCCCTCCCCGGGTTTTGCACTTGTTCCCAAAATATCCGTATGATATCTGAAATATCCCCCCGCGCATTGCGCATGCGCCAGAAAATTCGAAAATCAATATTTGTCGGTCCTCTAGCGTGTAAACACAGCATATCTCCCGTACCGACAATTTATTTGTCGGTCCTCTAGCGTGCCACCACATCAGAGTCTAGAGTACCGACAATTGCAACTTCCATCAAAAATTGTGCTATAAGGTATGAGTACCGTAATCCAACACCAAATTCGAAAATTCATAACAATACTTTGCACATATGGCGTTCGTGACCAACTATGAAACGCTTACCCCCCATAGTGTTATATATCAAAATGCACCTGTCCATATAGGGGTTCGATTGACCTACATCAAATTATAGGGAGTCAGGTTACTTTTTGAGATATCAGCGTCCGTTTATTGTAACTCGCGTTTGCTACCACTTCCTCAATTCTGATATGACGGGCAAACGCGTAGTAAACATGCTCATGTTCGGAACTATTTTGACCTACATCGCTATTTTCGTAATTCAAATGAAAGTTGAACTCCTCTTTATTTTGATACCAAATAGTGGCATACTAGGTACCCTAGAAGCCAACTATGGGTTATTTAGAACGATACCACAGGTTTTTAAATGGACTATATAGGGGTCATACCTTTTGGCGGATGGATATGGAACCTCATACCATACGATAAGCTCTAGATAAAAAACATTCTAGCTATTTTCTTCTATCTAATGGGTAGCAAACGCCCCTTTCTACGCCTGATCGGCTCAGGAGAAATATCCTGTCTGTTTAGAATATATATAGCCGTTTACTCTGCATTAATAGCTCTCTAACGTCTTACTTGTTCATGTTTTTTATTGGGTTTTCAACGTTTACTACCATTCCCTGTTCCCGGGCTACCATTTTTTGACTGGGTTTGGTAATCCCCGGGTAACCGGGGCTAATGCCCTCCCCGGGTTTTGCACTTGTTCCCAAAATATCCGTATGATATCTGAAATATCCCCCCGCGCATTGCGCATGCGCCAGAAAATTCGAAAATCAATATTTGTCGGTCCTCTAGCGTGTAAACACAGCATATCTCCCGTACCGACAATTTATTTGTCGGTCCTCTAGCGTGCCACCACATCAGAGTCTAGAGTACCGACAATTGTCGGTACTCTAGCCTTTACGTATTTTTTAGGGATTTACCTTATTAATTGATCATTATAGAAAGTATGTTCTTTCGAATCGAATCTTCTTGAATAAGAGTAGAGATATGGTTTGTTCGCAAATTATTTAGGAGTTAAAAGTAGGGTTTCGTTGTGAAATTTATACACAATTTTAGTAGTCTTGATTTACATATTTAAAGTAGTTAAACACGAGGAAAACTGTCATTATGGTGTTCTCATGCTACTTTAAATGTTATTTAATACAACCACGGTCATGAGAGGCCTTGCAACTATTGTCACGGTCATATCAGGCTTTAAGCTTACCACGGCCATGACAGGCTTTAACATTGTCACGGTCATGATAGGCCTTGCAATCATTATGACGTTCATATCAGGCTTTAACATTACCACAGTCATGACAGGCCTTACAAGCATTGTCACGGTCATATCAGGCTTTAACATTATCACGGTCATGACAGGCCTTGCAATATAATACAGCGTTGTCACAGTTATACCAGGCTTACACGATAACACTACCACGGTCATGGCAGGCATTGCAATATAATACTGCATTGTCGCGGTTATACAAGGCTTTCACGATAACACTACCACGGTCATGGCAGGATCCTTGGGCTACTTAAAAACACTGAATAACATGGTGACAGTCACGCCAGGCGTTAGTCTTGCAGTAGATAGGGTCTCGACATATCTTTTGGCCTGCTATTTGGTGCATCTTCCGCCAAGTACGCAGAAAATTATGGTGGTGCATTTTCGACAAGCACTTGCAATTCATTCATGATTTTGATATGATGAGATCAACAAGCAAACATACATAGTGCCTGAAAAACATATATAAATATCGAGCTTGATTTTGTATCTATACATGTTCCCAATTATCCTGTGCCATGACTATAATCCTGAGAACATCTCAATCTTTTGCCTGTACGATTACAACATGGGAGAATTTTCTACGGCTCTTACACTTAAGATACCTACTTCAATAGATTCCTGGGTATTTTAGGATTCTTTTCGTGTAGTTGAATCCACAATTATCTGGGTTTATCGGCAGAACAGGAACATTTTTCTTTTTTATCGAGAGAGCTGATTCCATCACTTCTTAAGATGGAGGTTGGATCTAAAAGGGGATTCCCCGTTTGACTGGCCCGGAAGTACCAATAAATGGAGAAATTTGACGGTTGAAAAAAGTTAAATATTGCAATCAAAAACAAAAATTTCTTCGTTCTGCCTATAAACCAAGATAATTGTGGATCTCATTCAGTCTGTTGGAAACATACTAGGGCCTATACATATATACTTTATGAATAAAACATTATCCCATGTCCTTCTGTGTCCTTGATGATGTATATTTTCAAAAGTATCGGAGATGGCTTTGGAAATAGTCATTCCAGGTAACATTGAAATGGCAAAACGTGTCAGTAGATAAACTGCCATTAACGACAATGACGAAATGTTGACAAGTACTTAATACACTAAACAAAACGGTAGCAAATAGCCTGGTATGCAGGAACAGTAGGTTTGCAATGAATAATTACTTTGCATACATTCATGCGCTATATGAATCAGTCAGATAAGATACATGTTAATAATTATCAATTTATTAGATAACAATTTGGTTTCGTTGCCAACAATTTTTTTAGCGACGCACATGGCCAATGAAAAAAATTCAATTTAGAAATTGGTAAGAATAGCCTCCTTTTTTGGCTCACACAGTGAGCCTATGGGATCGACCAGCCATCCATTGGTCCATCCGTTGGTCCGTCCATCCATCCGTCAACATTGGCCGTACAAATTAAAAATTGCTTTTCGGATTGAGTCATATCCACATTCATTTTATGCATATCCATAATGCTTATTTGACCTATCATCGTCATTTCCCAAGTTCACCCGGTTTCCGAGATATTGCTGATTTTGACGTCAAAAAGTCAAATTTTCTGTAAATATGAAGGTTCTACACTGTGTGAGCACAGGACCGTGGGTCCTTTATTTAAATGAACATTTAGCGCCAAAATGTTACATGGAACCATCAATCGTTTGATGCTCTAGGTGTTTTTGTATTATTGTTAAATATCTGTCGCATATTATCAAGGAAAATTGGTTTCAGCTGATCCAAAATTTGCAGTGCATGAATATATAGCATGGCAGTTAAACCCAATCTAGCACCGAGAAAATTCAGAAAAATATATTAAGTCGGATTTGGGTTTGTGAACTAAGTCCCTGTTAATTTAGCTATACTAAGAAGCACAATGAGCAGCAATTATCCCGATATACTACTGTACTCCAACTCATATTTGAAGCTATTATATTTGTGACTTCTTCAAAATTGTCCAGCCTCTTTTTTAATTTCTTTGATCAAAATCTTTTAGGACCCACAATAAATTTAATAAAACAGTACCTTCCTTCCTACCTTTTATCGCCAAGCACTGGGCAGAAATATTGTATATACTCAGTGAAATAAATTCCCCAGAATTTCGCTACTATTATATTTTGCAGATTAAAACTATTGGAATTTTGTGGCTATTATATATGACAAATTTTTCAAAACTCATGAAAAGCGCAAATATAGCAGCACACAAAAATGTCCAGGAGTACAGTATATTATTTTCCTTCTCAGCACCATGAACAAAATCCCCAGAGAAATGTAATGACATCACATGTTGTAAGTTGTGTAATATGTGTTCAAATAGTGAGGAATTAATTTGTGTATGGGGCTTTTGAGACATAAGTTCCAGATTCAGAAGCCTTACTTTCATTTATTGTGTTTCTCTAGATGAAGGACTTCTACTAGCCTGACCAAGACTACTAGTGCCATCTATATTTCTATCTGTATAGAAATTCCTCTTTTATCAAAGTTTCTACCGACGCAAATCACATTTTCACATTATTATAATGCAACATTTATATTTATTCTTCAATGATCAAGACCAGCTTAATGTTTTTCAGATGTTGGTGAAATTTACTCCAGATTGTTCGACCATAAACCTGTGATACAGGGTGAGATCAACTATTTCATCAAAGAGTTTGAGGTAAGTCAGTGTGATACAGTGTGAGATCAACTATTTCATCGAGGAGTTTGAGGTAAGTCAGTGTGATACAGGGTGAGATCAACTATTTCATCAAAGAGTTTGAGGTAAGTCAGTGTGATACAGGGTGAGATCAACTATTTCATCAAAGAGTTTGAGGTAAGTCAGTGTGATACAGTGTGAGATCAACTATTTCATCAAAGAGTTTGAGGTAAGTCAGTGTGATACAGGGTGAGATCAACTATTTCATCAAGGAGTTTGAGGTAAGTCAGTGTGATACAGGGTGAGATCAACTATTTCATCAAGGAGTTTGAGGTAAGTCAGTGTGATACAGGGTGAGATCAACTATTTCATCAAGGAGTTTGAGCTAAGTCAGTGTGATACAGTGTGAGATCAACTATTTCATCGAGGAGTTTGAGGTAAGTCAGTGTGATACAGGGTGAGATCAACTATTTCATCAAAGAGTTTGAGGTAAGTCAGTGTGATACAGGGTGAGATCAACTATTTCATCAAAGAGTTTGAGGTAAGTCAGTGTGATACAGGGTGAGATCAACTATTTCATCAAAGAGTTTGAGGTAAGTCAGTGTGATACAGGGTGAGATCAACTATTTCATCAAAGAGTTTGAGGTAAGTCAGTGTGATACAGTGTGAGATCAACTATTTCATCAAAGAGTTTGAGGTAAGTCAGTGTGATACAGGGTGAGATCAACTATTTCATCAAGGAGTTTGAGGTAAGTCAGTGTGATACAGGGTGAGATCAACTATTTCATCAAGGAGTTTGAGGTAAGTCAGTGTGATACAGGTTGAGATCAACTATTTCATCAGAGTTTGAGGTAAGTCAGTGTGATACAGGGTGAGATCAACTATTTCATCAAGGAGTTTGAGGTAAGTCAGTGTGATACAGGTTGAGATCAACTATTTCATCAAAGAGTTTGAGGTAAGTCAGTGTGATACAGGGTGAGATTAACTATTTCATCAGAGTTTGAGGTAAGTCAGTGTGATACAGGGTGAGATCAACTATTTCATCAAGGAGTTTGAGGTAAGTCAGTGTGATACAGGGTGAGATCAACTATTTCATCAAGGAGTTTGAGGTAAGTCAGTGTGATACAGGGTGAGATCAACTATTTCATCAAGGAGTTTGAGGTAAGTCAGTGTGATACAGGGTGAGATCAACTATTTCATCAAGGAGTTTGAGGTAAGTCAGTGTGATACAGGGTGAGATCAACTATTTCATCAAAGAGTTTGAGGTAAGTCAGTGTGATACAGGGTGAGATCAACTATTTCATCAAGGAGTTTGAGGTAAGTCAGTGTGATACAGGGTGAGATCAACTATTTCATCAAGGAGTTTGAGGTAAGTCAGTGTGATACAGGGTGAGATCAACTATTTCATCAAAGAGTTTGAGGTAAGTCAGTGTGATACAGTGTGAGATCAACTATTTCATCAAGGAGTTTGAGGTAAGTCAGTGTGATACAGGGTGAGATCAACTATTTCATCAAGGAGTTTGAGGTAAGTCAGTGTGATACAGGGTGAGATCAACTATTTCATCAAGGAGTTTGAGCTAAGTCAGTGTGATACAGGGTGAGATCAACTATTTCATCAAGGAGTTTGAGCTAAGTCAGTGTGATACAGGGTGAGATCAACTATTTCATCAAAGAGTTTTGGGTATCAGTTGTAGCTATGTCAATCTACAAATCTTCATTTAGCAGTATATCCCAATGTCTATTTACACATAGAGGCTACTGATTTCTGAGTTGTAATATCCTGTTTGAGGTCAGATGAAGACACATCAGTCATTATAATGTGTCTTCAGACTGATTGACATGTTTTGAAATGCTTAAGGAGGTCTGCACAATAAACTTATCTTTGGAAATAATTCTCAAAGGAATGTGATATATCATTCAGATCTTTAAAGTTTGAAGCACCCTGGGACCCTTCTGGTAACTCAAAGGATGAGTAGCAGCCCCCCATGGCAGCAGCAGCACCTAATCATGAGTTGCCAAGGGTCTCTGTTTCCTGCAAGTGCTTTCAAAGGCCAAATACTTAGATATTGACATTTGACCTTGATATGACCTTGACCAATATAACATTGACCTTGACCTCAGGTCACTTAATCAAGGGTCGCCATGGGTCACACGAGTCCCCAGGGTCTTAAATTGCAAATACCTAGATATAGACAGACCATTGACCCTGGAATGACCTTGACATCAGTTCACCTAATCATGGGTTGTCAGGGGTCATAGCAGCTCCCAAATTCCTTAAGTCACCAAATACTTAGACATTGACCTCTGACCTTGAGATGACCTTGCCCTCAGGTCACCTAATCATTGGTTGCTAAGGATAACAGCAGTCCAAAAGATCTTAAATCACCAAATACCTATATATTGACTTTTGACCTAGGAATGACCTTGACCTCAGGTCACCTAATCAAATCATGGGTCACCAAGAGCACAACAACCCCCAAATGTATTAAAACGCAAATACCAAGATATTGACCTTTGACCTTGAGATGACCTTGACCCTTAAACATTAACCTTGACCTCAGGTCACCTTATCATTGGTCGCAAAGGGTAACAGGAAGCTCAACGACCTTATATCACCAAATACCAAGATAATAACCTTTGACCTTATAATAATCTGACCGATAAAGTTGACCTTGATGTGTCGTCAAGGCAGGGTCACAGACAGGCAGACAGACCACTAATGCTTTACAGTAAGAAGAAGAATATACATAGACATTGGAATATTTCTAAATGAACCGATTTGTTGTATGACATAAATATCTAATATCAAAGAAGCAGAGACTAGCAAAAATGTAATGAAGGTAAAGAATGGTAAATGGATGAATTTACTCGATAATTGATAAACAAGGGTGATAAAGAAATAAAGTTATTTTCCTTATGTCTACATTAATTGGTATTTTTTATGGTATAAGCTTCTTATGACTGATATAGTATATAGTATATTCAGAAATCTGGAGGAAGTCAAGGAAATCTTGATGCTAAACAGGGAAAGTGAGAAAGAATGAAATTTGATGTATTGAAGTGATGAAGTTTCCATTTATGACATTCTGTCTCACTTGAACTTGTATTCTTTGAATTTCATGCATTTGAATTTGAATTATCATCTTGTGCTTCAGGAAAAGAGACAAGATCGAGAGGTAGAAAGGCTCCATAAGATGGCATATCACATGGAAGAACTGAACAATAAGGTTATGCCCGAGTGCCACAATAACATGGAAAAATACCTTGGTGATATTGAAGCAAAAAGTAAGCATGACAGTTTAATAACGTAACATGCAACATGACCAAATTCTTACAACTTCCAATAACTTAACAAATACTTTTAGGCTGACTTTGATTTTTTTCAAAATCATCTACAAGCTTTCTGAAGTTCAAATCTGTCTTTAGATTTGACCTTCAATGACATTCTCAAGGTCAAAAAGTTCAAAAATGTATTTTTTAACTTGCTTCAAATTGACCAGATTTGATCTTCTTTTTTCAAAATCATCTACAAGTTTTCAGAAGCACAAATCTGACTTTAGATTTAAGATTTAACCTCCAATGACCTTCTCAAGGTCAAAAAGGTAGTTTTTCAACTTGCTTCATATTGACTGTATTTTCTTTCAAAATCATGTACAAGTTCTCATACAAGTTCAAATTTGACCTTAACTCTAGATTTGAGATTTGACTTTCAATGACCTTGTAAGGTAAAACAGCTCTTCTTTCAAATTGACCAATTTTTTCAAAATCATGTAGAAGTTTTTAGAAATTCAAATCTTATTTTTAGATTTCAGATTTGACCTTCAATGACCTTCTCAAGGTCAACTTGCCTCAAATTGACAATATTTTTTACGAAATCATGTACAAGTTCTCAGAAGTTCAAATCTCACTTAGATTGAACTCATAATATTGTGAGCAGCTGGGTGGTGACATTTTGTCATGTTAATGCCTTGTTCTTGATATCATATTCGTATTTTTATCGAAGTATTTAAAAAATTAGAGTAAATTCCATGAACCATTCTGTATTTGTAAATTTTTGGTATGAGTAGTTATCTCATGTAGAAATTCTATTAATTTCAAAGTATTACAACATTTCTGTACATACTGGGAATCATAAAATTAAGATTACACTGGACGAAGTCCTGACTGGTGAATATCATTTGATATTCAGTGGAAGTGGAAAAAGCGATATCTATGGAATACGGAGAATATTCCACAGATATCACTTTTTTCCACGGATTTGAAAACTCACGCCAATGGAACGTGCATTGTTACATGGTTACATGTTATATGCTTACATGGTGATTTCATGATGTCACAAATATGGAAATGATTAATGTTTTGGCTATAGTTCAGACAAATAAAACTGAATGTTGTGAAATGCTTTGGAAGGTGAACTATGGGATGATTTGACCTCAACTATGGGATAATTTGAACATCCTATGATTTTTTCGTGATATCATTTTAATCCACTCTTTAATATCAATATCTGCACTCATTTGCTACGCTCACTCGTCCAGATATTGATATCAACTCTTGGATAAAAATGGTATCCCTCAAAATCATAGGATATCCTATACTTATTTTTTTTGAGGAATATGACAGTAATATAATAATCTAATATATTTCTAGTAAAGGCTGCAACCTATATGTGCAACAAAGTGACTGAAAAAGAGGCTGCATTGAACTCTGATGAGTTGTTGAAGTCCTCGAGAGCTGCAAGGGTTAAGGAGTGGTCTGAATTCATAGAAGAGATGTGCGAGAAGAGTAAAGCAGTGGATGATAACCACGAAGAACAAGCTCAAAAACTATTGAATCATTACAAAGAACTAGAGGAGAATTTACATATTGTGCCATCACCCTATGGAACCCCATCAAAGTGAGAATTTACATATTGTGCCATCACCCTATGGAACCCCAACAAAGTGAGAATTTACATATTGTGCCATCACCCTATGGAACCCCAACAAAGTGAGAATTTACATATTGTGACATCTCCCTATGGAACCCCATCAAAGTGAGAAGAGGAAAGGATATTCATTTCTTCTTATTTGGTTTGTAATTCAAAAAGAAGTATAGGTATTCAAATATTTTTTTTTAGTATTTAAGATTGTTGTACTAGATCACAAGGTACATGATGCTTTGTAAATGTATGAATGTTGATAGCATTCCAATGCTAATGAATTGATGAATATTTGTGTTAATATTCAGTAAATATTTTAATGCTTAATATAATGTCAATATGGTATATGTTCTGTATATATGAAAGGAATAAATAAAGTGCAATATTATGTAATTTTTAAAATTAATTTGTTGTATTATACATGTAATTTTTATTTAAATCTTTATTAAACTTTCAGTCACCATTCATTCACTTTTCCTAGGAAGTACTTTCTGTATACTCTACATATACAATATTACTGTCAATTGTATAAACTCATATCACATGGTGAGCTATTGTAATCGCCCACTTATCTGTTCATCTGTCTATCCAACGGTGTGTCAACACATTAGTCTTATATTCTTATTCTCCAGTTTTGAAATGCGTCTATATAGTTTTCTGACCATCTTTGTTTGATGTTCACTGGAGAATCAGATTGAATCTTCTGATTTTAACCGTCAATTTCATATTAAAACTTGCAAAACAATATGTTTAACAATGAGGAATATGACAAATTCTGGCTTCGAGTGTAAAAGTCATTTTTTAGATTGGGAGATGATGTTTCCATGAATAATTCAAATGTCTCGATCAGAGCAATAGAACTAAACCATTTTGGTTGATTTAATTCTGACCATATATGAGCTGAGCACAGGGTACGTAACAAATTAAACGTGACAGTTGAACGCGCGGGATACGGTACAATACTAGGGTGATGAAATGTGAGCAAACAGATGTTTTCATCGTTTCGGAAAGATGTGGTCTAGTTTCTAGATATTTTTATATGTAAATATTTGTAACATCCGAGACAGTGATCTTGACGGTGAATTTCATAGCTAAACCTATACAAGCTCCGAATTTGGTATACGGTATAACGCGCGATAATGGTAAGGTACAACACAAGGAATTGTGATTTGCGTTATACCATATCTTACCTGCTTATACCATACACTACATTCTTGGTTTGTGTAGGTTTAACTATGAAATTCACCGTTGAGTTCACTGTCTAGTATATTTCTACAGATATTCACATATAAAAATAGAAATTACACCAGATCTTTCTGAAACGATGAAAACATGTTTGCTCAAATTTCATCACCCTCGTGTTGTACCGTACCCCGACCATACCCCGCGCGTTCAACTGTCACGCTTAATTTGGTACGTACCCTGTGATGAATGCATGATTGAAACTGGACATGCTGGAGAGACATTGTGATTCTAGTTAATTTCAGCATGATTCACACTGGTGAGACAATATTTCTTTGATTAATCTGGATGTCTTGATAAGATTTCACATTGGTGATTTGTAAAATTGGATAAATCTGTATTACCTGTATCATTTACTCTGTAGAAATGTTAAGATTTTAAAGATTTTTAATGACGTCTTAGTTACGCATGATTCACAACGGAAGGTTCACACGGGGTGCACCCCCCTCCTCATAACCAATAAAATTAATAATTAACGAGAAGGAGGAAGAAAATAGCTTTAAAATGTTTTTTATTTGAAGCTTCTAGCTCAATTTTGAAGGAAGTTGCATCAATATTTGTAAAATCCAAAATAAATCTTATTTTATTGGCTGGTTTATGCCACAAGCGCACCCCCTGACTGCCGATTTGCGTGCCTTCGCGCGTCTGGGTGGATGCGCCACATACTATATTCTAGTAAATTGCTTATCTGTGCAACTTTAATTTTTACAGATAATTTGGCGACCATTTTGATCTTTTTTGATAAAACCTTTTTACTATATTTATTGCTGTGTTTAATAAATTGTTCTGGCATGAGAAATTAGGTTTCATTGGAAAAAACTAACAGATTTGATTTTAAAAAGTTAATAGGGAGTCCAAAATGTGATAAAACGATGTAATAGACATGAAAAGGATCTCTAAAAGTGTAGGGTATCTGCGCCGTTTTAAGTACCTACGTTTTCGAACTAGTTTCCAAAAAAAACTGTAAATGAATGATTCATTTGGCCATTGCGTTGGGTGGTTTATTTGTCCGAGATAAAGCAGCATAAAACTAGTTCGAAATTCTTGATATTTTTAAGGGGAATATCATGCTTGGGTCATTCCCAAAAGTAGACGTTCCCAATTCAATTAGTGTTTCTGATAGTGCTGGAAATGACATCTTGAGAGATCATAGCCTCCTATCAAAATGATGTTTCGGGGAATAGTAACGTCCAGAAAAGATCCACACTGGTGAGATATAATTTGAACATATCTGCTATCACAATTAAAACGTTTGGTTACAACCAGATGTTGGAAATCAAGGATTGCTAGTCTCATACTGCACCTTTTTTCAAACTTGTTCCATTCAAAGCATTATAAAATTGCCTCTCTGTTGTAACATTATTTTGTTATACAGGGTGTTCAAAAAAAACGCAACCCAAGGAAATCGCTATATCTTGGAAAATACTCATCAAATTATGTTTATATTTTCAGGAAAGAAAGAAGAGACTGTATGTATAGCTCCTGTTGTTAGTTAGTTGTAAAACATGATGTCTTGGACATTTGCTCAAAAAACAGTTGTACTAGCAAAATACGAAAAACGTGAATAGAAAATCACTATATCTTGGAAAATACTAATTCAATAATGTTCATTTTTTTCAGGAAAAGAAAGAAGAGACTGTGTATGTATAGCTCCTGTTGTCAGTAAGTTGTAAAACATGATGCCTTGGACACCTGCTCATATGACAGTTGTTCTAGGAAAACATGAAAACGCAGTCAAAGGTGACTGCCACAGCAATAAAACCAAAAAATAACTTTCTAACCATGGTGTTTTGGCACTTCAGATTTGGCACAAATTATCCTCATTCAATGTGTGGTGAATTTGTGGAGTTTCATCAAAATCACTCCAGGGACTTTACAGTCATGGTCAAAATGCCTTCTTAAGTCTCCCTGAACCAGGGCGTTTGACTGCGATTTGAAAGCATTTCAACCATTAATGTAAAGTTCCTGAAGTGATTTTAATTTCACTCTGCAGATTTACCATACAGTGAATGAAGATGATTTGTGCCAAATTTGAAGAGCCAAAACACTATGGTTAGAAAGTTATTTAATTTTTTTGAGGTTGCAGTCACCCCGGACTGCGTTTTTCGTATTTTCCTAGTACAACTGTCTTTTGAGCAGGTGTCTAAGGTATCATGTTTTACAACTAACCATTTACAGGAGCTATACATACACAGTCTCTTCTTTATTTCCTGAAAATATAAACGTAATTGAACCAGTATTTTTCAAGATATAGCGATTTCTTTTTTTGAACACCCTGTACTTAGTCACACTTCCAGCGCGGGTTACTCGAGTCTCTAGCCAGTGGCCTTAGAAGAAGGTAAAGCGCGGGCATTTTGGTCCCCAGCTGTGAGAAGGACTTCTAACAGCTGGGGACCAAAGCGCTTCTAAAACGAGGGACTTTACAATAAAGCAATACACCGACTGAAAGGCAATTTCGTTTTGCTTTGAATGGAACAAGTTTGAAGAAAAACGGTGCAGTAGAAGACTAGCAATGCCTGATTTTCAAACATATGGTAGGTCAAAAATTATTCAAATTAACAGCCGAAGTTAGTACCGCGCGATGTTACTAAACAAAATGACATTCCTCCAGAATCCCTTTACAATCCATAATTGCAAACAAATTAAAACTGGTCAACTTTTATTACAAATAAAGTATATTACAAAGTTTGATTATGAAAATTGAATTCCTAAATGAACTGCATCACAAACTGCATCATTTATTTAGTGTAAGTGTTCATTCACATATTGATCAAAATCCGACCATTTACTGTCTTTTAACTTTTATGGATACATCAAAAGATTAGTAGAAGTTCCAGTATATACAGTCACAAGTCCCATTGCTTCGATTAGCTAACGCTTTCCTGCATTCGTGCCACATTCAGCTTTGCAGTCTATTTCACGGACAAAATTATTTCGGTTTCCCCTGCACCCTCCGTAAGTGAACTTGGTACATTTGGTGCCGTCCCAATAGTATCTGGTATACGCAGCCTTACATGGCCCTACTGTCATTGGTAGGGAACAAATATTTGCGTTGCCTTCTGTGCCTGAAACAATTGACAAGTCAGATTTTAATTGTTATATAGGTGTTAGCTGCTCAAGTACAGGGTGGGACAAAATTGTAACCCCTGAAACAAATGTTAATAACCCAGTCATCCAGCATGAGTTTTACCTTATATTTGGCATAATTCCACCAAGTTTCACTGGTCTACTCCAAATAGTCATATCCTCGTATGGCCATTAACAAAACGTGCTCCAAATGCCGAAACATGCCAAAATATGAACCCCTAGAATTTTATCTTTTGGGATATTTCATAGATAATATCTACAGTTACAACCATAGAAGCATCAGAGAGTTGAAACAACAGATTAGAAGGAAAGAGAGAGAGCCATCACACAAGATATCTGTGAGTGTGTATCCCCTGATGCGTTCAATTTGTCTCTTGAGACTAGACCGCATTTTGACTAAATGCATGTTTTGTTAAGGTGCCATGGAAGTTAACAGGAAATGACAAAACAGGAAGTGACAAAGCCATGCTGGATTTTGATGACCGGGAACACAACGGAAATGGTCAGAATGACCATAAACATGATGAAATAACCTTTTCAGCCCTCTGAAAATGTGACTGAAAAACAGCTAAGAGCAGGTGCTCAGGAAAGGTCAGTGTACAGAATCTTTCGATTTTTTCAGAAAACGTGTCCAACATATTGCTCTAAATGATACAATCTTTGAAATTTTAAAAAATTGTCTGAAACAATAATGGCTGTAGTAAAAAGGTAAATCGATCGATTTTCAATTCAGTTTTTTTTCATTTTTTTCTTTTTCTAAGAATGATATCAAATTTTTTTAAATTGTATCATTTTAAGCAATATATTGGGCGGATTTTCTGAAAAAATCAAAAGATTCTGTTCAGTGACCTTTCCTGAGCACCTACTCTTAGCTGTTTTTCAGTCACATTTTCAGAGGGCTGAAAAGGTTATTTCATCAAGTTTATGGTCATTCTGACCATTTCCGTTGTGTTCCCGGTCATGTAAATGATATGTGGAACTAGTTAAACTGACTGGAGGTCCAAACAGAACTCTGTTATCTTGGTTCAAAAAAATTTCAAAATCCAGCATGGCTTTGTCACTTCCTGTTTTGTCATTTCCTGTTAACTTCCATAGCACCTTAAATGGCCACAAAATCGTATCCATTTGGCACAGTCCAATAAACATTGAACAAGGTTCAGGATAACATTTTGGCCCATCCTGTAAATCACTGGCTGAACAAAAATATAATAGGTATTACAAAAAGGCCCCGTGTTTGTTCCCCGGGTCCTCAACTTTGTATTGGTATGAGTGTAGTCTATATCCAAACGACTGAATTTCCTGAGAATATTTTGATTCCATATTTCAAAGAAATTTCAGACTAGAGGATATAGTCTAGAGTCCATTTCACTGGTTCATTTCGTCAGTAGAACGGCAAAAATAAGAAATTGGGAGACCATTGTGCAATAATATATGGAAAAGTATATTCATAATGTACATGAATGACATTTGTATATCTTGGATTGCTTCTAGTTTGGCTTATAAAGTGTGTGGCCTCTTATATTTGGATGTTTCTCTGCCATGTTATTTTCAATAAGATTAACATGGCTGAAATTCTTCAAATTACAAGACGGCACAGGCTTATTGCACAAAAAACTAAAAAATCTGAAATAAACAAATGTCATTCATGTACATTATGAATATACTTTTCCATATATTATTGCACAATGGTCTCCCAATTTCTTATTTTTGCCGTTCTACTGACGAAATGAAGCTGTGAAATGGACTCTATAGGAACTGAAAGTAACATTTATTGCACTGTGTAAAACGGTTTATCATATTATTCTTACCTGATATATGTGCAAAAACTAACATGGCCAACAAAATAACATTCAGCCTCAACATCTTGGTTATCCTTGGTGGGAAAATATTGGTCGTTTCGTTATCACTTTGTGTTACCTTTTCTTCTACGTCTGAATCTTTTCTGCGTTCGTAATCTCTTGATTATTCGCCTGTCCATAGAGCGTGAATAAGTATTTGAGTAGACTACATTTTATACCTACATGTAATACTAATACCCGATGGGCTTCGTTTTTGGAAGCGTCGTAATTTACGATTTGGTAGACAATGGACAAAATAGTTTTCCCCGAATCCTAAGTTACGATCGTACCGAAAACAACCACATTTGAGAAAAACGCGTCACATTTCTAGTGTCCTCGTGATGGGATAATAACGCTCATAAGCTCACACCGGTGAGCTATTGTATTTTACAATCAAAACCAGTCACAGTTGAATTCCTCGCTTCATTGAATGCAGTCGCTACTGATCACGCAGATACTTTGTAATGCCGTGGTCACATTTTCTCCGATTTTTATTACTACTGCGTCCGGCCGATTGAGTGTTTTGTTCAAAATTGTATTCAATTTTGAACAAAATACTCATCGGCCGGGCACCGGTGCTGAAAATCGGAGCAAATCAGTGACCACGGCATAAGCGGGCTAGCTCTGAACGGGCCTTGAACGTGGTGACGTTTCGACCATTGAACTTTTGTTCTTTTCGGTTGATTGACTGCGTAAAGCTATCCCCAAATCCTATTAGTCGTAATAGTCATTAAACTAAAGACGATTCCACGAAACATCGAACATCTTTCTTAGTGGTCGGAATTCAATAGCTCTATCGATAAACATCCACATGACCGTCATATTTTATCGCACAACCTTGGAATATGCTATTCGACATCATATTATGAAACGCGCTTCGAAAACTCAAAATCTATTCTGAAGCCGACGCCGGGTGCATTCCATGATCGCTCTTGAAAAATGCAAAACAAATAAGTAGATTAAAAAACATAAGCAGATTCAAAAACAAAAATAGATGAGATCATCTTGTAAGCTTCTCAGCTCTTCGTCTCGACCATGCACTATAAAAGCGTCAACGACTAAACAAAGCTGGTTGATACGCGCAGTCAAGAAAGCTGTTCTAAAACGTTTCTAACATCAGACGTCAAGAGGGGAGAATAAATATCACCTCGAATAAATGATATTACAGAACATTCAAACGCAACAGGGACAATCGGATCGTCAATACTGAGGACCTATCGCCAGACCCACTGACATATACGTCATGGTCTCGTCGCACATCTTTATTGGAGCGTTCTTATTCACGATCTCTATTGTTTTAGGCATTTCCAATGCCAATGGTTCTGCCGGTAGGTTTTCAGGTTTTATTTAGCTTTATTGTAACCTGGGTATTACAGTATGACTTTGAATAAAATGGACCGATTCATTTGAATATTCTCTCATTTTATTTACATTTCAAATAATATCTAAACATTTATGTAACACGCCCGGTGATTGTACAAAAATGATGGTGGGGGGATTAGGCGATTTCAAAAAATAAGTTATTTTTTCAAGAGAAAATTTACAACTGAATTGCCAATTGAATAGGCGCAATGCATGGCAAAATATGTTAGGTCATCTAGTATTTCTTTTGAATTGATGCCCTTCTAAGATATGAGATCTATTAAAAAAGGCGCATCATCACCAACGTGCAATAGTCAATGTTTTTGCTATAAATCGGGCAGCAATGGTCTACACGACCTGTAATAAATAGGTATAAGGGACGTTATTATCACAATACTAATGACATTGCTCACTTTTTAAAGATAGTTTCCATGCGTTATACAAAAAATAAAAAAAATAAATGATCCCTCCAAATTTGTTGAGCTTTCTTGCAGAAATCGCCTAATCCCCCCTCCATCATTTTTGTACGATCACCGGGCGTGTGTAAGTTCAAACAAAGTTAGTTTTAGTTGCAAAACGTTTGGATATTTTGAATTGCTTGTGGTTTGCAATTATGGCCAACAAAAGATTGGTATCGATATGGTAACTTTTTGAACACACGTTTCTCTTAAAGGTCAGGGTGTATGATGGGAAATTTTCTGCATTCCTCAATTGAGTCGCATGTTATTTTTCAAACAGGAATCACCCCTTCCCCACATTTTCTTTATTTTCCAGTTTTGCACAAAGAGTGCACCTATGTGCCTAGAAAAGACTTGTGAGAAGAACGTTTTGATAAAGTGTATAAAAAACAAGAAAATTCAGTGGAAAAAATTCTGAAAATGCAGAAAAAGGGATGCAGAAAATTCCCCATCATGCACCGGCCTGAAATTAACCAGTCATCAAAGAATTCTGAAAAAAAATTCTGAAAATTTTACACATCGTCAATTTAATGGTCATCTTTTGAATGGTGACAATATAATTTGAAAAAAATATATACTTTTCTCTGTATTGTTTTAGAAAACACATTAGACACTTATTTTGTTTTTGGTAACATATGTTTGGAATGAAATGAAACATCTATCCGAACCTCATTGGAAAAACAAAAAACGACAGAAACACAACTTGTTTAGGTCTCTCAATATTGTAATTGTACAAAGCAAAGTTTGGTTGATTTTTAAAAAGTATCTTGTTAATGAAATAAGAGGTTTTCTTAATTTTTATCCATTTTGTGGGGTTTTGTTTTAATTTTTTGAACATTTTTTTTGTAAAATCAACCTAAATATCCTTTGTATAGGCTAACTACGTATAATATTGAGAGGTCTAAGAAAATGTTGTATATGCTATTTTGTTAAAGGTTCGGAAAGACATGTTATTTCATTCTCAAGAATTGGTAGAAAGGAACAAAAAACAATAGCACTAAAAAAACATTTTTAACCAAAACAGTTATATAGAATATATATAGATACCTTTCACATTAGATTGTTGCATTACATTGTCAACATTACATAAAGGACCGTGTTTTTATAGATCATTTTCAATAATTAGTTTAAGAGAAAAAAATTGTTGAATTCCGTTCACCATATCGATATCTATCCTTTGTGGATTCTTGTACTTTGATGCTTCTCTAACATGTTTTTTATCTGAAATATACAAATGTTTTTCATGTAGGCATAATAAATGAATGATTTTTTTCTCATGAACTATTGTACTGTCCTTTGTTATTTTTCAGATTTGATTGATTGACGCGTTATTAATGGCGTTAACAATTGCCACATTTTCTTCACTTTCAGACAATGTATGTTCATCCCTCATGGTTCTCAAGAACGCTGGAACATTTTCATCACCTGTAGGGAGTGATGGACAATACCTAAGTGGTCTTAAATGCGCATGGTCAATTACAGTACAACCAGATCACGTAAGTCCGTGTAGTGTGCACTACGTTCTTGTATTATACTATAGGATCAGTGATTCCTCTACTCATGAGGAGGTTATGCGATATGCGTTTTTCAGAGATCTTGTACGTGGAGATGTAATACGATGACCCTTACTCAAATATTACTTTTGCCTCTCATTTCGATTTTCCAGGGACCAAATTTCAACTATCTTGTATAGGATAATTCAACAGGTTCACGTACAAGTTCTCTTAGAAATGTGTACCTTTCTCTTTCCCTTCACCAATAGAGAAGGTGTATTTGTATCAGTGGTGCATCCAGAATCTTGTGTTAGGTAAGGCGCAACAATTGGCTGGGAGTCATCTTCGTCAAGGAACTAGACCTGGCGCACGGGACAATATTGTCAAACTGAGTTGACGAAGGCTCACCATTTGCGACGTTTAGAGTTTTTACTATTCATTTAGGCAATTTTAATAGATTCGTAACTTCTGATCTGTAACCATTTGTGCGATTTTGTCAACTTGTTAATAGCTATCAAAAATCATGCTCTCTTAATAATTGGATTAGAATTGATGTTACATCTTAATCCGCGATAATATATTGTCTATTGTATATAGCATCTAATTCCAAAGATTATAATTTAATCGCTTTAAATAAGCTTCAACGATTACTTTAATTTTCCTAAGTAATTAGATAACGAGCTTAGAAAGTGATTACTAGGCCTCCCTTTTCTTATCCCACCGAACAAAGTTCAGGAGGACATAGAGTACATGTCTGTTCGTCCGTCCGCCCATCCGTCCATCCACCCGACCGCCGAGAAACAACACAAATATCGTCGGTCCGATATTGTTATATATTTATTTGCATAGGCTGTATGTACCTGTTTATTGTAGGCTGTATATTTTGAAAGTGGCCGATGGGTTCAGTGTTGCTTTCACAGTATTTTTATCATGTAAAAACATATTATCTAAGTTTTACATAATGCATGAAATTATTCATAATGTTAATTTTCTCCAAAATACATTTTGACTTTTACTTGCTATTCTACGTTTTTAGCTGTGAGTTGTAACTTGAAAATCAGAAGAGCAATTTTGTTGATTATTTATCATCAGTGTCAAGATTTAGGGACAAAAATTTATGTCATTTTTAAGTAAAGCTTTTTTTCTTTACAATGACGAGTTGAGAAATTTAAAAACATCCAACTTACTGAACTTTTAAACTTTTAAGGCATGTATTTTCAAAAAGCTTTACATTGGCGATATTCCATTACATTCTTGGACTTTGATTATTTTACGATTGAAAGTTGTGAACTTTTAATGCAGGCATTTTCAAAAAGCTTTACATTGGCCATATTCCTTTACATTCTTGGACTTAGAATATTTCACGAAGCAACGTTGTGAACTTTTAATGCAGGCATTTTCAAAAAGCTTTACATTGGCCATATTCCTTTACATTCTTGGACTTAGAATATTTTATGATATATAGAAGTGTAATTTATGGCATGCATTTTCAAAAAGCTTTACATTGGCCATTTTCCCTTACATTCTTAGACTTAGAATATTTTACGATCTGAAGAGGTGAACTTTTACAGCATGCATTTTCAAAAAGCTTTACATTGGCAGTTGGGTTAAATCTCAGTTAAATCTTGACATATATATTATTTATGAATAGATAGTTGGAAGCATGACTGTCATGACACTGGAAAAGTAGTTGAACAATTTAGTTGTTCATTTATATGTTGATACTTTGAAGCATGACACTTTTTTGACTAGTTTAATGCTTCCAAAGGAGTAATAAAAATTCAGAAAATGACCTACCCTTGGCGTAATAATTCAAACGATGCATTTGTAAATATTTAATTGTTTACAATCTCTTATCAGTTGTTTTTAACTCTAAGCCGATTTCAGTATTGGATTAATATTTGATATTTATCTATAGGTTATCCAACTGACGTTTTCAAAGTTTGACTTGGAACAGTCGTTGAACTGTGAAGATGGTGACTACATCATTGTTTACAACGGCGAGAGTTCGCAAAGTGATACACTGGCAACAATCTGTGGGGAGAATGCAAAACCAATTTTCTCAACGACTTCCAAAATGATTGTGGAGTTTATCTCAAATGATAAGATTGAGCGCTCTGGGTTTACAGCCAGTTTTAAAACAGTTGATCAATCAGGTATGCAAAAGTATAGTATAATTAAAGAAGAGGAGGACATACTCTAGAATTCACAGATGAACATACTACAGAAATATAAAGATGATCCTCTAGAGGTTCATCTTTAAGGGGAAGGTTCATCTATGAATTTAGAGGTATCACCCTTTCTATAGTAAACGACAAACAAGATCATCCAGTGGAAATCTCACCAGAAAAGGCCAAAAGATAAAACCCATATATGTCTCTCATTACAGAACTGGATGTCTTTCATATAAGCTTAGCGTTATATAAAAAAATCAAAAAGAATTACAACAAAGATTCATTGCTTTCATTTAAAAAAGAAATCTTGCTACGCTGATGGATGAATACATAGCTTCCTTAATCCACGAGCAATATTGTTATCATATGATTCTGATTCAAATATTCTGTTCCAGCTGCCGCTTGCGCTGGTGGAAGAGGTCCTCTTAAACTGACAGACACTAAAGGTTCAATCAGATCACCGGGATATGATGGTAACAACATATATCCCCCTAATGTCATGTGCCAATGGCTCATCGAGGCAAATGAAGGAATGGTAAGTTATGATGGTACATTTTGAGTATACTTTAGGTTTCCAGACCTCCATTGATATACAATGTATCTAAAACCAAATTGAAAGTATAACTACTAAGAGTGCAATTTTTACAAAAAAACTATGTTTACAGGAGATTGAACTTACAGCCGATAGATTTGCACTTGAAGAATCCAGAGGTTGTAACCACGACCATGTTGACATCTTTGATGGGTCTGAACCCGTGTTATCTAAACTACTAGGGAAATATTGTGGCATCCATGCTCAAATTGAACTCGACCATGCACCTACTTCAAACATGATGCTTATCACATTTATATCAAACAATAATGTTGGCGGACTTGGATTTCGTTTTGGATACAGTATGTATCCCACGACTATGTCAAGTAAGTATAACCACATATGGGAAATCTTTCACCATGTTCTCTGCTGCATCTCATTTGGGTATTTACACTAATATTTGTATTATGGATTTAACTTTTCAAGGAATAATCTCTGTGACTTCATTTTCTAGCCCATGGCTTTCATGGTTTCTCACATCTTTCAGGGTCGAAACAGAATGGTGTCAGAGCTTTCTCAAATCTTCCTGGTTGTGGAGTGCCTGCTATCAGAGATGAAGCGAGGATAGTTGGTGGTGTTGAAGTCACTCCCCATAGTTGGCCATGGACTGTCATGCTAGTAGACTCTAGTGGTAATGCATATTCACAATTCTGTGCTGGTACCTTAGTGAGGAACAACTGGGTTGTCACTGCAGCTCATTGTATTGGAAGGTTTGTATTCAATGCCCTATTTAATTGGATACGCATACTCTTCTTTCTCTCCTACTCCTGAAATAACAGTTCAGTAACAATCTTTTGATGTATCATAGAACCTTTAAACTAAAAAGTACAAAAATATTGCGAAGGTCTTTGCATTTATATGAATGTACTTGTTATGATATTGTATACAATATTAAATGTTGTTTTCAGTACTTCACCATATTCACTAAAGGTTAGGCTTGGTGAACACAGTAAAGGGGCTACTCACGATGGAGGCTATGTGGTAGATGTTGCAGAAATCATTAAACATGAGAAATATTTAAGTGCAACTAGTGGATATGATTTAGCAATGTTGAGGCTTGCAGAACCTCAACAGCTGAATGATAATGTTCAAACTGCTTGTATTGTACAAGAAGATATTCTTGATGGTCCTGATTATAACTGTGTTGCCACTGGATGGGGTACATTGTCATGTGAGTTATTGTGGCTTCTTTTTTAATGTCATTGCATACTCTTACATGTAAAACAACATTCTTCTCTCTATTCTCATTACTACTGCTAAATTCATTTGAAAAATCATGTATTACCCCACTTCATGTATTACACTTTTATTTATCTTTCTTAAATACCCATGGGCAATGGGACACAAGTCTATCTTATTATTTGCTATATTAAATATATGATCGTAACAAAATTCCAGTTCAAGGGAGTTCATCTGAGGTTCTCATGAAAGTTGGTTTGCCTATTCTTCCAAGACAACAATGCTCTGAGGCATATGGGAATTTCTTCACTGACACCATGATATGTGCTGGTTTTATGGAAGGTGGAAAAGATTCATGTCAGGTAGGTTTTTGAATGCTGATAAAACTTTTGTTCATATGTCCATATTTGGAATGCTATTATACATAAACTTATATACTATACTGTATGTAGCCTCAATTAGTGTTAATTAATTGTATATTTCATATTTCATTGCAGGGTGACTCAGGAGGCCCATTGGTGTGTCAGTCATCATCATCCCCCTCTGCACCTTGGTATCTTACTGGTATAGTCAGCTTTGGCAACGAATGTGCAAGTCCCGGGTATCCTGGTGTCTACACACGAATAGCAAATAATGAGATTCAAAGCTGGATCATGGATAGATTGACTGATCAGCCAGCGCCAACAGTTGATCCAAATGATCCATGCTCAAATATTGTTGAATTTACTGAATCCACTGGTGTCATCAAGACAAATGGTTATCCCAATAATTATGATAGTAATTTAGAATGTAGGTGGTTGATAAGAGGCTCAGCAAACCAGGTTTGTTATTATATATTAGTCATCATATTACGTTATGTTTTAGACTGATATAAATATGGCAAACTATGGTAGAATTTATTATTTTCTCTCAGTCCAAGACACGTAAAAGAGATTGATTGCACGGCCATCTTCATTTCAAAATTAATCATATCGTCCTTTAGCCTGTGCAAATTACACTTTCTTTAGAAGATTGTATGCTGAGTGACACAATCACTTGATAATGATTTAGAAAAAAACTGGATCAGTCGTCAGATCATCATTCATTTTTACAGAATGTAAGGCTGGAGTTTACTGCCTTCGACATAGAAGATGATGGTGACTGTGGATATGACTCTGTGAGTCTGTTTAGTTCAAATGCAGCAGATGAAGCAAACAAACTGGGAAGCCTCTGTGGTAACTCAGTAAATCCTTCAGTTTATACATCTACTGGGAGTAACATGTTTGTTCTGTTCAAGTCAGATGATAGTCTTGTGAAATCTGGTTTCCGAGCTGAATATACTCTTGTTGCAAGTAAGTACATAAAATATTTATGAATGTGTATAAGTATGACATGTATATTGCACTAATATAAAAATGTTAAAAGATTTATTGTATCAGACAACATTTTAACCCTAGCTGTACATTTTACGACCCTTGATAGCAAGTTGCTGCTACGGCCCAGCTGTAGTGGCTTAAGCCTTTATAGCTCAGTTGGTAGAGCATCAGACTTTGGATCCAGGGGTCCTAGGTACGATTCCCACACGCGGCATTGAATTTAGCACACTTTCTTTCAATTTCTTTATCTGGCTTGTTACACTATGCTTGTTAGTTAGTTATTCATGGGGCATTCGTTACATTGAACCTAGGACCCCTGGATCCATTACATACACATAGGTTTTAGGCCAATATAAAGATGGCAGCAGTGGTACTATTTTATTATGTAAGTCAAGGAGGCCGATTAGCTCCCAGGATCCAAACTCGATATTTTCAAACAATGAAATTGTCGAAATTTCGTTATTTTCTGATTCAAATCAATATCTCAATCATTTCTTGTGAGTTTTGTAATTTTTCCTTTGGAAATTAGACTAAAATTCATGATTCAAATGTTGAAATGAACAAATTGGTAGCTTTTTAAATTCGAATTTGTAATCATGACATGCCCATATATGGCAAAAATATTGATGTTGTACTCTGGGAGCCAATCCTTATTGATGCAAAACATTCATTGCTCTGCCATCTTTATTTGAAAATAATTCCTATGGCCCTTTAGCCTATGTTTTAACATCTGATTCCTTAATCCTGGTGCTTGTGTTTTAGATGGACCCTCCCCCACTTCAGACCCAACACAACCACCTTCAACTGGTCAATGTGGCAGTCCAGCCATTGCACCCAATTTACCAAACACAGTCCGTGGCTTTGAAGATTCTGTCAGTAAGGTGGTTAATGGAGAGGATGCTGTACCTCATAGTTGGCCCTGGCAGGTTATGCTCACTACATTGAATGGAAGACACTTCTGTGGAGGAAGTTTATTGAATAATTACTGGGTCATCACAGCTGCTCACTGCTCAGTCAAGTTGGTATATCTACATAGATTTAAGGCAGAGATAAAGATGGCAGCTGTGTTAGAATTTTATTCCATAATATGTAAAATTGATTGCACTGCCATCTTTATTTGGAAATTGTTTCTATTGCTCCAGCCAATATTACTATTAGGGTAATTCTAATAATTTCTGATATCCTACTGCCAGAAATATATTCTTCATGCAATCTCTCATATGTGTGGAATTCCATGAGGTTATGGAAATGATTGAAAATGAAATGTGATATTTTAAAATTTCCTAGACTTTTTGTGTGAAATTTCATTGTTGTCACTCGTCTAGTTTAGGAGATATAGGTGTTGCCTTCTGGTCTCCTTCTTTTAGGTCACCCTGTATTGATAAATTAAATGTAATCTTCTCATGGTTCCCTCAATATCCACGCATGATATTGCTGACTGACTCAAAATCTTGTTTCTTTCTGATGTGCTACTACTTCTAACCAATTCACAACTTTGAACCATTTTCAATTTTATAGTCAACGAGAAGATCAGGTGTTTGTTAGAGTAGGAGAACATAGCAAAGATGCTTCAGAGCCAAGCCAAAGGAACTATGCTATCAACAGATTTGTCATACATCAACAGTACATCAGCAGAACCCTCAACAATGATATTGCTCTATGGAGGCTTGAGGAACCTGTACAGATGTCAGATGAAGTGAGTTCAGTATGCTTGCCTGACACAGGGGATGTCCCACCTGGCACATTCTGTATGCTCACTGGATGGGGAACTATTATAGGTACAGTGGTAGAATTTTATTTTAGAAGATAATATGAAAATAGATTGATTGTACCGCCATCTTTATTTAAAGATAACCTTTATTGACATTGAGCCTATGAATGGAATCTTTAGTTTTTATTAGCTTCCAAAATAGTTTTCTTTGATTTAATCAGAGGGTGGAGCTACTGCAAGAATTCTCCAACAGACAGATCTTCCAATTGTAAGTACGCAGGAGTGCAATCAAGCGGACTGGTATGATGGAGATATTAAGCCTGGAATGGTTTGTGCTGGCCATGAGGAAGGAGGAACAGGTTCTTGCCATGTAAGTGAGAACAACTAGAGACCAGAAATCCTCAGTCCATTATTCTCTTACTATGACATCAATATCTCTATGGTTACATAAGTTGATTTAGGAATTCTTTAACATTTTACGAAGTTTCTGTAAATAGCTCTGAATTCCTTTTAAAAAATCATGGATATCAACTTAATGCTAACAATTATTATATGCTTATATGCAGGGAGATAGTGGTGGCCCCTTGGTGTGCAGATATCCTGATTCCAGCTGGGAGCTTTATGGTATTGTAAGCTGGGGAGCAGTATGTGCTGGGGCCAAAACTCCTGGAGTATTTGTCAGAGTGCCTTACTACATGGATTGGATTAATCCAAGACTGACATGTAAGTATTTGTTCTTGTGATTTTACAAGGTTTTGGGCAGATTTAAAGATGGCAGCAGAGGTCGTATTTTATTAAAAAGAAGATAATGTTAATTAGATCAATCGCACTATCATCTTTATTAAAAATTATTTCTATTAATCAAGCCTATGTGATTTTGGTTCTCAAAAAAGTTAAGACATTATTAGCTTTAGTAATGTACTCCTTGGAAATCCTCAGCTTATTTAATTATGTTCTCTATTTAGTACCAGCCCTGCCCCCTCTCCCCGAGGCTTGCAGTAGCCAAGTTATTGTGTCTACAACAGAAGACCTTGTCTTCCCACGATACTACGACTCTCCCAATGAAGATGACATGTACAGGAACCAGCTGACTTGTGAATGGTTAATACAGGCACCACCTGGAGAGGTATATGCATGTTCCGTGTTTCAATGTTTTTTCATTGTCTTTCATATCAGGCACTATCAGGCACTATCAGGCACTATCAGGCACTATCAGGCCTCAGGTTGGGCCGGGCTGTAATGTCAATCTTCTAGCTTGGATGATACCATGAGTACAAGTGAAAAAATAAACATTATAATACTGAATCAAGTGTATATGTTTCTTGTTAATATATTGCTTAACCATTCTGTGATGATTTATGGTTCATGGTTCAAGGGCTAATGATTAACAAATTAGCCAATCAATTAATCTATCAACAGGAATAGAATGTAATCTTCCAAAATTACAACTTTATTGCTTCAAGTGAATATGTAAGTCCCCTGGGGTTGAACTAGACAAAATTATCATCTTTCAATTGCAATTCAATAATTAAATTTCAATATATGGAGGAAATAAGTTCTAACTTGTATACACTGCCCGGGCAACGATACTCAACGGTGAACAACACCACAAACGAGCGTTCGATTTGCTAAACGATATGCGTCACCCTTTAATGACCTGATTGGCTTTCATGATCTTTAGCCTTGGAATTATTGTATCCTTTGATATTTTCTTCACAATAATTCAAAGAGCAGATGTGAAACTGTGCAATACTTTTTTTAGTGATAAGACTGAATTTTCTTTGCAGAATGTTATATTTAGCATCTACAGTCTCTCTGTTGAATATCACGAGCAATGTTATTTTGACTCCGTAAGTCTTTATGATGGTTCATCAGAGCAAAATACACAATTAGGAAAACACTGTGGCACTTCACCTCCACGCACAAAAACGTCGACAGGAAGGAACATGCTAGTAGTGTTTAAGTCAGATGGGTCTATAGGAGGACGAGGCTTCAAAGCATCAATATCTTTTACTGGTGAGAAATATTCCAATCCAATTTTTTACCTTAAAAATTATTCATATTTGATGTTTTATTGATGCAGCATGTACATTAATAAAGTATTCTATTTTAAAGGGTCTTTTCATGATAAAACATTATAATTGGAGCAGGATCCTTTAAATCTTAAATTAAAATTGTCTTTTGGAAAATTTTGACATGTCTCTCTCACCATGTTCATTTTTTGATATTTTGAACTAGTGGTGTTGTATTGGTTTCAGATGATACAGGAACAACAACGGCCCCTGTAACAACAACAGCCCCTGTTACAACAACAGCCCCTATAACAACAACAGCCACTGTAACAGAACCCCCAGTCACCAGTCCATCCACCACAGATTCCCCAGTTACTAACCCACCTAGTACAGGTTTCAAAGACTCCTGTTTGCGCATACACAATTTGAAGAGAGCCCTTCATGAGGACACACCTAATGTGATATACTCCGACACACTTGCAGTTTCTGCCCAAACATGGGCAAATCACCTAGCTGCTACTGATAGCTTTGAACACTCAAGTGCTGACAATTATGGAGAGAATTTATATCGCTCTTCGAGTACTCAGCCATTAACTCCTGATTATTGTTCAACGGCAACTTCAATGTGGTAAGAACAGTTTTTTGTATGGGAATTTGAGGTATAGAAAGTACTAACTAGAGTACTGCCTCGTAATGCCAGGTCTACTTTATCTTATGCCATTGTGTGATTCATACAGTTTTACACTTAGATATCAGGAATATGCAAAATGACACATTTCATTTAGGTACTGAATAACAATTAGTTTTTGTCTTTACCCAAAGTATTTTTGAAAGGGGTATACTGTATAAATCAACTGATTTCAAATAATATGACTCATATTAATTCACACAGTTATACTTCCAGGTATGATGAAATAAACCAGTATGACTACAATAACCCAGGATTTAGTGGAAACACAGGTCATTTTACACAGGTAAGTACAATAAAATAGAGTTTCAATTCATCATAACTATTTAATTTAAGCTAGTGTAGTACTAATAAGTTAAATAAACTTGCAGTCATCAGGGTGTGGTATCAGGCCTATTGGTGATATATGAATGTTAATCTCTTATATGGTTGAAATAATCAGGATTTTTTTGGCCATGGTGCATCATTAGGATTTTAGACATGCTGGTCAAAGATGAACTATGGGCCAGTAGCAATGTAATTTTTCTATACATGCTAAAAAGTAAATTGCACCTTGTTTTTGTCTTGCTGTAGGTTGTTTGGGCAAGCACATTGGAGATTGGATGTGGAGAAACCATATACACTACACCTGATGGTAGTTGGAACAGAGTTGTGCTGGTTTGTCAGTACAGTCCACCTGGAAACTATGGGAACCAATTCACCAGTAATGTTAAACCACTTCTTTCAGGTGATTCCTAGCTTTTGTTATACAATTTTATACACAATTTTGTTATTCAATTTTACAATGTTTGCATTAATATTCCTCATTGACATTGAGTGTAAAGGCTGATCAACTATTGTGTGGTCCTTGGAATAACTCCTTTAATCTTCTAACAATCTTACTATACTGTTACACTTGTAAGTATATATCCTGACATTTACTACATCTACAAAGGATGAGTCTGGGAATGAGTCTGGGTATCGACTTAGAAAATATTGAAAATTGTTATGTCTGAAAAACCAACTCAATCACACATATTATTAAACTTCAATATCTTATCCTTCTTCTGAGAGTACAAAAATATCAATTTTTATCACAATTAATGAAAAATATTGGCATCAAAGACAGTGCATATCACTTTGTCAGAATTGAAAAAAAATCAATGGCAAATATTAAATGAATTATTTATACAAAGGGTTTAAAACATATCCTCCAAAACATTGCTTACTTTCTTTGTATTATGACATTGAATGGCATTTCTGGATAAGTGAATTGGTGTTTATCTGGGTAATCAAGGGATTATAGTCACTCAAAGTTACTGAGCATCCAGTTTTGAGACTTCAATTGTGTTAGTGAAGTTACACATATTTCAGTCAAATTCATGCTGAGCACAACATTCCGGTTTCAATTTTATAATCTCTATACATGACCCTGGTGATGAAGAGTCAGAATCAGTCAAAAAACCTAAACCGGAAAACTGTGCTCATTGTGAAAACTAAAAGTGAAGCAACTTTTTTCTGATATTTCTTACATCAAATGGCAGCCATCTTGTTTTTTCCCCTTCAAATTAAACTGGCGGGAAATTCAAAAATTTGAAAAAAATTTTAATCCTTAAATATATTTCAAAAATATGATTTTCTTTTAAATTCTTCATGGGTCTTAAGTTATTTCTTCTTTGCAAGTCATACATGTTGCCATTGATGTTTTTATTCTATGATAATGACTACTTTTTTTTGTTAAGATACTTATTCTGACTCTCAGCAGGGGGTTAATTATGCATCAAAACTCGTGAAAAAGTAAATAAACTTATCAAATATAACTAGGACAGTAATAAAAAACATATTTAACATACATTTGACTGAGGGACCAAAAGGTCCCTATATCTTGGCACTGGTAGTTTTAAGAATATAGTATTTTGTTATTAATAGTGCCAAAGCCAGAATCTTGATTTATGCAAGGCAAATTACTACTAGATATACATGTAGTAAGGCCAATAAGAGTGCTTAAGTATTATTCAAAAACTATGTTGATAGTTACTGTAAAATTTTTATGAGGAATCTGCACCCTAATTGAGATCATTTTACCAACTAATTCATTTCAATTTCAAAATCTGATACAACCAAACTACAGCATCAATTTTTATAAACCAGTAAAATGTTGATATCGTCTTTTTCATCATGTTCATTTAGTTGATATTTTGAACATGTTGTATTGGTTTCAGGTGATACAGGAACAACAACAGCCCCTGTAACAGAACCCCCAGTCACCAGTCCATCCACCACAGATTCTCCAGTTACTAATCCACCTACTACAGGTTTCAAAGACTCCTGTTTGCGCATACACAATTTGAAGAGAGCCCTTCATGAGGACACACCTAATGTGATATACTCAGACACACTTGCAGTTTCTGCCCAAACATGGGCAAATCACCTAGCTGCTACTGATAGCTTTGAACACTCAAGTGCTGACAATTATGGAGAGAATTTATATCGCTCTTCGAGTACTCAGCCATTAACTCCTGATTATTGTTCAACGGCAACTTCAAAATGGTAAGAACAGTTTTTGTTTGGCAGTTTGAGGTATAGAAAGAACTAACTAGAGTACTGCCTCGTAATGCCAGCTCTACTTCATCTTATTCCATTGAGTGATTCATACAGTTTTACACTTAGATATCAGGAATATGCAAAATGACACATTTCATTTAGGTACCAAATAACAATTTGTTTTTGTTTTTTCCCACAGTATTTTTGAAAGGGGTATACTGTATAAATCAACTGATTTCAAATAATATGTAAAACTCGCATTAATTCACACAATTATACTTTTAGGTATGATGAAATAAACCAGTATGACTACAATAACCCAGGTTTTAGTGGAAACACAGGTCATTTTACACAGGTAAGTACAATAAAATAGAGTTTCAATTCATCATAACTACATAATTTTAGCTATTGTAGTACTAGATTAGTAAGTTAGATAAACTTGCAGTCATCAGGGTGTGGTATCAGACCTGTTTGTGATATTTGAATGTTAATCTCCTATATGTTTTCAAATAATCATCTAATTCATATTAAAACTCCTTCATTCTTGTCATCTGGGCTGGTACTGTAATTGCACCATTGTTACTATGCTTCCTAGTTCATGAGTAAGTTTGAAAACATAATTGCCCAATTTAACCTATTGACATGCAGTCCATTGCCCAAAAGGCAACTCATTTTCCAAGTTCATTACCAAGATTGTAACTGATTGCCAGTCAGGCAACTGTGGGTCTAAACCTTGTCATTGTGTTCCTTTATTACTGTTAGGCTATAATGTTGAATGTAACTGATTAGACACTGTCTGTGTCATCACTCATGATTCTTTTGGCCAGTGTGCATCATAAAAATTTTAGACATGCAGGTCAAAGATGAACTATGGGCCAGTAGCATTGTAATTTTTCTATACATGCTGAAAAGTAAATTGCACCTTGTTTTTGTCTTGCTGTAGGTTGTTTGGGCAAGCACTTTGGAGATTGGATGTGGAGAAGCCATATACACGACACCTGATGGTAGTTGGAACAGAGTTGTGGTGGTTTGTCAGTACAGTCCACCTGGAAACTATGGCAACCAATTCATCAATAATGTTAAACCACTTCTTCCAGGTGAATCCTAGCTTTTGTTATTATTATACAATTTTGGAATACAATGTTTGAATTAGTATTCCTCCTTGACAGGAGTTCAAAAGTTGATCAACTATTGTGTGGTCCTTGGAATAACTCCTTTAAACTTCTAACAATCTTACTATACTGTTACACTTGTAAGTACATATCATGACATTTACGACTTCTAAAAATTTTGTCCCTATATTTTGGCACTGGTGTATAGTTTTAAGAATACAGTATTTTGATTATTAATAGTGCCAAAGCCAGAATCTTGATTTACACAAGGCAAATTACTACTAGTAAGGCCAATAAAACTGGTTAGGTTTTATTTGAAAACTATGTTCAATATGTTACTGTAAAACGTTGGTGAGAGATCTGCATACTGATTGAGATCATTTTAACTAATTCATTTCAGTTTCAAAATTTGATACAACTAAACCACAGCAAAAACCAAAACTGGTTAATACAATTTTTATAAAACCAGCCGTATAACATTGATTTATTTTTGTTTCAGTTGAAACATGTGGAGTTGGCATTGTGCCCAATGGCAGAATAGTTGGAGGATCTGATGCAGTGCCGTACAGCTGGCCCTGGATGGCGATGCTGACCACTGACTGGGGATCACAATTTTGTGGCGGAACTCTCATTGATAGGAATTGGGTGATAACGGCTGCTCATTGTACATCTGGGTAAATATATAACTGCATACTAGATGTTTCAGTCTTTTTGACATCCTTGTATGCTTAGTCTTCCCTGCGTTCAGACCAATGGAAGCCAGGTAAATGAAGATGTCTTGGAAGGTTCTGCCCATGATACCAAAGTCTTAAAATCACATTGACCCTCATATTATTAACAATATTATTCTAATACCCTAAAATTGTTTCAGAATGGACCCCTGGGATGTGATTATAAGACTAGGTGAATACTCGAAGACAGATGATGAACCCCTGACGCAAGTAATTCCTGTCATTCAAATCATTAATCACCCTGAGTATGACCCTGAAACCACAAACAATGATATATCCTTGCTGAGACTTGGAGATCCAGCTGAGCTGAATGGTTATGTTGAGAAGGCATGTCTTCCTGCAGCAGAGCCTGAACCAGGACGTGAATGTGTCGTAACTGGTTGGGGTACCACTGAAGGTAATGTTGCAATTGTGTTGTAATTGGTTGGGGTACCACTGAAGGTAATATTGCAGTTGTGTTGTAACTGGTTGGGGTACCACTGAAGGTAATGTTGCAATTGTGTTGTAATTGGTTGGGGTACCACTGAAGGTAATATTGCAGTTGTGTTGTAACTGGTTGGGGTACCACTGAAGGTAATATTGCAGTTGTGTTGTAACTGGTTAGGGTACCACTGAAAGTAATGTTGCAGTTGTGTTGTAACTGGTTGGGGTACCACTGAAGGTAATGTTGCAATTGTGTTGTAATTGGTCGGGGTACCACTGAAGGTAATATTGCAGTTGTGTTGTAACTGGTTGGGGTACCACTGAAGGTAATATTGCAGTTGTGTTGTAACTGGTTGGGGTACCACTGAAGGTTATTTTGCAATTGTGTTGTAACTGGTTGGGTTACCACTGAAGGTAATATTGCAGTTGTGTTGTAACTGGTTAGGGTACCACTGAAAGTAATGTTGCAGTTGTGTTGTAACTGGTTGGGGTACCACTGAAGGTAATGTTGCAATTGTGTTGTAATTGGTTGGGGTACCACTGAAGGTAATATTGCAGTTGTGTTGTAACTGGTTGGGGTACCACTGAAGGTAATATTGCAGTTGTGTTGTAACTGGTTGGGGTACCACTGAAGGTTATTTTGCAATTGTGTTGTAACTGGTTGGGGTACCACTGAAGGTAATATTGCAGTTGTGTTGTAACTGGTTAGGGTACCACTGAAAGTAATGTTGCAGTTGTGTTGTAATTGGTTAGGGTACCATAGAAGGTAATTTTGCACTTGTGTTGTAACTGGTTGGGGTACCACTGAAGCTAGTATTGCAGTTGTGTTGTAACTGGTTGGGGTTTGACTGAAGGTAATATTGCAATTGTGTTTTAATTGGTTTGAGTACCACAGAAGGTAATGTTGCAATTGTGTTGTAATTGGTTAGGGTACCACCGGAGGTAATTTTGCAATTGTGTTGTAAGTGGATGGGGTTTGACTGAAGGTAATATTACAATTGTGTTGTAACTGGTTGGGGTTTGACTGAAGGTAATATTGCAATTGTGTTGTAATTGGTTAGGGTACCACTGAATGTAATATTGCAATTGTGTTTTAATTGGTTGGGGTACCACAGAAGGTAATATTGCAATTTTTTTTAACTGGTTGGAGTACCACTGAATAGTCCATTTGTCATCCCTATACATCCAATAGTGAACCTAGAAATTGTTAAAAGTACGATGTTTTATGGTCGATTTATGATAATAAGAGTTTTCTGAAGTGATTTAACTGGCTTGGGCAAAAAATTATATAGGCTGATTAGGGAGGGGTGCAATCGTTTAACATGGCGTTGACTATTGACTTAGTGTTGGGATACCACCATATACCTGGTATGTTACCATGGTAATAGATACAAAATTTTTCCCCAAAGTTATTTTTTTGGCAACCCAGCTAAATCACTCCCATAATCCCTAAAGATAGTATTTACACAGAAAAACATCATACTTTTAAATATTTATACGTTCAGAAAATGACAAATGGACTAGAAGGTAATGTTGCAATTGTGTTTTAATTGGTTGGGGTACCACTGAAGGTAATGTTGCAATTGTGTTTTAATTGGTTGGGGTACCACAGAAGGTCATGTTGCAATTGTGTTGTAATTGGTTGGGGTACCACAGAAGGTAATGTTGCAATTGTGTTTTAATTGGTTGGGGTACCACAGAAGGTAATGTTGCAATTGTGTTGTTATTGGTTGGGGTACCACAGAAGGTAATGTTGCAATTGTGTTTTAATTGGTTGGGGTACCACAGAAGGTAATGTTGCAATTGTGTTGTAATTGGTTGGGGTACCACAGAAGGTAATGTTACAATTGTGTTTTAATTGGTTGGGGTACCACAGAAGGCAATGTTGCAATTGTGTTTTAATTGGTTGGGGTACCACAGAAGGTAATGTTGCAATTGTGTTTTAATTGGTTGGGGTACCACAGAAGATAATGTTGCAATTGTGTTGTAATTGGTTGGGGTACCACAGAAGGTAATGTTGCAATTGTGTTGTAATTGGTTGGGGTACCACTGAAGCTAATATTGCAATTGTGTTTTAATTGGTTGGGGTACCACAGAAGGTAATGTTGCAATTGTGTTTTAATTGGTTGGGGTACCACAGAAGGTAATGTTGCAATTGTGTTGTAATTGGTTGGGGTACCACAGAAGGTAATGTTGCAATTGTGTTGTAATTGGTTGGGGTACCACTGAGGGTAATATTGCAATTTTGTTTTAACTGGTTGGGGTACCATTGAAGGTAATGTTGAAACTGTACACAGATTAGTTCAAAGCTACCCACTCTGTCTTTAGTTGAGTAAAGAATTATATTATAAATATCGCCTACTCTAAAGTAGTACTGTGCTCTTTGATCTTGTAAAGGATAGTACCTGTAGACTAACAATGTACACTTAATTTGCCTTGATGATTTAGTCTTTTATGGCCAGTATATGCCATTTGAATGCATGTCCATATATGGTATGGACACATGCACACACAGTGACATAGATGGCGCATATATTATGAAATACATTTACCTTCAGAGGGTGGTGCGTCTAGTGATACATTGAAGGAGGTAGATGTCCCAATTATTTCTCGAACTACTTGCAATGCACAATATGGCAGCATTACAGATCAGATGATATGTGCAGGGGAACTGCAGGAGGGAGGAAAAGACTCTTGCCAAGTGAGCTTTCCAATGTTGATAGGAACATACAATATATTTGATTGTTTGCTGATAATGTGACTCACCAAATATATCATTATAGTATATATTAGTTATTTCAAATAACGATTAACCCTTTCTCGTGTCCAGGTACATATGCCCTATTTTGTGCAAAATTGGAAGATGTAAACCATGAGTTTAGTTTCCCTGTATATAAGAAATATTTTATTTTATCCAGGGTGATTCTGGTGGTCCTCTTGTATGTAAAGAAGAAAGCAATGCATGGTCTCTCTATGGTGTTGTAAGTTGGGGGTCTGGCTGTGCTAGAGTTGGCAAGCCAGGTGTATATGCCAATGTGGCACAATATCTCACTTGGATAGCTGCTTCAAAAGAAAGTAAGTACATGTACAGAACTATAATTAGTTCAACGATTTAAACACATGACTCTAAATATTAGTGACTGGTCACATCTTCCGAGCTATAATTTGGAAAATATGGTGATTTTAATGCAAAGTATAGACTAAAAATAAATAATATGAATCTAATCTGCAGCTCCGGCACCAGCTCCTGAACCCAATCTCCCACCAGAGTGCGATGGTTCATCAGCCCAACTCTCTGGAGCAAGTGGCACATTCACCTCACCCTACTATGGCCAGTATGATTATCCAAATGATGCTACCTGCACATATGTAATAACATCACCTACTGGAACTGTGAGTTGATTAAAAATGCAGTTTCATATTTACCTAAATTCAATTATACAGAAAAGAAATTATTGAAAAAGTTAAAGAATATAATGGTTTTGAATTAGAACAAGACTTTGTGGACAGTGATAATACATTATGTTACATTTTCATATCAGGTTGTGCAGCTTGAATTCAAAGAATTTGATGTTGAGCCTTATCCCGAGTGCAGAGCTGACTACGTGACAGTAATTGATGGAACAGCCAGCTCACCGCACAAACTCTGTGGGGCTGGGGAGATGGGCATCTTTACATCTACGTCCAATACACTTACAGTAAAGTTGGTAGCTGATAACAGTGTAAGACACCCAGGCTTCACTGCGGTCTACAGAGCAACTGAAATAGGTAAGGTATTTTTAAACATGACCATTTTTATAAAAATGCTTTATGCAGTAAAATATGTGCAAGTGAAACACCTTCGGTACATCTAAAGTGTTCCACTAAAAGTGTTCCACTTATTGAGGACATTTTATAACATGAAGTCAATAGGTCATGGGACTCTGAAAAGTGTTCCACTTACAGAGGTGTTCTATTTACAGAGGAGTTCTATTTACACAGGTTTTCTAGTTATTGTGTTCACTTAACAGGTTTTATGGTTAATGTTTTATTTCTTTTTCAGTCCGTACTACAACGCTATCTCAATCATCCACAACCAAAACTCCAGTCAACCCTACCCCCTCTGACTGTGGTGTACCTGCCATATCACCAAATATACAACCTAGGATTGTTGGAGGTGACATCGCTAAGAACCATTCATGGCCATGGCAAGTGATGCTGACGTCTACAACCAATCCTAGTAGTCAGTTCTGTGGGGGAACACTAATAAGCCCAAACTGGGTCCTCACTGCGGCTCATTGCACTGATGCGTAATACAATTTAAATATTTCTAAAAGTGGATTGATCTTGAAATATTTAACCTAAAATCATAAAGATATGTAAAATGCACTATCAGTCCACTTAAAGACACAAATCTTATTTTGGAATTCACCATTTTGAAAGGACTTTATGTGTGCAAAAATTAGCCCAAAAATTCCCATTAGGTAATCATAGCATTATATGTTTAAAACTCTAAAAAATGAATAATATTCTCAAAAAGTTAGTATAAAAATCTCAACCCACTCATACGTTGCTATGATAGAGCATAACACAACAGTTCAAGGTTCATAAATGATTAGGATTTCTTTCATTCTGTTTATAGATCCGAGACGTATGTTGTACTAGGTGCACATGATAAACAAGCGTCAAATACCCAAGAGGATAAAAGACAAATAATCCAAGTTGTTGAAGTGAAAGATCATCCCAATTATAATAATATTAACTTTGATAGTGACATTTCCCTATTACGCCTAGCAAGACCTGCTACATTGGGTGATAAAGTGGGTTTAGTTTGTCTTCCAACAATTGAGCCTGTTAATGATGACTGGACTTACACCACTGGCTGGGGAACTACATCTTGTGAGTACATAATTCTGTTCTGCTGATAGGTACAGTTAAATAATTTCTTTTGAACTTTGTTGTTCTAGATAATCCCTGAATTATTAGCCTTACTTAGTAATTGATTAACTCTAATATGCATGTCAAATAGATTTATTAATGTGTTTTTTCATATCTGTGTCTCTTTTTGATATGTTTATCCAAACCAGAAATATTTATGACACAAGAGATTTTCAACAAGAATGCCATAATTATTTGTCCATGGAAAATATTACAATGTATTATTATCATACTTTTACATTGATAACAGTTATAGAGCATTATGCACTTTTGTATAAGTATTTTCCAATCACTATCTTGCCATTTCAGTTCAAAATGTATTCTTTTGAATTCTAAAAACCTCATCTTTGATCTCAGGACAAAAGTGTCATTTCTCATTTCAGCTGGAGGTCTTGCAAGTCAGTTGTTGCGCCAGGTTATGGTTAAAATCATTGGTCGACCAATATGTAGTAACATGTACTCCACAGAGGAGATCACTAACAATATGATCTGTGCTGGATATGAAGGAGGTGGTAAAGATTCATGTCAGGTAAAGTGTTCATTCAGAGTTCGTCATCGAAATACAGATGATTTTCTATATGGTCATTTCCTCTGACATCATCACATAGTTAAAGAGCACATATTTAGCATTGTGTTCCTTCCACTTTATTGATTGGTTGAGAAAGGGCCAGCATCAGGTTTTAAAATGCTTAACTGAGCAGCGCTTTATGTCATTGACATTTGTATTTTGTGTCCACAGGGTGATTCTGGTGGACCATTAGTTACACCAATAGGGGAATATGGGCAGTCTGGCTGGAAGATATCTGGAGTAACTAGCTGGGGCCTAGGGTGTGCCTCGCCCAATAGACCTGGTGTCTACACCAACGTTATCAACTTTGTTGACTGGATCCAAGGAATTGTGACAGGTGAGGATGGAGATTGTGTTTAAAATGTTTTAAGAGATGACAAGTTCAAATTCAATAAGTTGATTCAATATGAATGACAGACAATAGGAATGTGCTACAAATCAAGTACTATAAAAATGGAAGACACCATTTGAGGAATCCAATGGCAGTATCAGTCAGAAAAGAGATATAATGATGCTTATGAATTATTGTTCAACAATCTTTCCATGTACTCAATATTTTTATTTTCAGATCTTCCTTCTGGTACAACTCCACAACCAACAACGCAACCTATAACCACTACAGCACAACCCACAACCAGTACAACACAGCCAACAACTGTTTCAACACAATCCGCAACCAGTACAACACAGCCAACAACTGTTTCAACACAATCCGCAACCAGTACAACACAGCCAACAACTGTTTCAACACAATCCGCAACCAGTACAACACAGCCAACAACTGTTTCAACACAATCCGCAACCAGTACAACACAGCCAACAACCTCTACAACACAAACCGCAACCCCTACAACACAACCAACATCCACTACAACACAATCCGCTACACAGCCACCTAATAGAGAGTGTGGCCAGCCTGCACTGCCACCAATTGTTACAAAAATTGTTGGAGGTGTACCTGCCAAACTGCACAGTTGGCCCTGGCAGACCATGCTTGTCTCAAGTAATGGGGCTCATTTCTGTGGAGGGACATTGATTGACCCCAACTGGGTACTGACAGCCGCTCATTGCACGGATGGGTAATACAATTCATATTTGTAGATTTGCCTTGAAATATATACTAAAAAGATTATAGTGATTTGTAACACACATTAACATTCCACCTCCAAAGATGCAAGCCTTCTCTTTCAAATTCTTCCTTTTGAAAACTTCTAAAGAATTGCTCATCTACATGTAATTAAGCAGAATAAGAAAGAACCAGGTATTATATGTCAAGTCCAGTCATGTATTTCACCATGGGTATTTTCTCAGCTTTCTCTCATTAAAGCAAATGTTTTCTTACAAGAATAGTCCACATGATAATAGAATTGATAGTTATCAACAATATCACATCATTATTAACTGCACCTTTACTTAGATCCTTGAACTTTTTGTTATTAGGTTGAGTATCATGGATTTCCATGTTAGACTTGGAGAACACTACAAGAATATTACTGATGGCAAAGAAAGGGATGTTAATATCACACAGATTATTCCACATGAGGAATATGGACTGAATGGTATTGATGATGACATCTCTCTGTTGAGGCTTGCTGAAACAATCACATACACTGATGAGATTAGTCCCGCATGTCTTCCTTCCGATGATGCCAGTGCTGGCAAATACTGTGTAGTAACTGGATGGGGATCTGAAGGTTTGGAGGTTTGATTTTTTACACCAGGCTCAGATACCCACCAAGTTAGATGAGGTCATTTGGCTTAAAATGGAAGCTGACCAATAATGAGATAAGCTTAGTTTCCACTGTAATAGAACTCATTGACCTACTAAGGCTATTAGTATCTGATGTGTTGACAGATCCAAGGAGTTATAATTGTGGCTTGACCCACTCCCAACTATGTCACTCATGTTAAGCATGGTTCATTTGTAAAATGTCAGATTCTAGTCAGAATGAGTGTTAAAATGTGCATCTGAAGGGAATTTATGGGACAAGATTTTTTATAATACTATTATGATTTTAATTTTACATATTTTATGAATTATTGGATGTTAGTATTTCAGCTTTTGTGGCCATCTTACCCATATTGACAACACTCTGGACCTCCGTTGTAGCATATAATTGTGTTTTTAGAGTATGGTGAAGATGTGAGTACAGTACTCAACCAAGTAGAGGTACCCATAGTATCAACTAGCAGCTGCAATGGGTCACAGTCTTACAATGGTGGAATCACAGAGAATATGCTTTGTGCAGGGGAGGCCAGTGGTGGCAAGGACTCTTGTCAGGTATAGGCTAACTGTAGGGTTTATCATTAGCTTACAGTAGGGTTTAACATAAGCTTTCAGTAGGGTTTAACATAGGCCTAGTAGATTTAACATAGGCCTACTTTAGGATTTATCATAGGCTTACTGTAGGCTTTTACAGAGGCCTAGTATATGGTGTAACACAGGCCTAGTAGATTTAACATAGGCCTACCTTAGGGATTATCTTAAGCTTATTGTAGGCTTTAACATAAACCTAGTGTAGGGTTTAACAGAGGCCTAGTAGGTTTAACTAGTAGGTTTTGAAAGTGGCCTACTGTAGGGATTAGCATAGACCTACTGCTGGATTTAACATAGGCCTACTATTACAGGACTACTGTAGTGATTAAAATTCAATTCTTGCCAAATGTTTGGAAACTTCCTGTTACACATAATGAATGGCTTTTGTCTTTTGGAAAGGACTTCAAAGGTAGTCCAAAGTTGAATTTAATGAGGTTGTTCTCAACTCATTTACTATCAGTATGAGAAAATGATGTGAATATGTGCATAATAGGATATATATTTGATGTAGGGAGATTCTGGTGGGCCATTTGTATGTCGAATCGGGAACACTTTGACCTATGAACTGCAAGGGATCGTCAGCTGGGGAGAAGGCTGTGCAGTTGCCAATAAGCCAGGTGTATATACAAGACTGACAAAATATTTAACTTGGCTTGAAGAGATGATGAACAGTAAGTGTAATGATTCTGGCGTATAAAGTAACAGACTTGAGATAACTTGATTTTTATTGAAACCACTTGTTACCAAAATGCGTACATTAAGGGACCAATCACTTCAGTATGTTTATACATCGTTTGATCCACTATCCATAATTTTATCCAAGCCTTCCAAGCAGTCCCTGCAGCTCCTCAGAAATAGACATAGTTCCATCTGGATAAACTCTGTATCCAAAACCTCCCAGTACATAATCCTTATTTATATTATATTATCAGCTGAAGGAATCCAAATTTCATTCACCCATGAGGAATTCTGTTTTGTTTTCAGGTGAAGAGCCTCCTCCCCCACCAAGCCTATCCCAGGCCTGTATCTCTCAGGATGAAGTGATCACTGATCTAGAAGGCAATCTCACATCACCCTATTACCCTGTAGTCAATTACCACAACAATGCAAACTGTGTATGGACACTGGAAGCTCCACCTGGCCTGGTATGTATGTATTAGTCATCCCATCAGAGAAAGCTAAGATGTCTTGACATATCATCCTCAACTTGTGTGCTCCTGGAGTATTTTCCCGATCAGATCATGCCTTACTTGCTAACACCAAAGAGAGTTGTAATTATTGAACCTTTATGTTCTTCTTCATGACTACCCAAGGGAAAGATCAATACCCGGTGATTTCAGCGGGAAGTGGCGTTTCGTTCAGTGGATGAGCTGCGCGCGCACGCATAAATGTGATTATCCAATATAATTAGGGGAGGGCTATTTGAAATAGTTTTTGGTCTCAGGCGCGACCCAGGGCTGTTGTCTTAAGGACATTTCGTTGAAAATGAGCCATTCGGCTGATAATTGGTAAGAGTTTGCGATCTTATAATGTATAACTGTTACTCTGACACATATTTTGACACGATTCTGTTGGAAATAAGCTTTGAACCGAGAGATATTCACGATTGATATGCACATTTTTGATTGTGCCATTGCTTTTCCATTGCACAATCCATGTATTGATAGAAGAAACATTAATAATGCAGATTGGTTTACCTTCAATACATGGCAGACACTACATATCGGTCTATTAATACCAGTTTGTGCCTTAAATAGTTTTATATTTCCATCCACGGCCTGGAGCCTGGGTGTGTTTGTCTCTTATGTGTATGCTTGTGCATGGACTTCTAATCACTTGCAGAATTTAACATGATGCAAACTCGACATTATAACTCATGCTGTAACATTTTGACTTCGCTGGAAAACAATAGGAACTATTTTTCTTGCCAATCAATCATGAATCACAATCAAAATTTCAGAATGAGCAATCAGGCAATGATCCAAATCAAGTTATAACATTATATGATATTCAGCAAGAAGTCCGGTAGAAATACAGAATATTTAAACATCAAAGCTGAAAGTTAAAAGCTAATCTGTCAATTTTCTGTCTGCAAAAGAGCGTTTACATTTGACACAATAACAGACTGAGGCTTTGAAATCTAGGATTCCCCAGGAAAATATGACGTCATACTAATTAGCATAAGGATTTCCCTATTGGTTTGGGTCGAGCCTTGTTCGAAAACACAATCCATAAATACATGCTAATTTCTAAGAAGATTGGAAGTGTATAACGTGTTTATCGATTTAGTTTAAATATTTAATCAATTATCAAATTGTTTAAGTGGATAAAATGGTCACACTTGCTTCAATTCATAGCGAAATCGACGGATAGAAACTGACCGAATTCCCGATATCCTACCCCGTATTACTGTAGGCTATAAGCACAGTAACCTACAGAGGGCGCTATCACAAACAAGTACTGCACGAACCGATAAATTCCCGGGTATTGTAACGCCCTTGGACTACCTACATGTACCTAGTGGTGTAATCTCATTCACATTGTGTCTTTATTTCAGTCAGTTTACCTGGTTTTTCCAACTTTGGACATAGAGACTGGTAGTAACTGTGGGTATGACAGTGTTACAGTATATGATGGACCACTTGAAAGTACTCTCCTAGGACGACTCTGTGGTATGGGTTCATCTCGGCCTTATATTTCAACAGGAAGCACAATCACTGTCCATTTTAAATCTGATAGCAGTGTAACTAGGCCAGGATTTTTGGGAACATTTATGATGACAGAAAATACCATAACCACTGATGCAGGTAGCACTACCACTACTGTAAGCACTACAACAAAAAAAACTGCTGGGAACTGTGGCGGTATGCTGACCGCAGATGAGGGAGAGATTGAATCTCCTAATTGGCCTGGGAAATACCCAAATGGGCAAGGTTGCCACTGGGTCATAGAACTAGAGGATCCATCAATGGTATAATTAATTAAAAACAGAATCCACTTTTCTTTAAGTCCTTTCTTTATACATCCAAATCAAAAAATCATAAAGCGACAAGAAAAACATGCACTTAATGTACATTTTGTTATATTATAGGTCGTTGAGCTTACATTTACTGTATTTGATCTTGAATATGAAGAAAGCTGTTCCTATGACAATGTGAAACTCATTGATGGTGTTGATGACACGTCTTTATCTGAGCCACTGTGCGGAAAGTTGAATAATCTGACTCAAGTCACATATTATTCAAATTCTCACAAGTTGGAGGTCATCTTTACAAGTGATTCAAGTGAAAATGGAATGGGATTTTTTGCAAATTATCAATCTGTTCAAGGTGAGTGAAGGCAGTACCACCATATTCACTTTTAAAAGGTAAATCTAAAAGCTCATTTATCACAGACATTTTTGAAATAAATCTTTGTAGGTGGATTTTAACTAGCTCCATTCATGATTAGAGACAGAGGTTTGTTCTTAGACATCCCATATACAACCAGCTTCTGAGACAACCTGTCATTCCCAATGAAGGATCAAGACTTCCAGCCCGAATTTCCCCCCACTGTAACTGACAAAGTTCTATGATGTAGGATGAAATATTTTACAGTAAGATATATTTTTAAAACTTATACAGAACAACAAATGTAGTAATGAATGATTTTTATTTTACAGCATTGACAACAACAACAACAACAACAACAACACCAGCTCCAACCACAACCCCTGTATTAGAATGTGGTGACCCCTTATATTTGGATGACACAACTGGTGATTTCAATTCTCCCAATTTCTACAATGGAGGATATGATATTAATGAATACTGTACATGGAGGATAGAGGTTCCAGAAGAAATGGTAAGCTTAGGGCCCTATAAGTCAAATGTGTTAATATGTTTTATTTTGTGGGATTCGCAACTCCATGGAGTTGCTTTCAGCATTTCATCAAAACTTATTACCAATGCATTGAACATGATTTAATCTCTCTGTTTCTAGGTTGTTCAGCTAACATTCAATGACTTTGATCTTGAATTTATTGATGGTTGCTTGTATGACTATGTTAAACTGACTGATGAAGCAGGGACAATTGGTCAGTTCTGTGGCAGCACCATCCCAGGTCCCATAACATCTGAAGGATCTTGGATTGAGGTAGAATTTAAAAGTGATTTCTCAACCAACGGGGAAGGCTTCCAAGCATCTTACACTGCAATAGAAAAACCAAGTAAGTTCTGGGGTAAAGTATCATGCTAAAGTTCCATGGGCTTTATTTTGAAAGTATTACAAATTGACTGTACACAAGGCACTTATTCCAAATTTGAATGCATAGATTTCATGTTTTATTGCTCTTTGTTCAGTTCTTTGTATACAATAATCTAATATAAAATGTACACCCCCCCCTACATTGGTAATATATGTTCGTACTCCTACAAATCAATATTTTCTAGGTGTTCCTCCACCCACCGAACCACCTGTAGACCCTTGTGAGAACACACTTGTGATAAGGAATGCTGATAGTGGATATATTACTTCACCAGGCTATGATGATGGTGAAAATTACGGCCCAGATCTAACCTGTAGATGGCGTATTAAAGCACCTAGTGATATGGTCAGTTTTGCACCAAATAACACATATTACCCACCTTTCTAATATAGTAGAAAAAAGTCCAGACTGAATTCTCAAGATCCATGAAACAGACCTAGCTTGTGATTAACCACACACAGGCATTTTACGTCATAAAAGCTTGTCCACTAGGTGCGCCGTTGTACATAGCAACATCCTATGCAACGTATATAAACATACCCTGCGCGCAGAGTCTAGTTATAAACTACCCTCTGCCTACTGTAGACTATATTACAAATTAGTAGCCCGCCCCGAAGTGGAAGGAACATGTGCTAAATAAGAGGGCTCATTAACTATGCAGTGATGCCATAGGAAATGACCATATAGAAAGTTGTCCGTATTTCGACGACGGACTCCTATTGGCTCGGTGAGATCAGAGATTTATTGTAAACTGAAAGAGTGAAGACGAAGCTCTTTTTTAAGAAGTGAAGTCGAACGAATGCAAAGGGTAATATAAACATTGCATAGACCATGGGCATTCAATAGTTGAATGCCCATGCATGGACGTTTAAGTGCAGCCTGTGGTTTTCATGTTTGCAATGAAATCTTCTATTCAGGAAGATGTTTTGAGCTATGATTATCTTTCATAATTTATATTGTCATATAGGCATAATACATATCACCGTGTTTCAAAAGAATTGCTTACTTTAATCCAATTTATTTTAAATTGATAGGTTTAATATTAGTAAAGTTACAACTTCTCTACGGAGGGGCATTTCTTCATTTATGGATGAATCTTTATCAAATTTGAAACATGGTTTAGCTAATTATACAAATTGTCTTACTCGTTCAAATTATAATTAAAGAAAAAATAGCTGACCACTGTTAATCCAGATATATGTAAGTAAGATACATACAAAGAATTACATACATTAAAGTGCATCATCAACTACTAGAAAACTGTGTGTAAAGTGGCCAAACGCTTGCAGCGCCCCTAGCGGACGAGCCTTTATGACGTAAAATGCCTGTGTGTGAACTATCAGATTTATACATTAAGAATTTGAGCGAGCAATTCTGAACTTTTGAAACAACCATCTTATGTGTCAGGATATTTATACATGCATCATTTATATACATTAAAAGTTAAACCTGTGTAATCAGTTCAGATTGGAAGGTGTTTGGATTAACCAGGTGTTTTGAAATGCAGTTTTTACTTAAGGAATAAATAATGATAGGCCATTCAATATGGTGAAATTCAGCACGAGTTGGACAGAATGTTGTACAAAGCACGAACCGAAGGTGAGTGCATTTGTACTAACATTCTGTCCAACGAGTGCTGAATTTCACCATATTGAATGGCCTATCATTATTTATTCCGATTCAAACATAAAAATTAGTAAAAGCCGTGTCTGTGGAACGGGCATGAAGGAAGAATACGCATGCTGTCAAGATTCTGAAGTCGGCCGGAAAAATTTTAGAATTTGTTTGGGCTGTTCTATTTTACTCCCCGTTTTAGATTTTATACGGTGTATAAACTTGAAGTCAGCCATAGTTAAATAGTTACAGTAGTTACGGAGGGAGTAAAAAAGAACAGCTATCCCCGGACAGAGCCCCAGATGTGCAGCTGAGATGTGACGTCACTCAAAACAGTGCAAATTGCAGATTGAATAGAGCATGGTCGTGCATCTATGGAGAATTAGAGAACGTTCTATATTGGCTATGCTGCATTCTGATTGGTTGAGAAATTCGAATAGAGCACGGTCATGTTTGAATGGAGAATAAAGCACTCTTTCTTCTTTTAGGTTGTGTCGTTGTATGTAGAAGAAATGGATATGGAATGCCACGACACTTGCAGATATGACAAACTATTCATTTATGATTCTAACAATGGTGCAAATAAACTTGACAAGATATGCTGTGATGAGTCTGGTGGAGAGTATACAACCACTCAGAGCAAAATGTTCATCAAGTTGAAGACAGATGGCACTACACAAGCATCTGGGTTCAAATTATACTATTGGGCACATTTCCCAGCTGAACGAGGTAAAGTGACTGATATTGTCTCACCAATATTGAGGTACAAGTAGAGACATGGGAGGGCAATTTGTTTACAATCGTGACATTAAAGATGTAAAAATGTAAATGTTTATAAGAATTGAAAAGGGGATGCCAGACAACTTTAAACATTGAATGATTTTCCAGAGTATGAAGTCAGAACTATTGGTCAGGCATGACATTAAAATGTTTTCTTATTTCATCTTGTGCAGCTTTTACATCTGATTTCACTGAGGATGAGTGTGGCATTGTACATGTAAATGAAACACATTCAAAGACCACCGAAGCTGTGTCAGCTACCCCTCATAGCTGGCCTTGGATGGTTAGTTTACGTTTGAATGGAGATCACACATGTGGTGGCTCATTGATCTCTGAGAGCTGGGTGCTTACGGCTGCACATTGTATGGCTAAGTAAGTGCAATGTCTATATTTTCCTGGGCTCAGTTTGTAAAAAACATTGTGAATAAAGATTTTGTGTTATGCATTTGTCTTTTGCAGTATTGCCATAATTATTGACTAAATTACTTTGAAAAACAGGTTCAGAAATATTATTGTTTTATTAATCACAGTATGAGCATTGATCTTTGACTGTATCACTGTATTAGTAATGAATTTAACTTGCCCAACTCTTATCAATTGCAGTGCCTTGGATCCCGAAGACTGGAGTGCCTCTTTAGGTGAACACAAACGTTCTGACAACTCTGATGGTCAAATAACACGAAACATTGAAGTGATTGTTATACATCCTGACTATGATGGTGATGTGTCTAATGAACATGATATTGCCCTGGTCCACCTTGGAAGTAATATGAAATTAGGCCCATATATTGCTCCAATATGCCTACCAGAGCATGGGGAGGATCTATATGCAGCCATAGAGGAGCATGGGGACTCTGAGAACGTGCATGATTGTACAACTGTAGGCTGGGGAGCACAAGGTGGGTCTCATGTTAATAAATCTCAATGTAAATTGGTATCTATGTTCAAAGTGGGTAGTCTGTTTTTTATATGCACAATAAAGGTCTCAATGTACAGAGGATAATATCAATTTCTTTGTGTCATCGTACATAGTGAGTCTCAATGTACAACAAGTGTAGTGTGCAGTCTCAGTATACCGTGTTGAAATCAATGTACAATGTTGCTCTTAATGTATAATGGGCAATGTAAGCTAACCAGAACATGATCATGTGAATAAAAGGTTGTTCAAAAAGTTTAGGATTTTTCATTTTTACTCTAGTCTCCCAATTTAGTAACTGTTGTATCTTACAGGTTATAATGGTGGACTGTCAGATGTCTTACAGCAGGTGAAGGTGCCCATTGTGAGCCAAGATGAATGTAATGCGGCTAATGCCTATGAGGGTGAGATCACGAGGAGTATGGTATGTGCTGGCTACATGGATAGCACAGAAGAAGACACATGTCAGGTAAGTCTGTGAACTGTAAAGACTGTAAAGACCTAATACTCCCTTTTGGGGGTCATAGCCACTATAACCTGTATATATGTTACATTGATTTTAATAAAAAAAGGTTGGAAATTCAGCTGCCTGACTGCCAATAGTAGGCATTTTTCACTTTTTGCATTTGGATTTAAAAAAAACTTGTTGCCTTTTGAATGCCAATATGGTAAACTGTGGCAATCATATTTCAGCCTTAGCCTTGAATCATTTGTAAGGAGAGTGTCCAATGTCAACATTTGTGTAATATCCTAAAAGAAATGGTAATAATTGAATTATGGATCAAGTGGCCTGCTATCCTCCTTTGCATTCAAAACAATCCAGCTACATAGACGATTAGGTGCATGACCAATTTGAAACTAGAATATAATCTAATTCAACAAAAAATCTGAGAGTACCTTATTTTTCCTCCCATTATGCTTATGCATCTATAAAGCTACTAAGGGTGATATAATAAGTTCATATAGTGGTCCATTTTGTATGTTATATTCTTATAATCTCTGGAAGGCATGGTATATAAGTTAAGTATATTAACATGAATGCATAATATATATCATTATACATTTTAGGGTGACTTTGGTGGTCCTTTGATGTGCCATGACTCACCAGATTCAACTAGCTGGTCCCTAGTGGGAGTAAGTAGCTTTGGAGAGGGATGTGCTTCCCCTAATCACCCAGGGGTCTACACCAGGGTGGCAAGTTACAAATACTGGATCACTAACACCATGGATACTGTTGATGATAAACTTAACAATAAGGAGAGTGAGGAAAGTAATGGAGCTGAGGATGACAATGGAGAAAGAAATGAAATATTATAAATTGAACACTATGACGTAATGTCAAGGCGTTCCTCTCGACCACAACTGATTTGTGAATATTGATCAGTGTCATTTCCAAGTTAATCAACTATTATGTAATAGTATGAGAATGACCTCTAAAAGTGATCATGGTTTCATAATGTTTGACATTTATATTTTCTGATAATCATGCATGTTTTAAAAAACCTCCTCCTGATTGATTTTTTGATCAAGCAACTATTGATAAACTATTGATTTTTGATAAACCACATGCCATTTTTATGATGGTGGTTGGTGTTTGGTGGTTGGTGGTTGATGTCTGTTGGCATCTGTAACATACTGTATAAGTGGTAACTTTGCCAAATCATTTAATTTGCCTATTGCCTAATTTTTGCCACGTTCGGAAAATTAAATGTTTGAAATATTAGCATCATAATGTTATCCAATGGGAAGTTTCTTGTCATTAGGAAAATAAAAATTAGGAAAACGATAAAATTTGACCATTCGGCAACTTAACCGCAAATTAACCACTCGGATTAAATACCACTTATACAGTATGGCAGGTGGTGACATTTGGGATGTTAATGCCTTGTTAAAATAATATTAAATGTTTATTAATGTAAATGTTTTATTGGTTATACTTGTTGATGGTTTAATAGTATTCAACATATCTTATGTTATTTTTGTACACTGTAAATAATTATTACATTTTACATTTTGTAGTTATGAATTTATACTTTTAAGAAGTTATGTTATTGTTCTAAAAACTGTTATTAAAATGCAAATGAAATATAGCTGTCATGACTCATATACGTTTTGTGTTCAAATGAGAGAGGTGTTCACATATCCAGGAGATATGACTGATTGAGAGAGAGATATATAATAACCCAGATGCCAGGAGGTAGTTACCAGTTTCACCACCAGGTGGCTAAGCTAATTTGGGTCAGATAACGTGGCAGATATATTAAGAATTGATAATTTCAAGCTACAGACCAGAATCACAGGACCCTGTAGAACCTACCAGGATTTCTCTTTCACACTGAAGGCCACAAACATTTTGTATTTAGCTTCTTGTTGGTGCTGCCATCTGTAGAGAAATACAGTATTTCACGTTATCAGGTTCAGCTTAACACAGGTGGTCAACTTTTTATTGTCAAACATTATTTCTCATGGATATTTTTACTTCTGCCCAATTGTAATGCATTTTTGCGAATTAATTCACAAATTCACGACCATAACCTAGACTAATGTGTCATATTTTGATACAATTGTCAATAAAAGAAACATATATAACCAACTTGACAAGTAGAAAAACAATTAATGTAAGCCATCATTCTTGCCTCAGAGACTAACCAGATGTCACTGTTTGATAAAATGTAAAGGTAATAAATTATAAATAACAATTTTGTTAATCAAAGTTCAATGGATATTAGAAATCGTAGTGATTCAACACTGGCAAAATTATACACCATTCAAAGAACAAGCTTACAAGTCCTGTGTCAAGTGTGCTAGTTGAACTTCAGATTTTTCATTTTAGCCCTTTTTGTTAAGATATCTCTTACTAAAATTGGTTTGATATAGTTCATCATTTGAGGGGATTTATGCTCTTTAATACACTTAATTCTTGATCATCATTAGATGACATCTATGTAATTTTAATTGGCAACTACTAGTCGAATTCATGTGAAGAACGATGATAAAAGATGAACATGGGCTCGACCTTCAAATTAAAATGGAGGACTTATTTACGATTTATCATTTACTGGCACTATGCTTCAAGCCAATTTAATGAACATTAACTTCAATTTAAATTATTTATAAAATAGTTTTATTTTTTCGTTTTATGTTATTACATTAACAGTTATATATAACAATGCCTGGTTGTTGAACACAGTTGCACATGTGCATATCACTCGTTCTACACATACATTTCATCTTCATATACAGAGTGACAGAAAATGTACACAATCCAGTTATACTTTCGAAAACCATATTATCATTTGAGGGTACAGTACCAGAACATTCTTAGCTACAAAATTCCCAAGTTTATTGCCACGATTGTAACCATGGAAACCATGATGTCATAATAAGAGATATAGACTTAGGAATTCTAACTTTCAAACTCTTCTGGTAATGTACAATTAAAAATTGACTGTTCATTTATATTAGTTAAGTTAATTGTAGACAATTACACTATTCAGTAAGTGAGGGTCACCCTGTAACTTATCAAAAAGTAAGAATAAGAAAATTGGCAATTGGAGAAATTACAATATTTTAATGCCTTGAAAAACATGTACAATCACTCCATGAACTGTGTTTTACATCTTAACATCCACATACATTAGAATCTGGATATTTGTCACATTTATATCTTAATTCTAGCTCCTAAATCAAATAATGAATATATTACAATCCTTTATAACAATTTAACTTTCATAAGCAGACCAATTTACTAAGTCTAATATGATTGCATCGGTAATCTGCATTTGAAGGTTAAACTGTTCATTATATTTTACAAAATGTACACGTATCACAATATTTGAACTCTGTGTTAGGTGGACTTAAGTATGTATTTTATCAAATATAGATGACTATCATTTGATGAAATTCATGCCTAGCATCCACACAACTGTATTTGCATTGGAATATAAATATACACCCTGATTTACTGTACATCTTTGGATACTGTAAAACTGTACACACGTGTCTATCACCATAGTGATAGAAGTTGAGTTGACTCATGGACAACACAAATTCAGTTACAATGAGTATTTATTCTGGTAAATGAGTATTTCAATGACCAAAATTAGTATTTTAATCAACAAATAAATGTTCTATTCAAATGAGATTCAAAGAATTGAGTATTCTAGCTTTCAACAATATGAGTGTTCCACTCGCCAAAATGAGTATTCTCATAAAAGAGTATTTTAATTACTAAAATGAGTTTTCTATACAGGTAAAACTCCAAGTTAAAACTAATAATACAATAAAATTTCATTTCATCATAATCTAAAATTACATTTAATTTTTACTTAATTTTCACTAAATCATAAAATGTCAATATTGAATAATCATATTCTTAAAAACAATTTTTCTTATGATGAATTTCATCATAAAACATGAATATAATGAGCATTCTCCCCCACATTCAACATATTATGCTATGTTCAATAAATACATGTAAACTATATATAAAATGAGTATTTCATCAGTCAAATATTCCTCTTATGGTAAATGCAAAACACTACCACTAAAAAGTGACAAATACAATCTAATGATTGTAAATGCTTTATATCTTGCCACAGTCTCAGTTCCATAAGGTTGTTGGCAAATGTCGATGCCTGTATGCAGTTTGTCACTGACTGTCTGACATAAAGTTCTCTGTTTCAGATTGTGAAGAAGTCGTTCGTATTTCTCAATTTGCATTGTTATATTCCATAGCATCACAGGTAAATGCCAAATATGGAAATATCCACCATGTAAGTTTTTTTTATAATATTCCACTGCTATATATATAGATATATAAAATAAAATTAAGTCTACTTTCTATACAAATACGGCACCATTTGACACATAGGGACTACAGCATTCAGCACACCTGAAAATACACAAAGGGGCATTTTTAACACACAATCATAACAATTCACACAATCTATGTTTTATTAAACAAATATGATATCAGAATCTATTTATAAAAAAACAAAGTGACAATTGGATGATAAAGTTTCACTTCCTGTTCAGAGACAACTTATTAATATTCAGAAAAAAATTCAATTTTCTGGTTGTTGATTTCAATGTAAACACACAAAGCCCGAATAAAAATACATCTGTCTTACTCTCATTTGTGAAATATACATCAATAGCACTTCAAAAGGGGCACAGATATGCAGCAACTCTGAATATTTCTAATTAATGTAGGTAAGACGAATTTTCAGTTCTCCTATGACTTGAATAAATATGCAAAATAAAATAAGTAAGTTTGAGTGTAAGTTTATGGTAGGAGGAGTAGAATCAATTATCTCTCATATTAAGTCGTGTCACTTAGTCCACCTTAAGCTCAATATGCAATATATAGAATATTTACCTCATTATGATTTATTTGAGGTGTCACTAGACTCTGATGTACTGTGAGGAAACTCAAGCATCTGTTGCTGCGGAGACCTCTTGTGTCGCCGTCTCTTATGCTTATAGCCATGATCGCTATCTACAGCCCCTGGAATTCAACAATCAAAATCGTGTTAAATACTTCATTTTTTGAAATGCTGAGTTAGATTTTAACTTACATGTTAAATAAATGTCGAACACATCGGTCAGAAATATGAAGCCTTTACAAAAATTTGAATATTTGGAATTTTTAATCAACAACGAAAAGAACCAATTAATATTTCAGTTCACTAAATGTACAGGGTGACCCAAAAAGCAGAACCCTTACCCTTTATTCAAAGATTTATGGGTTCTGTTTTTCAGACACCCTGTACTGTACACACTTTGTACTATATTATAAGGTAGAGTTGGCTTACCTGGAAGGGGGGTGTGGACTTCTACTTTAACAGTGGCTTTTGCCTTCACCGTTGTTGTAAAGTGTGGAGTAGATGGTGGGTGACTGTTGTAACTATTGTGGCTATTGTTGTAACTATTCTGGCTATTGTTGTAACTATTGTGACTGTTGTTGTAACTATTGGTGTGACTACTGTTGTGACGTGGACCTGACATGTTGTGCACTGAGGAGGGTGGTGTGCTCTGAAATCAGAAAATACAATTTATTAAAGTTTTATTTTGTTTACTGGTCAGTTATGTTTATGCCCATCTAGTTTTATTGATCCTGCAAATTCATTTATTTAAATGTGCAAATGAGATAGCATATTGTTGTCATCTTTATAATATATAATATTGCTTATTATGGAAAACATAACTGTAACTAGAACACCTTTGCAGTTGTCATTTAAATATAAAGGCTCCCTATCATTGATGAATGATTGTTGCTTATGTGTACTACTTACATTTCTAGTATTATGACTCGAACAGTGTCTGTTAGTATTGTTATGTGGACCATTTCCAGTATCCACAAATGATGTTTCTACGACAACTTCGGGATGAACTACAATCTCATGAGACGAATACTGTGTTGGTTCTTCAGTGATCGTAGTTAAAGATATATCAGACGGGACTCTGCCCGGAAAGACTCGTTTTGACACAGTTCTCATGGCCCTCTGGGGAACAGGTGAGGGCTCGGGGGTGGGGGGCTGAATACGGTCTGCATTGTCTCTGGGTATGATCTAAAACACACACGAAACAAAAATGGTTAATTGTTTGCAATAACATATATACAAATAACATATTGTACAAATAACATTTTGTTGATGACAGGTTTAATATTAACAATGGATATAATTTAAACAAAACTATTGAAAAAAGGCCAAATATGGAAGAGACCAAATATGGAAAATAGCTAATACTTACTTCTGCAGGAGGACCAAGGATGGAGAGAAGCACGGGGAGGAGCACTAGGCCATTCAGCACACCTATCAGGATAAGGGCTGACAGCACATAGAAGAAATACCTGGAAATACACAGGAGGAACTCATCATTAGAACACCTGGTAGACAGAGCTGCAGCATATGCAATGGGTCTACTTTCAGCCTGATGCTATATAAGTGTATTCAATATCAATTTAATTTCAATTTGCATTGAAAGTACCAAAAGTTACAATAATAATTATGGTGAAATCAACATGTTACTGAATTTCAAATACCTGAAGATTGCATGCAGTAAAGTTATGAATGTTAAAAAGTATACTTCAAAAATATTGTACATTAAACTTCAATCAATTTTGATAGATTTACTTTTTGTTAAGAGCTAAGTTTTAAGTCTAAGGACCTTCATGTTTTTTTGTTTATTAAGGTGAACCATCCCTGGAGGCATTTTTGTAATTCAATTACTCCGTTTCAATGATATATTTGATTTTTTATTTGGCAATAGAGCATAAGCTAATCATATGTTTCAGGGTACAGGCTACATAAAAGTTCACGGAGGATCACAACTGCACAAACATTCATCAACTATTTTTATAAGACTCTGGTTCATGTAAACAGACCTATCAAATGTAGGTTTTAGGACCTTTTAGCAAGCCTGAACTCTGGGATAAGAAAATGTGAGATACCAACAAGTTTGCTTCATTAATTTGTTCTTTGGTTCAAATTCATTTCAATGTAAGGATAAATATACCAAACTGGGTATCAGATCAGTTATTTAGTATGGGGATATCTTGTTTCTTTATTATCTGACTAACTTGAAACATTGATAGCATAGATATTTTTAATATTGAACTCTTTCATAAGTTTCATAAAATTTAAAAATGGATTTTATTTTATATAAACATTTTTCCACATTTTTGTTAACCTTTGAAGTAGTTAAATGTTGGGCATTTGTTATAAGTTGAAAGAGACCATGAATGATAAGAGTTAATGCCTACAGAATTCAGAGGAGTTCCTTTACATGGTAGGATCAAGCCCTCTAGCCCACAGGCCAGTACCACTCCAACTAGTTCAGGTTACATGCTTGAACAAACATAGCTATCTTGACAAGACCCATCTTCCCACTTGCAATCACATCAATACTATTCAGATTAAGGGCCACCATGTTCACAAACTATACAGGATCATGTATGATTAATTAAAATTTGGGATTTATCCAGATGTTGTTTAATACAGTTTTCAATTTGGCCCTGCTCATGTATTATGGTGATTACAAGAGCCAAAAGTGTTGCACTTATGTTGTACACAAAGTTGGGAGTTATTTATCCAGAAACAGAAGAACACTTCAGACCTCACACATTGGTGAAAAGTGGCGGCCATTTTGTAGATTTGATTCAATTTGATAAATCCTAGAAATTGAGGAAGGGTACCGCTCATACCATGTTGTTCAATGAAAGAGCATTAACATAATCCTCTTAAGATGGACCATGTTGAGTTTCCTTTTCAATATATGGGAAACACCACGGGGAAAATCATGATAAAAATAAAATTGCTCTCTGTTGATGGTAATTTTTATTTCAAATAAAGGGATAAAAATCTCCCAATGAATATGATTATTAAAGGAGGCAGACATGACAACTGTCCATTTTGCCTGTGTGGCTCAATCGAGGAACCAATCTGTTATCCTTGTAGTAGAGACTCAATGGGTCTGGCAGATTCCTAGACATAACTTATATAACATCATTATGCCCACTCAGTGAGATACAGGGAATCATTTAATCGAATTGCAGGGGGCATGAAACTTGATCTTATCTATACAATGAACAACATGACATGTCATCTCTCATCTTTTCAACCCTATCTAGTCTTGTAAAAGATGGATCTTGCTTACATTGTGAAATGATAACATATTTTAACTCAATAGTTTAACTCAGCTCAAATTCAACGGAGGGACTGCAACATACCACTATAACACTAGATAAGATAGTTTTTGAAAACTAGATTCTTTCAGTGATAACTAAGATTAAAGTTAAATCCAAAATACATTCTAGAGTAAACTCAAAGTGAACTGACATCCTTGTTGATTTTAGAAATGCTCAAAATCTCGAGATTTCTACTTAGGCACAGGAAATACTTGAGGAATGGTTGATGATTGTTGACAGTCATATAGGGAAAGTTTTCACTACTTTGGAATATGATAACACTCAAATACCAAAGTTGTTTCTGATTTATGCTTCATACCATTTCTAAATTTGAACATTTTCCAAAATTATCTTCCTAGGATTTAATGTAGTAATTCTCTAAAAGATACTCATAAAGATATATCTTATTAACTCGGTTTTTATCTTATAGCTAAAATAAAATTTCACCATAAATGAGACTAATGGTATCATACATTTGAATCATATAAAGCTTTTATCTAAAATGGATTTTATTAGTAATACATGGCCTGGGTGGTCTAAATGTGATCTTGGCATGCAAACAACTAGACTAGCCATCCCATTTGACAATTAGATAAGGTCTCAATATGGAGGTTCACTGATCCTATTTGAAAACCTCTCAACCCTAAAAAGCAAATGAATTTTCCCAACTTTTTATTCAGCCAAGTTTCAGATTATTGCATTAAACCTTTACATTGCACTGTTTGGTACAACAACTTTTGACATACCTCCAATAGGATACATTTTTGTAACAGATCATGAACTCTTCGTTTCACAATCGAGACAAGCTGAACATTGTATCTATCTATGTATGTTTTAGCAACACTATTTATCAAACACAAAAAGCATGTCTACTTTTTAAATTGAAAAATTTAAATGTAAATTGAAAAATCTAAACACCTGTATAAGTTTCTACATTTTGAAATAACTGTTATTAGCAGTTTATTGATCACTTGCATGCTTACAAATAATACATGACGACACATAAAACAAAGTTTCAACTTCGTGTTGACATCACTGCCATGTTAGACTCAAAAGAAAACTTGACCATTATAACGGATGTTTGTGACTAACATGGCCGCCAATGAGTCCCTTTACACCTGAATTTCCTAGCAGAGCGTGTCCTGAACACTGTTACACCTGAGCTTTTACCGCACACTTCATAACCAAATGTATGGCGCTGGGTGGTTAATAGCCCATCCCATACACACTGAATATAGGAGCATGACTTGACATCAAATCTACATTAGCCCGCCTCTTAGTTCCTTACAGGTGGACATTAATTCTGAACAAAAACTTGTAATAAAATATAGTCATGTCTACAAGAGAAACATTTATACATTTTCTACACTGATTTTAATCTGTCCTGTCTAGGTTCAAGTTCATGATCTTTTTTAGAAATGACAGAGATTTATAATTTGGCAAAGTAAGAATGCCAAACAATATACATGAATGAACAAATTTAAATCTTTGAACTTTACTTTTTCGGTTTAAACCAGAGTGTTTATTGTGGTCAAAATGTTCTACCTAAAACTAGATTTTTCGAGGGACCACAGGAATTTCTTCTCAGGAGGCCATCGGGTACATTGGCACTTGTCTTTTTTTCAACTGAACAGTTACAATTCTTCAATGGCATATTTTTGCAAGCGTAGAAATGTATTATATGTTTTATGAGAAAGATCCATTCAACAGAATTCTTAAATATTGCTTTAAGTGTGTTTATCAGGATTTGGTATTTATCCTCTTATACTCAAGTATTTCTCTATCTAAAGACGTAATTCTACTGAATTTCTTTGAATTTCCTCAAGGGCTTGCGGCGCTGAATATAATCTGAACTCAACAGGCTAGGGGATATTTTAGAAGTGCTGCTATAGCCTTCTAAGTTCTAATCCAGAACTGGATCCCAGCAAATCATAAGATCTCCTTCTCTTGTTTTAATTGAGCTAATATGTGTTCAATGACAGATCGGTAGAATGTTAGGAACATGGTACCCCAGAATGAAGATGTTAAAACACCGTTGATTCTACCTTAGCCAGGTGTGAGGAATTTACTCTGGGATTATTGGGAAATACTATCCCCATACATCTGCATAGAATACATGCTATCACACCAAGCCATTACCCGCTAGAATCTGTTTATTCCACTCTAACTGCCTTCTAACATCCACTACTTGTGTGGTCCTTATTGGCTAGACCACACACATCGATCGCCACAAGGTGAGACTAGTAGAGCAATATTTTCTAATTGAGCTAAAGTCACTCCGTATTGGTTCATTTTATGTTGACATATGGCCTGATATGGATACATGTTTCCTATTAAAAACTACACAATAGTCTATTATATTCTTTGGATAGTCTAACACAACTGGCTGAAAGTGACGTCTATGTGAATTGTTCAAACTACATACAATTCTTGAAATTGATTTTTTGTTTTTATTACTGATACATGTTTCTTTACAAATGCTACAGGTGTACTAAGATACACTGTTTTCAACGGTAAATATACAAAAATGTGGCATTGTCATTTATACATTGATCATTTATATTAGCTGCTCTCAAAGAAATCTGAAGACTCCTTGTTATTGTAAAAACTTCAAAATGTCATTCAAACTTTTACTTTAATGTAATGAATTACTTTCTAAATGACACATATACAACAGAATTATTGTCAAAATATTAGTTTGATTAAGATACAAAACACTGTGGTGTTAGATACGTTCACTTTGACAATTTTATTAAGAAGACCCACCGCAGTTGATTTGAGACTTATGTCAGATCAAAATTCAATAATATTATATATTTAGCTGATCTTGAGAGATAAATGTGTAATTTCATAGTCGCATCATACTCCAGGTATTTTATCATTTACAAATGGAATTTGCTTTACACAGCAGTAAACATGGCAGATGGATTTTCTTTCAGTTAATTTTGTGTCTAAAAAATATTTAAATATATCTCATGACATTTCTGAATTCTGAACATAACACTAATGCAAACTGATTGATAAGTGAAAAAATGATGATCAACATTTATAAATCAAACAGCAACATTATGTTTTTACAATTCCAAACATTAAATGAAACGATGGCCAGGTGGCCTTTCAAAAAAATGATGTCTTATCAAATATCTGAATCGCTTTTTTAACACTAGAATCTGGTTTGTGGTAACCTATCAGTGAGTTTAAATGAATGGTGTTTTTGAATTATAATGTTCTTAATTATTCAATCCTTCAGTTTAACACACAAAAAGACCAATAGATCTTCAAATAATATACACTCAACTTGTTCAACTCGACAGCCACAAAACGAACTATTGGTGTCTAACAAAATTAATTAATTTTTTATATTATCCCCAATATATTTCAATTTGTCACTGATGCTCAATCAATCTTTGGGACCCAAAAAAGAACGTAAAGTATTTGCACTTATTACGGAATAGTTTGAAATCAAAATGCTAACTTACCTAACTATGAAGTCAAACTCGGACCCAACGAGCATGATGACACCCAGCAATGTTGACACGGCACCATGCATGACAGGGGCCAACATGTGACGCAATGCTATGTTCATTCGAGCATTCCTCGTGCCGATACAGGTGATAAATGCGAGCAGAATATGCACGGTGAACTCGACTCCAATTCCCACTGATACTATTAATATAACCGCTGGTACGGCACTGAGTTTAATACTGACAAGCCCCATAAAGCCGAATAACTCCACGACAGTCATCGCTAAGACCATTACCTGAAAGTATAAGTAAAATTCATAGTTATATTTACATTTTACAAGTGAAAATTTTCAAAATCATCAATTTTCCATTTTAGAAAAATAGAATATTCACAACCGAAACTAGCATGTTGAGGCGGTTGTCGTGGATTGCTAAATTCATGACATTGTTAATGATTCTTCATAAAACATTTTTTACTCAGAAGCCAAGTCGTATATATGTGCACTTACCACCATAAATGCCGCCCATGGGTTCATCAGGATGAATGTTATCACCATAAAGACTGCGCCCAACACACAAATCAGTGACAGCATCAAGTAGAACCTTAGGTTTAAATATTGCTCCCAAAATGTGAATGGGATTCCACTAGGATAGGTTGGTAGCCCTTTAGCTACATAAGTGTCACATATTGTGCGGATTTGTTTGATTGTACTGGTTATTTCATCAGTGTCAGCCATATTGTTTAAATAAAATGGGAATTGTGCATAAGTTAACGGCTGCGACCTTGGAACTGAAATGAAAAAAAATTTATGAAATCATACACACAGATATAACAGATGTTAAAGATACAACCAGAAATATATTCCCATTTAAAGCAATAGCTAAAGTTCTTGTTTCATTATAAATGTTGGTTAAATGAAATGGGTGAACCAACGTGAATATTAAATTCTATCCATTATTTAAGATCTGGCCTAATCAGGCTGTCAAAGAGAGACTGTCACAGAGTATATAATATTCTTATACAGAGTATATGAGGCTCTCAAAACAAACTGATCTCATTGAAAGAAAAGGTTACTTACTTAGAAACTCTACTTCCTCCGCTAAGTGCAGCCATTCCCGAGGCACTGGAGTGAGGTCTGACATTGATGCATCATATGCTATAGCATCATTTGAAGTCCATGCAGTGAGGTAGATATAAAATGCGTCTATGTTAATAATCCCATCTGAATCGACAAGACGTGATGTCAGCGCTAAGTCTCTATTAATAGGGGAATCTGAATCTCCAGTTTGGATAAGTAGTTTATAAGCAAAAATTCCATCTTCAGTTGCATTGTCATACCAGCGATCTCTGGTTATACACCCTAACTGATAGTCCCTGTCAAAGGCCCGCTGTAAATCCAAGAGCCAGTTCCTCATTAATATGAGCCAGGAGTCGGGCAAACTCCCGTCCTCTTTTTTAATAATATTTTCCACACGTAAGAAAGCATTATGGTATTTATGTAACAATTGCTGATTGTTGGGATAGTCAAAGTCTTTAGTGACAGCATATATATGAAAAAAGCCGAAATATTTCGACTGAGTTTCGAGAAACTTATACTCTGTTGTTTCTCTGGGCACAATGTCTGTGAGTTCAAGGCCATCCTTGACTTTTGTAGTGCCCCACACCCCGAAGGCCAGTAACACGCTGAAGAGAATAATGACTAGAATCTTTACAGATGCTTTTTGAAGGAGAGGCCCGTACACCTTTTTGGCGAACCAGGTTAGGGAAAGCTTACAGCATTCTTGCTGCGTTTGAACACATCGGTCTTTACATGACTGATCCTCATCAGGAGTGAGGCACTGACGTGAGGATGTGGCTGAGGGGGGTAGGGATGATGGGGAGACGGCAGAATGAAATCTTGCACCATCATTGTTCTCCCCTACTAGAACTGTCACTGGGTGTACTCCATCTGGCCCCAGGGTGGTCATTGTGTTATGACGATGAATGTCTCTGTAGCTAGGGGGAGGGGATGCCTCACGATATTCTGGGGGTGGGGACTGGGGGCGTGACTGAAGCTCTATCACTCTATTTGCACTTGACCTGAAATGACAAAATTATGTTACATATTGAATTCAAACAAAATCTTATACACACTTAACAAAAGTCATTCATCTCCATTCATTTCACCTTTGAATTTAATTCAATACTGTATTTTCAACAAATCACAATATACATATAAGAACATGAACATAACAAACCCCTGAACACAAAAGGAGCCATTTTTGTAATTATGTTGTAGGAGATTCTATTTTCAAAGAGTCTAAAGATTTTATAAATAACATTTTGAATTGTACCCTTCAAAACAGCAGAATACATCTACTCTCTTCTCTTGGCGTCTCATTAAGTCCAGACTGATGATGGCCGGGTAAATGAGCAGTATGGAACCAAGGTTGAACAGAATCAAAATGGCTGCCTGGAAAACAAATATCATATACATCAGTCAATTAAAAAAATATTTTCAAATGAACATTTTTGCTATAAATAATATTATATTAATGGTGTTGTTTATACACCTGGCCTAGCTCTTGTACCTGATGCAAAAGAGGGAGGGTGGGGCACATAGTACAGTATAAGGTATATAAATGACACATTATATTTTTATCCAGCTGAAATATACTATTTACATATGTATTTAATTTAGTAGCTTAACAATCCAATAAAAATACATCATACATGGAAGGTTATCTGTTTAATATCCATTTAATTTACTTTATAAACTTGGTTTAACATGCACATGAAAGCAAGCTGAAACATACATGTAATCCTAGATGTACCCTATTCTGTATCTAACTAAGGATTTTATCTTCTCACAAAAGATACTAAAGTGAATAAATCAAAGCAAGCTGTATTTCTGGACATTTATATCATTAGAGAAGTTCTTTTTCAAGTTTTCACTCAAACCCGTATTACTTTCGCCTTTTGTTATCTTTAATTGCTGCAAATACTTCAAAGGAACCAACTGCAATTACAATTCGGATTTTACTTTCATTTATTTCACTCAAATTAGTTTATTTTTACATATGTCAAGTGTCCCACATAAAACAGTAGGACACAGCATACAAATTAGTTTTTGGAAATAAAAATTTAATTTCAAGTTTTTGCCATTTGATGATTTTGCATGTTATTCAGATTTAGGGCCAGTTTGTTTCTAATGTACATATACCCATGTATGATGTGTACTAATGCAGTTATATATTTTGCGCTGATGGTCATATTTTGGACTATTTCTATGGGGTGGTAATTTGGATGCATTTGTGTGAGTTTATATTAGTCTTAGTACATGGACTGAAAGGGCACCAGTAAGCTCCATTTAGTAAAAAAAATTGTAAAATTCAATAAAATTTCTTTTTATCAGTTGTTTTCTGAGTGAACAATTGAACAAGTGATCTTGATAGTTGCTCATATAGTATTGTAAATAATATAAGGAAAACATTTTGTGATTAAAATCTTATGACCAAATTTTATAACATAAAATAATAAAAATATGAAATGTTTTGCCAGCCCCAATATTAAATGAACTGATAACGAACAGAAAGACATGTTATAAATTCATGCGTGATAGTCATCTACACATACATAAGTTGTCCCTTTTATGACAATGTACTGGCGCCTTGTTCTTAGTGAACCCTTTTAGAGTATTCATGACTTGTTTAGGAACTTTGTAGTCCTCATAACTGTTACTCATATCCTCAGTGCTTATGGCTAATGCATGTTTTCGACTAATGTATGTTTTCGTGCATTCTTTATTGAACTTTGTTTGCATGGATTTGTATGAATATTTTTACAAATTGTGATTTTCTTGAAAACTATTTTCTCATGGCTTGTATGAAGGGAGAGCCGACCAGCCGTGAGAGGTGTTATATAAGGCTTATTTTAATTTATATAAAGCTTATTCAAAATTATATAAGGCTTATTCAATTGATCTAAAGAGATTTCAAGGGGTATCTCCACCAGGGCATCAGATCACATAACACAGCTATGTAACATTGTCCCAAGTCTTTCATTACTTGATCAACATTCTCAAAGAAAACCATCCTAACTACAGACCATCAAACAAAACAAGGATAAAAGAAATTGAATATTTAATAGATTTTTATTGATACTGAATCCTATTTCAGTTCATTTAAACAATGTGGCTAAAGCATCAAACTGGACCTGATGAATTTTAAACAGGTTTTATCCTAAGCATATGGATATTCAAATTGAGGTAAAAATAATTGATTTTAATCAAGTTGGTTGAAATGGGATCTGTTCGGTTGATTGTAATTGTAATTATCAAAGTGATTATATTGCGACCACCCAAGTTGTATTGAGACCTCCATATGCATTTCAGTTCTCTCCTAATGATGACTACTGTCATGTTGAAATTTGGTGATAGTGATTTAACGGCCATCTGAATCAATGTACACCAAACTGATCACCTGAGTGTCACCAATATACAATAAAATCTCTATATTTCACCAAAGGGTATTGTTTCAGCGCTGACAACTGAATAATTTTTTCCTCCAGTTAAAACTGCAGGACATAAGAATGTCAAACTAGCCATCAATTTTCACTTTAGTTAGTTTAGCGAAATGGGAATTTAAATATCGCCAGTGGGTAAAATATGAAGTTTCGTCAAAACTATTCTAGCCAACATAGTTAGTACTCCATGTCCACTTTTGATCTATGTTTTTAAGTGCTATAAGCCATTTACTTAAACAATTTATTCAACATTAATATTTCATCAATGTTAAAAAACCCGCTATGGTCAATGGATTCAAGTTTTCTTTCCTTGAAGCAAAGAATAACTTAGAACTGTACAGAGCATATTCATGAATTTCGCAAAACACTTTGAGCCAACTGAAAACATTATCTCAGTTCAAAACAACTTTAGATTTAATAGCTACCACCCAAACTAACGCATCAATTTCTTGGCTAAAAAGGTGAAATCCAAGTGATTTGTTAATTATTCATAGCACAATCAAGGAGTCTCTAAAGAAGACCACTTATCATCTTACATAAAAAAAAAACAATTCTATACCTTCAATCGGTTAACTTCTCTTATCACTTGAAGGAAAGTCAATAACTGTAGACCCAATATCATTTGAGATACTTAAAAAGCTAATCTTTGTAAACTTCAATGAGTAAAGCTCTTCCCTTAATAGCTCTAACTGGGTGGTCCAACAAACTGAATTTCATATTTTATCTGTTTGGCACATTCATAGTTGAAGTTAAGTTACTAAATATGCTCATACTTAAAACTTCATTACTCATTTTTATTTCAGTGCATTTCTCAAAAAATGTTTGTATAACCAAATGATAAAGTTGAATTTTTACGACAAGCTAAGATCTTTTAACATTTTCTTTTCGAACTGCTCTTGTTCATTCTTCTATTATAATCTATGTCAAATTAAGAAACTGATCAGGCAGACTTATTACAAATGGGAAATGGTATACCAGTTAACTCTAACTTATATTTAAACTCTAACTTATATTCAAACTCTAACTTATATTAAACTCAGATTGTAAACAATCAAATACAGTACATTGAAAATAAATTAACACCAGTAATTTAAATATATCTGTGTCAATACATAATTTGTCTTGTCCCGCCTCCACCCAGTCTGGTTCTGGTTGCTATCCAGAAGTACACCATCCATCAAAACAATCATCACTTACAGATATGGATGGCATTCAATATATATTTACCTACATCCAAACAAACGTCTTTTACATAATAGTTAGAATTACACAAATGGTTTAATTGCTTCTCTACAAATATTTTGTCAAAAAAGCAATTCAACCAATGATTTGAAGAGAACGTAAGACGTACCTGTAGAGCAAATGCCCGCAATGCTGGGATCGGAATTATGGCTGCCATGAAGAAAGCACACGCGTTGCTAAGCGATGTAATGAGAACACTGACTCCTGTTCGCTTCAGACATTCACCTGTTTGATCCTGGAAAAGTTAATAAATATTCTACATGTATGTGAACTGATTTGATTTTAATATATACATGTTTACTTGTTTCAATTTTAATTAATCATTTTTTCACAGTATATAGAATAGTTGGATCGCAATAATAAAAGCTTATTTGTTACAGGTTATATCGGTGCAGTATTTTTTATATTAATATACTTACTCTGCTTAAGAAATGCCAGCATTAAAACAAATTAGATTCGCATGATTAGAAACAGATATTATTAAAAACAGCATCTGCTAAACATTAAGGATTTCAGTAATGTGAGGAATAGAATTTGTGAAATCAGATTTTACAAAAGTTTTGATTTCAAACATAGCACTAAGTGAACCTTTTGCTATTTTGCATAAATATGAATGAAAAACACGTCAAGATATTGCATGCTAAATTAGACGAACTCATCATGTGCAATTATATTCACATGTGGCATAGTCAAGTTATGGAAAATGTTTTATATTACACAGGATTATCTAGTGGAAGTTAAATAGCAGTTTAATAGTAGGATTATCCCTTTGAATATCACATTTTAATCCAAAATTCAAAATAAATGCATGATCCCTACTTCCTTGTGCCTTAATTAAGAATACTATATTCTCATCATTGCTTAATTTTTTTGAGTTAACTGTTAAATAAGTTTGAATATGCAATAGGGGCAGATGGGACCAATCATACATGAGACACAATTTCCCTTTGAAGTGAACTTCAACTGTCATTGTGTTAAGCTTACAAGATTAACATCCAGCAGTCAATTTAATAAGCCATTACACCTATCATAAAACAGCTTGCTGGGCAAAACGTTATATAAAAATGAAAATTGTATAAATGAATTCTGATATGATTTTTCCACGATTTAAACTAATGCTCCTTTTACATATGAACATGGTAAAACATGTGAAAAAATAAACAGTAAAAATAGAAAGTAACAAAAACATTTGAAAATAAATCTTTAAAGCATACAATAAATGACATAAATACTTGACCAGGGGATGTCAGTTGTTCGGTTATTTCAGACTAGATGATATCTGACCAAGACAAATGTCAAAATAGCAGTTTTAACGTCCATTTACTGAGTGCCAGATTTTCAGAAAAGACAATTTAGATGATTAATGGCCATTTTGAAACAACCAGAAAACAAATAAAATGTGAACAGCCAAGTAAGGTAAAATTAAAAAATACGACTCTACCTACATTTATTGTACATGGTGATTATGACAGACTACAAATTCATTAAAGTTAAAACAAAAATTGCGAAATTTCACAATAATGCTTGCATCAATTCAGTGAAAAACTTTAAAATTTTGCCGCCTCTTAGCAACATAAAATATGGGTGCAAATGTATTGGTCATCGTGAGATCATTGGAAAATCTACAATTACTGGGATTTTTATTCACCCCCCTCCCTCACTTAAACACACATACTCCGTGTCAGATTCATCAAATCATTCACACTAAATTAACACAATTCAGGTGCTGCATATTGTATTTATGGCAACATACAAAACAGATACTGAATGTGAATTCCATACCTAAATAGCTGTATAAAATATATGGACAGAATGTCAGAGATTCAGGCCAAGAATATCAAGATAGAGCTATGGTCTGATCTGAGTGAGCTGTTTCTGCTAATCCAGACTTAGATTTGTTTCCTGAACCTATCAACTCCCAGAGGTACCTGACAGGTGGTACTAGTTCAGAGGATGCCTATAGATTACTCAGATAAAGCCTTATGAGTTGATATTGGTTAGAGATATATATATGGCCAGAGTCAGTGTGGTCAGGTTAGGCTAGTTTATATCTAAGACCACCTCGGAGAATCAGTTATCCTTCAGTATCTCAGATTCTAAACATATCATTTCTAGCCAGAAAACACAATCAGCTTTTACAAATAACCATTTCTTGATTCTTGAGGTACTTCTGTAAACATCTGAAGTTGTTTATAATTTGATAAAAGCTTAAACAAGTCAAGTCTCTAAAACCATAATCTAACCACTCTATATTTAACCAAGTTATCCAGATGTACACAGTTTCAAATTTTTGAAAAATTAATGCCTAACGTCAAGTTAAAGTGTTGTGCTTTGCTGTATCATTTGGCATCTTATGTCTTTACCACAATTACTGGCCAAGGGTCAAACTGACAGCAGATTCTTCAATGAAAGGAAATACAGCCATTTCTTAATGTTCCATGAACCACAAATATTTTAATATCTCCAATACAGTGTCCTCAAGTGTTTGGAGTTAAGGTTCATATCACACTTTCATACAAAAGCGTTCCATTAGATTCTCGCCACATTCACTCATTGGTACTTTCTACATTGACTTCATTCATAAACCTACTTAAACGACAACTGAATTTAACTTACCATATATGGTATGTCATCTTTACGACTGTTTTCAGCAAATGTGAGGGCGATAAGGAACATATCATCTACTCCTAATCCAAGGGCCAAGAAGGGTATTATCTGTAAAAACAGTTAAAATCGTATAAATGTAAGCTTGTACATATATAATGTTCACCATAATAAAGCTTCATATATATATTGAAATGTTATTTTCAGAAGGAATAATCAAAATTGATAATTAGAACTATTAGTACTTGATTTTGTTAAATTAGAAATTCTATGAAAGTGTAAAACACATTTTCTAGGGCCTAACCTGTGTTGTAGATGCGTTGAACCCTATCTGGAATACTGAACAAAGTCCGAGCCCTGCTGCGACTGACAACGCCACCAATAGAACCCCAGCGATACCAATGCCACTCTGCGAGTAGATGGCATCGTTCCACCTCAACAGTGATATAGCTGCATATACCAACTGCAAATAACAGAAAAATGTAGCATTTATAAAATATCACATAAATATAAACAATATGAGATATTCTGAAGTGTGAGAAACCAGGGGTACAATGAGGGGTGAAATCATGGGGACTTACCATAAGGCAGTAGCCGAGAGCAACCCTGACAATGCTGACCTCAGAAAACTGTTCCAAGATATCAGTAAGGGATATTGAAGAGAAAGAATAGACATTGTCCTGCATGGTCTCATTCAGTACCTTGTTAACAACCTAAAACACAGTAAATACATAAATGTCATTAATGTCAGTTTTAACATAATTGGGCTTTGCTACTTTAATTATTCTCCTGTTCTAATCATCATTGTAAATCTATCAACATTATAAGTGAAAACTTTATCGTTTTTGTAGCAATACAAACTTTCAATGAAGAGATCTTGTGATGGACTACCAGGTTCATATTTTATGATAACTCAGAGAATGAACACACTAAAAGATGCATTAATGTATCAGTAGAGCAATAAAGCAGACTGGTATACTTCAATATCATACAAAATCAGATAATTCTCAAATTAGGTTTCAAATAATAAAAAAAAGATGAAATATTGAGGGAAACTGAGTGTGGTCTAACAATTAGACACCACCTCCAAGTCTGATGGTACACTCTCATAATCATTAATAAAGATTATGATTCTTATTATGTGTCTGCTCATAATGATGTACTTCCCAAGCAGATAGCATCAATACATGATCTCCATATACTACAGTACATACTCTATTATCAAAATGATTCAAAACTGGCTGCCTGGTGAACAAAAATTGGCAATTCATCTACACTTCTTTCTTAGGAAGATGCAACCTATCAACCCCCATCATAGGATTAACAATATTTCTGTAGAGTTAACAGATTACATATCTCGTACCCAGTAGACTGTGACCCCCAACCACCTATTCTATGACAATGTGTAAGAGAGTATAGGAGAGAAAGGTGGGCAAAACTGGAGCTTGATGATTAAAGATATAAAACTTCACAAAATGTTACTTACAGAGGTATATTCTCTCTGCCACTTTTCCAGGACTTTCCTGGCAGCTTCCTGACTCCATTCTATGTTGTTGACTTTGTAGTCGTCAAGGTAATGCTCATACATATTTTTCTCTCCCATCAGCCGCACGATGGACTGAAGTGCCCCAGCCCTGCAACATATAAATTTAAAAATAAAATGAACAATATCAACCATAACAAAAAGAAATAATCTGAATATGATACTAATCAAAAAGCAATGTATTTGGTAAGGAAACATAGTTGGTCAATTTCCTTGGAAACTAAATATATTATTTTAGATATGAGTGGGAGGGATAGATAAAGCACCATAGCAACAGAATATTTCATATCTCAGGTTATTTGCAAGACTTCTATATTTTTACAGTGGATTATTATCAGTGAACCCAGTCTGATCAGCTGTATGTAAAAGTACTATGTTACATTACAGAAGACATGTTAGGTATCATGCCTGCCAGTTAAAGGACCAATCTACTCTTTTTGCAGTGATACAACACACAACACTTAGGGCCTACACCCCCATATGGCATATACACAATACAATGTACACTATTATATCATAAATCTCTATGCTTTTCACCCCCATAGAGGCACATCCATCTAAGTCACAAAATATCCAATTTTTTATCACACTTAACTTTCCAATGGTACATCTTTATTTCTCAACTGTTCAGTGTAAGAAAACAAGTTTGTAAAATAGGTTTTGTTTTTAAATGATGAAGAAATCTGCTTTTCTTCCTCTGTGAGAAACGTGAGTTATCACCACTGATCCTACACAGAGCTAAGGCCAGATAAGAAACAGAGTTTACACGGCCCCTTTAACAGTTTTCAATGTTGTTGCCCATGATTTTAACCTATTTCCTTATTTATACCCATTTATTATGGAATGAATAACATTCAATATTCAATGTAGATGTCAGAGATCAACTAGGAATGTAAACCCAAAGAATAAACATGTCACGGTGTAATTTATCAAACTTCTCAGCCTAGATACTACTACATTGCTCTTGATATTATACAAAAACAACAGCCAATTGGACATCACGCTATAGTAGTAGAAAGGATATCTTTGAAATTCAAATTCAAATCCTGTATGTATTCTACACTGCCAAATATATTTTGGATGGAATTGGATGTTCAATTCAATTAAGTTCCGGAGAATTTGCATAATGTCATTTCTCGTAGAATTAAAGGTTGCATCTATGAAATAAATAAAGTATTTTATCGAAAAGGTTGATACTATCAAATTCTCTTCATTTTCACATGTTCTTTATTTAATTTAATTTAATATTTCTTTTATTTATTGGTTTTCAGTGATATATCTTCTTCGTATAGATACAAAAGTCAGGTCATGTTAAGAAACTAAAAATTGTTAATAAGCGAATATCAAATGCAATGGATTTTCTGATAATGGAGAGTTTGTCAAAAACTTTGAAAAAGTGAAAACCACCACCTACACCACACATATACCACCAAATAGGATATAGCTGACCTATGTTGTGGGAGGAAGAAATATGGACTTTAATTTACATGTTATAAACACATTGAATTTCTCTGCAAGGGATTTTTCTAAATTGTTTATTCTTTGTGGCACATGACAAATAAATATTGAATTAAGTTACAATTTTGCAAAATAGAAACATTCATATCTCTCGGATTTAATAATCAAGTATGATTCTTTACACGCAGGTGCTTGGCCTTTGCATCTTGCGTTCTGTTTTACATGCCATTTGCCATTCCACTTTCTCTTTAAAAGAAACTTATGTCACGTTATCTGGGTTATTACCCCTAAAATTATCCTGCCAATTGCTATATAGGCAAAATCAGCCTGACTGCATTCAACAAAAAAATATTTTTCTTTTGGTGCCTGAAGTTTCCACATGTAACTAGTTCATTCTGTGTTAAACTAGAATGTACCTGATTGGCACAAATACTCTTTTAAGTCTTTACAACCAATATTACATACTCCCAAGAGTAAGCACGCACAAACTGAAACTCAACAAACCAACAAAAGTGGACTGTATTTCCATTCTATTAACTGTAGGTGGGCTTGGCTGATATCACTAACAACTTGAATGAGAATGATGGAGCGATAGTTTACCTGTAGCCACTATCCGTGACCTTTATATGCTAGCTTCACAGGCGCGTATTTCATTTATGAAAAGTAAACATTAGAGTAAGCCCAGCATTGTGGGACTGACAAACAGGCAAAGCCTAAAGATAACACGAGGCTCTATAACTGACATACACTCTACTTAAATTGTATCAACTAGTAATACTCCCAAGATTATCAAAATTTAAAATTCAATGAAGGGTTGTAAAATCACAATTTGCTGTTAAGTTTGAAAAACTTTCTGCTTTTCATTCAAGAATTCTTCGCAGTGGATGTTTACTACCCGTATTGATATCTACACGCTATTCATTTCTGAATGTTTTATTTGCACTGAAATTTATGAGAAAGTAAACCATTGAAAAATATATTTTGTGAATGGGGTAGACAAGTTGTATTAATGCAGAGGGAGTGCGTAAACACCTGTGTAGGAACATCAACCTTCTACCACACACTGTTACTAACAGCTATATACACAACACATCACAAACAAGCTAGCTTCCTATATCAGGAGGTTTACTCTCATTCAAACCCCTCTGACAGATCACTATCTGTTACTCAGACAATCAATTCTGGAATCTCTAGTCTATGTTAAAAATCCAACTTGACATCCGCATTAATTATGCTGGACAGGCCACACTCTCCTTTAGTCTCTTATGAACGGAGAATATTATGATTTGAATTAAAACAACTTGATATGGTGAAAACTGTCACCTACCTGAATATGTAGCCATTTTTATTCTTCTGAGCGCCCCCTATAATGAGGTCTTCTTCCCAGTGCATGTATTTAGAGGCAAACCCACTACATCCCCCAGTTACCTCTGACCCAACATTAGGGATCTGAAAAAATAAAAAATAGAATTTACGATCAAAAATATTTATAATTGATGTTTTATTATATTGTACATCAAAATTTAATAAATCATACATTGAAAATTCTTAGAAACGTTTTTCCCAGTTTTATAGATATTCATCCCTTTTTAAAAAAAAACATTGAAAGGAGTTTTCATATCTTGCTATGATATACAATAGGATGTTGGATTTTATATGTGAAGGCACTGAATGGCAGTATTCATTGACGTAGGTCTTGTGCCCTCTTCACAATAAAGCGTGAATGTCCATCATGCCTAAGATGTGAATGAAATAAGCTATAGCTTATAGATTGCTCAATGCCCCAGTCAATCAAACGCCTGTCGAAAGCTGTCAAATATGCACCGATTGACCGGGAAGCTTCATTGCTGAATGTTTAACAGAAGTATACATGCTGATTTGTTGTTTATCACAAATATTAAGAGATGTGTTTCGAAACAATTTGAATCTCAAACTTGTATGATATAGTTATATATATACATTTCCAATCTCTAATTTGTTTGTTATAGTAAACTTCCCTTTAGAGGGGAAAAGCCCCAATTTTCTTACCTGCTTGTCGTGATAGTTAGGAGCTGTTTGGGGACAATCCTCATCTGTGGGATTTAGACAGGGTTTTTCTTGATATGCACTTGTTATCCCAGCCTGAAATAACCATAGGATAAATTAATACACCATATGATATGTGATATATTTCATTATATACTTGAAAATAAATATTAACCTAAAATTATAGATAAATTGAAATATAATCATCATTTGAATAAGTTGTATTGCAGATATACTGACCCTTTGTAACATTTCCTCTATTGTATCAGATGGGAAGGGGATCTCTAAATCTTTCAGTTCCTGCACAAGCTGTTTAGGGTTCAAGTTGGCCCATGTTATACGGTTCATACCCCTAAAAACATAACATGAAACACACCTTAGAATAACATTGATTTCAATGGCGTGACAAAATTGAAATGTATGATTTGATTGATCAAGCATTGATCAATTCAGGGGAGCATTATAAATAAGAATGGTGTGATTTTATAATGCTGTGTACCACACAGTGGTACAAGAACACCATAGCACTAGCTCAACCAGCCTCATTAACTAACATAAAAATAACCTCTCTTACAATTTGTTTATTGAAGTAACACTCAAGGGACAAATAAGAATATGATTTTAGAAAATGGCACTCACAAAGTTTTATATAATCAAAAGGAAGTATGGTTGTTCTGATAATGTTATATGTAGAACTTGTTTCATAGAATATTGTTCATGTTTTAGGGAGAAATAACGAATTGCTTGCAAGAACTGGGCCACCAAAGATAAACTATGATCTGTCTTTTCTTTAAAGCTCACTCTAATCATATTTATTTTTCTGCCTCTTTATAAATAAAGCCTTAATGAAACATCTGATTTCCTTGCATTTCTTCACTTTATTGTGTTTCTTCATCCTCATCTGTTATTCCTCCCCCTTGTTTTGATTGATTCTGTTAGGCAAGGAGGCACATTCCCCGCTGTGATATTTTATTCCAAGATTTGGAGGTGAACCTTACACCATACTGCCTAGTTCTTGCAGAATCTGGTTAGAGTTCCCGAACACAAAACATACCTTCAAGACATCTACCTCAAATAGCACACCACTGAATTCTAATTTAAAAGTAGATCTCTGGCAAGTGCAGAAAATAAAACATTCACTCTTTTCACCAGTGAATTCAGATCTAAGGAGTTCCAACGGTTCATGAATCAATTGACAACTGCTCACTCCAAAAGTCAAATTAATTAACTAAAATGACAATATACTTTCATTTAATCCCATTCTTTCAAGCTAAGATGAAACGTTATACTGATTTTGAGATTGTTGCCTATGAATGTTAAGTGCATTGCTTAGTGGCTAAGGATGCCTGAGATATGGGTACCACCCAGGCCAACACTTCAGAAGTCCGCATTCTTACCAAGTTTACTGCCAAATCACAAAATAGCTGTCTAACCATCCACTTCATTATGTTATGCCCCCTTATGGCTGACGTAGATTCAGAATTAACTGATAAACTTATAATATAACAAACTAACTTCTTAGGAATTAATTTTTTACATTCATTTCTAGAACAGCTTACAAAATTGATTAAATACCTATCTACAATTCCATATTTCATTACATTTATGAATAATGAGAATGTTATGCCCAAAGTTCATTTACTTAAATAATCAAATCACATAGCTCAAGTCTTTGTCTACAATAGACTTTTTCAAATGCAGCAAAGCTATCGTTTCCTGTTTTATATTTAAGAATGGCTTAATTTTGATGTTCAGCAACTGATTTTCTGTATGTGTGTTGACATAGATCTATCCAGGGGGATTTGAACATAGATTCTCATATGATTAGCTTGTATGAGGAAGTGAACAAGCATGTCTAAAATGATCTTATCGTGCATCTTACCACTTTGGGAAAGTTGCATGTATACATGGATGATCATCTCAACAGTGAACAAGATGTTATATAACTGGTATACAGGCTACAAACAAGCCAAGTGCAGTGTTTACTGCCTATATAAACATCATTAATATATGGATTCTAACACCAGTTAGGGTCAGTAGGTGTTCCGTGGATCAACATTTCGCAAACTATTCACAGCAGACTCAGTCAGCGGCTGGCATTTGCCTTTGATTTACTTATTCAGCCTGACCTACCAATGCAGTTGATTCTACATATTCAAACACTATTCAAATCGGCCACACAAATCAACTTAATCATTGATTCTTATGCAGTCATTTAATCAGTTTATAATTCTAGTTTTGCTGATAACTTATTTAATTTTATACTCTTTTCCATTACCTATTTACCAAATGTGTGAAATTATTGCAATTTATGATTTTTCCATCTCAACAGTATGCTTCAATGGTAAGATCACTATATGAGATGAACCCATGTACAATTAAAACCTTCTAAACCAGATGGGACAAATTTTGAGACAAATTAGAGTAACATTCCCTTGAGTAGTGAATGGCCACCCAATGTAATATCTTTCAAATTAGTCAAACGAGACACTGAATCTGTTTACCCCAATAATACAGAACCAAAGGCTGAAGTCAGAACCTGGCCTGTATAAAGTACTGACAGATATGTGCCAGCCAAGAGAGACCTACTCTATCTAGGTGCATGGTAAAAGGCTTTCATTTCAGCCAGGTTGCTCTTGAAGTTATCACAAACAATAAACCAACCTAAGTTGTTTCTAGGAACATGTTACAAGGTCCCGAAATTTAACATTTGATTTCTGGAGGATTTCCTCAGAAGTTGATTAGTTCAATGTTGGTGGTCTCACTGAGCTGATTTGTTTACATATTTACAACATTGCAGATCCTGGTTTGTATTAGAGGAGATTAGGCCTTAATCTGCTTTCTATATAATTCAAAGATGGGATTCTGTGATGTGCTAGACATATCAATAAACTGGAGGAAGGAACTTTATTTTTGTTAGCATATACAATAATCCCATTTTGATTTGACTGAAGGAGTATACTGATTAACAACAACTTATGAAACACTCAGCCATCATTTTAGGATCTTTATATTTTTTCTCTTTAAATACCTCTTTAAGATTTATGTATAAGGTCTTCTCTGGCCATATTGACTGAGCAAATAATAAAACATATAATACAATAATTATCTCGTCAACATCCATTGAGCAACACATTATCATATGTCCTTCAGACTAATATGGAAAAGAAATTTGGCAGTTTTTTGTGGTTTTGGTAAAATCAAGTAGGTATATTTGAATGTCCATAGAGCATATATGGTACTTGACCTGTACATTGCAGGTATGCTGAACCAAGGGGGTCCTATAATGACCAAGTAAAGAACAAAGGTTCATCCCAGGTTCAATGTGATTTATTTTTTCTGAGCCCTTAAATTATTTGCAAACAATGAATGTGTATAATGAATCTCTATGATAATTTATTACGTACAAAAGCTGACTTATGATATATGCACTAAGTATTTTTTATATCTTGCACTTTTAGTAGATTCTTATCAAGTGTTGATGTCATTCCGCAAGGGGATACTTGCACATAGCATGAGACAGTGTCCATTTCAAATATCAAATTAGTCACTCGTCCTATTCATAAAAAATAATTATTTCAGAAATTGAAAGTAATTTTTCTTTTTATGAATATGCTGTGTGTAGTTAAGTCAGTAATGATCTTCAGTGAAAAATGAATATCAACTTAAGGTATAAGAAATATCTCATTATAACAGTGCTTTACAAAACTCAGTTAAATTGTAACACGACCAAATCTAAGGTGTTTCACACAGTTGAAATCAGTCATATGATCAGAACTGACCAATCATATGTTGCTCACACTAGACAAATCAGTGGTCAGTGATGCAGTATGTGCCTCCAGGCAAGCTCTTTGCTGAATTATTGTTCTACAGTTGGATTTATTGTTAAAATAGTGCGTTCTATACAATTAGACCTGGGACACACAGATATCTATATGCTGGTTTTCTATTGAATTTTGTTCAGTGTTCAACAGGCCAATATTAGCCCTATAATTTCATATGGACTACCTGAGGATACCTATAGGGTTTGTAACCCATGTCCTGGATTTTCTTTACTACCTTCCAATAATAAATTAATTGAGGGGCTGTATTTAGTATTAACACTTTTTGTGTAAAATCTAGTTGAAGATAACCAAGCAGTCTTTGGTCAGGCAGAATGTAAAGATAGAATATAGACATGAATAAAACAAAATCCTCTCTTATAGCAGGTGGAAATACTTCACTTTTTATCCTCGTTTCACTTTTTGAACAGTAAACTGAAGCTTATAAACATAACTATGTGTGTACTGAAGAGTTATGTGCTCTTGATTTCATTAAAACCCATGTGGCCTCACACGGTGCATTCAGCACGACAATTATATGCCTCAAAAGTTTTTTTGCTAGTACTTCCTAAATACATTGAAAAATATAAAACCTATATAAACAAGGTGATTCAGAAAGGTCTACTACTTACGGGATGGCTATGGGGTTATCTGGCCCAAGCAGCTTGCTTCCTTCCCAAAAACAATCCAAAGGAGTAATGATGACGCATGGCAATACATTGTCTAAAATCTGAAAAAAACAAAGGGCAATATCATCATACATGTACATTAAAAGTCAATGCATTCAAAATACTACAAACAGTAATAACATTTCACGATACAATACAAGCTATAATTTTATTTTGGTGTATTGAACTAAAATATTTAAAAAAACACTCAACAAGTTACAAACTATTTAATATGAAGTAAACTGGTCCAATATTGCAACTCCTTGGAGTAAATGGCTACCTTATATGCATAGCTTTGAAGTTGAAAATAGCCTATGTTTTCTGAAAGGGTTATCAGGCCTTGAATCATCAGCCACCATACTTTACAACTATGATTTCCACTTTGATACAGTTCAGTGGATATGAAAACTCAATGTTGAACGCAAGTTGACGTTGTTAAGATTTGCCAAAGCATATTTTATTTAAAATTGTACTCACACTATCTAATAAATGGTTGTCGAATCTAGGAAAAGTCATTGGCATACACAAATCTTTGAACTTCCATTTTCTGTAAAAGAATAGTAATATTTTGTTTATTGATATTTTATAAGTTTTAATACTTAACATTAAATACTTCATTTATTCTTTCTTTAAACAGTTGATCTCATCCTGAGCTAAGATGTTGGAAAAATATTACTAAAATACATTTTTTAGGTTATGATGGTAGACAAATATTTACTAAAATACATTTTAGGGATATAACATATTACCATAGAAACTGGTATCCTTAAAAATAGATTTCAGAAAGATAACAAAACCACACACTCAAGGAATAGGATCACCTTAATGAATGTGAAACTAGAGTGGTATTCATCAGTTCTGAGCATGCACACCTCATTGGTATTGACAAGTTAGTTTTAGTTTGGATTTAAACACATACTTACATATCATACATATCTACAGTAACTTTAGTGGCAGCTTCTACAGCTTTTAGATGCAGCCTAAATGATTCAGCTGATAATACATTGGTTCCTAGTTTGGGTGTTTGTACAATTAGTTGGCTAGTATAGCCACTGCCCTCCCCTAGCTTTTCTTTTGTATATGCTAGTTCTTTTTCTAACCTTCCACCTGCTGCAAAACACAAACAAAGATATCTCAATGTTAGATTCAAGATTAAGTAGTTTTGTATATATACAAGGCAAAGAAAGAGTCAATACATCATTTTTTGTTTCAATTTTGATGAAGTAGGGAGTTGTACTTAACAAGGTGCAAGCTTTTCTGTAAGTTTTACACTTTAGTTTATCACCACTAATATTTGTGTGTATGTCTAGAGAAACGACCCTGGCTCCAGTTGAATGATAAATGTTATTCTTACATAAACACCATGTCATATAGGCTAGCATTTAACATTACAAATTTTATCACAAGAAAAAAGCCACAAAAATGTTGGAAACCTATGTTCAGTAGTTAAGGTCCCTTGTGATTCTGAGAATAGATGTGAAGCTTCACAGGGCAAAGTGAACGTAAATGGAGCAGCACACTTCCTTGAAAGGTTACAAGGGGTCCCTTTAGTAAGCTATAATTACAGTTTTCACTCGGGATACCAACATCCATCATAAGTGCACTAGTTTGTACATAGAAATCAGTCAGCAATCATTTCTTAACAATACCATCAACAATGATTTCATTTTCATGGAATTTTTTGAGAAATGGGAGAACACCCCTTTCTACTTGAGCAAGGCAGATCTGTTCAGTTTCAACAAGTGTGGTTGCCGGGCAACTGACATCAACTAATTAGTATCTGGGTTCTCCCCAAAGTTTCTATTATTGTGCATGTATTTTAGCTGGGTGATAAATTGTAGCCTAAGCCTCCTACAGATTTCTCTCGCCCAATCACTTTATATATGATTGATGAACGGTTATCATTACAGGGTGAAATAGATCAATCGGTCTGAATCAAAACATTTTTCACATTTTTTTAATTGCAGATGTTCTTTTCGAGTTGTTTAGCAGGTTTACAAATGAATGGGAGGTTTTACTCTTAATGTAAAATTGAATGGAACAACATGCCAGTATTTTCCAAATATAGTAAATAATCACATGCATAGGTAGATCTGAGTATTTACTTATGGAACAATGAATTAATTTTATGAACACATTATTTTGAAAAATAAGGAACAAAAAATCCTAAGGCAAAACAAGATGATGAAGATGACCCAATTTATTTTAAATACTTTAAGAAAATTGGAAAAACAATGTTGTGTAATTGATATAGAATCAGGAACAGACAGAACAATTGATGATAAATATTCCTTATAAAATGAACCCATGAATATGAGAATGGCACCATGTTTATATTCCACTAAACCTCAGTCAACCTCCCAGCCAAAGGTTCCCCTAAAATCAACTTTACTGTAGACAGTCAAACTTACAATAATAATTGAATAGAGGATTTTAATTCTTGGAGGGACAAGTTTGTTTGGTTGTAAGGAGTCTTGACTAAACACAGATGATAGGGGGCTTAGGTGTTGGAACCTGAGGAGCTTATTAATGGCTTAAAACCCCTAACCCTAAACACAAATAACACAGCATACATAGAGGGTTTTACCCTTACTGTATATATCACATTGAATTTGAGTTTTAATTGCCACAAAAGTTGGGAGTTTCCCAGCCCACCTTGGATCTCCCATCTTTATAGAATGATGCAGAATTCCTAATTCGAATCTTAAATGTCGAATATAGCTTTCCCTGCTTATCGGAGAAGTTGAGTTTTTCATGATCTTCATTCATTTTACTCAATAACACAATTACCGTGGCAATAAAAAATGCACCGAATAGAGGCTGAAATCTGACAGATGAGATGGGGCTATTTATATGTTGATGCACTTGTATGTGTTGGAAAAGGTTGAACAGCCATTATACGAAACTGTCAAGAAATTCTATACATCCTAAAAATTTGGCCCACACACATTAAAAACACCAAAGCTATGATTCAAACTGTCTATTTGTTCTAAGTGAAAATGAAAGTTTCAAGTACTGAAAAAATGAATTTTCCATTACAAATATTAAAAACTTGCATATTACATATCTGTGGTTAAAACTACATGTTCATGTATAATATAGTTTCCCTTCCTATATGAATTTATCTCATGGAAAAAGTTCAAAATATATATGTAAATACCAATTTAATTATTCAAAAAAGCAAAATAAAAATCATATTACTTTCTCACTTGATATTTCGCAATATTGTACAAATTGTTTGATTTCAGTTTGAGTGCAAACTATGACATAGTCACATATAGCAAACACATGCAAAGGACATGGTCAACTGAACCCTGTATATGCCACATCTAAGTCAATGAAAAAACATGAACTTATGTTGCTTTAAACAAGCAGTATGGAAAATTTCCAAAATATTTTAAATTAAAAACTTGCCTGTAACAAAGTGCAACTATGTTATAAAATAGAGATGATCTTTAAATTATTTGAGAATAACTTTTTTTATAAAGTTTCAATTTTAGATTTATTTTGGGTCATTTTTCATCTACATTTATCCATTATATATACAGAAGAAAATGTTTGAGGATTGAATCTACCAATTGGCTCTAAGAACGAAGAAGTAGAAATATAACTAAGGAACAAAAAATTAAGAATTCAATGAAAAATAATTTTAGGGAGTCTTGTGACACAATGTCAGTGGCAGATGTATTTAGAATTAATATAAAAATAATTCAAAATACATTTCAGCTTATATTATCACAAATACATAACTTGAGATAATGACACCCCAACTCCTTCAGAATGTCACTCAGAATGTAGATTGCACAACCATATTTGGGCAAGAGCATTGAACTATTTCTACATATCAATAGGTTTAACTTAAAGCAATGCATTGTAAATTTTATTTTGTTGAATTTATTATGCAAAGTCATGTTTTGTAAAGCCACAAAGTCAGCCACCGTGACTCTAATTCAACATTATGAAATGAGAGGAATTTAACAAAGCATTGGCCAATGGGTCACTCCCTATAAATTGGGACACCAATAGAAACGTCATTTGGATTCATTCTTAATTGCTGAACATAACGTATGTACTTCATTCATATTATGCTACATACTTTCATTATGACTCCCAATATATATATAAAATATAATGTAATGATACCATCAGTGATTCAGTGTGCTTGGCATGGAGCTTGCTAGTTTTCGGGATCTGTAATCTTAATTCTCACTTGTTTCCTTCTACCATTCAGCCATATTGAAGACAGATAATAAACCTTGCTTCCAAAAACACAATTTCTAATTCCCCAAATAAAGTATTTCAAACCTCATCTAAGAAGAGATCAGCCTCAATAAATCCTGGTATGATATTCAATCTTATATTTTGTGAAGTAAAATATTTAGAACTTTTATTTTTAGATCTTTGAATTGAGAGGAAGTAGTATGGCAAGGGACAGAATGCATCCTGAGAGATTGGTATATCAGAAGACCTGCTAACATAGGCTAGCCAATAAATAGGTAAGTAGACCACATGGAGGTCTTCTGATCTTACACTGATGGAGTCTACTGGACTGACCCCAAACAAGATGCCCAAGTATTTGAGTTGTGTCTAGGATAAGGGGTCTCGATATTTGAAATCCTTAGTTCTTTACAAGAGATGGGCAAGTAAGGGCCAATATGTTCGAATGTGTTCTTATCTATTTTATACTTTTTTGTTTCATGAGACCTAAAACTGTTTGATTAAAATAAGGATAAAATCTGATACTATCCAAGCACTTTCAGTTGAGTTTTAATCAACCATTTTAATTACCCATTTAGGTAAAGATATAGAATTGCTGGGCAAACACAGTGAAGTGGAATTAACCACCGCATAGTTTGTTTAATATTTTCACATAACACTTATACTACAGTGTTCAAACAAAAAAGTGTGTAATTCCAATATTTTAGTATTTATAAACAAATCAACATATGTAACATGCTTCTGTAATAAAATTTACAAGCAACTATTTAAATAACATGAAAGTGTAGGATTTGGTTATTAAATTCGCAAAGTATGCCATATTTGACCTTCCGGGTTAGAACAACTGTATACCAAGATGAAAATATGGATAGGTAACGAACCTGTATGCTATATACACATACATCTGTACAACGTTCACAAGTGAAAGCTGTCTCTGGCAAACAGGATATTTCTTAAAATCAGGATACCTGCTTGCTATCTATTTTAGTTGCTATAGAAACTCACCTTCTACCCATAGCTTGTTGACATCTGTTTCTATGGTTGCAGTTTTTAATCCAACACAGCATAATGACAGAAGGAGTAATCCAACAAAAAGCACCTTGCCGCAATGTTTTTGGATGCAACATCCTAAGTTAAATAAGTGTTTCTGTAATGTTCCTCGTAATCTAAGTGCACATGTATTGCCAAAAGCTCTCCCCTGGAATATACATGAAAAATAAATAAATAAGATGACTTCAACTTTGTAATTAATCTGTATACAATACAAGGAAAAATAGCAATTTAAATGATATAAAGAAATAAGAATGTACAGTCTGTGCATGTTTTGTTTTCCTATTTTATAACTTTGGGGTTCTTGCATGTGTGGACATAAAACTGAAAATCACTTTCCCTATGACAAGATTACAAGGAAAATTTATAAATATTACTTTTGAAATTAAAAATTATTAAATTTCAATTTGAACTGAAACAAAATTGTTCAAAGAGGTTATTTAGTACAAAATCTGTAGTTTATCCCCTGTAGATAATCAATTTTAAGACACACTTTCTTTTCTTTTACTCTTAATAGTGTGCATTGTTGCCCTTTATAACTCTTACACCAAGTTCAATTTTGTATGAAAATTTCACCTAAAATGATCCTTTAACTTCATTACTTTGAGTTCAGATATACATTTTTATCCTGACCAAAAACTAGAATTTTTCCATCTCATACAATTTGGGGATCTGACTGAATAAAAATGGATATATGATACCCTAGGTGCTATTTACATGAGGAAATCCCCCTGACTTTCATCCGATTTCATTTACAAAATTTTGTGTATTTTAAATAATGATCCCCATTCAAGTTGCTTGTAAAATATTGATCTTACCAGACCAAATCTGAAGTAGGCAAATATTGGAATGTAACATACAGAAGTAACAATATTAAGGTGTAACTTGATCAACTAAAATAATTTATGCTTGACAAATAAAGAATGTATTTCAAGTAACAGGATTTTAGCAGATTATCCCATAATCACATAAATTTCATCAGTTAAGTAAACAAAATCAGCAAATCTGAAAAAGGATCAGAAATTACTAGACATTGCGCCAGTAAAAACAATGTGACAGATATATCACATAAATGTTCTCATAAAATAATTTTTGATGAAACTCAATTATCAACTTTCATCAACTTTTAAAACTTTTTTTAGTTTGACCTAGTTTTAATTGGATTTTTAACCTTATCTAAATCACCTGCTTCCCTGCTTTATGTGACAAGACAATGATTGCACAACATGATAAACACATAACATACTTTACAAATGAATAATGCGGATCATCATTAGAAGGATTAACATGTTAAACAATCTCTAAAAAGTGAAATAGCTGTATCCTTTGGAGCAGAAGTCCTATGTTAAGACCCCTTCTAATAATCATGTCGGTTGATAAATGTAATCATAATTACCTTTTTAATCTCTCTGTATGCAGTTTTAGCATCGACCCAACTGGTTCTTGTTAGTAAATCCGAATTTGAGTCCAGATTAGGGTCTTTTGGTTGTCTTGTTGTCATAGTCGGACCCTAATAAAAGATAAAAACGTTGATGATAAATTCAGTCGATGGCAGCCATGATCTTTTGGATGCTGGGTGGTCCATTAGTTTTCTTGTAATTTCTCTTCATCGATACCATTTTTTACTCCAAAACTTTTGCCAAACTTACCTCCGATGATCTATAAGCTGGGTGAGCCCAGCTATCCATGTTTTGGAACACATATAAACTCCTAAATTAATGGATTCTTTTCTACTTTGTATTTTCCGTTCTTCTCTTGTGTACGTTATCCGAGTACTGAGGATCATTTGCATGGAAGCTCCGCCTCCTGTCTTGATTGATGGTTCAACCTACTCCACTCTGATTGGCTCGAACTGACATTCATAGCCTTGAACAGCTCACTTACATTAGTTGCTTAGCAACATTTTGGCTGGTGGAGAGACCACACAAGACCACACAAGATGGGTAAAAAGCCTGGAGGCTTACATCTGACACAGCACAGCCACAATCACACAAAAACCAACTTTCACAATAACATATTTTATTATCTTTGCAAAAGTTTGGTCAAATACTCGGTTTAATCATAGCATCTTATTATGTTTCATAAACGAAAAGACCGTTCATTCAGAATTAAGGGAAACGCATAATAGGCAAAATCAGAAAGTACAAACTAAAAACAAACCCCTAAAATACCCAGAAATGTGTTCAACAAAGTTTGTCGCATTTACATCCCAACAATGATATATAAAGGATAATTTAACGAAATTTAATTATCACGTCGGAAGTTTTGAAATAGATAATATGGGCACAAAGGGCAACTTTTCAAAAACAACAAAACTAAGTTTTGAATCATATGAAGCTGTAAACCATATCAAATACCAATATGAAATGCAATTATAAACATGAATCACATTGTCATAAAATATATTGTGAATGTTGAGAAATAGACCAAAGTAATCAAAAGAGCAAGCCACGTTGATTCATTTGAGCATGCCACAATATTTCTCGAGCAAATTCTACATCAAAAGATTATGTTCATTGATATACGTTCATTGATTTAACATCCTGATGATCTTAGGTCTATTTGGTAAATATTGTCATGAGCGCCTCTATTGGTAAACAAAGTAGAGAATAGTAAATACCTACTATTTGTATTTGCTATGAAATATTTCCGCGTGGAAATATTTCGATCTGATTTTGAAAACTGTAAATTGTCAATGACTTATCTCAACAAGACTCTGAATTTTTACTAAACGAATTATTCCTTATCGAAGGAAATAACTAGATTATCGCATTTGTATTGGAACATCTTTCAGTATGCTGCTCAGTCGGCTTCCGGAATCCAAGTTTCCGAATTCCTTCCTCAACGTCAAACTATTGGTATCTTAATTATCCATTGCCATTGTGGGATCCCTTGGAATACTCAATAAAGAGGGACTCTGATAAATCAGAATGGTCCATTCCCGTAGTCAGCAGCTTTTATCACTGACAAGTGGGGGATGCTGAACCTTGAATGCACACGAAATTGCCAATTTTGCCAAACATTTTGCCTAAAATTTAATTTTGCCGTTATTTTTCAATTTTTCACAATCTGGACACATTTTCAAGCTAAACCAATGTTGCAGTCAAAACGGTACCATTCGACATTCTCCTACTTGATAAGGGCGGACACAAACGGCAGATTGGTGTCGGTCCATTTGTCATTACTGTTTTTCATCCATGGTAACTCTTGGTAATTTCAATTCGACATTGTTTGTTGTAAAAAAGGTGAAGTGACGGTTGTGATAAGAGTGACTGGTCCTTGCTTTTGTTAAACTATATTTGCCAGTGTTTGCGGATTTCTGGATCAAAATGGTAATTGATCCGTGTTTCAGTTTTAGGTGATCTTTAGATATTTGTCCAGGCTCTATCTAAAAACATACTTCCGGAAGAAAAATAGCAATTGTAATCACTATTTGGAATTTACTTGTTTAAATGTTAGTGTGATCTAGCGAGCTCAACAAGCGTGTGTTATTTTAAAAACTAATTAAAAATACAAGACGAAAAAAGAAATAAAAAAGTCAAGTAGGCTCAATTTCAACGATCCACTGAAATTCTTGAGATAGCATTTCGGAGAGGATTGTTTATATTTGTGTTTTCGAGTGTTTTAAAGACTATTATATAATGACGGCGCCTAGGTTGAGTGTTGCGATGACAGAGTAGGGTTTGAATTAGACAGTGTAGATAGCACCGAAGAATAACTTCATCTTAGCTTGTTTCTTTAATTGCGGTAGATGTTTTGCGCCATGGGTGGCCTGAGGTACTTATCATATTCGACTAAAACAATGGGAATAGGCTATTCTTTTATCAGTGCTCGGAAGATTTTACTTTGCCTGTAGCAAATCACAGTCCGTGGGACCATGGTCATCTTGACCTACAAATGTTTGTGATGATTGGGGATATGTGTTTTTCATCGCCTTTTCTGTGACAGTTCTTTAGATATCAGTCTTGCAAAAATACGTCCCATATACTTTCTGTTTTTCAATTAATGTGTTCCAGAGTTTCCAGAGAGGGGAAGGGGGGGGGCAAGCCTAGCCTTAGTGTGGACCCCAACCACGACGAATGGTGACATATGGGGAGATCGTAAAATATGTGACAAACTCTAAAAAACTACTTAGAAATATTTTAAAATTGGTGTTGTTTGATGCGTGGATTCTTTTGAACTATTTACCACATTAATAACGCCCAGAACAAAAGTGCGCTCAATGACTTTCAGCTTTAATCGGAGTAAACTCGTCGATGCGCAATCAATACCACCAGCAATTCGCTTCGCTCATCCGTGCTGATAGTGACATCGACTTGCTGATAAAAGCGACATCACTCATTCAAAATCTCTCATTCAAAATCATATTTTAGAGAGGTTAAGCTGCTCTTTGGTCCCGATCTTCGAACCAAAAGACCAGATTGACCACGCGATAAAAGATCACAGAATAGAAATTGAGATTTTGATTATTTCATACCAATTGACGAATGCGACCCCTTTCTATTGAATTGTTTCGCCGGTTTTAACAAGATTATCATTGCTTTGGATATTAGGTTATCGTGTATTTTAACTTTGGTGTTGAGTGAACACTTTTTATATTCTGTTTGAGCCAGTGTAAGAGGGATCAATGCTCCATTGATTTACAATGTGACCTAAGATACCGTCTGTCATTTTCATACATTTGGGACGAGGAAGGACCATACAAAATGGGGACAATAATACCATGACCATAGTTTCTGCTGAATCATTTGGGATGAGGATGGATGTCGATCCCTAATGTCATCGTTCCCTCTCCCGCGCAGAGACCAAAATATAACAAGTTTCCTATTGATCATTTTGTGCTAAAAAGACCAAATAGACGGGGAGTTATCCATGGGCTAAAATATATTAACCAGTTTTCCTGAAACATTAAAACATGTTGGCCTTTTTATTATCATATTACAGCATTGCATTATGAACTGTGGCCCAAGAAGCGTTTACTATCACATTTCCTTGGATTGACTCTTTGAGATATTGTTTGTGGGCGTTGATTTTCAGTTTTTCTATTGTTGTTCTACGTCTAATATTTTACTGTTCATGTGCCCCACTATTTCCATTTATCATTTAATGAATTTCATCTTTTCATTTTACAATAATATTTTCAAAAACATTAAAACATAAATTATACAGTGAAAAGGCATTTGCATTTAGTAGATTGTGAGATTTTACACAGATGGCAACATTGGAATTAAAATTTAATCGTTCACTTTCTACAGTAACTTTTGTTTACCTCTTCATCATTTGCCGGACATGAATCTTCATATTTTGGTGGGGTTGGCCACGGTTCTATGATCCAGTGCAACACTTTACATATACCGTCTTGATCACCCAGTTCATTCGTTGCTTCTGTAGCATTATGCTGTTTAACAGTTGTGTCAACCTCTACCGCTCTCTCAACGTGTTCAATGTAATCCATATCGTCATCCGAGCTTTCAAAAATTTCCATTTTTTCTTCAGTGAGCTCGTGTATTTTCATTTTATATGATATCCGCTAAATGATGACAGTGATTCTTTTTATTAACCGTTTTGGTACGTAGTTTGATACCGTATCTCCAACTGTGAAGGTATTTGACGATGGTGTTTGTACATTTTAGCTCCTGTTGTTTTATAGCTGCTTTTGCTTGTTTCTAGCTTGCTTGATTTTAGCAGTGTATTTCCTAAGAAGTTCGGTGTTTCAATTGCTCAATCCTTATCCAGAACACTTAACTTTTAAATACAAAAATAGGAAGGCAGGTACTTGGCTACGATATGGGCCACTTTTGCTTGGCATTCATAGCGATACGGACCAGATATATGCAATCGCTGGAAGGCTATCATTGGTTCAACGCCAGGTGTAGTATTCAAACCGAGTGATCAACCTTTGATTGACCCCGTAATATACTATGAATCGTCCAGAATCACCAGCTTTTGCCATCGATGGCGATATGAAATTTTCCCGCAAAACAGACAACGCATTGCAGTTGGATTTGCGATTTGGCCAATGATGAGCACCGCTCAAGTGGCTCAACGATCAGCGAAATCATTTTCATTTGCAGATAGCGTATTTATTTACATAGTTGATCTCTAATTGAACTGGTTCAGGTGTTCTGATTTGACGTTGGGTGGGCCTTCTCAAGGGCTTACCATAGATGGACGTTTATCGCAGAATTCTTAATCAAATAAACGATCAGAATGGCTCTGATATTTTTCATTCAATGAAAACGTTTTACACAAGACGAACACAAGTAACTACAATAGACAATATTGACTTCATCATATCACTTATAAAATAAAATGGACAACTAAATGTATGGCTACGCCAAGCAAGCCCCTATAAGCCATATAAAACTATAAAAAAAGTTTAAAAACGATCAAAGAATTTTTAACGGACACATTTAGGAATTATTGGCAATCAAAAATAAGTGCATGGCAAAAATTCAATGATTTCGAACATATTTTATCTACCAGATGTTCTGCAAGGACGGTCCTGGAAATCAAAAGGTATTAAAAAATCAATACATGCGGAAAAAATCGAAGTGATACGATGAAGTCAATATTGTCTATTGTAGTTACTTTTGTTAGTCTTGTGTAAAACGGCCATCTTTTTATGGGGGGGGGGGGGGGGACTGGATGTCACATGTTTGCCACTGTTCTGTAGGGAAATGAAATTCCGTATTATGATGAGGACAAATGTAATTACGGCGCTGTCCAAATATTATTTTCTCTTTTATCTAAGAGAAATGGAAATTAATTTCACTTTTGAAACAAAACACTCTAATGCAGCACCTCCCTAGTCTCCAATAGTATAATTCATTTCATGATTTTCATGCTGGACTACTTTATCAAATTCCAACAATCCATTTCATCATATTAAAGTTAAATTCAGTTATCAAATTAGAGTTTACAGTAAATAAAGATACTGACATGAAAATGGGCTCTATTATATTCTAAATTAACCATATGACCGTATAATGAGCCCATTAAATTATAACAGGTAAGTTAACTGGTTAAACTGAGTAAGTTAAACCATTGAGGTCAGTTGCATATAAGATACAGCCAAATTGCCAAATAAAGATCTCTTGTTTTTTACAACTCCCGGACAAGCTCTCTTCTTTTTTGTTGTTTTAAGATCTCCTGTTTTAAAAATCAAAAGATAATCTCATATTTTACTCTATTGTTGATCTTGGAGATCAAGAAATAGACTAGTTTTGGTATTCTGTTTGCCTATTGTGCATAAATGGCCACTATGGACCGAGAGTGGTTTTGATTGTGGATAACTTTCACCCACAATAGCCAACAATTATAAGTGGGGTTAAAATATCAACTGAGTTTCTTGTTTAACACAATGAAAAGCCATTTTCGCAATTTCCCAACTACTAAAATACAAACAGGTTACCATTGCAAAGATAAAACTAAATTCAGGAAACATTTGTATTTTATACGAAAACCTCCACTATCTCCCATATTAAATCAATCTCCACATCTCAATTGCTAAAGAATAACATTGCATTTGTGTGGTCCATGGATTACTGATCCTAAGCAGAGAGCTCACAATTCCAACATAGCATTCTGCTAACTTTTCTTCTCTAAATACAACTTACAACTTTCTAAACAAAACTCTATTAACTTAAGAATGTTTTGGGGAGGAGCATTTTGTAAATCAACAGACTTGGTGTGAATTCCTCATTGGGCAAGTTCGAACATAGGTATAGCATAACACTGGAGATTCATTGATAAATTACAACTTAATATAAAATGGGAGTGATTGACAGTATTTGAATATTGGTAATATTTGTGAAGTGATAATTTACTGACTTTCTCGCCGTTTCATTTCAAATGTACTCACAATATAGTTGTGGTAATAAAGGATACAATACAATACAATACAATACAATACAACGCATACATGGATTTCTTCTATTACTTATCACATATATTCTTCCTACCAAAGAGCTAATTTATTGAACATTTGAAAAAGACACAATGTGATATCTTAAATTGATTACTGCTAATCCAGATGTCTATACACCCATCAGCAGAAGATGTCAACAATATAGCACTTTCAAAAAGTGTCATAAAAACAGGTCAAATTGCAGAAGTACAAAGATGACCATAACATAAAGCACTTTCAAAAAGTGCAATAAAAATAGGTTGGGTTGTAAAAGTAGGACAAATTGCAAAAGTAATTTGATATGTAGACTTAGACATTGATTTTGGGTGGCTCTCATGAATTAAATTAGTTTTTGATTTTCACACCAAAAAGCATCCCTAAAAATTTTTTAATCAAAATGTGCAGGCAAGACATTGCAGCAATTTTTTTTGTTTTAGGATGTAAAATTCTACATGGCCTCCTTCCAGCATGCCCAATATGCAATCAGTTTAAATTTTCATTCCAAAAAGCATCACTGAACATTTCAAATTAATCGTTCAAACAAATCCTTCAAAAACAGATATCACTGACATCATCCATCAAATATGAGGAAATTCATTTCACTGGTATTTGAGTCATTGCCAGGCCAGACAGATGGATTGAGAAAATGATAAAATACAATCAATATTTTTTCAATCCATAATTCAAGATGGTACATAACATATTTCTACCATTGCTTGCACTAAGTTCACCTCTCTATGTAACAGATTTTACCAAAACGGATGTTTCAAATAGAAATAGACCCCTGTCATGCAGGAGCTCTTTGTATTCCCACACACAGAGCTTGCAGTATTCTTCATTAATTTGGTGCTATTTCATTTTTTTTTGATAAATTTCGCAATACTGCCACCTGTTTAGCTTGGTGAATTTTTTAATTTTTGCCCAGATGCTTGAGACTCCAATACAATGTGTTAAAACTGTAATATCATAGTCATACCATTCTAATGATCAAATCAGGTTAAAAAATGAGAACCAGCACCAAAACAAAATTAATAGAGACTATCCATTTAAAGACTCTGGCATTTGTAATTTTCACAAAAAAAATTGGTCAATTTGAAACAAGAAAAAGACCTTTTTTACCCTGAGAAGATCATTGAAGGTCAAATCTAAAGTCAGATTTGAACTTCTGAGAACTTGTAGATGATTTTGAAAAAAATTGGTCAATTTGAAGCAAGATAAAAAACCTTTTTTTTACATTGAGAATGTCATTGAAGGTCAAATCATTTTTGACCTTGAGGATGCCATTGAAGGTTAAATCTATAGTTAGATTGGAACTGTTGAGAACATGTAGATGATTTTGAAAAAATAGGTCAATTTGAAGCAAGTTGAAAAAATACCTTTTTGACTTTTTTTGACCTTGAATAGGTCATTGAAGGTCAAATCTTAAATATGTAGTCAGATTTGATTTTCCGAAAACATGTAGATGATTTTGAAAACGATTGATGTCAGTCAAAACAGTATTTGTTAAGTTATTGGAAGTTGTAAGAATTTGTTACAGACACCAACTGCCGTCAAAAAAACGGAGACCATAACAATATGTCACCACTTTTTGGTGATAACATAATAATATGACTGAGTTATACTTCTGAAGCTAGACTTCTTATTACACAGTGTTGACAATAAGGCAATAAAATAAGAATCAAATTCATTAACCACTTTTTGAGTTATCGCTGGTATATAGGAATTGATGAACAGATAGACGGACAGATAGACAGCTTCTCTATATCCCTATTGAACTTCATTCGGTGAATAAAAATATCATGTCATTCTTATTTTCATTGGTAGATAATTGAGACTCATTTTGAAGAGAATATTTTCTACAGTTCATTTTTAATATCCCTTTTTATTGCAGAAATAGAAATGTTACAATGAATAATAAAATACATTTTGTTCTATATTTGTCTTACTCTCAAAAGTACCATTCACCCTGGGCTCCATTATCAGTGAATATACGTAAAAGATGGATGGTTATCACTAAAAGGAAAATGTGATAAACTTTTTCACACAAATTCGTAGGTATCAGTCTGAATCCACAGGGAAGAGAGCTCAAATTCTGCATAGAAATAAAAGCAGGAATGTTACATTAAATTATATCAGTTTAAAGGGGTGTGGCATAGTCAATGATTTAATAATGTTTGTATGAGCTGATGTGTCCTTTTCTTACATCTCTCATAGGGAAGAAGGTTTAATCCAGTTTGATCCCATCTTTTTATCAGGTCAATGTTTATATATTATCTATTTGTTTGTTGTGTGATGCGGCCAATAAATGACTCATCTAGACATTGTATTGTTCATTTCTCAATATTTTGTCAATTTGGTTTTTGAAGCTGTTACATCTTTGGCACTAATAGCAGATTCAGGTACATGGAGGTTGTTCCAGTTGATTGCAACATGTTGGGTAAAGGACATTTTTTAAGCTCTGTTCTATTGTATCTTATCAAATTAAATTAAGCTGTTGGATTAGGATAAGACAAGGGATTAACATGCAAAATGTCACCACCATTTGTTACAGACACCAACCGCCGATCGCAAACCCACTGACTGCTGTCACAATGAAGAAACGGAGACCATATCAGTATGTCACCACTTTTTGGTGGTGACATAATAAACCAGTCCATAATATTTTGATTTCCCAAATATCCCAGGATTCAGAGCCCAACGTTCCTATAAATGCAAAACAAAAGGAACTTTGTGTTTCTGGGCGGGCCAGCACTCACTACGCTCCCTGCTGTAAACTTTCATTTTCTTTCATAAATATGCTTACAAATTTAAATCCATCTTCTTTTTAGGGCACATATAACCTAAGCAATACATTATACCACCCTATATGACGTGAGTCCCTATTACTATACTCAATACTGGGGTTGGAGGTGATTCAACTTGACATTCCATCTTGAAGATTTAATGCAACTTCACAATGTAAATGCATTATTTTCTATTTTTTTATTTCTTAATATTATACTGTTTACACATATGAATTCATGCTCCCTTTCTCACATTTTATATACAGAGAATGTTTGCAAACTTTTTAGTCACTTTTAAGAGTTCTTGTGGGAATAGGTACAATGCTATCATCTTAGATTTGTAAACAGCTAACATGGCATATCAATTCAACTATTGTGTACATTAAGAACTCTAAACACTAAATTAATATAAATAAAACAAACAAAAATCAACATAGAATTATTGTAAATACATATAGATAAAACCCCTTTGCACATAAACTAATAACACAACACCAAGGCCTGATCCATTATCAATTATAAAGCACTTTATCTGTTATACAACTTCACATTTTACTCACTACTCAATCAAGAGTCTTGCATCAAATCTAAGGTAATCCCCCTAGTTGTTCCCAAGGAGTGTAAGAGGGAGTAAGGGATACAGGAGCTTAATGCAAGACTATGAACCAATTTTAATTGGATCTTTCTCGAAAATATGGGCATTTTGTATGGTAAAAATGTTAATGACGTGGGGAAAAATTGGCAAATTACTTCATCAATAAATTACTCCCAAAACAAAGATCAATCAAAAATCGAGTACATAGATAGATATTATAAATATTTATTTTGGTTGATTTTCATTTTGTTGTTGTAAAAAATGAATTATTGCAAGGATCATCTGATCATACATGAACTCTAAACATAGAAAATGAATTTACATCAGTGCAAAATGTACACAATTGTGGGTGTTATTCCATGAACAGGGTGTAAACCACACAGCCATCTGATCAACAAATAACACCCACTTCTATCAAAATATTATTTTTCCTCAAAGATTTATTGTCTTTTCCTGAAATTGTCTTAGATTTGAATTCTGTCCAACAGTGTGGTATTTGGGTGTATCAATAACATGGAATGAGTGTCTAACATGAGTGTTTAACATGAGTAAGTCATGTGATCTAGATTCACGTATCATATGCCATTATTACAAAAGTCACTGTTTAACTGTACAGGTCATCGTCTCCATCATCCTGGAACTGGCTGCTGTCACCTCCGCTGCCCCCTGCTGGTTGGCTAGGTCCCGCGCCACCCCCACTGCCTCCAGCTTGACTGGGGAACCTGAAGGCAAACACGAAAAAACTTTGAACATTTTGTTGGATGATTTCTGAACCAATTTTGTCTGAAATACATCAATTTCTAAAAGGAAGTCCCATCTAATCTAATTTGATAAAAAATTGATGAAATATTTTGATTAGAGGGTCATCCTATAATGCAATTTACAATTATGTTTTGGAACAACATTAAATTATTCACCTGTCCCTTACTACGAGAAAATCTGATCTTTACATGAAAACATTTCGAAGGGACATTGGACAAGTTTTCCAATCACTTATACCTTGTTAAGAGCCACCTTGATATAAGAACATATCCAGCCCTTCCTGAACATGCTCATACCAGACATGTTTTACTGTATAATAGATTTCGACATATTTGTCATTATTTAGAGACCCAAGCTGTTCATTTCAAAAATGTTTTCTTCACATTGATACTAACATTATGGACTGTTATAACACTTGATGGGTGTAATTTTAAAATCATTGAGTACAGAAAACTGGTTGAAAGTTATAACATAGTTTGTCAGACTGAAGATCTGGAGGGACCTCCCAGGTTAACAATATTCTCTTGTTACAGGTGTTTCTCAGGTGAGATGTCAATATACATATTTCTGATCATGTGTTTTACATACAGGCCCCAAAGCTGTATAAATATTTACAATTCTCATAATACATTTACACAAACTTGGTATCCTCATGTGGCCAGGAATGTGTGTTATACTTGACTAATGGGAGGTGTTCCTCAAAGGGAATGATATTTCTAACTGAGAGGTACAAGTGTAGATCAGGAACGGAAGTGGCAATACTTAGAAACAGGAAAAGAGAAAGTCTGAGATTAGAACAGGTTATAGCTTTGGGATAGCATGCTGAGTGGGCTGGAGTTTGGGGCTGTTTATATTATGGCTGGTGTATATCTGAATGTCACGTCATAGGGAACAACCAAACCCTTTATTCAGATATTAATATCTAAAATGTTTACAAATTCAACTGTCTGCAAGTTTGTCTGGGTTTCTATATAACGGCCTAATACATATCTACCACCAATTATTTGAATTTCATAAGAGACCATAATATTTCTGACTTTTGAGGTTTGCTTTTTGGCAACAAGTTGAGCAAATATTATTGTTGAAAACAATAAAATTCACCCTGACCTACAAGCTGGGGGATGTTAAACAGTAAAACTTGTTTTCCCCATTTTGATATCTCACAGAGTGCAAAATTGAACTGTCATGTTCAGTTAGTCCATTCTAATATTGTGCCATATACATGTATATAGAATAACGCCTTTTACGAACAGTCACCTACAAGAATGTAAAATCTGAGTCTGTACTCTAATGGCAATGCATATTTTGCCCCAATACAAATAGCAACAAACAAGTTTTTGATGTTTTAGCTCATGTAGAACGTAGTGTGTTGATTAGACGCAGGCTCCAGAACTCTACAGTAGAGGAAGCAAGTATAGCAGAGGTGAGCAGAGATCTAAACCAGTGTTCCATGGATCAGGGATTAAATGGCAAGCCATGTTCGCCTAACTGATCGTAGCCTGCTGTATAAACATGCCACACAGTACTTGCCCCTGGGTGTCAGTCTCACACAACATCAGCTCTTACACACCATCTCACATCAATCACAAAACACATCAAACATTTCCGCATTAAAAACAAGAAAAATCAAGATTTCAGATCAATATCCTTGCAGTGTCCGAAACCACAGGCTTTTATCAAGTTTCAATTTAATTTTCCATCTACCTGAATATATTTGTGAGAGAAACTGCCTCCATGAAACTAACTGACAGCGCTCAATCAGCAGCTCTCTGGGCCACTGGAATGCCACATATCATCAGCAAAACACACCAAAAGAAAATTGAAAGTTTCAAAGAACTACAGAGACACTTAAACACGTCATAAAAAATACAAAACATTTTTTGAACTTCCTTTTATATTCAAGAGTTTGATGACTAAATTTTTCAATGATATTTGATACAGGAATTAATACAGTGTAATAATTGAGGGTTAAGTACTGAATATAACATGAAAAAGTGTTTCTTTGATATGTTTTCAATTCAGTTTGTTACCACGACAATGATTCATTGATACTTATAATGACAAACTTGAGTCATAGGATCTTGCTTGCTTGTAGTTTATTCAGTGTCATATGTTACTTTAAATAACATTATCATATACAGTAAAACATTTTACAGAACGGAAATTTGTTCCTTTAGAGAGATTTTACTGTAGGAATAGACGAGTAAGGATATGCTGAATATTTATTTATTCATCCGAGTAGCCTCATTGTATTTTAGGGGTATGACCTGTCTTATAATGACTCAGAGTAATTAACCAGTTTTATGACTTCAAATCTTTTTTATTTCAGTTTGATAGTTGGTAAGTATAGAATGCAGATAGTGTAGTCACTAAAACATAATGAAATGCATCATCAATTTGCCACATTTGGAGACAAGCATATCACTACTGAAAGTAATAATAAATCATCTAAAAATGATTACAATTTGCTCAGGTCGCTTTTACCATGGCAAAATGTCTTCCCTGCAAACTGACAATGGAATGACACATTTTTTGAAATTCTCCTGTTCTTGTACTGAAAAATTTGGTCTTTTTGAAAATTTGGCCCCATTTTACCAAAAAGGTCCAAAATGAGCTGGGAGTATAAACATGTAGTAAAGTACAGTACAATGAAATTGTGACAAGACCATAGAATGAAACTTTTCTATTCAATACCCCTCCCCAAAGTTCACTTCACAAATGAAATGAGTCAATATTTGAATTTGATGTTGGTATTACCATGAGCACTATGTACCAGACCTCAAGTATGTATCATAGCTCAGGCATGGGTCTATATAATATATATTAGCAAACTTGGTGGCATAATCAGCTCAATGTGGATGCTAAAATGCTCACAGTATGCTGAGGTCTGGTTAATACCTGTGATTATAATCTGAATTCATTCTCATTGTTCTGCTGAACATGAATCATCTGAGACATGACCTTCAAAACATATCCTTTATGATACACAAGAATAATTGAGAGAAAAATCAAACATTTCCTCAGTCACCACAATCCTCCCAGGTCCTTCTATTGTCCCTTGATGGTTACATTAAAAGCTTTATGTGGCTACAAATTCAACCAGACAAACTCTTTTAGATCCTTTTCATATTTCTAAATAATGTTTTTCATCATAAGCGCTGATTTTTACCCTTGGGGTTCCACACTGACTGCCAATCACATATCAGAGATGGATTCATTTGGGTCAAATGTGGTCACAGAATCAATAGCTAGATGTGTGTGATCTACAGCATAGACATTTGACAGATCACATCCTAGTGGCCTCTCAAAGTAAGCTTTGAAGGTAGATAGGACTTGGTAGACAGACAAGATAACACTGTATAGTGGAAGAATGCTGTATGCTGGTGGTAAAATAACATACTAATTACCCAAGAGAGTGCTAGCACACTAGGATATGACATACACTGAGGACAATTATAACTATGGTACACTACACGTACATCTCTGATATGATTCACATGAAAAAATAAAAAATCCTGGTGGTTCCTGTAAATACAGGAAATGTTGGGTGGCTGAAATAACTATGAACTTTTTTTATGTTAAATCCAATTTCAAAAACCTCGGAAAATGATTGTGGTAAAATGTATAAACCAACAATTGCCCCGATTTCTTCAAAACCTCAACTGATAACCTTCTTCAATATGAGGCCATATTTTGGGAACAACTGATATCTTAAAAAAATATAACAGAAGAACTGAAAATAATAGCATAAACTCAGTAGGGTAGATAGATTAGAAAGACAGAAGAGAGAAGTGTTGTTCGTTGGCTGTTGGGTGTGTTACAGTAGCCAAGGTGGTGTTGGTAATGCGATATATTGTAGCACTGTTATAGACAGTGGCACACCTGGGCTAGATGCTGCTTCAGGCCAGATGGGCTCAACTTTTTGCCATACTGATTTATTTCACAATTCGTGCCAAAAAACAAGTTTACCATCGCAATGTTCAAACTAATAATAGTTACAAATTCTTACGAATGAGTGATATTAATCTTGAAACATACTGTTTGTTCTAAACTATGGCTTCCAAATGAAAATAAAACATTTGGTGACATTTTGCTTTAATTAATAATTACACATAATTTGAGAGAGAGAGCAATAAAGCAAAATATTCAGTACTCATAATATCAATCATAGACTCGAGAAATTAGTTTTGCAGAAAAAATAGATTTAAAGAATTAACCCAGAAAGAACTCCCTGCCTATGTTATAAGAGTTAAGACCACTTCAGATAGAGCCTAGCAGTTCTCTAAGTAGGGAGCAATCTAGCTTATCTAGGCAGACATTCTATTTCTTGAGAGGCCGAAATGTTTATTCATCTAGATGGGAGGTTTCTACATGTTTCCCAGATTTCATTATCTCAAGAGGAAGTAAAGAGCTATTCAGTACACTTTCCTGCTGTTTTAAACTTTATCTGGTCTTATACTGAGGTGACATCTTTAAATGTGATAGTAAAAAATAAAACATTTCACATTATAGTCAGACGATGAGGTAAATACAGACAGTAATGCCATCTTTCCCTAAATAATTTGGAAATTTTGACAAACAAATTCCTTGAGTAGTAAACTCAGGATGTTTAAAAAGCTTGTATCAAATAAGTGTAGGGGTGAGACGACAACCCGATGAGTCGAAGACTCGCGGGTTTGGGGCTTCGAGACGAGTCGAATCGAGTCGAAGTTGATGAATCGAATCATTTTCGAGTTGAGAAAAAAATTCGAAAAAATAAAAAAATTCAGAAAAATACTGTCAATATGCATGTTTTTACATTGCGTTGAATATATAAGTTTCAATGACTTGGATATGCTTGTATTAAATTATTATATTGTATGTACACATAAATGAAAGAATATATGTAATAAAATCAGAATAAACTAACGACGAATTGTGTTTGTTTATATTTCCGGCTTTCCACCATTGACGCATTAAAAATACGAACGGTCAAAAGCGATGTTGTTCGCACTTCGCGTGACTCGAAACGGATTCCAAACTCGAATCGTCATTTTCTGACTCGAATCGGATTCGACTCGAATCGGATTTTTTCGACTCGTCTCACCCCTAAAAAGTGCAATAAATTCTCATGCCAATTTTCAAAAGTCCCCCTTATCTGGTCTCATTTAGAGCCAGCTGAGGCTGTAGAACACACAATGCAAATTTCTAATAATTTTCCAAATTAATTTAAAATAGGGGTGTTATTCAAACCACAATGTGAATTTCTTAATAGTTTTTATGATTTTCCAAATTCTCAACTGCAGTGGAAATGGATTTAATTACTGGGGAGTGTGACAATTATTCAAAATGCACATTTACTTCTGTGCTTAGAAAATAGGTATTCACTTCAATTTAAATTGGATCGGTTCCTACAAGAGGGAAAAATAGCCAAGAATTCATGGTGAACCATCTCCATCTAAAGATAAACCTATTGAGGGTCAACATAGAATAGGTTCATATATGAATTCTGGGGTATTCCTCCTGTTTGTATCTACATAAAGCTTAATGACTTCAGAAATATCTGATATGTCAAACAGTTCTACATAGGATTACTGTTCCTCTGGTTAAAACAGCCATGAGGTGAATCTGCCTCAATGCTGGGGTAAGACCTAAGAGGGTAATAGGCACGAGGCCAATATTTAATATATTGATATATAAAGGCCCTTTCAAGCTAAATGCATGTTTACCAGTAACTACATCGTCATTTAAAAGCCTGCCTACTGTCATTCAATATCTCACTTCAAAACTTTATACTTGTTTAGGATTTTGTTGTGTTGACATTATCCTTGTCATTTTTGAGCAACAGACGAAGCCTGGTAATCTTGTCATTTTTATGAAACATTTCTACAGACAATTAAATTGTAATGGCCTTAACTACACCTCACAACCAGATTTTCATTATTCATGCCAAAAGCTTAAACCATTTAATTTATACTAGAGGTGGTAAACAGTGGGAGCAAATACTGACCTGAAGTTAGTGCCAAAGCCCCTGCTCTGTTGTAGGGTCTGAGCGAACATCTCATATTTTCTGATATCATTGTCAGTGACTGATCTGCGGGCAAACTTCATTGCCTCTTCAAAGTGGAGACGTGATATCTCTGGCACTGGGTCAAAGTCTTCAACTTCCTGAAAACAAAATAGATAGAGTTAAACAATAACTGATGATCCTATTAAGATTGACCTCATGGGAAAAGTACAGAAACGTACATGTTCAAGATCCAGGTACAATAAAATTAACCAAATGGCTCTCAGTGATGTAGCCAGGATTTTAAAATAGCAAGGTAAATTCAAGTCAAAGGGGTATCAGGTCCCACAAATGGACTTCACTTGGAAAAATAACCTAAACCAATAGAACATTCAGAAAAATGTAAGTGGGGCCTCATACCTCTCATAAGTCACTGGACTCATGAGATCTGTACATACACAAGGTGGCAATTCAAAATTCATTGAATCGATTAACCCTATGCAAATTTTCTGTTCCTCCGGTTAAAACAGCCATGAGGGGAATCTGCCTCAATGCTGGGGTAAGACCTAAGAGGGTATTGGTACACTCGAACAAAAATAGCAAACGACATAATGAATACATACAACAACATATTTGCTATTGTAAAACAAGCAGAGTGAACACTGTTGATTAAAGCTAAGAGTAACCGCAGTGAGACATAGCCATTCAGAAATTCTGACAACATGAGAATCAAACATCCAAAAATGAAAAAGAAGTGTTGACATTTCCACATGTTCACCGAGAGGTGTTCATATTCACAGGCTTTATTTTAGCAAAATCTTTTTTATGAAATACATACCATATCTGCATCTGGGTTATCAGCTCTTTCCCTTTCCTTCTTGATTTCTGCCTCGATGCATTCCCTGATGGCCAACTTACAAGCACGTTGACAGATCTCAGTCAAGTCAGCTCCACTGAACCCATGGGTCATCTTGGCCAGGAACTCAAGATCAATGTCCTAATAAACAAGTAAAAATATGAATATTCATTTGTATACAAGCCCAATTCGTTGATTTGCAATGTGTAATCCTGCAGTTTTTATACTATCTTGTTGAAATGAGATTGAAGTGAAAATCTCTACATTGCGGTGAGACCAAGGTGCCTCCCTTCTCGCCTACATCCCTTGACTCAAGTTGTGATGTGTACATAGACAGAATGATGGTTCAAAGTCCATTGAACCAAATAACCCTGTGAATGTTTTCTGTTCCTCCAGTTAAAACAGCCATGAGGGGAATCTGCCTCTAGACTGGGGTAAGACTTAAGAGGGTACTGGTATGTAATATTTTCTATGTTATCTATGTTTTATAAAGCAAAGGGTGAAAACAGGTGTGATTGTGTAGCATCTCAATTTGTGCATTAACCTGTCAGACACCAATCAAATGCTTAGAATCAACACACTGACTGCTGACCGCTCACCTCTGCGACTGGAGATTTCCTCAGATTGGCCTTGAGAATGTTCACTCTGGATTTATCATCAGGAAGTGGGATATAAATGAGTTGATCCAGACGTCCAGGTCTCAATATGGCGGGATCTATGATGTCAGGTCTGTTAGTTGCACCAATGATAAAGACATTTTTCTTGGAGCTCATACCATCCATCTCTGTGAGTAACTGGTTGATGACACGATCAGCTGCACCGCCTGGAATTTTCAACAAGAAATATATATAAAAATATATTTATATAAAGCCTCATCCCAACATCGTGCCAACTGTATATAGAACTGTTGTACAAGGGTCAAAATGTATGCAGTGCAGGCTGCAGCAATGCTAGGAAAGAGGGGAATATACCAGAATTCTTAGATGAACCTATCTCCATACAAAGAGGGTCATCTTTACATAGGAATCATAGATAGGTTCGTCTAAGAATTCTGGGTTATTCCTCCTCTTATACTATAAAGACCTATATGCCCTAACTTATCAAACCACTGTATGTAATATAACATACCTCCATCTCCAACATTTCCTCCCCTAGATTTGGCAATAGAATCCAATTCATCAAAGAACAGCACACATGGAGCTGCTGATCTTGCTTTGTCAAAAATGTCTCTCACATTGGCTTCTGATTCACCAAACCACATAGTTAACAATTCTGGACCTTTGATTGAGATGAAGTTAGCCTGGCACTCATTGGCAATGGCCTTGGCTAGAAGGGTTTTACCACAACCTGGTGGCCCATAGAAGAGCACTCCCTTGCTGGGGGTCATGCCAAACTTCATGAATTTGTCTGGATGCTCCACTGGATACTGAAATATAGGAAGAAGTATTTTTTATAAATAATTGAATATTCATGTCATAAGAGACTACAGAAATAAGTGCTCGAGCCTAAACCTTATATTCAGGTTTGAAACTCACAGCTGCCCGTCAATGGCAGTCACTTTTCAATCTTGGTTATGAACTTGGCAATATTAGTTGCCTATTGGGCAGAGTATGAATGCCAATATGTTAAATCGGGCAATCATGTTGTCAACCTTAGTTTTGAATCCTGCCAGAAATGTGACATAACATACCAGAAATCTGACATTACAAACCAAATATATAATATACCAGAGATGAGACATTACATACTAGAAATGTGACATAACATATGTGACATTACATACTAGAAATGTGACATAACATACCAGAAATCTGACATTACAAACCAAATATATAACATACCAGAGATGAGACATTACATACTAGAAATGTGACATAACATATGTGACATTACATACTAGAAATGTGACATAACATACCAGAAATCTGACATTACAAACCAAATATATAATATACCAGAGATGAGACATTACATACTAGAAATGTGACATAACATATGTGACATTACATACTAGAAATGTGACATAACATACCAGAAATCTGACATTACAAACCAGATATATAACATACCAGAGATGAGACATTACATACTAGAAATGTGACATAACATATGTGACATTACATACTAGAAATGTGACATAACATATGTGACATTACATACTAGAAATGTGACATTACATACCTGCACCAACTCTTGCAACTCTTTCTTGACATTCTCTAGACCACCAATATCCTCCCAGCTGACATTTGGTACTTCTACTGATGTCTCTCTCAGAGCACTTGGGTTACTCTTGCTCAAAGCCCACTGAAACAAACCAGATATGATTAACATATTATTACATACATATATTATTAACATACATATAATTAACATTATCAAGAGACTTGGTATGTTTGGAAATTACTTAAAACAAAAGTATATTGCTAAATATTATTCAATTTATCTAACACAAACTGAAACTACTATTTACAATTACATGTACATGTAAACATTTCATTTGTCAAATGATTTATATTGCACATGATTATATATATATAATATATCATAAGCCTTCCACCCAATGAAAGTAACATATTATTTCATTTAATATAACAATAACATGGTTAATTAACACAGCAGTATCAGATAATTTGATAGAGATCTTCAAATAAAAGCAAAGATAATGAAAACCACATTCTTTTATTAACAGTATGGTATACTGGTCCTTGATAGTCAGCAAATGCATGATATAAAAATATACATAAATATCAAATTAATTTGCTCAAATTCCCCTGTTTTGCTTATCAATTCCATTTCATTTGTGTTTGTTTTTATATCATTTACTAAATAGCCTTGATGGCAACAACAAGATACAGATTGTGGTTTTTATTCTCCAAAGATCTTCTATGGAAAACGCTCTACTGTTAACAATATAACAGAGGAGCGAGACTTCAACCTCACCCAACAAATGCGCTTACGAAGATCTCATCTTGCATCCTGTTCTCCCCCTGCTCCATTTGCTCTCTTTAGAGAGAATGTGGAGGGAGGGGAGGTACAGGGACTAGAAGACGAGAACTCAAGCTAAACATGTAACTTGATTATTGCACAATTGATCAAGGCTTTAGTATACAGCAGGGAAACGTAACAACATTTTATGCAGTTTTTCAATTTCTATTTTGTGTGTTGTTCTTACATATCAAAACCCCAACTATTTATAATGGCTACCAGTTCAGATTCAAATCTAATATCTATACTGATATCAAAGGAACAATCAAATTTTGCTACCATTGAATGCAACACTATGGGCTAGTCTATACATTTAATCAAAATTTAACAAGAACTTTCCATTTTATAAAATGATTGAGAAATGTATGTCTCTTCATCCATTATTCATCCTATTCAGCACATGTCTGGAGGAAAACACACAGGCATGTTGCAAGTTTGTAAATTCAGAGAACTTTGTAGGAGTGAAACAATACAATTCAATACTATAGCCAGGACCCACATCCCTAGTTATCTTTTCACTTGTACTGGGCACAGATGGTTAAAGCCCCACAAAAGCAGGCATATAACATGTAATTTATATTCTAAATGCATAAAATTGGTTATTTGTGAAAAGCAGGTGTCAAACCGCTCCCCATGTGGTTAAATTCACCATCTGCCACATTCAACTGAACAGGCTTCTCCCAACCACCATGATCTGGCACAAAAACCAATTAGGTGTTGGTAAAACAGAAACAGTGAGCACATATTCAGCAATTTAAGGTTCACCGAGGTTCGTTTTTATGATACTTATAGTTCTTTGAATAATTAAGATGGGTCAAATTACTGGGCAATGGTCCAATTCTTAAAAACATGCCTTGTTTCAATTCTTTAACTATGACGATACCATAAGACAAATAATTTCATGAAATGTAATTCTCACCATAATTTCTTGAAACAAGCTCCTGGTTCTATTTAAAGTTACTATGCTTTGATAAGAAACTTAAGCTATAACTGAATTGACCCTCCCATTATAATCATCACTAGAAATGTAATGAAACAACCTTTTAATTAACAGAGGTTAGTGATGAACTTATGTTAAGTGGAAGCTAAAAGCCTAGATTGCTAATGGCAGTCAGTCATATATCAACCAGGTAGTCATATTAGCAACCTGGGGGCCATTAACAGAAACTTCATAAAGTTAAGAATTCGTAAAGTCCATTGTGGGCCAACAATTGATTTACGAATTCGTAACTTTATGAAGTTTCTGTTAATGACCCCCTGGTTGATATTTGACAGATATCCTTTATATTAGAGCAATGGCAAGCAAGCTAAGAACATTGCTAAGCTATAAGCAATAATCCTGCCAAGAACATGTAACAAGACACAAGGCACTTTGAGCAGAATACCCTGAAGTCTTCCTGTGTCACACTCAGTGAGTCCAGGACCTCAGCGTCAATAGTGTCATCTTCTAGATCTATAAGATCCATTTTCTCCCTAATCTGTTGAAGAGCAGCCTCTGAGCAGAGAGCAGCCAGATCTGAGCCTACGTGACCATGGGTCTCTGAGGCAACCTAGAATAGCTAGAGTGTACTAGAATCTAGTCATGTAATGCCACCTGAGTGAATACTATCCTTTAGGACCTGGGGAATCCCTAACGGGTATCAGTATATGGCCCCATTCTGCATGTCAACCTACAAACCTGAAAGAAACCAGGTTCTTTCCCTCCAGGTGTGGGTGAAGGCCGAACAGCATCATACCTAGAATAGAGATGATGAAAATATGGATTCAGGATCCACTGTCGGTGTATCTTACCCTAAAATCTTCTTGTGTTACTGCAAGTGTATCTAGGACCTCTGCGTCAATTGATTCATCCTCTAAATCTATTAAGTCCATCTTTTCTCTGATTTGTTGTAAAGCAGCTTCTGAACAAAGAGCAGCGAGATCTGCTCCAACATGACCATGAGTTTCTGATGCTACCTAATCATAACATATACATGGCACAAAATGTTAGGACAAGCATTTAAAGTGGTGATATATGAAGGTTTGAAGCATTATGCTGAATTTCTGTTACTATACTGTATTTATTCAACAAATATGAGATTTAACAGCAAAATTTTAAGTTTGAACTATATATTATATCATGCATCATATTCTATCATATCCACATAAAAATATGAACAATATTCATTAATTATTGGTAATAATAATCATGAAAGTTACATTAAGAATTATCATTATGTTACATGGTCAAAAGGAATAACATTTTTGAGTACATTTCATACCTGTTCTAAATCAACATCCTCTGCCAACTTCATATTCTTTGTGTGGATGCGTAGAATTTCAAGTCTTCCAGTGGCATCAGGAATACCAATATCCACTTCACGATCAAATCGACCTGGCAACAAAAATATCCTTAAGTAAAACAAGCATGTATGTAAATCTTAACATTAGGGAGGTTAAGCTACACATTTTTAAGAGAACCTGTACATTTATACTCAAACAGCCAAGTAAATCCACATAGGATCAGAATTCTACATGTTCCCTACTATACCTCATTTTTGGCTCACATAAGATCCTACATTTCGCCTAGCAACATTATACCCATATTGAATCAATAGCTTTAATGTACTGAAAATATTACACATTTCAGTCTCCCAAGACTGCGCATCAAGTTCCATGTTATTCAAGGACTTTTTTATGGACAAATAAAGTTCCTGCAGTTTCCGAAATAATGGCATAATGATTTTCAAGAACTCTCACCAAATCGTCGAAGAGCCCCATCTATACTATTGGGTCTGTTTGTGGCTGCCATGACTATAACATGAGATCTTTGTTTCAATCCATCCATCAATGTCAACAGCTGGGATACAATTCTCCTCTCAACTTCACCATGTGTCTGGAATTACAAGATGTAAAAATGTATCTGATAGAACATGCAAAATATATCTTTATTATTTATGTACTAACAACCTCTAATTTTCCTAGTTTTATACATTGTAATATTGATCCATTTAAAATCAGATAGTAGGATGTCTTTTATATGTGAAGAAATATGATATTGCCGAACACTTATGACCACTTTATGAAAAAAAGTTGATCATTGTTTTGTATCAAAATCGTAACAAATGGAACATAAACATCAAAATTTTATGAAAATCTCATTTTAAAGATAACTCATACATCAGTTTTTGACTGATGAACAGCTAAACAAAGGAGATGGTCAATCTTATGTTTGGTTACATGGGTTCCAAACATGGTACCTATCTAGAAATAGAATATAGTTGAGGACTATATGATATCATCAAAATAGAAAGCTCCCTAGCCTTGTTCTCACTTAACAATAAACCACTTGCATAAGTGATCATCAGTTTTGCTATACAACACTATATGGTTGACACCGTACGTAACGAATATTTTATACATATCAAAACTTTATTATGAAGTTTCAACAAGAGGAATCTCACTATCCTAACCAGGTGTACTATTTTTATGTTATACTGCCTACCTCTTTTACAGAGAGACATATCTTTCATGATTTGAATCATTGCATGTGGTGTTTAATCGATATTCGTTACGTTACTTGACACCAAAAGTATCTTGGAGTCTTTGAAACCAAAATCAGTTTTTTGATAAATTGGCTATGCATCTCAATAAATACCGCAGACTAGCATAAAATCGCAAATGCCTAACCATCAATTTATATTTATGAGTGTTGAGTTTCATCATAATAGTGTTGAATGTAATGTTTTAGCACTTCAACATACGCTACGTAACAACAGGACACGATGTCAATCCAACTTCTTCAAAAATGAAAAATTCAAAAACAGAACACTTAGGATTCATATGTGATTCAAAGTATTTAGCAACGTAATTCTACCTCCAATATGAAGTATACATATTAGTCTACCACCTGGATCTTACTTTATGTCGCTTCTCAAGTATAAAAGGTAAAATATTACCTTTTTGGTGGAGTTGTTTTTAAAATTCCCGGTAAAATTCGCTACGTAACAGACAGAGCTAGGGAGCCGAAGTCGTGGCCAAAGTTTCGAATTATAGAATTTTCATACGCAGCCTAACTTATTTTCGTAACAAATTGACACTATGAAAATTTATACGAAACACCCCATGGAATATTGTAGTACATGTATCGATTGAGGGCAGCAAAGTTGTTCTTTGAGCTGATTGGTTGAAATGTTCTTATTGAACGTGATACAGACGAGTTAGTATCAGCAGAGCTGAAGTAGTAGACGATTTCATTACCGGGAGAATGATTGACACGACATGTTACGTAACGAAACGGATAATCGCTGGGTCACAGCAATAAAATGATACTCGCAGGTAACAAAAATCCAATGTCACCTTTTTAACTGTCTATCATTCATTGATTTGGAAATGTATACCAATTCGAAAACTGGTTATACTCCAAGGGATCAACAAGGCATATGACATGGTCAAAATGTCGGCCATTTTCGGCCGTTTTTCCCGACATTTTGAACAAATATTCTTGAATAGCTCCAATACCCTAATGTAACGGGATATAACTTCTCATAATCATTTCTCTACAGTATGTCTTACACTTGATAACACAGTGATATCATAGGTTAAGTGTAAATATGATGAGAATTAGGCTACTAAATGTGGGAGGGGTGAGTGTTCGGCAATATCATATTTCTTCACATATGCATTTTGTGATGTACCTTGTATATAAGAGATATTGACACATACTGTTCAGTTATTCTCTATTACCTTTTCTCTTTTTGGTGCAATAGCATCCAACTCATCAATAAATATAATAGCTGGTGAATTTTTCTCTGCCTCTTCAAATGCCTTCCTTAGGTTACTCTCAGACTCGCCAGCAAGTTTGCTCATGATCTCAGGACCTGCAAATTAAACAAATAACATTGAATTGAATCCCAGATGCTGCAAAGTTCAATATACATGTAATGAATGACATTACTTTTTTATGCAAGAGTTTCTCATAATTAACTTTAGTGAACCGTCTCAGACTTTGAACATGACATTTCACAATGATGGTGCAAATCATGATTGTCTTACCATTTATAAGGAAGAAAAATGCTCCAGTTTCATTGGCCACAGCTCTTGCTATGAGTGTCTTTCCCGTTCCTGGTGGTCCATAAAGGAGGATACCTCTAGGAGGCTTCACACCTATGGCTTTAAACAACTGTGGGTGTCGTAATGGCAGCTCCACCATCTCTTTGATCTGTGCTAACTGTTTGCGACAGCCTCCAATATCATCATAACCAACTTCATTCAAACTGTCTTCAACATCCTAAATGTATATAACATTAAGCAATTAAAGAGTGAAAGACTTTTGGGTAGAGGCAGACAGTTTAGAGCGGAAGAAATCAGGGCACATTAAGAGAGCCCTGATATAATATTGGTATGATATTAATGATAAATAAAAACCGAGGCACAGCGTGAAAAATATTGTACCAAAAATCAAATCTAAAATTTACCCAGCATTCCCAAAAACTAATCAGCTCTAGATTTTTCAACCCTTTCTTGGTTCAACAGAAATGGTGAGCATAACACTAATCAAGACATACCTCTCTCTTTACGGGTTCTCCTTCACAATGTATTACAGTGTCAGGGGCTACAATACAATATGGACTGGGATCTGTTTCAATAACTTTGAACTCGACAGCTCTCATTCCACCCCTGACAATGAACACATCACCTTTCTTCAGTGGTCTGTATGCCTCAAGGAAGTATGGTTTCAAATAAACTTCAAAGAGGTTTCTGAAACAAAACAACACAGGCCTTAGTCTATGGTAAGTATTGAATTGGAAATACCTTTGTATTTCATACTTGATTGGGTTTGGGGTAGATATCACCCGGGAATATATATCATATCTGAGGAGCGGGCAGGATATATTGTATATGTCCCGCTCTAGGCCAAATGTGGGCAGATATAATATATCCATCCCGCTCCCAGGAATTTTTGCAAAAGTTTAAACAAGTTTACAAATTTTAAAAATCTAAATTTCAGAAGTTTAAAAGTTTTCAAAAAGTTTAAATGTTACAATTCTATTGTATTGAACTGAAGGAATATTATGAAAATGTTAAATATAAATTGTGCTTTTACAGTCTAGGCCTATCTTGTCATTTGAAAAAGGTGGTAAAGGTTATATCTACCCCAAACCCACTCAAGTATGAGATACACCAGTTATGTACGGTCGGTTTTGGATACAGTGTTTATCCCGCGGGAAATATGTGTATCTCCCTCGGTCCCTGCGGTCCCTCGTGAGATACACATATTTCCCTTGGGATAAACCCTGTATCCAAAACCTCCCAGTACATAACCCTTATATATTCAATGAGTTTACTAAAATATTTATCCAACCAATTACTAAGTACTATATCCAATAAGATAATATAATTGTTTACCCTGTGAGGCCCTCTACAGTGTCATCTATGGGAAGAACATGTACTCTTTTACCATACTTCACATCTGGACAGGCTTGGATGCTGCAAAAATGTCACAAATTACATTGAATGAATTTAATACCTTACAAAATATTTTTTGCAAAATTAAAAGAATTTAAATTATTTACATGGTAAATGACTGCCTGGTTTCAAAGACAAATATCAGAGTAAAACCAGTTGTTGGACTATGGTGGTGCATACCTTACAACATCTCCTAATCGAACTCTGAGATTGGCCCTCACGCATCTGTTTATTCTGATCTTTTCATTACTGACTGTCTCATCAGACAATACAATACAAACTGTCTCTCTTCTTTTCTTTCCCTTTAGGAGGACTGTGTCACCACGAAATAACTGTAGCTCATCCATTTTGGCCTGAAATAATCACCCAAAATATGAATGGGATGATTCTTCTTTGGGCAGTGCGCGAAATAGACGTCCGACATCGGCCATTGGCCTGACAAAATTATAGATGGCTTGTTTTGATAAAAACACCCAGACATTTTGGCCTGCCAGACATTTGTGGCATTCGTTAGATTGCCCATGAATAGAACTCACATTTCAGTCCGGAAATCCTCCGAATTCCCCGCGATTTCGGCTTATTCCATGACTTTTGTTGAAGATTTAAAAAAATTTCAAATATTTTTGTTTTCATACTAAAGCCCAAGATATAACATGACTTTTGATTGGCTGTTGTTGTTTGTTGAAATTACGGTGATTTTGATTGGCTATGGATGACTCATTTCTTCATCGTCGTTCGCAAATCGAGTGCATAATCAGTATGCCGGATGTAGAAAAGAAATTGAAAAATTGAGCCGGCATCTAAGTCCAAAAAGTCGGCAGTTTGGAAGTATTTTGGGACTCCGATATCACAAGGTAAACGAATTGGTGATAGTTCACCATGCAGACTATGTGAAATGCCGATCACATTCACGGCAGATGCTTTATATTCGATTTTAATTGACGTATTTCTGAATATGATTTTGAAAAGTGAAACTGAAAGTGAAACTGTCATCATCAGACATTGTATCATTTTTAATGTTCTGTCCCGTCCTGTCTCGAAAGTATCGTGTCCCGAGACCATTTGTACCGTTCCGTACCGTACCGAAATTTATTTGGACCGTGACACCTCTAATATATACCTTGAATTTTAGTCTGTTAGTGGAGTCTGTGTACATAGTATGTGTTTTTGAATACCTTGAAGCTTCTGAGAGCAATTCTAAACCGACCAAAATCAGTACAATTTAGTTTGATCAATATGTACATGTTCCTCATGTTTTTGTAAGGTGGATCTAGGGGGGAATCAACACACCCAGGCTGTTGGTTAAGTCATCAAGTACAGTATAGTGAATGATACATGACATGCAATGGAATTAGTTTTACTTTGTTAATATTGTACTAAACTTAATCTCATTTTAGAGTGGTTGTGGAGAAATATGGAAAATGAAATTTTTGGCCAGAGAAGTAAGAAACAGGCTGCAAAAAATTGGCCTGAGAAAAAATGATATGGCTGGTTAAAATCTGGCTGGCCTGCCAAAATGTCTAGGTTAAAAAAATCCTTATTTCACGCACTGTTTGGGTTATACATTTTAAGAATTATGAAAATACACACTACAATATATAATCTGAACACCACGAAAACCAGATAAAAGTGTTCAGATTAGCAGGTGTTCATTTCATTAAGAGTTAATAATTTTGAAACAAAGAAAGTGTTCAAGTTGACAGGTGTTTGGATTAGGGAGGGAATACAGGCTATATTGGAAAATAGGAACAAGACAACATCGATCACTAGATTTCTGTACCTGTGAAAGTGATACAACAGAATTGTCTTCATTGATGGCTTCTTCTACCAAAAGTCTGTTTGGCCTGTCCTTCTTTTTCAGGATGGCTGTGGCTAGATCATCACTGTAATTCAATCAAAATTAGCATATTATAAATCATTAGGGATTAAAATTACGACATAAAGTCATCGAAATATAAAACAGAGAGGAGTGTTATCATGCAGAACACTTTAAACCAGGAAAATGATGACTTGCAAATTGAATCGCAATCAAACCAATCATCATGAGCCACATAAACCTTATAAAGAAATGATGTCATCATAATTTCACCTTGAAAATATTCCTTACTGAAAGGACTGAATGTGGCTTTTCTAACTCAAATGTGTTATGAATTTTCATCTTAGTTCGAGAGTAAAAAGTTAACCCTTTAGGAATACCAAAATGAAAACAAAGAACCCAGTTCACTTTCATAAGTGAATCAGCTGGAACAATGGAATCAAAAAGAATACACTCCAATTGCCTTTATACAGTAGTTTCTAGCAATGAAGTTACCCTATATTAATATGTTGCTATAAATCATTGTATCATGTTCTTACAATGTATATTCGGTGAGAAACAAGAGGGTAATAAAAACAATGTTTATAAAATTATTCATGCGCAGGAAGGAAGATGACACAGGGAAAATTGCAATATTTTATTCGCCTTACAAAATCATTCGTATCATGAAAACTACACCATCAATACTCCTCGAGTTTACACATCATATCAAACATGACACCAGTCTACATACCCTGCATTTTCCGCCATTGTAACTTCTGTTTTTTGCAGATATTTAAGTTTTAACTCGGATATTTTTTTCCGGCGACCGACGCTGTTTCAAAATGGCTGCTTACGACACGTGTGCTCACGTCATCGAATGATGTGTAGGAATTCCGTTTGATAAAAATAATATTAACCATGTATATTCCGAAATACTTATACATAAAGACAAGGCAACACTCAGTGTCATGATTTTGTAATATTGAATGAAACAACAAAACTTCTTTGCGAAACTCATATATTATCCAGAAACTTAAATTTATTATGTACACACATTCTGATGACGTAAATTTGGAAAACACCTAAAAATGGCAGGAATCAGAGGTAAAAAAATCTCTATGTTTTCTTAGTGTTCTAGCACTGACTGTACCATTTGGTACAATCATTTTACTATAAACATATGTACAAGCTCAATGTGATTTCATATGCACATAAATTGAGACGATATTTTCACAATCCATTTCAAGTAATCAATATTTCACAAATAGATTGAAATATCATTCATTTGAAACATTTTTAGGATGAGGAATGCAGGAAACTGTCAGTCATGTATATTTTTCCAAATGACTCATTTCAATGTGATACCTGAAGTATATATCGACACTGTACATGTAGCACATTGAGCATTTATTATTACTAGGGGCGATCTGTGAAGGTTCTAGTTTTTGGTTCGGTTTTCGTGTATGCGCATCAAATCTAGCAATTTGATTAGTTCAAATTATTAAAGTAGATCTAGTAGATCTTCAGTGCTTATAGTAAATAATAAAGGATGGGTTTTCAAACTCAACAGAGTGCTCTTACCTTATCCCGTGCCAGGACTATAGTCCTGTAACGAGCGCATTCTTTTCCCTGTACGATTACAACTTGGGAGAATTTTTCTTTTTCATCGAGAGATATTCCATCACTTTCAAAGATGGCAGTTGGATTTAAAAGGGGATTCCCCGTTTGACTGACCCGGAAGTGGCCCGGATAACCAATAAATGGAAGAATTTGACGGTTGAAATAAGTTAAATATTACACGCAAATATTGCGTTCAAAAACGAAAATTTCTTTGTTGTGCCGATAAACCCAGACAATTGTAGATTCAACTACAGGAAAAGAATGCTAAAATACCAAGGAATCTATTGGAATAGGTATCTCAAGTGTAAGAAGCGTAGAAAATCCTCCCATGTTGTAATCGTACAGGCAAAAGAATAAGACGTTCGCAGGATTATAGTCCTGGTACGTGATAACTCTTACCTTACCTTCTTCTAAGGCCACTGTATCGTGACCTTCGTCCAAAGATAAATTACTGCATGTATAACAGGTCATGTCGTAATCATAAAATTTGAAATCAAATGTCCACCATTTTTCCACATCACAATTTGAATTGGGAGGTTTGGTCTTATTACCTCAGCAAAAATTCCAAAACACACATGATGTGATCAATGTATTAGTTCACATCTTCTGGATCGCTAACTTAGAATTAACACTCAGTTACTAATGTCAGACATTAACAACATTCCATCCAGTTTTCGAATATCGCCATTTTTCTTGGAGCCATTTTGTTTTAATTTTAGACGAAAGCCTGACGAAATCATGAAGTATCTCATCAAGGTGCTGAGCCGGTCCCATTTTAATTAATGATTTATTTATCCAGCGATTTTTAGAGTATTCGATAAACTTATGACATGCCGGCCAGCTTTTTTCAAATGGAGTTCACAGTATCCCAGATGAAATTACCTAGAAATTGGCTAGAGACTCGAGAGACTCTTACCAAAATGGATTTGCCTATATACCCCTGAGACTCTTATCTGATAGAAAGAATGTACAAATAAAACAAAAGTTTTGCTATTGTAGGTAAAAAGCTCTCTTAAATTTCGAAGTGATTTTACCTGTTAATTCTGTCATTGGTCGCCATTTTTGCGGAAGTTACACTGGAACACAAACTCCATGGAACGAATCGAAATCACTAGAAAAAAACATGGCACAGAACGTGCGCATGCGCTCTAAAGTTAAAACAAATCAGACTATTTGATTATTTCACTAAAAGAAATATACCCGCTGAATTCATAATACTGTTATTTGTCATTTTCCAGGCCTGTAGCCAGGAGGGGGGGGGGGGGGGTTAGATGGCATTAGAGAACCCCCCTGGCCAAAAATTCCTTGAAGGAGCAATTTATGTTTCTTTTATCATTCAAAAACTTTCATATATTGTACAAAAATGTATTAACATCAGAGGTAGGTCTCAGGTTACAAAAGCATTATTGCTCCCCTCGCTTACTAGTATATATAATGTTTTGCATACCTTTCTTTTATTTATTTCCATGTATTGTTCCTGTTCCATCTCTGCTGTATGGTTGGTCCCATTATCTCATATATAGCGTAAGTTGAAATTAATGTTAATAACTTCAACAAACTTTACATAATCATATGGGGGTTCCTTGAATAACTTACATTTGTCTGGGGCCCTAATTTTTGTAAAAATAATGTAGTTAAACATTTATACGTGGCACTATTAGAAATGAGTGTGTAGTGACGGTATTATTACAATAGTAATATTAAAAGAAATGTTTCCTCAATTTCACAACCCTGACTTAACTTCCAGTTTTGCAAATTTTTCTTTTTCTCACTGGTTGGCAATGTGATTTCAAGTAGTCACTATTCAGTATTTCCAAATCAAAATCCTGTTTCTCATTAACTTAATGTAGAATGAACCTCTGTAGGTGGAACACCTCCCAAGTATGACAATAGTTTGAGGTACCACATGTGTTCCACTCACACAGGTCTTACTGTATTGGAATGTTGAATGTTGAAATTAACGATTACATTGTACATATTCTTTGTAGCCTGATTGGCCTGGCTTTTGCTGCTGCAGCAGGGATCACATTATTAGTGCTAGGATGTGCTCTTCCACAATACAAGTATGTCTGAACAAAGCTTTATTCTATAAGTATAACTAATCACTCAAATACTGTACTCCTGGTCATTTTCGCATGCTACTATATTTCACGTTTTTATGAGTTTTGGAAATAGTTCTAGTACATGTAGTTTTGATTATCAAAATATAATAGTTGCAAAAAGAAACAAGAAAATGCCTTATTTATATTGCTTATATGTTCTGGCTATTCTCACAAATTTTTTCTCATAATTCCAGCAACTGGTGGCCGATGTTTGTACTGTTTTTCTACGTCCTGTCACCCGTGCCGACAATCATATCCAGACGACTTGCTGACAGTCTAGAGTCAAGTAATGCATTGACAGAAGCCATGATATTTACAACTGCTGCAATAGTGGTATCAGCATATGGTCTTCCTGTGGTCTTAGCACACACTCCTGTCGGGTCACCTATAGTAAGTATTTTCTATGTACACAGCAAAAGTACAATTTGAAATATTCACTTATGCATGAGCTAAACCAATGGAATTTCTGATTAGAAGTGTGAGGGTTTCATTTGCAGCAGCAAATAGGCGATTTTGGACTTTTCGTTGGTTGTTTTAGCAAAAACCTGTTGTTTGATCCCAAGAATCCCATGCTGAAATTATAAATTCCAATAATTTTGACTGCTTCCATTTATTTTGCCCAATATTGTCAGAAATTCTAATGAAACTCTTGAAAGTGTACATATCTCATTTAGGTTTATCACTGCTTAAAACCTCCAAAGTACAAATCATGTATATGTACTATTCTCAAAGGGAATCTAATTTCTCATTCTCAATTATTACAAAGAATTCCAAGGGACAACTGTATTTTTATTTAGATTGCTGACTTTTAATGAAGCCTAATGTTAATATAAGGAACAAGAGAAAAGCAACTGAATTGTCATATTAAATTATTATTCTTAGTTGTCCTTTTATCCCGGGCCTTTTATCTCGTTTTCACCAGTGAGGTCATGACCACCCTAACAGCAAATACCTGAAGTTGCTGATTACAGTTAGTTTTATTAAGTCTTGGTCAGGTGTAAATAAAGATTTCCTCTTTGTATATATGTCTCCTGTCTAAAGTGGCTATAACATACTTAGGGGGAGGGGGGTAGTTTTCAGCATTAGTTGTTGTTCAATTTAAAGGTCAATTCAGACAATAATGTTACTCCAACAATAATATAAGGCAAAAGACATGCAATTATTTAATGAGTCAGATGATACATTTCTTGCCGAACCATTAAATAGCTTGTGAACTATTTTTCATTTTTTGTAAAACTCTTTCTGCACATTTTATGATATTTTCTCAGTTGATTTTTTTCTGATTATCAGTTCTTTATTACATGTTTAATGTTGTTAAACATTTTTTGAATACTTTTGAAATGTCAATTGATTTTACATTGTTACATTTTTTGTCTGATTCTAATAAAATCTTCCTATTCCAAATGAAATTACATGTACATTGTAATTTAATTCTTCAACAACTGATGAATATTAGACATATCCTTAAGGTAGTTCTGTAAGTTCAGAAATTTTAATGGTTTCTTAATTGAAGTCCCATGATTTTTTCAAGAACATGGTCCACATCTTTCAGTTTTGCACAAAGAGTACACAAATGTATCTTGATTATAACTTGAGGGTAAATAATTTTCTACAATGTATAATTTTAAAAGGTCACTGAATTTTCTCCTTTTATATAGGCCATGTTATGCTATGATCCTTAACTTTACAATCTAGATATATTTGAGCACCATTTGTGCTAAAACTTAAAGAGGTGGATCGTATATAGAAAGAGTTATGTGTACCTGAAAATAACATTGGACTCAAATTAATTAGCCATTATAATTTTGAACATACGGAATTACCTTAAGGAGTATTCAGATTAAGGCACTACAAAATGTTGCAGATCCAGCCAGTTCCCTGTATACTTGTCAGTATCGGGAACACTATTATATTTGGAACAATTGGAGTATACTTCAAATTATTTGCTGGTGACAATGATTTTGAATTCTCCAGATGGTGATATTAATGTACAAATATTTGCTTTAATTATCTGTGTTTTTATATACAAGGAATTATATAAGCTTATACAGTATGTAAGAATATGATAGCTTAAAATATTCTCTTTGGGCAATCATGGGGTACTATGGCATTAGAGCTTTTTTTGTAAAAAGATGTTATGAGTACTAGTATCAGAATGATAGGAGATTTCAAATCTTCTCACATTTAGTATTATTATTTGGAAATTAATATAGCACATTTGATTCTGTTTTGAAATTATCATGCTTCAATATATTCAAATATTTCATTCTCTTGAATTGAATACCAGACTATTTTTAATGATTTGGGCAAAGTGTACTTGTATTCCTGAAGCTCAAACAGCTATCACAAGGGGAAAATATCTTGCAAAAATCTTGAAAAAATTGATTACAGCAAAACCTGTATATGATATATCCAAATACCTCTGTAGTCTGAACACATCTCATCCATGTCAAGGCGAATACTTTTTTGGTCCCATTTTTTCAACTGCCACCGACTTTCATGTTTAAAAGTGAAGCCAATCTAAAAACTTTTGGTCAAGCCCAGTGTTATTTGGAATTAACAGATTTTACTGCATGATTATGTACAGTAGTACTGTTGTATATCATCTCAATATGGGATCTCATTGAGAATATTCATCTGTTAGTGCCATGTTCTAATGCTGCAGAGTTGATGAGCAGCAGTAAGATTGAAGCATTAAGTATTTTTTAAGAATATAAGATAAGTTTATTAATTTTGGAAAAGTAGACTTGCTTTTTATTTAGTTTCTATTTGTAAATCTTCACTTTTATATAAAAGTGAGAAATAGTATGCCATATATAGTCTTAGATAGTTTAAAGCGACGGCAAAGGACGTTGGAAGCAAGCTTTTCAATATAAAATACATGTATATCCCTTACAATTTCAAAATATATGAAAACATTTGAGAAATCTTATGCGTTGGATGAATGTTGAAAAAATTAGAAATCAGTCATAATATGTTTTTTGCAATAACATCTGTTTTTGAAATGCTCTATAAGAAATGTTGATTTTGTATGATTTTATAAAATTGTGACAATTTCTTAAATACTTTCACTCAGCCCATCTCTATCTTTTGCTGTTTCTTTGATGATTATGAGTTTTTATTGAGTTAAGCTTGGTTGCTTATGACAGTTGAAGTGCCTATTGAAGTGCCTATTGTATTGCCAATGTTATATTTTAATGAAGCACCATATTTAAATTACCAAGTCCAGTATATTACCTAGCTTATCTGTGTTTTAGCAGAACATTCACCTTAATTTATATTTTACAAAAATGGTCTTGGTAGGACTACATTTTGATAAAATTGATACAACTGTGTAATGATTCATTCAGAGTAACATTTTTACAGTCTAACTAACTATATTTGAACTATTTTCGTCTATTTCTTGCAGATAAGTTTAGGTGCTATGGCCCTTGTCATGGCAGGAAACACAGTTTCATTTGGGACTATTTTAGCCTATTTCATAGTGTTCAATGAGGATTCCATGGACTATAGTAGTTGGTGAAGCAACAACAACAACGAAATCCAGAGAAAACTAGGACTCAATTGTTTATTAATGTATATTTTGACAGAATATATTACATACATGTACATATTGCATAAACGATAGCTACACATTTAAGTTTTAGTTACTTTCTGCTGTAAATAGTGTTGTATAGTACCTTTAGAATTGTGCAAAATGTTTGATTTGTTAAATATACTGTATACATATTCTAGTGAAATATACAGTATAATTAAATATTGTTTTAATTTCCTTGGCAATGTCAACTGAGTTAAGATTTTGGAGGACACCTATAATTTAATGCATGCCATTGCTTACTGTATCACTTATTTGTGTATTAACTTATTTCTTTTCTTTGTGTTCAATGTTTTCAAACAACTTTTTCTTGTATGCTTTGCTTTCTAGATAGATCTCGACATGCTTCCTTTACTTTAGTTCCATTTAACATGTAATTTATAGAATCAAACATGGTTCTTTTGTTTCTTTGATTTTTGTAATCACAGTATCAGTAGTGACAACTCTTTCAAACCATGTACAGATGATGATGCTATTACATTTGAAAAATCAAAGTGAGTCAAATAACTTTACTGCTCATTTTTCTGCAGATAGCCTGGGGGGCGTGTGCTTTAGTGCTATTTGGAAACACAGTTGTCTTTCTTACCATCCTAGCCTACTTTGTCATGTTTGGGAACCATGACGATATGGACTACAGTAGCTGGCAATGATTATAACAGCATGTTATAATCCACTACATGTTCTACCATGTACATGCAAACTAACCAGGTTCAACTAACACTACTACAATTAATTACTGTTAATTGGGTAGATTTGGCGCCTGTTTTTATTTGGCGATTTAGCAGTTCAATACATGGTTTTAATCACCACCAATAACAAGTTTACAATATATATATATATCATGTGTTATATTGTATTTTATGGAACTTTTACAAAAACTAGCAAATTAAAAATCAACCAATATCCAGAAAATGGTGAAAATTCCAAAGAACACAGTGCCAAATTAACCCAGTTAAGAGTAGACAACAGTGTACATGATTACATGCACAATTGTAGTTGTATTCAGGATCCAAATATGACTGATGTTTTTTTACTTAAATTTTAAACACTAGTATACAATGCAATCTTTTGTCTTGTGTGAGATAATTGTGCATTGCAATTTGTATACATTGCAGGGCAAAATACAACAGCTAAATACCCTAGAATGTGCTCATATTCTTGATGGTTGATGCTTTAATTCCTATACTACTTGTATCTCAGTGTTCTACCATTAACACCTACATAACATTCTTTTAAAATCATAGGTTTAAGGTGGATATAAAGATGGCAGCAGTTGTAGTTTTCATAAAACAGATTGATTACACTGCCATCTTTATTTAAAAATCATTTCAATCGCCCTTTAGCTTTTCATTAAAATACTAACAATGGGCTTGGAAACTGTTCATAACATAGATTAAGGATTTCTATTTCTTCTCCTTTTCTATCTGTATATGTGCATTTCGCATAATGAACACTATATGTGTCATATTCCATGTTATATGTTTGTGAGTAAATATCACTGCAATCAACATACTTACAATTAACCAAAAAGGTTCACTGAGATCATATCACTCATTTAAGGAGAAATCATGGATTTTAAACAGTCATTGTTGAACTAATTCCTCACTTTGTAAAAATTGCTTTGATATGAACATCTTACTAATATGCATTGCTTTGTAATGAAAAAAAGTCACACATTATATACGTATAGAGCAATACTCCCTGGTAGTGAATAGAATTACACTCCCCTCCATAAGTTTGGCAACCAGAGGTATTCATTGGATTGCATATTAAAGCATGGCAATGTTTGAATCTGAATTTTGTTCCTTGATTACAATATTTTGAAAATTTGATGATTTTTTAAATCTCCAAACACAAACAAGTTTTTGAAGAGAATCATCCAGAAGGACACTTCCAGTTGCCAAACTTATGGAAGGGAGTGTAATTCTGTTCACTACCAGGGACTATTGCTATATAGATAATGTGTGACATTTTTTTTCATTACAAAGCAATGCATATTGTGTTTTTAAATTGTGTATATATGAACTACATGTGCAATGTACCATACAGTACATATGGTTTTATGTGTACATATGGATCTACACTCTAAAAAAGTGTACCACGTTGACTAACATAAGTTCATTCATGTTAAGTCATTTGGTTGTGAGACTGAAACATGTTTCATTTACTGAGGTGTTCCTCTTTACAAGTTTCACAGTATATTCTATATGCATTGTGAATCTGGTGGATCTGAATATATGATTTAATATGTATAAAACATGGAAAAATAAACAAATTAATGAATAGACTTAAGTTGCTTTGAGGTTAGTTAAATTACTAAAGTTATTTAATTGTATCCACAGGTCTATTGTATTTTATGGTTTTAGATTTCAAGGTACCACTAAACTAAAGTCTCAGGTAAACTTTAAGGCCACTTGTACTGTATTTTGTCATTTCCCCTTTCCATGTGTGTTTTTAGACCTCCATTCAATATATATGTGACTGTTGGTCTTTCTATTGTAAATTTTGTAAATATATATTTTGTCATACAATGGCATTTTAAAATGAATATTCATTTATTAACTATTTAAACTTGAATGTCTATCAAGTTGCCATTGCAAGCCTAGCTAGAAATAGAACTCTTGTAAATTAGTGTAAATAGTTTTCATAAACTGTAAATCTAAAAGTCTAAAGGCAGGCAACCCATTAAATCAAACGGTCTCTTGGAAATTGTTTTGGTTCATAATGAACTGGTAACTGATATATGTTTTACTGTATGTAGCCTCTCTTCAACTGAATTTGTTTGGCCTCTTTGATTCTCCAAGACATTTAATGGTATTGTCTTTATTTATGTGGTATGTTTGTCTAAAAGAATGAGCCATTAATCATGCTTTCAAAATACACTAAAGAGGGTTGATCTTTATTGAATACATGGGCATTTCTATCATAAATTAGTTATGTGATGCAAAAATACTAGCCATTCAACAACTGGAGTAATGCACCAGAACTTCAGAACAACATACATTTGTGCAATAGGCAAGAATTATGGGGTGTAGTTCACCCAATTATCTTTCATGTAGTGCAAGCAGCTAATTGACTGGTTTCTCTTATATCAACGTCAGACAAAATGTTGTATTTTTACATGTTTTTTTCAAGCCATCAATAATGCCAAATATGTATTTATTGTATTGTATGGTTATGTGAGGGTTCACTGGTTCAAACACTACACAGAACAATTTATATATTAAGAACAAATATATTTCAGTAGGTTTGTATGAATAACTAGTCTGTATATTATTGAAGTAATTGTAATTTATAATAAACTGCCTTGAAACAGAGAAATTCTACATTTTGTCTGTTAACTGTATAGTTACCCTTTGCAGACTGTGTTCACAACTTCCCCTTTGTTAAGTAATATTCAGTACACATATATGAATAAAATTGAATACCAAACACGGCTTACAAGCATTAATCCACCTGATAATGTATTCATCTTATAGACACGATGGAATTTCAAACATTATTCCATAATAACATGTTTTCCCTGGGAAAATAACAGGGAATAAAATTGATATTCAAAAGATTCAGCCAATATCCCGTATCACATCCTGTATCAGCCAAAATCCCATATAAGATCCCGTATCAGAACTATCAGAAAATTTCATGAGACTTAACAATGTGTTATTATGGTATATTATGATCCAAAATTAAAAATATATTTTCCTTGGTCAATATCATATTTTCCCTCAAAATAAAATTCATATTCCATCCCTCCCATTAAATAACCTCTCTATATTGAGCTGTTTAAAGGAAATGCAAAAGTTAATTCAAAAATTGTGTACTGCAATAAGCCCCCTTTTCTATAGGCCTAATCAAACTTGATTTTCTCCAACAGGCCATTTTCTCAAAACTTTTTGTTGTCAATATTGCCAATACCTAAAAATCTGAGATTACCTAGAAAATGGCCAACAGTGTTGATGGATGCTCAGATGGATAGATGCCTAGACGATCCTAAATGCCCATTAAACTAAGAAATTCATGATGAAATAACGAGGCAGTAGTATGAAATGAAAGCAAGGTTATTTCTCACACCACCCTTGCACCTTGCAGCTACTTATAATGACCAGGTGAGTGTGCTAGTGGTGCTAGTGTGACTGGGGCAGTACCAATGATTGTTTTTGAATTCGAAGTTTTAATTTATCTAAATATCTAGGAGCTGCCGAACACTCCAAGGCATCATAGATTTCAAATTTGACACCCAAAAGTTGAAATTAAGCAATATATGGGTAACTTAATTCGCAAACAAGTGTTGGCATCACACCAGTTATACTATCGCAGTGGTCTGGTCCATTATCGAAAGCTACACAAACCAAGGGTGTTATAAAACCTGTCAAATGGTATTCAAGTTAAAGCAAAACTTCTGATTTTTACCTAAAATGATCAAAGGGCTGAAGGATGGGAATAACTGATTTTGGTGCAGAAGTATAATATTTTTCCAAGTAATATCAAGAGATTTATGCTCTTTCCCAAGGAGTTTTTAAAAACATTTTTCATCAGTATCAGTAAAGTATTCTTTGAATTGAGGTTATCACATCGATGGAAAAATAAATGAAACAACAGACCTCGTTTTGTTGGATAATAATACCCAATGGTACTTTATTGAAAGTACATTATGAGGGTAAACATACAAAATGAGCCATTTATTTTCATTGGAGCCTTTCCATGAGAAAATCCAGAATGAAGTCCTCTCAGCCTGTCAGTACTGCAAAGTTATGCATTTGTACTACCATTTCCAATGCTTGTTGGATTGTTATTTGTAATTTCACTATTGTTTAAACTTTTTGCTGAAGTTCTTTTTAGTAGGTGGTTTATATATTTCATCTGGTCTCAGTTTGTATTTTGCCATGGCTTCATTTTTTAGTTTCAATCTATCTTTACGGTTTTTATTATTCCCTCCAATTGACGTGAACTCCACATTTATTTGTCGTCCCAAAAGTTCTGTGTGGTGAAGCATCAAGGCAAACTGAAACAGGTATGGGAAACAATGTAGATGACATCATATAGCAAAAGCAGACATGGGAAATAATGTAGATGACATCATACAGCAAAAACAGACATGGGAAATAATGTAGATGACATCATACAGCAAAAACAGACATGGGAAATAATGTAGATGACATCATATAGCAAAAATGGACATGGGAAATAATGTAGATGACATCATATAGCAAAAACAGACATGGGAAATAATGAAGATGACATCATATAGCAAAAACAGACATGGGAAATAATGCAGATGATATCATATAGCAAAATAGAGAGTTTTCATGATTCATTTATTAAAACAACATAATATACATCATTGACAGGGCCTAAGCCAAGGCATTATTGACCCTGTATATCTGTATATTTATATGGCAATCATCACTTAGACAACAGAACAAGAGTTTCACAAACACTGATGATGATGTAACAAGTGAAGAATTAAATAAAATGATCAAAAAATGAAGAATGAAACCTCCAAATTTTGTGAACGCTTTCATTTACTATAAATTAATTCTGTTCTGTATATTACTTGTACTAAAAGCAATCTGTAACTGTTGGCCAATATGAGGTTGTACTGATTCATAAGTATTATAAATCATCAAATTTTTCATCCCTTCCTCACCTGATCAAATCATTTACTGTACGCCCGGTATTATTTGCGAGCTTTAATTTCGCGAATTTTGCGAAAACACGGTTTCGCGGCTATTAAATTTTGCAAATTCTCAAGCTAAATTACTAGTAGATGTACAGTAATTGCACTTACCTGATGTCAAAGTTGGATCAGATTTACAATAACTGGGATCTTTATCATCGGCAAGCTGCATATCAACTTCTATTATCGCATCGTTAATTTCGGTCTTATTTTAAAACGAAAAAGCAGTTTGAATTCGTATTTTGTATTACATGTTGGTGGAAATCATCCAATTATCGCCCAATAACACTAGACGAAACGTTTTACACAAAACGAAATGCATGTTGTAGTTCTTCTTACAGATGTACAAATGGAGGGATCAGAAGTTGACAAAATGCATCAGAGCCCCGGGTAAAAACAAATTCCCGGGGATTTAATTGGCAATTTCGCGACAATAATTTTTCGCGATTTTAACACCATCGCGAAAAGCGCGAAAGTTAATCGCACGCGAATAATACCGGGCGTACAGTATTTCCACATGTATGTACAAGTATAGACTCTACAAATTAGAAAGTATACCTACCATAAATGCCTTGTTGTTTTTGAATTCTATGTAAGCAAAGCCCCTAGGTTTACCAGTTGTCTTTTCAGTAGGAAGTCTTATAGTCTTGACACCCCCTTGAAATAAAATAAAAAGGATATTAGGCCTTTTCCATTATAATACTTATAAAGGTTCCAGCCAAGGGAATATATATATGTATCTCATACTTGAGTGGGTTTGGGGTAGATATCACCCGGGAATATATATCGTATCTGAGGAGCGGGCAGGATATATTGTATATGTCCCGCTCCAGGCCAAATGCGGGCAGATATAAAATATCCATCCCGCTCCCGGGAATTTTTCAAAAGTTTAAAAAAGTTTAAATATCAAAAGTTTTAATTTTTTAATTTTAAAATTTAATTTTTTTAAGTTTAAATGTTACAATTTCATTGTATTGAACAAAAAGAATATTACGAAAATGTTAAATATAAATATCTTGTCATTATATCTACCCTAAACCCACTCAAGTATGAGATACACCAGTTATGCACGGTCGGTTTGGATACATGGAATATCCCTTGGAATATACAATACATCTTCCCTCAGTCTCTTCGGTCCCTCGGGAAGATATATTGTATATCCCTCGGGATATTCCCTGTATCCAAAACCTCCCAGTGCATAACCCCTATATATACCTGTATCTGTATGAAACAATTATGTACATTTCTAACAGGTGAAATCTCACCATTTTCAATCAAATTCATACATTTCATGCTATATTTTCGAGTTTAGTGTGATGCAGTTTTTTTAATATCAGTATTTGGGTTAATTGGGAAAGAGGGGCTAGTCACTTCACTCTTAAAGCCCAGTGAGTGCCCTTCTACTCTTTACATTTGTTTGCCTCTGCTTCTTAAAAAAAGAGCTTCATCTATTGAGTTTGTAACTTGACTCTACACGCAATATTCCGGTTTTGTCTGTTTACCTGTTCTGATGAAGTGCTCTTCTAGTTGTTGCTTAGTGACATTATATGGTAAGTTTCCAACAAAGAGAACATAACTTTTCTTTTGTGCTTTCTTTTCAGGCTTCTTAGCAGTTTCTTTGCTATCTTTCTCTGATTTGTCCAACTCTTTCTCATTGTTCTCAGATTCTTGCTTTGTTTCTAGAAGATTGGATACTTTGTCTTTATTTTTTGATTTTTTGTTTCTTCTTCGTTTCTTGGCGGGTCTTTCAGAATCCTCCTCTGCAACAGCTTGACTCTCTGAAACAAGAAAAAATATTTAAAATAATGAAATGAAGCACTTTATGAAACTCTCTATACAGGTATAAGAGGTCACATACAATGCCTAACCAAAAAATATAATAAAAATTTGTTAATCTTGGATTGATTGTGGTTTGGCAACTAAAATGAGTGGCCTCTTGTATTTTGATTTTTGATGCTTCTCTAACATGCCTCGTATGTAATTGTTATTCTTGAAACTTTAGGGACCTACATGTAGGGACCTGTACATGTCATAGGGACCTACATGTAGATATTGAGTCTCATTCTGTATCTGAACTACTGTTCAGACCATAGGAGACAGGTTACCTGAAAAGGAAGATAGATATCATTATCTCTTATCTCAAGGACTGAAACTGAGGCAAGTCTACCCTGGCTGAAATCAGCTCTGAAATAACAATTACTGCATGTCAAGCCGTCATTCAATGCTGATTTTGTAGAAAACAGATCTGTCCATCCTTCTACATGTGAGTTTTTCCCATAAAGATGCTTGATTAAGTAGAAATTCATCAAATTATACCCCTAGAATATCAAAGTTCAACTGTACATCAATCGCGTGAGGAAAAAAAACAAATCCATTCTTCACCTTCTGTTCACAAACCCTTCTTCTTCTTCTTGGAAAAGTTGTCCCTCATTTGACTAACAGCAAATGTGTATGTTTATGCAGCAATATATGTTAGTTTAGAAAATGATTAATTACAATCTTACCTGTACTTCACAGAAACATCCTAAGTATGAAAATATTTCACTAAAAATACATGCTTCCATTTTGTCACATGTTCATAATAATTTAAATATTGATCATGTGATGTTGACAGGGAGTGTAAACGCACCTAGCGTACAGGAAATATGTTATGATATTTATTAAGAAATTAGGTATGGTAATCATTATTAATTAAGCATTAAGTATTAAGCCCCCAACCCACTTCACAAAGTTCATGAAATACCAAGGAAAGACCAAATATTAAATAAATTAGAAAAATTTGAATTTCCAAAAAAATCAAGTGGGCGATAATAGAGTCTCTGAAACATTAAATTTTTCCTTCATTAACTTATTACATACATTTTTTTTAGATAATATTAGTTTGTATGTATGTATAATTTATTTGCCTCTTAATATAAAGAGAGTTACATTCATATTTTACATAAAATGATTAATAAGTGACCAGCATCACAAAAATTATTAATAATAGTAATGATTTGATAAAAGCAGTTGTCTCTGCTTGTGCATTATATAAACGTACTGTGATATTTCTAATAGCTTCTCATGATCACAACTAATGATACCTAATATTGACTTGAGAATAAAATTGTCATCTTGGACGTTAAAGATGCTTGTTACAATGTTAATCATCGGAACCCTCACTCCAGAAAAAGCTGGACATTTGAGTAAAAAATGTTTAACAGTTTCATTTTCATTAAGCTCACAAAGCACACATGTTTTACACATAGGTGTATCACCCTCGCGACGTCTACTGTTTAAACCGTAAGTTCCAGTTAGTAATTTTATCATAAGTTTTGTGCAGTACATATAATTGGGATTATTTCTTGCAATAATCCACCAAACATTTGGTTTCAATTCTACCAAGGAACCTGCCATCATATTGAGATTATTGTACATCAGTGCTGAGAGCACAGTGCTACGAGCATGAACATTTTTGACTCTATTGTAAATGGTCTCTCTAAATTTTGATTTACTTGGAAATTTAGCATTGAAAATCATTTCCTTCACATAGTCAGTAAGATTATACTTCAGAACTGTTTCCCACATATAAAATGAAGGGGATTTCATGCTTTTACAGGTAACAGATGTGTACATCATTCTTATTAATCGCTCTAAACATATGACTTTATATATACAATTCATAGGCAAACATAACAGCATGAACAAAAACATAAGTCGGTCACAATCAATCTTCGCTTGAACTGACATCCAGCCAAGCAGCCTGACTGCCACAGGATCTGGTGTGTTCTTTGGCAATGACTGGATTCGCTTGCCAATCTCCCTGTGCGCACAATCCATCAGTTTAAAGTCATCCTCTGAGTATGGTATCACTGCACATCCATAAGTCATGGTGGGGAAAGCAAAAGACCAGTACAGTTTTGAAGCTAATAATGGGTGAATGCCGCCACACCCGCTTCCTAGGCCCAAAAGTGAGCAGAACTTTCTTCTTGCTGCGGATATAGCACCTTTTACGTGTTCGGTTGTTTTCCCAAGAGGAATCCCAACGTGATGAGCTGACTGAACAGTTTTTATGACCGCCGTTCCGAGTTTAAAGTCGCAAATCGTCCTTTTTGCCGGGCCATACGTCATTATCACACACTTATCTGGATGAAATTCAAAACGCCATCGTCTACTGTATTCGTACGCTATCTGAAGAAGTTCATTCATATGTCCTGGGTCAGTTGTTATAAGCGCGAGATCATCGGCATATGCAGGACAGCCTAGAGGGTGTCTTCCGATCTTTGCAACAAATTGACTGTTTATTAATTCGTTTAAAAGGTCGGCAATGAAGAATTGGTAGAGATGCATACTGCAGATTCCTCCTTGATGGACTCCCCTGTGCACATGAAAAGATTCAGGATTTAGTACACCATTTACAAGAACTTTACATTTATATTTACAATATGAATTATACAAGAGTCGCCAAGCGAGGCCATTTATACCGATTTTGTACAGTTTCCAGAACAACCCATCTATCCAGGTACCATCGAAGGCTTTCCTAATGTCCATTAACGCCAAAAATACCCCTTCCTTAACATTATGTGCAATAACTTCTTGAAGCAAAAATGATGTGTGAAGAGAAGAACACTTTTCGACAGAGGCACCCTGAAGTTGAGGGATAGCATTTCTGAGCCTTGGAAGCATCCTAGCGAGTACCATATTATCAAACAATTTTCTCAAAATACTCATTAAAGTAATACCTCTGTGGTGGTCTCTGTTAAGGCAATCTTTGTTACCTGACTTTAAAAGAGGAATAAGGATTCCTGTACAAAAGTTTTCTGGGATGTACTCACTTATACGAATTACGTTAAAAAGTAGTGTTATGACTATTGTCATATACTGACCACCATATTTTATATGTTCTGCATTTAAACCATCATGACCAGCGGCTTTATTATTATTCAGTTTAAGTATACATTCATTAACTTCCTCAGTTGTAAAATCAGTGTCTAAAATAGCATCCTTATTTAATACAGACTCCATTTTCATTACTTCCATGTCTGAAACAACCTCACTTTCAAAATTACTGTCAAAAATGTCTCTATTGTCATATGAAGCCAGATTACAAAAATATGATTGCCACTCGTTACAAACTGCACTTGGATCCATAAGAATCTCCCCATTGTCTGCTCTTACAGCGCTGGATTGTTTACCTTTACAATGCCGGCTTTTATTTAAAAGATACCAGAAGGTCCGTTGATCTAAGTTCTCTGACTCATAGATCTCGTTCAACGTTTTATGTTCATACTCTGTTTTAGATCTGTTGAATGCCACCCGGAAAATCCTCTTTGAGTCCTTATAATTCATTCTTGTTTGGTCCATTACGTCCCTCGGTCTCCCTGCGTTCACCCAAGCGTGCCAAGCCCTTTTCTGCAGCTTCTTCAAACGAGTTAGTTCACTGTTCCAGAACGGCTTCTGATGCTTCATGAACTTTTTAACTGGAATAGCAGAATCAGCTCTTGATTTAATTACTTTGATTAATCTATCAATGTGATTGTCTATAGTTTTACTGTCAATATTGACCGTGGTTGACATTTCGTTAAACAAAGGCATTAAATCTGTTTGCATTGGGTTTGTAAAATGTTCAGTAATATCATTTTTGGTCACCCTGGTCCACGCATAAGTTTTCATTTCGCTAATAGGCATTGAATTAGTCATATGTTTTAAAGATGGCAGGTCAAATACACTCCGTATAGCTAGATGACCAAAATCTGCAGTGTGAGCGCTAGTCATTACGTCACAGCTAATTACATGTTTCAATAAAAATTCAGATATTACAATATGGTCTATATAAGTTCTGTGCCCAGTGGCAGTTACATATGAATATCGTGGACCTTGTGAAATATTATGTATATCAAGGGCTAATAAGCCATTGCGTTGCATCGTTTGAAACAATAATTGACCATTAACACTATGCTTACCAGTAGACCGTCGCGTTTCACATAAACTGCCCAAATTGGCATTAAAATCCCCAGCAATAATACAATTTGCATCTTGTTTACATTGGCTTACACAATCTTCGAGAAAAATTAAAACATCCTCAAAAATATCATTTTTGCACCCTATTTGGGGCAAATATACAGAAAATACATAAATTGGTGTATTCGTTTCAACCTTAATACATGCAACCCTGTCAGTACAATATTTTCTAATCGGTGACACCGGATATTTTAAGGACTTTCGCCACATTAAGGCTATACCCCCATGTCCCCATGTTAGGCCACATTGCATTGAATCAAGTGATTTGCAGCTATAAGCAAGAGTGTTAAAATCAGAATCAACAGAACTTAATTTGTTAAGGTTACATTCAAACAAACGGTGCTCTGAAACAGCAACTATGTCGCTCGACCTAAGCAGATCTCTCAGGTACACCTCCGAAGAATTCAGACCGTTGATGTTCCATTGCGATATAGATACCATTAACTGTATTAAAGTAACAAAGGTAAACAGTAATTGCACTAAGAATATAATCTTGAATGTGATAGTTATGAAATGTATCTCGGTCTTAAATCAACATCACTTCTATCATCACTGTCAAAATAACGTCGTCTCCGACGTTCCCATACCCTACATTTAATAGGAACAGGCCACAAATCAACACAAAGAGCCCTATCTACCTGGTGTTTGGGTATCGTTATCTTGCATCCGACTTTGTCACAGGATATCCGGTTATGCACAACATGTATCTGTTTCAACCTGATATTATTATCCAATGCAAAACGTTTCACATTATTGATTGTATCCTCGTCGTCCTCCTCACTTGATTGATAGATATTTTCTAAATAGAGCACACTCACTTCCTCATACTCAATGCCTCTCAGGCCACTATTTCGGGGTCGTGTGCTTACATTGTCACGCGTTGTAATCGGTCTTGTGGGGACTGTGTTAACATATTCCTTTTGTTTCGCCGCCGCCTTCTTTCGCCGAAGCTGATTATTTCCGAGCCACGTCTGCCATTCCTTCCCAGGGGGATCTGGGCCCTTCCATACTCCGCGATCAGTGGGGGGTGGGCCGCGCCATACACCAGTCTCCGTCACACCATAGGTCACCTGCTCACTCGTCCCTTTAAGCGTATTCAGGTTAAGATTCGATCTTGGGGGTCTGGGAGGAGTGGGACTCAGGGTTCTCGGCTGCGTAGGGGTTTGGGTTCTCGGGTACGTCTTCTGGGGACTGCCACGGGATGTGGGACTCTTAATACGTTGCTTGGATGGTTCAACGTTCGGTTTATTACATCCGTTGTTAGCTGCCGAACGGCATTCGGAGGGCAGCTGTGTATGCGACACATAGGTATTTTTCGATGCATCAGGGTAATCTTTATCAGGAGCCATACGATTTACATCACAAGCTGGGGTCGCACTGACCTGGTTCGATTCGGAAAGAATGTTATTGTTTACATTATTTGACCCATCGCTGGAATTCGGAACGACTGGGTCATTTTGCGTACTCAACGACTTACTGGCATTCAATCCACTAATACAGGATTCGGCGAAATTAGTCATTACCTGTTGAGTTTGTTTAGGGGGTGCATTCGAATTCACTAGGTCGGAAGGTTTAGAGCTAGTTACAATACGTGTAATAGATGCTAGATTGCCCTGCATAGAGTTCGTATTCTGGGTTAGCTTTTCAAGCTCAGATTGCAACGTTTTACATGTTCCCGTGATCTGGTCAAGTTTCGAAGACAAAGTACAAATGTCCTTTCTCATAGAATCCCTCTCAACTTCTAGCTCCTTTACCTTCTGTGTTAGTACTGTTATTGTAACATCCATAGATGCAGCACGTTCATTTCGATGCATGTTATTAGAGGCCTCCCTGGACACGGTTACCTCGGGCAGGAAACTGTTCGTACTCAAAACACCCTTTGGGAACATATCTACGTTATCTGTCAGGTATAAATATAAGTCGCATATGTCCATAACTGTATTAGTAAGCTTGTTCTTACCCTGGCGTTTCTTAGGCTGCAGATTTACAGGGACTTCATGTTCCTCGCGCTCTGCTAACGGTCCAAATAAAGAGTCACAATGCTCCGTGACTTTTGATTTTGCCTTTTCGAAGAAGTAATCACGTATCATGTCAAAATCCTCCTCGGATCCATCATGCAATAGCTGCTCGACAACGTCGTTCCTCGGTCCTTCAGTTAGTAAATTCAGAATCTTCTCATAATATTGTAAATCCTCATCAGATGGCGGAGACATTTTGGAAACGTGTTTCCACCATTACACCGGAAGTATGTTTGATTGATATTGATACCATTGATATGGTGTGGAAAGCACACAATGATAGATAATTATCGGGAGTATGCATTGAAAATTACAAAATATGTCACTTTTGCCATGTTTCAGAGGCTCTATTATCGCCCACTTGATTTTTTTGGAAATTCAAATTTTTCTAATTTATTTAATATTTGGTCTTTCCTTGGTACTTCATGAACTTTGTGAAGTGGGTTGGGGGCTTAATACTTAATGCTTAATTAATAATGATTACCATACCTAATTTCTTAATAAATATCATAACATATTTCCTGTACGATAGGTGCGTTTACACTCCCTGTCAACATCACATGGTCAATATGTAAATTATTATGAACATGTGACAAAATGGAAGCATGTATTTTTAGTGAAATATTTTCATACTTAGGATGTTTCTGTGAATTACAGGTAAGATTGTAATTAATCATTTTCTAAACTAACATATATTGCTGCATAAACATACACATTTGCTGTTAGTCAAATGAGGGACAACTTTTCCAAGAAGAAGGGTTTGTGAACAGAAGGTGAAGAATGGATTTGTTTTTTTTCCTCACGCGATTGATGTACAGTTGAACTTTGATATTCTAGGGGTATAATTTGATGAATTTCTAGTTTCTACTTAATCAAGCATCTTTATGGGAAAAACTCACATGTAGAAGGATGGACAGATCTGTTTTCTACAAAATCAGCATTTAATGACGGCTTGACATGCAGTAATTGTTATTTCAGAGCTGATTTCAGCCAGGGTAGACTTGCCTCAGTTTCAGTCCTTGAGATAAGAGATAATGATATCTATCTTCCTTTTCAGGTAACCTGTCTCCTATGGTTCAGACGACACGTCCCATGTTATATCTTAAAAAAATCAGAGACGAGATTCGCTACAGTATCTACAAGGGACCACAGATTCATTGTACGTAAAACTAATTCATCTGAAATAAACAAACATTTTGCGAGTAAAAAGTGTATTTTTCGATATGATATTGCACTGTTTATTGAGCCCATGATTGACACAAAGACTCCATGGTACCTGATTTATTATCATTTTGAGCATCAATCTTATCTTCAGATTTAACATCTTGATCCTCTTGGTCTTTAGATTGAATCTTTATACATAAATTATTCCCATTCTGCTCCACTGGACTGACTGCAGCAACTGTGTCATCGGGCTCTTCTTTGAACATCCCATCTGCTTTTTTCCTATGTTTATCCCACCATGCTTTACGTCTATTAGCTCGCTCTTCGGCTTTACTCATTACGAGTATCTTTTTCTGACAATATTTTGGGGCTTTTTCTTTATCCTAATCAAGCGTCTAGCTTATGAGCAGTGGCTTAAATGATAAAATATTGAAAATATCCTTAACCGGAAATTGTAATGATGGGCGCAGACATCTTTAAAATTGAGAATTAACCAATAGAAACCGAGTTTACAGTGTTTGATAACGATTGTCAAACAGCTTTTCATTGGTTATTTATGTTATCCATTTTCCACAGATTTCTAGAAATAATTTTGTTTATGTTTTCAAGTATATATCCAGATACACGTTGATAAGGATAAAGTTGACTTCTTAGAATAGTTTTCAACATTCATAGCAACTATGTTGGGCGGTAATTTCTTCAAAGCTTTTGACGAAGACCCATTTTTTAGGTAAGTTTTGATATATTTGTTTTTCTCATTCTCTTCCACTTCCAGATCCAGCTTCTAGATCTACTACTTTTTCCATGTCCCGACTACGTCGGTTGATCTTTAAATATAAGAGTTACTTAAAGATTGAGAGTCTTACTTACCTTCTAGAGGTTAGTACACACTATTTTTGTTGGTCATGGGGGGGGGGTGCTACGCCTATGAGTTAGGCGCACAATACTACAGTGCAGGGTTTGTAGAAAAAACAGGTACCGGGTAGTAAATCCTCCATGCTGGGTTCAAACTTGGTACCCGGTCGAAAAAACCGGGTACCCCAAAAACGTAAAATACGAATATATAACATAATTAGATCATTAGAAAACGTCATGGGCTTTCAACTACAGCGTAGAAGGGTAGGCAACTTCCCATATTTCATACATAAGCATTGCCTTTTGGGTTTTCAAAATTGGAGAATGTACAAATTCCAAGAAAATCTTATTTTGTCCTTTTATGGATGATTTAAAGAAATAACTCAAAAATAAAAACATGATTATCTCCATACATGTTGATAATTTAATAAAAAATGGAATTCATCATAATTATGACAATACAGAAAGTGAACATTCTCCCACAAATTATATTTTTATTGGAAGGTGTTCTTAAATAATGCAATACTCGAAGAGATTATCTTGATACCTCTTATTCTTATTGGCCTTTTTGTTTATTGTTTACTTTTACATGAGATTGAATATATTTTATGCTTTAATCATATTGAAAATTGATTTTTATTCAACATAATTCTAAAACATGTACATTTATCTAATACTTTTTGAAATATTACTATAAAAGGAGAGCATGGCATTGCTCATTTTGAAAGTCTCATGTTATTACACAGAGTTGCATACCCTCTAATTGAAAGCCCATGGAAAACGTGTAAGATTTGTTTTGAATTCACAAAAATGTATGTAACTTCCTTCAAAATTGAGCTAGAAGCTTCAAATCAAAAGAATTTTAAGGCTCTTTTCTTCCTCTATCATAATGGTCATATTTTCATTGGTTATGGGGGGGGGGGCTGCGATCGCACCATCGAACCCCCTCCTGGCTACGCCCCAATTTTGAAGGAAGTTTCAGACATTTTTGTAAATTCAAAACAAATGTTACACATTTTCTAATGATCTAATGGGAGCCAGGATAGATGGCAGTTAACTACTAGGTTGTTCTCCACAACTGGTCCATTGGTTTATGTGTAAATATTGCTGTTTTGAAACTTCAATTTCTCTACAAATATCAAATAAATATCATATTTTCCTTCATCATTATTTACAAACATGTTTTAAGATCCAAAATGAGAAGTTTTGGATATATTCAATAAAATTTATCTTGGGAGATTTTTGGAACATTCTTTACATGTTAAGTATGCTACTAAACCTACTGAATTTTTTGGCATCTATTGACAGTCCTGATGGCCATTATGTTTTTTGGGTACCCGTTTTTTCGACCAGGTACCAAGTTTGAACCCAGCATGGAGGATTTACTACCCTGTACCTGTTTTTATCTCCATACCTCTACAGTGCAGTCTCTAGGGAATTGATTGTCCTTTGTACACGATACAAATGTGTACCTTTGGTTAGGAGAGTTACAGTGTAAAAAGAAGTAAAATGCCTTGGCGAAGTAACCTCATTTAAATGAGCCTCTACAGGGTTTTCACCAGGAAATTTTTAGACCCCGGATTTTTCGCGGTATCGGGACTACTCCTCCCCAATGTGAGATCAGAGATATCAGAATTAGAATACTTTTGATTCAAATTTTTTACTAAACTTGTCATTTTGACTATACTCTGAAAACACTGCTGTTATTTAAGCCAACCAAACTTAGATAAAAAATATTTTGATAACAAATACAATGGCTACTCACACTGTCCTTCGGTATTTAGTATACATCCCTGTCACACCATAGTCTTCAAATATGAAAAAACGTAAGCACAATTATCCAAGAGAAAATAAATGAATGTCAATGAATGGTAATTTCTGGAAGTCTCAATCAGTGGGAAAAGTTGCTATTTTACACATGCAAGATCTGATTCTTGATTTGTCAATTTAACATTTCATAAGTTCGCGGATTCATAGAAATCTCTGTCTCAGTTTCAGTGTGCCACCAATGTGTCTTCTTTGCTCGGTGAACAAACACCAGTGCAGATAAATCAGCCATAATATTTTTATTATAAATAATGATAAATTTGTTCTCAGATGAGTAAAATGCTGTATTTTAAATTTCCTAGTGGTCACAGAGAGCATATGCAGCGGATGAGTGAAATGTTCAACCAACCATTTGGTGGAATTCCGGCTATATCACAACAAGGTATTACAGATGGCAGACAGAGGGCCCCTAGAGGAGAACAGAGGCAGTCTCGAAGTATGGCATTGTCTCCATTTGGAATGTTTGATCAAAACCCATTTAGTGGGTTTGGAGGAATGTTTCAGAATATGCAAAATATGCAGTCAATGATGATGGGAGGGATGCAGGGAAGAATGGTTTGTACTTTTATTTTTAAAACATTTTACATACAGATACATACATACAATCTCATTATAAAAGAGAATTCCATGTGAAGGAAAAAGATGCCTTTTAAAGTTTTCATAACTTTCATATTTCAAGTCATTTTTAATGTAACCAATTTACTGGTATCTGATTTGATATCTTACAATTTTCTCACTTTCTCATATGCTGTAAGTGAATTCTTGTGCTACCATTCTTGTTACTCTATATAATTACATACTAAATCTGCATGTGTACTATTGTTTCAGATGGACTTACAGAATGATCCAAACTGCCACTCCTTCTCCTCTAGCAGTGTAATGACATATTCCAACACAGGGAATGGTCAGCCAGAGATCTACCAAGCTTCCACATCAAGAACTACAGCTCCTGGTGGCGTAAGAACAAATCAAATGCTTACAAATAATACAGTGAAACCTGTCTAATCTGAACACCATTAGGACTGGCTAAAGTTGTTTAGGATTGGCGAGTGTTCACATTTTGTTTCTTTAACATAGAGGTTTATGGCAAAATGGTACACACAAAAAGTGTTGACATAAGAAGTGTTTAAATTAGAGAGGTTGTCAAATATACAGGTTTTTACCTTTATTTAAACCTCTTGAAGAGGGAGACCATCTTCATAGTGCTGCTTAGAAATTAAGATTTGATTTTTTGGCCAATCATTTGCTCTGTTTCCTTTCCTTTTCATGCTTGGTTACCCCGACTAATAATATAAAAAAATAAGGCTAAAAATATCTGTACATTAGGCTCCATTATAAAATTATATTAAATCAAGATGGAAAAGAAATTGGTGAATAGATGTACTTGGAGAAGAAGTTGGTGAATAGGGGTACTTGGTCCATTCATTTATAAAAAACATAAATCAATATTTGTTTGTTCACATGAGTTTCACATAGAGTATTTCAACCAGTTGATCAGACTCTTAGAAAAAATATTGCTTGCCATAATTCATACTTTGTTGCATGAATTCCAGGTGCGAGAAGAGCGGAAAGCCGTTCGTGATTCTCGGTCTGGTTTAGAGAGACAGTCAGTTGGACATCATATCAGAGACAGAGGTCATGTCATTGAAAGGTCACGCAATCACAACACTGGCGACCGGGAGGAAAATCATAACTATGAAAATCTTGATGAAGGTACTTGGTACTAGTATTTTCCTGTGCAGTATATTATAGTTTGATATGGTGAAATATCAACACTACCAGCTCTATATAAACAAGACAAATCACATCATGCAAATCATGCAATCCTTGGTTGTTCCCATATCATGCTTCCATTTGAAATATCAAATGCTTCCTCTAAGCTTTCCTTATCAAATGCCAGCTACTAATTCATGGATAGACACCATGGTCATAGTGATAGGTGCTTGTCAAGAGACTCAAACCAGTCATTTTTATCTTGACCAACTTATATTTTATTTCTTGTTGTCTTACTGTAACCTGAAATCATTTCAACACATCCTGGCCATGATGCTATATCAATTAACACATTTCAAGTATTTCTCTTAATGTTCTATTTGTAGATGAGGCGGAAGGATTCCACAGAGAATTCAACACTCATATGAGCAGACATCCATACAATAATAGGTCTCGTCAACAACACGCAATCACAGACCGCTCTAGGGATAACAGGGATCGTAGCTTTAACAGCATAGATCAGGGTCAGTATCAAAGAGATCAAGGAAATGATCGCAGGGTTCGGGAGAGAGATCGTGATCGTCATCATAGGAGTGATCGAAGAAGAGCAAGGGATGATACTCATTAAATGAAACAACAAATAAAACATCTACACTCATTCTTTACAGGTGAATATCACTGTTATCCAATATGAATTGAAGTAAATCACTTAGTATTATTAATTACTAATTATTATAAGGATGTATTGTTTCCAGAAATTCATGAGTAAAGTATCGATAAAAAAGTTCATGGTAATGGACACTCGAAGCAGATGTATATATCTGTTAATCATCCTGCAAAGTTAAATTTTTTATATGTAAATACCAGCTTGGGCTTTGATTGTATTAATAGTTTGCAATTTTTGGTTAATTTTAAGCTTCAGTTACTGCCTTATCTTAAAACATATTTTTGGAATAGGAATTGGAAAAAAGTGATACTTATGAACTCTTATTTCTATCACACCTTGTTATGCTGTAGGATTTCCATCAGAGCCCACAATTAAAACCAACCCACTTATTGTTCATAGTTTAACATTTATTTTCCAGGTAACTGATCTCTTTGTGTGAAGGACTATGGTATGAAAGGACACTGGACTATATCTACTCTATGTTAAATGTAATTTTGGGTCTTTTCAAGTGTACGATGAATATTTTCATGAAGATATTGCAAAAGTTTGCGTCATATCACTAAAGAAATGTACATGAAGTGTATTTGTATTTATTTATCAATGTGATAAAAGTTGAAAAGACCCTTTTTGTACATACAGTACTATATTCAGAAACAAAAAGAAAGAATCTAAGCCATATTTGATGTTTTTTTGTAAATAAGGGAGATAATGCAGATATTTCATTGATCATTGTTTGTATTGTTATCTTTATTTTAATTGACTTACTGTCACACGCATCACATTCTCTTAATACCTCTAATTAAATGTATGTTGTTTTGATTCAGTTGTAAATAATGATCTGCCAAATGTTGATACTTACTCAAATGCAATAACAAACGTTTGGCTTTAAATTGACTTTCTATACCCACACATCACATTCTCTTATTAAATATACCTCTAATATACATTCTATTGATAAAGTTGTAAATAAATTTCTGTCAAATGTTAATGTTTACTTGAAATGCACCCACAAGCGTTTGTTTGTGCACCATGTGTATGGAAAATGCATACACTTACTCCAATGGAGATTTGGATATGGCAATATTGTACTTGTACATAGCATGGCGTAAACCCACCAGCATTATATTTTCCAATTTTTCAAGATAGACAGGATACCATTTCTGATAATATTTCTTTATAATTTGAACAACAGTGCGTGATTGTAGCAAATTTAAGTATGTGAGGCAAAACTAACTCAAGTAAATAAAATACTATGGGACATAATTTTCACATTTTTCGAAAAAGGCATAGGTATAGCCACGGGGGGTGCGATCTCCCCCCCCCCATAACCAATAACAAAAGAACCATGAGATAGAGGAAGAAGGGAGCTTTAAAATGCTTTTCCTTTGAAGCTTCTAGCTCAATTTTGAAGGAAGTTACATCAATTTTTGTAAAATTCAAAACAAATCTTATTTTTCGGCTTGGTTATTGCACAATCACACCTCTGACTGAAAACAGCATTTTTTATGGCGATCGCACCCCCCTGGCTGAAAGCTAGCTACGCCCCTGAAAGGTCAAATATTTTTTGTAAAATACTGCTGAGGCAGTTGCCTCACCTGCCTCATAACTAGCTGCACCCACGCTGGTGACACAACAGTTAAACTATATGACAATGCTGTCTTTTTTCATCTCATTTCCATATTTCTGTACCTAAGTATATTCTGTCTCCTATCTGAATAAAGAAGTAAAATTGAACAAATTATTTTTGTTTGTTGTGTGGCAAAGAATCATTGTTGGACATTGCCCTTATGGATATTAAACAAGGAGTTAGTCAACAATTCATGAAAACTTTTTTTTAGGTCATAACAACTGGCAAAAGATGGCTCCATGGTATTTCATAGGAGAAATTATTTGACAAGTTTTAAGCTTTAGGACGTGATATCACTCTTTTTAAAATCAGTATTTTGGTTAACATAAAATAGCTTACGTTATTTTTATAAATGGATTCAATAGAATATACCTAGATATGGCATTTTAATACAGTTTTGTTGTACTTTGCTACATAATTGAAAAAATAGATGACAATAAGAGGATTTTATCAAAAAGCAATAACAAAAACAGAATCTTTGAACTATAATTTTTTATTTTTCTTAAATGAACTATTTACGATGAAACTTTGGAACTTTCTGCTTCAGTATTGTTTGATTAAGAATCAGTCATTCTTATTATATGTTGTTTGGTATTTTCAATAACCCATTGAAAAACAGGAACGCATATTATCTATACAAGTACGTCTATGCAGTAAGTTTTACATCATTTTTAAACAATGTTAAATGGGCCTTAAAACACCAGTTCATGACTTTGATCCATCCTAAAATAGTTTAGCTGTTTAGTGGTCTTGAACATTCAGAGCAAAGTCACCTGAGTTCCGATAACATTTTTCTCCTCAACTTTCGTCAGTTCTGGTATGGTTTGGGTAAATGGAGATGGTACACCTCCAAATGGTGGTGGGCTCTTTGGACTAATCACAGAAGGACTCAGTTGTTTGGATGGCAGGGCATCGGCTTTAACTTCTAATTTAGTTGCGCCTGGGGGTAGTCCAGCTTGAGCCAATGCACCCGGAGGCGGTCCGCCTTGAGCCAATACACCCGGAGGAGGTCCACCTTGAGCCAATACACCCAGAGGCGGTCCACCTTGAGTCATTGCACCCGGAGGCGGCCCACCTTGAGTCATTACACCCGGAGGCGGTCCACCATGAGTCATTACACCAGGGGGCGGTCCACCTTGAGCCAATACACCCGGAGGTGGGCCTCCAGAACCCATACCTGGTGGAGGGCCACCCATTTCAGGAAAGAATTCATCTTTGATCGCTTTTACTCTTTCAAGAGTTGTGGCGAATATGCATATCTGACATAGCTGAAGTATATTAGGCACAAGTGGAATTGTGCTGAGGACAACAATCTTGCCGTCCGTCACCGTTTCCGATTTTTTCAAGATGTCTTCGACTGTGCCCGCCGCTGCGACACCGTACTTTAAAACCGCCACTGGCATACCGCAACTTCCCATTTCTCGCGCCAAAATCATCAATGGCGTTGCTGTATCAAATGGAGCGTTGATATCAATTGCGTAGAGTTTACCATCTTTGTCTTCTAACACGTCCATAGCAACGAGGCCAAAGTAGTTGTTTTTCTTGAACGCTTTGCTCGCTGGAATCACGATTTCCTGAAGTTTTGCTTCGGTTGCCTTTTGCTTTTCGTTGTACCAGACGGCACCTTGCCACTGTTGTTCCGAGTCAACCATTGATTCTGTGGCTCCTATCCAAGTTACATTACCGGCTTTGTCTAAGTAGAACTGACAACTGTAATTGCACACCGCTTCGATCAACTCGGTGTAAAGTAGCTCCGCATCAGGCGTATATTTCTCAATCTTGCTTTTCGCCTTGTGAAGATCTTCCTCACTTTTTACAATAAATGTGCCATATCCTGCAAATCCATGAGACGTTTTCATGACGCATGGAATCTTTGGTTCGGACAGTACTTTAGGCTGGGGACATTCGGTCTCAGTAATAAAAAGCTTTGATGCAACTTTATAATGTTCTTCTGGATCGACCGTTTGTAACTTAGCGTCTAATTCTTCGACGGGGAAGAGCATTAGATGTGGCACGCTCGTCCCATATTCTTCCGTCCAAACGGGTTCCTCATAAAACGAGCCCAGTGTTGTCTTCCAGTGGTCGACTAGACATTGAGGTGGACGTTGGGGAAGGTATACTTTTATTGCATTCCCCGTTATTGGCAACATCGTATGCAGCAACATTCGGGCGCCCGACCCACCGTCATCTTTGTAATCCCTGATATCGTGAATCTTATACTTGGTCGTATTGTTGAATTGAGCCGATGGAGCCCCATGACTTGATACCAGACTCATCATAAAGATGGCATCTCCGGACAAATCCTTCCTGTAAAGGTCCGACAACTTAGTCATCTTGAGACTGAAACATACCAAAAATCGTTAGATGAAACAGTAAAAAGGTAAGAGCGTAAAAAGCGTAAAACAAAGGACGAGATATAGATTCTCGTTTCGTACGCCAGGTAAAGAAGGACTGTGGAAAGATAAGTCTGTAATTTCGGATACTTCACAAAAATTGTGTGATGAACTGGACGTAGACTGGTAGATCAAATGAAAAATAATGGTTATGAATAAAGATCTGGGCAATTATAAATTGGCGGAAACATTGAATGGAATTAATATTTAGATTGAGATAAAATTGTTTCTTGTAGCGCAGATGAGAGTTGAAAATGGTTTCGAAATAATTTTATAAGTTGTTATTTTAATTTAATTTATAAACTGTAAAACGCTGATTAATAGCGTTCGCCGTCTTATCATTGTAATTAGTGGAATATGTAGGTGCTTATCTATAAGTGTCGTAAGTGTGAATCTTCAAGAGGAACTATTCATTAAAACCTGTCTAATCCGAACACCAATGTGACTGGGCAAAAGTGTTCGCACTGAGAGGTGTTTATGGTAGAATCAACAGACCTAACATGCAAAATATCACATCACCACCTGCTATTTGTTACAGACACCGACCGCCAAATCCAGAAATCCGTCCTTAAAAAAGTTAATAGCGCTGGCATAAAAATAGGATCGAAAATGTGCCCATTTTGAGAGGCGTTCAGATTAGAGAGGTGTTCGGATAACACTTATAAACCAAAATGTACTGACTTGAATTCGGTATATGAAGACGAATATTTATATTCTATGTCAATGACATATTTGACTTCTGATCGGAGAATCTATGTTACGAGGACATGATACTAATTGAAATTAACAAATTGCTATTTTAAGAGTAAACACTTAACTTTGTATAACTCGATAAGACATTAGTATATTATTGGATAGATGTAGTTACGAAAGCCAAGGAGGATTGGCTCCCAGAGTGCAACATCGATATTCTGTCCCATATATGGGCATGTCGTGCTACAAAATTTGAATTCCAACAGCCGCCATTTTGTTCACTTCAACATTTGAATCGTAAATTTTGGTCTTATTTCCTAACGAAAAATTCCAAAACTCACAGGAAATGATTGAGATATTGGTTCGAATCTTTTGAACTGTTTATTTTGAATTTATAATCGGTTATAATTTCAGAAAATAACGACATCTCGGCGTTTTCATTGTTGGAAAATATCGACTTCGATTCTGGGAGCCAATCCTCCTTGTACGAAAGCAAAAGTACACGATCCTCATGAATTCAGAATACCTAATTAAAAGTTAATACGATTTTCCCCAGTCAGTACGAGTTTTTCAGTCAAAACTATTTTTGTTCTTTTATATTTCCCTTGGAAGACTAATTAGTATCTATGGAATGAAAAGAGTTTATTTATTCCATTTTACATGTTTTCCCTGAGAAATAAACCGGGAATAAAATTGGAATTAAAAAAATCCCGTATCAGATCCCGTATCAGTCTAAATCCCATATCTGATCCCGTATTGGGTCCCGTATCAGCCAAAAATCCCGCATCAGATCCAGTATCACAACTATCAGATTTCATGAGACTAAATATTGTGTTATTCATTTTTAGATCCATTTTGGTATTACAAATGATTCTTATTTTAAAACTTGTTAATAATTAAATTGTATCATTTTATGTCACCATCATTGGGTGACGACATGCAAAATAAGTTTCAGAAAAAATATTATAGAATAAATAGGTTATTGATGGTCGTGATGGAATATGAATTTTCCCTCGAGAAAATATGATATTGGCCTATATCATATTTCCCTCGGAATAAAATTCATATTCCATCCCTCCCATTAAATAACCTCTATTTACTGAGAGGGATTCAAAATGGATGTTATATAAAATTAAGTTTTATGTCATCATCATTGATTGATGACAAATCATTTGAAAATAAATAATAAATAAGTTATTGATGGCCGTGATGGAATATGAATTTTTTCCTTGAGAATATATTGCATTTGCCTCGAAAAATGATCAATATGATATTTTTCTTATCCAATTTTCGGGATAAAATTTATATTCAATCCCTCCCATTAAATAACATCATATTTTTTTACCTTCGAAACACCAAATACCCCTTTTAATGAACACTTTTCCTGTTGTGTTAACGTCCATATGAACTCTGTTCTAGTCAATATTCCGCTTTTTATCAAACAAGTATACACTCGTTTTATTTTAAGTATGCTTTTACAATAAAAAGTCACAGTGACAGAGTTTACATAGTTTAAGCCTAGTGTGTTTCTTACATTTACAAATTATAAATATGTCATTCTGATCTAAGCAGCGAAAGAAGAGTGACATATATAGCACATGAAAACGAACAAGTCTTAAAAACTTTCGTTGACTTTCATACTTACTCCTAATAAGGTAGTGTGATATACCCTCCTGAGATGTCCTACTTGCAGCTGTGATATCATATATAAGATGTGTCTTATAACTCTCCTCATATGTAGGGACATCAAAGACATAAATATTGAGGTTGGGCCCTACACTCCCCGACACGAATTGCAAAGTCGTTCTAACAAATTGCAGACGGTACACTAGCCTGCAAAATGACACCAGAAATTAGGCTTGCTTATCTAAAAGGTTATTGTGAACAGGTTAAAGCCCCTGGGTTTATTCATATGCCCCTCCCCGTGGTTATTTTGATGACCCCCTAGCTGTAGGGTCTCACCTCTAAAATTTTACCACAAGATAAGATTCATGAAAACCATTTTTTTGGTCCCAAATTAAGTGAATCAAATTGTGATATGATTAGACGTTCAAACACCGAACGCCAAGAGCGTACCCTTATAACTGATGATGTCCTTACATGTATCAATGACACTATACCTTTACACCTTTACGAAACTAGATATAGTATTTTATATAACTGATTAATTCGTTTTTGAACTCATTAATTAAATGTTGATCTAGTTCAATCACGTTCAAAAAACATTATAAAGGGTAATTTTATCTATGACCTTTCACCATCGTGAAAAATCCCAGGTGTCTAAAAGTTCTTTTAGATGAGAAGATATGGTCTGAGTATCAAGATGAGTGTTCATAATTTTAGTAAGCATTTGGATATGTATTTTCTGCAAAATATTCACAAGGGTAATTGATTATAAAGATGATAAAAAGTAAAGCTTAAAAAGTACGTTGTATGAGCCTCGATGATTTACTTGTTTATTTAATTAGGTGCATGTACGATATACAGCGTGGGCCAAAAAAACAATACCCCTTTTAAATCATGTATTATTTACTTATCTATATTGTTTTTTGGCCCACCCTGTACATATCCCAGATACATCACAGCACAACTTTACATGATATTTTAGTGGCCATAATCTAATCTCATGATTAATTAATGGCAGATTAGACTTATCTTCTTTTCAATTTTCACAAGAACAGCTAATTTATTATTAAATGTTTTAATTGGTCCGATATACACAGCTACCGGGTGGGCCCATAACAAAAACACGATTTACTTAGAATTGTGATTTCTATCATATATAGTATTACCGGCAAACTTGTCTCCTAACTAGTGTTGAATTTTAGGTAAAAAAAAGTGTTCACTATTTTTGTACAGTCACTTTTCACATCTATTGAACTTTAAGTAGTGGCGGCTATAAGCCCGCCAATATATTCAGAATTAATTCTTGTCAGAAAAAAGTGCATCCTGTGGGAAAGAACATCTTCACCAGCTTGAAAGCTGAACGAAGTTTTAAAAATTTTAGCCAACCATTCATAGTAGGCATCGCGTTCTTCGATATCTTCAACTAGAAAACTTTCCTCGAGATCTTCTGGGTCGTCAGGCTCAATATGAATAGTCTCTGAATCACTCGCACTCTTTATAACGTCATCACTAACGTGCAACATGCTTAGTACATCCAGTGGCTTGGGCAGCTTTTTGCCCTTCCATGGCATAAGAACAACTTCAATGTCAGAGTCCCGTTCATTACCATCAGCCACACATTTGGCTTCAACAAGTTGAGACTTGTGAAGAAGAGTTGTAAGTTTGTGGACAGCAGTTGCAAGAGACATATAGTCGATATCTGGATTGGGATCAAATCCGTATGGTACAAATGTATTTGGTACAATGATTCCACAATTCCATCGAGATGGCACACACGTGAAGACCGTTCGTTGTTTGGATGTGTTGACTTGTTTCTGAAGAAAGCGGCAGCCATGAGACCAGTCGTCCAAACATCCAGTCAGCATACCTGGTCTAACATCAAAATTATACTGGGCCCACTTGTACCAGAATTTCTGCTCTGAAAATATAAAAAGGTATTCCAGAAGGTATTGAAATGTATATATGACAAATAATTCTAAAAATGGAGACCGGTGCTTTTTTCAAAGAATAATAGAGAGATTTTGAAAGGTAGAAATACAAACAGAGCAAGGTTCTAAAAACTGCTTCAAATTCAATCGGAAAGACGACTTTCATTATAAGCATACCTTTTCTGGAAAGATACGTTTTCCATAGTTTACAGACCATACTGCATTTTCCAATGTTGACAGGGTCAACGTAAAGAAGGATATCCTGAAGAAGAAATTTACACTTCAACACCCTCTCATTCCCCCTCAGAGTGGTCTTGTCCGATTCTTTTGGGTTTAAGTTTGTTTCTTTTGTTGATTTTGGAGTTTTTCCAACTAACGCAGACGACGCGTTTGCCTTCTTTTTAGTTGATTTAATAAGTTGGCTTTCTTTGATAGATGTTGGCGTTGTATTTTGATCACCTCTATTGACACCATTTGGAGGTGTACCATTTGTTCCTCGTTTATTTGTAGACTTTGGCGGTGTGCCTGATGCATCCACTCTTCTAGGTGGAGTGCTTTGAGACGCTCTTTTGACACCAGCAGATGTTGCCTTTGGTGGTGTATTTTGCGATCCCCGCCTTGCAGCAGACATCGGTGGCTTTTGAGGCGAATTTTGAGACTCCATCCGCAGAGCAGATGTCGGAGACATTCCCTTCTTAGTCTTAGTATTTGTATTCTGTCCAGCAGATTTTGGGGGTTTATTCGGTGGCCTGTCAACAGAGACACTCTTCGGTGGAGTCTCATCTGGATCGTTGGCAATTTCTTTTGAGAGAACTGTTTTGTTTTTAAATCCATCATTGGGACGTTGATATTTGGATGACATAATCGTCTTTAAGATCGTTTAGAACTTGTTGTTAAATGCGGTGATCTCGCTATAGAATTGATTTGTTCTCCAGCTTATAAGTGCACTAGGTTTTCCAATCAAAACCTCTCGGGAGTCTAGAAAAAACATAAGATCACGTTCAGGAGTTTTGTCAATAAAAAGTATAGATTCCCTTTACTGTGTACAGCACTTCTATGTAATTGAACAGTTTATTACCCGATCCCATAAGTGTTAAATTGCATTTCACCAATACATTTTTAATATTTTGACGACGTAGATAAATAATATTAATTTTGTTATATCTTACTTATTTTAGATTTTTGTTGCTAGAGTAACACAACCACAGTAGTAAAGTTTTTGGTATACATATTGTAAAAACAATTTACCATTGCGATAAATGGTATAAAAAGTCATGATATATCAAAACAAATAAGTGATATATTTAATTTGAAAAGATACATACCTTATCCTATCGAGTTTCGTGAAATGATTGACGTCTCATCTATAAAACAGAAATCGCAAACTGTGGAACAAACAACATATGAAATCGTTACAAACTGTGGAACAAACAACATATGAAATCGTTACAAACTTTGCAGTTACAGATTGGTATTGATCCAAAACTAGTACAGTACATAGAGATTTCTTATATCAAATACAATTTAGAGTTCTAATGTGTTCACTTACTTCACAAGGCTGTGTGTCGATTGGGTTGTGCAAATATTTACTTGAGCGAGTATTGTTGAAGTTTTATAGAAACTTGAAGTTGCTCTTCATTGTTGGATAAATCTACTAATATAGTAGATAAATCTAGACCTAGTGTAAGAAGGTAATATCTTCAGTAGTAGCCCGTAAAACCCATTTGTATTTTAGACATTATGTAGCATTTCTGGGGTAACATTCTAGGTATTAATTCATCAATAACACCATGTCAAAGAAGATTGTTCTTAGACGCGATTATGTAATTGCACAAAATGTGCATTTGTCACAGCACCCAGATTCACAACATATATTTCACGATGTATAGTTTCGATAAAGACAAAACAAGACCTTTCATATGGTACCAAATATGAAAAGTTGTATGGGGTGTTTCTCACATACCATGCTGTAAAGGTCTTCTACGAGAATAACTAACTTTTCTGCGTCCTTTTGGCTGCCATCTTTTATCGTAACACTTACATTTTCTTTGGTATTCTTCACTGTCAGGGTTTGGCGATTTTGGGGGCTGTCGAGTTGCCTAAATGGGTTTTGTAAAAACGCAGCATGTTAGACTGACCATCGTAGCCCCGGGGGTCGCGATGTCCACACTCACACCCCTCCCGGCGATGACCAGTCTAACATGCAAGCTTCTGCCATCTAACCAACTGCACACGCCATGTTTTGTTATTATATTGGGAGAGGGATCATGGACATTACCAACTGTTGTGGATATGACTTAAAGAAATGCATGTGGTGATCTTTGTTTAGTCGTTATCTTCAGCTTAATGACCGAACAAGCTTTCATTAAGACTTTTCAAAGAAAGTAAACCCAGGAATTTACCATAAACAGTGTGATATATGGAATTTGTAAATAAATTCAGGTAAACGTCTTGGATCGAATGGCCAGTAACCTATCGTAACCCGATCCGTCATCATGAGAAATCATGGCCTCCTATTAGCTTCACACTAGTATAGCTGGTTGAAGACAGAAAGATGTGATGAGTATCAGAATTCCGATCCGTTTATCATCGGTTTCTTGTGGTAGTCGACTTCAAGGCATGCTTGATTTCAACCTAACACTCATGGAAGTCGACGAGGGTTGTTATATTTGAACCGGACTTGAATTATACATATTTTTTAGACGTTGGGTATTTATCCCACGATTATTGTGTTATTTGTACTTTTGTACTCATGTGTTATTATGTTCTCACCCAATGATATTTCCCAATATCAGATAATTTCTTATGATATCATTTTATTGTCTGGTAGATATCAAATATCAACACTCATTCGACTCGCCCAGAGACTTGTGTTGATAAAAGATATCAAATCATCGATAAAATGATTACACTCAAAATGATCTGATATTCTGTCTTTATATTTGATTTTTCCATATTCACTTACAGCAAGTTAAAAAAATGGTACATCATGGGATAAATTCGTCAATTGTAAGACATCAATTTGTCTCTGGCCTTTTCAAATGGGTTGATATACCTCTTATTTCTCGCCAACAAACTTGAAATGCGGAATACAGAGACCAACGTAAGAAGGTTAGGTTAATGTGAAATGGATAATATACATCGATATATGCAAACTGCAAAATTAAAGAAGGATTGCGAGGGAAACATTTGCAGCGATTGGAAGATACACTCTCTAAACAGTTATTCTACAGCCGGGGTGACACAAAACCACTACAATACCTTTCTCAACTATGCTGACCTACGTAGATAGAACGGTGTTCATGGCGGGAAAGAGTGGATGCTTATTATTTGAAATTCACGACTTTGAGATTTAGAGATATCACTTTTTCGGCTTTAAATTTACGCCATATCACTCAAACTCCATGTTAAGAATATGTAATAATGTGTCATGTTTACAAAATAATTAATCATTCCATAAAAGTGATCGTTAGTAGATTAGTAACAATTTGTATGAAACAAATCCAGAAATACAAGGTGACACAAAAATGCCACCCACTTATTTTGGAATAACTTTCTCAGTAATGAGGGAATCTTCATTACTTTTTATACGTAAAGTGATTGGTATTTTTTGTGTATTGATAGACTGTTCAATGGGAGAAAGACTGCTTTAGTTGTGTAGCATCAAATTTCTACAAAGTCGTTTATGTTACATCTGAAATTTTAAAGCATATACTAGAAAATCGAGACGATTATGTACATCTTAACTGGGAAAATCAGAAACTTTCATCTATGTGCTTCCCTGTATGATTAAACAAAATATCAAAATATTTTCTTGCAATCATATAACCTCTTTATTTCTAAAATACATACCCAAGATGACACACAGTGTCGAAGTAATACATAAATTATGAACACATTCATAGAATACGTCAGTTTTAAACCTTTGGGTACTAATAGTGAAATGACCAAAATGACTTGTGTGCATGTCATGCTAGTACTAAAGAAATCTAAGAGATTCGTCATGCAAATATATGCACATTTCTACATGCTCTAAAATACACGAAAATACACGAGCCGAAAGTCAAAGAACAATATTATATTGCACAATATGAAGTTATGAAGTGAGTGAACTCGATATTCACCAAGAAGAGTATTCTGACTTTGCATTCACGGCTGAAATAAATATTCTACAAGCTAACTATGAGTCCAGATTCATATCCGTTGTCACATGCTGTTCGTTTTCCGTATCGTCCTATTTAGTATTAATATTTTGTTAGTGTCTTACAACGCCTGAAATGGTTCTGGGTCCTTTATTAAAACCATATTTGTAGTCCGCTGGTTCACTAAAATGCTCAGAATCATATTTGTTGCTTCGTGTAACTTCAAACTTCTGTTTCTCTAGGTCTTTTCCACTTCTCCTGGAAAGTCAAAAATCAGGGGCTCATTTTAGTTGTTATTTTAGATTATATAAGTGTCAGGTAAAAGACTAAAGAGATACTCTATTGGTAGATATACACTCCCCTCCATAAGTTTGGCAACCTTTTCCCCCCATTGAACTACGTGTTAAAGCCTCTTTACCTTTGAATTTTTATTTACTTAACCTGCGATGAAAATACTTATACTATTGATGGAAACGTAATTTGATTTTAATTCCAATACCTCCAAATTTTCTCAATTTTTTTCCTCAATTACAATAGGTCGAAAATTGATGATGAATTTGATGAATTTTTGAAAATCGACATTCCCATGTTAACCAATGGGAAATGGTAGGTTTGCCGCAAGTCATATGACAGAATATCCATCCATCCGAGTCCTTGCAAAAAATACGAGTTAGGCAGGTAATTGAATTTGCTAACTTTATCTAACAAAAAATTGATATGTTTCTTCAGGTTCAACAAAGTTATAGGGCTTTAAACTGTCAAAATTGATTTTTAAAAAACCTCTCCCATTGAAATAACACAGGAGGCGAAAAATAATTTTCAAAAATGACTTTGAAGCGCTGTAACTTTAATATTCATCAAATAAACTAAACACTTAGTGTTCAAAAAGTTAGACAATTCAATTTTCTATATGAAAATATTTTTTTGCTGAATTTTTTACTGAAAAGATATCCTGATTTCTGATTTGCCCTGAACCCTCCATTTCCCATTGGATTACATGAGAATGACGATTTTCAAAAATTCATCAAATTTATCATCAATTTTCGACCTATTTTAATTGAGGAAAAAATTGAGAAAATTTGGAGGTATTGGGAATAAAGTCAAGTTACGTTTCCATCAATATCATAAGTTATTATATCGCCGGTTAAGTAAATAAAAATTCAAACGTAAAGAGGCTTTAACACGTAGTTCAATAGAGAAAATAGGTTGCCAAACTTATGGAGGGGAGTGTAGAACCATTCAGGGTGACCTGAATGATGAAATATGATTTATATTTTGCCTGAAAATGGTCTGACCAAAGTACATATTCAAATACAAATGATTTGGAATTATAACGTCATGCCGTACAATAATAATAGTCACCTACCTTTTCATACTGCAGCATAAGGCTATCAAAAGCACAAGGAGAACAAGGACGAGGAGTCCACCAAATATAGCCACCCAGAACCACCATTTTCTCCAAACTGGATCCGCTTTACGTGGCGCGGGAGCTACAAAGTCAAACACTACAAAACATATATGCTTCTTAAGAATGTATCACAATCAATTTTTACGCCGTAATTTAAGAGAGATTTCGGAACGCGCACTGCATATGGGTCAGTGTTTTGTAATGTGACTCTTCTCAAAATTACTTAGATAACTGTAAATTGAAATACTTACTTGCTTTAGTAGGCGTCTTAGTTGTTGGAAGCGCCGTACTTGAACCCGGAATAATTCTGTTTTCACATAATCTTCCCGTGAAACCATCAGGACAAACACAACTAGAGGTATCAGCATCGTTCCTACACGTCCCTCCGTTCTGACAGACAACAGCGTTTGGTCTGTCACATGGGAGAACATACGTTTCACACAGATCACCTCTATAGTTTCTACGACAGCAACATGTCTTCTTGAAACATATTCCATCATTTCTACAATTCCCAGCATCTGGACATTCAGGGTCGTTTGCAATGTTTGGTGATTTTACTGTGCAGTTATTTGGAGGTCCCCAATTTTGTTCACACAACTTCTCTCCAGTTGTAGGATGGCAGGTGTAGTGCCCGCGTTCACAACTACTCTCATCTGCTTTACATCTCACAGAACAGGTTGGACCATAATACCCATCTCGGCAAACTAACCTGGTTGTTGTTCTCGCCGTAGAAGGACTGGTTATTCGACTTGATTGTAATGTTACGACAGTTGATGTTGTGGGTACTGCAGTCGTCATGTTGCTCGATGGATCAATACAATCCCGACTATTATTGGCATTGCGACAGCACAGTCCTTTTCCATCTTCATTTCGACAGAAAACGCCTGTTATGTTATCACATTTCACATCTTCGCATGGAAGTTTGACAATGTTACATCCTTCTCCTTTGAAACCTGGATTACAACAGCACTGGTTATTAAAACAATGAGAATTTCGCGTATCGCAACCGACTGTTGGACAGTCTGTATGATCCTCATTGATTTTGTCAATGCAATTTTGATCTGGATTTCTATAACCATCAAGACAGATCTTAGCCCCTGTGTTTTGATCACATCTGTAATGACCAGCACAAGAGTTCTCTGGTTTACAATGCACATCACAGTTTGGACCATATTTATGCCTTTCACAACGCATCCTAGTTTCACAATTGTTCCCAGTGTAAAATGATGTGCAATCACATTTGTAATTGAAAGGACCATCCCGGCTACATGTTCCTCCATTGGCGCATGGATTACTTCCACATGGGTTCATCTGTTCCTGACAAAGATCCCCTGTATATCCTAGCATACAGCAACAAGACTTCGCAAAACAGGAACCCATATCGCACTGGCCGGAATCTGGACATTCTGGGTCGGCAGCAGGTGAAACGGCACGAACTGTACAGTTGGTGCTTACGTCAGCCCAGCCATCTCGACAGATTTTAGTCCCGCCATTACATATATAGTGACCTTCAGCGCAGTTATCTCTAGGGCTACATGAATCTTGTGATTCAACTTTGAAAAATTCACTCTCAATGTCACGTTTTATTCTACCAGTTTCATTTGTTGTTGTCTCATTAACGTTGGTATCATTGGAATAACGAGGTGGCAATGGTGTTGCAGGATTAAATATATCACAATATGGTCCAGTCCACCCATAATGACAACAGCATGTCTGTCTATGACATTCCCCATAGCGACACATTTCTCCATTTGGGCCAATTGGTGGGCATTCGGTATCGTTCCATTTCGGCCAGTATCTTGTTCTACAGTCACTTGCCACGCATTCCCAGTGTTCTCTACAGATCTTACTGCCATCTGGACCACAAGTGTAGTGGCCTTCACTACAGCTATCAGCTTCCCTACAGAAAACATTACATGCAGGTGGGTTGAAATAATTTGGTGGACATCCATTCCAGGTTGTATCGCATAATAAGCCAGTCCACTGAGGAGGACATATGCATCGGAAATCTCCATCAAATCCTGGAGAGAGGTTTACACACGTCCCTCCATTCATACACCTATTTCTTTCACAAGGCATATTTTGTATCTCACATAATTCTCCTCTAAAGTTTCTAGGACAGCAACATGTTTTCTGAAAGCATGCTCCTCCGTTGAGACATACACCTCTGTCAGGGCATTCTCTATCAGAACTAGGCGGGGTCTCCTTTACTGTGCAGTTAGCTTCTGGTCTCATCCAGCCATCAAGGCACACCTTATTGCCTGTCTGACAATCACATGTGAAGTGACCATCACAATCATTCTGAGGAAGACAATAACGTTCGCAACGTTGACCATAATAATTAGGTGGACATCTTTGTACGTATCTCTCACAGTTCGTTCCTTCAAAGTTCTGGCAACAGCTACATGTATAGCCTCCTATTCGTGGTGTACATGTTCCACCATTAAGACAGGGTTGACTTGCGCAATAATCAATAAACGTTTCACATCGACGTCCAGTGTAATGTTCATCACAGCAACAATTACCTTTATAGCATCTACCATACAAACAAGGAGAGTCTCTTGGGCAATCGGGGTCAGCTGGTGGAGGGATGGTCTTTATTTTACAATCCACATCGGGGTTGGTGTACCCCGGCAAGCACTCCTTGGCTCCAGTGAATGGGTTACAGGTATAATGACCTCTCTCACAATCATCGGCTGCAAGACAGTACACATTGCAAGCCGGTGGGTTGTAGTAATTTGGTGGACATTGCGGATCATATGTTTCGCAATGAGTACCAGTGTAGTCCCTCAAGCAGATGCATGTGTACCCACCGACCGTTGGACTACATGTACCTCCATTTTGACAAGGTCGGCTTACGCAATAGTCTATAAATGTTCCACATCTTGCACCAGTGTAATGTGTATTGCAGCAACACGTTCGTCTATAGCATCTCCCATAAATACATGGAGAGTCAGTTGGGCAATCTGGATCATTTGGTGGAGGGAGTGTTTTTACTTTGCAGTCATTTTCAGGAACTGCATATCCAGGAAGACAAACCTTCGCCCCTGTGTTTGGATCACATGTATAATGGCCTCTGTCACAATCATCTGCAGCAAGACAGTAAACATTGCAAGCTGGTGGGTTGTAGTAATTGGGAGGACATTGCGGATCATATGTTTCACACCATCTCCCTGTGTAGTCTCTTGGACATGTACACGTAAACCCTCCAACAGTGGGATTGCAAGTCCCACCATTTTGGCATGGACGACTGACACAATAATCTATAAATGTTTCACATCTAACTCCAGTGTAATGTTCATTACAGCAACATGCTCGTCTGTAGCATCTTCCATAAACACATGGAGAGTCAGTTGGACAATCTGGATCAGTTGGTGGAGGGATTGTTTTTACTTTACAATCATTTTCAGGAACTGCATACCCAGGTAGACAAACCTTCGCTCCTGTGTTTGGATCACATGTATAATGGCCTCTGTCACAATCATCTGCAGCAAAACAGTACACATTACACGCTGGTGGGTTGTAGTAATTGGGAGGACATTGCGGATCATATGTTTCACAATGTGTACCCGTGTAGTCCCTTAAGCAAGTGCATGTGTATCCACCTACCATTGGATTACACGTACCTCCATTTTGACAAGGCTGACTTACACAATAGTCAATAAATGTTTCACATCTTACACCAGTGTAATGTTCATTACAGCAACACGACTGTCTGTAGCATCTTCCATAAACACATGGAGAGTCAGTTGGGCAATCTGGATCAGTTGGTGGAGGAATAGTTTTGAGTTTACAATCATTTTCAGGTACTGCATATCCAGGTAAACAAACCTTGGCTCCTGTGTTTGGGTCGCAAGTATAATGGCCTCTATCACAATCATCTGCGGCAAGACAGTATACATTGCAAGCAGGTGGATTGTAGTAATTTGGGGGACATTGCGGGTCATATGTTTCACAATGAGTGCCTGTGTAGTCCCTCAAACATGTACATGTGTAACCACCAACGATAGGGTTGCACGTTCCGCCATTTAAACATGGTTGACTTGTACAGTAGTTGATGAACGTTTCACATCTAGTGCCAGTGTAGTGCTCGTTGCAACAACATCCACGTCTGTAGCATCTTCCATATAGACACGGCGAGTCAGTTGGACAATCTGGATCCGACGGAGGTGGAAGAGTTTTGAGTTTACAATCGTTTTCAGGCACAGCATATCCAGGTAAACAAACCTTCGCTCCCGTGTTGGGATCACAAGTATAATGCCCTCTATCACAGTCATCTGCAGCAAGGCAGTACACATTGCAAGCTGGTGGGTTGTAGTAATTTGGAGGACATTGCGGATCATATGTTTCACAATGTGTACCAGTGTAGTCCCTCAAACATATGCATGTGTAACCACCTACCATTGGATTACACGTGCCTCCATTCAAACAAGGTTGGCTGACACAATAGTCTATAAAGGTCTCGCATCTTACACCAGTGTAATGTTCATTACAGCAACACGCTCGTCTGTAGCATCTTCCATAAACACAAGGAGAGTCAGTTGGACAATCTGGATCATTCGGTGGAGGTAGTGTTTTTACTTTGCAGTCATTTTCAGGTACTGCATATCCAGGTAGACAAACCTTCGCCCCTGTGTTTGGATCACATGTATAATGCCCTCTATCACAATCATCTGCGGCAAGACAGTACACATTACATGCAGGGGGATTGTAATAATTTGGAGGACATTGTGGATCATATGTTTCGCAATGAGTACCAGTATAGTCCCTCAAGCAAGTGCATGTATACCCACCTACCATTGGATTACATGTGCCTCCATTTTGACAAGGTCGGCTTACGCAATAGTCAATAAATGTTTCACATCTTACACCAGTGTAATGTTCATTACAGCAACATGCTCGTCTGTAGCATCTTCCATAAACACAAGGAGTATCAGTTGGGCAATCTGGATCAGTTGGCGGGGGAACTGTTTTGAGTTTACAATCATTTTCAGGAACTGCATACCCTGGAAGACAAACCTTCGCCCCCGTGTTTGGATCACATGTATAATGCCCCCTATCACAATCATCTGCTGCAAGGCAGTACACGTTGCAAGCAGGTGGATTGTAATAATTCGGAGGACACTGGGGATCATATGTTTCACACCATCTCCCTGTGTAGTCTCTTGGACATGTACATGTAAACCCTCCAACAATGGGATTGCAAGTTCCACCATTTTGGCATGGACGACTGACGCAATAATCTATAAAGGTTTCACATCTAACACCTGTGTAATGTTCATTACAGCAACATGCCCGTCTGTAGCACCTTCCATAAATACATGGAGAATCAGTTGGACAATCTGGATCCGATGGAGGTGGAAGAGTTTTGATTTTACAATCGTTTTCAGGTATAGCATACCCAGGTAGGCAAACTTTCGCTCCTGTGTTGGGATCACATGTATAATGGCCTCTGTCACAATCATCCGCAGCAAGACAGTAAACATTGCAAGCAGGTGGATTGTAGTAATTTGGAGGGCATTGCGGATCATATGTTTCGCAATGAGTACCAGTGTAGTCCCTCAAGCAAGTGCATGTGTACCCACCTACCATTGGATTACATGTGCCTCCATTTTGACAAGGTCGGCTTACGCAATAGTCAATAAATGTTTCACATCTTCGACCAGTGTAATGTTCATTGCAGCAACACGACTGTCTGTAGCATCTTCCATAAACACAAGGAGAGTCAGTTGGGCAATCTGGATCATTTGGTGGAGGAATTGTTTTGAGTTTACAATCATTTTCTGGAACTGCATATCCAGGAAGACACACCTTTGCCCCTGTGTTGGGATCACATGTATAATGCCCTCTATCACAATCATCTGCTGCAAGACAATACACATTGCAAGCAGGTGGATTGTAATAATTTGGAGGACATTGCGGATCATATGTTTCACAATGTGTACCCGTGTAGTCCCTCAAGCAAGTGCATGTGTACCCACCTACAAGTGGATTGCACGTGCCTCCATTCAAACAAGGTTGGCTGACACAATAGTCTATAAAAGTCTCGCATCTTACACCAGTGTAATGTTCATTACAACAACACCCTCGTCTGTAGCATCTTCCATAAACACATGGAGAGTCAATTGGGCAATCTGGATCATTTGGTGGAGGGAGTGTTTTTACTTTGCAGTCATTTTCAGGCACTGCATATCCAGGAAGACAAACCTTCGCTCCTGTGTTGGGATCACATGTATAATGGCCTCTGTCACAATCATCCGCAGCAAGACAGTAAACATTGCAAGCAGGGGGATTGTAATAATTTGGAGGACATTGTGGAGCATATGTTTCGCAATGAGTACCAGTGTAGTCCCTCAAACATATGCATGTGTAACCACCGACCATTGGATTGCACGTGCCTCCATTCAAACAAGGTTGGCTGATACAATAGTCTATAAAAGTCTCGCATCTCACACCAGTGTAATGTTCATTACAGCAACACGCTCGTCTGTAGCATCTCCCATAGACGCAGGGAGAATCAATCGGGCAATCTGGATCATTTGGTGGAGGTAGTGTTTTTATTTTACAATCGTTTTCAGGTACAGCATATCCAGGTAAACAAACCTTCGCCCCTGTGTTTGGATCACAAGTATAATGCCCTCTATCACAATCATCCGCGGCAAGACAGTACACATTGCAAGCAGGTGGATTGTAGTAATTTGGAGGGCATTGCGGATTATATGTTTCACACCATCTTCCTGTGTAGTCTCTTGGACATGTACACGTAAACCCTCCAACAATGGGATTGCAAGTTCCACCATTTTGGCATGGACGACTGACGCAGTAATCAATAAATGTTTCACATCTAACACCCGTGTAATGTTCATTACAACAACACGACCGTCTCCAGCATCTTCCATAAACACAGGGAGAGTCAATTGGGCAGTCTGGATCATTTGGTGGAGGGAGTGTTTTTATTTTACAATCATTTTCAGGAACTGCATATCCAGGAAGACATACCTTTGCTCCTGTGTTGGGATCACATGTATAATGGCCTCTTTCACAATCGTCTGCCGCAAGACAGAACACGTTGCAAGCTGGAGGATTATAGTAATTTGGAGGGCATCTCGGAATTTCTGTCTCACAGTTCAGACCGGTGTGAGTTGGTGGACAGATGCACTGGTAACTGTCTATCAGATCTCTACATGTTCCCCCATTTCTGCAAGGCTGACTATCACACACCAATATTCTACAGTCGCAAAGTCTTCCGGTCCAACCACTTTCGCAACAGCACCTTCCAGCAAAGCAGCTTCCTCTTTGACAAACGCCATCTCTTGGGCATTCTGGGTCATTAGGTTTTGGTATGATCTTTACCTTGCAGTCTAAGTCAGGTCTAGTCCATCCACTACGGCAAATTTTAGCTCCGCTTGAAGGATCACATGTGTAAAAGCCACTAATGCAATCGTTCCTTTCCATGCAATATACACTACATCCCGGACCATAATAGTTTGGAGGACATCTGTTGATAGGTATCTCACAGTTTGTACCGGTCCAGTCGGGCTGACAAAAGCATTGGTATCTGTTGCCAACATTTGTGTTTCGACATACTCCACCATTTAGACAAGGATTACCACCGGAACAACCAAGAATGATTTCTTCACAATACATTCCAGTCCAGCCCGGGTTGCACACACATCGTTGGTTCACACATGTACCATTTATACAATCACCACTTATAGGACAGTTCTGCTTTATAGGAACCTGAACAGTACAGTTTGTTTCCGGTTCCGCAAAGCCATTTCGACATACCTTTTCTCCGGTGATTGGATGACATAGGTAGTGACCTAACTTCTTGTCATCGACAGGTTTGCAGTAAACTTCGCATGATGGTCCGAAATGGTGCTTCTCGCAGTTTGGAATCCACTCGGCTGGTGACAATTGATCCCCAACAGCATCGATAACATCGGGGACGTCGAAGCCCATATCAACATCCGGGGATTCCACCACACCGGCATTTGCCTATTAAAAATAACTTGGTTGAAATTTCATAATCGCATATTCCCCTTTCAATAACATCAATTTGCAAGAATTGTATTGGAACGGTCTCAGAAAAAAGTTTTGGTGATGTACGTTAAATTGTCAAATAACTTTCAAGTTTTGTTTTTTCAAGTACATGATTCATAATTGATTAGAATGCGTATGATAAATGTGCACGTTCTGTTTTTCTATTTGTTTTTCTGTTTGATAACAGTAAAATTACTTTTGCATTTAATTAGAAACAATGTACTAGCATAAACAATAAAAGAAATAATATTTTTAAATAGACAATATAGTCTTGTTACTATCAATATAGGCCCCTTAATGGAGTCCTTAATCAATTTCTTCAATATCAAACTTACAGTTACTGCAATGAGGCATAGTAGAAACACCGTGGACAACATCGTCCTTTTAGCCACAAGGGTCGATCTCCGAAACCCGAAAAGTCTCACCATAGGTTTATATGGTTTTCAGTATCCGTTTCTCCGAATTATAAAAACGAACGTCGATGTTTCCACAAGCTAAACCAATTCGAAATGTGATGAAAATAATTTCGAATTTGTTTTATAAAATACTTATTTAGAAACAGGTGGAGTCAAAAGATACAAGTATCTAACTTATCCAAAAAACGGAGATCATAGGGAATCATTTTGAGCTGTAGTGGTAGGCTACTTCAAGTTCTAGTACGGGATATGGGTGTTCTAGAACATCGCCTGATTTGTAAATAAACCGAACTGATAATTTCAGTCCATCAATTGGAACTACTCTCTTGAAGTGTCAAAGTGAGGGGTTGGGCAGATGAGTAATAACGTATCATTTTCCACCCCCGGTCAGTTAATATTGAACGCTTGTGAGTTTCTGAGTTGGGCGTGTCGATTTCATTCAACAGAATTGCTATTCTTGGTATCATAAACATGGGCGAAACCAGGCATGTGGAGGGCGAGGCAAATGCCAAAATTATGTTAAACATAATATGTTGGAAGCACCTAAAACTGTAAATGCAGTCCAAAAGTAGAAAAGTTGGTAAATTCGCCTAGATTTACATTTGCCTCACCTAATCTGATATATTAGCTACACCCCTAATGAATTACTATTATGACCCCCGGAATTGTTGTCCACCCCTTGTCTTTTCAGTAGGTGTAAACGAGGATCTTATTACAACTATTTTCCACGCACCTTCATACTCACTCGGGCAAATAAAAGCCAGTAAGGTGAAAATAATTCATATGGGACCACAATTTTACGCGATTCCCTTGTGCGTTCTTCAAAGAATTGATTAACTGCCTAAGTATGTGCGCGTGTAATATCAAGCGCGTAACCAGGCATACGCGAGGGTACGCAACTTTCGTCCTCTGAATGATTAGTGCCCCATTACACAGTCTGACATCGCTCAGAACGCACCATGGATGTATTGGCAAGTTGAAATCATGATTATCATTTCATCGCATTGTTAATTTCTGTAAGCGACTTTAAACAGATTATTTCTATTTTCAAATCAACAATTTGAAAATAGTTGAAAACAATCGAACCACGAGTAAGAGAAATTTACATTGATTGATTTGAATATGTAAGTATTTGTAGCCAATGTACGTTGAAGTAGCCTACGCAGAACAACACTCAGTCCATTTTACCCCATGGAGTGACATCGAGTCCCATGGGACCAAGTATTCTATTAGCCCCACTAGGTTACTGCAATTTTAAATCTATGAACAGAAGGTCCCATCGTGTGGTAACTGAGAACAAGTCATGTCAACAGCTGCAAATGATTACTAAAAGTGTAACAGTTACACCTGAAGGTCAATCAAAGGTCAAATCTCAATTCTAAAGTCAGATTTGAACTTCTGAGAACTTATAGATGATATCGCAATTTGGAAACAGACCTTTTTGACCTTCGATATGTTGCCATGGTAAAAGATTTTGGCAGAAATTGAAATATGTTGGAACCCATTATTATCATGTTGACAGTAAAAACTTGGAAGTCAATCTAAACAGTACTTTTCAAATTATTTGAAGTTGTAAGAATTCCGCGTAACGTACGCCAACCGCCAAACACAATTGACTTAGCATGGAATTGCAATTGACATTAATCGATAGATATAAAGGATTAAAGTCAATTGCATCCCCATGTTAAGTCAATGGCACCCTTGTTGAAATCCTCATTTTCTCTGAACTCAAATTGAGTCCCAATAAGTACGATTCATTTGTGAGAGTATTGCTAGAATCTTCTTTTTTCTTTTTTTTCAAATAAACATCAACGATGTATTGCTACAAACAGAAAAGGGGACTAGGCCCCTACTACTGGTGTATGGCTTCGTAGGGAATCAAGTGAGTGTCCTTCACTGTGTCATCAGCAGGCGTCTCAGATCGTCACATTTCGCCCCTTAGCCTGTATGCATAATCTGAGTGGGGCAGCGATGGTTTGGTTTTAAACATCGCTCGCTGAAGGACATCACTTGTCATTCCTCTTCAGCCAGAGTCGCCGTCAACTGGACTCTGCCACAGCTTGCTGACTCTGACTCTGCTGACTTCAGCTTGTATGGTGTTAGTCCTAGCTGAGATAGAGGGTAGCGCAGAGAGGAGGCTGCGAACCCCCTACATCCCACTTAGGTACTGCACTGCATGCCATCATGGCCTCGTCTACCAGATCTTGGTATTTGGTATATGACCATTTTCAATGGTAAGAATAAGGGACATTTAAGGACATTAAAGCTTAAAGGTGCAACAATTAGTGCAGAGGGGCCATTCAACGATCATGGACCAGTGTCAAAATATATTCAAGTTTGGATATTTCATCAATTGCAAGACTAACATAAATTTTTATTATCTCGAAAGAAACCCCCTGGAAAATCATTATTTCAGCTGTTATTCCTCTTGAAACGTGATGGATCTTAACAAATCTATACGTGACATGTATACCATTTATAGAAGCTTTGAACTGAATTTACACTTTGTAATGCTAAAATTGATAGTTTATCCATACAATTTAAGAAAAAAGGTCAAAGAAGATGATAAGCCAAATGTTGCCCTGATAGCTCAGAAAAAGTAAAGATTTTCGAATTTTCTCTCTACACGCCTCGTTGCCCCTTTAACCAAGGCCTTTTTGAAAATTTAGGTTTTTAGTACTTATTTCCAAATGCGGACTTTTGGTTCAATGTAACACATGTAAATAGTTTAATTCATGTATGTGTATGATAACATATCAAGTGGTCATTTTCTGCATACCAACGTCGCACTTTACTTCCCCTTGACGTGTGGCCTCTGTGTTGATTGAAATATTCAAAAGCAACTAAGCTAAACAAATATTTATTTGAACCTAATCGTTGCTGTTTAGTTCATTTCTTTGTTATTACCTCTAAGCACACCAACTGTAGAATCTTGTGTCCTCTTTGTGAAAATGTGTTATCGTAATGTTATATATAAAAGGAAAACCACTTTCTTTACACCAGTCATAAGTCAACAGCTCATTGGAGTAAAACCATTTTACCTTGGTTTAGGTAAGTAGCTGACTGAGAGAACCATATAACTAAGAAAAGCTTTTTGGTTCTAAATCAAATGTCTTGACAAGAGCAATGATGCTGATACTTGTCACTACAATACAAATGTCATCGAAACGGGAATTTAACTTACTGTATGTAGTATTTAAAATTGAAACAAATCTATTTAGGCTAAAATAGTTTTTTCAAGAACCATTGATGTTGCGTCGAATTTGGCTTCGAATTACTTTTACGAGGATTATGTTTTGCTCGTTTTATATTCAATTTCTCATCTATTATTTCGTACAACAATGAAGCCAAATGACCGATATAAGTAAACAGAGATCAGTATGAAGCATGACAGCATTAATTATTTGTTTTTCAGTTGATCTTATTGTGATCGCGATACTTTAAGAAATCATTTAAATCGAAGAAACTCTTAGAGCGCATGCATAGATTGGAGTTGGATTATAAAATGGGGCCACGAGATTCAAGTCCATCTCCGACCAATAGTCCAAGGCAGAGGTCGGACTCCATCAAGGAACGCATAAGGGCAAGCCAAGCAGGAATTGAGGAGCTAAGGTTGCTAAGAAATAGCCAAGAAGCTTTGTTTATGGAGGTTCGAGACAAGATAATGGCGATGGGTAGCCCAAGGAAAATGCAGTCCTTGACGGACGGAGATTTCTCCGCAAGAAGACGGGCTTATTCTGATGGCGAAACTGCGAATCTAATTATAGCCCAGGTATTTGTATAATTCATTCATTAAGTTTAAAATCAAAATGTAAAGCAATAATGAAAACTACAAACTCGAGTCTTGCATCACGCATTTGGATCCAGTCATCAAAATCTCCAGAAATGTGCGGTATTTAAATTAACAAAACAATCTGGCAATGTACATTACATGTTTAGCCATTTGTTCAGTTTCCTTTTAGTTTCTGTTTTTAGTTGTAAATAGTTAATTGAATTAAAAAAATCATTCGATGTTTTTAGCAGCCTGCATTCAAAAGATGACCTTCAAAACTTAGGGGCTTAGCAAATATTTGAATACTGAATTCATATAGTTAACAATAACCATCCCCGGGGCGCCCAAGACTGGCAATTAAATATTGATTTGCAATAACAAGTCGAAATATTCTTTTGTAGAAAGCGGCACTGAAAAATCTCAAAAACAAACAGAATATCGAGCCCAAGAATGCTTGGGCCTCAACGCCAAGAAGACGTTCAGCGAGTGTAACAAACACGACATATCAACGTAACAAGCATGAGACACTCTATTCTCCAAACAGGAAGTTACAATTCGAGTACCCAAGCCCTATGCATGCAGTACTCCAGCAGTGGGACACTGCAGTTACAGGTGATGGAGACCCCAGCCCTGATGCTGAAAAATCAGACGTTCGCAAATCTTCTAAAGCTACTCCCTCTCCTTGCACCTTCAAATCTAAAACTGTTCAAACATTAAGTACAAAACAATCAGAAGAATTCGATAAGAGTCATACCATGTGCACAATGCGATCTCATCCAGAGGGACAGCATCGCGATCAAAGTGCAGATTCAATGAACGATTCAGTGAATGATCTTGATTTGTCAATGTCTACATCCCCAATGACAATTGGAAGCTGTGAAATCTTAGCGGAAGTGGTTGAAGAAGCGTATCGTAAAGACATTTGTGACCATAATGAGACAGGTGTAGCTAAAAAATACCCGACACCACCAGACACAATTCAGAACAAATCAGGGGAAGGAAAAGTTTTCGATGACACAAATGGATATAATTGTTTTAACCAAAATAGGTTGTTGTTTTACAAGAACTCTGGTACTCTAGCCAATAATTCCCTGGAAAGACTAAGGAGACTCAAGCCAAATAAAACACGTCCTGGTTCTGGTGACCGGACAATTCCAGGGATGAGCTCACTTCGAGTAGGTCCCGATGCCAACGTATAATTTTACAAATACTTGCAATAGATGCATGTTTATATAGAGTAAATGTGTGTATTATATAGTTAATTTGTCTTGTGTATTTTATTAAGTGAACAGTAACACGCTAGTTTTACTCATTAAAGCCTTAGCTTGTATTTGCGAATGCAACTATAACGCCTGTCGGCTACCGGATTAACCTACTTTTTTTTACTGGAAACTCATTTAAATATGAATAGTACCTGCCACTATTCCATTTATATTTCAATGGGTTGGTCATAAAATACTAGGTTAATCCGGTAGCCGACAGTTAGTTGCATTCGCGAATAAGGTTAGTCACATTTGCTACGGCGACCGTACGGTCTATCATTTCTGCATTCAGTAACATTTCTACGCTCGGCTTAGCAATTCTGAGGTCAAATAATTTAGCAGTCACATTTGCTATAGCAACTGTACGGTGTATTTTGATTTTGAGGATACAAAACCTACGGTTGCCATACGGCTGATAAATAATGACGTGCGGTCAACGTAGGGCGGTCCTACGACGGTAATAGTTTTCTTGACAAAATCCAAGGTAGTCGCTAGGCAGCCTGTGGTTCACAAAGGTCAGTTCAAACCGATGAACTCCAACGGCAGCCGCAAGTCGACCGTACGCCCAACGTGCAGCCACTGTGGAACCTTTCTACTGTCTAGCTACGGCCTTTTAATTTCTACGGTGACCGCAGAAATGAAAAAAGTTAAACCTCCAAGTCATGATTTCAACGGCGAGCCTGGGTGGCCTGTAAAAAATTGGATACGCCGTACAGAGACCGCAATGCGACCGCAGTTTTCCTACGCTCGTCGTAGAAATCTACTGATTTCAAGGAACTACAGTCGATGCATGGTCGACGAACGGTCGCCGTAGAGCAAATGTGACATGGGTTTAACTCATTGGTATGATATGTACGCTAGCAAAAATAAAGAAAATACTACAAAAAACAAGAAATACGGCGCGCATATACGGCGCCCATATTCATTTAGCAATTAAACAGTTAACTTTCTCCGATCACCGGGAGTGATAATGATGACAAATGAATGTATAATGTTATTTTAGCAGTAAAGCGAAAAAGGTTGGAGACAAAAGATCGAGACTGTCATTAAACAAGCTAGATATTTTTATTTTGAACTTGCATTCAACCATGATATGTAAACTATATCAATGTAAAAATGTGAAAACATACTAAAACCATTTCATTATTTGTATTCACAAGTATATCACAGGTTGGCTCGGATTGACGTGACTAGGCCTAAATTTCATATATTTCATATTTTGCTCACAATATGTTTTTTCAAATGTTACTCATGAATACGATAATTCAATTTCCAATAAAATCCTTCAATCAAAACATGGACTTTCAACGAGAAAGCCTATAGGTTCTGGGCCGATATAAAGATGGCAATCACCAACAAATAAACACAGATCGCTTACCATGCCATCTTTATTTAAAAATTATTCCTATCGGCCTTTGCCTATGAGAAAGCCCATGATCAAAACAAGGTTTTCACTTTTCAGGTTTTAGGCCGATGCGATGGTAATATAAATATCATGCATTCTCTCTCCCCCCAGTCAATGTATAGCTAATGTCTAATACATAGTGAGTGGGAGGGGGATGAACTCTTGTTCCCATGTCTGTGCTCTTTGGCCCTGTGAAAACATGGTGAAAATAATCAAAATATTGTCATTCGAGTACTATTAATCTATCATGTATACAAGCAAATGTCAAATTAAATCAAATTTCCTTTATAGAGAAATTGAAATAGTTGAAACAGAAAATATTACTTTTAAAATACCCGCCCTTGAAATGGCTTGAATGTCCCGGAAGTTTCACAGCGCAATCGAGTAGAACTACAACCCGGAAGTAAACCGGAAGTTTGAAAATTTGAAAGTTACCAAAATCCATTAGTTCTACTTTTTCTGCTATTATGAGTCGTATTTATGATAATAAGCCGCTATCATCTCTTCCTGTAGAGAACCATAACTGGGGAACATCATGGGATAAACAAAAAGTGAAGACAAAGTGAGTACAATTTAGCTTTGATGATTTAGTCTACTTTTAATTTCTGTTTTCAGTTTTTTCTATAAAGGACGATTCTCGGTTTGGAGAACGAAGTTCATCAATCTAGATGAGCATTATCCCTGCTTCGGACAAATTTGATTTTTTTACATAATATAGATTTGAATGTTCTCTTTTGAATAGTCATAATTTAATTTGGGTAATATTTCTAGATTTTTCTCAAAAAAATATTAGCGCAGTACACTGATGAACTTCTTTCCCCAAATCGAGACTTGTATTTTATTAAAATCGGTCTAATTGAGCGTTATCCCTGCTCCAGACCAATTTGATATTTTTACATCTTGTAGATTTAAATGTCCTCTTTTGAATATTCATAGTTTAATTTGGGTAATATTTCTATATTTTTCATGAAAAAAAATATTAGCTCAGGAGACTGTTCTCCAAACCGAGAATCGTCCTTTCTGAAATAGTGGTGACCACTGACTTAGACCCTAAGCTCATTCTCAAGACAGATACTATACATGAAAGGGAGTGTGCTTGATTCAATGCCCCTTACGGGAACCCAACCCATGATCCTCCACCCACAAGTCAGACATTCTACCCCTGAGCATCTGTATACGAGTCATGTTGTAATCATAAAATTTGAAATCAAATGTTCACCATTTTTCCACATCACAATTTGAATTGCGAGTTTTGGTCTTATTACCTCACCGAAAATTCCAAAACAAGCATGAAGTGATCAATGTATTAGTTCACATCTTCTAGATCGCTAACTTCGAATTTACAGCCAGTTACTAATGTTAGACAATAACGACATTTCCTCCAGTTTTCGAATATCACCATTTTTCTTGGAACTGTTTATTTTGATTTTAGACGAAATCCTTACGAAATCATGCAATATCTCATCAAGGAGCCCAGCCAGTTCCATTTTTAATTCATGATTTATTTATTTGGCGATTTTTAAATTATTTAATAAATCTAAAACACGCCGGTCAGCTTTTTTCAAATGGTTCATGGTGTTCCAGATAAAATAACTTCAAGCCAAGAATAGGCTAGAGACTCGAGTAAAGCTACATTACACTACACTACATTTCAGCCGTGTTAATTTTGAGGCAACATGCTTTGAAATCGAGTATAAATTGGCATACAAACTTCAAAGTACAAAAAAACACAATTTGTCATTCAAACCACAAACAATCGAGTAAGTTTTGTTTCTAAAATATGAAAAAAATTTTGACTGCTCAAATAAACTGATTAAACTGGCTCTGGCTTGAAACCTAACAGACTGTACACAATTTATAAGCTGTAAACAGCAATTATTCCATATGTACTTAGGAACCATTCATCACTGCATATTGAATTTTTATTTGACAGAGATGGAGGAGCTATAATTGAAGGGACCATAGAAAAGAGATCAAAACATTCCATTCACGATACAGTGCAAAATAAGGTATGTGTTACCATGGAAATTGATACCTACTGAGGTTTAATCATATGGGTAATAAGCTTGAAATGTATTTGTGACATAGACATTGTTGTTTTTGTGATTTGTTTGACCATTGACACCATTTTGATTTAATATTCAGGTGAGATACCTGGTGCTGCATGTAAAGATATCAAGGGCCCACAAAAGGCAGTATGATGACAAAGGAAATGAAGTGGAACCAAATTTTAGTGAAACACAAAAAGTCAGAACTGGATATCTTCATTCCTCTTATAGTAAGTGCACTATGTCTCTACAGTACAGAAGAACATCCTATATGTACTTTGTCTCATATTACAGTAAACTTGAGAGGAAGGGATGAAATGCATCAGCATAGTACAGTGAATCCTTTAAAGTGGAGTACCTCTAGAAGTGGAACAGTTTTCAGAGTCCCAAGACCAACTGACTTAATGTTAAATGATTATGATTATTAATGTGGAACACCTTCAAAGTGGAATACTTTTAGGTATCAAAGGTATTCCACTTTGACAGGTTTCACTGTAATTACTAGCCCTCTGGGCCACAATAATTATTTATCGCAGGCAATGCTATTCTATTTCAGAGACAGAGGGAAAGGGTGTTTCAGACAAACTGACCAATGAGGAAACAAGATCACTGATTGATTCCCCTGAGATAACATCCCTAACCTCCAAGCATGCCCAGCCAGAACTTGCTGCTCTCTGGATGGAGGAGAATGACAGCATGGAACTGGAGAATGGTGACTCTGTCAGGGTGAAGACATATGGAGGAGGACCCTTTATAGGTATAAGTAATAACTATAAACTACTAAACTGAGATGTTTGTATGGATTTACAAGTTACCATTTACAAAGCCAAACAATTTGTTGTCATATGAATCGGTGATGATGGTCAATGCTGGTTATGACTGTTTATAGATGGCGCCATTGCCCTGGGTTATATTTGTCATTTATAACACATTACAAAATGTGAAAAATACATTGTATCATCATCAATAAGAATTTGGTATGCAATTAAAATAGACTAGTTAATCGAAATTTTAGTGATCAAGTATTTGATGGTATACAATGCAAGACCTGGCATCTGTTCATATCTCCCATTTTGTTACAATTTTTAAGTGGTTATTATTGTTTACTTGCCCATATTCCAAGGCTACGGCTAATTATGTCACCACCACCAAAAGTGGTGACATATTGTTATGGTCTCCGTTTTTTTTGCGACGGCGGTTGGTGGTTGGCGTCCGGCGGTTGGTGGTTGGCGTCCGGCGGTTGGCGTCTGTAACAATTTCTTACAACTTCCTATAACTTAACAAATACTGTTTAGACTGACTTCAATTTTTTCTAAATCATCTACATGTTCTCAGAAGTTCAAATCTGACTTTAGATTTGACATTTGACCTTCAATGACCTTCTCAAGGTCAAAAAGGTCTTTTTTCAACTTGCTTCACATTGACTAAATTTTTTTTCAAAATCATCTACATGTTCTCAGAAATTCAAATCTGACTTTAGATTTGACATTTGACCTTCATATCTGACTTTAGATTTGACATTTGACCTTCAATGACCTTCTCAAGGTCAAAAAAGGTCAAAAAGGTCTGTTTTAAACTTGCTTCAAATTGACTAAATTTTTTTTTCAAAATCATCTACGAGTTCTCAGAAATTCAAATCTGACTTAAGATTTGACTTAAGATTTGACATTTGACCTTCAATGACCTTCTCAAGGTCAAAAAGGTCTGTTTTCAACTTGCTTCAAATTGACTAAAAAGATTTTTCAAAATCATCTACGTGTTCTCAGAAATTCAAATCTGACTTTAGATTTGACTTAAGATTTGACATTTGACCTTCAATGACCTTCTCAAAGTCAAAAAAAGGTCAAAAAGGTCTTTTTTCATCTTGCTTCAAATTGACTAAATTTTTTTTCAAAATCATCTACATGTTCTCAGAAATTCAAATATGACTTTAGATTTGACTTTAGATTTGACATTTGACCTTCAATGACCTTCTCAAGGTCAAAAAAGGTCAAAAAGGTCTTTTTTCAACTTGCTTCAAATTGACTAATTTTTTTTTCAAAATCATCTACATGTTCTCAGAAATTCAAATCTGACTTTAGATTTGACATTTGACCTTTAATGACCTTCTCAAGGTCAAAAAAGGTCAAAAAGGTCTGTTTTCAACTTGCTTCAAATTGACCCAATTTTTTTTTCAAAATCATCTACATCTTTTCAGAAGTTCAAATTTGACTTTACAAGTTCTCAGAAATTCAAATCTGACTTAAGTTTGAACTCATAATTGTCATGTTATGACATTTTGTCATGTTAATGCCTTGTTGTATTCATAAAATGTGATTATTTTCAGAAAGTATCGCAAAGCTCGATATTCAGTCATCCACTGTGTCAAACTATGGAGGAGGCCAAGCTGTAGGTGGCTCATGGACTGACAAGGTGATGACAGTGAAGGCACAAGACAGGGTGGCCCCGCAAGAGAATGAAGGTGTAGAAGATGATGAATGGGTAAGAGAACTATAGATTTGAAACAATAGATTCAAGATTGCCTCCCTCCCTCTGTCAGTCCATCCATCTGTCCGGGTGATAACTCAAATACCGTTGCCCCGATTTTGTTCATATTTTGTACACATATGCTCTATGGGGTTAGAAGTAGTGCTTGCAACGGTAATGGATCTCACTGCCGGTAAATTTCACCTCCATTACCTTACCGTTACCGATAATCGTTGATACTGATAATGTTCCTAAAATCCTGGGGAAAAACCTGAAAGTGAAACTAAAATATTTGGAAAAATCCTTAACGAAGCCGATTTCTCAGCTTAATTTCCCGCTCACATCAACTACAGTGGATATATTGTATCATCGTGTATCTCGTGTGTGATTGTGTATTGTTAGGAAGTCTTTGAATGATAATATAGACTGAGTGAATTCGATCAAAATTGATCAAACTATTTGTGTTTGTTTTTACTTCACCGAAATATCACGTTACGTGATTTGTTAATCTCGCGGCATGGGAGATGATTGACAGAAGTGGGTGGGGTTTTGCTTATCCTCCCGCCTTTTACGAATGCTTTGCAGTTGATTGACAGATTAGCTCTTCAAATGTGGAGATTGAAATATACATGATTGATAAAATATTCTTAAACGAACATTGTTTCGTAAATTTGACAATGGATCGCAATGCCAATCATCATGTTGCAGCAGCATGGCGATTATCGGCAATGGATTTTATTACCGGCAATTGAGAGTATCTACTGCCGCTGCCGACAACCCGGCATTACCGTAAGGCACTAGTTAGAAGTTCTGCTCGAAAGCTGATTTTCAAAATAGCCACTCGTTTCAAAATGGCGGCTATTTTAGTGCCGATTTTACAGTAATTTAGGTACAATATGTAAAACTGGAAGAGCAATATGTTTTAAATGTAAAAAAATTATATATGACATTAATAAAGCTAAAGATCATTGTCCAAATTGCTCAAGTTATTAAGTTCAGGATCGGACTCCCGTATAACCCGTAACATTTAATTAAAAAAGTAGCTGTGTTTATGTTACAATAAAAGTATCAAATTGTTTCATTGAATTAAAATGTGAAAATTCAACTTTAAGGCTGTGCATGACCATTTTTCAATACAATCATTTTTGGGCATAAAAAATCTTGGTTAAAATAACATTTCAATCGATCAATTAAAATTTTATTCTGGCAAAGCTGATTTCAATTATATCTCATATATTGTGCTAATGTTGCAAATAGGTTAGTAGGTCATGCTGACCTGAAAATATTCATAAAATCTTTTTGATTTTAAAAACTTAATTCTTGGTCTAAAAATAAACTCAGCAAATGTACAATAAATCTAATGATATAACTCTCCAAAGTTCTACTTTTGATTGACAGATCTATTTGTGGACCTTCCATATTTGGGAGTGAAATTGATAACCTGTGTTAAAAATACTAGGTCAAGCTGATCTGGTCACTCTCTAAGACAATTTGAAAACAGAATTTTGACTGAAATTGATTGATTCTATTTTGATTTTTCTCAATAATAACATATTTATATAATAGTTGACCTTTCAAATCATTCTTTGCTATCTAATATCAGTTTATTTGTGACGTTTTAACCACAATTATTTACTTTTTAAAATGAGAGTTTTGTAGTATTTTATGGGGCTATTTTGTCAAAGAATTTCTATGGAAAGAACAATTTTACAATTACATGTTATCCCTTAGTCCATGATTCATTCAGAAGGTATTTTGGGAATTATTATTCAACCAGACATTGATTGTTTCTATAAATTAGCTTTCAACTGTTTTTGCAGGATGACTGAGCAACCAAACCTATATATTATATATAATCTTCAAATGAAGTCAGCCAGTTCTTTATCAGATCTGTCAATCATGATCATCACTCTGCTTGTATGCTGATAAAACACACAGTGATCCGCCACAGATACGATGTGCATCCATTTGACATTGAGTCATACTCAACATTGATGGAAGAAATCCCATTTAGAGAAGCATGAGGCACGTTGTATACAAGAGGAGGACAGTTTAGCCCCATTTGCACTTTGCATATGCTTCAGGTGATAGAAAGATTGTTCATGAAAAGATGGCAGCACAAAGGAACTACCCTACTGCTATCTTTATATTGGCCTAAACATAATGCCTATTTGTAAACAGCAATGTCAATCTTTGCAAAAGTACTTAGATCAAAATAGAATGCTAACTGAGTTACTTTAATGTATATTGTCATTAATTAGAAATAAGGAGTGATATGGTTGGAAGAAAAATACTTCATATGGACCGTATTTCTAACTTGAAATTAATGTACATGTTTGATTTATTGATAATGATGTTAGTTTTACAGTACATCTACCATAGATAAATGGGCAGCTAAAATAATGTCCCCAAAAATCATAACTACATTTTTATTGACTTTTCCTCTGCTTGAATATTAAAGGTGTATATTCTATATTTATCCCAGAGCTTTCTCAATGCATGAAAAATATGTTATATATCCGATCAATTTTTGTTATATCCAAAAAGTTACCATAAACACATTTATTCCATTTCCATGATTAACAATATTATGGCAATAAATAATATTCACAAGTTAGAGCATGATATTTTGTTTATATTGGCCATTACACCTTTTACGCTTTCCATGGTTATAGAGGTAACCAAAAGTTAAAAAACCAAGTGAAATCTAAGAACTCTAACCAAATAGGAATGATTTTAGATATGCTCGGTGACGTATTCCTATTGGTCGAGGCTTAATCAACCAGTGTTCTGAGAAAATGAGTATTTCATCGACTAGTGTGTATTGACTTAACATGGTGCTTAACTTGGGATATCATCCCGGGATCATCGTATACCCATATTATCATCATTGAGATATCATGAAATCCTCATTATCTCAGAAGAACATTGATTGATTCAGTCTCAACCAGGAAATCTGTTACTTGGTATAATGTATTATCAATATTCTAAGTACCGGGAGTAATTAGAATATGGGTTCTTAATGATTTTAGCTTAACGGCGGCTTTTTGGTTGAATAATGGGAATCCCCTTTCCAATTTTATATGCTGATGGCTTAGGAAAATAGGACATTTGCTCAGCTTCAGCTGGAAAGTAACATTTTGGTAAAAATTGCTATACCTGCACATGTTATTTTCATTTACATTTATTTTGTACCAGAAAATAACATGTGCAGGTATAGCAATTTTTTACCAAAATGTTATTTGCCAGCTGTACCTTAACGCTTCTTCCCACATATTGTGCTTTTTCATTTAATAGACCAGTGCCTTATGGTCATCTCTGCACGAGAAGGAATTTCTAGTGTTTACAACTTTTGTCAAAAGGAGACAATTTACTACCCTGTTATTTCTATTACACGACATGATCAAGGTTCCAATATAATATGATTTGTTTGGGGAATGTGACATGGCTGATATCGTATCCAAGATTTTGAAGTTATGGAAAACTAGTGTCACTTTACTCACCGGTAGGCTATTTATTTTTAATATATGCATGTATGCCCTCAACATGGTTCCCCACTTTTTAATGTGTTTTGATAGGCTTGACAAGAAATGATTGGAGGCATATAGGAAAAAAAGTAATTTCCTATTTTCTAGGAAAGAACATTTAATTCGAATGATTTATAATTATGGATCATTACTAATAGAATAACAATTTGTATTTGCACACCGCCCAATTTTGAAATAAATATTCTGGGAGTCCAAGCACACAATGCAACCATGGAAAATGAGGACATCAACAGCGAGCAAGTACATCTTCATGTAGTCTTCTGAAGGATACTTGACTTGGTACTTTGAGCAAGAAAACTAAAGGATCAAGCGTCAAACGGAACCGAGATAGTCCCAAATTTTATTGACGGGAACAGATCGCATTACACTCAAAACCACTTAAGTGTGAAATTAATTTTGTTAAAAAGTGAAAAAAAATCTAAAATGTTTTTTTCAAATAGACATATAGTATATATCTGTATACGATTGTACATTCGTTACCCAAGGCATTGAAGTAAACTCCAAGGAAAAATAGGCGAATTTTCAAATTGAAATTAGGGTCCGTCTCAAACATGTCGATTTCATATCTTGACCCCCTGGTTAATATGTCAAGCTATTCAAATTAGAATGCAACATTTTCAAAAAACCAAGAACGTTCCTCATGGTACTTAATTGTCCTTTAAAATCGCAAATGGATTTGGACTGCAAGCTTTTCCTTTTTGATGTGCATCACTTGTCAACATGAACCAATAAAATCTATAATTTTTCTCGATTTTTTTACTAACCTTTTGTTTTTAATTTGAATAAAATTGAAAGGGTCGACTTTATTGAAACATGAATCGATGCGATCATGAAAAATGATCCTAAAGACGATAAAAATGATAACAGTTTTATTTGGGAAGAATTGATCATTACGCTATTTCACTATTCAACCGCATGTCGATTTTCACAAGACAATTAGAAACAAATGACAATGATTTAGAAAGTTCATTTTAAGGAACGCTTACTTCACGAATCGACATTTTTGATATGTAGGATATAACTAGCTAAATTGAGAAACACCCAGTTTGTATTTGTATCCAAATATGACCACGTTCATGTAAAATTTCCCGTCAAAACCCGACATACGTAAAACATGATTTGGAGAATCCTGTCGTGTTTCACATTTTATTCTAAAATATCGTCAAATAGAAAATAAACTTAGGACATGTACGTATTACGTCCGCAAAGTTTATATGCACTGAACACATCTTTTCTACATCCTCTTCACACCAACTTTACCAAAACATTGCACTGATTCATGAGACAAGGGTTTACATTTTTAGATTGAATGAGAATTGGGTGACAGATGCCATGTCGTTAAAATATTTTTTGACACCCTTGATGTATGTTTCCCTTTTTCTCATATACCAGGTATGGTACCTTGCCTTGTTTTTACAATTTGAGTCATTTTTCCTTTGGGTTTTGCTTTTAATGCATGCTTAGAACAGTTGCAGGTTGACGTAGTGACGTTTTACTTGCATGTATCACACCAACAGGACAGCCATTTACGTAATATTGAAGTACAAACAGCATCTATCTAGATATCTAGATCTGAAATGTCCCTCTAACATATTTCAAATCAAGAACCCGATCCTTATTCTACTCGAGTGTACGTTATCAATTGAAACATATGATATTGATGTCGAGTCGAGTCCAGTAAGGCTGACGTATACGTATAGTTCAATCATAAAAATCATCTGCACCGGTGTAGAGACGTTTCTCTTGACACCATTATCTGCGGCGCGCTTCGCCGATAAACCCCCCCCCCCTCTCCAAGTTCCTATCACAAGACTTTTTTCCATGACCACCGGAAGTGTTTTTATTACTATGCTTTGCTTCATTCTGAGATTTTTGTTTTAGCCGCTATAATTTCCGCTTTAGAGAAACAAATTTCTTTCTTGTCAGACTCGATCCCTTTTCCGGATTTGTTTCTTCTGGTGTTTTCTTTGAAGCTCTTGAGGTCTGTATATTTTAGTGGTCTACCCCCGGTTTTATTTTTCGAAGAGGGGAAAAATCATCTCGCTTTTGTTGCCTCTATCGTCGCATGCGCATCTTGTGCTTTATGTTTCTATAATGCTAGTTAATTCGATTGGCGATATTTTTCAATGAGGAGCGTAATCTTATGCACCTCATCTCTTGATTTTTTGATTTATTTTATTCTCGGACATTGATTTGCATTGAATAAAGTTTGACGAGTGCATTCCGAATCTTGTACATCAGATCGTGATGTATCTAGTAGATCAGATCGTAATAATGAACTTAGAAAGTAATGATAAGCAAATAAACATCGTTGAAAAGCTATAAAATCTTTCATATTACAAATAAGAGATGGCTTTTTATGTTGTTCACCATTGAGAATGATGCATTCATTGAAAAGGAAACTGAACCCAAACGTTCATAGACTTTATAATTGAAGTCAGCACTCCCCGGGAATGCACTGAACGAAACGTTAATTACAGAGGTTGACACATTTTGGGCTATAATGGTCTTCATAATGATTTTTGTAGTGAAAATCTTTCGGTAAATTATGCTTATGGAAGTTCCAAATAACTTATCATCTGCTTGCATGTAACGTATTTTTGTAAAGACGTATAAAATGGAAAAGAGTACGCTGGACAAAGAGAAAACTCTTTAGCTGTTATCTTTTCATTGTCTATCAATTGATCTGTATGCGTAATTATCGGAAAACTGCTATGTATGTGTGATCAGTGTATTGGTAATCATTGGAATCAAATCAATCAATTTGTGATTTATAGAAATTACTAATTCACTGCTTTGAGTTCAATGGTATAACCATGTCGATTTTCACGCATGTCGATTGTCACAGTTTCACATCATATTCGCTCATAGATGGGGCCGTACTAGTTATTTCATAAAATGTTTTCGCTAAAATAGAGTGGATATATTGTTTTCTTGAATAGTGTCCGTCTTTACACTAGAATGCTGCCCATGTGTGAATTACATCTTGGTCGTTTTTCACAAGAAAAATGGTGAATTTTCAGAAATGTTCAGATAATGCTCATTATAATTCAATCACAATTATTATCACGATTTGGAACATGCTGGTCTGATAAACTGAATCAAGGACTTGCTAACAACATATAACTTATTTTTCTCGGATTTCCCTAATGCCGTGTGGGTGTGTTTAAACGACCATGTCGATTTTCACAGACATTTATTTACATTTACTTTATTTGATCTATATAATTGGTAATAGGGTGAGATCAAATACAGTGCTCTCATCACACTCTGAATGAATGTTCTCTATTCCAGCATAACCAAAATTAAAAGATGCGACCATTTATTATTGAGATATGACATGTTTTCAAAAGCGTGTTGTCCTGTTACATTGACAATTTCACGAAATTCACAATTTTGAAGCCAGATATCAACGCTACTTACAATCGGAACGATCAAAAAAGTATGCTGACGTAGTTCATATAAAGGCATTATATTTTAGAATACATAAAATGATGAGCAAACACAGGTTTAGTTTCAGCTATGTTCAATTACATCAAAAATGTCAATTTTTAACACTTATTTGTTTACACTGATTACATCTTCAAAAAAGTTTGGAATAAGTATGAGGGTAGGTATATGTTAAGCCTGGGACTAGGCACTTTATTTCAATATGTACAGAAAATAACAGAAGAAGCAATTCAGTATCCAAAATAAAGGCAGAGAAATTATTCCAACATGTTTCTTTATTTAAAAATCTTCAGGGAATGAAGAAATATAATATAAATATATACTTAGTATACACACCAGATTTCAGAAATAATATAAAAAGATAAAATAAAATGAGACTGGGAGCTAGTCCTGGTAATAGAGCTAAACTTTTAAAAGAAACGTTGTTCAAATGATCCCCGTGGATTACTGTCCCCACGACACGTTTTCTTTATACTCAATCGGCAAGAATGCAACTCGAAAGTAAGAACTAATCATTAGAGTTTAAAAACGTATACTAGTACTTAAACCTTCCTAATGACAACTTCATTGGGTTACTTTGACACCATATCAGGTTGCTCTCATATTTGCTTATACTTCCCTTTCCGGGTGATGTTTGCATCTTTGATGTACAGCTTCGTCTCCCAAATTATGAGGCATGATAGACATAGTAGCTATAGTAACTGGCATAGGTTCGAACCAATCTTTTTGAGGTTAGTATATCTAACAGCACAGTATTGGAGAATGTAAATCTAATCAGAAGTAGACTATTTGAATTGTATACCTGCATTATAAACGACCGATAAGTTCACAATTGTACGAAAGATACAATATGATATTGATACAATAATATTGTCCAAGGTCAAAATTATGACTTAGAAGGGATACTAAATATTAGTGATGCTGTTTTGCTCAATTTTGTACTTCTTTATTGTTTATTTCAGATGATGCCTCAAAAGCTACATTGCCTAGATCAGCTCAGAAAACATATCACTTCTCTTTTTAATTTTAAGGTAGTTATCAATTTCTTTCATCTCGAATCTTACTTTTATTAATTCAGATAGGAAGAATAAGATCACTCGCCCGGAAAGCAAGAAGGGGTCGTTGGTTCGATCCCCACTGGGTGAAATGACTTTTCACATGCTTTGCACAGGATTTTTTCTGTTTTATCATTAACCATAATAGTTCATGATTTAGGCTAACTAATGCGTCCAGGTCAACATGGCATGTTGTAAAATCAATTTAGTGCAGAATCAGTGTTTTTCTGAGATTATATGTCAAGTTACGATGTCAAGTACTTCTGTAATGTAAGTAAGTGAAGGTCCAATGAGGAAAATAATTACTCATACACTACATGGACGAAAAATTGTTACAGCTCGGAATTTGGTTTCAAGTAAACTTTCCTTTTTTTTTATGCCAGCGACATCTTTTAATTTCTTTTTAAGTTATTAGTATTTTACAGGTAAAATGCATCAAAGCGTATCACATTATTTTTATACAATTTTGAATTTTTACTAAAGTAGAATAAGATCGATCGATTTAATTGACGGTTGTTTTGATTAAATCATAGAGTATTTATTTAATTATTGCAGTGAATCGGGAATTAATCAAGTACAGCATTATTTTGTTTAATTAGAATCAGAAATATAAGCGATTAAAAACTGAGCAATCTGGCAATATCCAGAGCAACCTTGCTAGTAAAGATGTTCCACTTGATTTGTCCACGCCTTCATTGTCATGTATTCGCGTCATGCTCAATTAAAGCATTTATCTCAAATACATCCTATTGTCCAAATGCGAATCAGCTAAATGTAAAATGGCCAAGAAAGTATACGATTAACCATATTCCAAATATAGTCTTGAAAGCAGAATGTAAACACGGCAAATACAAACGTGAGTAATAACTTCGAACAAATAATAATACCATGCATTAAGTTGAATGGAACTCTTTAAAATCTACTTTTGCTGTATTCTAGCTGGTGATTGCTGATGTAAAGCAAATCAGGGCCTTTAAGCTGTGTATTTAAAGTATAAATAGAAAACTACATATGTTTGTCACATACCATATTTACCTGTGATAAAATATACACAGGTAGCATGTACGACACATATAACTCTATTAAGTGGAAAGTTCGTGAGGTCAGACATATTTAAGGTCGAAGAAAAGTCGTGTGACATTTAAAGTACGATGAATAAGCTACAACATTTCAAAAGAAGTTGAACAAATATAAAATACAGGATATTCAATATAATACTCAACCGGGATAGTCAACACTCGGTCGTGATCACTCCATAAAATATATTAAAGGAGAGATAATATTGGAACACACACATTACTCTTTAAGTGAATATACTATAGATTCATAGAGTCGAACACTATAGGTTCAGATATTGTGATAATATAAAAACGGTTCTGATGAAGTTGTGAATGATGGGATGTTATTTGTAGTATTACTTGGCATTCTTCCTTGAATATTAATAAACCATTGAATAGGTATAAAAAGATCTGAATCAGACTTTAAGGACACTTAGATATCAATGATGGAGATAACGAGATAAGGATTTTCATATAAGGAAAATATCATTTTGTGCTATCATGGCTGATAAAAAGGTAAGGTGATGTGATTATACTCTTAATTAAAGGTACATACAGCGTAGTACCAACAACCTGTTGAATACACACTATATTCGTTTCTGAACATTACACTATTATGAATATTGAATGTTTTGTCTTCCTCAATCTGATAAAGTGATAAGTTTTTTTCTCATACACCATTCCCATGTACATGTATGTCTACCAAGGGTTTTATGATAAGTGTAAATGCGTGATATGGGAATAACAAGTAGCCTCTACCTATGTAGACATTATATAAATGTGATTACAGGTAGGCGTTACATATACATGTAATCACAGGTTGACGTTAAATATACGAGTAATTATACGTAACTTATAAATGTGATTACAGGTAGACGTTACAAATACATGTAATCACAGGTTGACGTTAAATATACGAGTAATTATACGTAACTTATAAATGTGATTACAGGTAGACGTTACAAATACATGTAATCACAGGTTGACGTTAAATATACGAGTAATTATACGTAACTTATAAATGTGATTAAAGGTAGACGTGATATACATGTAATCACATTTAGACGTTATGCATGTAAATATAAGTGCATACGATTAGTAGATTATTATTTATTCATGTAATTACATACATGTCATTCCAGTATTATACTAACATTTAGACAATAAACTATTAGACCATGTGGTAACCTTGAGAAACGTTACATTATACAATACAGGGTGGGATAATGTAGCTATTAAAATGTTCATAATTCATTTATCGATGTGCCATTGTTAGTTTTCCAATATAGAACCTTGTAGGTGATATTTGATAACATTATAGGAAGAAGAAAATAAGTCTGGTCCGAGATATGTAACAGTAAGTAAACTTAATGGACTTGGCATAGTATTGTATATAAAGACTGAATGTAACCGTAAAACAATCGGCTAATTAACATTATATTGCTTCAGGGACGTCCATATTACCGTAATGTTGATGCTTATTCAGTACGGAGACTCTTTGGGACATAAACCTTTCACTCTTAACGTAAAACCTGAATTATCTTTCTATGAATGAACATACCGCAGAATCACTAAAATAATAGGACAATCGCGAGTATTTATGTAAGCTTAAAATATGCTTTGCTTAAAAAATCCAAACGTAAATTCTTTGAGAAAAAAATGTTATCCCAAAACGGTTGTCGGTATACCCTCTCCCCTATTATAATACGAGAGAGATGTGTTAAAGTGCTAAGGTAGGCCGATTGGAATGAGTATTGTCTTTTTATTTCACCTGCGTATTGAAGCTATACACAAATAGCCTAAACCATCCCACTTGGCCACGCCTCACCTTAATGAATGTAGTTAAACTTAGTTTTGCTTATATGTGTTTTCAGCTTTGTATGTTTGCTGATAAAAGTAAGTTGTATGTTTGGGTGTTAAGAAGTTTTAACATTCTATAACTTCAAAGTAACATGACTTCCTAAACTACTGTTGGTTTGAATATTTTTAACCCTAATGACACTGACACTGGAACTTAAAAATATCCACTACGACTGGGTTGAATTCTAGCTGTCATGGTTATGAACCAAATTGAAAGAAACAAAAATGATTTATACAGCAATCCAGGTTTATAGTTTCTCTTTTAGTTATTATTATCTACCATATAATATAAGTTACCCTAACCCAACTTTCTATTCAGTCTGTCAAAATAAAAATGTACATGTGTCAAAATAACGACTTATAATTACGTTATTCAATACAGGTGTTCCATTCCTTTTACACCCACGTTAGTCCCCAGTTGGCACTATATTCTACTCATTAAATAGTTTTGTACTCTTAATTTGAACTGTTGTGACATACCCTTCACGAGTGCTAGATCAGAGTAGGTGAAACTTTGGACGTGCTCTTCAAAATGAGAGATTTTGAAATATTTAAAATATCTATGATGGTAAGCAATGTCCTGCGGATCATATAAGGAAATATGCTAAAAATAAATGTTATTTAGTGAAAATTAAAAAAAATAGTGGGCAATTAATTTTTGACGTTTTTGATCATAATATCTATGGGATGGGTAAAAATGTCCAAACTTGGTCTTTTACCATTGATGTGTTTTGCTGATGTAAAAATCTACCATAACTGCATAAGGAGCAATATTATTCTGTGTAACACTATACACACTATATCTTGCCTAATTCTATCAATTCTCTATTCTAGTCTTGATTGTTTTTTGTTTGTTTTTCGAGGTGTAGTTAATAATCTGATTAGTTTTCTCCAAATTACTGCATGATACTTATTCAGTCAAATAGATTTTCCGAATCGTAATCTACGTTTATTCAATGGCATTCCCGTTAGACTTGCCAAAACTCTTTTACTTGTTCCTGTTTTCGATCTTGTAAGCTGGCAAAAACTAAACGAAGGGACTAGTGGCTAATCTTAGTTCTCGTCAAGTTTGAAAAATTCACCCGGTGACGATAGATTCATTTTAGGATAACGTCGGATTTTGTCATTGTATTTAGTATGCCTTAATAGGTATGTAAAATGAGAAGAAAATAAACCATCGTTATGTCCGATAACATGATCTGTCATTAGAAAACATGCCCCAACATCCAAGTGTGTAAAAAACAATGTAAAACATCAACCCCTGTCACACCTGGAATTATAGTCACAACAATGACCATTAACAAAAACCAACAAGATGTGACAACAGTAAAAGGAAAAGTACATTTAACGAAGATGATCAATGTACGTTCTTTGCGTTCCAATAGTAGCTGTAATGTGTGTTTGTTCTGGTTTTTATTGAAATGCCTTTTAGGGTATGGAATGTTGCGGGACCCTTTAGATGTCATATAACTTGTTTATCTGAGGTTAGCATGACCCGACGACAAAACATATTTTTGAGTACAACTTTTCCTTTCAAAATTCGAATTCAAAGAACGTTAGTAGGAAATTCATGAGGAAATATTAAAACAATCGTTGCAATCGGATCTGTTCGATTTCACATCCGTTTTTTATTGAAATTTTAGGCGGGGCCATTGTCATTCGAGACTACTACAACTCCCAGACGGAAGAAAAAAGAACACAAGCATTAATTGAATATTATAGACTCTCGGTCTACTTATCAGTAGCATGGGTGCGCTAATTCAATGTTTTACAATTATTTTTTCTAAATACATTCTCTTAAAAGAGCCAATCAAGATTGTTTCTAATCATAGGACATTGTAATGTTATGTGATCATACCGCCCCCTCTTGTCAAAAAACAAAGGTGCATTTCATATTTTTGAGTTGTAAACCCCACCTCTGAAATACGTAATATTTTTGTCATTTATTTCATTACTATAGCTAGGAAGTTTAATTTCCAAGAAATAAAAGCATAATACCAACCGTATATTTGCTCAGAATTTATGATCAGTTTGGATAACTGTGATTGGTTGTGAAAAATGAACTCTCTGACTCGGACTCTGGAAAAATTACAAAAATGTCTCATGAATCTGAGAAAGCCTAAATAAAAAAGAGATTCTAACTTTCTCCTAGATCCTCACTTGAAAATTCAAATTATGTAATTTTTTAATTAGATCGTCATTTTAAATACTGTCAACAATTCTTTGGCATTGAGAGAAGCTAGTTTTGCTTCTGTAAGTGAATTCATATTAATGATATAAAGTCATACTTTTTTTTTAAAAATCCCAAAAATTGAGTATACGAGAAACGCCATATTGTCTATCAGTTATTCCATTAGTCAGTCTGAAAAAACAACGACAGTTTAGTGAGGGATTAAACATGAACCTTTTAATGACAGATATCAATCATGGACGAATCCCAATAGCAAGATTCTATGATAGATTGTAAATACTGGAGATGTTAATCAATAACTATAAATAGATAAGACATTCTATTTCAATAGATAACCTTCAATAATTGTTAGGCATTTCGAAATTAACCGAACGCTCTTTTTTGACCGACCACACCCTCAGGCAGATAATGTGGTTGAAATATATCAATTGTGATTGTTTGTGTTAGTACGCAGCAATACATTGTTTATAAGTACATAATTAATTGTTAATATTGAGATAAGACATCTATAGTGACAGTTTCAACATTATTTTTATTTCCTATATTTTAACACATATGGAAAGCTAGATTCATCATCCAACAAGTGAAGACAATAAAATGGAAAATGAAAAGAACATTAACAATTGCATTCCATCACATAAAACATAAAGTTTATATTGAATAAACGAGGAACCACTCACTTCCGAATAATTTTGCTATCATTAACAAATCGTATTTCAGGTATGTATTGTAAATATTAACTTGCGGTTGGTTTACGTCGGCACTTGACATCGCTATATAATACATGAGTCAAAGTACACCTTTTAATCGGAGTAAAATACTTTGGTCAAGGTTTATATTAAAAGGTTTATCAGCGTCTATCTGTTGCAATAATCCAACACATTCATCAAAAGTAACATCATTTTTGATAATAATGAAGAAGTCATGGATATAGTAACATAGCATGTTGTCTGTTGGAGGGACTAATAGTACACTAACTCTAACTGAATCAAACCAAGTCTAACAACACGGAACAAGAGGTATAAATATGGCTAAATGTTTTAATCTTTTAAAATATAGTTTATCCCTTTTTGACAGCCATTTCACTTGTTTAAACTCCTGATGTAGTTGTAGTCTTCAATATGACATTTAAATATACATATGTTTTTCGGTTTGTATACATTGATATAATAGTTAATTAATGATTGACTGAAAATGTTTTGTAAAGCTGTTATCAAAACCACCAAACTGACATTTTGACAGTGGTGGGATAACTAACAAGATAAACCAAAACAATCAAAACCAATTAAAAACAAATTATATTTACGTTTGCAGGTTATTCCAGTAAGTTTTAAACGCGTGGGGTCAACGGATCGGTATCCCAGAAAGACTGATACAATGGAGACGCCACCTAACAATGGTGGTGGGGAAGTGAATCCGTCGTTTACTGATGATGGATCAACCAGGAAGAACACGGGGAAACCAACGAATGGATCATCTTCCAGAGACAATTTATCACCCGGTCAACCCCGGAATATAAATCCAGTGGGCGCATATGACAATTTAGGATATGATCAACCAGATTCAACTGGATCAATACGGCAAATACAACGAGAAAATTCGAAACAAAATGGCCAGAATGGCAATACGCCTTCACCACATTACGATAATGTGAAAACAATATCCACTCATGAATATGCCAATGTAAACCCGGCCTATGTTGCCTCTGAGAGAGACACACAGTACACTGACTATAGAGACAATGCTATTGTTGATCAAGATCCCGATAGAGTCATTCCCCTTCCTACTGGGGTAACTCGGAGGACTAACTCAACATCCTCGCCAAACAAGGACAAAGCCAATAAATACCGCATGAGTGAAAGTGAATATGGCACCAGTAGAGAAATCCCTAAAAAAGAAAATACTAAGAAGATAAAATGGGGATGGGTTATATTTTCCTTCATAATAGTCATACTTCTATTTGCAGGAACCATTCTTTTTGTTTATTTCTATTTCTCCAAAGGTGAGTACATTAAAATGAATATAAAACTCCCTAAAGTTACTGCAACCGCTATATATCTGACGTTGGCCTATTTAAAATGGCGACATTTTATTAAGTTGACAGGTTAAAATACCGACTGTATACTTTAATATCAGTTTAATTTCAATCGCAATAAAATAATATGATCTTTCTTTTCATACGAGTTATCATTTATCAGATATGCTCCCTAGAATTCGCATGGGCTCTTTATAAAATGAATACAATATATAAAGAAGAAATCTAGTGTTATTTTGAATACAATATTTTCTATCCGATTTAAAAACAATTTCTCCAACTGCTATGCTAATATTCTTTATATAGTTTTAGCTTTCTTCTGTCAGATAAAAGTATCCATCTGTGGATAAAAATAATATCTCCCGTAAAGCATAGGTACGGCTTTAAGAATACAAGGGAATGTGTTTAGAGTGGAGATATGACGATTATTAAATTGCCTATGATTTTACAGCTTCTGATCTCGACAATGTCTCACCTGACTACGAAGGTATTAAAAAAGAGGGTAAGGGAACATTTCAAAACTATCGATTGGGGATAAGTTACTAAATATTGTCGATACACAAGTTTTAAATTGCTGAATTACCATACAGAATGAGAATGAGATATACAATTTTAAATCCTAGTAAATGTTCCAGCTCAAGTATTTACAACATTTAATTTGTTCTCTTCTCAATATTTAGTTAATTATCCGAAAGTCGATGTTTTAAATTGTTCCCTAAAACCACGCAGTTAGTTACAATGAACGTTTTTATTTAAAATATTAATAGTGTGGTTATTTGTTAATAGTTTTCACTCTAAATGTGTTATGGTGTTGGCTGATGGTTATGTATTAGCTTTAGGATTTGCGCTTAGATAGGCAATAAGGTATACATTTAGTCTAATTGTCAACTTTCACCAATCCAAATGCATCATAAACATGCATGGTACATTGGTCTCAAACGCATGATTAATTTGTGATACCATTTCCTCACTACATTGTGTGCTATAACACTCGATTTAGTTTCTTGTCTTGCATTAAACACAACTCGTGTTGTTTGGTTAATCATGTGTTTTATGAGTTATATCTTTTATTAACAAACCCTCAACCCAAAGCTTTTTCCCAATCATAAACGTAGAAGCACGAATGCTGTATTTGTATAAAAGACAAACTTGGAGGACCAAGTTGACAATAATCAACACCACCCGGTCAGCAAGTCCTGATAAAAAATGAAATATTTATTGAAAATTCCAGAACGCAGTAAATGTCGTTCCTTTGAATTAATTATTTAAAATTCAACATCCTAATTATTATTTCATGTTTAGTAAAGAATGTTTCCAGGTTTTACAGGTCTTGGTATAGAATTGAGAAACATTTTTTAATTTTCAGAAGCGTTAATGTACCAAGGCTGTATCAAATACAATACAAGTTGGTCAGATGAACTAGATAACTCAACTTCAGATTTATATAAAAGAATATCTAGCGATTTTATAAAAAATGTAAGTAGAAAATCGCATATTCAGCATTTTCATTTCAAAATATGAATAAAAGAAATATCAATAAAACGTTGTTTTTTTATTATAAAACTATTCATTTAGATTATTCTACTGAAACAGTACTTATAACTGTACGTAAATTAGTATTACAGTAACGGTTTAAACTTTGATTCGAAAGTTCATAACTTTATATGAACTTCCATTAAAGTTTCCTTGTGGCGTGTCATTGATCTTTAAAACGGAGGTAATAAAGTTAATTAAAAGTTTCAAAATTTTAAACTTTCTTCCCTTAAATTCTCCAGATAGACAAAATATATAGTGAAAGTGACATTGCAGTGAGATATGTAAAGACAGAGGTCTTCAATATAACGTAAGTATTCTGATATAGAGCAAACAAAATATCTTGATAAAATCTATAATGCCATACTGTCTCATATCATAAATTGTACATTGTATGTCTCTCCCTGATAATACCAAAAACATCCCACATTTTCACAGACCTGTCCCCTGTCGTCTGGTATATTAGTTCCAAACAATGGTTTAAAATAATTATTGTTTTTCTAGAGTAGAACTAATACTAATAGAAATACTAAAGAAATAGTTTAGAAATACTTATTTTTTCAGTAATGGAAGCCTCGTCGTAAATTTCCATCTTTTTTTTGATGATGTACTTGACAATGTGCAATTGACAGTGAAGAAAGTGTCTGACACTCTAAATGATGGCTTAAAGACTCTTGAAGAGTCCAATGAACTTCCATGGCCAATAATACGTGAAGAAACAATACTCATTCGTAAGTTTAAAAAATATTCATATGTGTGGTTTAATTTTACTTGTAAGAGAAAGCCAATGCTTATATGTGTATTCAAGGGCTTTCAACTAATTGATTTCTAATTGAAAGCCCATGGTGTATTTTAATTTATTACATCACTATCTAGCTAGCGACACTATGATTGGTCAAAACCAGGTCACATGTCGTGGGATATCTGGCGATATTCAATGGCAACGCTAATCAGATAAGACAACCGTGAGATATCTAGCGATATCCCACGCTCCCGGGAATTTTCAAAGAATTTGTTTTCGTTTGGTGTAAATAATTTAGTTCAGTGTAAGTCAAAATGGCATACGAACCGAGTAGAAATATATGTATTTCAATGTTAACCTATGACTTAATAATATTAGGGATGTTAAGCTAGACAGTGATATAATAAAACAAATATTTCACTCTATTTTCGGTGAATACCTGTAGCACTTTCACAAGGTGATATTCCACTTGCCCTTCGGGCTTCGTGGAATATCACTTGTGAAAGATGTACAGGTATTCACCTCAATAGAGTGAAATATTTGTTCAGTATTTTATTTTGATATTAATTTATACACGCGGTACTAACTTCGACCGTTAATTTGAATTTTTGACCTACCAGATGCTTGAAAATCAAGGATTGTGAGTCTCATACTGCACCGTTTTTCTTCAAACTTATACCATTAAAAGCAAAAAATTGCCTTTCTGTCGGTGCATTACTTTATTGTAAAGAGTCCCTCGTTCTAGCAGGGTTTTGGTCCCCAGCTGTTAGAAGGCCTTCTTACAGCTGGGGACCAAAATGCCGCTGGAAGTAGGGACTCTGTTTAAGAGAATAATGTACCATCAGAAAGAGATTTTTGTTATGCTTTGAATGGAACAAGTTTGAAGAAAAACGGTGCTGTGTGAGACTCGTAATCCTTGATTTTCAAACATCCGGTAGGTCAAAAATTCAAATTAACGGTCAAAGTTAGGACCGCATGTTATAGGAACAAATTCTATTGTAGTTTGGTAAAGTTAGTTAAAGCAAACTCTTTACCAACATGGTTGTTTCTGCTTTTGTCTTGTCTCTTTTTGTTTTTGTATTTATAATTTAAAGAACAATATTATTTATAGCAATATACAACATTCCAACTACTCCATCAATGACAACAGACTCAGTTGATATGACAACAGAGAGTACCATGACAACAACTAGTGAAACAACAACAACTAAGAGTGAAGCAACAACAACAATAGAAACAACTCATACAACAGTGGCTGAAAGTACTACCAAAGATGATACTACAACAGAAGGTGATACTACTACTACCACAACAACTGAAAAGCCATCCACAACCACAGTCCATCCACTTTGTGAGAAAATATATCTTGAAGAATGTTTGAATATCAGTTACAGCTATGCCATCTTTCCAAACTTTGAGGGTCACAATACACAAAATGACCCAAGGGTGAAAACCATGCTGGAGTCTTTTGCAGCTACACAAGCTTCTGGGTGCCATGAACATGCTTTGTTGTTTGGGTGCGCCTACATTGTCCCCAAATGTTTTGAAGGCTTCCGTCTCTCACCATGTAGGCTTTTCTGCGATGGTATGTACTTAATGTAAACCATGTCGAAATTCTAGAATTACATGTTTACTAGGAGTACATTTGAATTGCTATATGTCCAATAAAACATATTGAACCAAAAATGCTCCAATTACTTGAAGATATGTTCACAAGCACATGTTTTACACGATAATGTTTCTTATTCAAGAATTCAATCTTGCCTGTAATGCTGCCTACCAGTGCATTGCTTTAGAAGATGAAGATGATGATACCTTTTGTGTCTCCCCTCCGCAACCTGAAACTCCCATCACTACAGTCGGCCCAACAGGTACATAGCATATACAACTGTTGATTTAGATATCATTCTTGTATGTACCTGTATATATGTAAACATTCTCGAAACTCTATTGTTTAAAAACATTAAAGGAGCTTTTTGAAAGAATTACTATGGACAACAATTGACATTAATTACATATCAGTATTAAAACTACTGCTTAATTTGTGCCAGTTAATATATTGACCAAACATCGATGACAATGATAAAAAAGAATTTGATTGCTCACACACTGTATTTACCCTCAGTAAAAATATAAGCTAATATGCGTCTTACAATAATTCCAGTTCCTGAGTGCAATGAGTATATGTGTCTGAGTGGAGAGTGTTTGTCTCAAGCAGTTGCATGTGACAACAAAACTGATTGCAGCGACAACAGTGATGAAATATACTGTGGGAAAAGTAAGTGTGTCTTGTTTGAGTCTCATTTCAAAAAGCTCATAAAAAGTGTACATTTCATGAAAAATGTACATTTCATAAAACGTGTACACTCATAAATGTACAGTAAAATGTGACAAAGTCAAACACCTTTGTACCTTTGAGAGGGTTCCACTTGGAAGATGTTCCACTTATAGAGGTTCATTTAAAAATAAGTCAGTGAGTTTGTCTTGTAACTCTGAAAAGTGTTCAAATAACAGAGGTATTCCACTTCCACTTCTAGAGGTTTCACTTTACAAGTTCTACTGTACCAGACTGACCATATGTGATGGGATTTTTACAGCTCAAGTAGCTAATCCATGATTCTAAAAATATGGGATATATACATGTATGTATACCCAAGCTGTATTGGTATGCTCACATTCATAAGGGATGAGCGAAATATAATATGATATACAACAGTGACGAAATGTTCTTTATTTTCAGCCTCAGAATGGGATTGTAACTTTGATGATGGGTCACTTTGTGGTTATGACGGCGATGCAGGCAAATGGAATGTCTTGAAGGGCGCAACACCATCAATATTGACAGGTCCCTCAATGGACAACACACTCAAGAGTATCCATGGTGAGTGACTGAATGACATCACAGCTCACTTATCTTTCATGCTAGTAAAATCAACAGCTTTATTTGTACACAGATTGTTGATGCAATATATAGTTTACATGATGTATTATCAATAGATACAGTACACATAGTGCACTTTCAGTACATACATTTTAACACCTGCCAGTCTACAGCATTTAGCCAGTGTAGTAACACATTTGCACTTTGATATTGTCTTAATATCGTTATTCCTGAGGTACTTTTAAACAATATTAGCATTACATGTATATTGAAAATAAGAACATAATTCAAACTTTTTGATATTTAAAAATTTGGTAAGAATTCCCAGTTGTTGCTTTTTTCTGAAGTCATTGACTTGAAGAAAGTCCATGATGAAATCGACAAACAAAACAGAAATCAAATTTGTTGTTTGCAATCTCATTTTATATACTCAAATCTGATTGGTTAAGAAGAGGTATACAATTGCATGAGGTATAATAAATGAAATGTTTCAGTTAGATCCTTTCTTTTATTATCAGTTGAACTTCATGGAAGTCATCCTCTTTACTTATATGTGTTTATGGTTTTTGATTGTCATTCATAAGTGTATTTAGTTACAGTTTATAGTCATATTTGCCAGGAAAACCGCTGACCTATAATTTTAAAGAGGGCTTCATTATAAGGTCTAAAATATTCTGTTAGTGTGTTTAACAGACTCTCTTCAATATCTGGATGCGCCCTGCCCTTCGTGCCTCCCATACACTTCCACGTTATCCCCAGTCTTAAACAATAGAAATCCTTCTTCTCTGGATTTGAATGTGGCCCAAAGTTGGACTTTTTGTAAAACAAAGGAACACTCAGGAATGATTCTATCTTATTAAAAGCTCTCCAAGGTTCCCTGACGAGCTCCTCTGTGTCTATAAAATGTATTTGATGTAGCGGGAAGTATTTCAGCCAAATGTTGATATGTTCGACATATCTACTGATGGCTATGAATTCGACATCTTCCTTCACTGTCTTGTTCCTGTATAGAATTTCATTCTTGAAATCTGGCAGTTCCGGATCATACTTTTGGATTATGTGACTCACAAGTCTTTGGATTGGGTCTCGTATGACCAGTAATATTTTCATATCCTTATTGTAACGATGAACTGTATTAATACATTCTTCGTTGTCAAAGCAGCCTGTAGCTCGCTGGATATTCACTCGATTGTATAATGTTGAATTGGTAAAGCATCTCTTGTTGTCTTCATTTTTCAACAACTTCTCAAACTCCCTTTCTCCACCAAGCTCGTCATACATTCCAGGGGTCGTAAAAATAAATGATTCTGATTGGTAGACGCATATCTTTGGGTTGCCCCTGTTGAGCATTCCAGCAATCGTTGCTGTGCCAGATTTCATTATGCCCCCAATAAGCGCTGATATTATTGGTTCATGCTTCTTCCGAGAAATTTTATTTTGTTTAATTCTGTTATCTTCCTGAGTTGATTGTTTGTATATTGATTGTTCATATTTGTCATCCAGCGTTGATTGCTCAAATATTGATTTTTCATTTGTGTCATCCTGAGTTGATTGTTCATGAATTGTTTGTTCATTTTTTTTGCCATTCTGTTCCTCATCAGAGCTTAATTTTTTCTGTTTAGTTTTAGGTTCACTGTTTTTGTTACCATGGCAATTATTGTCTTCATTGCAGTCATTTTGGCCCATATATCCTGAACGTAATACCTGAACTTGTAATGTTAAGCTGCAATAGAGTAAGAATGCAAATAAAGCAAAGATTCCTATTGAGAGTGAAAACCTCTTGTCCCTTAACATACTCATTGATTTACTAAATTTGAATCCACCTAATATATACCACATGATCTGCAATTTCAACAGCCTTACTATCCAAATCAATGGCATATATTTGAATTATTGTGACAGCTCATATTGAACTACCGTATGTTTTTTATGTAAATTGCGTATTGACATCATAATTGTTGCTAACAAAGGAAGAGAGATAGAAATCAACTCAAGCACTATTGAAACACTAATTGGGAAAACAGATAAACAGTGACAGGAGTTGTGTATATTGAACTTGTCTTAACAGAGACATTGTTGGGATACGTTCCATATAGTAGTTTCTTGCATCCGAAATCAAAAAATATAAATTTTGCATCATTTTTAAGGTCTTTACTGTACCCTAAATATTTTGATTACATTTTCTGTTTACATTTTTTGACCATATCACATTTGAGTTTTGATTATTTTAAAACATTTTCTGAATATGTTTAACGAATAAAAAAGTATGAAATGTTTCACAAACAATTCATTGTCATAATATGTCAGATTATGACTTAGTTGTTCCTGCCTAACCAATCATAAAGATTCATTATAGAGCTGGCACTTCAAGGTGATCAAAGGTATTATGTTCCTGGCAGGTAAACAAATGTGACACAAATATAATATTAAACTAATTCAACCAGAGACACTAAAACCAATGCCACCTCTATACAATAATAAAAAAACAACATGGGGATTGCAGTTGCAGGAAGCAGTTACCTCCCCATAATTTTACTGAATTATTTTAATTAAGTGTTTTTTTCTTATGAAACTTTGAAAATCTTATGAAAATGTAACTGTTAAATTCCTAATTGTTGTTTACTCAAAGTTGCCTCACAAATTCTTTGCCTCACAAATTCAAATTTTCCTCACCAATATTTGGATCCTGGCTACAACACGTAAGAATAAAGTATTTTCTTGAACATTTATGACTTTTGTCAAGTGTATATTACAAGTAGTCTAAAGTGCCCTGTTTTTTTTCAGGTGGGTATGCATTGTTTGAGGCAAGTGGGTATGGTTCTGGGATGCATGGTACATCTGCCTGGCTACAGTCTACTGTGCTTGACCTCTCCACCACTCACTGTTTGCAGTTCTATTACAACATGCATGGCCAGGATGTCATCTCATTGAAGGTAATTAACAGGTTTTTATTTATTATGATGTCACTATTGAAATATCGTGTCACTTTTGAATCAATATGAGTTAATTAAAGGTGACCTCTTTTTTAAGTCTACCAGCATATTGTTCAAATATTTAACTTTAATTTATAACAATGCATAGTACAGAAGTTGAGATTTCTTTGGATACTAACAAAATGCATATCATTTTGCAATTCATGATTGCTCAGAAATAAACCCATTTTGTCTTACATATGATACACAACATCCCTAAATTTAAAATGTAATGTTATTACCTGTATTCTGTGAATATATGGCTAGCACATATGGCTATGTGCTGTTTCATGTAGATCTATCGCACAACTGATGGAGTGAAGGAGTTGGCCTGGACCAAACAAGATGACCATGGCAACAGATGGTTGCTAGGCTACATAACTATTCCACCAGGTGTCACTAGCTACTACTTTGAGACATTACGAGGCCGAAGTTTCAGATCAGATGTTGCAATAGATGACATATCACTAAGACAGGGGGCTTGTCTTCCTTTCCCTGGTAGGTTGTGAATTCACCCCCAACTTACTTCACTTCAACTTATCAAATCCCATCAAAGCCCATCAAAAAAGACCATTAAAATATTTGAATCACATTTTAAAAGCTCATTATTACATCTGGTATTGTTTTGATTCCTATTTTGATCATTTCCGTTTGACACCTTTAAAATTCAACAAGCCTATAAGGTTAGTCTTTCTTCATTTGTACATTTTTGTGTCGTGGAGTTCAAGAAAAAAACTTACTAAAAATCTAAAATATGACATCTAAAGAGACAATTAAGTTTTGACATTTAGAGTCAATGAAATGAAATGAAATAACATTAACTATATATGATAGGGATAATGATTTATTTCTAGGTTGTGCCCAGGATGAATTTCACTGTGGGGCTGAGCTATGCATCCCTTCAATTGATGTTTGTGATGATTTTACTCACTGTCCAGGGAAGCAGGATGAACTGAACTGTGGTAGGTGTCCAAAATTCATGCAGATAATTTGTGCCATTGAGTGTGTTGATGTACTGTTGATTGTGTTTTAGATTGTGTTTTTGATCGTGTTTTTGATTGTGTTGTTGATTGTGTTGTTGATTGTGTTGTTGATTGTTTCATCATTGTGCTGTTGATTGTGTTGTTGATTGTGCTCTTAATATATTCCAGAATGCCCCAAGGGCCAGTACCACTGCAATGATGGCAGCTGTATTATGTCAGAGTGGCTGTGTGATGGCATGAAGGACTGCCAATTGTATTGTTGATTGTGCTCTGATTATATTCCAGAATGCCCCAAAGGCCAGTACCACTGCAGTGATGGCAGCTGTATTATGTCAGAGTGGCTGTGTGATGGCATGAAGGACTGCCAATTGTATTGTTTATTGTGCTCTGATTATATTCCAGAATGCCCCAAAGGCCAGTACCACTGCAGTGATGGCAGCTGTATTATGTCAGAGTGGCTGTGTGATGGCATGAAGGACTGCCAATTGTATTGTTTATTGTGCTATGATTATATTCCAGAATGCCCCAAGGGCCAGTACCACTGCAGTGACGGTAGCTGTATTATGTCAGAGTGGCTGTGTGATGGCATGAAGGACTGCCAATTGTATTGTTTATTGTGCTATGATTATATTCCAGAGTGTCCCAAGGGCCAGTACCACTGCAGTGATGGCAGCTGTATTATGTCAGAGTGGCTGTGTGATGGCATGAAGGACTGCCAATTGTATTGTTTATTGTGCTATGATTATATTCCAGAATGCCCCAAGGGCCAGTACCACTGCAGTGATGGCAGCTGTATTATGTCAGAGTGGCTGTGTGATGGCATGAAGGACTGCCAATTGTATTGTTTATTGTGCTCTGATTATATTCCAGAGTGTCCCAAGGGCCAGTACCACTGCAGTGATGGTAGCTTTATTATGTCAGAGTGGCTGTGTGATGGCATGAAGGATTGCCAATTGTATTGTTTATTGTGCTAAGATTATATTCCAGAGTGTCCCAAGGGCCAGTACCACTGCAGTGATGGCAGCTGTATTATGTCAGAGTGGCTGTGTGATGGCATGAAGGACTGCCAATTGTATTGTTTATTCTGCTCTGATTATATTCCAGAATGCCCCAAGGGCCAGTACCACTGCAGTGATGGCAGCTGTATTATGTCAGAGTGGCTGTGTGATGGCATGAAGGACTGCCAATTGTATTGTTTATTGTGCTATGATTATATTCCAGAGTGTCCCAAGGGCCAGTACCACTGCAGTGATGGCAGCTGTATTATGTCAGAGTGGCTGTGTGATGGCATGAAGGACTGCCAATTGTATTGTTGATTGTGCTCTGATTATATTCCAGAATGCCCCAAGGGCCAGTACCACTGCAGTGATGGCAGCTGTATTATGTCAGAGTGGCTGTGTGATGGCATGAAGGACTGCCAATTGTATTGTTGATTGTGCTCTGATTATATTCCAGAATGCCCCAAAGGCCAGTACCACTGCAGTGATGGCAGCTGTATTATGTCAGAGTGGCTGTGTGATGGCATGAAGGACTGCCAATTGTATTGTTTATTGTGCTCTGATTATATTCCAGAATGCCCCAAAGGCCAGTACCACTGCAGTGATGGCAGCTGTATTATGTCAGAGTGGCTGTGTGATGGCATGAAGGACTGCCAATTGTATTGTTTATTGTGCTCTGATTATATTCCAGAATGCCCCAAGGGCCAGTACCACTGCAGTGATGGCAGCTGTATTATGTCAGAGTGGCTGTGTGATGGCATGAAGGACTGCCAATTGTATTGTGTATTGTGCTATGATTATATTCCAGAGTGTCCCAAGGGCCAGTACCACTGCAGTGATGGCAGCTGTATTATGTCAGAGTGGCTGTGTGATGGCATGAAGGACTGCCAATTGTATTGTTTATTGTGCTCTGATTATATTCCAGAATGCCCCAAGGGCCAGTACCACTGCAGTGATGGCAGCTGTATTATGTCAGAGTGGCTGTGTGATGGCATGAAGGACTGCCAATTGTATTGTTTATTGTGCTATGATTATATTCCAGAGTGTCCCAAGGGCCAGTACCACTGCAGTGATGGCAGCTGTATTATGTCAGAGTGGCTGTGTGATGGCATGAAGGACTGCCAATTGTATTGTTGATTGTGCTCTGATTATATTCCAGAATGCCCCAAGGGCCAGTACCACTGCAGTGATGGCAGCTGTATTATGTCAGAGTGGCTGTGTGATGGCATGAAGGACTGCCAATTGTATTGTTGATTGTGCTATGATTATATTCCAGAGTGTCCCAAGGGCCAGTACCACTGCAGTGATGGCAGCTGTATTATGTCAGAGTGGCTGTGTGATGGCATGAAGGACTGCCAATTGTATTGTTGATTGTGCTCTGATTATATTCCAGAGTGTCCCAAGGGCCAGTACCACTGCAGTGATGGCAGCTGTATTATGTCAGAGTGGCTGTGTGATGGCATGAAGGACTGCCAATTGTATTGTTGATTGTGCTATGATTATATTCCAGAGTGCCCCAAGGGCCAGTACCACTGCAGTGATGGCAGCTGTATTATGTCAGAGTGGCTGTGTGATGGCATGAAGGACTGCCAATTGTATTGTTGATTGTGCTCTGATTATATTCCAGAGTGTCCCAAGGGCCAGTACCACTGCAGTGATGGCAGCTGTATTATGTCAGAGTGGCTGTGTGATGGCATGAAGGACTGCCAATTGTATTGTTGATTGTGCTATGATTATATTCCAGAGTGCCCCAAGGGCCAGTACCACTGCAGTGATGGCAGCTGTATTATGTCAGAGTGGCTGTGTGATGGCATGAAGGACTGCCAATTGTATTGTTGATTGTGCTCTGATTATATTCCAGAGTGCCCCAAGGGCCAGTACCACTGCAGTGATGGCAGCTGTATTATGTCAGAGTGGCTGTGTGATGGCATGAAGGACTGCCCAAATGGACAAGATGAACTCAACTGCAGTAAGCATATGTTTATAGTTGAAACTGCATGAATATCAGAGATATGTTAATGCATCTAAATGCAGCTAACAGCTCTTATGTAAAAGACATCTTGATCACCCAAACAAGAGGAGGGAATTAACTTTGTAATTTGCCATGCATAGATCTTACAGTTCAAATGGAAATATCTCAGTGACATAAATATTCACATTTCAGTTCAAGCATAATATTTGTCTGTAGTTTCTGTAGATCAATTAATGTAGGTCAAATGTCTATTCAAATACATGTTTCTATGTAGGCCAGTGCACATCAGATGAGTTTCAATGTTCCAATGACTACAGCTGTGTAGAGACTAGGAGCAGATGTAATGGTACAGCTGAGTGTATAGATGGCTCTGATGAGCACCACTGCTGTGAGTTCAACAATTACAGTAGATTGTTTTTATTAATTTTTAATTTTCTTGTAATTGATCCAAATGATATAGTATTCCTGATTTGCATTTGGTGGTTTGTAAAATGTTTTTAATTGTTAAGTTTTTGGTATTTTGAAATTTTGTTCAAATTTCAATATACTACATATTTTTAAGTTTTAATCCCTATTTTTATTGTTCGGAGATCTCTGTCATTTTCTAGAAATGCACACATTTTTATGATTTGTATATAAAAAACATTTTTTCTCTTATGTTGTCATGTAAAATTAAGAGTTTCATATGTCCTATATGCAAATATTTTGAAACTACTTTCCAGTGAGGGAAAGTGATAGAGGTGTTGTTGAAGTGTTGCATCAAGGAGAATGGCTGGCTATATGTACACAAGATCTAAACTACACCCCACTCACTGGACTTTGTAGAACCTTGGGGAAAGGGTAGGTTGCATCGTGTCATATAATAAGTATTAAGTCCAAGTTTGATTTAGTAGGGCAGTGACCATTATTTTATTTGTGTCATCCTGACCCTAAGTTTGTGTCAACTGTGTTAAGTTATGCGCTCATAAACTTGTTTAAATAGTGTCAAGATATTATATATATCAAGGTCATTTTGCCAATTGTGATTGATCAAGAAATATATATCACATATTTGGTATATAACAAATATATATATTGTCTAATTAATCATATCATTATTCATTACCTTGACATTTGCCAACACAGAAATCATCTACATGAATTGTATAAAGACATACTGTCCGTTTATAAGTTATTGATTTTGAACAACATTTTTGTGATCATGAGATGAGATGCATGAGATACAACAAGTCTATAAGAATAAACTTTATAATCATATCAACATAGTTATATGTATTGTTGTCTATTAATGTTTTGAAATTGTATTCCTAGATAAATGTTTATTAAGTCAATCATTGTTATCTGATTGCAGTCAGTTGAATGGTACGTCATCAGTTGTCGAGTCGCGGAGCTCCTATGCTTTCCTGACAAGCTATACTACTGGAATTGAGCTACAAGGTCTCGTAGAGAAACGGGCCTTGTGTAATAATAATGAAGTCCTTACTGTGCAGTGCTTTAATAGAGGTGGGTAAAGTGAATTGTAATGGAAGATGATGTATTATGTTGTAAAAGGGGGTGTTAGAATTACTTGTACAGTAAAACCTATACATCTGAACACCTCTATGATTTGAACATCTCTCAATGTAAATGTCAATGTAAATGTTTTTTACAGTACCATGTTTTCAATCTGCCATAATCTTCCATGTTACAAACCTTCAAATGTGAACACCTGCCAAAACGAACACTTTTTGACCATCCCAGTGGCGTTTACATTAAACAGGTTTTAATGTATGTTGTAATAGGAATAGAGGTAAATGAATGCTGTATTGGATGAAAGTGAATTATGTTTTATTGTAAAAGTTTGGAAATTCTTAGCAATTTTTAGGATGTGGACAAGGAAGGAGGGAAGGAAAGAATGACGCATGTTTCAAAATATGTTTTGACGAGAGGCATTGTGGATTTCGATTAGAACTTTCATTGTGTTCTTTAAATATCCATATAAGGGGCGTTTATCCCCGCTTTTCTAAGTAAAAGCTACTTGAGACACTCAGTAATATTGACATCATTTCTTTATTGTATTTTAAGTGCTGTCTAAAATACAATATTGCTGGTTTTTGTAAACATCATGTTAAAGTGCAGTATTAAGGGTACTCACCTATAATTATGTATGTACTTTTAAAAATGACAGGCAATGAATTAAAATGTTGGTTTCCCATTCAAAGGAGGGGCACAATATTGATTCAGAATTTTGAAAGTTTGAAATGGAATTGTTGTTAATACATGTACTGTTTAGTAAGTCAATATGACCCTGTATTGACACGGTAGTTTAAAGGTTACAACCTTTCCCAAATTGAGAAAATGCTGACCCAAGAGAAATTTTAAGAAATCAGAAATTATGTGTCATTAGTGTTAGTAATGTGTTTGAATTTGTACAATTTAATTTGTTCTTGTTCAAGTCATTCAGCCACTTTCTTTAAATTGTCTTTTTATTGCAAGTCAGTTTTGTGAGGAATTCCAATCATTTTTCTCAGATATATGTTCAGTATAGCTGTAACTGTTCAGTAACGTCAAGCAGATTTTCAGATATTTTATTTTTCCTTAGGCTGTGGCGAGTCTAGTCTGAAGATTGAGCAGTTTATCTTTGGTGGGGAGGAAGCAGCTCTTGGGCGCTGGCCCTGGCAGGTCTCTATACAGTTTGATACGGCACACGTGTGTGGTGGCTCACTCATTGGACCATATCATGTCCTCACTGCAGCTCATTGCATCTTCACGTAAGTTGGAACAAAAGATGGCATCTTTGTGGAATACTTTATTACAACATTTAACCATATGAACTTAATGAATGAATAGCATTTTCAGTTTTTCACATATTTGTCTATCAAAATTGATTTTATTTTCATTTTGTAATAAATTGCATTTTCAGATCCCAATTTAATAAGTTTCAAGTTGTACTTGGTACAACGAAACGCACCGAGTACCAAGACTCAAAAGTCAAAATTGGTGTTCGTGAGGTCTGGGTACACAATGGCTATAGGCAGTTCTATAACGAGTATGACGCAGCTATTATTCTCTTAAAGGAGAAGGTGGAGTACACAGAGTACATCAAACCTGTTTGTCTCCCTGAGAAGGATGACCTCTTTACTAGCAGCTCCTATTGTTATATATCTGGCTTTGGATTTATTGATAAAGGTGGGTGTTTGGGAATGGATTTGTGCATGAAAACTGTAGAAAGAAGAATTTGAAAAAGAAGTTTTAGATATGATCGAAATTAATATAAGGTTGAATCTGGATTGAAATTATAGGTGGTGCTGTGCACGTGAAATTAGAGGCATATTTGGCAGTGTAACAATTAATGATTTAAAGCCTACATTTGCAAAAGTGTGTGCATTTGAAATATTGTGAATTGAACCTCCTGTACATAATGTAATCTATGTTTAATATTTTAATAAATTGAATTAATTTATTTTGTGATTAGCTGAGCAAAATCTAGCTGAAGATCTTCAGGAGGCTAAGATGCAAGTAGTTACGCCCTTAGCGAAATGTGCCCGTAACTGGGGGTCGTATGTCTATTGGACAGACAAAATGATATGTGCTGGCTATGAAAGTGGTCTTACAACCATTTGTAAAGTATGTTAAAATCTTCGATATTTTTGACATATCATAGCCCATTATTGAAAAATGATACTGCATTTTCTATGTTCACAGGGTGACTGGATTTTTCACATTCTTTGTTTATTGTTTACTTGTATATGATAATTTAGATATTTCCTTTAATTGAATTGATTCCATGCCATTTTGTTATTATTTCTTAAAATTGTTTTTAGTATTTTGTTACATTGGCAATTGTGTGAAAACTGTTTACTTTTGAAATTGTGATGTTATCGAAAAAAACAAAAAACGATATGTTTGTTTACAGGGTGACTCAGGTGGTCCTCTCGTGTGTCAAGATGAGCATCAACGTTGGAAGCTTGCGGGGATCACGTCATTTGCTTGGTGTGCTAGAGAGAAAAAACCAGCTGCGTTCACTAAGGTGGCAGCCATCTTGGATTGGATAGATGCAGCCACAAGTGAGTAGTGATTTTATTTATTTCTTCATTTATCATGAAAATATATACAAAACATTTTATGCTTCAAGTAGCCAATAAGGTTAACTTTATTTTGAGCTCATGTATATTGCACATCTCTGAATACTAAAACAATTTTAAAACTGTAAGACTGTTAGAGATTTTGAAATTTTTGAGATATTGGGAAATATTAAGAATGTTCATGTAAGACTATACAACATATCGTATGTAATATACAGTAGTACTATTGCCCCAAGCATGCTTTTTGTATGTGCATTTTATCTAAAAAGTGTAATATTTTCAGGCTGTAAATTTGTATGTGATAATGGCCAATGTATTTATGCTGAGCGCCAGTTGTGCGATGGAAAGAATGATTGTGGGGACAATAGTGATGAAGATAGACTTTGCGGTAAGTTGAATAATATATGGTACACGAGGTTTGCTTAGAACTACAAATATATATATGGAAAGTGAGCTGTGAGTTTAGAGAGTGGGGGGTGGAAGGTGATAAAGTTGATATACTGTATATGACCTTCTAGGTCTTTAGGTTACGCAAACACATAACTAGGTGTTTTTTATTTTATAATTATTTGTTACTTTGTCTCTATTTTATCTTTAATTAATCTTAATTGTGTAACTTGACATAGATCTTGATAACTTGATTTCAAAGTATACATTGATATCAGTTTATTAATTTTAGCCTTTTGCATTTTTCCAGATAAGTCAATAGAGTGTTCGTTTGAAGATGCCTATATCTGTGGCTATAGGAAGCTTTCCAAAGATACCAACTGGGAAAGGAGGAAGGGGAATACACCCACAAGTAACACTGGACCATTTGTTGACAATACCTTTGGAAATAGCTCAGGTATAAATTGACCTACTAAAGGGAACATGTTTCCTCCTATTGGTCATCACATTTCATACCTCTTATATTGACTTAGATGTTTCTCACCTCAGATTTTGAATAAACGTTTTCTGATTTCCTTTTTGGAGATTTCAGGTAAGATAAACACAATATGATGTTGATATAGTTACAGTTTTATTGAACATCTTTATGATAAATCATGTGATGAATGAATGTCTTTGTGTAGGTCACTACCTGTATATAGAGAGTTCAGATACAAAGCGAGGGGACCAGGCAGTAGTGTTGAGTCCATACTACAACAGGACCACCAGGACCTGCCTACAGTTCTACTACCACATGCATGGGAATGATATAGGACAGCTGAGAGTGCATGTGCACTTTCCACCAATGTGAGAATTCCAAAATTGAGTCATATTTAACAGCTACAGTAAAACCTATATATCCGAACACCCTTGTTTATCGAACACCTCTCAATATGAGCGCTGTCTCTCAGTCCCAATTTGTTATCACCCATTGACTTTCTCATGTTCAACCATATTTTCGAGAAGTAGTTCAGCTTAATTTTAATTGTTGCTGTCTGTTACAACAGAAATATGATATTGACATTGGCATTCCATCTCTACTAATTATTTCAATCAAAATTATTGTATATTTCAGGTCATTATGGTATCTCAAAGGAAACCATGGGAATAGGTGGCGCCTTGGTCAGATCACTCTTGATCCTGGGATTTTCCAGATTGGCTTTGAGGCGACAGCAGAAGACGGTATCTATGGTGATCTTGCAATTGATGATGTAACACTCTTGGATGGGGATTGCCCTGTTTATAGTGAGTAATCTCTTGAAAGCCCATGGTACTAAGGATTCATATGTCCATCTCATGAACCATATATTACACCTTAAATATATAAACAATAACATATTTCACCATATTTATGATATAAAACAACATGTCACCTTAATATACCATATTTCACCACATATTAAAACCATATGTACATGAATGTAATATACTAAATTCGGAAATATATATCACCATAATTGACCATATTTCAGAATGTGATTGGGATGAGTTCAAATGTGCCACAGTGGAGCAGTGTATACCTTGGGACTATAAGTGCAATCGTATTGTAGACTGTCTGGACATGAGTGATGAATTCAACTGTAGTAAGTGCACTACTGTGCTATACATGCACTTTAAATGTGTTATTATATGGGCTGTGTGAACACCTCTTAATTGGAACACCTCAGAATGTGAATACTTTTGATTGCATTTTGGATGAATCATTATCAAACACCTTAATGCAAACACTTCTCCATTTGATTCTTGTACAACAAATTATCATTTTAACATTTTCACACTTCTAGAATCAATACCAGAAAAAATCAAATTTTTCAAAATCTTATGAATATATAAATCTTTAAATTGTAGATGTCAGTAGTACTTGTAGTGTGAAATATTTAGAAATGTCCAATAATAATGATGATAATGTAACATTGATATTGCAAAATCCTTTTACTGCTCCAAATGGTTATATTAGTCTAAAAGGTGTTTAAATAGCAGTATATGTCTTGTTTTTAGCATGCTATGATGATGAGTTCCGATGTAACAACAGCTTGTGTATAGAAAAGTCTAAAGTGTGTGACAAATATAATGATTGTTACGACAGATCTGATGAAAGTGGATGCTGTAAGTTTGATCAACCTCACATTGTTATATTGCAATTTTACTTCACATTTTGTTGCATTGTCAGTCTCAAAAAGAATATTGCGACATGCAACATCACATATTACTATATTACCTCGCATATTTTACCTCACATTTTGGCATCACATTTACTTCACATTTCAACCACTTATTTTACCTTATGGTATGACATCACATGTTAACCTCACATTGTGACATCACATGTTTATCTGACATTATGACATCACATATTTTACCTGACATTATGACATCACATATCTTACCTCACATTGTGATGTCAAAGATCTTACCTCACATTGTCACATGTTTTCCAGATGAGTCTATAAACTGCACATTTGAGGAACCCTTCCTGTGTGGCTACAACTGGGAGAATGATTATCGCTTTACTGCAGAGAATGGTTTGGTACATGGAATAGGAAGGCCACAGTTTGATGCAACATTTGGTCACCCAACAGGTGGGGGTTAAAAGTAACAGCCTATTAAAATAACAGCCAGGCATAAGTCAGGGTTGAAACTCAAAGTCACACGAAAGCTGTATCAATTTTCTACACAATTTGTGGTATTACATTGTATACAAAGACAAAGTATGTTATTTTATCTTTCAGGGAGCTTCTTATTTGCTAGATTCCAGTCTGCAGTTGTGGTGTCTCCCATGTACAGGGCAGTGAGGGTACAGTGTTTTAGATTCACCTATTGGGTACATGGGAACAACAAGGGCCTATTGACTGTCAATCAGAGGATCCCGCCCCGTAATGACAATGAGACGTCAGTGGAGTATTCTGTCCTAAGCGTCTTTGGGTTTGAAGGTATGCTTTGACACTTTATCATGATAGGGATTAGTCAGCAAAAGATGGCAGTAGCAGTCTGCCTTTTTATAAGTCTTTGAAGTTCAAATATTTGAGAGAGATTTGTTAGAAGTTTATTATCAAACTTCCATATATTTATGATTCCTAAATCAGTTATAACCATTGATATAATGACATTATAGTAAGAGGACATACAATTCTGGTAATAGCCCCCTGCTTATTGACAAAAAACATTTACATAATCATTTCCCCACCCCCAGGATACCATTGGCTGACTGGTCAAGCTGATGTTGCTGAGGGAGACTTCCAGTTGGTCTTCAGGGTTACTGCCATCACCGCAGATATGCTCCTGCACATCAGTATTGATGATGTCACAATATTTGAGGAAGAGTGCAAAGATATTCGTAAGTTGTTATTTTTATATCACCTTCGACTTTTAGCAGTCATATTGTTAAATCCACCATTTTTAATGATTAAAAAACAAAACTGAAAGTGATTTAATATTAACTTACATTTTACTATTTTATCTTATAGTTTCCTTCATTATCTTATTTATACTATATTATCTCATTATAGCCTGTAGAGAGGGTTACTTCACATGCAAGGACAGGTTCCAATGTATTCCACAGATGTACAAGTGCAACATTCTTAACCAATGTTTGGACAAATCAGATGAAACCAACTGCACAGCAGGCAAGTGTTGTATACAGAAATAATTAGAGCAATAAAGTTATACATACGAAGCCAGGGGGAGGGGTGCGATGGGTGCGATCACACCCCCCCTATAACCAATAAAAATAAATCCATTAGATAGAAGAAAAAATAGCTTTAAAATGCTTTTTATTTGAATTGTAAAGGAAGTTGCATAAATTTTTGTAAAATTCAAAACAAATCTTTAAAAGATCATCAATTTACTCAGACATACAATTTGACAGAATAATGATTAAAAATCAAATCAAATCAAAATATACAATTTTTGTTATTGTTTTTTTATTATATTTTAATATACATATTGTATTGTCCATTTTTTGTGGACGGTGTTTGGTGTCTGCAACAAATGGCAAGTGGTGACATTTTGCAATGCCTTGTTGACATTTGTCATAAATATATTCCCTTTTACTGACATATCCTTTGTTGATATTTCAGAGGGTATAATCCCATTGTTTGCCTGTTCCTTTGAGGAGCCATACCTCTGTGGTCTCCAGCAGGATGTACACAAGGGATTTGAATGGACCATTGCCAATGGGGACACTACATTTGGGGAAAGGATGCCACCAAGGGATCATACATTTGATAATCAAACTGGTGAGTGTGGTAGGAATATAGCAATTGTAAAGTAGAATATGTCAAGGGATTTGAATGGACCATTGCCAATGGGGACACTACATTTGGAGAGAGGATGCCACCAAGGGATCATACATTTGATAATCAAACTGGTGAGTGTGGTAGGAATATAGCAATTGTAAAGTAGAATATGTCAAGGGATTTGAATGGACCATTGCCAATGGGGACACTACATTTGGGGAAAGGATGCCACCAAGGGATCATACATTTGACAATCAAACTGGTGAGTGTGGTAGCAATATAGCAATTGCAAAGTAGAACATGTCTTTTAAAGTAGACGCTACTGGGAATGGTTAAAAGTGTATTCATATTCATGGGATTTACATGTATGATATGGTTGTCAGTGAGACACCTATGATTTGATTCAGAAAAATTTGTTCAAATTTTGTTCACTATAGAAAGGTGTTCACGAATGTGGGTTTAACTGAAATTGTACATCAATAAATTCACAAATCGATGCTGGAATACAAATTTTCAGTATAGTCAACAGGCTAAAACACAATATGTTCATAACACCACCTAAACTAGTATCTTCATGTGTCTCATATATAATATATGTCTTAATATATATGTCATTGTACAGATGATTCACAATTACAATCTTTTTTCTAGGTAAATACCTTGTGGCTAACAGTACAAAGGAGAACCTGTTTATAGGTGCCAGAGGGCATGTGCTAATGAACATCTCAATTACATCCATACATTGTATGACCATGCACTACTACATGGATGGCAATGATATGGGAACCATGAATGTAAGAGTTCAATTCTATTTCATATTAATAGAAATACAGTAATAAGAAATAGTACAGAGTTTAACAAAGGTAGCCTATAATCCCATTGGCATATTACACCATCTGAGCCATGCAATTGTTTGAACAACAGTGTAACTACAGAAAAACTGAAATTCTTTTAATTATCGAATGACGGACACATATGATCATAGCTCAGCATATTCTTTTACATTGGTCCCACCAGTATTATGTCATAGATACGTATGTTACATATCCTAATAGGGTATATGCTAATGTATACAATATAATTACATGGGCTGTTAAAAGAAAAGGTCACACATGCTCCCTTCGTCGTAAATATTCCCTTAAATTATTAACACTTTTTTTTGATATCGAGCAACCTTTATATCTTAGGTATATACCGCACGTTACCTAGGAGCAAGTCCACAACTTATCTTTAGTACATCAGGCAACCAGGGCCAGCAGTGGATCAAGGCCCAATTTGACATCCCTGCAGACACTGAGCTGATCACCATTGAAGCAGTCCTTGGAGGTATAAGGGAGAGCAATATGGCAATTGATGACATTGGTGAGTAGTATAGAGCTGAGCATGGGTCAATTGGTGATAGAAATAATGTTCATGAAAAGATGACAGAGTGTGCAGTCTTGTATAATAGATATTTATGAAATAAAAGCATGCACATGTAGTATAATATTCAAGAGTTTCTCTATGTGCATCTACATATATGCTAAGTTTTGCTCCTAACGATGTACATGGATACCCTGGTTCTTAAAGAGACTAGATTAGATATATAAAGAACTGTTAATAATTTGGATTAAACTATATGATCAACACACATTTTGTTTTATTTCAGTCTTGGAGGCAGGGGCATGTAAAGCTGCATGCCTTGATGGTATGTTTACATGTGACAATGGAAGGTGTATACCAGAATCTCTAGTCTGTACGAGAACTGACGAATGTGGGGATTTTAGTGATGAGAAAAACTGCAGTAAGTCAAAATTCTGGTGAAGACTTGGAAAATTTTTGGAAGGTCTATGATACCTTCAGATAATATTATTTTCAGGTGTTTCAACAGTTTTTTCAAGTTCAAGATTACAAGAACATCTAGCTTGTTTACTTGTAGAAAATTATACTTGTAACAAATTATGTTTACAAAACAAAAAGGCACGCGCGAGTGTAGCTATCAATTTCATGATTATAACTAGTAATTTACTGGAAAGTGTACTTCTAGTTTGTTGTTTCAAAATCTCCAATTTTCGATTGTCTAGCTAATTTTTCAGTGCATTAGATTGTTATGACTGTAACTCACATGACTTTTAGCAGATCTTAACTCAGAAGTCAACCTGAGATTTACTTCATTTCAGCATGCACAGATTCTGAGTTCAAGTGTGACAACGGAGTCTGTCAGAGCATTTACTTCTGGTGTGATGGTTACAATCACTGCGGAGACGCCTCTGATGAACCTATCAATTGTCGTAAGTCAGAAAAGCATAGTTACCCCAACGAATAAAGTTTGATATAGGGAAGACCTCCATCCATCTGTGCCTCTTTCAGTCTGTCCATATGTCTGTCCATCCATCCAGAACATAACTCAAACACTACTGGATTTTTCTAGTTTCATCATGTGACCCAAGAACTTTTGCCATATTGTTACGTGAACTGTTTTTGTGACCATGTTCTGCATCAATGTCAGGGTTTAGCGTTATTGGTTGGTGTCTGTAAGGAATTGTTTAATTTTTGATAATCACTTTCACCTCTAACCTATCAGGTGGTGACCATTTGTCATGTCAATGCCCCATATTTGCATTTAGCCCCCATATATGCATTTAGCCCCCATATTTGCATTTCCATTCATGTACATATCACTTGTACTTCATTTAAAGAAACTGTGTAAGAAATTTGAATTAATTCAGCAATATGAGACTTGCTTTAAAGTGAAGCATGGTGTATGTCTATTTAAAGATTGAATCTGACATTATTCTAAGCATCTGATTGGATGATGTTTTATGTTTTAGAGTGTCGCGAAGAACAGTTCCGTTGTGGAACAGGACTCTGTATCCCAGGAGTCTACTATTGTGATGGAGTTGAACAGTGTGAAGATGGATCCGATGAGCCAGCCAATTGTTGTAAGCAAACACAAATCTTACACTATATTGAACACTTTAGTCTACTTGTTTTCATAGAATTTATTTTACAATACAATTTAAAACTTGGACACTCGTGGCTTAGATATTCTCACCATAGACTTATTATACATAGAAACATGTCTGTTTGGGGAAAAGGATTTGAATTAAACATCATTTGGGTTTACATTGCAGAGTAGCACATTAAATCTTAGGGTAACATAACAAATTACATGTAAAGGTGTGAATGATTTAAGGATTTCTTTGAGTTGTTGTTGGTTTATTGCATGAGATTTTCATTTCCAGTTTAAAATGAGGGCCAGAAAGTGATAATGCGTCACTAGGTATATTTGAAAATTAATGGGTTTGTTGTTATGTTTTATTTTAGCATGTGACCCGAGATGGAACTTTTTATGTGACAACGGTTACTGCGTATATAAACAATACAAGTGTGACGGAGTAAACCAATGTGGTGATTACAGTGACGAGTTGGATTGCGGTAAGTCCTTTAATTATGCATCAATCCATATTACAGCAAAACCTGTGTGTGAAGCATCTTTTCTACCTTAAAATAAAATTTGTTTCATTTTACAGGTTTTTCTGTTATTGTCTTTAATGGGACTCAAAGTCTCATAGACATTTTGAAACTGTTTTTTATATTTTTGGTTTTAGAATATAATTATGTTAATTGAACTGTTCAAGATTTTAGCAAAGATAAGAATATTTAATCATATTTTTCATATTTCTTTCCTGGACCAATTCATTTATGTATTTTTCATTTTCTCTCTCCATTTCCTCTTCAATAAGGAAGTTAGAAATTATGTATTTTTCACTTTAAGGTTACAATTAATACATTAATGTTGTAATGTTTCATGCTTCAGTATGCCAGGCTAGTGACTTTACTTGTGATAGTGGGATGTGTATATAAATTAATATTGTAATGTTTTATGCTACAGTATGCCAGGCTAGTGACTTTACTTGTGATAGTGGGATGTGTATATAAATTAATATTGTAATGTTTCATGCTTCAGTATGCCAGGCTAGTGACTTTACTTGTGATAGTGGGATGTGTATATAAATTAATATTGTAATGTTTTATGCTACAGTATGCCAGGCTAGTGACTTTACTTGTGATAGTGGGATGTGTATCAGACAAGAACAATACTGTGATGGCAAACCACACTGTTCAGATGCCAGTGATGAACCAGCCAACTGTAGTAAGTTCAACATTTTATTGAAATATTCTCTTTCATTCTTTTTCTGCCCAACAAACACTCGGCGTACACTCAGGATACACCCAGCGTTCATTCAGCGTACACTCAGCATACACTTGTCATACATCTAGGATATGCTAAACTGTGTTTCACTATTACTTCAGTTTCTGTTAGGTAACACCAGTATGTATCTTTATTACAGCTTGTTCTGAGAACCAGTTCCGATGTAACAGTGGTCAGTGTATTCCTAAGAGTGACCAGTGTAACAGAATCTATAACTGTAGAGATTTCTCTGATGAGAAAGACTGTGGTAGGTTTATCATTTTATTAATTTATCATGTCACCAGCAGTCAGAAGTGGTGACATATTGTTATAGTCAACTTTTTTGTGGCAGTGGTTGGCTGTTGATGTTTGGTATCTGTAACAAATGGCAGGTAGTACCATTTTGCATGTTAATGCCTATATACACATATAGTCACATGAGTTTATCGGAAATGTTTTTCCTTTTCTTTAAATCCAGAGTCGGCAGAAACAACTCAGTGAATTTTTCGAAGCTTCTTCGTGTGATGAAATTCATTTTGGAATAGTCTTTAGTGTTATATTATTCTCTGGCTGTTATAATGTTATGATATTTTGTTCTGATATTTTTATTCTTTTTATTATTTATTTATTTGCAAAACATTTGCATGATTTAAATATTCCTGTGCATCGATGCATATGATATGGATAAGTAGTAAGTCTATGCATTCATGTATTTGTTTAGAGTGTAGAAGTGATGAATTCAAGTGTAAGCTTGGTGTTTGCATCCCCGCCTCACTCCGTTGCGATGGCACCACCCACTGTCCTGGGGAGACATCTGACGAAGAGGGTTGTGGTAAGTCTGAATACTCAGAAAATATTCTGTCCCACTAAAAAATTAGTTCATTTTTCAAATTAAGAAAGAATCATGCATTTTTTTTATTGAATTATAAGATATAGTTGCCATAGCAAGATATCAGTATCACATCAAATAGCTAAGATATTATCATGCAATTTTCGCTCAAATTGACATTTCTTGTGCTATGATGTTATAACATTGAGTTTAACAGCAATCAGTTTTACAGAAATATTCATGATAAACCTGTGGAAACTGTCAATATGTAAATACAGTACTTATCTATTATGTCAAAACTACTAATAAACCTGCTGCCCGGAACCAGTTCAAATTGCATATTCTGTATAATATGTTATTCCTTTGTTGCAGCATGTGGGGATGGCAAGTTCCTTTGTGACAATGGGGTATGTCTTCTGTCTTATTACCACTGTAATGGTCAGGATGAATGTGGGGACAACACTGATGAAATGCACTGCCGTAAGTACATTAGTATATAATAATAGAATATGATCCAGTATTTGTACCTTTATACCTGTATTTATTTGTACCTGTATTTGTACAAAATATACAGGTTTCACTGTATAGTTAGAGTGGTGCTTTTATATACACAGATCAGTTATTCCTTAAACATATTATAAGTGCTGAGATTCCTTATCTCAGAAAATCCTAATTGCGATAAGTTGCAAAATGAGCGTAATTTTTTGAGCAATTGAATGAGTAATTGCCATTGTAGTCTAGTATTCTAGTCCAACTGTTATACAACTGTTTGTTGCATGTTGCAGAATGTAGATATGATGAATATACATGCCCAGATGGTGCATGCATACAGAATGAGTTGGTATGTGATGGACATAAAGACTGCACCAGTGGACAAGATGAGGCAAATTGCAGTGAGTGTTTTATTTCAAAAATAGCTCGTGTTTATTTCTTGGAGTATTCCAAAGTTTATTTATTTGATGATCTATTTTTCTGTTGAAATATTGCCTCTTATAAATAAATCTCTGTTCCATTCCAGATACCTGTGGTGCTGATAAGTTCCAGTGTCAGGATTACTCCTGCGTTCCAGAGTCAGCAAGATGTGATGGTGTAATTGACTGCCCCAGTAGAAATGATGAGGCCGACTGTGGTGAGAGCATGGAATTTCTTTGATGCCCCCTTTCCATAATTTCATGAATTTTGATTACAATACATTTTAGATTTTAAAATTGAACCGTCTTTTATTTTTGAATCTTTAATTTTAATATGTCTGTTCCAAGATTATTGTATGGAATATTTAGTTAATAGTATGGAATATTTAGTTAAAGGAATATTCCTGGCCAGACCATTTCTCTCCTAATATGGTAGCAATAACCATATATATACTTTCCATATTTAGCAAAACAGGGGAAAATGTTTTGATATGGTCAATATTGATCACTTGAAAATGTAGTGCCGAATTCCAGTAGGCTGCCATCTTTTAATATTTCACTCAGGAGGTGATGTCATCGACTCTCAACTTTGCATATAACACGCTGAATATTCTTTTTCAATTTTGTCTATGATTTAATCCTTCTAAAAGTCTCTTCTTTTATTCTAAACTGACAAGCTCTGAACATATTTTTGCGCATAAAGTAAGGATTACTCGTCTAGAAGTGATATTGTGTTATTTTCCTATACTGTTATATGCAAGGTCGTGAATGTTGAGAGTCGATGACATCACTTCCTGAGTAAAATCTTAAAAGATGACAGCTTACTGAAAATGAGCACTACATTTTTAAATTATCAATATTGACTATATTAAAACATTTCCCCGTGTTTTGCTAAATATGGAAGGTATATATATATGATTTTAGCTATCATATCAGGATAGAAAAGGTTTGGCAAGGAATGTTCCTTTAATAGTGAAAAGTGAAATTGTTTGACATTCTTAATATTTTAGTGAAACTGACTGAGATCTCTGGAGCTAATATAAAACAGAAAGTTGATGTGTTGAATGGTACGATATATCACCCTGTATGTGCAGATACATGGAATGAGGCCTGGAGTGATGTAGTGTGTAGCCAACTAGGAGAAGGGTAAGATCATGAATATTTAGTTCTCAAAAAGTAAAGAATCAGTTTTGTTAATATTTCCCAATGAATTCATGCTGAAAATTTGACAATGTAAAACCAGTTCTATAGATTGGCAGAATTAACAAAAGTTTATTGAAAAGGTAGAAGGTGGTCTTTAATGACAACATAGATCAATTTAAAACTATGAAATGACTGGTGCTTTAAATGAACAAAAAGTTGAGTGTCGAATTGTGTGTCCTCCCATTAGAATTCTTTATAATTTCCACATTTTATAAGAAAGCATTTTTATTGCCAATGGTATAATTGGTTTCAGTCCTCAAATGGTCACCAGTAAGAGCATACAGGCGTCCAATAGTTACTATAGATTATCTAGTAGTGCCTCATTGCCCACCGACTTTCTGCAAGGCAATCTAGAGATGACAGACCAGTGCCCCAACAATGAAGTGGTCACTACTACATGTGAGCATAGAGGTAAGATTGAAATTAGGGAGTTGATCACTCTATGATGTTATCAACCACTTTGAATGATTAAAATAAAGTGTGAATGGAAATAAAGATGTCGCTAGTTTGAATGTCATCAGTGATTGGCAATATTATTACAGTCACAAAATGTGAATTTAAGCTTGTGTCACTCAAACTTACTATTGGAATTCATTGAAATAGTTTCATATTTTGAACTTATTAGAATCATTTATTTGTGGTGTCAAGGATCTACTAGTCAGGATTCAACTTGATATATTAATCTGTATTGGGCATTTGTTACCTTAAATCTGTTGATACGGTCGGAAATTAACACCTCAACAGGCAATGCATTTCAATCAAATATTGTTGTATCCATCTTTTCAGATTGTGGCCTGAGGTCTGACAACATTACATTCTTCAGTGCTTTCATCATTGGAGGCAATATTGCCCTTGAGGGGGCGTGGCCATGGATGGCGTCCATACAGTACTTGGGTCAACACAGATGTGGGGGGACCCTCATTAACAAACAGTGGATCCTCACAGCCGCCCATTGCTTCCACATTAATAGGTATGTCAGCGCCAAAATGTATGAATGTGCCCAATAATGTTTCCAAATTGAAGTTATTGTATAATATGTAAAACACTCCTCCCCTGAGTTTTCCGTATGTTGAAATGATGATTTCTGCAAAGATAAAAGCCAAACTAGAAAACACTGAAATAACCCAGCTTTCCTAAACCTTAAACATTATGTAAAACAACTATGTACAACAATGTGTATACAATATGTACTACTTTCTCTCTCCAGGCCTCATTCAGAGCATCTCGACAGAATGCCATACTACTTCAGCATTGTCCTTGGCTCAGCCAATCAGAGGACTCCATCCACACATGGGGTCAAGGTTTCAGTCGAATCCATCCACCTCCATTCAGGCTACTCATTTGGCTATAATCCTCTGTTGAATGACATTGCTCTGGTGAAACTTAGCAAGCTAGTTGAGTACACGGACTACATCAGACCTGCTTGTGTGCCTGAGCCAAGGGAGATATGGGGCAACACGAGTGTATGTTATCTTACAGGGTGGGGCCACACACAAATCTATCAAGGTAAGAATGGTCATAACATGCTTCATGCCCAAATTTGGAATTAAAATGTTTAGATTAGCTGTAATTTGTGAGCTTCATTTCAAAAGATAATGTCTTGAAATATCTGAAATGTAATTTCAGAATATGCTGTGCCAAAACTACGAGAAGCTAAAATGAGGATGATACCCTCCCAAACATGTTCTGAAAGGATTTTAACGACGGACAACCAGTATTTATGCGCAGGGTATGCTACGGGATATGTCGGGGGTTGTGAGGAAGACTCCGGTGGCCCTCTAGTTTGTATGGACATGAATAAACGCTGGAATCTACTAGGGACCTACAGTGGAGGACCAATGAATTGTGGGGTTGGTAGCGGTGTGAGACCCGTAGAACCAAATGTGTTTGCTAGAATAACTCACTTCTCAACTTGGATGGATAGTATTATGAGACTGAATCGGTAATAGGAAAGTTACAGGGGCCAGTTACTCAAAAGCATATACATTATACATAATTGTGAATCTTTTAATCAATCATTGATAATTTTGCCTTTTCTTGCAACTGAATGATTAACTTGATGCCATGATTAAAAAGCAATTCATTATCCATGGGATATTTTACATGTGGATATGACATGCGGCTTTATAATTTCATAATTCACAATATGGTATTGCAAACAACAAAGGCTTTCGAGTAACATCTTTCAAATTCAGGATTGAACAAAAATCACTTCCTACCTTGTATGTAAACTTATTACTTATTCTACTCTGCCTGCCTAATGAACAAACAAACAAACAAAATTATGCAAAGCTACATGAAATGTCTCAAATTCATCGCTTATTCATTTATCTGTGGCTGTGCAGATCACAGTGTAGAAAAGCCCAGATTGGTTGCTGAAAAAGTCTTGTTAAGGTGTTTGTTGTATTGCTCCATATGTGCAAATATTCTATGGAAAAGAAATACGGGCACATTGATTATAGGTGTATTTATGTAGTTTATCCGTTTATCATACACATTTATACCATCATTTGCTTTGTAAAGAGCCTACATAAAAATATTCAAATTTCTTATCCTACTCTTCTTCAGTAATGAAGCAATCGCATGCTACAGTAAAACCTGTCTTATCCAAACACCAGATGTTCAGATTATAGAGGTGTTCAGATATGCAGGTTTTACAGTAGCCCAGTGTGTGTGTGTGGTCGCTATACAGATATAATTGACACCAAATGTGTCAACTCTTTATATCATTTGAAATCCCTGGTTAAAGATATTCAGAGTGGTTTTTCACTTGATTACACTTGTATTTAAAAAATTAAATCATGTGATGTAGCAACGAGACGTATGTGATAATAGGACCATTTTACAGTATATAAAGTCTGTGGTATTTATAATATTCAGGGATAATCACATGTACCCAATCTGATATAGATAGAGCCTTTTTGCTTAGTTTAAGTGACTATACGTAAGTTAAAAATGAAATTGCACCATATTGAATGATAAGAAATTGTCATAAAATCCTTAGTGAAGAAATTCCATCGACATGTATTATATTCCCATATGTATACTTGTATCATTCCATTCTTTGAATGGTAACTAGATCAATGCATTTTTGACATAAACGAGGCAGGGGCTTTGTTTCTTATTAACATGTTGTAGTACCAGTAACTTACTAGTACTTATTGGCACTAGTGCTAACCTATTTGTTAAGTACTACATTTACGTTAAGTGCAGAAGCGCTTGTCAGATGATTTTCTATAAAGGAGCTGCTTTTTTCATGAGACTGATCAAACCAGTTTATTGTTTTCAAAATCTTGTTTGAATTTTCTCAGATTCAAAAATTTAAATCATTGATTTTTTACTATTTTGAGACAGAGAGCTTACACACTAATTACACACTCCCTCTGGGACATGTTTCTGTATGTTAATTCAACCAATCCATTCTCTTTTGCTTTCTACTAATGATTTACCCCCTATGAAAAATAGGTGTATACTATCAGGGGGAAAGTCAGGATCTAAAAGTGCCTCGCTTGGCTACACCCGTGACTATAACAAAAGCAAAAATAAGTATACAATGTACATATATTTATATTTGAGGTTGTGAAACTGTACTTTCGTAGATGTACACATATATATTTTTATATCTAAATGTTATGAAAAGTGTGCCACAAGCACTACATATATCACATTAGATACATGTATATAATATCATGTAATATCTGAACAATGAAAGCTCATTTTATATCTAGAAGTTTTAAAATGAATGAAACAACTGTACAGCATGCCATATAGGTATATATTTTAGTGGTATACACTGTATTTACAATGAACATTTTATAGATGATTTATATTAGACTTTCTCCCACTTACAAATGATATATATTTTGTATTGTTCTAATGTGTCTAGAAGTATGCAGTACCATAGGGGAGTTTGTCATAAATATGTCTGAAGAACCGTTAAAATATATTTAACATAACACTTCATATGTCTAAACCTCTTATCAGCTTATTCACTTCATACAAACGTGCGTATTAGATCGGTTAAAACAGATAGCGGGTTTATATTTTATTTAGGCAAGTGTTTGCTTTATACAGCACTCTGATAACCGATACCTCAATCTTAGGGTCTACCTATCCATATGCTACATGGTACATAATATCACATATTAGGTATATCGAAGAATGAAAATTATTCCAAATATTTAGGATATTCGTATACTATTGAGTATGTGACCAGGTTGTGTAAACAAATATACAATATACATTCCAAGTGATTTTATTCCCGTATTGTTAGAATTATTGTGATTTTCTTTAAAATGGGGCGTGATAAAATCAAGGTGTTGAATATTATCTGAAGAGTTTTTAAAGTCACTGTGACCTGATAAACTTGTTTTAAAAATGCAATATCTGTAGTAAATGACAATTTAAGAAACTATTGCAAAAATTATCTATCATAACATTTTTGTGTACTACAAATGTGTAGATTTTTAAAAATGGTTTATATAAGTTGTACATATTAGAAATCTTTACTATTTTAAAGTGTTTTAGTGTAGATGTATAAAAGCATAGGCATTTATCCCATGATTGTATAAAAAATGGTAGATATTCATCCTTTCTTAAATGGCGCTAAAATGGTTGCTTTTGTATATAAAAATAACACTGAGATGTTACACAGTGAACTTTACTGATGTGAGTAAACTTAATTTCACTTATGTTTATTTATATTTTTATATTAACAAAATATATTATGATATGATGCTTTTGTAAATGCTTTTGTTGTGTTCTTTTCTCATTCATGTACATCGCTTTCAACGTTGTTTTTTTTATTATAAATGAGTCATGATCTATGTGTTCTTATTGAACTTTCAATATGTCTTGAATGAATAGCATTATTGTATCCTTTAAAATTCTTTATAATACGATTTTATTAAAAAGCTTTCTTCGCTTTTGTTGTTAAAGTTCATCCATTATAAAGCCACAACTTCATTTTAACCAAACAATAAATGACTATTTGTTGGAGGAGACTCGAAATTGTATTGAAATATATTTTAGACTTAAACCAAGTCCCAGGTAGTCATTGATATATTCTCGACACCTTTCTTTTGATACTAGAGTTACCGTGACCCAGACGTGTTGTCCCTCTGCTATGGTAAAGCTTTACCAAACAAGCAACCCAGGACAAAGTATATAGACTTAACGAAATGGTTGTATGCGTTTGCCCTTATGTGTCCCTGTTTCATTTCCTTAGGCGTAGATTTAAGGTGACACAGTATATGCTCCTAAATAGAGGGATCATTTAAAGATCTGCATTAACTTGAGTTATATTTTATGATTTATTACAAATTTGAACAGATTGGAGGTCTAATGATTGTAAACATCAATTTTATAAGGCAAACAGTTGACAAAACCATCTTCAAAGGGATTTTTTGTTAAAGTTAAAAACGCAAGAAATGAGCATCCTTAAGTGAGTTGAGTTCGATAATAAACATGGGTTTATGTTGGAAAAGTCAGTAACGAACAAACTTTTCATTAAAAATGAACTCATTGAAAGTTAATTGGTTATTGATTAGTTGTATTCTTAGAATGTATCAATGATGAATCACGGGACTTTTCATGGAAAATTAACTAGATGCAAGTAGAAATAATCTTGATTTACATCATTAATCTTGATTTAGGTCATTAATATTAAGAATTTAGTCAAAGTGATGTCATATTTGAAATCTACGATAAAATTACATCTAAGAATATGATTTTAAATCTATAAAATAATGAAGAGTGAAATATTTCACTTTTCTTGGGTTGGACAAATAGTATTTCCTTTTACTGGACATACTTTCATTTGTATAATGGTCAGACACATAAGGGTCACTTATGAAAATTGATCCAATATCCCAGATGCGAGTAGAAATAATCTTGATTTACGTCATTAAAAATTCACAGTTCAGTCAAACTGATGTCATCTGGTTTTGAAAAGAGTTTATCAACTTTGAAAATTTAATTTTCTTTGAAAATGTGACTTCTAGGTCGGGGAGACTCCCCATAGACCCCATGTTGTAAAACCACAAAAAGTGAAATATTTTTTCTTGTGTTTGGCAGATAACATTGTCTTTTACTGGACATATTTTAATCTGATAAAAGCACAATAAGAGTAACCCCCCTGATGTTTTGGCTCTAAGATGTATAAGAAGTTGGTCTATCTACTTACCAACTTTGAGGCTTCAACCCGGGGGGGGGGGTACTCCCATATATTTGCTACATGGGGACGTACCGCTAAAGTGGGTCACTTTTTCGCTGAAAAATCCTTAGATGTGGGTCCCATTTTGATGAAAAAATCCCTCGAACTGGGTCTTCTTTTTGAAAAATCCTAAAACTGCGGATTATTTTTGAAATAAATTGCCGGAAGTGGGTCTTGTTTTTTGAAAATTACCTTGAAGTGGGTCTATTTTTGAAAGAAAAACTCTAGATGTGGGTCCATTTTAGAGAAAAAAATCCCTAGATGTTGGTAGAAATTTTGAGTATCAGCGGCACCCCCCTGTACAAAGTGACTTTGGACTAATTGTGTTTTTATCCAACAGTTGGTTGTTCTGATGGTTGTACTGTCAATATATCGGAGATACTGTGCCCTCAGTTTGTTCTCAAGATAGATATCTTATATATGAGCAATTAAGGGAGATCACTGATTGTCTGGGGATGAAACCAAGGCGACATTCCCCCTTTAATATGAAATCTGATTGTGTATTTACCTTTTACAAGGAGTTGGTACATGTTTGTTAAAAAATATAACCCATAACCATAACCCATTAATGTAATAATGTACTCGAGCCCCTTTTCATTATAATAACGAAAGCTTTCTCTCTAAATATATATATTATAGTTTGAAAAAATTCCCACGTAAAAATTGAATAAATCACATTTAGGTGGGCAAGCACCTCTTAAAATCTTCACTTGTAATTATCATAGGCCAAGGGAAACACTAGTAAGGCCATAAGAAGTAAATTCTTTGTTTTGTGTCCCCTTGCTTGCACGGTTTTGAGTAAATCAGAAAAAAACAAACACATCCAAATAGCGCAAGGGCCTGAAAGTACTATCGCATTTCGTTCAGTCAGAATCAGAAATGACGGACGTTTTGATGTCGATCAAAATTGACAGTGTTATTGATTACTTTGGCATACATTGTGCATTTTCTTATTTTGGTTACCTTTGATTAATAGCTATGTTTAAATATATTGTATATGATGTTATAGATATGTGTTTGTAATTATTGAAAATTGGTATGTCATCCCTTTATTTGCCCATACATTTCTTAAGCAAACAAGTTTGTATTTTTTCTTGAGTTTGTGTTTGTTTTCCTTGTACCATTGCATGATTTTGATTTTGCCAGGACACAAAACAAAGAATCTACTTCTTATGGCCTAAGCTGTATTTCACTTCTATATACAGCTATTTCTTTTCCCTTGGCCTATGGTAATTACCCAAATGCGAGTAGGTAGTTACCAGTTTCACCACCAGGTGGCTGATTCGGGTCAATTAACATGGCAGGTATATAAGAAAGTTCCCTTAAACTTGAATATTATCAATTTAAGTGGCTCAATTTTCATATAACCCTTATGTGTCTGATACTTATACTAATGAAAATATGTCCAGTAAAGCAAAATATTATCTGGTCACTAAAAGAAAAGATATTTCATTTTTTGTGATTTTATAGCATGGGGTCTATGGGGAATCTCCCCGAGCTAGAAGTCACATTTTCAAAGAAAATTAATTTTAAAGTTGATAAACAATTGTTAATGACGTAAATCAAGATTATTTCTACTCGCATCTGGGTTATTATATGCCATTTCAGGCATGTAAGGAATCTCAGAAATCACCCCCAACATAGAATTTGAACAGATAGTTGAATTTTCTGAAAGGAAAATCTACCCCCATCTCTCTGTACCAAAGAAATTTTTTTAAGTCTCATTGGTACAGAAAGATGGGGGGATGAATTTTCATGGGATCTTCATCTAGAACTGCCCCCCCCCACATTTCTTAAGTCAGTAAGTTGATAATCTCCAACCAAATCTAACATTCTAATGTCAACAAATGAACTATTCATTGTATTTTTGTAAATCTATAATTAATCAGTTATCACATGTTAAAAATAAAAAAAAACTGATCAGATTTCAATCCATTTCCCACATTTCATATTTAGCCAATCATTGTAAGGGAGTTTTATTTTCTAAATCTGCCACCAGATGGCATCCATTTTGAAGTCTCAGTTTAAAAGAAAAATGGCGGACGAGAAGTCGAGGTTTTAGTTTTTCTGTCTATTTCCTCTGAATGTACATCTATAGGTCCCAATGGTGTAGTTTAAAGGGATCCAAGACGGAGGTCAGGACTTGTAGGATAGATGCAGGCCAAAAAGAGGTATGTGCTCCTAGCCTCGAGCGTGATATGCCTCGGATTGTGCTATTACATCGGCTTGCTAAGATTTCTTCAAAATGGTGAAAATTTATCAAAATACAAACATCAAAAACTGGTTGGTTTCATGGACCACAAAGACTTCAGATATGACCAGGATTTACATCTGTCAGCCAGGCATAGGAGAGATACATGGGTTCATAAAATATCTCACAAACATTGTCGCATGGAGACATGTTTTGACATGTCAAAATGTAAGGGGGATTTCAAAGTGTATCTTTATCCACAGTCACAGGAAAAAGTGTCATCAGCTTATAGCAAAATCCTCACATCTCTGCAGAAATCACGCTATTACACAACAGATCCAGCACAAGCGTGTGTCTTTGTCCTTTCCATCGACACTCTGGACAGGGATCATCTCTCAAAAGACTATATCAAAAATATCCAGTCTAAAATTGAAAGTCTCGGAACTTGGAACAATGGCCGTAACCATTTATTATTCAATTTGTATTCAGGAACTTGGCCGGACTATGTTGAAGACCTTGGCTTTGATATAGGAGAAGCGATGCTTGCTAAAGCTAGTATAGAAGTAGTAAATTTTAGATCAGGGTTTGATATTTCTATACCGCTATGGCACAAAGAGCACCCTCAGTCAGGGGCGGGGTCTGGCAACTTACAGACAACAACCATACCCTCTCTACGCACATATACATTAGTATTCAAAGGTAAACGTTATCTAACTGGAATAGGTTCAGAGACCAGAAATTCATTGTTTCATTTACATAATGGGAATGACATAATTTTGCTTACATCCTGTCGACACGGAAAGGACTGGCAGGATTTCCAGGACAAAAGATGTGCCACGGATAATGCAGAGTATGACAAGTAAGTCCTATACTAGATATTAAGTCCTTACTTTTAGTTTTAGACCACATGACTCTTTGTAGATGTGATCAATCTCAGTTTGATTTTCAGTACTCAAAAACAGTTTTTATACTCACATTTGAACTGTTTTTACTCACAATGAGTTCATTTCACACTCAGGATCATTCTGAGATATACTCACAATGTTACGTGTCTGTATTCATAATCAGACAATATATTCCGAATACATTATAGTTACACATCTTGGAATTTCAAAATTGTCTACTAAATTATAGTACCCTGTTGGTTTGAAAGAGCACATTAATATGTTGTCATTTTTCATTTTTAAAATATTTTTTATTCCAGGTCATGTTTTATTTCCAGAAAATTTCTCATTTATATGATTGACATTTTTATTTTCCTATTAACACAAACATTTTCACAGCACAGTAGTCGTGACACATCAACAGATAGTAATTGTGGTATAAAAGTACATGTATATATGTAGTATATCCAAACATGACTGACTGTTGAAATAGTTTATACTAGTCCCCTGTAGGATGTCCATTTAGCAGGTAAAAAGATCCAAGGAACAGAACCAAGCTTTCAAACATTCTTTAAAGTAGTAGAAAAATGTTTTGAAATATCCAAAAAAAGGTATTTCATTTACCAGGGAAGTTTATTTGATCATATACACAATGTTATACATGTGTTATTAAATATTTGTAAGGGCCATCCTTATCACAACATGTGGGTGTCGTGAGGGTTCTGATAACTCAGAGGATGTCTGTTATAAGTCTGTACAGATTGTTCATTTATTTTTAAAATCAGGAAATAATATGTCAATAATTTGTCAATGAGCTACTTGAAGTTTTCCAAAATGATGATATCATCCTAAGTTCACTAAAACATGTGGTTTTATACTTTCAAATCAAAGACTCCTTCCTCTTTGGTGAGTTTGGTCTCAATTTTGTAAAAGTTTGATATTTGTATGTGTAGTGAACAGGGGTAAATATGTGATTGTTTGGTATTACTTTAACTAATAAATTTGTTGTATGACTTTCGTATCAATATCTCAAGAGTTGAGAATTAAACAATTTGCTAAGTGTGTGTGGGAAGATTGGATAGGCCAAGGCTTGTCCAAGATTTATCTGAAAGCCACGACGTGACGATACTTCATTGTATAGATTGTTTGTCTGTCTCAATCCCAAAGACGAAAGATATCAACCTAAATTCATTCATAGCTTATCAAGCACATACCTTTGAAAGTTTAAAGTATTTCAGCTATGCCATATTATCGTACAGCTGACTATTGACTTTTATTATCAAAAGTTTCCCCTCCTATATATATGTATACAATTTGAAGTTCTCAAGCTAGAGTTAATGTTAGCCTTACACTTACCCAATCATTATTTACACATTATGGCGAACTGTAAAGATACGACTTACTCATTTTCAAGAGTTACTTCATACTTGTATATATTTTGATACGGCAAACTTAAACCAACTATAGTATATTGCTTTCTTTAATAACCATTTATTTTCGATAATTTCAAAACTGTCACATCTTTGATATAAATTGTGATTTACATTTCAACTGGGCCAAACCTTACATGCTAACATCTACTGATTTTGAATCTTACGACTTCTGATCTTACGATTTGTTGTTTAAATATTCCGATATTTTAGTGACGTGGGCTGTTCATATAACAATTGGACAACTCCCACATATCAGAGAATGTAGAACTTTAAGGTTAACAGTAACTTTGTTACTATGATAGTTAAAACATTATCAATAATTGAAAATGAAATAGGAAGCCGGACTTTTAATTTTAAGAAAATTGACAAGAATGAGTCATTTAAAGTCCTTTAGATAAATAGATAATTGCTACTTGTGGGTAATGATAAGCTGACTAAGATTTGAAAAGGCCACACAGATATGGACTATGAACATATTGCAAATGGTATTTCAGACAAATTCTCTTAATTCAGATATAAGACTTGTCTGGTAAACCACTTCACTACCGAATCTAGATAAATAATTTAATATTCCTTTAATTATATGTGTCATTGTGATATATGTGAGATATATTTATGAGGTTTAGACATTTAAGATAAACTTATTCTACCTGTTTATATATTATAACTGAACTCTATAACTGAACTCTACATACATTTACCACATATGTATGTACCCGAACTATATGTATATTTACCAGACAGAATATGTCATTTTCTTGTCTAAAATATATACACCTTCCTCCAAAATACCACTTATGTTTAGGTAACTTTTCAAATACCTTTGTAATATTTATTTTAAGTTTTATGCCGTAAAAGGGTTTATTAGTAGGTAACTCACATTTAGTTGCTACGATAATGTTTACAAAAATGATTACATGAAGGAAAGTTTTCTTTAGATATTACTTGAGTGCAACACTGCACCTTGAAATAAATAAATAATTACGTTCACTAAGATTTGGTTGAACATTTCTAAAGATTGAAATAATCCAGTAGTGAATATAATTTTGGCCTGCTTTTCTAGTAAGAAAATTAACAGTTACAAGATGTTGGAATGTTGAGGCTTGTCTAGTATAAAAATGCTAACTATGTAAGTCTCCCTGAATCTACCATCAATCATTTATAGTCAAATACAATGACAGAAACTTGGTGATTTTTAAGTGGCGTTAATTTCGAAATAATGTGATCTCACCATATTTGTGTTCAGCAACACGATTTTGAAACATATCACTTATAATTTATTAATGACATGCGGTTATATCAAACCATTCAATAAGTTCTATCTATTGTCTTATTATTAATGTATAATATATGATTTTGATATGATTTGGAACATTGGGATCGAATCATAATGAGGAGCCATCGTATGATAGAAGTACAGATCTATAGAAGTACAGATGCATAGAAGTACAGATGTGTGATAGAAGTACAGATGTATTGAAGTACAGATGCATAGAAGTACAGATATATAGAAGTACAGATGCATAGAAGTACAGATGTATAATAGTAGATTTGGAACATTGGGATCGAATCATAATGAGGAGCCATCGTATGATAGAAGTACAGATCTATAGAAGTACAGATGCATAGAAGTACAGATGTATGATAGAAGTACAGATGTATTGAAGTACAGATGCATAGAAGTACAGATATATAGAAGTACAGATGCATAGAAGTACAGATGTATAATAGTAGTACAGATATATAATAGAAGTACAGATGTATAATAGAAGTACATCTGTACTATTAAAGTATTACCAACTTAATGGAAGGAGTTTGTCACATAGTGAATGTATCATCAATGAGGTATGAGAATGATAACATTAACCTCGTGTGAACTTTGTGACAGTTCAAGTAAATTGATGGATAATTTCACAGTTATACATGTGAAACATGCCATTTGGTTGTGTATGGACTCCTATGTTGTCCCTTACAGTCTCATATTCAAACACTATTTCAGGGGAAAAAAGAAGAAAATTTCAGGGAATTTCAGGGGGATACAAAGATTTGATATAAGTCTTCCAGATCTGCTTCAAACCAAAAGAGTTAATCACATTTTTTTCTTTTTTGAGTACTTTTTTAACATATGTGAGAATCCAATATTTCTATCTTCAAGGGAGTCCTATTGGAAAGTGACTTTTTCATGTCTGGGATTCTTATAATGGTGTGTTGATATCTCTGTCTCAGACCATAGCTTTATAGTTTAGGTTAAAATAACATGTGTTGACTGATATGAGTAGCTTGACAGAAAATATTATCAGAAGCCTAGGCAAACACTTGAAAGTTATCCTCTAAACATATCTCAGTTTCAAAAAGTGGGGTAATTAAAGTCGTATAGTATTATTTTCCAACTTATTGCACCCGTAATTATAGCGTTGATGGTCTTTATTATGACATTGATCACTGTGATTCCAGACGTGTAAACTCCTCTTAAAAATACCTCGTTTAAAACAAGTGCGTCACAAATACATCCCCTTTTAAGTTTGACATTAAAAGAACAGTTGAAAAGAACGTTTTTCTCAGTTTCAAGATGGAGGGTGATGACATCATTGAACAGTTACCAGATTTCAGTGTTTAGAGATGGACCAACCAAAACTGAAGGCTTCATAAACAAAACTGTCAGGCTCGATTTTACATGACCAAACAAATGTATGTGTAGCTCTGGAAAGCATGCAAAAAGTGAAATGGTTTTAAATTACACGATTGCTCCAAACGTTTCTGTGTTTGTCTACAAATCGCCACATTCTTTCAGTCATCTCATGTAGAAGTATATCTTCTCTCTTTCTTATGGGGTTGCTTCCTTCATATAAGCTCTCCTCTTATCCTAAATTGTTTTCATATTTTGCTAAATACCACTAGAAAAATGTTTTGGTAGAGACTTTGAAGATGATAGGTTTATAAACTGTGCTCTTGTGAACCTAAGGCCAGTCGGTTTCTGAGATACCTATTAAGAAAATGACATTTTTGTTGTGTTTAAGTGATGTTTAGTTAAGATGGAATCAAGTAAAAATTAGTGAATTTTACAGCAGATATTGCACAATATGAATTCAAATAATATAAAATCAAAGTGTTCCCCCAAACTATAGAAATAGACCAGAAAATGGGAGATAAGGGAAACTTATGGGGAAGTCTGTATAATATGCTTAGTCCAGTGTATTTGTACAGAACAAGGAGATAAATCTCAAGCCTTTGGTGCTTGATGCTAGCAAAGTTCTACTTTGTTTTCCTATATGTGAATCCATGATATATATTGAAAGACAAATCAGTGTTACAAGAAACCTGTTATCTCATGCCTTTATCTGTGATGGTGTATGACCTTGTACTTGGTGAATCATTCAGAGCATCGTATGGTGTTGAAACAAGATCTCTGGCATCTATGTCATGTCTGGTGATATCATCAACTCATACCCTTTTCCATACCCTTTCCATAGTTTCGTTTGCTTACTCTAAGCTCCCTCCAGGTCCCAGGGTATATTCAAGAGTCTGTGCCACATGGTAGAAAT